ATAACAGGACTCAAAAGTTGAGACAAAATTAAACAATTAGAACCATCAGAAACAATAACAATTGGAACAAGACTGAAATAAACCAGATGGTCAGTGTGCAAAATAATAAGTTGAACCAAAGCAGAACTACTGAATGTGCAAGTGTATGACACAACAAACAAACATAAGAAAGTGTCACACTAACGAACGAACTAACAAAAATCATCATTGCATGTCTCTAGAAGAAACATCAATCCTCAAAAATTACCTACAAAATAAAAAGCTAACAGTAAGAGACTTCAGCGCTGGCATTTCAGGAACGAATAGTGTTTTTAAAATGTGGACAAACTCCAAATCTAGTAATATAAAAGGATATAAAAAAAAAACCATAGAATTAAAAAAGGGAAATTAAAGTTAAAATGCAACAAGTGGGAATTATAGGAAGAACAGTTATGTCAATAAGAAAAAAGAACATAGAACAACAGGTTCTTTTATTTAAAATGCAAGATGCTGCAACAAATAGGAAGAACATTTGATGTAGGATAACCACTGAATATTAAAGATAGCAAACCAGAACACAACATCCTGAAGAAACATTTTAAAATACTCTATTACTACATTTGTATATTCATAACTTCATTTTAAACAACATTTTACTACCAAAAAGAATACCTGCCAATACACGGAGATAAAACTAAAACATAAATTATATACGTTATATATCTTCAAGCTTTTACACAATCGGTTCAATGGATAACAAAAAAAGAATGATAAACAGTTACGATGAAAAATTATATCAAATTAAGATTGATGTGTAACAACTACAACTAGGAAATATAACAGAACACCAGAGAGAGAGAGAGACTGAATAGACTTCTAAATTTATAACTGCCAATCTATCCTCCGTATATATTTGACAATGTGGACAGATAAATTTTAGTTCTACAAAATTTACTGCTTCCAAACATTGCTTGGGTGCATAGACGCAAAAGAAAATACTGAGAACTTCTGAGACTCCTTGCATTCTCGTCCTAACTTGAAAAGTTGAGAAGGAGAGTCTAATTAAAACACTCAGATTACTGACATTGCCTAGAACATTGTGTGCGACAATATTTGAATAATACACTAACCCTTTTCACTAATGTCTTTCACCTCATGTTACATTGAAAGTTAGAGAAACCCCATCATCTGATGTTCTCTTTTTGTCGGAACATCAAGCTGTCGAACAGTCTAGTTATGCATGGTTATTAGACAATCCGATATTGCTACAAATGATTACTTTTAAATTCACCACGCCACCGTGTATCACTGATGTAATGTCAAAATGTTCCCGATTCCATAAGATACCGTGCCCCGCTCCCTCATATCAGAATACATCATTTAACAAAAATATGCTATTTCAAAGCACTCCCATAATGTGTGCCAATTTTGTTTTTGGCAGATATATCGCTCAAGTTTTCAACAATGCTACGCTAATTGCCTCTGGAAACTTATTTTTGTTCATTTTGTTTCCGTTTAAAAACAAAAGGTGACATTTTACAAAAGAAAAATATACAACCACATGCTTGAATGAGTAAGGGGTAAAACCTTAAAGATATGGAAGGCCCGCTGTCAGTGCCTCTATTAATCAACATCGCACCCTATCGCATCTTGAGCAAGCTGCCAGGGAGTGTACCTGGAATGGAAGCAAACAGCGAACGCATTAATGCATTGAATTAAAGACCGACCTACTAATTAATTCCTCAGGCATGTCACTCCATCAAATCAAAAAAATGATCTCCGTAAACCATAAACCTAAGTAAACCCTAAATTTCAAAATCAACTTTGAAGGGTCCTGAAACCCCCATACCTAGCCCCATCAGATCTCTGGTCTTGGTGTTAATTACTACGCGATTTCAACTGTGAGATCTTGAACGGATCCGATCGTAGATCAATGGCGGCCATCGAGGCGTTAAACCTCTCAAAACAAGAATCGCATTGGAGGAGCTTTTCTTCATGCCCCGTCGGCTCTCTCTTTCTTCACGCTCATGTCTCTGATCTCCAGCGAAGGCTCCGACCACAGAGCCAATGCCATTGTTAGGGTTTCCAGACCACCTTTGTGTTTCTCATCTCTCATTTTCTCAGATCTCCTCTTACTCTCGTCTGGGACTCTGAGGGCCCGAGGGTTAAGTAAGGTTTAATCATTTGCGAGATCAGGCGCCCTTTTTGGATAGGAGGGTTCTCTTCTGCATACGATGTCGTTTCGTTTTGTATTATAATTTAGAATTTATAGAGTTAGTGGACTGGACTGGTTTGCTTAATTGCCTCGACCCTGGACTTGGCCGCGTGTCCTCACTTTCAATTCGCATTGGCCCATCCTCTTGTATTAGTCCAGTAGTGATAGCCTTTCTTGCGACTGTCGTATAAAATTACCTACGACTCCCATGATTATTGAAAATTATTATACATAACACTTCGTTGAGTTACATAATAAAAAGACCAAACCAAACATTTTTGGGTTGCATAAATACAAACCTTTATTGTCGCAATATTCGTCATCTTTTTAACTTTTCTATGTATCATTTATTCATGGGCATATGACTTGTCTTAGATTTAAAGTTTAAACACACTTCATTTATCACCTACAATAATGTTTTTGATTCTCTAATGGTTGTAATTTTTTTTTTTATGATGTTGCATTAGATTGCCTACTTTTATAAGACTTTTTTCAATTTATAAGTATCTTGATCTTCAAAGTCGGTCTGCATAAATGCGTAAATCCGAAAGATGATAGTCCACTATATTATGAACAATGAATCTTTACTTTAATACACATGTCATAATCGGAACCGTTTGCTTTCTAAATTACCATTTAAAGATTATATATGAAAAATTCATTTTGTTGATGTTAATTGTTACCAAAATAGTTTATTTGTTTTATATAATTGAAAGTTATGCCTCGGGCACACGTGGACAACACCAATTGGCCATGGGAGAATATGCCAATTTCTTACCCTTAGCCCATGTTTGTTATTCTACTTAGATCCATTTTTTTTTTAAACTAAAAAATAATTTGTGAGTCCAAAGTCCATAATTCGAGTTTGGTAAAACTCATTTTTAACAATTTTCTTTTTTTCAAAACCTCATCGTTGCCTCTATCTCTCTCTCCCCCCGCCCGGCCCCGCACCCTGCCTAGCTAATCCAGGCGATGGGTTTTTGAAACAATTTTTGTGTGGGATTTTGATATCTCGAGGTGGGTGAAAAATTGAAAGCATTTCAAAGAAAAAAAAAAAAAAAAAAAAATTTTAGTCCATCTAACCATTCAAACCAACTTGGAAAATAAAAATGAAGAGAAGGCATTCAAGCCAAGGTAAAGGATTTTCTCTGAGGGAATGAAATGAGTGGCCCCAAAATTAGTGTTGATATCATGTTCATTACAAAAAAAATAATCGAAAAAGGCTAAGATATTACTCTACAAAAAAGAAAACGATCTTGTGAAGTATAGTGCGGCTATACTTTTAAAATATTCGAATATATTTAAAGAGTATACATGTGCGGCTATACTGTTTAAATATTAATATATATATATACATATATATATTCAAATGATCTAACAAAAGATTATGTAGAAGGTACCTTGATGGATGCATTTGCTCCAATGCTACAAATTCCACCAAATATGTAATCCGCTTCACTCCCGCAACAAAAGGTGTAATTTCCTCATTTGTGCATGTTATATATGGTTAGAGGAACACAAAAAAAAGTGTAAGGTCCATTTCCAATGCAAAGAGTTAAAGAATTAGTTTAGTTTGGGAGATTTTTAGATTTTGAAGGACATTAACCAAGGAATTTCAGCTGGTGGAGTCTATAGGTACGTAGATAGTTGGTAAATAATAAGTTTAGTTTGGGGGATTTCCATGCAACAAAATGTAACCATATCATTATTCATGGTTAAAGGAAAATGATAATCCATTATGAGCTCTCTAACAGAGATGACAGAAATAATGCTGTAGTGATTTCAAATCACCAGTTTTTTAGTGGTTCTCGTGTCGTGATCATATTTATTTTTTCTTTTATTGCAATCAGTAAACTTAACTTCATTACTTTTGTCACCATAAAAGCTTAAGTTTATTTATTCTTTACTCCAAAACTTTCCCAAGGAACATGAAATGAAAATAAGATCCTGCTTGATTAAATTAACACCGAGTTATTGACAAAAACAAGCAACCGGGCATGCACACACTCACATATAAGCATGTATAGAAAAATTGAGTAGGAATTTTAAGGTCAATTATAGCAATTACACAATAAACTTCTCCCTGAAAGAAAAAAAATTGAAAGCATCGCATTTATCCATTACAAAAGAAGAAGAAGAAGAAGAAAAAACTGAACCATTTTAGTCAATCTAGCCATTCAAGCCAACTTGGAAAATAAAAATGAAAAAAAGGTATTCAAGTCAAGTTGAAGGATTTTATTTGAGGAAAATGAAATGAGTGTTTTCAGAAAAAGAGTATGTGTCACGTGTGTGAGGTTAGTTTATGTTTTTCTTTATTAGACTTGTCTGGTTAATTAACTAAAGCTAAAAAAATATGAGATTTTATGTGAGTAAGATGGGCGTGTGGGTGTTCGTGTGGGATGTAAAAAATCAAGTTACCTAGGTTGCCTATTTGTTAAATTTTAGAGAGACAGGCATGCGGTCACTACTAACATTATCGATATTGTCCCCAACTTAATCACTTACAAAACCCAATAAATGTGAAGTTTTATCACAAAAAGTCTTGGTGTGATCAGGAGTGCAACCACTTATTATAAGTTGTAGTTTATTTAGTCAAGTTTCCGATGTGCGACTTTATATTCTTCAACACTATTAACTTTGGGCTATAAAAAATAAAGTCACCTAGACTATAGTCCAGGTAAGCGTGGACTCGTCCTTGAATACCCATCCAAGGATATCGAGTCAGAAATTCTTCAGCTGGAAAAACTAAAGGAGAGTTGGAGACGTTTACAGATATCTATTGCCTCCAAGGTGTAACAACGAGAACATGAAGAAAGGAAGAAATGTAGTACTAGCACTTCTGCCCCCAAGTTTCAACCACCAGAGAAACGTCAAAATGTAAGTCATCTGACACCTCTAGCAGCTATTCCTAGACCTCATATGCATTGGCAGCCTTCAACGGTGGCTCATTTCGGCTGTATGAAAACTATGGACACCCTGGGCGGTTTGGTATGGCTGCCAACGACCATCAAACTGGTGCCAATTCTGGTGCCATGCAGTTAAGTTCGTCATCTCTGCTGCATGAAACTGGTATAGATAAGTTTGTTATGGTGGCCAACAAACAAGAAATTGGTGCTAATTTTGGTGCAGTGGAGTTAAGTTCGTCATCTCGGCTGTATGAAAATTACAGACACCTGCACAGTTTCGTATGGCTGCCAACGAACATGATACCGACGCTAATTTTGGTGCCATAGGGTTAAGTTCATCATCTCTGCTGTATGAAACTTATGGACACCCTGCACAGTTTCGTATGGCTGCCAACAACGAACATGAAATCGGCACTAATTTTAGTGCCATGCAGAATGCTTGGCTAACTCACTCCCATGAAGAAGAAGAAGTGCGGAGATTGTGGTGCACTGTTGTGGCGGCTGTGTGGGAAAGTGCGTGCGTGGTGCGCTTTTTCAATAAAAAGTGAGAGAGCAGGAGAAGTGGCAGGCAGGCGGATCCTGGTGGGCTCTAAGGCCTAAGCAAAGCACAACCCAAGCTCTCTTAGAAACACATAATTGGGCTTAATTAAAGAACCAAATCCAGATTGATTAATCCAAGTCCAAGCTTCCCAGTATGTACTTATATGTAGATGATGAAAGGTTCAGATATGCTATTGCTGATTGCTGATTGCTGATTACTGATTGCTAAATGCTAGATGCTAAATGCGAGGTGAGGAGATGAGATGCCTTAATTCCCAGTAGAAACCCCAAAAAAAAAAGGCATCCAGCGAAGAATGAATCTGCGACTGTACCTCAGGTGATTAATTGTTACGTACTGGCATACTGCACTGCACCCACCACCAAGTTTTGTCCTTTCCTCTCTTATTGTTGTCCAATCAAACATCAAACAGTTTCTGTCTCCATCTCTTATCTGAATTGTCAAAAGACACAAAACACAAAGCGCACAGCTCCTACAAGCTGCTTTGTCAATCTCAACACAAATTTATACTATATTATATTATATTCTGCCACATAAAGCGCACCAAGCTTTTGAGTAGAATATTACCATCTCATATAAGCTACTTCCCATCTCATGTCACAGTAAAGATGATGGTTGTCATCTTAGCAACCACTCAGTTTTGTCGAGAATTTGTTCTTTGTGTTAGTGTTATATTCTTTCGTTGCAGTGCATTGCAATTTGCATGAACAATTCATATTAAATTCAAGAAAAAATTAAGGTGGCTTGGTTTGCTTCCTCTGCCTCAGTAGCCTCAGATGTGAGATCGATGGCAAAACAATGAGAAATACAAGAACCTTTTTGCATGCGTCCGTCCTAGCTAGCACTTTGTTTTGGTTAAAAAACTATATCCATCTTCACAGCCGCAGCTCTTAATTTCTATATTAAGTTTGACCTAGCTTATTCCAGCGTAAGTAAACCAAAACTTTTATGTATGATGACTAAGAAAACCACTACCTAGACATGTTGTTTGACTTACTTAATAGGTAATTACTTGTTTTTAAAAGTAAACTGTTTTCTATGGAAGCCCTTTACAATTGACAAAGACAATTTGTACACTTGTTTTAGAGGCAGACGGGGATGCTGCGTTTGCGGTTGTAAGATGGAAGAAATGAATGAACAGAAGCCAATGGAAAAAGAAGACAAAGAAGGTTTTGATTTAAATATTTCTGCGGACCAAAATTGTCTGAATTTTTTGTGGTATGGAGTGCTCTCAAGTACTAACTCCCTTTATATAGACGACAGTTAACCATCCAATTAACTGCTAAAGGAAGAAACCCAACAACTGAGCCAACCAGTAGAAATATCAAGCATATTCCACATCCCATCAAAAACCAGAGGAATATCAATGTCAGTGGAGTTTGAATTCATTAATTTGCTAATTAAGCTAAAGAAATTGATGAGTTTAAGCCAGCCACACATGAAAAATATATATAGAATTTATTCCATATGCTTATCGAGACGAAAGCATATATTATATATGGATCAGTCACTGGTCGAATTCCCAGATATATAATCAGCATATATGTATAAGGCTTTATGGTGACATTACAAGGTGCAAATTGTGACAAGGATGGTGATTTTTCTAATGCTTTGTGCATTATTGCAGTATATATGATCACCAAATTGAAACAATTTCTGCACAAATCCGCTTCTGAATTCCATAAGATAGCAAGCGTGAAAGCTATATATATATATATATATATATATTATGCTGTAAATTTTCAATTTGCAAAGGTGGGTGGAATAATTGCTGGACCTCGTTCCTTATTCTAATAATATTATAAAAGATTGCTGACCAATATTGGTGATAGCAACTTTACAATTTCAGGCACTCACTCACACTCACACTCACACTCACACCAAAATTAATATTAAGAATCCACCGCGCGCGCGCATAGAATCATATACACCCACCACCACCAACCTACCTATCTCTTCATGCAGTCTTCATAACTATTAACTAACATGATGTGTTTGAACTCTCCAAGACTTTTTTGACCGAATTTCATAATTAATTAGGTCCGCTCAGAGGGCAATTTTAACTGTTTCAGGCAAAAGTTTTCCTTAGGATAGAAACATCCCAGTTTCAAGATATTCATCAAGTCCGGCAAAAGGCCATACACTATAACTGTTTGAAAAAAGTCGTATAATTTGTTTCTCATTCGCTTAATGATATTGCACGTTACATCATCTTTGCAATAACATCGATCCCTCCTAAAAAGATAAAAAAAGAATAAAAAAGACAGAGGAACAAAGTTTGCTTTGTCCTGCAGTGCACTGTGTGCATGCATATATATATAAGTAGCCAATCAAGTTCATCAACATTTCCAAGCTAACTATACATTCACTATAATTAATATCATTCTTGCAGAGATGATAGGTTGGGGAGATGTTTACAAGGTGGTGGTGGCCATGGTGCCACTCTACGTTGCCCTAATTCTAGGGTTTGGTTCTGTGAGGTGGTGGCGCATCTTCACTCCCGAGCAGTGTGGTGCAATCAACCGCTTTGTTTGCTTCTTCACTCTCCCACTCTTCACATTTGAATTCACAGCTCATGTTGATCCTTACAAATGGAACTACCGCTTCATTGGTGCGGACGCCATCTCAAAACTCATAATCGTGGCGGTGCTCGCGTTATGGGCCAAGTGTAGTAGCAAGGGAAGCTATAGTTGGTCCATCACAAGCTTCTCCTTGTGCACTTTGACAAATTCGCTTGTGGTAGGGGTACCCTTGATGAGAGCCATGTATGGTCAGGTAGCCGTTGATCTTGTTGTTCAATCATCGGTGGTGCAGGCTATCGTGTGGCTGACAATTCTTCTGTTCGTCTTAGAATTTCGACGAACGGGGTCGTTAGACATGCATATGATTTCGGGGACTAACACAAGTCAATCGGTGGAGCAAGGTGAAGGAGGGAAAGAGGTAGAAGGGTTGGCTGCAATGAGCACGATGAGCAGCAGTAGGCCTTCTTTCTGGTACTTGATGAAGGCTGTGTGGCTGAAACTTGGGATGAATCCCAACTCGTATGCGGTTTTCATCGGGATTGGATGGGCTTTTATATCAAGCAGGTGGCATATTGAGTTGCCAAGCATTATGGAAGGATCTGTTTTAATCATGTCAAGAGCTGGTACAGGCACTGCCATGTTTAGCATGGGTGAGTGAGACACTGACACTGATATGTATATATGTTCTTTTATATATATGTATGTAGATATACGTGTCGTACGTTTTGATATTCATATGTATGCATGTATGTATGTATGTATGCAGGTATCTTCATGGCACTGCAGGAAAAATTCGTGGCGTGCGGGACGAGCCTGACTATAATAGGGATGGTTTTGAGGTTTATTGCTGGACCAGCAGCCATGGCTATTGGCTCTATCGCTGTAGGCTTGCATGGTGATGTTTTACGTGTTGCCATCATTCAGGTAACTCCCAATTTGGCTTTATTTAATTTGATGCTTGGTGAGATCTGACTAGTTCCCAACGCCCCACAATTATTTTCGTTAATGGGTATTAACTTTTATTAAAGAAATTGAAGCTAATTAAGTAGCGCACTAATTGTTTGTTTTTATGCTCACTAATTAATTTGATATGAATTGTCAACTTGGACTTGAGCATATTGCAGGCAGCATTGCCGCAGTCCATTACCTCCTTCATATATGCCAAAGAATACGGACTCCATGCAGAGGTGCTCAGTACAGCGTATGTAGCTGCTTCTCCTTATTAACATATTTAATTAAAGAAATTCCTATTTCTAACTCTAACTCTAACTCTAACTCATGTGTGTGTGCCTGCAGGGTGATATTTGGCATGATAGCGTCCCTTCCAGTGTTGATCGCTTACTATGCAGTTCTAGAATTTGTGCATTGACGACTGCACGTGCGTTTCAACCAATCCAATGGATCGCGGTCGAGAGGAAAGAAAGATGATCGCTGCCTTGCTCCTGGTCCTCATTTGTTTGAAATTTTGTTGTTTTTGGTTTCTGTATGATCATGGCTTAAAGCTACAGAGGCTAATTAAATTAGTGTTGTAGTTGCCAAAACTTGTAATCTAATTCACATTATTATCCTAATCTCATTCAACCCAGAAATGAGTCTTGCCTTCCTCTTCCTCAGGAGGCTGATTGAAAATGAAAACCCAAATGACAGGCCCATAGTGGTTGTTTAGTAATTTTCTGCTTTGGGCTTTGGAAAGCCACGTTCAATGAGAAGGGACTTATGTTTGAATCTTGATTGCGGGGAGGCTGTAAGAAGGAGTTTAAAGTGAGGAGGCTATTTGAGGAGGTCAATCTCACCATCAACAAATGTAAAGAAATCATGGGACTTAAATATTTTAAATGTTTTGATGGTGGGTTGGTCTCCTCAAATAGCCTCCTCACTTTAAACTCCTCATTGTAACCTCTCCCGATTGATTGTGGCAATTCAACAATTTGGACAAACTTTGATTCGTGATATCATAATCATAGGGAGGGAGCGGGACCACATCATTGATACTTTTGATAGAAATACAAGAGGAAAAAGAAAACAATTATTGTGCATTCATTTTCATGTCTCTCTCATTTATTTATACACACAAAATGAAAATGAGAATGATATGCCCATGCCATGATGATGAGAGTTGATTATAGAATCAAATCGAATCAAATTCATTCATTAAGAATTAATGTGGTTTGAATTGATAAGTATTCTTGAATTTAGCAGGGCTCCTGCTAGAACGTAGTGAAGGAGAAGCTTGCGATGTGAAAATGTATGAGTTTTTTAGTTTTTAAAATTTCCTTTGCCTTTTGCCTTTTACCTTTAACTTTTTCTTTTTCTTTTTCTTTTAAATTAATTTTAATTGATGTGTTATCCACCACCTGCCACATAAAGTGGTATGAGAATGTGGTATACAAATGTGGTAAGAGTAGCATTATTCATATATAAATATGCAGCTGCTTGCTGCAACGTAACACAGATATATTGTATACATAAGAAGCGTTTGTTACACGCTTTTTTTTGTTTGGATAACTCTCTCTTACTTACGCCAGAAGCCGTTGCATATAAATTCTAATCTAAGATAACGATAAAAAGATAGATGCCATTTATGTATTTATTTATTTATTTTTATAAAAGTAAAACTGATGAAATCAAAAGATAAAGATACAACAAGGTTGATAATGATATTATGTCGTGAAGAAAGTGTTGTTGTCTCATCTAATTAAAAATCTGCAACGTGCGTACAATTTACAAGCTAAGACGACACACCATCTACCAAAAATTTAAAATTAAATTTAAAAAAAAAGGAAATAAAGAAACCCATAACGTGACAACATGTTGTCCTTCCTTTCCAAGAATGAATGAATGAATGGGTCTGTCTGTGTTAAGTATCAGAATTTTGTAATTATTGTCTACTTTTGCTCCTAATTAATCGCTCTTATTTATGATTGATGATTAAATTAAATTAAATTAAATTTGTGGAGACTAGTTTTACTTATAGAAAGGGAAGAGAAGACGAAAGATCGTGAGAGTTGTGCTTCCCCACTATTTTTTTGACTAATGTTGTGCGTGTTATTCGGGTTTCTCTTAACAAACACCCTCTGCCTCCTGCCTCTAGACTCAATATGTTTTGTTTTGTTTTACGGTGTGATCATCATCATGTGATCATTGGTGGGTACCCAATCTTAATGCTGATGCTGCTCCTGTGACGCTCTTGTTTCTTTTTCTGATACAGTGTTTCTGGGTTCCTGTTCATCTATGATCAATCATTCATCATCTTCATCGTGTTTTCTGCAACACATTCTGTTGTGTTCATCCTAAAGAGAAGAAACGAAACAAGAAAGAACAGAAATCTGTTTGTTGTTGCATGATTTCTGTTCATCGTTTTCATGTAAAAATATGAAGTCCTCCCCCAATTCTGTAAGCACTCTCTTCTTCGTCTTTCACCATATATATATATATATATATACACACACACACTGATATGAATTATGATGCTTTTCTTGCTCTCTTCTTCATTTTATATTCAATCAATATTGTAAATCTTCTTGATTTTATATTCAATCTCTTCTTGATTTTTTTTGTTAAGAATGTTTTGAGAAGCAAAACTTTTATACAGCCATTAAAATTTCTTGACATTTGTTTTATGACCTCCTCTTCTCAGGTGACTTTACGTGCAGATCCAAGAAGCGGGAAATCACGCCTTTGTAACGTTCTCCCGGCAGCTTCTCTGCTATGTCTACTGTTTCTCATACTCACCTTATCATCAGAGTACAAAGAAGAGGTATGTATGTATGTATGGTTCATCTTGCTCTTCTTATCAAATTATCTGCAGTTTCCCTTAAAATTTGAATTCAAAGTTCAGCTTCTGACTCAGTAAGAGGCTTTAAGAAGGGAATTTTAATCATTCTGATAACCACTACTGTTCTGGGTTCTCTTGCACAGAAATCATCACTTTGGAGAGTCACAAACAGCTTGCAGAATCTAAAGAACAAATGCAAGGTTTGTTAATCATTCCATACCGATTTTATATATATATATATATATATATATATATATTCCACGAAACTAGTCTATTCCGTCCTGCATCTTTAGTCTTTCCTAGAAAATGAGTTTTGGGGATTTATGACTTATAATTGTTTCTCTGTTTTAGAATCAATACAGGCCTTATGGAATTGAGGCATTGCCTCAAGATATTGTCTCCAAGACTTCTAATTTGGAAATGCGGCCCTTATGGAATGAAAAAAAGGTAAGGTAGGTTTATGGAATCATGGATGGAACTTCTCATTAGTAATCCTTCATTTGATGTGTTCCCTTGAATTGGGAGGATATATGTTTGTGTATGTGTATGTAACCTTTGCATCCTGTTCCAAGTGTAAGTGCTGAAGGTTAGTATTAATTTTTTACTCTTGCACTGTTTGACCAGAAACGCTCAAAATCTTCAGTTAACTTGTTGGAGAAGAAAGGTGCAAATTCAACTAATTTATTTGCGATGGCTGTTGGTATAAAGCAAAAAGATCTTGTCAGTAAAATGGTCAAAAAGGTATTCCTATAAAGCCATACTCATAAAAGGTCCCAAGTAAATCTTTATTCTAAGCCCCAGCCCTACACCCCTTGAAAAAAAAAAGAACTGATGATAATTCTTTTTCTTGTTCATAGCTGCACAAGTAATTGCTTTTCACTCTCCATATTGCAGTTTCTGTCAAGTGGTTTTGTTGTGATGCTTTTCCATTATGATGGTATCGTCGATGAGTGGAAGGAATTTCAATGGAATGATCTTGTTATTCATGTATCTGCAATCAATCAAACTAAATGGTATGAGTCTATCCTTGCATGACTGACAAGAGAACAGTTTTGATGGAAGTTGCATTACTGAGATGTGTTTTCTTGGTGATGGATTTCTTGATGCCTAGGTGGTTTGCCAAGCGTTTCTTACATCCTGATATAGTTGCTGAGTATAGTTACATTTTTCTCTGGGATGAGGACCTTGGAGTTGAAAATTTCCACCCCAAACGGTATTGTGGGCTGCATCTCTGTTGACAAATTTCTACATACTGAAATTAAGAGTTCCAAGCTACTTGCTGGTTCTTATATCCCACATGACAGTACATTTTATTTAACAAAATGCTTGATATTTGTCTTCTTCTTTGACACTTTTAGGTATGTATCCATTGTTCAAAAGGAAGGCCTTGAGATATCACAACCAGCACTAGATTATTCCAAGTCAGAGGTGCATCATCAAATTACTGCACGTTTGAGAGGATCGATAGCACACAGGTCTCTTATAACATTTTCCTTCCTAATACTAATATTTGTGATTCTAAAGGCGTGACAGTGATAATCCGACTTCCTGGTTAATTTGAAGCATCCTTTCAAGCAGTTGTTGACTATGATATTCATGATGTACATGATTTTGATCCATTTTGTCTGCAGAAGGACTTACAAGGCTAGTAACAATGGGAACGGTTGTGATGGAAGCAGTACAGCTCCCCCTTGCACCGGGTAAAAATGTGTTTCGACTACAACTACCTTATTTCAATTATTTGGCTTATACTATAAAGCTTAGAAATTTGTGTTGTATGAAATTTTGTGAAGGATGGTTTTCTCTGTGTGAGCTATTTCAAGAAAATTCTGTTCAGTTACTATTGTAGTTGCAGAAGTTATCATACTTGAGGAAGGAAACTAAAATGAAAATCTGCATTTTTGCAGGTGGATAGAAGTGATGGCTCCTGTTTTCTCGAGAGCTGCCTGGCGCTGTGTATGGCATATGATCCAGGTGTGTTTTTTCTACTGTCCTGGAACTTCAAGATAGCTTTTCTATTGGCCTTAAGCAGAAAGCACAACAAATTAGCCAAACTAATATGAGGCTCATATTTTAGTCAGGTGTATGGAGTTAAGTGGTCATTGATCAGAAATTTTTTAAGTTGTTAGAAGATATACCTAATACTCTGTAAATCAAGCTTAATTCATAAACACACATCCACTCTCCCTTTCATGTATTATGTATAGAATCACAGAAACAACAAATCTAAATTACATTGAAATGGTGTTAATTGTGATTTGATCTTTGCAGAATGACTTGATTCATGCATGGGGCCTGGATATGCAGCTTGGCTATTGTGCACAGGCAAGCTTCTCAGTTTACTTGTTATGTCGTTTTTTTTATGCTTTCTTTTCTAAGGATTTCCTTAACGTTTCCTAAAGAGGCCTTTCTGGTTTTGGCGTTTAAATAGGGCGATCGAACTAAAAATGTTGGTGTTGTGGATGCTGAGTACATAATCCATTATGGTCGCCCTACATTGGGAGGCTCAGATGAAAATGAGGTGAGAAAATGTTTGCTGTCTTTGTGGTGCATATTTCCAGTCTGTCTGAGGCTGACTAGTTAATGTGTTGTTTGTATTTTGCAGGAATCATCATCAAAATCTAGTGGAAAGGACCATAGAGTTGATGTAAGTCTTGACATGTAATTTTTTCAGTTGATTAGGATTTTGCTTGGATTAAAATTGTTTGTTGTGTATTTGTGTGCAGGTGAGGAGAGAATCTTACAACGAAATGAAGGTGTTCAAAAGGAAATGGGAACGAGCTGTCAAGGATGATAAATGTTGGATTGATCCATACAAGTAAGTAGCAAAGGTGGTTCTAGTGAGTGAGATGAGACAAGCTTAAGCTAGCTGAGATTAGGAATTAATATCATACACAACTTCACCAACTCAATATTCTTTACAATGCGATTGAGGTGTGAATATTTGTTGCATTCATTTCACATTTAAGTAAGTCCGTGAGGCTGAATTTGTTTTGTTCTTCTTCTGCACAAGACAGTGGAAATGTAAATGTTGGTATAGGGAGGGGGTATGAGGAGCAAGATATCAAACCCCCTCCCCTCTTGTACTTCAGTTCAGTGAGTAGTGACAGTGAGAAGAGCATATCACATTCGTCATCTTTTTGTTCTACTCGAAGGTGTTGTGCACTGAAGTTTTGGTGGTAAAAGTGGTTGGTTAAGTGGTAGTAACTAGTATATTGATGGAGGAGGATAGTAGTTGTAAAGTATGACGTCGGTACATACTAAAGAGGAATGCAAAAAAAGAATGAAGTAGACGCTGCAATTACTAATTGGTTTGGTAACCACAATATGTCTGTCAGCAGTGTGCTCTCTCTCTCTCTCTCTCTCTCTCTCCCCATTAAAAATTCAGACAGGGATGGGGCCTCCTCACATCTATCCGCATGCCTTTTTTCATTCACACATCTCTCTCTCTCCATTTATCTATCTTTTGTAATACTCAATGTGCTTATAATTCAAGTGGTTAAAAGTATTTATCTTTGCACTCGAAGTTTTTAGTTTGATTCCCCCTCATTTCCCCGATATTGCTTGTATAAGAAGAAAAAAGAAAAACAATACACAACTTGAATTTGCTACTTGTCAAACCCATACAAGTTAATAGTAAGCTAAATATATGTCCCACAACCACAACACAATGCAAGCAATCCAAAAACAAAAGGTTTAGTTTAGATTGTAGAATAGGAGGAGGAGGGAGAAAAAACAAGGAAAACGAAAATGGATAGTGTGAAATGATTGGGCTTTAGTGTGCATAGATAGTGTAACATCCATACATAGAGATAGAGGCTTACAGCTCATTTTTAGATAATTATTCAGCACAAGAGGAGAGGACACTTTTGTCAAACCCAACTTCCAAGTCATGCTTAAAAACAACAACTTTACAACTGGTTCACACTTCCAAGTCAAGCAAGCAACCAAGCGTTGTGTTGAGATTGAAAGAGGGCGACGGCCCTTGTGAAATTTCGTTGAGTTGACACAATGACAGAAATGTGAATGGGTTAGGATGGAAGGATTTTGCATAATGTAAAAGTCAAGCAAACATGATAGCAAAATTATTAGGGAAGAACACTTGAAAATGGGATTTTGTTTTTTTAAGAATAAAAGAAAACATGACCGCAGTTAGACCAGTCAGCAATGAGACCAGTAGTACTAGTGACCAGGCCGGCAGGGAAGTCCACAGGAAACTAAGGAAGGGTATGACATGATGAAAACGCAACGCCCACCATTTGATTGTGACTGTCAATTTGTCATATATCATATGGTCCTTTTCTTTTCCTATGAGAGCAGCACATGGGTTGTCTTGTTTTGTTGGCATGTTTTGCATATAGTCATCACAAATTCACGATTCACAATTCACGATTCACAATTCACAATTCACAAACATAGGTCAATGAGATTCCCCAAAACACTCTTTTCAAGACACCAAATCAGATCGATGTGCCTCCAAGCTCACAAGCTCGCCTACTGCATGCCCATTTCTGTCTGTGATGAGAAACAGTTGCATGAAATGGAATAATTTTGCTATTTTCGACCAATGACATGCGTAATAAATTTTTCATAATATAGCATTATTGGCCGAGAATAGCAAAAATGTTATCCCCATCACAACAAAAAATTTCTCCTATATATCATACTCTCATCAACCCCGCAACAAGCTATCATATAACCCAATTTCCACAGAAAACACACAGTTTTGGTCGATTGAGACTTTCACCTCTAACCCTCTCTACAAGGAGAGAGCATATTATTCATAATACAAGGGTTGTTGTATAGAAACCAGAATAATACAAGTAATAAAGTTTGCATTAATAGCCATCCAAGCCACTGTAGCAACTTTACTGGCTAAGGCTTAATTGCCCAACCTCCAGCTACCTTAACATTACTGTTGTCTACAAGCCTCCACCCACATGCATATCCTCATCCACCTACAATTAAAATCAATCCATTTAGGGCTCCTCCACCACTACCAACACTTAGCAATCTCATATAGTTGAGGTAATTCAATCTCTCTCTCTCTCTCTCTCTCTCCGCCAATTAGGGTACCCATTTATCAAATCTTGGAGCCACTCAAATCAATACATAATCTTCTGCAACTTTGGCAGGAAGGGCATAATATGCAACATGTCCTTGTGTTTTACTAAACCCACTTGAAATTCAAGCACTATTAGCCATAGCCATATCCTCCCTTTTGTTTTGGCTGGAAACAGGAAATGTAGCCACTTCAAAAGGAGAAGCATAAACTATTAAGTATCTATCTATTTACCCAATGAAATGCTTGAAATTGCAAACAAATAAACAATAACAGATCATCAAACAATTCACTTTCTTCTAAACATCCAGTGCAAGACCAGCCAGAGTAGAAAGCAGTGCCATTAGATTAGAATTTAGAAGCAGCAAAAACATTAACCAAAACATGTCTACTTCAATATGAACACGGCCCACTATTACAAATTAACAATTAAACATATAACAACAGCAGCACAAACACTAAAATAATAGACAATTTGAATCTTAATCCTTGTCATGAGTGTCACAGCAGCTCTACTGAGCACTTACATTAATTTATTGTTTTGAAAAGTCAATAAAATATCATAAGCCCCAATAGCTCCATTAACAAGGACAATGTTTCCTCAAATACCTCACAAAATTATGCTAATCCTGCTATTCTAGCAATGTGCTATCTCCAGGCATTGCTTATTTCAGCAAAAAAATAATGGAAAATATCCCACTAGAGATTAGCAAAAACTAACCTGGAAATAGCACCCCTCCTCCCCACAACTGATAAAATATAAAATTTCTGAACTTATAAACAAACAAATCAAGAACAGATATTCTTTTTTCATCCAGACTCCCAACAAAATTAAGGTTACCCCAATTAAAACAATATAAACTATAAATTATCAAATATAAAATATAGGGAAAGAGTTAGATATGGCATCCAAAGCAATTACAGGTCTTGGGAGTGAACGAACAGAAGCCAAAGGGCCTGTTGGGAATGTTGCAATTGATGGCATAGCAACAAGGAGACGGCAAGCAAAGTCCTTTGGCACCTCCGCAGCAAGTACACAATGCACAAATCTGAAAGCTCCGCAGCCTCCTTCTGGTCTCATTCATCACCAAAGTCTTGAAATTTTCAGCTCCTACGAGTGGCACCAGCGGCTCCACCTTGTCTTTTTTATCCGTGGCAGCTGCCGCCACCGCCGCAGACCCATTTGCCTCACAAACCAAAAAACAAAGATTTCAATCCACAGCATAGCATAAGCATAACCCAGAAAAAATCATGAGCAGTTTGACAGGAAAAAGTAAAGAGATCTAGGAAAGAAAGATATATAGTGGGTTTTGAAGAGAAACACTCACATGGGTTAAGCTTGCTTCAGTGGTAGTGAGAACAGTAGCCAAAAAGAGCAGGAATAAGAGAGAGAAGGTGACCCCATGAGCAGGCATCATGGTTTCTTGAGATGGGCGTAGTACTTTGGTTTGGAAAAGGTGATGGGAATTTGGAAAGGGTGTGAGCTGTGAATGTGAAGTGGGTCTTGAATGATCTCTCTCTTTTTCTTGAGAGAGAGGCCTTGATTTGGGTTTTGGTGTATCATAAATGTTGAAGCTTTTTAATGGGTTCTGCTTAATTTATTAGGTGGTGTGAAATTCGGAGGATTGCAAAATGGTTGTTGCATATTTTTATGGAGGGTGGGAGAAGGAGATTCAGAAAATGAAGATGGAAGTGAAGTGTGGTTTTGTTTGGGTTTGGGTTTGGAAAAGGGAGGATGATTGCGGTGTGAGTTTGCTCATTTCATTATGCCCTAGTGCAATGGGCATAGAGTCCCCCCCTTAAGCACTAGTGTCTCTGCTGTGTGTCCACACATCTCTTGTAAAGTCGGAAGCTTTCTGCCACGTGGCAGTAAGTAATAATCATAAGATGAGTGTTTTGATTGTGCAATGGTAACATTTTTAAAATTATATTTTCCGTAAGAAGAACGAATTATACAAGTGAAAGTGCCGACGATGGATCACAAGAAAGAATTGTAGCAAAAGATAATGGTGATAGCGATGGAGGAGATAATAATAGCAGGCAGCAAGCAAGCAACGGTGACAAACAATTGGGGAGGGAGGCAGATCTTATACATATTTGTCTTGTGGGTTTGGAAAATGATTTCCATACTTACTTTTTTCTTTTAGTCTTTGGATTTTTGCCTATTTTGCCTTTTCCCTTTGACTAAAAGAAATTATAGTGTCATAGCAACAAGGAAAAGGATCATGCGTGACAAAATATAACCGTCAACACTAATTAGAGAAGTGAAGCAACTTGCAAGCAAAATATATTCAAGCATTAGGCTGAGAAAAGCACAAGCATAGAGAGGAAGGCCATTCCAAACCTGAGGGTGACTGCAGTGAAGATTCACCGGAAAGTGGGAGTGAGGCCATTATAATTTGCAACAAGAATTGATTGACATACGATACCCGCGAAGAGTAAATCACAAAGATCAGAAAAATTGGGATCTTGGACAGACAGAACAGAATGTTCACATTGGGTTTTCCAAATGTGACAATATTTGCAGATTTTTATACAATGAGCAATGTGAAATTCAGAAGGCTGAGCCTCTGTCAGCTGAATGCATTTTCAGGACATAATCAACTTGACATGTATTCTGTAAATTTCCAGCAATTGGAAATCAATTTACAGATTACTCTTGTTTTAACCCCCAAAGATTGTTAATGTAAATGGCTCGTTTTCGAGCAGCTTTCTTTCAGTCCTCTGTGTCAATATTATCATCTCCAGAAGGTATCTGCCTAGGTTCTGACAGTGAAAGTCTCCTGGGATTTGCTGATCCTGCTTCAACTAATCCTTCTGATGATAAATTTAATGAAGTGGTCGCTGACGCTGAACCCAACAAACGCCGGGCTGGGGCATCAGCCGAAGATGATGCATTGGGATTATATGTGAAGATACCCATAGGGTGGTCAAACTTGCAACTCGGACCAAACTTACAGATACCATAACGAGAATAAAAGATGCATAAAGGTTCTCCCTGTTGAAAAATTGTAACAGGTTAAACATGTAACATATCTTCAAATTAGACTATTTATTGAAAGATATAAAACGCACACAGAGACATCTCTATATAACAAGGGGTTATAGCTCAAGTCAAAATCATGAGAAGGAACATTCAAAGCAAGAAAAAAAAGTAAACAAGGAGTAAACCCACCCATTTCCAAAAAAAAAAAAAAAAAAAAAAAAAAAAAAAAAAAAGTAAACACCGGCCGCAAAGGAAGGCCTATTGGACTCAAAACACAGTCTGGAGTAGGAATTAATCTCTCCCTAGGATGATGGAACCTGCAAACTGCACCAAACTTACAATCACCTGTCTTCATGTAAAACTGGCACTCAGGCTGGCCAGGTCTTTCAGGAAATACATTTTCCCTCTGCAATGCATAAAACCCTACAGGTATGGAGCCAGAACGATATGGAGAAAAGGTCCCTTGAGAACCTGAATTTTCCGGTTCACCTTGGCGTGAAGTTCCATAGATTTGACTGTTTCCCACTGGTTGCTGTTGGCTCTCTGGAGATGAAACGGAGCCAATCTGGCCCTGCAAAATTACCATAAAATAAGCATGTTGATACTTCTCAGGGCTCCATAGAGCATGTAAACTCTCAAACTTAAATTTAAACTCAAACTCAAAAGCTGATGCATTAGAGATTTGAAATTGAGTGCAACAAAAGAAATTGCAGGCCATCCCCTCCTGCTTCATTCTCTGGTGCACATAGCATTTTGCACTGAAGGGTATAATAAAGCTTACACTGTATGCGCTCCAACCTGGGACTGATACCACTCCCTGAGGAACAATAAGAGGAGCGTAACTTGATGGAGCTTGCCAGCGTGGACTGGGAATAAAAGATGCTCTTGACCAATTTGTAATTCCTCCCGCATACGACTGCTGACCAGGAGTAGTTGGAGATTGGACAGTAGGATATACAGGAGAGCCACGCAATGAAACCATCATATTAGTAGGTTGTGGATGGTGGTATTTACAAGTGCTTCCGAACTTGCATTGTCCAGTTCGTAAATAATAAGCACATTCAATCTCATTCTGCTAAAAAGAAAGAAAAAAAAGTTAAGAAATGTATAAACTAAGATGCACAGAGACGTCTGCAAATCAGATAGACATTTGCAGGTCTACAATATTCCTCAAACAAAATGAAACAAAGAGATGAAAGTCAAGTCAAGTCACAATGAGCGAGAGGAAAACAGAAAAGCGAACCGGTCGAAGTGGATAGCCTAAGATATTTAAGGCAACTCTTCCAGCAATTCCTGCTTTGTCTCTAGGATGATGAAACTTGCATGTTGCTCCAAACTTGCAAGTTCCTGTCTTCAGGTAGTACTGGAGGGCAGTTCAACAAAGATTATTAGTTTGTCACCAGAACCAAAATTGACAAGAATCACAGCACATTAAGATTTAAAGGAATATTACTATGTCACAAACACCAAACTTTGACAGAGATACATGCCTGACATTCAGGTTGTCCAATTCTTTCTGGGAACTCTCCCTTCATCCTTGCAGTGGCAATAGCCTGGTAAAAAGCAGCAGCTTGTTATATATATAATTAAAAATAACAATTTCATGAAAACATAAAACCTAGCTACAAGAGAAAAAGATTCAATAAAGATACAGTAGCATGAAGTGTACTACCCTTGTGCATTCAAGTATGGTTAAAAGAGTATCACATTAAACCTGAGTTCATGAAATTTTGTCTAAACATGGTTTAACTATACCAGCTTCCGGTTAGGAGGATGATTAAAGCGACATGTTGCTCCAAATCTACAAAGGCCTGTTCTGATGTAATAAGAACAATCTGGCTCTCCGGTACGCTCGGGATAGGACCCAGGTTCCAGTGTTTCACTTGATCTCAAATTCATTTGCCACATTGCATCTGAAAATAATGTATTATGAGTAAGTTCATTACATTGTATCAATACAAACTTATCGAAATGTAAATAACAGGTTCATTTTCAATGAGCCCACATCCTCTGGCTTCTGTTCCTATTTACTTACAGACTTAAAAAAAGACAAGTAAATAAAGAAATTCTGCCTTGAAGCTGCAGTTAAATTCACTGCTTGCAGGCTTAAAAAACAATGCCAAAGCTTATATGTTTGGGAAATTCAGTGACAGAGATTATCTAAAAAGCTTTGAAGGAAGACAGTTCCTGAAAGCCGAATAGCAGAAGATCACATTTCATCTAAATTGGTTTTGTGATGAGGCTCCTCCTTACAATTTTGTACTAAAAGACTTTCCATGTTTGAGTTGTCACGGGATAGCTAAAACGACCATTATTGACAACTCCAAATTCCATATATAGCAGGCTATACAGCACATTATAAAAATACAAAGCACGAAAGCAACAAATTTGCATACCAAAAAAGAAGCAAAATAACCACATTTGAGAAACACAAATAATTAATTAATTAAAAATAAGGTATGGTCTCAAATCAAGAGAACAATGCAAATTCATGCTGCCGGGGATCGAAATTGACTTGGTTAAATAAGATATGAAGCATTGGTCATATCTGAATCGAGTAAAGGAAGGGGCAAAACGGACAATTCAGATGAGAGGAGGCAGCCATCGTGATTGAGAAACAAGGAAACAATGGGAAAACAAGAGAAACACAAACAGAGAAAACAATGACAAGAAGTAAAGACAATGTTGAGGTGCAGATAAAGAGTTTAAAAGGAGACCTTGGGTCAAGGAGGGTGACAGTGACGGAGCGTCGGTCACGGGCGCGGCAGCACGAGACATGGGAATTCCGGCATCGAAGTCCATGAGATGGCTGCTCCAGACGGCGGTCAGCCAGTCAGTCAGTCAGTCAGTGAGTCACAACCACCACCACCACGTCGTCACTCTAGCAAAGCCGACCGGAATTCCCATTCATTCACTCACCCTCCCCCCACCTACCTGTCGTCGTCACTCTAGCCAAATCCCCTCAACGATCAGACACTATCCCTCTCTCTGTCTCTCTATCTAAACCAGACAAAACCCGAGCAACCAAGACCACCAAACAAAAACAGAGCCAAATTAACAAGAATAACAGTTTCTAGAGAGAGAAAACTTTTAGGAAGGGAGAGAGAAAGTTGTTTTAGGAGAGTCTGATTTGATGATGAGAGAGAGAGACAGAGAGAAAGAGAAAGAAAGAAGAACCAGAAGAGAGAGAGCGGTGTGTTCTCCTCTCCACAAACGAGGAGAGGAATAAAAACCAACCATCTCTCAACCAGACAGCTTTTTCACCCGCGTTTTGGAAATAAACGGACCAACCCCACATTCTTCCCACCCCGCGACTGCCTCCTCTGCTATACTCGCTCCCTCTAAGCCACGCGTGCTCCTCCTCCTCACCTTTTCGCCTTGCTTATTGCTACTTCAGCTTTTATGTTCGACGTCAATGCCTAAACTAATTTTTTATTCGACACGTGGTCGACTTACGCAGCGAGTAGGTCCCGCTTCACGGGCTGCGAATATGCGCTACACCAAACCGGATACCAGAAACTCGGACCGCTTCTTATAACCTCTTTTACTATTTCCAGCTTATTTCTTTTCATTTTCCAGTATCTGCTCCCTCTCTCAAATTTCGTTTATTAATTAATCTTTCATTTATGTGCTTTTATTTTTATTTTTATAAATAATCGTCATCTTACTAGTAATCAGTATATATTATTATTAATGGGGTGGTTTTACTTTTGTTGGAAATATAATAAAAGGACGCCACATATTCAATTCTAAACATATAATATATTAAGCAGGACTTGTTGAAATTTTACTATTTTAATAAATAAAAAAACTGGATATAAATAGTCAATAGCATTGATCCATAGTCGATGCATGAGTTTTGATTGGGCAGGTCCCTCCCCTTGATATTTTTATGCCACGAAGAAACAAAGCTTTACCTGAGCGCTCCCGTTGGAGCTTCTGGTTTTCCACCTCATTTCCTGCTTCAAAATCAAAACCGAGTGACATCGCAATGGAAACAGAAAAACCAAAAAAGAAAGGGTAACCGGTCTTTACTATAGTTTTCCAACGTTTAAAAAAAGGGAGAATCAAAGGAACCTATTACTAGTATAGTGATTTGGAATAATTGCTCTTCCATGTAAGGTTTTGGGTTCGAGTCCTAACACCCGTGTAGTATATTATCGTCCATCTCAATAAGAATAGTCCTCAAAAGAAAAACCAAAAAAGGGAAATCAGAATAATTGAGGTGACATTGGCAAACTTGAAAAATAACTTTTTTATATCTGTAGATGGCAGTGCTGTGCAAAGCAAGATGTCAAATTTTCCCACTTTTATGCACGCAATGGAGTAAATTACTTTTTGAGTGTGGTTCTAATTTGTTTCTTGTAGTGCGAAATTGTACACCTTTAAATTTGCATTATTGGTTTAAAGAATGATACTTACGTCATGCTGACGAATAAATTATATAGATAGAACTGAAGTTTAGTACATAATAAAATAGATGCACATGTCTGTATGACGTGGTGATGCCTAAATATAATAATATGGTGGATTGGGAGAAGTAAAAGTTGGGGTGAAAATAGAAAGAAGATTTGGTGGCAGGGGGAAGAGCAAGGGCAAGTACAAGGGCAACACGAGGAACTTGTTGGGGGGTATGAAGGCGTTTGAAGCGGGTGGTGCTTTCTTTGCTTTGATGATTTAAAAGTGGCGGAAGCTCGCACGCATTGTCCTCACCTCAACGTTGATTGGTTGGAAGGGGAAGGGGTTGGAAGGGGTTGGGTTGGGTTGGGTTTGGGCCCTCACCGCCCTTTCCTTTTTATCTCTCTCGCATCGCATACGTACGTACGCATACGCATACGCATCCGCATCTTTTATTTAATCTTTTGGATTTTGTCCTGTGGGGGGCATTTCTGACTCAGGGGGACAAAAGGAGAGGATTAGAGCTCTACATGTGGACGATTTCCATTTGTCCTTTCACCTTTGTTTTTTCTATGCAGGTGCAGCAAACAATAACCCCTTCTACAGCTTCTATTCTACCAATTTGGTTGGCTCTATACCCTATTACCCTATAGATGCTGCCTAAATTACCAAGTGGCCCACTTAATTCATCCATTATTTCACTTCCAATCCTAAACAACATGTCTTTCTAGTTGTTTGACATATGTCCACTCACTTAACCCTAGAACTAACACCGTTAACTTACATAATTTCAAAAACAAAAAACAGGCACACACCACAACAGCAGCCAACCCTTCGTGACCTCCTCATCCCCTTCCCTTCCCAGACCTCCTTCCTCGGCCACAACCCCACCACACCAAACCTCTCCTATACCCACCTATTCTCATCCTTAAATTTCCCTCGCAACCCCAACTCCTTCAAGACTCTTCAATTCATTCGATAAAATTGATTACTGATATGCATGAATACCAGAAATCCCATTGAAAAACCATATTGAAACCCTGAAATCAATTATGAAACCCAAATTTGAGGGGATATCAGGGAGAGAAGGAGGTGGTGATGGTGGTGGGAGGAGATGGACAGCGGGTCGGGGGTTGGGTGTGGCTCTCAAGTGATGGTTGGCCGACGATGAGGAGGAGAGGGGCTACCACCGGTCAGGTGTGGTGGCTGTCGGGGTTGGGTGCGCGGGCTGAATCGATTTTGGTGGCTGCTGATCGATTTATCTTTCATTTTTAGTTATTATTATTATTTTTTAAATGAAAGTTAACATTGTTATTGTTGGGGTTAAAAGGGTGGACATATGTCAAAAAGTTCCACTAAGGACACAAGGGAACATGGTATTTGGGAACAGCAGATCCATATTTTTTTTCTAACCTTCTTTTTTGGATCTTCTCTATTCTTCTTATAATAAGTGTCACTTTTCTTACACTTAAAAATAATGTTATTAATACATCAAACAAGCTAGTTTTTGTTTTCCAAATTCTCCCTTATTAAAAGTATTAGCTTTTATGTTTTTTTTTCAATTGCTCCAAATATTTTTACAACTTCCTTACTACCTTATAAAAATTTAATAAGAAAAATCAGTTTTTTAATTTATAAAAAAGTATGTTTTGTGATATTGTTGTCGTGAAAATGATATCATCTTTCTTTTGTGAAAAAAAAACTCAGGTTTGTTCTTATTTATAATTTTTTTAACAAGATGGTAAGAAAAATTGTAAAAAAAAACTAGCTTGTGAAAAAACAATTAATAAATTTAATACGGGAAACTTGGAAAACAAAAACTAACTTATGTGATACATTAACAACATTGTTTTGAGTGTAAAGAAATTGACACTTGTCATAAGGAGAATAGATAATGTCCAAAATATAATGTTAAAGAGAATGTTACTAGCATTTTCGTTTAAGATTTCGAATTTTATTTTATTGATATAGTGATACTTTTCTTCTCAATATTTAAAGATATTCCAAGTTTAATTTATCTCATTGATTAAAAGCTTATTTATTGTATTGTCTAATTTTTTAAAAATTTGAGAAATAGTATGAGCCTTTGTAGAATTTCCTATCATAAAAGGTTTAAGTTACCATATGCTTCTTACACACATGCTTTGTGTGTGTTTGACATGTGTAAGAATCCATTAAACGTTACTTGATTGCTTGCAAGAGGATTGTGTGTTTTAGATCTAAGCTCCATCAATTACTTGATTCCACTGTTCAAATCGAGAATACAACAAATGTGACCAAGCACATGCTTTATCTACAACTTCAACCAAGCCATTTCACCTAAGTGAAACTCTTGAATATCAAGCAATGAATGTCTAAACTATGATCAACTTCAAGTTATAGTCAGTGGATCCCAACTTTGAAACTCATCCTTCAAGCAACAACTCGAAATTAGGAAACAAATACCATAAATTGTAATTAGCAATTTGGTTGGTTTTCACTATCAAAACCATTTTAAAACTGAAACAAACCGCATTGCTTCAATTTGGTCGCCGCGATTTTCATAGTTTATAATTTACAAATTTGCTATAAACTCAATCCAATCGTTTTTCGTGTTTTTTTTTTTTTTTTTTTTTTTTTTTTTTTTTTTTTTTTTTTGTCATCTTTCATTGTATAAAAGGAAGGAAATGAGTTATTTGACGCGTATACATTTTTATTTTTATTTTATTGTTTTTGGTTTTCTCTGTAGTTGTTACTTCACTTGGGTCAAACCTTTTCCCTTTCACAGTTTCAGACTCGTCTCTCCACCATTTTAATATGTGAACCGTTCATACCCCACCTTCTAGAGATCTTCGCTGATTAGCAAAGATCTCTCCCTCTGTCTGTCTCTCAGATCTCACCAATTTCCATAGGCTTTGCGTAGGATCTTAGTAAGGACTAAGCTAGGAGGAGACTCTTTTTTGGATTCAGATCCACTTTCCCGAGAAAATTCCCCCTTAACTGTTCTCTCTGATTCCGTCGTCTACCTATCAGAGTTTCAGACCTTCTAATTCCTGCCGTCATGGGTTTTCGCTCAATTCCTAGAACATTTGCGTATGCTCTCGCCCTCACTGTGCTACTCATCTTTACCGTTTCTGCTCAGGTAGCTCTCTCTCTCTCTCTCTCTCTCTCTATATGAATATTGCGTGTGTTTATATATATGTGATTTAATTGTGATAATTTGTTCGATGATTAGGAGTCTGGGGTTGAAGCTGAGAGGGGAGACTCTAGTGGATCCAAAGATCTCGGTCGTCGTAGCAAGGTTTGACGACAATCATCTCTCTTTCTCATTTTACAATCTGTTTGGTTGCTGAGAAAATTTAGGAGAAATGAAGACAAAGAAACGTTTTCTAACAACCACTAATCTGATGCATCATCTTTTTCTTATCTGATTGTGTGTAAGTTACAATGTGATGCTTCATCAACTGGTTAGAGTGTGAGTTGGTAGCTTGTATATCATTCAATTGTATTTTTCATCGAATTAGGTAGTATTGTGTAAAATAAGTTTATTATTTGATTTGATTTATAGTCTGACGATTCAGAAATTTGGAAACAGCAATTTTGAAGTGGAGCTTTATTTGTAGGTCTGAAATTCAGTCGCAATTAAATTGATTTTGGTGCTATTATGCACAAAAAAAGTATTTGGTTTAAATGTAAGATTTAGTACCTTGTTCTTTGATTTTACTTGTCGATATTTATATATATTAATTTGTTTGTACAGATTAATTTGGGCTTTCTTGAAGTTAATGCTCTTGGACGCAAGAATGAGGTTGATGCACTTGCTCTTGGTCTCAATGTGGACTCTGGTCTTGGAATTTTCGATGCCTTTATAGCAAGCTTGTCAATGATACTAGTCAGTGAGGTTTGTGCACAAAATTCCTGGCATTGTTTACACCAATTCTACTTTGAAGCTTATGGTCGATTACTAGAGATTCTTGCATATTTTTTCAGTTAGTAATTAGTGATCCCATAAAAAAAAAAAGGAATAAACTTGAAAACTTGAAACCAAGTCAAGTGTTTTGATAGGTTTTGACTCTGTTTACAAGGCAGAGACATATTGATTAAACTAATTTTCTTCTAATTGACAAAAATGCTACCAGATCGGAGATGAAACATTTATAATAGCAGCTCTTATGGCAATGCGTCATCCCAGGTCAATTGTCCTATCTGGTGCACTCACTGCCTTGGTTATAATGACGGTAAGTTATCTAATTTTCTGATTCTATTATAGCATAAGTATAATAACATTTTCCCTTTAACATCTCTGCTTTATTTTTGCGGTTCTAATATGCAATCTGTTTGCATGGTCTTGTAATGGAATGGTTCAGAAACTGCGAAGTGCCATTTCTTATTGTGGATGTAATCAAGATTTAAGTTGTTGTACGTGTCAATTAGGTACTTTCCACTGGACTTGGTAGGATTGTGCCAAACTTGATATCAAGGAAGCATACAAATAGTGCAGCTACAGGTAAATAATTTTTTTTTCTTCGGGTACTTGACCACTAAGATATTTCTGAGAATTTGATTTCCATAATTTTTTGGGCAACAGATGCATGGCCTTGCTTCAAGGTGTTTTTTCCCTTCTCTTTATTTGTCTCTCTGATGTGTACATTTTTTAATAGATTTGTTGCAACTGTTCTTTAAGATTCCCTGTTTATTTAACAGCCGTGATTCTTGTAATTTTGTATTGGTCACTCTTGTATTTTGTCTAGTATTTAAGGCTTCATTTTCTTCTTTATGTTTTTCCTATGGTGGCTTATGAAATTCTACGGTTTTTGTTGATAGTACCTCAAGTATTGTAATTCTATATTTTTTTTTGCAGTTCTTTATTTATTTTTGGGCTGCGTTTACTTTACATTGCTTGGAGATCAGATCCAAAATCTTCCCAGAAGAAAGAAATGGAAGAAGTAAGTTTTTTTTATTTTAAAAAATAACAATTTCATATTCTGTCAGAGTTTTTGACTCGTTTATGATATGTTTGCACATTATTAGCCTTTTCCTGATTTGTGTTAATATATAATCTATAGAGAGACAGATGGTAAACTAACAAACAATGTTTGATGCCTGCATTAGTAATGAAATTGGGTGAATTGTCGTCTTATCTTTTGAACTTATTAGTGTAATTGGTTTTTGGTTGGGTTAACCATGTAGGTATCAGATATACTTATTCTCCTTCACCTCTGTTATTCCTGCTGAGGAATGTGAAAGCACTAGGTGTTTAGGAGAAGTTGACTTCATCTCTTAGAATTCATATTTGTTGTTCTATATTGATTGCCAATATTATTCCTGATGTCTGATAACTTTTTGAATGATGGGCCAATAGCATATATGTGCTTTCAACTTGAATGTTGTCCCTCGATTAGTCTAATTTGGTGTTTTAATTGTTTAAATCTGGTTGACACCCAATTTATCCAGGTAGAAGAGAAACTTGAGTCTGGACAGGGGAAGACAACCTTCCGCCGTTTCTTTTCCAGATTTTGTACACCAATCTTTTTGGAGGTATGACTGTTGCATTGTATTTATTTTAATGATTTGGTTTCTTTTCTTTTTGTTAATTATAGATTTAGTCAGGACCTTTACTTGTAGCACCTATAACCTATACATGCTGCATGCACATCATGCTTGTAGTTTTAGCAAATATGATCCATATCTTATTCTATAGCTAGTCATATTGAGAATAAACTCCTACAACTTAGAACTTTTAGCTGTACTTTTGAAGTCTTGTGATATAACCTCCATAACTAATTTATTCTGTTTGCTGTTGCAGTCATTCATTCTAACGTTTTTAGCTGAGTGGGGAGATCGTAGCCAAATAGCGACAATTGCTGTAAGAGAAAACATTCCTCTCTCCCCTGTTGTCATAGTTCATGTTATATTTTGTGACTTTTTCTGCGGGAATGAGATGAATTTATTTGTTGCTTCCTTTTGACCTCGCAGCTGGCAACCCACAAGAATGCACTCGGAGTAGCGGTAGGTGCGACACTAGGGCACACCATCTGCACGTCTGTGGCTGTGGTGGGAGGGAGCATGCTGGCATCCAAAATCTCCCAACGCACTGTTGCTACAGTTGGAGGCTTGCTATTTCTATGCTTCTCCGTATCATCGTATTTTTATCCTCCTCTATAAGAGTGAACTGTATGATATACTCTAGGCTAACCTGATTCTTTAAGGGCTTTCAAATGCTCTACACATTTTGTTTTTGCGCTTTCTGCTTCCTTTTTCATTTTTTTCTTCTTCTTGGGAATCCTTGACATAGTAGAGTATGATACTCGTTTATAACAGATCATTCTTATTCGTTTGTAATATGTAGTATATGGAGATATTGATTGCTTTCCTCCCCACTCCACTTGCATTGTAGCCTTTTGAAAAGAAACAAGAAAGTTTGTGAAATCATTTATATCGACCCATTGTTATGCCAAATGCATACTACCAAGGCAAAAGAATACCTAGAATGAGTTTAATGTTACCATTCAATTTTTTTTTATCCCCTTACCATTCAATTAGCGAACAATGGAGCGGGTTTAATTCATTTGGCAGAAAGAGAGTGAGTTCATTCATTCATGAGGTTTTGTGAGATTGATTTCTTCGATCAATTTTTACACTAACCTAAGTCGTTAGCTTGCGGCGGGAACAACCGACGATGGCCAATTGACACTGGCATTATTAATGCAATTGAGAATTCAGATACCTTTGCTTCTGTTTCGTGTCCTACCTGCCAAATAGCCAAAACCCTCAACTTTCATCATTCATTTCCCAAGCTGACCTCATAGCATGTCAAACTCATCGTTCCATCGGAATTAGGAGCTAAAATGAGATGGACTTGTCTCAACACCAAATACATCAGCTCCAGTTCAGTTTTGAAGCCCACTTATGTTACAAACACCAACCACCATTTTGAGTATCAGAGATTCCAACACTACGGGTCGTACCAATCTCGTGCGGTGGGTGATTTGCCAAACGAATCACTGCCTGATACCCTTCACGCCAAATCGGTCAAGAATGGTTCTTTGGACAATTTGGATGTCAGGAATTATGTCACCAGCTTGTATGTGAAATCTAATAAGTTGGACTATGCACACAAGCTGTTTGGCGAAAGCCCCGACAGGGATGTCCGGTCCTGGACTATACTCATATCCGGGTTTGCTCGAATTGGCTATTGTAGAACGGTGTTGGAACTTTTTAAACAGATGCAAATTGAGCGTGTTTGTCCGAACCAATTTACACTATCTAGTGTTTTAAAGAGTTGTTCTAGTTTAAGCGATTTTCGCATGGGTAAGGTGATTCATGGATGGATTTTAAGCAATGGGATTGACTTGGATGTGGTATTAGAGAACTCTATCCTTGATGTTTATGTAAAATGTGGCGCCTTTGATTACGCAGAAAAGTTTTTTGAAACTATGAAAGAGAGAGACACAGTTACTTGGAATGTAATGATGGGTGCATATATGCATACTGGGGATATGGAGAAGGCTCTTGATTTGTTCAGAAGACTGCCCTTCAAAGACGTTGCTAGCTGGAATACAATCATATATGGGCTAATGCGAAATGGGCATGAAACATATGCATTGGAGCTACTTTCTGAGATGGTGGAAATTGGACCTCCATTTGACAAAGTCACTTTCTCAGTAGCTCTGGTTTTGGCTTCATCTTTATATGTTCTTGAACTGGGGAGACAAATTCATGGCCGCGTTCTAAGGTTTGGTATTCAAAATGATGGATTTCTTCGGACTTCATTAATAGATATGTATTCCAAATGTGGGAAAATGGAAAAGGCGTCACTCGTATTCAAAACATTGCCTTTGAGAACAAATTCTAAGTTTACTTGTCATGAGACAAAGACAGAGGTTGTATCATGGAGTTCAATGGTTTCTGGGTATGTTCGTAATGGTGAGTACGAATATGCTTTGCTAACTTTTTGTTCTATGGTTCGTGAACAGATTATGGTCGATAGATTCTCTGTGACAAGTATTGTTTCTGCATGTGCTAACGTTGGGATTTTGCTTCTCGGTCAACACATCCATGCACACATTCAGAAAATTGGGTACAAAACAGATGTTCACTTAGGTTCCTCATACATTGATATGTATGCTAAATGCGGGAGCCTAAATGATGCTTGGATGATTTTTAAACAGACTTGTGATCTTAATGTTGTGCTGTGGACTTCAATGATTTCCGCTTTAGCTTTACATGGGCAAGGGAAGGAGGCTGTTCGGCTTTTTAAACTCATGATACAAGAGGGAATTAAGCCGAATGAGGTTTCTTTCGTGGTGGTTTTAAATGCATGCAGCCATGCCGGGCTTCTTGAAGAAGGCTGCAAATATTTCAGCTTGATGAAAGAAGTTTATGGCATCAAGCCCGGAGCTGAGCACTTCACTTGTATGGTTGATCTTTATGGCCGAGCAGGTCGCTTGGATGAGATTAAAGAGTTCATTCATAAGAATGGTATCTCTCAGTTGAGTTCAGTATGGAAGTCATTTCTATCTTCTTGCCGACTTCACAAAAATTTCGAGCTGGGAAAGTGGGTTTCTGAAAGACTACTTCAACTCGAACCGTTTGATGAGGGATCTTATGTTTTGTTGTCGAACATGTGTGCTGCGAATCATAGATGGGAAGAAGCGGCTGGTATGAGAAGATTGATGCAACAAAGAGGAATTAACAAAGTGGCTGGTCAATCTTGGATCCAAGAGAAGAATCAAGTCCACTCTTTCGTCATGGGTGATAGGTCCCATCCACATTCCACAGAGATATATTCGTATTTGGATGAGCTGATCGGAAGACTGAAGGAAATTGGGTATTCATTAGACGTGAAAATGGTGATGCAGGACGTTGAAGAAGAACAAGGAGAAGTACTTCTTGGTTATCACAGCGAAAAGCTTGCAATTGCCTACGGCATCATGAGCACAACTTCTGGGATACCAATTCGGATAATGAAGAACCTGAGAGTGTGTACTGATTGTCATAACTTTATTAAATATACTTCTCAGCTTTTAGATAGGGAAATAATTGTGAGAGATCTTCATCGGTTCCATCATTTTAAACATGGTCTGTGCTCCTGTGGAGATTACTGGTAAGGTTCTAATATATATATATATATATATTTTTTGTGCAAGTCATTCTACTGATGCTCTGGGTCATTTTCCATAATCGCCAAGCAAGTTTAAAAGAAATATTTTTCTTTTTGTCACTGAAAATAGAATGGTGATCAAGTAGTATCATCTTGAAGGAGCCTGTTATGAACAAGCTCGAGTCAGCCTCAGAGTTTGTTGATTGCTGTTCATGTTGCAACCACAGGCAGAGGGACATAAGGTATAAGGGTAATTTATCCCTTTACGGTAGGTGACACAACACAACTGTAGCTTTCTTCACTCAACGACTCTGTTTTTCTATTCTTCCAATCAATCATATATGCCCTGCTTCTAAGAAATACCGCAATTGGTCTTCTTCCTAGCTCCTAGCCATGAGATTGATTGTAACCAAGAAAGATGGCTTCGTATGCACTACTTGAAGGTAGAGTCCAAATTAAGTAAAGGAAAGAAAAGAAAAGAAAAGAAAAGAAAGGGAGAGAGATGTGGAAATTGGTGGCTTATTGTATAAGAGAGGTAAGTGAAGTGGAGAACCCGACCCACTTTTAGAATCTTCAATAGAAAAGTGGTTTATGTTATGTCATTGTTTCTACTCTACTTGTGTTTATAATACATCATATATATACGTGTGTGTGGGTTGGGAATGGGTTGTTTAGGTTAAACTTGTCAACCGAAACCTTATTAATGTTTATTTGACGTCCAAACATAGCCATCACTTGGAGTTTTGCAAACACTAATTTGTTTATACCTCCATCTCTACCAAACAGACTTGCATATGTAACTTCACTTTTTTATACGTAAAATTATTGAAACTTGATAACAAAGCCAACCTGCATACTATTAGAACAAGCCATTCCCACTCCGAACGTTGCACTTCCCCAACCACCCGTTCTCCACATTGCTCTCTCTCTCTCTCTCTCTCTCTCTCTCTCTCTCTCTCTCTCTCTCTCTCTGTTTAATGGAAATATGAGAGAACGAATGGAAAGACTGGTTCTTCTTCCTTTCACATTTGGTTGTGTTTCTGAGTCTAGCGTTGCTGTTGGTGTACAGCCGCCCAGAAGATCAAAATCAGACACAATTCCATCTCCAATAAGTCTGTCTCAAACTCTCTCTTTCTCTCTCTCTCTCTCTCTCTCTCTCTCTCTCTCTCTCTCTCACACACACACACACACACACACACACATATAACTCACACATCCAGTGTCTCTCTCTAATCAGCTAGCTTATCTGTTTTTCTTTTATCAATGGTCTGGTGAAGGAACTAAAGAAGTAGGAGATGAAGAAGAGGAAGAAGATAGCTTATCAGGTGAAAGCACGAAGAACTCATTTAGATCCTTGTCCCTTCCAAAACCAAACATATCTACCAGTGGTATTCACAGGCTCTTCAAGGGTTTCAAGAATATCTCTCAGATATTTGGTAAGTCTCTCAACAAATGGGTGATTTGATTTGGCAATTATCATTTGCTTGTTAATTATCTCTACTTACTGCTCTCGTGCCCATTTCATTTCCTTGATAGTGTACAAGGATGATGATATGGAAGAAGTAATGGAAATGGATATGGAAATAGGGGGTCCCACAGATGTGAAGCATGTGACACACATAGGCTGGGATGGTTCTGCTTCTGCTGCATCTGCAACGACTGACCCCATTAGGGGATGGGATAATCTCATATCTCCTGATCTGCTCTCTGTTTCCCCTGTTTCTTGGAGCCAATTTGAGCTCTCTATGCCTTCCCAAGCTGATGTTGCAGTTCCTCTTGTTAACGGCTCTTCCTCTTAAATCGTCTAAAAGAGATTGGTGGACTGAGGATGTGATTATATTTAAGACTATAAATCAATGTCATTGCCAAATCCAAATCGGAATTCTATATCTCCCCCCTGTACTTACATTTCCATTATGGTAGGCAGTACGTACATTTCCATTATGGTTTTCTGAAGCTTTTTAATGGTGTAATGAGTGATGATGACTACTATGTATGGCTTTGTAATTATATGGCATCTCATACACACTATATATATATATACACTTTGCACCTAATACAATTATCAATTTTATAAATACATGCAATCGACTTTAAATTTGTAATGATCACCAACAGAGCTTCCCAGATTGATAATTATCTATTGCCATTCAAATAGATAATTTATCTTAGCAGACAAGTAATTAAAATGGCAAGTTGAAGACGAGTGAGTAGTTGTGAGCGAGAGAGAGAAAGTGGTAAACATAAAGAATATAGATAGATCTTCACAAACAATATAGCATACATCATTCATTACATGAGTCATTACAGTTTGAAGCAAATAAAATAAGCAAACCTACTTGACGTAGTAAGGAAGGTTTACAACATAGAGGAGGAAGTAGGCCCAAGTAACACCTGAAATGCCTCCGAAGAAGAAGCCGCCGGTGAATTTGGCCCATCCCTCGGCGGTTTGAAGCTGGTCGGGCTCCTTTTTCCGGCCAGTTAGAGTCAAAGCAGGAGCTGTGGATGGGTCTCCTTCCTTGAAGGATGAAATTCCATAGATTGTCAAGCAAAGGCTCAATATGACCACAAGACCCGCAGCAGCCAAGGAGCCAGCTCCCCCAGCATAGGGTGTGTTCCTCAATGGACCAGCCTTGACGAATGGGCCCACCAGCAAGAACCCATGAGCCAGCCCCACCTCAATACCCCTGAGAAGAGGGCTCACAGCAGTCCTGTAGGCTGGGAGGTTGGACAAGTACCAGGCAATCAATGGGCTAGATGTCACTGGAGTCTCGAGGCTTCCAATGAAGGGATCACCATTGATGGGCTGAATCACTTGGAAAGTTGGCTGCAAGTGCAACACATAATATCATGTTCAAATGGCAATGCATACACATCAAAGTTGAAAATGATGTATAAGAAGAAGAAGAAGAAGAAGTAAAGTATTATTTACAATTACAAAGTGTAAAGAAGATAAAGAAGAAAGAAGTAAATTACTTTGTCAGATTGGACGGCCTTGATGGTGAAGGAAGAGAGTCTTTTAGAAGGCAAGAGGCTTAGGGGAGAGGCAGAGAGGCCTTTGGGTGAAACCAAAGCAGCTCTAGTGATTGGGGAGGTGAAGTTGGATTTGAGCTGGCTGGCCATTGGTGAAGCAGAGGCCATGACTTTGGTTTGGTCCAAAGACAAGCAAATATTGGTGGGTAGGAGTGGCAGAGCAGAGCAGAGAGAGTGAACAAGTGTAATATTTTGAGTTTTGCAAATTGCATCGGCAGGCAGGCAAGCGTCAAGGATGCTGTCTTGTGGTGCTCAGAGAACCCTCTGATTCCATTGGATGAGGTGGAACTAAAACCTTATCCCTTTATCCAACTAAACTAATCTCTTCATTTTATTTGTATGTGGTTGGTCATGACTCATGAAAATGGGTTGCTTACTTTGCTGGGTTTGGTTGGGCTGCCCCAATGCCATTCTTTGGTCCTTGGTTTCAGTTGGTTTTGAATGATGGAATTTGGGCTTGACCCACAGAAGAGATGATAGTTCTGAGAAGCTTCCCTGGCTGAACATCACCGCCTATTTATTTGGTTATTCTTTTCTTTGGATAAGAACCTTTTGACCTTTTGAAAAAAGAGACCAATTCCAACCGACGTAGTTGAATCATTGAATGTGAGTTGACAAGTCATATGTAGATGTCAGACCAAAAAAGTCATATGTAGACTTGTAGACTTGTAGTGTAGGATGGGTTCAATTCAAAACTTTGAACCAAACCCAATGAATCTCAAACAAGACACAAAATATTAATAGACTGATTCCCAAGCCAACCAAATTCACATATCAATGTTATAATCGTGGTCATAATTTAATAAAAATCATAACAAACAATTGTTGTAAGTAACCAAAACCCTCACAAAATTGCGGGTTTACTAAAAACAACAAAACAACAAGGAAAACAGAAAAAAATGAGCAAGAGAAAAAACGTACAAAATGTTTATTTGTATTTATAAATAATGAGGGGACAAGTCCACAAGAACCTCGGACGGACACCCCCAATCCCAAAACAACCCAAATCAAAGTTTCGCGTTTCACGTTTCCCTTCTCCTCCTTTTGATTTTTACACCCCTGAAAACAGAAAACATAAGAAAAGAACCCGAAACCTGAGAAACCCCCGCCCCCTCCAACGGCGTCCTTCTTCTCTCCTAGTCTCCCTCCTTCCCCACCTAAACCAAACCATCAACTCCTCCTCTTCTCTTGTTCGTGTTACTATTAGCAAACCGCTTTACGCTGCATTCTCTATTCTCTGCTTCTGCCTCTATGTCTGCATATATACAACCCCCACTACCAGAAGAGAGAGGAACAAAGAGAGGGATGGACGAACAGAAGAAGCGCAACTTGAACAACGACCACGACGACGTTTTGGAGCCTCCGACCAATTTCTCCATGGTCGAGGACGGCATTTTCAGATCTGGTTTCCCGCAACCATCCAATTTTCCTTTCCTCCAATCCCTTAATCTCCGATCCATCATGTAAGTCTTCATTTTTACACACGCACACACACAATGCATGTATGTATCTATGACTATGTGCGTGTGGTTGGGTGAAGGCCGCGTTGTGAGGTTTTTGGTAGCTGAGAAAGTCAGGGAAAATACTATAGAATGACGTGAGAAAGGAAGGAAAAGATAAGACAAGAAATCTTTTTCAATCTTTATGTCTAAGTTTCAGTGTGAACTAAGTATTGTTGCATTGAAGAATCTGATTAGCGTTCGTAATTCTTTTCAAGAATTTGTTTGATTGCTTCGGTTAAGAAATTGAGGGAAAGAAGAGCAAGAAACTAATTCAGAGTAGCTTCATCTTCACTTCTCAAATCGAAAGAAAAGTATCGTGAATTTCCTGGCAACTAAACAGAACATAATAAATTGGTTTATTTGCTTTAATCAGAATGTGGCGTTTATTGTGATTTATTTTGGGATTTGGAGCAGATATTTGTGTCCTGAGCCTTACCCAGAGGAGAATTTGGAGTTTCTTCGCTCTCAGAATATTCAGCTCCTCCAATTTGGAATTGAGGGGAAGACGGTAATATTCTCTCTCTATGCTTTTCTTTGCTAAAATTTTTCAGTTTACATCTTCTTGTGAGATCCATATGTTCTGTTTACTTGCTATTAGTATATGCTTAATTGCATGCATGTGCACATCCGTGCTGGTAAATGTCTGAAATGCAGTTTTACACGTTCATTGAAATGGGGAACATTATGCTTGGCCATGACATTTGATGGAATATGAGCTATGTATAATGTGTTGATAGGTTTATGACCATTTGTATATGCAGGAGCCTTCTGTATCTATTCTTAAGGATACCATCTTGGAGGCTCTGAAAGTCTTGATTGGTACTGGACTACTATGACAGTTCTGCCTTTAATTTTAACGTTAGCTTGTATTTCTTAGTTTCTAACATGAAAACTTTTGTGTTTCTAGATGTGAGAAATCATCCAGTTTTAATCCATTGCAAGCGTGGAAAGGTAAATTTTTTAAGCTCTTTTTAATATTCTCAGCCATTCATATGTTTTGTTTTACTGCTACCTAGCCAGTCTGTTGGTAACATTATCATCGAACTAATGCCATTCATATCATATGTCGTTTTATTTTTTTCAATAAACAAAATGCTGTCATGATTGCAAATCATGTTTCTTCATCAGTCATTTCAGCATCCGTTTCATTGTTCAATGAATCAAAAGAAATTTTTCAAGGAACATAATTTAGAGTACCTTACTGGGCAATATGGTTTGAGATTTTATTTTCTAGAATGATTTGGATTTTCTTTATGCAAACAATGTAAGCATTTACTTCTGATCATTGACCATTGTCGTCTTTTAAAGATTAGTCTCTATCATTTCCTGAAACGGGTAGGGGTAGGGCTCCGCTGCTTAGCATGCTGAAGTTCAGCTAACTGAATGTCATACGTACTATTTGATGCATTTGTTGACAGGGAGAGATCATTATTTGAAGACTTTCTCTTTTCTTAGCGGGTAGTTTCTCTGTGTTTCTAGGTTTTAGCCAGGAGTCGTTTTTGAATGGGCGGAAAACACTAACTTTCTGCATAATTTAACAACTTCGTATAACAACACATAACATATTCGTAGTAGTATCATATTAACGCTTAGATTTTGGATTATGGGAGTTCTCACCTTCTGTTTGTAATTTTGGTTTTACAGCATCGGACGGGCTGCCTTGTTGGTTGTCTTCGAAAATTTCAGAATTGGTGTTTGTCTTCTGTGTTTGAGGAGTACCAGCGATTTGCTGGCGTGAAATCTAGGGCAACAGATTTGAGGTTTTTAGAAGGATTTGACACATTGCTCCTGAGGCAGTGCCTTTACAGCATTATCTACCAGTATCAAGGTTATGGTTCCAACAAGAGGCGGTTGTTATACAGAGAAGACAATTTACAGAAGCCGCAAACCATGAAAGTTTAACATATGGCTTGGAGGGCCCTTCTCTTTTTCCTTTTCTTTCTGGCTTTGCTATTAGTCACTCACTTAGACCCCTGTTTCTGTTTGTGGCGTAAAATATCCGCCCACAGTTATTCCTTCTCTCCCCCCTCCTCTCAAAATCCTTTCACACAGAGCTTCTGGTAAAAAAATCCATTCAACACTTTCTTCTTTTTCGTCTTCCATGGTATCTCCATTATTTGTTTGGGAAATATGGTGGCAATTGGTCCAGTCCAGTGCAGACTACAGACCAATTTTTCTGTGCAGTTTCGTAATGCTCTGTCTGTAGTACAACAGTTTTAGGTTATTCTCTTTTCTCTCTGTTGATAAAGACGGTATCTTTGATACTTTGGGAATTTCATTTCAAGGTCTCGGTCTCTGTCTCTTGTTTTTTTATTTCAAGAGATAAAGCATTATTGTTGAATGTTTTATAATTCCAAAGATATTCATAAAGTTTGGACTTATTCTACCGTGTAATATTGTGGGTGTGCGTGTGTGTTATATAATACCGTGTTTTTCATTTTTATCTTTTCAAGCTTTTTGCTTATCATAACATGTTTAACTTCTAATTAGGGGAAGGGGCTTCTGTAATATAAAAAATTTGTTTTCTAATGGGGTAAAAATGGTTATCTCTTGTTAATAACAGCAGAGGAGCTTAGAGAAAGAAGCTCGAAATTGGCAAGTTAAAATGATCAAGAAAAGCTTAAAATCAATCACCCACTCTCTTTCACTAGTTTATAAGAATTCTATAGTGAGGGCCTTATATATGGCCCTTAAGTGAGGTTTTACCTCTTAAGCATTGAATCAAATTAGTTAGCCGTTAATTTAAATTAGTTAGTTTGATCCAATGGTTAAGAGATAAGAACTCACATAAGGGCCGTCCTCATTATAGAATAACTCCACTTGTTAATGTAGGTGTAGTTTTGTTTGGGCTTACCTACCTTAACAGTTTGACCATTCAGTCCAAACCCAATTAGTCTTTTTTTAGTCTGACCCAGGGAAAGAAAAGACCCAAACCCAATTGGTCCCAAATTCATAATCCAATGAGAGCTCCAAAGGTCACCGAGCTCACAAACATCCTTACTTTACCACCCCGAGTCATAATCAAAGACCGATAAACCCTATATATATATATGGGAGTAATACACACCGCGCACCCACACACGCACTCCCTCAATATCTTTCCCTCCAGTGTTAGAGTTAGGGTTTCCTGTGTCTAATTCATCTCACCCGTCCAAATCCTTTCTCTTGAGATCAAACTGATCGTCAAAGATGACAGGCAAAGCCAAGCCGAAGAAGCACACAGCCAAGGAGATCGCGGCCAAGATCGACGCCGCGACCACCAACCGCGGGGGCGGCAAAGCCGGAATCGCTGACCGGACCGGACAAGAGAAGGGAGGGCACGCCAAGATGGAGTGCCCGCACTGCAAGATTACGGCACCGGACGTGAAGTCGATGCAGATTCACCATGAAGCTCGACATCCAAAGATCCCTTTTGAGGAGGAGAAGATTGTGAATCGCCATGCCAGCACCAGCACCAGCACCCAAGTCGCAGAACCCTCCAAGGACGCTAACAAGCCACGACCTGGCGTTCGCGGCAGTCTCAAGAAGTGAATTGCTGTCAAAAGTCAAATCAAATCAACCAAAGGAACGGGCTTTCTGGTGCTTTCGCGGGTAGTGGTAGGTTTACTAGATTGGGTAAGAGGGTCGGAGTCAGAGTGGTTGGCAGTGCTTTATGGGTATTGGTTAATTTTGGAATTTTATGTGATGTATATTAGTTTCTTCCATGTCTAAGGTCATCCAGATGATCAATGTTTCAGAATTGAGTGGTTTATGGGATGTGCTTTAAATCATTTTCTTTCCTGATGTTATTGATCTTGATTATTAATGAATAGCCGATGGTGGGTAAAAAGAAGGGGTCTTTTCTTTGTCCAAAGAAACCTATACCTGATTTTGATTTATTTTGCAAATTCTGTGTTTGTGTCCATTCACTGAACTGGTTTTGGCATGGGCGGTTCATCAATTTCCAATTCAAACCCCTTTCTTTTACCAGTTTCAGATTCATTCATCATTTGAGAATCTGGCTTGAATTTAGTCTCCATATTGTTAGAATCCCCCTTGTTAACTATATGGGATTCATGTTATGGCGTATGCGAAATGCTGTATCTGCCGTAACCAGTTTCGTCTTTTATCGTTGTACAGCAAATTATGTGTTTGAAGGGTTTGGGGCGTGGGAAATATCAGTTTTACTTCTGTTAGTCCTGAGTCATAAACTGGCATATATTACATCTAGGGTTCCAAGGTATCTGCCAATTGCAACAAAGCAAAACATGCACACCAGAGAGAGAGAGAGAGAGAGAAGAACAGAGAGTGGCAACAGATAAAAGTCTATGGATGTATTTGTTCCTACAGATGAAAGTTGATGAAAAAAACAGTAAACCCTTGTATGAAATTTGTATAGGATTTTTATCAGATGTTTAATAGAAAACACGAAGAAACAACCATCACAACAAAAATTTCAAAGAAAACAAAACTGGATGACTAATACGATTGATGACTGCTTCAGAAGCAAAAACAAAATTTTTATGATGGATAACCTCCCATGATCCTTTGATATAACAGCGATGATGACGACGACGACAATGATGCATTTGCCTGGTCAATGATAGGCAAACAGGCATCATAAAGGTTATCATCCTTTTGCTCTTGTTTAGGCTTTAGGAACCTTATATCATCCTCCTGCAGCTGCTGTCCTGAAAAATAAGGCTGTACTGGACAAACTGATTTTCCATTGTTGAAATCAAAACCAGAGAGAGGGAGATTCCCAGATGGAGGAAGGTTTAAAGGCAGTGAAATTGGGAAGTCTGGGACAACAGAACCAGCCTGATGGGTCACACCGTGATTAGCATGTAGTCCAAACGAGCTATATGGCATGGTATTTTGCAAAGGAGGATATTTCATTTGGTAAATGGAGGGAACTCCAAATTTCAAGTCATTATTGAAATTCCCAAGAAAACTAGATCTCAGGTATTCTTCATGGAACTCCGGTTTTCTATCAAAATGAGGTGCAAGATCTTGTACTTGTGTCTCAGGCTTTGGATTATTGCTACTCCTGGGTAATGCAAGAGCTGGCTGAGCATTGGCAGTAGATGGATGTGCATTGCCACCGTTTGAATTTATGTGATTACTGTTTCTCGCTGCGGGCACTTCATGGTTGTGTTTTCCCTCATATGTTGTAATTACGAATTTCAGATTGTGGGAGGCCCTTTCCACATGCTTCCTTACTGAACAGCCCGCACTTGTACATTTGTAGTAGCTCCTATAAGATAGAGAATAAGTAGAAAGATTAATTGCATACATATTTATGATTGGAAGCACAAGACCTATCCAGCCATCATGAGAACTGAACATACCCCAAGAAATGCTATCCTCTGTTTCTTTTCTTTTTTTTTCTTTTTTTTCCTGAACTCTTCTATGGTCATAACTCGGTAGAAATCCACACAGTAGTCCAACCAATATGATGAGAGAGAGAGAGAGAGAGAGAGAGAGAGAGAGAGAGAGCATACCTAGGGTTTGGATTTCCTTTGACAACTTTTTGCCCATACTTCCGCCAACGATAGCCATCATCAAGTATGTCGACTTCACTCTCAATTTGGACAACTACTCTTGGTTCACGGACAGCCCTGGATGCTATACTTGGTTCAATCAAGCAGCTCTCTTTCTTCCTGGAAGGGAAAATCAATGCAGGAAAATATATCCTGGTTAGTCATGGTGGCCTGGAAATAGACACCTGTAAGATAAACGGAAAACGACATACCTTCTTTTTGACTCAGATTCTTCATCATCTGCATCATCTCCAAGTGATATGCTTCCTTGGGTGCCCCGATCATCATCATCATGACTAGCAAGTGTGGATGAAAACTCTGGAGTTTCTGCTGATTCAAAGATACTCATGGATTTCCCTTGGGTAGTTGATAATGGATCAGAAAGGTCGGTAACAACAGATGTTGAGGATGTCCTTTCCAGACCTTCAGCCCTCCCATCATAACCAGTTTTAATATCCTTACCAGACTGAATATTTGTCCAAACTGACCCACCTTCAACTTTGACAGAGGCCCTACTTCCTTCACTCATCTCTGACGTCTCATCAAATGAAAATGATGATCCAAGTGATGCTCCAGCTCGACGATTAGGCTGAGGCATTGCATGATTATGAGGAGCTCCCTTGTAGATGATTTCTGTTATTTGACCATCAAAGGATCGTTCCACCTTTTTCTTCACCTGACAATTTGGATGGGTGCATTTATAATAGCTCCTTGGATATTCACTGCCTTTGACCTGTTTCTGCCCATACTTCCTCCAATTATATCCATCTTCTGAAGTCCTGACCATTCCTGCAGATGGGTATGACCCTCTATGCTCTCCTTCCAAAAATGGGTGGCTCCCAACGTCCTCTCCATGAATCGGTTCTTTGGGAAGAGAGTTTTGTTCACTAGCTGCGCTTGAATTAGACCTTTGCAAGTCTACGCAGTTGGCATTCAGAATCCCACTATTTAAGTTTTTAACATGGGTGGATGGATCCACAGCATAGTTCTTTGCATTAGCTTCTTCCGGAAACTCCATTGGGAATTCAAAATCTATTGGTTGTTGCTCCAAAACCAGAGATTGGTAGTCAACAGTAGATCCCTGAGGAACAATGGAAAGAAATTAATCCAAACACAATCTCATATAAAAATCGTAAATAAATTACTGGTCAGAATTTAGCAGCTCATCCCTATGGCAACTTATCAAAATCTACACAGGGACCATTAACATTTTGGTTTAATCAAAGTACCTTTGGACATTCATGGTTTGAAGATATGTATGTGTATCGAAGAACCATACAAAGTTGTTTCCAACAACTATGTATAAAATTACAGCTAGAGATTATGAGGAGATACTGTTTTAAGGTTTTTCGTGGTTACAATTGAAAATTTAAATATTATATTTAGATATAACATAATCACTAGGTTAGTAATTAAAATACCAATATCTTGTGTTGCCACATTTGGAAAAAGTAATTAGACCAAAAAAGAAGTTTAAAAACCTCTCTCCAGCTTAAGAGTTTTATACTACTGAGTTCCAAAACATTAAGTTGAGGCATCTAATCCCTAATTATTTTTGGACGAAAGAAACATGCCATGTAACCATTACCTGATTTTCGAAACTAGAAAAGCCTGGCAGATATTTGGGATCGCCCTGTCTCTTGAATGTGAAGGATGAACCAAAATCACTCCCCCTGTGACCATCTTCATGAGTTCCAGATTTCAGCACTGAACTGTCATCATTGGGAGGAAGCAACGGAAAAGTTCCGGTGGTTGGAGATGGGAGCGCCTGGAAGAATATAAGAGTTGAAGATCACATATCAAACAGCATCAAGCAGGAATTACTAGACATCATTTAAGACTTTCCATAATTAACTTCACTCCCACACCAAAAAAATAAAATTTCTTTTGTCTACTTTGTAACTATCAACGTCCACAATGTTCGTTTGCCTTCTTGGTTATGGTGATTGTCCTTTAGTTAAGCTGCCAGTCCCTTAACAAACCTCAGTTTAAACCAAGAAATTACAAAGCAGAGACTGTTATACAAAAAGTGGATCTGGAAGTGCATAATCACAAATTCAGATGTTTTACTTTTCTTTCTTAAAAAGAACATATTATGTTGAGAGAACACACTCTCGGAGAACTAGCGTACCCAACAAGAGGAATGTCAGTTAATAATAATTAAAGAGCAGCAGCAAAGTACTGAATAGAAGTAAATTACATTTTTTTTTTCGCTTGTACTTCTACCCTAGTACCAATTGCATTAACCATTTCCAACAAGACTCATAAAATTCGCACATTGAGGTTGAGAAACCCAAAAATACAAAATTATACGTTTCGTTGATCAAACAAAGCCCAGATAGAATCTCACACATTTAGCTCGATTCAAACCCCAAAATTTACAACAGCAAAAGAATTGCAACAAAATTACCAAAAATAAGAAAACCCCGAACGAGAAGAAAAAGAAAGAAAAAAAAACCTGAGAATTGGGGAGCATCATGGGGGAGTCGAGCAAAGCCGTGGGGCTGATACCAGGTGGAATAGTGAGGCAAGGGGACCTGGCAGCCGCGGCCGGCGAAGGCAAAGGGCTTGTTGTCCTAAAACGCGCCGTATTGATCCTCTCCGCATTGAATCCACACTTGGCTGCCCTCCTCTCTGCTATACTAATGGTGTTAGCACCAGTTCCACAACCTTTGGTTTTGTTCTCCGAAACGGCGTCGTCTTCTTGGTCCATGGTTCTTAAAAATCCCATCTTTATGCTCTCTTCGTCTGTTGGTTTAATGATTCCCTGTTAGAGTGACAAGAGGGCTGTGACGTCTGCCTCTCTCAAAGTGTAAGAATTGTAAAAACCCTAGCTTTTGTTTGGTTTCAGCTCCTCTTTGAGTAATTCTGGAGCTGAAACCTTTTTTGTTATTCTATTGAATGAAATGAATTGAATTGAATTTGAGGAAATGAAAAGGCTTTCAAGTTTCAATGTGTATTATGGTACAAACAATTATGTGTTTTCAGAGGTTCCCAAGAAGAAATGGTTTGGATTTTGAGAGAGAGAGAGAGAGAGTTGGGTTCAGTTGTTTTTGTTGCAGGAGAGGAGAGGAGAGGAGAGGAGAGGAAGAACAAAAAGAAGTGCCTTTGCCGGTTTGCCCGAAGAAAAGAGTGAGGGGAGATCAGTCACTCTCTTAACGAAGAACAATTTCGAGTGTGGGACCCACGAAATAATCTGTATCCTTTCTGGCTGGCTGGCTGATGATGTGGACACCCTAAAAAAACCTCCTTCCTGCTTCTACTGCCTCTCCTCGTCTCCTCCTCCTCCTCCTCCTCCTCTTATATCTTTGATTAAAATCGCATGGATGGATACCAACCAAGAACTTAAACAAACTCCAAATACGTGTTCATTTCATTTCAATGTCTTACGTAAATCTAGATAAAGTTTGTTTCTTCTCAAATCAATTTTTCATTATTATTATTATTATCATTGGCTTCTAATTTCAACCCCTATTTGTGTTTAAAAAGTTATTTAAAATTCTTCTTCAAAGTTATTTAAATTTCATGCGTCTTAGACATGATGAAGCAATAATTGCCAAGTATTTCATGTTCTCTATCCTCTTACCAAATATAGCTAATCCATTTTCCGTACTTGTTTCTTAATCCAATAATAATTAGTTTAATTCTATCTTCATAAGTTGCAAATTTATTTATTTAATTATGTGTAATATAGGTTGTGTTGGAGAGTTGGGGACTTAAGCGTGGGATTTGGTTTGCTAATGGCTAGCCGCAAATCTTGAGGTGGAGGTTAGCTTTGTATAATCTAAACAATATGCGGTTAGAGGAGCCACGTGGCTACCATTCAACGTCTAAACCATATGACACGTGGCAAATAATGTTAGAGCTTATTATAAGGTAATTTAGACTTAAGAGAACATTTTGTACATTTCCTTAGACTTGGAGAGAACATTTTGTACATTTCCTCAGACTTAAGAGAACATTTTGTACATTTCCTCAGACTTAAGAGAACATTTTGTACATTTCCTTAGACTTAAGAGAACATGTACGAACATGTACAAAATACTTAGTCAATTCCCTATAATTGACTGCTCTGCTGTGCTGTAAATACCGGCGCCACATTAACTATTTGGTTTAGTTTGAATTCAAATGTGCTAGACTGCTAGTCCAGTCAATGTATAGGCTTTACTTTAATGGATTCCTCATCCTCATAATTAGGATGTTATTGATTACCAACGGCTCTCTAATAGCATTTACTTCCCAACTATCTATACAACAATTCCCTAAAACTTAATTCATGAATCTTCTATAATTCCAATTCAATGTAAAAAAGAAGAAAGAAACACATAAACAAGTATACCCCAAATTTTGCTCACTGCACCTACCTTTGATTCTTTGAACCTCTCCCTCCTTAAACCATAATCTCATAAGCCACCTTGCTTTCTTTCTAGGATCATTTCTAGCAATTAAAACAACTCTCACTGTTCACCAATAATCCCCACAAGAACATGCACCACCCTTGAAATGGTGGAATCTGTGGGCATCTCTCATTACAATTTCCCTTCCTGTAACCTTAGAGATCAACTTGGAAGCTGTATGGCAATCCCCACAAACTCTCAGATTCTTCTTTATTCTAATAACACTTTCTGGTCCTGATTTCAACAGTCCAAAAACTATCGCAAGCTTCTCACTATGCGCATACAACATTTTCTCCTTCATCTCTTCCTCCACATCATGCAATGCAAAGTTCAAATCTGGCTTGTACCCTTCTTGTCGAATCCTATTTATCACTTTCTCCAACTCTGAATAGATTAAATCAGTTTGAGTATGCGACTTATCTCCAGCCACAAATGTATAGACCTTGTTTTTTATCTCTATGCTGGTGTGACCAGCTACTTTCCTCACCCCTCTTTGTTTCATCAAATCTCTAATCTTATCAGCATCTTTCTGTTTTCCAGAAGATGCATAAATATTGGACATGAGAACATATCGACCGGGGTTTTCCCCATCCAACTCAAATAATTGTCTTGCAGCAATTTTAGCAAGTTCTATATTTGAATAAATTCTACATGCCCCAAGCAGTGATCCCCAAACACCAGCATCTGGCCTTACTGGCATTCTTTCAATGAACTCAAACGCTTCTTTCAGTCTACCAGATCGACCCAAAAGATCAACCATACATGCATAGTGTTCTGGTCTTGGTGTTACATGAAAATCCCTACTCATGGAATTAAAGCAGTCCCATCCTTCGGCAATCAACCCACCATGACTGCAGGCTGACAGCACTGATAGGAATGCAATGTGGTCTGGTTTTGTTAGAGCCTTCATCTGATTAAATAGGTTAACAGCTTCTCTTCCATGACCGTGCATCCCATATCCTGCAATCATGGTGCTCCATGAGATTATATTTCTTTCTCGCATCTCATCAAAAACCCTTCTAGCATATACCAAGCTTCCACATTTTACATATAAATCAACTATAGAAGTTTCAAGCGCAATGTGGTTCTTGAAAAAGCAACGAATAGCATGTCCATGAATTAAGCGTGCTTGCCGAAACGATGCTAAATTTGAACAAGCGCGAATCACGCTCAGAAGTGCCACCAAATCAGGGAGCATCCCTTGCACTCTCATCTCTTTAAAGAGCTCCAAGGCTTCAAGAGGCAAATCAACTTGCACGTAAGCTTCAATCATGGATGCCCAAGACACCAAGTCCTTATCACTGATTCTATCAAAGAAGCCCCGAGCAACATCAATTCTTCTGCACCGTGCGTACATTTGCATGGCAGCATTTTGAACTGAACGGTCCAAATCAAGTCCATTAGCTGCCACAACTCCACAAACCTCATCAGCCTGATTCTCTCTAGAAACACACGCCATCACATTCAAAATGGCAGCCCTGTTGGGTCTAATACTCTCATTCAACATCATTGCAAACAAAAACCACCCATGATTGAAACACCCAATTTGCGAGTACGCACCAATCATCGAACTCCAAGAAACCACATTCCTGTCGGGCATTTTATCGAACACCTTTCTTGCAGTCTCAACCTGCCCAAATTTTCCATACAAGCCAATAAGTGAATTACCCACAAACAAATCCGATGCACAACCACATTGAATCACATCCCCGTGAAGCTTTACACCCAATCTATCGTCACAAACGTACCCACAAGCCTTAAGCACAAAAGGGAATGTAAAGTGATCGGGTTGAGTACCCAATTCCCACATCTTACTGTACAGAGCAATGGCTTTGTGATATAGGCCATTGTCAACAAAGCCTCTAATCATCACATTCCAAAGAAAAACGTCAGAGGAGGATGAGGATGAAGAGAAGGCAGAGAAGAGGGTATAGGCGTGAGAGGTTGAGCCCAAAGAGGCATAGTGGGCAATGAGGTTGGTGCAGAGGAAGAGATTGAGGTGAAGATGGGTTCTGAGGATAGAGGCATGGACAGTTTTAAGGGACAAAAGGGTGTGGCTTTGCTTTATCAGTGATATGCATGTCATGTGCTTGGTTTTTGTAATTCTAAGGGGTTTGTGAAATACGATCAATTAGGAGGATTAGGTTGTTGGGGCTTTTGCTTCTGCATCAGACAGACTAGTGCAAGTTTCTTTTTCCCTTCTCTCCTTTCCTTTTGGTATCTATCCTCTGTTCGGCTTCGTGATGAGTCAGAAGACCGTATATTGATATTCAAACCCCAGCCCAATTTGGGGGTTCAATCAATCAATGGGCCAAACATGTTTCGGAGTTCAAATATCAACAACGAACAACGAACAGAAAAAGCTCAAAGCTTTTTTCTTTTCTTTTCTTTTCTTTAAAGCAAAACAAAAACAAGAAGAAGAAATATGATTTGATGATGATGATGTGCAGCTGGACAAACAACAGAACAGATGTCAACTTGTCAAATAGCAGCGCTACCACGTCTCATATTTTCCTTTCATGCAACATTACACTGTACAGGTGGAGCTCCCTCTTGCTATGCTGTGTTAACCAGCTAGCTACAACACTCAATTAACATATGCAAACACCTCTCTCTCTCTCTCTCTCTCTCTCTCTCTCTCTCTCTCTCTCTCTCTCTCTGAGTTAGAGTCTCAAGAGATATGGAACCTGCTCAGCCCACATCAACCTTCAGCAACCCACCACCACCAGAAACACCAGTATTGGAGAATGATGAAGCAGAATACGGCCAATATGACTGTGATGAGTATCTGATGCCGAAACCATCAGAGTGGTTCCCAAAGCTTGTATCTTTTCAAGCAGATTTAATTTACAACTGCATGGCCACTCTGTCTGCCCCCATTTTCTCCCTCTTGTCCGTGGCCTCTGAGTCTTACCACCAAGTCGAGCAGACCAAAGACACCGTTGAATCCGCCGTCCACCAGGTTCCCTCTACCCTCACACATGGCAGCACCATCCTCCTCAAGAAGCTTGGTTTTGGGTTGCTTGGGGCTGCTTATGTCTGTATGGTTTTGGTCGTGGTTTTGATTCTATCTTTTCTTTTGGGTGTTGGGTTGGTCAATCTTTGGGTGGAGGAGCCTGTGTTTGTGAGAGACAGGTTGCACTTTGATTACACTGACCCTCATCCAACGGCTGTCTTTGCTTTTGGTGGGGTTCCTGTTGGACACACTTTTTATGTCTCTTTGGTCCTATTGATGCCTGAATCTGACTTCAATAGGGGCATTGGGGTCTTTCAGGTATGTATAATTTATACATATAAATTTGGTTGAAATTAAGGTTTGTTACTAAATAACAATTTAATTGGTTAATTATATATTGATCATCAGATGAGTGCAGAACTATTATCAGTGAATGGTGATGTGATTGCAAAGTCAAGCCAGCCCTGCATGTTACGATTTAGGAGCCTCCCGGTTAGACTCACACGAACATTTCTTATGGGCGTACCGTTGCTACTAGGAATCTCTGGAGAAACCCAGAAGTTAACCATGCAAATACTCGAGCATAAGGAAGGGCATTTTCCAAGAACCCAAGCCATAAGAGTAACTTTATTACCAAGAGCTGGAACCTCGTATCTTCCCCAGTTGTACGAGGCTGAAATTTTATTGAATTCCCAGCTGCCTTGGACGAAACATTTGGTGCGCAGTTGGAAGTTGACTTTTTACGTCTGGACCTCTTTATATACCTATGTTTTGTTCCTCATAATGCTCATACTTTTCTGCAAGCCACTTTTGCTGCCAATGACAATGATCACAGCTACTGCCGCAGCAAATGTCAGTGACCAAAGTTACACCGAGACACAATCACAAGCCACATCTCGACCACGACGACGCCATAGTAGGGAATCACAAGCCCCATCTAGAGACGTTGAAAGTGAGGATGTTCAAGAGTTGTTGAGGAAATGGCAACGCAGCAGAAGCAAAAGAAAGGCAATGTATTTGCAACCTGAGGATTTGGATTTGGGAGCTGCGGAAACTATTGGCTCATCTGCAGCCTCAACAATTAGTATTACCAGAGAAGATGCAAGTGTAGCTGCTGAAGATGTTGGGGACTTGGAATCAGTGTGTTTATAAGTCTTTAAGAGAGCTGGACCTTAAGTTGAATCTTTAATGCTTTTGTATAATGACAGCTTTGCTTTGCTGGATGGCAGGGCATGTAGATTATGTATGTACTTGTTACCTTCAGTTAATTATATGACTAAAGTTACTAGAAAGAATCTGCACAAGATTAACTCTAACTAAATTTTCACAATTGGGTCTTGTCCTGTTTTTCTAAACAAGAACATTCAGGGGCCCTGCATACATATGATCAAAACATATGTAGTAATGAAGCAACTAATGTTAGTGCTATGTGAAGGCTGTGAATGAAACCATAGATGGCAATTAAGCTGATTGGGAATGTGAAGGAGAAGGGGAAACCAAAAGCATAGTTAACAGTTTAATACCATGGAATGTGGATTAATACAATCGAAAGTTGGAAAATGAACACGGCAGGGTAAACAAGGTACAACATCGGAGGAACTAAACAAAGACAATACATTTTTATGCTGCAAAGACTTGTCTTCCAAAGGAGAAAATCTTCCTGTAACCATGGTACAACAACAGCTCTCTTACAATAAATCACATGATGAGTAGGTGAGAGGTTGGATGCAAGAGGCTCCTTGTATACCACGGTTTTCCTTGCTAAAGCCATCTCTTATACAGATAACTCGGTACGAGAAATCAGAATTCCATCGGTGTCTGCATAAAGCCATTCCCCATCGCAGATCCTTGTCCCAGCGATGGTAATTGGTACCTGTTTCTCTCCAATCCCTTTCTTATTGGCTTTCATGGGATGGGACGCTAAAGCTCTCACACCAATGTCACAACCATTAATCTCATCAACATCTCTTATACAGCCATTCACCACTATACCTGCCCATCCATTATTCTGAGCTTGAACTACAGGGTTGCCCCCCCAATATTGCACACCGCTTGCTTCCACCCCCATCCACAACAAGCACTCTGCCATTGCCTTTCTCCTCGAGAAACCCACGAACCAGAACGTTGTCTTCAAATACCTTTAAGGTCACTATTTGTCCAGAGAAGACCTGTCGCCTGCCATATATCTGAAATATTGGCTCAAGCACCCGTAGATCACCACTTCCAATTAGCTGCAAGTGTGCGTCGCAAACTTCAGCAGTTGTTACCAAGGCCATTTGTTCCAAGAACCTGCAGGGTAGGACATAGATCAATGAATTATGCCAAAGACCAAAGCACATGGAGGATGGTCATAGTATCTTAGTATTGCTATTTGCTTTTTGGTTAAATGTTACTAACTGGCATATATCAGTACAGTGGGGAATATAAGGGCAGAGGTTGAGTGAAAACTGCGCAGAGATTCTTTGTGGATACATAAGTTTTCAAGACATAAATTACAAAGACACAATATAAACACGTAATTCACTAGAAGTAAAAAGAAAAACTTCAAGATGGTAGAAGAGAATACCATGCAAAACGCCGTCCAAAACCAAAAAGGGCAAAAAAAAACAGAGATGAGAATCCCCCAAACAATTGTGTATAGAAGAAGTATGCTTTATATGAGACGCTAAAGTGGTCACAAGACAAAGCTTGCTATATTAGTCTTGTGCACACCATCATCAATAGAAGTAAAAGCAGTAAAATAAGCGCCTGAAATGAAATAATTAAAATTAAAATAAAGAAATGGATATTTGAGATACAAAGCAGAATACCCTTAAAGATAAGAAAAGGCGAAAGCTCAAGATGGTTTGAGCATTTGCAACAAACACCAATGACCAGCCAGCCAGAGCAAGAAGGAGCAAATGTATATGACAAATAGAGGAGAATGGCGAAGATCGCTGTGGCAGATGACCCAATTGATAAAACAAGACCCCTGTGATGAGACTTAACACGTACCAACGATTTCAAACATTCAATCAGATTTAGGATGGATGGATGCATGATACTCTTTGAATAAATAAAGCTGATATCTGTCTCCCCTAGCTGAGGCATAGTTTTTGAAATCCTAACCAGCTGCATTTTGCACCAAGTTGCCATTTTCAATAACAGAACCCTCTCATGAACAAATACACATACATATGGTTCCTAAATTTGCAAATACAGCCAAATTACAGATATTCAACTGGACTAGATATGATAAATCCAAATCTCCTGATACAAGTTAAGAGGAATAAACGAACAGATAAAATCTACTTCACATAAACACACTGATTACAATTACAAACCAAATATGATTCATTCCTAAGTTAACACGAAACATACATACTGAGATGCAAGATTGGATCTTTATGGTTGCGAGCCAATGCCAAGTATATTATCATTTATTAATCAGACCAACTTGTGTTAATCTCATCAAGTCTTTCATTCAAATCCAAATAATATACCCGATGATCTAAAGCAATAAAGAAAGGAAACTAAATAAAATGAATTCCCATATTGGGTCTCTCTGTAGGCCTGAAAATGTTATAAATTGGACCGGAAACTGTTGAATTTGAAATTTCCATACCAATTTTGCGAGCAATCAGACAAGCAGATCAAAGAAATCAGGAAAAGGAGGAGATGAAATCTAAGGACATCAAGTTTACCTTGGATGGGGCACTAGGAAACCACAGAAAGCACGGTGCGAGAGAGAGAGAGAGAGAGAGCGGGGTCGTTGGCTGAGTTGTGACTTATGACTCAGTGTGTCTCTCGCTATAAACATGGGATGGAAGAAGAAGAGAATCTGTGTTAAGCTGTAAAGCGCGTGCAAAATGAAGTCTTTTTCATCTGTTGCTGTCGCTTTTTTCTTGTTTGTTTTCGTTATTTATTCTTGTACAGTTTACTTTTCTTTTTGTTTTGTTACATTAAACGAAAAAAGAAACCTATTTTGAGATGTTTTTCCCCCTTTCTCTCTCTGTGTGGTTTTTTTTCTGTGCCACATTAGAGAATCAGATAAAATCGTACTGTTCATAAATCAGGTGTAGTGAATTATAGCTTGAAAAGATCAAACCTTTATAAATTATCGTATTTGTTTGTTAAATCAATTAGATAATAAGTGGAGGCAGACAGATGACTAGATGTGAACATGGCATTGCCACCATCAATGTTCACGCGTTTTAGAGAGAGAGAGAGTGGCACGATGAGAGAGAGAAAGAGTGGCATGATGTGAAGATGGGATTGCCACCATCAATGTTCACGCGTCAGCGATTGATCATATAATGTCGTGAAGAAGGCAAAACAATAAAAACGTTTTGGGGGTGCACGAGAGGTGAGGACAACCAGTAACCGCGAGACACCTGGATTATTAACACAACCACAGAGGGGCCAGCAGTACCACCTTCAAACCTCTCGAGGGGCAATTTTGTCAACACGGGAAATTGTACACGCGGGGCGTCGGCGTTTCTTTGTTTAACCGCACGGGGGAAACGCCGGGTAAAGACCCCCAATCTTTCACCCGATGGACCGGGGCTTCGTTTAGGGTTCAAGGTTCGCGTGCATTTCCCGGCCCCACACCCCCAAGTTAACACGTATACCCCTCGTCATCGAATATAAACCGCACCATACTTCTTTGTAGCAGCCGATGTGGGACATTATATAGCTGCAGGCATCTTAGTAGAAGTCTTAATACTACGTTCTTCTGTAGAAAGGAAAACATAACATATCTGATGTTGGCTTTTACTTTTCTGAAATGCTTTTGTGATTTGGTACGAGTTCTTTTTTCTCTTCTTCAGCTTAACCTCATGTTTGTTGCCGTTTAAAGATTGATTGCCTTCAAAAGACCAAGTAAAACTTCCCCCTAATGTAGTAATTTGGAGCAATTGCTTATTCCAGAAAATGTTTTGAATTCGAGTCATAATATCCGTATAGTATGTGTATGTTTAATTGTCTAAAATAGTCCTTGAAACTAATTCTTTATGGTGAGGTAGCATTGGATTGGATTTAAGAACAGTTCTTGCTCTGTTTGGACCAAACATACATACATGCAAAAGAAATTCCAGGCCTTGTTTTATGATGAAAGAGGCGAAAAGTGTCTTATTGATTTATCATCACTTCCACATTACAAAACCACGTAATATCATATAAGAACTTGTTTCGGGGAAGACAACAGAATCAAACAACAACAAAATGGCTACTTGTAATTGGAACGCCTTATGAGTCCAAATTTATTGGGATTTTTTTTAATAAAAACAAAACAACTAACAACAAAGTTTCCCCATCCCCACACACAGACTGAATTTAAGTCAACCTGTGGATGGTTTTCATGTCAGCGGCTTCCTTGACGGTGCCTTTCTCAACATTGTCCCACCATTTGAACAAGAAGTTGTCCACGACGAGTCTGAACCAAGGGGACAGCTTCAGACCTTCCTCCCCAGCATCTGCCTTCCTCAGCAGCTCCTTCAGCTGCTCCTGATTTACGTATTTGATATCAGCTACTTCATCAGGGTTTGGATGCACATTAACATCTCGGACCGTGAAGAGAAGGTAATCAACTGCAAACAAGAAAAGAAGAAAACACTAAGGTTGAACATGACAGTTTTGAAACAAGGCACCTCATCTAGAGTGTTAAACAAAAACAAGGTACAGTCAACCAAAGTTGGAATATTACGTTCGTGTTCTCCCCACTTGCCGTCAGAAGGTGCCTTGTACAAAATCCGACCCAAAGGGATGAACTGATCAACCGGCACATCTTCAGCAGGGATACCCAATTCATCCAAAAGCTTCCTTTGAGCAGCATTTCTTACCCCTGGAACCAAAATGGAGAGAAAAAAAAAAGAGTTGAGAGAAAATCACAGTAGAACAAGTAAAGTTGACTCTCAAATGTAATAGAGGTACGTAGATAAATATACCAAGAGAATCCTCATCAATAAGCTCAGATTCACGGTACAGTGGATGGCTACAACAGGTGTTTGTCCACACAAGTGGGAATGTCACCTTTGTTGCAGAACGTTGCTGCAGAAAATGACAGACAAAAATGAGTATGTCACCCACCATATTTACAAATGCTTATAAACAAAAACTGCCCAGAAAAATGAAATCAGTGATCAATGCCACCACCAGTTGTAAATCAGAGTCGTTTACCCTTCATATTGAATTATTAGCTTTCAAGATGTGGCACCCGACTAGTATGGAACATCTAACAAATGACCACTCTCAACTGAAGGCTGCCACAACTGTAAATTTTAGGTTTAACCCCAACCCCTTTGTCTCAAATTTCAAACATTAATTCACACAACTAGTTAAACTTCAGGTCCCCAGAGGTCTCAAAGTTCAAATGTCAAAACACACAACTAGGTATAATCTCCATCCGTGCTAAACAGATTTCTGATAGGTGTGACAAGATATTTTTGTGTGTGTGTGTGGGGGGGAAGCTACAAATTATAATCTCTGAACAGCCATGATAGGTTCACAAGATCTAATAAAGATATTAAAAGCCTGTTTGCTAGCAGTTAGCATGATCCAAGCAATATACCTGAAGAAGCAACTCATTCTTTGAGTTAAACAAAAAGACGCTGAAAGCTCTGTGAAGTAAATTTTCAGATTCAATCTTTTCCATCAAGTGACCTGCGGTTCAAGGAAGCATTGCAAATTAAGAAACCAACAAACAGTGCTACAAGAAAGAACACAACAGTTGTATCAACACCAGAGATTCAGGCATTATTATAAACTAGAATGTGGATAAAATCCAATCTAGCATTCTTAATCCAAAAATCTGATCCAGCACAAAATTCCCTTTCCCGTTTCCTATCCTAAACGTCAACGAAATCTAATCTTTAACTACAGGTTTTCTTTAGGCAGTGAAATAAAATAGGAAAGAATATTACTTACAGTTGTATTTGGTATCGTGACCAACAACACGATCATTCTCATCCACCAGAATACATCTGCAGAAATTTTGAGTAAAATAGATTGTCAGCTCCAGGAAATGACTAACACTTGAATATATATCAGGCTGAATTCCAAAGGATAAAATCGGAAAGGACAGGCAGCACTCATTGGACGTATAGCATTGACGTTCTTAGAAGGAGTTTGGTGGCAGAGCTACCTTATGTTCAGAGTGGGGAGTTGCCCTTTTTTTTTCTTTCTAAAAATAACTTTTGTATAGATAAAGAGTGGAGCATTTTTCATCCACAATTTCAACAAAATGACCAATACCTGAAAATCAAATCATCCAGACTAGGAAAATAAAATGATAAAACAGATATTGTATCTCTACCTTCAAAGCAACGATGCTGCAATTAAAGGAAACAAAAAATTGATAAAGACCACTCATGCACGGTACATTATGCCATGAACATTGTTTCCAAAGAAAAGTGCAAACCGCATCTTGTATAGCCAAAGAAAAGGAAGTGAAAATTTACGTTTGCATAATGTATTTTGCTTATTTGATTGATTGTATAATGTGAGTTATTAGTTAACTTATCAAGTCTTGAATGAATCATTATCTAAAATTAGTGCTCATAAATGGCTTAGTATGTTTAGCCAAATAGGTATGAGCTGAAGTCGCAGGTAAAAGGTATCCTCGTATCATCACGTTCTCAGCAGGGCCTCGGCAACAATTGAAGGAGAAGTTCTTTTGATAACTCCAATGGCCACGTGCAAAAAGTTCCATCTCATTATCTCCAGCTCGCTTGATTCTTATTCAAGCCAGGATTTGAGATCAGATGAGCTCGATGTTAGGTATCTTTGGCTCATGAGCTTGAGCTAGACACCCATCTGTTTTTTTATTATAGAATTATGTTCTTCCTGTTGGCTCTGTTTGGTTACTTAGAAACTGGAGGAATTGGAAAATGGAAAAGAAAAAAGACCTCAAAATCATATGTTGTGGTGATTAATTATTCTTTCTTCTTTGTTCCAGATGAACCAAAAGCAATAGAACGAAAAGAAACATATATGACAGTAAAACAGAGGAAGGCCTATGATTTCATTTGGTTTAGTGTTCCGGCACTTTATCAGCAGCAAAAACATAGCACAAGACAAAACAGGCAGGAAAGGAAACAGATCAACCAAACCAACCAGAAAAGGAATAAGTAAAAGTAAAAAGTCAAGAGAAAAGCGTGAATAGGAGTAAAAGGCAGGGGCAAAGTGGGGACTTACTCGTCTTCGAACATGAGGCGGCGCTGGACGGCGTCCATGCCGGCATCAGGAGCGTCGGCCATGGTGGAGGCGTTAAAAGACAGAGATAGCCTGGCAGGGAGAGAAGCGAAGGAGGCGGGGTTGGAGATGAGAGAGGTTGGTGAGAACCGGAGAGAAGGAGAATTTGAAAAGAGAAGAGGATAATGATGGTGAGATTTGGGGAAGAAGGAGAGTCTGGCTGCGGTGTTAAGAAGGCCTGCTCCTTTGGTGAGAGTCATTAGGATACCGAATAATAATATATAGCAATCTCCGTCAGACTTTTTATCAATTTTATTTTGCTATTTCCCTCCCTCCCCCTCCACCGTCCAAGAGTCAAATACTCAAATCAAATGCTATAATTCATGGTATTTGGATGATTGTGGCACATATGGTAATTGGATTTCCTACTATTTTGTTATTTTCTTTTTTTGTTTTGGGTTGGGTGGAAAGAGCTATCTTTGTGTGATCTTGGTTTATTTTATGATTTAAGACTAGTTTGTCAGTTTTGGTAGAAAATTTCAAGGGAAATATTTTATGCTCCTTTTTTATAATTTTGGAAATTTATATCATAAATATTAAGAAAATAATATTCAGATGTAGCATTAAAGATTTATTATCACTCCCCCGTCGCCAACGACCTCCACCACTCCACTCCCCCCCGGCTGGCTGGAGTGATCTCTTCTATTAGTTTTGGAGTTGGACAACGTTGACCCAACCAACCAACCAGCTTACCTTTGACTGCTCTGCTCTCCTCCGTAACTACTTTATCAAACACTTATTTCATTTCCAAATTAATTATTTTATCTTACCATATATCTTGTGTTGGTCACGAGGCCCAATATTCAGTGCAAAAATAACATAATAAAAAAAGAGCTAACACCAGCCTAGCAAGCCCTACCACCAACCCACCCCACGGGGATCTCCATAGTCAACCTTGTCATCCTGGCTTAAGTCAAATACGACCACGTTGTATACATTTACAATTGGGAATTCAATATTGAGGACAACAAAACAAAACAATAATAACATCCCACAAGTTAGAAAAACTTGATTCTTCAACCATTCTTCCTTTTCTCTTAGCAGTATCAAGTTGTCATTGCTTGATTAAGTGTATTAAGAAAATAGAGAGTATCATTCATACAACCAATAATATATGTTCGATCTAAGATACAAAGCGGTAAAATGCTATTAACAACTTGAGTTATAAGTATGTCATTGTTTCGATTTATTATTACATAATTAGTTGTTATGTCTACCTATTATCTATGTTTCATATTCTTCTATATATATAGGCAGGGGCACAAGGCCTCCTCTCAGTCCTTAGAGTAATTGTAGCTGCTTCAACCACCTTAGAGTCCAATTGGGGATTTTTTTATAACTAATATCTATCTTTGGCTACATGATCCGGCTTAACTATTGATTTGCCCTTTGAACTTGTACATAGCTTTCAATTTACCTCATATACTTTTTTATTAGAAAATTAATGATATATATTTTTTGGCCAATTTCCCCCATGCCGTTTAAATCCACAACATTTCATCAAATTTACCTCAACTAGGGGTGGATCTTGTGTAGGGATGGGCTGGTTGTATGGTGGATCTTAGGTTGTACGTAGAGAGAAAAACAAAGGGTGAGAGAGGGAGGAACAAAGTGGGGTGAAGAGGGGTGGTATGTGGTTGATGGGGTTGTTGGAGAAGAGAGCATGGAGAGAGAGCTAGGGGGAGGGGGGTTGGCGATAAGTTTGGCTCAGTGGATCCCATGAATTTTTTCCCCTCTTTTTTTTTGGGGGGGGGTGTCAATTTTCCTATTGTTCTTCAATTTGTTTCCAAATATTAAAAAAATTGATTTAATAGAAAATTGGATAAAATGTTGAGGATTTAGACGGCAAGGGGAAATTGGCGAAAAGAAGAAGTTCATATCATTAATTTTCTTAAAAAAATATATAAGGGGTAAAACGAAAAAAGTGTTAGGAGGACCTTTCGGCCTGAAATCTAACAGGCCAGACCAAAGAAACACGATCCAAATTCTAACACAAACTCGAAGGTTGGGCTGGGCCTACAATAGTTGCAAGAAAACCGGATTTTAAAGTAAAACCCGACTTTGCAAGATGAAACGCGAACACGAGCAAACTTGTGTGTGTTTGTGTGTGTTGTGTTCTAACACACACAGTTTGCAAAATAGAGTTGAAGCAAGCAGAGCTGATCAAATGCACGAAGAGGAACAGAAATAAAATAGAATAGAAGAAACAATGGCAAGAGAGTTGAGCCCCGGCTTAAAGATTCTCTGGGTCTGGACCCTTGGCACCGCCGCTGGTACTCTCTCTCCGCTTTCTCCATCTCTAATTTCACATACATACATACATTCTTATTCATATTCTGAATTGGATTGGATACGTTTTTCTTCTAGTACTGGTTACAAGTGTGGTGAGGACGAGGGTGAGAGACATGGAGAACCTTATGAATGCCGAGCAGCAGCAGCAAAAACAACAACAGCACAACACTGCCACCGACACAGAGACACTCTTGGTGGACACTTCGCCTCAGTCCTCTGAACTGATTCGAGAAGAGAAACCATAGGTTTAACATCAATCCCAGTTTTATATTTTGTGTTTTTTGTTAATTTCTTGAACTTTGTTGTTTATTTTTGAGTTTGGAGAAATGGGTTTATGGCTTTCGGACAAGTGTGTGAAATGTGTTTGATGAATGCTCTCAGTGATACCATTTTGACCCCATTTTGAAGTTTTTACTGTATTACGTGTTTTTTCTGCTGGTACAAATGAACTTGCTGATATAGAAATGGGCGTTGATTTGAATGTTTTGAGATGATTCATAACAATTTATTGTTGTTGGGTTGCCTAATGGTGGGTTGGTGTTAGACAAGGTGAATTTTGAGTGACTTATTAGAAGAACTGATGATGCTTCCAACTTCCTACTCAAGTTGCTTATCAAAACTTTCAAAGGATATATAAGATAACATTTTCTGGAGGATTATACAAACATCTATCGAGCGTTTGCTCCAACTTCCTAACCAGCGTTTGCTCCCGTGGGAGCTTCCGGTTTTCCATGCTTCTATGTCAGCTTCCTGTCAATATTATGGCAAGTCAATGAGGTGGGGAGCTTAAACAGATAATCTTTGGCAAAAAAATTTAGAGCTGGCCAATTTTTTGAATATGATATGTTTAGATCAGTTGTAGAAGTTGAACTTTTGGTGCTTCAAGTTCCATTTTCGGGTCTCCTTCTATTGTTAATTGTGATTATGAATGGAATTGGTCAATCAAGTATATGCATTAGCGAGTTGAATGCTCATAGTTGTGTTTATTCTTCATTTCTCCTTTCCTTGTGCACCAAAGTCATGGTTCTACAAGAGAGATGATGTAGAAGGAAGGGTTGTCTCCTGGTGACCAAATTTTCTTTTGTTCTGTCAAATTGATTGTTTGAGTTTGGATAGACTTGAGCAAACAACCTTTGGAAACAGAAGCATACAGTGTCTTCTTTTTTTGTATACAGCCTACAGAACAGTTAAGAGAAATTTATAATTTTGCTTAATTTTTCAATTGACTTTGTTTTGTTTAATAATTTTGGGTGGATCAATTGAAAAATTATTTAGGTTCTGTTAGGAGCATAAACAAAATTCTTGATGGTACTCCTGGGTGATCACTTACCACTGATGTGAAAGTCAAGCTGGTAAATTCCAGCAAAATTTATAATTTTCTTTTGGAGTGAGTTGGACATTCTTCTGGATGAATGTAACTAGTAACTAGACATAGAACATCAAAAGTGATTGGATCTACTCTGTCCTTGTTGGTTCTGATTTGTCACCTCACTGACAGTGTTCCGCTCACTTTCAAATAGTCCTAATTGGATACATTGAACCTAAGCTGGGAAGAGTTAGAAAAAGTTGGAATTGGCTGAGTAGGAGCTTTTCTTCATAGTGGACAGGACAGAATTAAGATTTGAGGAGCTGAAGGAGGAGTTAGTAGTGGACATAATTGAGCGCAGGTAAAAGACAACCTTTTCTTTTCCTTCTAAATATCAGATAGATAGATACTTTTTTTTTAAAGTGACAGATAGATAGATACTAGACAACTTGAATTCAAGCATTAGTGTTTTTTTTTGGGTCCAAAAGAAAGAGAGAAAAGAATCATTAGTGCTCGTATATATAATATGGGTAGGTATTGGAGGTTGATGTTAGCCTAGAGAGGATTAAAAATTAGTTTGTGTGTTTTTCTTTTCCCCCTTTCATCCAACCAATTGGGGGAAAAGTAGTATCTTCTCTGCCCCTGCCTTTGCCTTTTGAGAAAAAAAAGGAGGATGGGATTGATTGGCCTAATAACCTTGTCCTCCCAAGAATTGGACCAATTTTTAATAAGGACTCTATCAAATCAAAAACTCAAAATGAGTAAACAGGAAGCGGTGTCAAGTGTCAAAACCCTTGTCCATTATTTTCTGGTCGCATAGCTCCTTTAGATCTGCATTACCATTAACGTTGGCTCACATTAGATGACTTTTGCCCTGTGCCGTCTCCATTCTTCCATGTCAGCACTTCCACCCGTGCAGGGCAGCACGGGAACAAGGCCCCCCAGCCCCCAAAGAAAGTCTAGCGGTGAAGGTCTGCCCGGGTAAGGAGTGGGCTCCATCAGCCTCGGCAAGTCCAAAGGCAAAACTTGCCTGGGTTGTTGCTTGGGTAAGTTGACTGAATGTTGACGTTATTGTGACATCAACATTCAATTTAAATAATAATAAAATTTAAAAAAATGCCAAAATTTTCGGAAGTTTTTTATATTAAATACCTAGCCATATTCTTCTTTTTCCACACCAAAATTATATACAAATTCATCTCCTCATATCTCATGTGAATAGTCATTGTCTCTCGGTTGTCATGATAATAAATGGAAAACTAACAAAAAAAATTGCAAGAACAAGCACTATTCATAAGAATAGTAACCGTCCTTGTCTTTTGACATGACAAATTGATTAAAGTGCTCTAACAGACAGACCCTACAATCCTGGCTTTCCTTTTGTTTTAGGTCACATGAATTTCATTTTTTTAAAGTTTTGTTTCGGGTCACAGGATTTTACCAACCTTCAAGTGAAAGTGATTGTGGTGGCTGGCGTCGATGAAAAAAGGGGGCCAAATGGGCCAGAAAAAGTAAAAATAAAATTAGAGGGGCGGTGGTCAACGGGCCTTTTTCATCTGGTTGGTAATTTAATGTTGGGTGATTTTATTGGCACCCCATTATTTGCTCTTTACACCCCATACAAATTTTAAATATAAATAACATATTTTACCTTTGTACACAATTACCATTAAGGACAAAAAAATTTAAAATTAAAATTAAAATTGCTCACTACACCCCACATATGTTCCTACAACCCTAGTTTGAGTTTTTTTCTCAAACTATCATGTTCCTAAACCCTAAACCCTAGATTTATACGTTTATACTGATGCAAAAATATCTTGTATTTATTCATGAAGGGTGAGATTGAAGTTAGACAGGCTTTGAATGAGGTACGAGTTTATTTTTTGGCGTTTTTCAAGTTTAGTATTTCATAACAGTCGCTGGTTGCGTTCAGCACATCAGTACCGAACGCGACAGGTAAATTCGGTGGGATGCCACCGAAAAGTTGCACCATTTTCGGTAGGGTTTGACCGGCCAGAAACATAATATTCGGTGGAGATCCACCGAAATATGGAACATAGTTTAGTGGTATACTACCGAAATATTACCTGCGTTTCAGTGGCATCCAACCAAAATTTATTTATTTTTTCAGTAACTTATTGCCGACCACAAATTTAATCCAAGCTATTTTGATCTTACTCCCATTGAAGGAACAAAAACAAGGTGACACCCCTACTGAAGGCAACAATGTGGGAACAGAATGTGTAATGGACTATAGTGATCAATTCACAACTTATTCGGTAATTATTTATTTGAAATCCTTTTTAGTATCATTAACGTGGCATTAATGTTTCAAATTTTATATTTAAATAATATGAGTTTTATGTGTAGATATTCAATAGTAGCGATGCATTACTTCGATGGGCTCGTGAACAAGGAAAATTGAATAATATTGTCATTGTAATTAAAAGGTCTGATTATGGAAGTGATGGCAAGAGGGAGACCTTGTGTAATACTTGCTTGTGAGAGGAACGGTAATTATAAGTCTTGCAAGTCTAGTGAGACAACTGATATAAGGTCGGATGCAAATAGTGATATGAAAAAATGTGCTAGGGACACTGGTACCAAGAAATGTGGATGCTCATTCTTGTTAAAAGGTGTCAATATTGGTGATGGGGATGATTGGAAGTTGGAGGTGGTTTGTGGAGTACACAACCATCCTATTTCAGAGTATCTTCAAGGTCATTCATTTGTGGGACGACTTACTGAAGAGGAGAATGCCTTGTTGGTATGCGTATACGAATAGATTCTTGCTTTGTAGGTTCATTTGTCTCCAGATCATCCTATTCCACCAGTTTCTAGAATGTGACATGAACAAAGTGACATATGCAATGTAACACATTTGTACTCGAGGTACCAAGCACGTGTGGATGCTTTTCAACAACTTCCGGGAGTGGAGAATATAGCTACTATAGATACTGTCATCCTAATGACTGATGAAAATGCACCTGTTACAGAATTGAGATTATAGATCTAATAATTCTATTTAATTTTTTTCACATGTAACCTGAAAAGTACATCTTTGTATGCATAGTCATTTAAAAGTCACTCTTTTCAAATTCTCTTCCTTTACTATTAAGCCTTTCAACACTAGAACGTATTATATGTACCATACTAACCTGTCCAAGAAAAACTTCTTACTCTTTATCAGGATGGTACGACATACTGGTCTTGTAGACTCCAAAGGGAGAATTCGTTATTGCTTGTAATGAAAAGTCTATTGGCTTTATTTGAAAAAAGTTAATTAATTAAATTTCATTCAGTTCTCTTGTTAATTTTCCCTATCTTATGGCTTGGTTACTAACAATGCAGGTACTGTTTTTGCTCATGGTGTATGCAATGACAAGGGCAAGTTTCCCTTTCATCAAGCCATTATTTTGAAAAATAAAAATAAAAGAAGGAATTATCTAATATAGAATATCAGAGCATAATGAGAATGCCGTTAGAAATTAATACCTTCCAAATCATCCAGTAATCATATATTTAAGTACAAACTTCATAATTAATCAAAACAACAAAAGTTCCATGAGTTCTAATACAAACATGCAATAACTAATCAAAACAACAAAATTCCATGAGTACTACGCATGCTAGCAAGTCAGTTAACCATGATGACGTTGATATGTCATGGTAGACCGTATGTTTGTACCCTCTAAAATCTGTTGCAAGGTCTCAACTACTTGATAAACTTGGCAAGGTCTCAACCATGATGACAATGTGATGGCCATCTCACCAAAAGGCATGTGAAAGGTGTTCGTTTCGGGATGCCACCTCTCAACAAATGTAGATACCACAATCTTATCAGCATTTCGATAAGAACACCTAATAAGGTGCTCTAATCCAGACATCTAAATGTACCCTTTGAATATACTATTATTTGGATTACCCCACCAATTCCACTCACGAAGGGTAGATGTTTTCGACATGCACCTAAGGGGCTCACGTACCTCAACATTACTATCCTGAGTAGCAGCTACATCTTCAACCTCTGCATCAGCATTACTATCATGAGTAGGAACTACATCTTCAACCTCTGTAGTATCCTCAAAGTGATCTTGAGGAGCCGCTCTCTGTCTCCTCGTTGAGGCCGTGGGACGCTGTCTATTAGGTCGGGTTAATGAAGCCTCAGTAGTACCTCTACGAGTCCTCTTCATATCTAAAAACAAACAATATTCAATACACACTCAGTAACGTATTCGGTAGATGATTACTGAAAAAAGGAAATAAATTCGGTGGACTATCACTGAAAAAAGAACACATTTTCGGTAGAGTACCACTGAAAAACCGAAATAAATTCGGTGGGAGTCTCTTGAAAAATAGAAACAGATTCGGTGGACAATCACTGAAATAAGGTAACAATTTCGGTGGTAATCCACCGAAAGTAAGGTTCAAATTCGGTGGATTACCACTGAATCAATGTAACCATTTCGGTGGTAATCCACCGAAAATAGAATCCAATTTCGTACAACCAGGTCCGAACCTAAACCCGTTGAAATCAAAATCAAAACCAGAATCAGATGACCAAACTGCCACAAATAACTAAGATTTCTTGGGCTTCGATAGTCTTACCAGAACCACGTGGCTATCGACGACGGTGATGGGAGAGATAAGAGAAGGTGAAGGATCAGAATCGGACCTGGCCACCGACGACGGCGATGGGGGTTTGCTGGGTTATGCGATGACAGGTTTGCTGGGTTCTGCGATTTCAGGTTTGCTGGGTTGTGCGATGGGTCTTTGAAAAGGGCTGCGACGGGGTGTATCTGCAAGATGAAGGAATTTTTGATGGGATAGGGCTTTGATATCAGATGGGGTGGGGTTTAATTTCAGATGGGGTGTGTTGAAAGGGAATGAGGTTTTCGGTGGGTGGTGCCTGATATGGGATGGGGTTTACAAAGTGAGTTAGGGAATGGGGTTCATGAGGGCGATTTAGGAAAAAAAATGGGGTATAATAAGTAATTTGAAATTTTATTAATATTTAGTGGGGTGTAAAAAATTATGGGGTGTAAAGAGCAATTATTGGGGTTCATATAGAATTTCCCTTTAATGTTCTGCCACAATCTTTTGATTAGATGTTCGACTACTGATAATATATACTTTGATTTGAAGAAGCTATAGAGGCTATAGCTTGGGGCTTATTTGTGAGTGTTTTTAGAAGGGTTAACAACGTTTTCTTATAATTAAAAGTATTTTTGACAGTATTTGACAGAAAAATTTAGAAGTGTTTTTGAGTCGTAGAAACGCTTCTTGGAGAAGCATTTGGATTTTTTATATAACAAAAGCGCTTTTATTAGAAGCACTTATGAATAAAAGTACTTTATAAAGAAGCAATCCCAAACGAGCTCCACAATCTGACTGAAAGGATATGATTTTGCCAAGCAAAATTTTGATCTATATATTTCTTTATTAAAAACTAGGATAAAACTAGAATTATCAACTCCAAAAATTTCGACCCATTTTTATTTTATGTTTTGTAGATTCTAACTAGAGTTGAAGCACGCAACGCACATAATAGCGTCGATGAAAAAACCAAAGTAAACCAACTTACCAGTTGACCTACTATTAGTAGGAAAATAATAGCGTACATGCTAATGAGTCTAAAGCCAAAAAACAACTATGAAATGAAACATACACAAAATTGTGTTGTAAGTTTGTGCATTTGCCTATTGTTTAGTGATGAAAGGGGTCGGTGAATTTGTATGAAAAATATGTAAATAACTTACTTAAAAAGGAAAAAATTTGTAACCCAATAATAAAAAGAAAAGAAGCTATCGTCTCTCAGTCCGTTACTCAAAAAGAAAGTGAAAAATATTGAAAACGAACAAAAAAGAACAAAAAAGAAATTACAGAGGTAAAATGAGAAATCCATTCAACCACAAAAATAGGGTTCTACGTTGTAACCTGGCGGTCTTGTAGTTGAAGAAGTGGGTGTAATTTGCGTCTGCGTTTTGTTTATTTACTTTTACTTCTCTTTTCTCTCTCTAATAAATATCAGTGTCCAAACCACCACACCTCTCCTCCTCTATACCCTTTACCTCTTGTCTCTCTATTTCTCTCTCTCATCAAAAAAAGCTCTCGAACCTCAGAGTCTGCCTCACCGCCCTCCGATCCCTCTTCGTCTTGGTTTATGAGGTAACTTTTTGTCTCTCTCTTTCTCGATCTTTGTTTCCTACCTTGCTGTGTGATCTCTATGTTTTAGATTATACTCTTTATCAAAAAGGTTATACGTTATGGGTCACAGATCTGGTTGTTTAACATAAAGGTGGATTCTTTCAAGTGTTTTTACGAAAATATCGTTTCTTTAATTGAATCCTTCGTTTAGGTTGCATTCTCTTGGTGGGTTTTGCTTATGTTGGGTTCTTACCCTTCCTTGATCTTTTATTGTTCTATCTTTTCGCTTATTTGCTATCTATTTCTCTTAGGTTTACTTTATTATTTGGACCTTTCCGGATTTAAACAAAAATGGACATTTTTTCGTTTTTTGAAATTTAATTCTAGCTGAAGACAGGACAATTATGAAGGTCTATTCTTGTTTTTCTGTTTCTTTTCATTCCAGTTTCGTGTGGTGTATTGAATTTGGATGTAAGTTATAGTTAAAGCATGAAGCTTTTCTTCCTCTTTTCTTTTTTGGGGGTTGTGTTGGTGTGGAGGTCGGGTATCTCTCCTCCTCTTCATCTTTCACATTTCTTGGCCAGCATATAATTCAGTTTCACTGAGACCCTTTACTTTATCCAAAAAGGCTGTTCGTTTTTTTTCCTTTTCAGATTTTGTGCATCATTGGTACAATTGTTTTGTTCTTACTGGTTTAATAAACTTATTTGGTTGTGGAAGTTAAATCATTAGCTTAGCATAACCGTTAGATACATACTGATTGAAATTGATTGTGTTTTGCGCCTGCAGCTCGAAGGAGAGACCCACTCTCGGGTAAGTCTTTTTGTCTTTTATTTCTCATTTTATTTACTCTTTGTATTCTTGAGATATGCATTACTCTTACATGTCAACCTTATCAACCTTTGACTTAACAAAACAAATTGTCACATATGCTCTTTTAGAATGATGGTAAACTTAGGCTACTGAGCCGCTTCCTTAGGCTTAAGAAAATGAAATTGATAATGCTTGAAATGTAGTTATTTGAGGTTCTGATTAATTCATCAATTCTAACAAGGGAAATATGTTATGGGAATTGAAGATTTATGGCATAGAGATTTGGATCTATCAGTGCATCTTTGCATAATCTTTTACATCATTAATATGAAATTTTTATCACCTGTATATGGACTTTTTTCCCCTATATGTTCAGTGGCACGCGGATTAAGACCCGCAAACGGAATATTGCAGCGCCGCTGGACCCTGCAGCTTTCGCGGATGCAGTGGTCCAGATTTATCTGGATAATGCTGGTGATCTGGTAATTGTTGGCTAAAAATTGATGATCTTCTAAATCGCAGTGTATGCATTTATGCACCTTATTACTTGATCATCTGTTAAAACTAAACAAGTATTTGTGCAGGAACTTATTGCCAAGTGCATTGAATCTTCAGACCTTAACTTCTCAAGATACGGTGACACCTTCTTTGAGGTAAGCTTCATAATACTGTAGAGACTTGGTCATGATTTTTCAAATAGCAAAATATGTCTCTCTTTTACTTTTGCCTAGGATGCAACGTTGGCTCAAATTTTTGCAACGAGGGCATCAATTTCCTTTTTATTACCAGTACATCAATTTCTCATGTAGGAAATATAATAGATGTGCTGTTTATAATATGGTATGGTTTTGATTCTTCTTGTCTGTGCAGTTTTGAATTTGAGCTTTATTTTGAACGTTTAAAAGAAAAAAACTGTCTATTGAAAAATAAGTTCTAATGGAAGGAACAGTATGATGAACTTCTGAGTTCTATAATCTTGAACTAGCAATAATGCAAAAAACAACATTCAATGAACTTTAAAGCTTAATTTTTTAATATTTTCAGAGCTTAAGACCATATTCTTGATTGATAAGGCCAAATATCCATTGCTTGATATCTATCCTTCTTATTCTGTTTTTCTGTTTGTGGCTTTACATGTCTTGATAGTTTCTTTCTCCTTGCAATGGGCATATTTAGTTTTTTGGTTTTCTATGATTCCAATATTTTTCCAACTTTTCCCTGTATTGAGCACATAATGGGTTAAAATGGGTCAAAGATCATAATTTGTTGCACAACTGCAGGTTGTTTTCACTGGAGGCCGTACACAACCTGGAACAACAAAACCTGATGAGGGGGAGCGCCACCCTTACTCTGTACTAGAGAGTGAGGCTACACGTGAAGTCATCTTACCATCTGTTATCTACATACAAAAAATTTTGAGGCGGAGGCCATTTCTGATAAAGAATCTCGAGAATGTTATGCGACGATTCCTTCAGTCGTTGGAGCTTTTTGAGGAAAATGAAAGGAAGAAGTTGGCAATTTTCACAGCGCTTGCATTCTCTCAGAAGCTATCGGGACTTCCACCCGAAACTGTGTTCCAGCCTATGCTCAAGGATAATCTTGTTGGCAAAGGGCTAGTTCTATCATTTATTACTGACTTCTTCAAGGAGTATCTCATTGATAACAGCCTTGATGATCTGATCTCCATTCTGAAGCGGGGTAAAGTGGAGGACAATCTTCTGGAGTTCTTCCCATCCACAAAGCGGTCTGATGAGAGTTTCTCTGAGCATTTCACGTAAGTTTTAGCTGTTACTGATTAGCAAATGCTATTATGGACCATCTTTTGAGATAGTCATTTTCATTTTTATAAACTTGTTGCTGAAGCATTTGATAGTCTTTAGATGCTATTTTCATGAATCTGAGGTAGCTGTAATTCCTGAGTAGTTCTAGGAAACTTCTAAGTTTTAGTTGCCATAAAATTCTTTATTTATTTTGGCGCATCATTGTGTTATAGTTTTAGTTGATTTACTCGGAGACTATGAATGCTTATTTGATGATAGCCAGGAATGAACACTCACAGACTATGAATGCTCATTTGATCATGTCATTTCAGTTTCTATTTGCGTTATAGTTTTAGTTGATTTACTCAGAGACTATGAATGCATTATAGTTTTAGTTGATTTACTCAGGAAACTTCTAAGTTTTAGTTGCCATAAAATTCGATGATAGCCTAACCAATCAATAAATGCTCATTGGATTTCTAATTATCAATTGCTTATTAATGGGTTTCAAGTAAAGCATGTGATAACTTTAACTTTCATTGTGTTAAAATTGTTTTATTGACACCTAATTCAACATATGTTCCTGCCAATTTTCAGCAAGGAAGGGCTAGTAGCCTTAGTTGAATACAATGAAAAGAAAATTTTCGAGGTGAAGCTTAAGGAAATGAAATCAGCATTAACAACCCAGATAACAGAAGAAACTGATATGTCTGAAGTCATAGAAACTGTGAAGCAGCGTGTTAAAGATGCTAAATTGCCAGACGTTGAGGTTGTGCGGATTCTGTGGGATGTCATTATGGATGCAGTGCAGTGGTCTGGTAAGAACCAGCAGCAGAACGCCAATGCAGCTCTTCGCCAGGTATGCCTGAGTCTTCGATTTATAAAGTAATTGATATACCCATGTAATTATTGTGCTCTGTAAATGCTGAGGTTAAGCCCTGACAAAAGGAGGAAGATATGATTTTTAAGTGGTCTGTTTAGCGCTATTGTTGTGTTTCAATAGAAATGAAGGCTTGAAATTTGTGTCAATATTGGCTTGCTAAAATGCACAGGTGAAAACATGGGCAGAACTGTTGAATACCTTCTGCACCAATGGGAAGCTGGAGCTGGAACTGATTTACAAAGTCCAAATGCAGTGCTATGAGGATGCTAAGCTGATGAAGCTGTTTCCTGAAATTGTGAGGTCCCTCTATGACCAGGATGTGCTTGCAGAAGACACCATTCTCCATTGGTTCCGCCGAGGAACAAACCCCAAGGGGAGGTATGTATGCATGGTTTCCCAGTTCAGTTCAGTTGCCTGAGTATTAGTTAATATTGGGTGCGTTGTAAATTCATAATTGTAATGTATAAAAATGTGGGAAAATGTTTTTCAGGCAAACTTTTGTGAAGGCTCTGGAGCCATTTGTGAACTGGCTGGAGGAGGCAGAAGAGGAGGAATAGATGCACCAGCAGCCAGCCGATGATGTTACTGATCACTGCAAATGCCTGTTGGGAGCTTCTTCTTTACTATCAATCTCATCCGTTGTCCGAGATTATTGACTCATAAAAATATTCTATAACCTACCTATCTACCTACTTGTGTCTTTGTTGATTGAATGCTGTTGTTGATGATGATGAATGATGTTATGAGGATAATATTTACATTATGAATAATTTGATGCTTTGCTTTACTTCACTTCCAACTTTGGTGGCGTTCTTCCCCGCAGGTTAGTTGCAGTATGTTTTTCACATGCTCAATGGCTCAGTGATATTTCCTTGATTTCCCTTTCCAAATAATTGGAATGGAAAGAAATAAAAGGAAAAGGGTTCGACCAAATTTCTGGATGAAGCATGTTGTAGCACGTAACTATGGTGGGAGGGATTTGGTAATTAAAACTCAAATAAAACACTTTCGACTTTTCGGTGGTAGATGTTTTTAGGTTGAGAATCAGATGATGTGATGACATGGTTTGCAAATTGCAGCAAAAACCAAAAAGCCCAAATCTATTTCATTTTTAACAAAAGGACCATCCAAAAGGCCCAATTCTTTTGAATAAAATACAAGTGAAAATAAATAGATCCATAGGAAAGTTAGCGCTATCAGTCATCCTCTCCTCTCCCCTCCTCTCCTCTCCTTCCGACGAAGACTCGAGAGGTTGAAGTTGAAGATGAGCGTCTGTCAGTCAGTTCTCATCTATGGCGATATGATCTATAGCAATAATATACCCTACATTTTTATTTAATTACTTAATTGTTATGCTCTTCTCATATACACTCAAATTCTGATGGCCTTATCTTCACCCCCTATGAGAGTTTCCTGCGGCCCTACACCCGCCGCCGCCACCACCCGTAGTAATAATAATAACAAGAACAATAACTTTCTCTGCTCCCATGCGCTCGATGCCGTACACATCCGACGCGCCGCCGAGCTGGCCGACAAATCTGCCGGTTTCACATCTCCCCACCCCAACTTCGGCTGCGTCATCGCCACCCAATCCGGAAAAGTCGCCGGCGAGGGTTTCCTCTACGCCCAGGGTACCAGGCCCGCCGAGGTTCTTGCCGCTGAGGCAGCTGGCAACTTCTCCAGTCGCGGCACCGCTTACCTCAACATGGAGCCCGGTGATTGCCACGGAGATCACGCTGCCGTCTCTGCCCTCGTTCAGGTTGCATTTTTCTCTTTTTCTTCTTTCATTTCATTTCATTTTCGGTTCCTCCCCCCCTCGTAAAAGAGAAAAAAAAATTGTTATAATTTTGGTTGGATTGATGAGATGGAAAGTGAATTAGGCAGGGATTGAAAGGGTGGTGATTGGGTTGAGGCATCCATTGCAGCACCTGAGAGGGAATTCCATAAGGGCTTTGAGAAGTGAAGGGTTGCAGGTTCATGTTCTTGGTGAGGACCTCAACGGTAAACTCATTGAGGTATAAATTAATCCAGTAATTAACCACCTTTAATCAATTTCATATGCTCATTAGATTACACACCTTAGCTTATGTTTTCTTTTGAACCGCTTGGCAATGGTAAGTAATATAGGCATCTTCTGCTCTGCTCAAAACTGAAATAACTATTGTGTTGTGTGCATGCAACAAGCAACATTGAATTTAACATGTTATTATGAATCCAACACCAACAGGAAGCTCGGAAATCATGCCTCCTTGTCAATGCTCCTTTAATTTGTAGAGCTGCTTCTCGAGTCCCCTTCTCTGTTCTCAAGTATGCTATGACCCTTGATGGTGAGCTTTCTCAGTTTCCTCATAAACTTCAACTATTTTCTTTCTTCTTAAAGGACAGTGTAAAACAAAACAATATGTGAATAAGTAAAGAGGCCTCAAACATTTGAAAGTAAACAAGTTTGCTGATTGACTAGTCATTAGTCTTCCTTGGGTGCTAACAGGAAAAATTGCTGCTAGCAGCGGACATGCCTCATGGATCAGTAGCAGGACATCTCGAAATCGAGTTTTCGAATTGCGGGGTAGAAGTGATGCGGTCATTGTAGGAGGAAATACCGTTCGCAGGGACAGTAAGTTTTATCATTTTCCGAACTTTGTGATGTGTGTTTATACTAGTTGGAGTTGGAGATGCTGAAGATGCTTGATTATGTTCTATCTTTATTTTTGAACTAGATCCAAGACTAACTGCAAGACATGGAGGTGGGCATATGCCCATGCGGATTGTAATGTCACAGACTCTTGATCTCCCTGAGGAAGCAAACCTTTGGGATTTCTCTGATGTATCGACTATAGTTGTGACACAAAGGGGTGCAAGAAAGCGTTTCCAGAAATTTCTTGCATCTAAAGGAATTGAGGTGGTGGAATTTGACATCCTAAACCCCAGAGAAGTAATGGAATACTTTCATGATCGTGGATATCTTTCAGTTTTGTGGGAGTGTGGAGGGACATTAGCTGCAGCTGCTATTTCATCTGGCGTAATACATAAGGTTTTTTCCCCCATCCTCTCTTTCTCTCTATGAATTTTTGTCTATCTTCTACTCTTGTCTGTTTAAAACTGATGACTTTGGAATGTTGGTATAATTGGCATCTTCTAGGCTGGATCCAAGAAGAAGGTGAATGGTGGATTCTCCATCCTTCTTTTTGGCCATAAGCTTTACCATTTTCCTTTTTAAAGTCATCTCAGATTTCTTTTTTCTGTTGGAATTGGATTTGTTAACGGGGATTTTGCCTCTGCCAAATTCAATGTGTTGCAGGTGTTCGCATTTGTTGCTCCTAAGATTATTGGTGGAAAGAATGCGCCAACCCCTGTAGGTGAACTTGGGATGGTTGAAATGTCACAAGCCTTGGATTTAATTGATGTTTGCTATGAGCAGGTTGGTGGGGATTTTTAGAGTTTTCTTCTAGAGATAAATTTTTTCTAGTTAATCTTGTGTGCTAACCATGTATTCTCTGGTGCTTATATCTATGTTCTGCCTCTTGATTGGATTTTTCATTTTATGCTTTGGAAACTTGAACCACAGGTTGGACCTGACATGCTTATAAGTGGATTTCTTCAACCCATACCAGATGCGACGCCTGTTATTCCATCCGTTGATGAAACTTATGAAATTGATCCAACTGTCACTCCATATGAATCAAGGATCATATTCTTCTACAAAACATGGGACCCTTATGGTGCATTCTCAAATTTTTCTCCGCACGCAATTAAGATGCCTGATGCCAGTGGTGATTATGCCACTTGGTTGAGTGTAGAGCATTACTACCAGGTACTTCCCTTTTCTATATGGATCTGGTTTCCATCTCACAAAACTGTGGTCATTCTCACAAAACAATACTAACATGTAGGCTCAGAAGTTTGTTGGGGTGGATGATCCTGTGGCACGAGATGGTGTTGAAAATATTAAGTCTGCGAAAAGTCCAGAAGAGGCAGCACGAATAGGAAGATCAATGCAGAGGCAGCAGCCTGATTTGGTACGGTCCTATGCACATTTTTTTGGATTTGAAGTTGGTATCAGCTATCATGATACGTGATGCAGTCATGGCATGCTATGCTGTGGTGAATCATTCAATCATGGTTCTTATAATTTCTCAATTAAAGAAACTTAAAAGTAAAGAGATAATATTATGATATCAAGTTATTAACATCTATTATTTGAACCTAAGATCTCTACCTTATCCCATTCATGCCATGCGACTTGAGCTAAGGCTCATTAGAATATCTTTGAGTTTATGGTGCAAGTTGGTTGAAACTTCTTGTTAAGTGTGTGGTATGGTATGTATGCAGGTAAGATCAGATTGGGAAAGTGTGAAGATTGAAGTGATGTACAGGGCACTAAAATGCAAGTTCTCGATATACCCACATTTGAATTCTATGTTGCTGTCAACTGCGGGATCTGTTCTTGTTGAAGCTTCACCGCATGATCTCTTCTGGGGTGGAGGCCGGGATGGAGAAGGCCTAAATTATCTGGGCAGGCTTTTGATGCAGTTGAGATCAGAGTTTCTTGGTGAGTCTCATACGTCCAGTTAGAGAAGCAACAAACCCCTTGTATCATTCTCATGTCTTCCATTCCCGCGGCCTAGTAACTGCATAACGAACGAGGAGAGAGAACGGGTCAACTTTTAAAGAATTTTTTAATTTAAATTTGTAATATGCAAGCAGAGAATGTGTTTCGAACACAATAATTGAGAAGCAAATGCTGTCGCCCACTAGAAAAAGATTTGTTTGAATAGTTGATGATTTGTAATAAATTAATATATACTGCAGTGAGAACAACGTTTGGGAAATCGATCAACGTAAATCTTTGATGACAAAAGTATCAAGTAGACGCGTACCTAGCAAGCAAAGTAAACCCATAATTTGATTGGACTAATAACTTTTAGGCATATGATGCAAATGCAATGCGTGCTTCAAATCTAGATAGCTAGGCTAGTGATGGAGTGACAGCCAGTCCAATCTAATCCAGTGACGACGCCATATATATATATATATATATTAGGCTACTTGCTCGCTCGAATGAACATGAACGTCAAGTAAATAAACTTGTATAAACAAATGTTGCACATTCTTCGCATGACCCGGTTTTAATAATGCTTATTGCAGGCATAATTTATACTTTTTTTTTTAACCGATCCTGAAATTAGGTAACATATAATCACCTACTGGCGTAGCCCTTTGAATACAAACTGAAAAAGACAAGGTTCTAGAATTACTATACATACGCATGCAAAATGTGGCTAATAGTTAATAAGTTATTATTTAATTAGTTGAGATTAATCATCACAATGTGATGTGACTACTTAATTGCCTGAACAATGAATCTACAAAATGATTAACTAGGGTATCACCGACAAGTGACAACTACTACTACTTGGATGCATGAAGGCTTTTAGGAAGAATATTTCCTGAATTTGTGCTCAATTCGCATTTTGGTCATTCAACTTACACTCAATATGCATGAGAAATCTACTCGCTTGCTTAAATCATGTATGAATGATGGAAATGCATTAGTGTGTGATGTCAATCAAATTTATATGATATAGATATAGTCCCCTCCCCTGTGAATTTGAAAAGACTGCAGTGGCCCAGCATATTTATGGGATGGGATCATGGGACTTGTTTCTGGATCTCCTATAAACGATGACATGGTAATGAAGGGGATGGGATACATTATATATATATATATATATATATATATATGATTTCATACAGCTAGCATAGGCCAACAGTGTTAAGTGTTGCGTCTTTATCAAAAAAATATCATCTGATGGATGGATGGATGGATGGATGGATCATGGACGGACGTAAGTGTTAAGTGCTGGGATTACATATTAATAAATATGATATATGTTTTTTATTTCCATCCTAATTCATTTTCTTTTGTCAATCATAATTGTAAATTAATTCACTATATATAGAAGATTTTTTAATCTATGATAATGATATATAAAATAACATCACAAGAACAAAACCATGTTATGTTTCACGTGTTCGTTTCAAAGTCCAAAAGTCCAAATCATAATTGTATATTGATTCTGAAAGGTTGCGATGAAATATATATTAATTTTTAATTAGACCGCTCAATCAAACATGGATACAAATTTAAGATATATTAGAGCATTTACAATTATGCTCTATATTTTCTAATTAAAATTTAGCTAAAAACAATGTTATTTTAGGAGCTCCTTATAAAATTTGAACTCCAATTATATTTCCTAGTTTAGGGAGTCGTAAATACTATAGTTATTTTTTAATTCAATATGATTGGTCCATCACTATAAAAAATAAAAAGTTAACATTAATTAAAAGTTTAAACTATGCCTAAAACAAAACAGTATTAAATTATAGGGAGCCATTAAGAGTTATAAATACTTTACTTCTTTTTAAATTTAATTCCTGATTTGCAATAAAACGTTCATATTCAAATGCCGAATATTCCCAAATAATAAACTACAAAAACAATTCAATGGTTTTTGTGTTTTAAAAGTTTGTTTGTGTTTGCATGCACAAAAAAAAAAAAAAAAATGTGTGTTGCTAAATGTATATAGCGAAAATAATCGAAAAAATAAATAAATTTGCTTGTGCTTTGCAAAGCACCTATAGCAAAAAGAAGAGGAAAGATGGTGCATGATGTAGGTAGTGTGCAATAGAAAGGTGATTAAAAATATAAAATGCAGAAAAAAGAAGAAGATAGAATTAAAAGAAATCATTAAATAATTGTTTTAAATAATAATAAAATGGACAAACTATAGTAAACCCTCAACCTATAGGGTCATTTACGAGTTCATACCTGATTTTGGAGACATTTACCAGTACATACTCAACGTCGCGAAAACCCTTCAATTTGCCAATGCCGTTAGCTAAACTGTTAGTGAATCTGTTAAATGCTGACGTGTCAAAAATGGGACCCCTTTTTTTGATGACGTGGACTTCCATGTGGACAAAAAACTAATAAAAAATTATGTACATGTTAAAAATAGTTTTTTAAATCATATTAAAATCATTAAAAAATGAATAAATAAATAAATTCTCATCTTTGGCTAAGGATGCTCTTGTTTGAAATTGATTTTCCACGCAAGAAAGTCATGGAGCTTTACTGTGACAATCAAGCTGCTAGGGAAACAACAAATAATCTAGTTCAACATGACATAACTAAGCATGTGGAACTGGATAAGTATTTTATCAAGGAAAAGCTGTCAGACAAGCTAATTGATATACCATTTGTAAAAAGTCACAAGAACAACTGGCGGATGTCTTAACACATACGGTGTCGGCAAAGGTTTTCCATGACTTACTTGACAAGTTAGGCATAAAAGATATCTACACATCAATTTGAGGGGGAATGTTGGCTTAAGCCATAATTTAGGGATCTTGTGATCCTTGATTTCCTGATGTAATTCACGTCACCTAATTGGAATAGCTACCTAATTAGGATTCCTTATAATTAACTAATTACTCTTCCTTGTAGAAAAAATAAACTTATACTTGTATATATATATCTTCCTCTTAAAAAAAATATAATATAAATCATAATTATTGAATTATTCAATCATGTGTTTGGTTTGAGTGTTTCTTCCATCCAAAATTGAACACTAAAATTGGAGAGAAACATAAGTATACGACAATGAGACGATATGATCATATGGAGGATAGGATATTGGGAACTTGGGTGGGTGACAGTTGACTTCGTAAATCCCATCCCATAATGTTCATGAATCCTGTTGTGTGTGTGTATGTATATGTATATATATATATATATATATGTTGCCAATTAATTTCAAAGATGTATATATATAGTAGGTGCGTATATGCGTTTGGTCAAGTAAGAAATAATAGTCTACAATTAGGAAATTAGGAAATCGGTATTTGAAAACAATGAGACCGACCGAATCTCTGAATTTGATTTGGTGGGGGTATGCATATTAATTAATGTATTTATGTATGGTTTATATATATATATATGTATGGTTAGAGAGGTGGCTGGCTGGCTAGCTGGCTATCCAACCAGGTGAGCGTGAGAGAGTTGAGAGAGAGACGACAGTGGCCCACGTAGAAATGACGAGGATCCTCACATTATAAGGGAGACAAAGCTGATGTGTTTCACATCACAGCTGTTAATGTTAGCTAAGAACATGATGCATGCATGCAAATGACATTTGCATTATACGCAAGCAATGCACACAATAAAAACAGTAAAAACAAATGATTTTTATACCTCCTGTTCTTCTTCTTCCTCCTCTTGTTTGTTTGTTTGTTTGTTTGTTTTGTCTTATTAAGCAAATCAAGCCAGCTACGAACGTAATGGAACTCTCACATCCAATCCGTATTTGCATACTCTCTGTGTTTCTACTTAATATATATATATATATATACATATGTATGTGTGTGTCTGTTGATGAATGTATATATAATACATATGAGAATAAACCCAATTCTGATTACAAGCCTGACGATGGAAGTACGGATTGAGGTACCTGGTGTGTTTTTATTTTATGGCACATCACATGACGCGTGGAACATGGAATTGCATTTGCGGTACTCAAATTCTTTGTCATGGTCATATATTAATTGATCATTGGTTTCTAATTCTATCAAGAAAAGAAAGAAAAACAAAAACAAAAACAAAGAAAAAGGAAAAGGAAAAGTTCAAGACTTTACACCAAGTTTCTAATTCTATATATTTACACTAAATATATAGCTAAAACCATTTTTAGAAAAGGATCGTGTGTAAAGGAAAGAAAATCCCTCATAAATAATTTTCAAATGATTGCAAAGGAAATAAAAATAAAAAAAAAAAAAAAAAAAAAAAAATCTTTTAAAATAAAAACTAAATAGAAAAAAAAAATATGCTAGCAAAAAATGCACGGATGCTAAATGTGGAGGCACAAGATCCTGAAACAATATGATTTCGATTAGTTTATTACTTTATTAGTTGCATGAGACCCTTATATCCAGATGTTTATCTGATACAATAAATTCTTAATTTTTTCTACCAAATATTGTAATTTCTTATCTTTATCTTATACACAATACATTGAGCGTCATTTAGAAACCAATTTAATTAACTTATTAGTACTACCCTTAGTATGAGTAAAATAAGTATCGTGAATTTTGATAAAATTTTCGTTAATAAAATGGCAAAGCTTTTTCATAAAAATGTGCTATTTCAATTCTAAGCCAGGATATCGTTCTCTAATGATTTCCAAATCCCAAAGTACATTTTATTTATTTATAATTATATAAGTTTATGAATATGACAGAGAAAGTTTCAATTCCAAAAGTTTAACCTCTAGAATAGAAGAAGTGGAGAAGTGATACCTTTTTTTCGTCTCTCGATCTAAAAAAAGATTAGTTTTAGTAGTTTTGTTTGTTGCACTCTCTCTCTCTCTCTACGGACTCTTCCCTCAGTTTCTCTCTCTAGAAAGTCAGGTCGTATTACAAGAGCGGGTTTTTTTGCAATCTTTTATATTTCAGTTGCTGTTGGTGGTTGCGATTATTTCTCACATTTAAAGGCTCTCTCTCTCTCTCTCTCTTTCATTTCCTCCTCTCTCTAAAATTGGCTCTCTACCCACTTCCTCTATTCTGATAACCTTCACAAAGATGCTTGCTTTATGCAAGGCCGTGAGCTGAGCTGCCTGCTCTCTCTTTTCTGTGCCCATTCTGTGTGCTGTAATTTGGGCTTTTCTTTTGTTCATGCATTTTGTTTCAGTCTTGTTTGGTTTCATTGAATCCAAGCTTGATCTGAGAAACGAAAGCTCTTTGGGGTCGTGCGATTGGAGAGCTTTCTTGTTGGATTTGGGGATATGGGAGTGTGATCATACAATGGTTTGGTGAAAATTTGGGTAATTCTAAAACAGATCTTTTATAGATCTGCTTTCCTGGTGTCATGCATACCTTTTGTTATATTTTTCGTATGTTTGTGATCTCAAAAGAGAAAGAAGGTTGGCCATTTTTGATATCACCGGCGCTTTCAAACCTCAAAAGGTTATAATATCGAAAGTGGATTCCTTTCATGGAAAAGTGAAAGTGGGGGTGTTTTGCTTAATGGTGGATGCTCTTCTTAAAGATTGGGTGCTAAATTCAAGTGTTTTCTGGGAAAATTTGTGGCAATCGGATTGCAGATTGTAATTCAAGTGGATTAATCTGATTAGCCAGGCATTGAATATACAAGGGTATTGCTCAAAGATTGTGATCAAACGAAGATATTGATATCAGAGAGAGAGACAGAGAGAGACAGAGAGACAGAGAGAAAGTGAGTTTAGTGGATTGATTGGTCACTTAAAGGCCCTGATTTTGAAGGGCGTTCGGGTTATTAGGTGAATTTCTTACGGATCCGTCAATTGAAAATAGGGGGTTGTATTGCTCGGCTGGTCTGGAGTGCCTACTAAACATAATCAGGGCCCTGAGAATGGGTTCCTGCTTGTCTGCAGAAAGCAGGAGCCCACTGCCCGATTCGCCGTCGTCTCCCGCCTGGGGAGTCAGGCGGCGCAAGAGCACCAAGAAGAAATTGGGCTCTCGAAATTCTTCCTTTGATTACCGCCGGGAAGAGCCGTTGCATAGAATTCCCGGGAGAATGTTCTTGAATGGGTCAAGTGAAGTTGCATCTTTGTTTACCCAACAGGGCAAGAAAGGGACCAATCAGGATGCCATGATTGTTTGGGAGGTTAGCTCTTTCTCATAATCTTTACTTGACTCTGATCTGATTTTTTATACTGATTTATCAGTTTTATATCTGGATGTAAAATCACCCCAGCAACTTTTTATTTCTTATGTTAACTTCCTGCAATCCTACTTAAAAGGAAATAGCAGCCTTTTTCTGCAATACAATTGGCTGCAGTTTCTCTACTTTTTTTTTTTCTTTCTCTCGGGATATTATCCAAACTTGCAAACCTTACTTCCGTGGTGGCAGTTGAACTCTTTGTTTTATCGTCCACCTTAGCAATTGCAAGTCCTTGTTTGCAGAGCAAAGTGGCTCCTTGATTGTCATATATTTGAAGGCTCCCACAGAAAAAGCTACTCTGTTCAATGTGTTTGTTACTTTATATGCACGGATTTTGCCATATATTAACCTTCAGATAGCTTCATCCTTGCTATTCTGTATCCACGTTTTAAAACTGTTCTATTTTATCATATATAGATTTATTTGTTTGACTTACTAATTTCTATTTTGTTGTGATATGTATATTTTGAGGAAACGTATCCAGGGCTGAACAATGTTATTATTGTCTAAATCTTTTTAAATATGAATTTCAGAATTTTGGTTCAAGAACAGACACAGTTTTCTGTGGTGTTTTTGATGGCCATGGTCCGTTCGGTCATATGGTTGCTAAAAGAGTGAGGGATTCTCTTCCTCTGAAATTGAGTGCAAACTGGGAGGTGACCATAACCAGTGAGGAAGTACTCAAAGAGATCAGCCTCAATAATTCAGGAAGCTTGAATTCAGATGGTACTCCCTTTGTATATGTTGATGAAGATTTCAGGGCCTCCATTGATATTGAGGAAACAGACAAACACCCTGAGATCTTTCAGACATTGAAAGAGTCATTCCTAAAGGCTTTCAAAATTATGGATAGGGAGCTGCGAACACAACCAAGTATCGATTGCTTTTGTAGTGGGACAACAGCAGTAACTTTGGTTAAACAGGTGTTTTCATAACCTTCGGAAACTTGTACTGATGTGGTGTTGGTTTTTTGTGATGTACTCATCTTTATGATGCATGTTTTGGCATGTTGGCATGTTTCCTAGGGTCGGGATTTAATCATTGGAAATGTTGGGGACTCCAGAGCTGTTCTGTGCACGAGAGATAAAGATGACGCTCTAATTGCAATTCAATTGACTGTGGATCTCAAACCAAATCTTCCAGGTCTCTCTCTCCTTTATGCTTCTCCTTTCTCATAATAGTTTTCAATTGTGAATTTTTTCAAATTTGGTTTATGATTTTGGCAAGATCTGATCTAGTCACATTTCTAATGATGCTCTACACATGCAGAAAGTTGTTTGGGGGGGTGTGATTGAAGTTTTTAAAAGACTTTGTTGTCAGGTTGTCTGGTTAAGAAAATGTTCATATATGAAATACATTCAGACTAATTTCATAGACTTGACAGTGTTTATTTTGGCGTGGGATCTCTATTAGAATATGAAACTTTAACATCACCATTCACCACTCTTATTGTTCATGTTCTTTTGTTCTCAGAAATACCGAAGTTTCTGAATCCACGTAGCATAAATAACTCGGCATGAAGTCACTTTTAGCGACATATCTATTTGTTATTTTTCCACTGCCATTATAGACTTGTGGATTGGATAATGGCTTCCATCTCCCTGCAACAGCAAACAAGGAATACAAAAGAAAGATTCTGTGATGAATTGCGGTCTGCTTGCTAGCTTCTTGTGATTATCTTCTTTCTGAGTTCTTACCTGCTTTTTCCTTTATTTCTTCCTCACTCAACAGCGGAAGCAGAGAGAATACGGAAGTGTAGAGGGCGCGTTTTTGCTCTTCAGGATGAACCTGAGGTTTCTCGGGTCTGGCTGCCAAACAATGACTCCCCGGGTCTTGCCATGGCACGGGCTTTTGGAGATTTCTGCCTCAAGGATTTTGGCCTGATCTCTGTGCCAGATATATCCTTTCGGCGTCTCACTGAGAAGGATGAATTTGTAGTCTTGGCTACAGATGGGGTATGGATCCAGCTGATTTAAAGCTACTTACGAAAGAGATATATAACATGCCCCTTCCTTTCACCCTCCTATTCCTCCTCCTCCTGCTCTTTGAATCTAAGGTTGAAACTTTTTGGCAGATTTGGGATGTTCTCTCTAATAAAGAAGTGGTAGACATTGTAGCATCAGCCCCAGCACGCTCTTCTGCAGCTCGAGCACTGGTTGAGACAGCAGTTCGAGCTTGGAGACAGAAGTATCCAACTTCCAAAGTAGATGACTGTGCTGTAGTTTGCCTTTTCCTTGACTCAGACTCAAACTCTGGATCAACTGCTGCTAATAACTGGTCAAGTGAGCAGCCTGCCACAACGGATGAGGTCAATGGTGGGACTGAGCAAGAAGATCTCTCTGGGACAACTTGTTTGGTCCGCTCAGGGACTGCCCGAACTGGCAAAGAGATTCTTCGAGAACAAGAACAAGAAGAAGAAGAAGAAGAAGAAGAAGGAGAGGAAGAAGAAGAAGCAAGTAAAGATAACGGTGCAGAGGAAATGAATTCAGAGGCAGGTAAAGAGTGGTCTGCTCTGGAAGGAGTTTCCCGTGTGAACACATTATTGACCCTGCCAAGGTTTGTGCCTACAAAAGAAGACAAGAAGGTGTGGAAGAAGGTTTGATTATTGATATATCCCCTTGTTTCTGTTTCTCATAAAAAATTGTTCAGTATCATTTATTTTTCCTTGTCTCTGTTTCTGTTTTGCATTTTCTACACATGTGATTTGTAGGGCCATAAAAGTAAAATTTTTGACCGGAGAGGTAGGCCTCCCGACTATATTAGCATGTCTGGGAAAATCGTCCTTTCTAGTGTGGGTAGAATTGGAATTTTTGTAAAATCCATCCAACTCTCTCTCTCTCTCTCTCTCTCTCTCTATATATATATATATATATAAAATTTCTGTTTCAAAAGATATGTTGTGTTGTTATGTGGATAATAATTTTGTGATGATAATGAAGCCTCATCCATCATCTTGAATGGTTGTTATGTTGCAAACAAGATATTTAGCTCAGCTTTACTTTTCAATTTGCTGCCCCAATACATTACATTACAACCATACCATAAATATCAGGCAGTCTCTAATAAAAGAGCTCCACCATGAAAGGGGGTTGGCCCCTTGTTTTCATTATTCCTTTTGACTTTTATGAAAAGCTGCTTCCACAACAATATGTATCCTTGTCATAATCAGAACCCCCCGAATAGGATCCATCACTCACCGCACATTGCACTGCATGTCTACGAATGAGCATTACCAAACCCTTTACGAATGAGCATTACCAAACCCTGGCGTGGGTTGTTTGTTTTCAATCCGTTCATATCAAGCATCAATTCAGAAATTAAGAGGGTGCGGTTCAAATAAGATGATGCTTTTTTTTTCTTCTTTACATAGCATTTGTGTTTGTGTCTGTGGAGAGGAGGCTACTATTCATCATATCAACTGTAATCTCTTAATCAAATATACTTCACATATAATATTAGACTCTTGGTAGAAGTCATCATGTGAGAAAAAATGAAAAGAAATCAAAACTCTTGGTAGAATGCATTTCTTTGATTGATGTAAGATCAAAAGTTGACAATGTAAGTTGTAAGTTTAATAACCAGAAAAAAGAAATGTGACGAGAGAGAGAGAGAGAGAGAGAGAGAGAGAGAGAGAATGGAATGAAATGCTTTTTCAATGTCATATCGGTTTTCCTTCCAACCAGCGTGTATAAAAGTCCAGTGCCTCCCGCGGCTTGTATTCAGGGACGGTGTGTCCAGCTCCCTGCCTCACCAGAAGCCAAGGAAAAAATAAACTTGAATAAATCTAAAGCAGAGAGCTTTTTTGATTATATATTTAATTTATCAGAAAAAGAAACATAACAATTATATATGAGTGAACTTATTAATTAGAAGATAATAAGATCAAAGAATATCCTATTATCAAAGTTCACACAACAAAAATCTTGAAGCTAGAGAGAGAGAGAGAGAGAGAGAGTACAGACCTTGATGGTGAGAAAGGTGAGGTTGTTTTGATATGCTTGCAAGTATCTGCAGCAGATAACCCAAATCTTATTAAGAAGTTGATAAAAGAAACCAAACAAACAAAAAGTGGAGCACCGGTCATTTACTGCCAGCCACATATGGAGGAGGAGGTGAGTAACTAACTGCATATATATTTTATCAGAAAAGAAAACTTGTCCTTGTCCAAGATTATGTATGGTGGTGCTTTGAAGTGCACAATTACTAATAGGTAGATTTGTATATATATGTTATGTGTACCCTGCAACTTGCTCATTGGACTGCCAAGATCTCCATTCATCTACAATTTGATATCCAAGTGATCTGGTCCATGCCTGGCTCCCAGTGTATGGAACACACATATCATGGTCTCCACTGCCAACAAAATATAAAAATATTTATTATTACTTGCAGCAAAGATACTAATTTGTTATAATTAACATTCCGTGCATGTAAATGAAAGCAGACCTGTAAATGAGTGCTCTGTATCCCTGAGTTGTAAGATTTTGGTGGTAAGGGATCATGCTTCCGGCATCATGAGAATAACTTATTCTTTCTGTACATAACTCCCAAGGACCAGCCACACTTTCCTGTCATTCATTCATTCATTCATTCATTATTACTTGTGTCATAATTAAGGCTAAGTGTGATTTCAATAGAAAATTAATCATCATATCTCCACAGCAAAAGCAAGCAAGCTTACTGGCTCTGCATGAATTGCTTCCCTAACTGCTGGGTTGTTTAGCCATTTTGTTGCAACTTCATCACTCTACATCCAAATTAATTAAACAAATAAAATTTTAAAAAAATCTTCAAAGGTTATATATACGACTCTCTCTCTCTCTCTCTCTCTCTCTCTGAGGAGGAGGAGGTAGCTGATAATTACAGCCTAAAAAATTAAGGTTGAAAAAGTAACTTACAACGCAAGGAACACCGAGTGAGTTTGATAGCTGAGGCCACAATGGGACAATGCCATCTTCTACGGGTGCCCTAAAAGGCCAAGCACGGCCAAACATCCTTTTCCTCACTCCCAGAGGCTTCTCAGTAGTGGTCCCTAATTGCTGGAAGCTTAGTGGTAAGCTTGTATTTCCTTTGCCATTATTTTGGTTATTATTACTGTTAGTTCCTGGGCCATGGTAACAAGGCTCCAGGATGTCGTAAATGTTTAGTCCATCAATAGCCTAATCAATGACCAAACAAGCAAATAATTATGGTTCATAATAATGTGAGAAGCTTTAAGTTCACTTTTAATATAAATAAAAAAAAGAAGAGAATCGCTCGCACGCACCTCGTAAACTAGCCCAAATTTCTTTCTGCATTGAGTACGATTTGGAGGATTATGGAAGTCTCCGCCACATGCGGCTGTAACTTGCTGCAATAGTCAATTTGGCTCAAATATGCTTTTGGCACTAAAAGAATAATAATTGGAAAACAAAATCAAACAAAATGCCGGGATTAAGAGATGAGTCTAGCTAGCTACCTCAAAGATTTGATCTGAGATGAGGGCCATCCCATGAGCAAACGGCACTAGAGCATTGCCATCAAATTTCCCGTCTGTGACTCCATTCCCCACCAGGTAACCCTATATGTAGTACATACAGAGTGTGATGATGAAGCTGATAGATTTAGCTTAATCTTTCTCAAGCTTACTGTATATACGCACGCACCTTGAGATTTAGAGTTGGTTTTGTTCCATTGTTTATACCTACACATTATATATATACATATATGTAATTATAGCCTTAATTAATTTCATGTATATGTAAATGGAATTAATATTTGTACGTAACGCAGAAATTAGATACGTACCTTTTGCAACTTGAGAAGCAAGAGTTGGCACATAGACTCCACCATAAGACTCTCCAGCAATGTAAAATGGATTTGAAAGGAACTCCGGGAATTGCTCAAACCACTGATTGCAATTTGCATTGCATATAGTAGAGAATTATTGTTGATGATGAACCACATTAATTACTACTTGTCTCTATTAATTTAAACTGAGTGGGATCGATGGATTATCCCAAATACAATAATATATTATTACCTTGAGGAGAAAGGCGTGTGTATCAGAAGCAGTTTGTAGGTCCCCAGTTTGATATTTGCTTTCGTCTTTAGAGTAAGAAAAGCCAACACCAGCAGGAGAATCCAAGTAAATAATGTTGGAAACCTGAATATTTGGTTAATTATTATGTTTATGGCCAATAAATTATTTAAATTAAAATTAGTAAAAAAATGGAAATCTTTCCACAATAATATATAGAGACCTTGGACCAACTATAAGGATTAAGATGCAAAACAGGCAATCCTCCTTTTGGTTGTCCTTGTGCAAAATTGAATGGCCCTGCATATGATAGAGTTAATCAATCTAACAATCTCTCATCCCTAGCTACTTTGGCTAAAAAAAAGGAAAATACTTCTTTCACTTGCCTCTCTATTTTGGAGAACCAACTTTTGGCTCTCTACATCTAGCAAGGAAGAGAGAGAATTTGGCTAGGAGAGAGGTAGAGACATTTGGGAGGTTGGTGGGGTTGAGTTTCTACTTTTCTTTTTAATATATTTGATTTACAAGAGAAAGAGAAAATAGTAATAAAATATTTCAAATTAGCCAAAATAGAGAATATTGCTGGAGGACTATAATAGCTTTCTAGCTATTTTAACTAGAATTTAGCTAAAATTTGGAGACTCTCCTGGAGATAATCTAGAGGTTACTTTCGCATTTCCGAAACCAATGTCACATTATATTTTGGGTCAACTTGGTCACATTTGGGGACAAGAAAGCTAGGAATTCGGTAAAAACTCCCAAATGAATTAGGAGACTGCCAACCTTTGGAGCATATAGAAAATTAACGGCTCTATTAATTCCAGAGTCGGACACCAGACCAGACCACATGAGCTGAGTTTTATGAATGCGACTACAAACAAACACTGGGACCGTAAACTCACTCATGGACAATATACTTCAACTACTAAAGCTAGCTAGCTTCACATCATCATCAACATCTACATATGTATATTCAAAACAATAATAACAATAATATTCAAAATAAAGCAGACAGCAAGAAAAAGACAATAATTTGATTGTGTGGTGCCAAATGTGCCTACTACTACTTTTACTTTATTTAGAGCTGAAATGGACAACACTGTATTATGAGTTACAATTACAGTCCCACATATCTCTCCTCCTCTCCAGTGAAACCAATTACTTTTTGTTTTCTGAAACAAAATTATTATTAATTTCCAATCAGCACCCACCCGTGAGTGGTGACACAGGCACAGCTAATGACAAACATTGCAAAAGAATGGAGAAGAAGAAGAAGAAGAAGAAGAAAAAGAAGTTGTGGTTGAACAAAAAAAGTAGAGGTAGAGCGATATACCTAATTTTGAAAAAGAGAAAGAAATTAGCTAGAGCGCAGAAAAGTCATACGTACCATGCTCATAAACAAAGCCATCGAAGCTAGAGCAGCCGGGTCCACCATTGAGCCACAGAACAACTGGATCATTTGCTGGGCTTCTTTCTGAAACTACCAAGTAGTAGAAAAGATTCTTTCCATCTATGCTTATATATCTACACATTCAATTCAACACAATAATACATTATCTACATATATACTAGTATAACAATTCTGTTGATATCATTTTGCTTGCAAATAAATATATATAAGACGATAGCTTCTAAAATAAAACTTACCCTGAGTAGTGCTTGGATGGAAAGGTACCATTAAAGCCGGGAAGTTGGGTGATAAGAGAGCTTTCAGGGGCAGCCTCAACTATAACCAAACTCATGAACAGCATATGCATGCACACAGTTATGCTCAAAATGAAGAATTTGCCCATGCCCATGCCCATGGTGGCCTGCCTTCTAAATTCTAATTAACAAGGCCTGCAGTTTCTTACTTATATCATAAACTGAAGGAAATATTGTGTTGTGTGAGTGTATGAGAGAGAGAGAGAGAGAGAGAGAGAGAGAGAGAGAGAGAGCGCACTAATCATCAGCAGAAAAGTGAGTATATATAGACAAGAAATGGGATCAAAGAAGGAAGAAGAAGGGGAAAACGTCAATTTTTGGGTCAAAAAAGGAAACAAATCTTGGCAGAGAAAAATATTAATCTGAAAAAGAAAAAAAAAGACAATTGGGGTTGAAGGAAACGAAATTAATTCAAGCAAACAAGACAAGGAGGACTAGGTTGGGCAACAATCGGGCCAAACCAAATTGTAATTACAAGTTTGGTTTGGTCTTGATCAAGAAAAAGTTAAATGGTTTAAAAACCGATCAAATAGTATATGGTTTGATTTGATTTGGTTTTGAGCTTTTGTATGATGAGTGTGTATGTGTGTAAGATATAAAGCATAAGAGCAATGCTAGGCATACCACATATATATATATCACCTCTCGAATAGAAGTGGAGTGCATCAATACAATATATAATGGGGTTCACCTCGATTAGAGAGGTGGTATATAAATGTGGTATGTATGAGTAATATTTTTGATAGTATAAATATAATAGAGAGGGTGGCTGGCTAGGCTAGAATTAGCAACAAAAGAAGTTTTTAAAACATATATATCTAAATTGAGCTAGCTTTTTAATTGACGACGACGAGTCGACGACAAAAGAGCTGAATGTTGTTGTTTTGGTATTTTAAAAAGGTGAAATTAAATATAGAGATGTTGGTGGTGTTTGGTGGCTTATTGCTTATGGCTTATGGTTGGTGTGCATTGCAATGTTCCTTGTAAACAAGAGGTAGCGAATTAGTATTAACAATAATAATGGTGATGGAATACGACGTAGCTACGTGCGGATATTGCAATATGGCAAATTGATTGCAAAAATAAATAATATGGGAATGGAATGAATGAGTAGGCAACGATGATGAGGGCGTGTACTCCGATAAATGCTGCCTGCCTGCTGGTAATTAAGGTAGGAAGGAATCAGTCCTTCCACCTCAAAAGGATTTAGTTCATTCATATATATATACATAATAGAGAGTGGATTTTTTGAAATAATTTTGTTGAATTTGTAGGTGCCAGTTAAAAACTAAAGGATGGATGTTATATATCATTTCATAGCATTCAAATTGACAAGTTAATTAGTTTGGTTGAAACTTAATTATAATAGGGTGGATCGATCTGATCAAACATTCAATAAATACACTTACTAAAGATAATTGTTGCTGTGATGGGCTGTGATGGGTGGTCTTGTGGCTTTTGGGAGAGAAAAGACAGAGAGAGTGAGTGAGAAGCTAATTGTATAATAAATTATAAATGTGTGTGTTTGTGTGTGTGTGTGTGTGAGAGAGAGAGAGAGAGAGAGAGAGAGAGAGAGAGAGAGAGAGAGAGAGGTCTTGTTGACTTCATAGAAGAAAAGAACACTGGAGAGACCTTATCCAAAACAGTTAAAAAGAGAGGCTGTAAATTGTTTGTGTTGTGCTGGATGCTCTGTGTGCATGCATCATGCATGTGGTCTGTGGTCTGTGGAATTGGAATTGAGCTTGGAGTGTAAGGTTGTTATGGGTGGGGACGGAGAGATTCTCATTCACATACACAATCACACAGAGACGATGAGATGAATGCCTCTGTTTCCATCATTCCCTCCTCCTCCTCTACCTCCTCCTCCTGCTGCACCAGCACCCTCCTCCGCCGCCGCAGCCGCATATTTAAAACTACCTCACCTGCTAATAAATCTATTTTCACCTCCAACTCCAACTCCAACTCCCATTTTACTACTGCCTCGTCCTCCCCCCATTACCACCGCCCTTTTTTACTGCGAGGTCCGTATACAGCTTACTATATAATATATATATATATATATATATCCTTACCCTTTGATTTGCTTGCTTCTTTGTTATTCTATATTTGCTGCTTCTTTGATTTGTTTGATGATTGATGGATGTCATGTGTGCAGTAACAAATGATTCAAGTGGAAGCAGTGAATCTGAGAGAAGAGAGGCAGTAGATAGGATTGTGGATGGGATCGAGTTTGGGGAGCTGTGCAATGAGTTTGAGTGCATCAGTAGCCCCTCCATCGAGTCTACCGCTCGACAGCTTGTACGTGACATCCTTGAGCTCAGGGAAGGCAATCGCGCCCTCGGAACCTTTGCTGTTTCTGTTCAATACAAGGTCATTCATCTTTTTCTTCACAAATCGGAATCATCTCCTCCCTCGGCCCTTCAATTAATGCCTGTTTTTAATATGGAACAACCATCTACTCCTAATTAATTGCAGGACCCAGTTAGAAGTTTTAGTGGTCGTGACAAATACAAGAGACCACTATGGATCACCACTGCCCTCCACAAACCCTCTGCGGTCACTCTTCTTCTCTGTTTTCTCTCTTTTTTTATTTTTTTCATTCACAACAACAAGATAACACAAATGTATTTCAATTCTGCCTTACGGTACAGAGTGTGCAAGAGATGAGCATGTTATCCACCAGTGTCCTAAGTATCAAGTGGACTGTCAAAGGGAAGCCCAAGAACATTGTTGGTGCTGTAGCCTCGGATTTGATCATCCGAATTAATTCCCAATTCACTCTAAACCAGATAAGTGGGCAAGTTATTGAGCATAAAGAGTTTTGGGATTTATCGGCTTCCTCTGCCATTGGCAAGGCATATTTCTGGACCTCGCGTCGTCTCTTCGCTACCATTGAGGGTGGAAAAGACTTGGCTGATCTTGTCAAAACCATTTCCAACCAGTTTCCCAGAGAAAAACAGAATATGGAGATTTATCCTGACCCTTCTGGTGACCCAACTAAGGTGAGTTAACAAACGTGAGTTATGTTTATTGAAAAGCTATTGACACATTGATTGATTGCACCATTTGCTTTTGATTCTCAGTTCTTTCAAAGGGATGACGGTTTCCAAAGAGATGTATACCAAATTGCTCTGTTTCTGGCACTCGTCTATTTTGTTGTACAGCTTTTGAGGACAACCTTGTAAACCCCACATTACCGTTGTGTACTCTAGTAAGTTAAGTTTACACTTGAAATCTATATATACATGCATTATGAATACTACTAACTATGAAATGTTGAGATATTGCATCAATGTTTCAGCTACATTTACAAAGATAGAGACAGCTTACTCTCTTTTTCTTTACTCTTGTAAGGTGTAGCCTGTAGGCAGAATATACAATATAATGGCCAGGAGGCAGTCAGTACATTTCAAGCATTTAACACTCACTCACTCACTCACTCACTATTATAAATTATGAATTATGACTTATAAATTTTATAATACAATAACGAAATTCTGTGGACCTGCATGCCAACAATCGGCATGAGAGTTCTGATTCTAAAAAGGAGGTGGATTTCCTGACGGTCTGTTAGAATCAACAATAAAAGCCACCCCAGAGAGATAGTAGGCCAATCGCTGCTCATCTCATGGTCTAATCAAATGCATACATTGAATCCTTCAGAGATATCAGTCCTATGAAATCTTAAGGAATTTCTGAGGATGATGAGGCTTGAATGAAAATTGCAGACAAGCTCATACAAAAGAGAAAAGAAAAGAGGTCGAACCAGAAGGGTGGACAAAAACTATCACCACCTGGAAAGACAGATAAATACTTCCAAAATAATTGATATGTTTTTCTTTTTTATTATTATTTTGGGTTGAACAAATTAGGGTGCACCAGAGCTAATGGATGTTAAAAGTAGCACTCGTTGAATTAATTCAATATTTGCAGCATGGCAATTACTAATAACAGGAATGTCAATAGTGTTCCCATTATGCGGCTGGATGCTGAAGAAAGATTGTGGGCACCAACAGAGTATACCTGCCCTGACTTGTCATCCTTCAGTTTAATGCTTGAAGTGCCTAAAACAAAACAAAACAAAACAAAACATCAAGGCAGGTCATGCTCATGAACCTGCTAACAATAAGAAACATAAAATCAAACACTGCCACCCAATGGCTGGCTGAATGTTACTCACAGTTGTAATCAGTCCACCCAATGGCCTGGTTTTCAAGATCATATAGGACCAGCTTATTTGAAAGTACCAAGTCTGCAATTGGGAACAATTACAAAATTCAATGAATCAGATTCACACATGTGATTTGTTTTCAACATGTAATTCTCAAGACTCTAACCTCCCAGAAGAGTCACGGACTTTCCATCTTTAGATTTCATCGAGTTGCTCTGCCAACCAGAACACCAGACATTGTCCTGTGTATATGTCATGACAAATGTAAATTAGTTAAAAACCCATGGAAGAAGGCAGTAACCAAAATGAATTAATAATGTTGTAGCTAAAGAGAAGAAGAGTATAAATCTACAATAAGCAAACCAATTGAAAAATTCTATGTCAGTGCATCACAAAATAAAATTTGGAAAATGTGATAAAACACTCACACGTAGTCGGAACAGATAGTCATGAGGATATACAGTCAAAGAAGCAGAACTCTTAAAACCGAACTTTACAATTGGAAATCCATCATCAACCCTGCAAGCAAAAATGATAAGGAAATGTAAGGTAGCTTTCTACAAATCTAGCTGCTCTTCTGGTGTTTAGAGTAACCAACACATGTAACACAAGTAACAGTAAACTCACTAAAATAGAAATAAAAAGTAATAGCTAAGCTAAGTTAATGCTTTACTTTCCGGTATACTCAAAACATGTAAACTGCTCCTCAACAGTATGTAACTTCAATCCAGACTGCCGAGCAAATATCTGATTTATCAAAAATACCAATGTAAGGTTTTCTCAACAAGAAAAACAAACAATTTATTTATTTAGACAGCAAAATCCAAATGAATGGGACTTCAAGAGCTTCAGTGGCTACCTTTTTGATAAAAGGTTCAAAAACCTCCGGTGTAAGATAAGCCAATGTTGTTCCACTGTCAATTACTGCCGACTTCCGGTCTCCAAAAAGGCCAAATATATCTGTGGTAAGTTCTATAGCATCACCACCCACCTCAATTGTCTTCATTGAAACAGTGTAATGTGGCCTAAGATATTCAATAAAATTAAATTATCACAAGTTTCATAAGCCAATGCCTAACCTGATTGAAGAAAGAAAAATGAAACATCCTTTAATTTATACCCATGTAGGGAGCTCTTATGGTAACCAGAAAAAAGAAAAAAGAAAAGAGAGTTCATAATGCAACTGTATTTATGAAGTTAAAGCTCATCCTGAGCGCTATAATCACTCTAACAAGGTTCCCAGCAGCCTGTCACTAGTAAACATGTAGTTACAGTTATCTGTTTCTTCCATTGCAGAGACTAGGAAATCAAATGGCAAATTCCATTACAATCTAGCGGGTAGTTCCTTAATCGTTGTTAGATTTATTGAGTAATTTCAGTTAGCATTGTACAATTACGAGCCAATTTAGTACGAAGGATTGAGAGATAGTGTCACATACATATTTGGCAGCAAGGGAGTTGTATTTTTCACTTTTGGTTCCACCACTTCCCCAATGGCGTAGATTCCTCCACCTTTTACGTTATCCAAGCAATGTGAAAATTGTCTTTTCACCTTTCCAGATGAAGCTAGTTGTGAAATGATGGATGCATTTGCCTGGCCAAAACCAAGTATCCCATCAACTGCTGCAGGAGACTTACCAAGATTCCCAGATTGTTTAGCTCCACACCTATTAATCCGCAAGAGATGTAGCTTAATACACACAGGAAGTGCATAGCAACAATGGATTATGCAAAGTCAAATAAAGAAGCTGAAAGAATTCTACATAGAAATGGCTAAGGTTTAGTAATGAGAAAGGCTACATAGAAATGGCCGCAACTCACCCAAAAACTACAGTCCCATTTGTTGATGTGGTTTGATGGTTTCCAGTTACTTTATCAAGTTGTATGTTGTCCTTCACATAGTATCCAGAAGTTGCGCTTCCATCTCCGTAGGCGATGTTATAATTGCAGAGCATATTTGGCTTGCAACTAGGAAGTAGACCATTCAATGTGGAAGTGCAAAACTCTTGATCACAAGTAACCTTATTTGAAGTTGAAGAGCTCTTTGCATCATATACTGAGAGTTTAAACTGTAGCAGAATAATTATAACAAGGCATAAATACTGTTTTCTTGATGAGCACGACACATGTAATACGAAAAAAAAAGAAGAAAAAGGGCAAAGACACATACACCAAGATTACTTTTAGCGGGACAGTTTTCGCATTCTGCACAATTCACCCATAAAAGGTCACTTCCTGTATCAACTTGCACGTGAAAGTCCTTTGGAGGAGATCCAATCCCGATTTTAGCGAAGTAGAGCCTAAAACCAGTCAAACCATTCAATGACCAAAACCACAATTGGATATCCAAAGTTTATGCAAAACAACAACAACAACATGATAATGACCAAAAGCAGAAGAATACGTACCCAGCTTCAGAAGGATGACCACTGCCACCCAATTGCAAATCCACAGCAGCATCTGCGGCTAGAAGCCTACCATGACGGCGAGCATCATGTTCTTTCAATGCACTCAAAGACACCTGCTTGTCACGACCCTTGAACTTATGGTTGACGGAGAACACCAAGTTACCAGACACATTCAAAACCAATGCGAAGAAAAGCAGAATACCACCCAACACGGCCACTCTTGTTGTTGTAGTTGTTGTTCCAAGAGCCATTTTTCAATATAATTTTGATTTACCCAACAAACAGGAATCTTTAAGGTGACTTAACAAAACAGAGATTGAATACAACTCAAAGGTTCAATTTTGAAAAGTTTGATGTTTGGAATTGGACCCCCAACGAGCAACAACCACCCTTTTTTGGGACAAAACCCAGACCCAGGCTTTATTAGAAATGTGGGTTCTGTGTAAAATTCATGGCTGAGTTGGGTGGAGAAACAAGTAACAAGGTGGGTGGGGTGGCAGAGGGAAAAGGGGCATATGTCTAAGAGGGAATGTGCAAGAAAAGACAGAGAAGCAACGTAAGAGAAGAGAGAGAGAGAGAGAGAGATGAGAAACGAGAGAGTCGCGCGTCTTCAACGGCGAAAGGCACGTCTTTCTAAAATAGTAAACTACGTCAACCTTTGTAATTGTTTTACTTATTCTGTCTATTTTGGTTTTGTTTGTTTGGGATTTCCTAATATCTTTGTTCGTGTTTACTGTTCATTCTGTTTTCTATGGTTTTGTGTTTACTCTATCTACAATAAAGTTTTAAACTTTGGTTGCTCTCTCTCTCTGGGTCCCATACTCATTGGCTGGCGATTGACAAAACTTCCTCTCGTCTTCCCAAGAGAAACAAACAATTGACTCAAGTCACTGCCACGCCAACTACGGACATTTGACTCAATTTAATAGATAATTTAAAGAAATCTTAGTTTGGGCCTTAAATTCACGTTTGGTCATGGGCTGAAAGTACTGGTTAGGGGAGTGTGGGAGTGGGTTGGGTCAACCTAACTTGTTTCGTGTTTAGGGCTTAGGGTTGGGTCAACCTATACTCATTTCATGTCATGTCGACCACCATATTAAAAATGCCAAATTCTAATCATGTATTTTCTTCATGAATTCCCTTTTGACTGATCTTTTTTCTTTCTTTTTCTTTTTCTTTTTCTTTTTCCCATTTATGTGGACGATGCAAGCATGCCGCTTGCTTCACTAATTCATCAGCCAAATGACTTAAACACCCCAACATTTTCCATTACAAAATAAATATCAAATGATTAATTTGGTCTTCTCACCAACTAAAAGCCAAATATGATCTTCCGTCACTTTCACCTTCCCATAAGCTCTCCCTCCCACCACAACCACTCATATCTGTCACTACAGTCCGCTCAACAAACAGGTATATTCCGTCATTAGGATTGAACAAATTATTCTAAGCGACGAAAATATCCCCGGATTTCCCACAACAGCTCCATGAACGTCTCAGGGCAATGCTGTCTTTTCCTTAGCAAGCCTCGCCATTTCTTTCATCCACAGAAGATAACAAGTTCGCGACGTGACAAAAATGACACCCAGTTTCTCATAACAGCTCACAAACCGAAAGGGCATATTAGTCTTTCTGAAAATCACCCTTCTCTTCTCCTCCTCTATATGTCCTTAATTGTTTCTCGCTAGCTGCAACGGATTCACTTGGCTCTCTCTCTCTCTCTCTCATCCATGGCTCTGCAGACTGCTGCTGCTCTCTCTCCTCGCTCCATTAGCTCCTCAACGACGTTACCCTGCGCCGCGAATCATCCGATCATTTATTCTTCTACTTCAAGTTCAAGCTGCTTCCTCTCGCCGTCGCAGAGGAAGAATGTGGCAGTGGGCTTGAGTGGTGTAACAACCAGTAAGAGGAAGCGGGCCTGGGCCTCTACGGTGAAGTCGAGCTTGGACACTGTAGGCCCCACTGTCAATGTGGGTCAGGTCACGGAGGTTGACAAGGACACCTTCTGGCCCATCGTCAAGGCCGCCGGCGATAAGACCGTCGTCCTCGATATGTACACGCAATGGTATGCTCCATTTCTTTCTGTTTTTACATCTCTGCTTTCTGTTTGGTTCGCGGGAAATTCCGTGGATTAATTCTAAATAAAGGAAACAAAAACTATTGTTCAGAGTGGAGAACCTGAATTTTGTATGTGAATACGTGGGTGGTGCGGATTAAACAATGAAATTGAAGTAATTTTTGGCCAATTCTGAAAATTTCGGGAAAGAAAATCAGAACAAACAACTATCGTGTTTGTCGAGAAATGTTATATGTTTGTTTCCCCCTTATTCATTTTACACGAATAATGAAGTGGGGATTTTCTTTGAATGAAATTTCAAAATGTAGATTTCAGCTGAAGTTTTGGTTTCACATGGTTTGTGCAAATTGCATAAAAGCAAGAATGTTGTTTTTAAGTTTGTGGAATTTAGTTGGGACAAGTTGTTGAATGAAACATGGAATTGTAGCCCTGCTTCAATTCGTTTCATTTTTTTGATTGAAATGCTATTCTTGATATCCATTTGCTTGTGTTCTTGAATCTTGAATTCCTTCTGCATGCTTTAATAACCCTTTATCTTATGCTAGGTTGTTTGGATTAAACAAGCCCTTGGAAATTGAATGTGACCAGTGAAAATTCTTGCACTGACAATCTTGTTGGTTGATTAGGGTGATCTGCTTGTTGATTTTCTGCTCATGTACCAACAGTCCCCAGTCGTGTCACGATGATTGTACAAATTTCATGGCTTAAAAGAGTACTGATTAATTCATGCTTCTCTCCTTGCTTCTTTAACCTTTTCAGTTCATCAAAGTTGTCAAAATTCAATAGCACAAGTCCAAGCCATTTGCAAGAACAGAACCAAATAGTTTTCATGCACTCACTCAGGCTTGAATTGAATCCTTCAGAGGCGTTGAAATGAACCCTATTTAGTCTACATTTATGGGACCACCAGAATTGTCAAAGCTTCGGTCTTTGAAACTATATTTTAGTTGATCATTATAAGCATTCTTTGTTACTGTGAGATTTAAGATTTACTGTATTTCAACCATTGAAATGTGATCTGACTCTTAACTGGAAGACTATTGAATATTTGATCTTACAATATGATCTGAGCTTAGCAAGTTGGGTTGGATTAATTTTCGTTATGTATCCCATAGAGGAGTAGTATTGTTTGTGTTAGATCATTCTTCTTAAGCTTAATTCTGGAAGTTCTGGGAATCCTGATGTAGTAGTTTTCACTTCTTGTTGTTGGAAGATGGTAGGATTGGATATGGGTTATGAATGATCCATGGAGAGGCATAAGAAAAACAATATATTACTCAGGTCTAGGGATAGATTTACAATCTCTTGTCCTGCTTCTGCTTCTGTATCATTACATCTAATTACACTTGATTTCGTATTCCTGGTTTGAACTCTGCAGGTGTGGTCCTTGCAAGGTGATTGCTCCAAAATATCAAGAATTGTCAAAGAAATATCTTGATGTTGTATTTTTAAAGCTTGACTGTAACCAAGAAAATAAGGTTGGTTATCGTGATGCTTGCTTGAATTTTCTTTACTAGAGTCGAGTGTTTTTTCGATGCTCTATCTTATGTTAAATGGTGAGTGATTGTTGTTGTTAGCAGCCATTGGCAAAGGAGCTTGGGATAAGGGTGGTGCCAACTTTCAAGATTTTGAAGGACAACCAGGTTGTAAAAGAAGTGAAGGGGGCCAAATTCGATGATTTAGTTGCTGCCATAGACGTTGTTAGATCTAGCTGAAACGCCTTAAATTTTTCTCCATGAGATGAGATGTTAATAAGGCAAGGAAAAACGTCTGTTTGGAACTCTGACAATTATTCTACTTGTATCTATGTATCCATGTGACGCTTCCTTCGCAATTCTAGTTAGAACTTGAAAGCAGAACTGCTTCATAAAAAGATATTCCAGCAGGATGTTAGAGACAACATGTTGGAAAAGAAAAAGAGGGAAACAGACGAGGAAAGGAAGCCAGATGACACATGAAAAATCTCTCTTCAAACTTCTAATAAAGAAACTAGTAGTAGATTTGGATTAGGCTAATAGATTAAGGCAATGATTTGTTAAAAAGGAAAATTATTTAGAGACAATATGGACGGTATGGTAAACGCCTTAATCTGCTGTTACACTTGCATTCGTCCCCTAAATTCTTGGTGGCCCATACTGTTAACTTGGGCGCCAATGAAATGACGCCACCGTAACACGGTGATGTAATGTTAAAAGACAACACCACCCCTAACATTTCCCCAATATAACAAGCATACCTTCTTAACCTTCTTTGCAGACTGTAGTGAGCAGGATCCCCTCCCCCCGAAAAAAGTTATAGTTCAAACCCCAAATTCAAAATAATAAAAACAAAAGAAGGTCAAAAGTCAAATTGCTCCGCCTTTTCTTTTTTCGTACAAGTTGATCTTTTCCTCTTCCTCCCTCTCGTTCTCTCTCTCTCAAATCCAGAAGAAGAAGAAGAAGAAGAAGAAGGGAGAGAAATGTGTGGGATATTTGCATATCTGAATTACGACGTCAACAGAGAGAGGCGTTATATTCTTCAGGTGTTATTCAATGGTCTCAGGCGTTTGGAATACAGAGGCTACGATTCCGCTGGGATTTCCATCGACCATTCCTTTTCCCTCGATCCAAACACTCCCCAATCTTCCTCCAATTCTCCGCCTCCCCCACTCGTTTTTCGCCAGGAGGGAAACATCGAGAGCCTCGTCAAATCCGTCTACCAAGGTAACTCTTTATAAATTTTTTTTTATTCATTTACTTGTACATTCTGTTTGGTTTCTGGGAAAATGTTGAACAATAAAGAAACTGTAAATTTGAGCCCGGCGTTATGTTCTTCTCTGGTTGACCCAGTAAAATTGGTCCGGGTTATTTGGGCGGGTCAACCCAGTAACAATAATGCAGCTGTTTTTTTTTGGTTGAATATAAATGCAGCTCTGTATCATTGTTCTTCATTAAAGTTTCATTGTTAACTTGTTATTCGTGTCGGGTTGGGTAGATGTGGTTTGGGTTTTTAGACCCGTACTCTTTGAGGCTGGGTTTGGACCAGACAATGCCAGCTTAACCTTACCAACCGTTTGGGCATATGAATGCACAAAAGAAAGAGCAAAACACAAGTTTGGAACTTTGGACCTCTTTCCTGTTTTTTTTTTGGTAAACATTTCTTTTTCTAGTATTAGTTTGTTTAGCGTCAGTGTCTTTGGTATTTCTTATGCATTTATTACATTTTCTCATCCGACATCCTCCCTACTCCCTACACTAAGCTTGAAAAGAAAATGCTGGTTACTTGTTAGTTAGGGAATGTTTAAATTTGAATATTGAAATAAATAAATCACTTTTTTGGAATAGTAGTTAAACCTTTTGGACAGTTAGTAACTTACTAGATGCTCACACTAAACCAATTTTATGTGCTTATGGTTGAGTCCGGTGATGTTCCAGTTTGTAAAAGGTTTTTTTTTATAATAAAAAAAGGGAAATTACTAATTGCAGTATCACTTTGTCCTGTTACAATCCAGAATTAATATTTTATAAAACTTTTAAAGCAAGTACACGGAGCTGATATACATACATTTTCTGTTTATCAGCTGTATAAATTGATTTTATAGTTTTGTTGACTGTCCTTCAAGGATAGTAATATATGCGTCTCCTTTAAAATTAAAAAAAAAAATTATATATATATATATATATATATATCCTGAGTCCCTGGAATTAATGTTTATTTTTTGTAAATCCAGAGGTTGCCGAAACAGAGTTAAATTTAGAAGAATGTTTCTCTCACCATGCTGGAATAGCGCACACCCGGTGGGCTACTCATGGAGAGCCAGCTCCAAGGAACAGCCATCCACAGAGTTCTGGCTCTGGAAATGAATTTTTGGTTGTTCACAATGGAGTAATCACTAATTATGAGGTTCGATAAAGATTTCAGTTGTAGAACTTTTTCTTTCTTTTTTGAGATTATTGTTCTTGCTGAATGCAACCTTTTTTATGATGAAAATATTACTTCATCAAAGTTGAAAAAAGAAAAGAAAAGAAAAGAAAAACTATTGTGGTTAGATGATTGCCTAGGTATGAATCTGTTTATTTACTTTTGGATCGTACTAAAGTTTACTTTATTTTTGGACTGTATGCCTAACAGCCTCTGTCATCAATGGCTCTGCTGATTTACGTTCTTGTTCACTTTCTCAGGCCTTAAAGGAATCACTGGTCCGGCATGGATTCACCTTTCAATCTGAAACTGACACAGAAGTAATTCCAAAGCTTGCCAAATATGTTTATGATAAAGCTAAAGAAGGAGAAGGTAATTTTATATGTAACTAGAAGTAAGTTAAACATTTAGTTCATGAGTATAACTTACAATTTGAAGTTCAAAATCTTTAATTGCTAATGCAAAATTGTGATTAATATAGTTCGTGCAATTATTTCTTTTAGCTATTCAGAACTCATCACCTGATATTTGTGACAGTCAAGTGGGTTGATCCCTTCACTACTTTGAAAGTAAAAAAGAATTTATTAACTCAAATACTAAAAGGGTTGCCCTATTGAATTACTCTGGAGGCAAAAAGCTTCTTCATTACCCCCAGAGCTCTTTTTTTTTCTTTCCATATTTGCCCAAAGACGCAGTAGCCAAGGCGGGAAATGGGCTTCTGTAGGATAGGGGTGGACAGATCAACTGAATTATTTATTTATTTCCTCATTTTTCAATTCTTTAAAGCACAATCTAGGGTGATGTTAGAGTGTTATGTTTATGTTTCAGGTGACCATACTATCACATTTAGTCAAGTTGTGCTTGAGGTTATGAGGCATCTTGAAGGAGCATATGCCCTGATTTTTAAAAGCCAGCATTATCCAAATGAGTTGATTGCTTGCAAGCGTGGCAGTCCGTTGCTCCTTGGTGTCAAAGTATGCTACATTTGGAATAGCTTAACAATTTTGGCTAAATATTAAGTTTTTAATTATATGTGCCTGTAATAGTTTTTCATCGACACTTTTGGCCTGATATCTGGCCTTGGTTGACACTTTGCTATCATGTCAGGAATTTAACGAAAATGCTATCAATGGATCTGCTTTCCAAGATGATAATTTCCTTTCAAAAAGCGGACATGCTAAGGAACTTTTTTATCCAGTGATGCCAATGCTGTAGTTGAACACACTAAAAAGGTTTTGGTGATTGAAGATGGTGAAGTAGTACATCTTAAGGTACTTACTTAAGTGTTGTATTTTGTTATGTTTTAAATTTTTAATAGGACAGTTACATATCGGTGTAGTGCATAGGGACTTAAGATGTGTCCTACCATCTGTTTTAACATAAAGTATATCTATACAAGGCTTATGCCTTTCTTCTAATGAAGGATTTATTTAACTTCCATTTCAGTGTCTATATAGTTTTTATTTCTTGTATGCTTAATTTTACAATTAGGATGAAACTTGTTTTTGATAGTTTTTTCCTAGTATTCCCACTCTTTTTTAGCCTTTTCAATTTACTTTACCAGGTTTTCTGCCTAAAACATTCATTCTTATACATGCTCTGCATTTGTGGTAATTACCTTTTAAGTTTATGTCCTTAGTCCTCGTATAGCTGTTTGGGCCTTTTGGTTTACTCTACCAATATGTCGTGCCAAGATATTATTGATTCTGATTTCTTTGCTAGTTGTACTTAATTGCTTCGGAAAATTGAAGTTATTTTGTTTTTACCCATGGTGGTGGTTGTTTCAGGATGGAGGTGTTTCTATCTTAAAGTTCGATAAAGGGCAGCACGGTGGCCTTTCAAGAGTTGCATCAGTACAAAGAGCATTGTCCATTCTTGAGATGGAGGTTGAACAAATAAACAAAGGAAATTACAAACATTATATGCAGAAAGAAATTCATGAGCAGCCTGAATCTCTAACAACCACAATGAGGGGGAGACTTTTACGTGGAGGTTCCTGCAAAGCCAAGACTGTTCTCCTTGGTGGACTGAAGGATCACCTCAAAACAATTAGGCGAAGCAGGCGAATTGTTTTCATTGGTTGTGGTACAAGCTACAATGCTGCTTTAGCTGCAAGACCAATATTGGAAGAACTTTCTGGTAAGTGCTTTTTGGCTGTCAAAAATCCTTTCCTGATTGTTATTTGTTCGTTTTGCTTCTGTTCTGGTTAGTTGAACCTATAAACAATATAGGTATCCCTGTTACAATGGAAATTGCTAGTGATTTGTTGGATCGGCAAGGACCTATATACAGAGAAGATACAGCAGTCTTTGTCAGTCAATCTGGTGAAACAGCAGATAGTTTGAGTGCATTGGAATATGCTCTAGAAAATGGTGCATTATGTGTTGGCATTACAAATACTGTTGGTAGTGCAATAGCCAGGAATACACACTGTGGTGTTCATATAAATGCTGGTGCTGAGATTGGTGTGGCAAGTACTAAGGTAAATTTGTAATTTTACTCTATCTTTGTTTTTGTGATTTTTGGTATGTCTAATTGACAGTCTTATCATGGTCATTAATAGGCGTACACAAGTCAGATAGTGGTGATGGCTATGCTAGCACTAGCTATAGGAGGTGACACAATTTCCAATCAAGCAAGAAGAGAGGCTATAATAGACGGTTTATTTGAGTTGCCAAGTGAGTTCTGGTTATTTTATCTTCTTAGCATATCACTGCAGTGTACTTAGTTTTCCAGTCTGTTTTCCAAGATGTAACTTGCAAGAAAGCATAACAAAGTGAATTTTTCCTATATGCTCATTGCAGACAAGGTCAGAGAGGTCCTCAAGCTTGACCAGACAATGAAGGATCTTGCACAAGAACTGATAGCTGAACAGTCACTTCTTGTGTTTGGGAGAGGATACAACTATGCAACAGCTCTGGAGGGTGCTTTGAAGGTGAAAGAAGTGGCCCTTATGCACAGTGAAGGAATACTTGCCGGTGAAATGAAACATGGTCCTTTGGCTTTAGTTGATGAAAATCTCCCTACATTTGTGATTGCTACCCGTGATGCTTGCTTCAGGTTTGTCCTGTCATGGTTGGGAGCACTGACATGCTTTGAAATGCACCTGGTTTTTCTTAATGATGACCTTTGATAATTTACAGTAGCAGCAATCAGTTATTCAGCAGCTTCATGCCCGCAGAGGTCGTCTGATAGTAATGTGTTCGAAAGGAGATGCTGCATCTGTGTGCCCTGGGGGATCTTGTCGAGTGATTGAAGTTCCTCAGCTTGAGGATTGCCTTCAACCTGTAGTTAATATTGTTCCATTGCAGGTATTTTTTGTCATTTGATTTTATATTACACTATGATTATTATTTGGGTTAGAGTCAGCTGCATGTCTGCTCGTGTCTGACATTAATGCTAGCCAGTTTTACATTTTTGAGTATTAATAGATAGTTCTTCCTCGTAACTTTTCTGTTGTTTGACCTTGAGAAGGAGTGAAATGTGTCATTGGTTGGTAGTGATATTTTTCTGTTCCTCCCGTGGTGCAGCTGCTGGCATATCATCTCACTGTTTTAAGAGGTTTCAATGTGGATCAGCCTCGGAATCTTGCAAAGAGTGTGACTACGCAGTAAACGAGTTTCAACTTTGATGGACGTGTACCTCATATACTCGTTGGGGTATGTGTGTTCCTAAATTATGCTGAGAGCATCAAGACCTTAGCTGAATGCTGCTAAAAATCACCTTTTGTTTGATGTGTAATGTGTTGGTAAAATGTCTGGTGTGATGCTGATGAGGTTGTTGTAAGTCGTCAGCTTTGTAAATCAATACAACTAGGAAGGAACAATACTAACACGCCCTGTGTCTCCCTCTTCCTGCGGAGTTTGTTTTCTTCTTTTGATCTTGTATCCGTCATTTCATTTTTAACATCATCTACACTTGAACATGGAGATATATTTTCTAATAGCGCAAATATTATTTGCGTTGGACAACACTCTTTTCACGGATGACGGAGGAGCACACCATTTTTATTTGCCTGTTGTAAATATAATCCATACATACACATCTGTATATATAAAGCAAAGGCATGACAAATGCGTAAAACATTAACTTATTAAAATGTAAATAATTACGAAACAAAAAAAAGTAAGAGCTTACTGGGATGTCGGTGTCAGTGAGCGCCAAATTAAACGAAAAAATATTTTAACATTCTAAATTCCTAATCTTAGTAGTACTGTAGTAACGGGAAATAAACAACCATTAAATTCCGAATAAAATTAGTATTATTTCTTCTTCTTTTCCGGTGTTAAATACATAATATAAAACGGCAGCCTTTTGAAGCAGAGCTAGCACTCTGAAACCCTAAATACTAATTAAACCCCAGCCCCAGCCCCCAAAGTGAGGAAGAAGAAGCGAGGCCTAAATTTCACTGAAACACTATGTGTGGTCTTCGGCTATTCGACGGCGGCAGCGACTCCGAAAACGAAATGGAAATGGAAATCGAAAACGAAAACGACGATATTCCACAGATCAAAATCAATGAAGAATATGCTCGCAGGTACGAGCACAACAAGAAGCGGGAGGACCTCCAACGTTACGAGGAGTTGAAGAAGCGAGGCCTTGTAGCCGACCCCTCTCGACAATCAGACTCTGATTCAGAATCCTCGTCCTCCGAGGACGAAGACGACATCCTTTTGGCCAATTCCAAGAAGAAAGACTTGGAATTTTTGGAAGCTCTAATCAAGGTAAAAAATCGAGACCCTAGCTTGAAAAACAAAGATGTTGAATTGTTTAAATCTGATGGAACCGAAAAGACCCGCGCCAAAGGGGAAGGGAATGGCAAGGCTAAGAAGAAGATGTACTTGAAAGATGTGGTGGCTAAGCATTTGATCGAGGATGGCCCCGAACTTAAGGAGGATGATAATAACACCAAGGTCTACGATGAAGAGCAAGAGCAGAGAAGGAAAGAATTCTTAAGTGCCGTTGCCGAGGACGAAGAGGATGATAATGGCGAGTTATTGGTAGAAAAAGATAAGAATGCTGTGGGGGACGATGATGACGATGATAGTGTTGTTAATGCTGAGTACGACCAGAAATTGAATGAGTGTTTCCCCGATGAGGATGAAAATGCTAGGTTTCTCAGGGACTTCATCAAGTTTCAGCAATGGAAGGAGGATAAGCGGAGCAAGGGAAGCAGTCCCGGTGTAAAGGAGGAGGATTTGGAGATGGTGTCTGAGGACGAGATGGAGATTGAAAGGCAAGAGGAGTACGAGCATAGGTTCCAGGACAATGCAGGGGATCGGATTTTGGGGCATTCCAGGCAAGTTGAGGGGTCGGTGAGGAAGAAGGTCAAGGCGAGGAAGGAGCAGAGGAAGAGTAAGGAGGATAGGATGGAGATTGCAAGGTTGGAGAGGGAGGAGGAATTGAGGCATTTGAAAAATTTGAAGAAGAAGGAGAACGATGAGAAGCTTAAGAAGATTATGGAGATTGCGGGGGTTAAGGAGGGCGAGGTGTCTTCCTTTGATTCCAAGGAGTTGGAGAAGGAATTTAATCCCCACGAGTATGATAGGATGATGAAGAAGGCTTTTGGTGAGGAGTATTATGAGGCGGAGGATGCTGACTTAGGGTTTGGTAGTGATATGGATGAGGATGGTGGTGAGATTGAGAAACCGGATTTTGATAAGGAGGATGAGTTACTTGGGCTGCCCAAAGGTTGGGATAGTGTCGGGTCTGGTGATGGGTTCTTAGCTGCAAGGGAGAAGGTTTTGAAGCTCAAGAAGGAGAATGTTGGTGACCATGAAGAAGAGGAAGAAGAGGAAGAGGAGGAGGAGGAGGAGGAGGAAGAAGAAGAAGAAGAAGAAGAAGAAGAAGAGACAGTGTCTGAGGAAGGTAAACAAGAGAAAAAGCGTAAACTCGCTTTATTGGAGAGAGCTAAAGAGGAGATGATGGATGAATACTATAAGTTGGATTACGAGGATACAATTGGAGACTTGAAGACTAGATTCAAGTATGCTAAAATAAAACCTAATAGATATGGGTTGTCTACTGCTGAGATATTAGTGATGGATGAAAAGGAGTTGAATCAATATGTGTCTTTAAAAAAGCTTGCTCCTTATGCAGAGAAAGAGTGGAAGGTACCAAACAACAAGAGAAATGAGATAAAACAGAAGGTTAAAGAGATTTTCAAACAAGGAAAGCCGGGTAACAAAAAGAACCGCAAGAAGCAGAAAATAAGCGATGCTAAGGATTTGAATTTATCAATGGATGCTGCCGGACAATCATCAACGGGTGCCCCAGAACATGAGAAAAAACAAGTAGTGGACTCAAATGGCGATAAGGGCAACCCATCCAGGAGTGCTAGAAGAAGGCGTAACCAAGCTGCACGAAAGTTACCAGCTTCTAGGCTCATGGCATATGGGTTGATGCCTGTAAAATCTAAGAAAAAAGGAAAGCACTGATCAGAACCTCTAGTTAAAACAGAGCAGTAGACAGGTGATTCTTTCACAAACTTACGCATTGAGATATATATTTTCATATTCACGTATTATCATCCCTGTTTCCCTCTCTTGCGTGGTATGTTGTACCGATTTAAAGATGTGATGTGGTGGCTGGAAACAAATTGTAAATGTTTGTAGCTTAGGTTAAAAGTCAACCTACTAGCGCACTGTTCCTGTTGTAGCATAATTGCACATTGTAGGTCGGTCATACTTATTTTTGGGGGTAAAGATTTATGTAGATAAACAAGTTTATACCAGTTTAGGGATTGAAAGGGCATGTACTATTCTGTGGAACATTCAGTGGGTTCGGGCATTGGAAAGAAGCAATTGCGTAATGGCACTGAATCGATTTGAATGCATATTGTTGTTACTGTGATACATTGTATTTGTAAAATAAAAAAAAAAAAAAAAAAAAAAAAAAATTTAAAAGAACACATTGATGAGTTATACTGATGCAGATCATGGGCATATATAAACTTATGTGTAAGATGCCTATCCATTTCTGATAAATGATATTGCATTGCACAAGTTATATTAATTGAAATTGTACCTGTTTTTAATCAGTTTTTACAACTTCCTGTTTGTTAGCTGGGTGAATTGTCAGCCTTAGTTCCATACACTTCTAATTTTATGCCAAAACAATGCCATGTTTTATTTTGTTTCAAATGTCTACGTGTACATGGGGGTATTTATTCATATCTGAAGCTAGATATTTAGAATTTGCTTTTTTTGTTTTCTTTCTTTTTCTCCTGAATTCTAGTTTCATTTCACATTGTTGTTATTTCCTTAAATATTATGGATTTTGGATACTGATGCTCGATGTCGGATTTCACTTTAAACCGTACTTCTTAGCTCATTTGGTTTTAATGTCCACAGGTTGTTTTTTGGGTACTTGTAACATGGGGATGGAGGACTACAATTTTTCCAAAGAAGGTGAAGCATCTTGAGGGTTTTGTTAAGCTTATAGCAGCATAACAGAGGCGAACACTTGAGAAGTTGGGAGGAAGACTTTTTTGATCGATATTGTCACCTTTTGTTTTCGCATTTTATGAAAACATGTACTTTAGGAATCAGAATAAACTAAAATCATATTGTTTTTTGTGTTGTCGAATTCAGCTGTTTATCAATGTCAAAAATATGACAAAGGTTTACTATGTATGATCGTGTTGCTGTCTCTCTTTGGCATTCCAATTCAATCAACTTGTAGGTTTTTCCCTTTTTAATTTTTGGCCGGTCATGAAAATAATTTGGAAGCTGCCTTTGCTTGTCAAGAAGAGACTTGAAAAATGCAACTAAAATTGGTTAGAATTAGAGATTGAAATTTGAAACATACACCAAAATGAAAAAACGCTGTCTTTTGGTATTAGCTAGCTCCAGCCTGCATTCTAACCTCCGAGTTCCAACATTCTTTAAAACACCATTGACCAAACCCTCCTCCTGTCACGCTGTATTTTGTTTCTTTCTTTTCTCTCTCTCAAAACCTTAAACAAATCCAAATCAATCAACAAAACAGAAGAAACTCTCTCTTATCTCTCTCTCTCTCTCTCTCTCTCTCTCTCTCTCACCCCAAAACCAAAACCAAAGAAGGCAAAGGAAGAAAGATGGGCGGTCCTTGTCCAAAATCCCTCATTTTCCCTCAATTTCCCAAACAATCCCTTAATTTGGAAAGATGGGTTTTGATCCTCTTCCTAGTGGTTGTGGTTGTGGTCCTCCCCCTCCCCACCACGGCCACCGCCGTAAGTCCGTCGTCGAGCATCTACGACCACCTGCGGCAGCAGGGCCTTCCCATAGGGATCCTCCCAAAAGGCATAACGGAATATTCTCTAAACGGCAGCACTGGAGAATTCCGGGTGTTGCTAGCGCAGCCGTGCCACGCCAAGTTCGAGAACCAGGTGCTCTACGATTTCAACGTCTCGGGCGTTCTGTCTTTCGGGCGAATCGCCAACTTATCGGGGGTGTCGGCTCAGGAACTGTTCCTGTGGTTTCCAGTGAAGGGGATCAGAGTGGATGTGCCGAGCTCTGGCCTCATTTACTTCGATGTCGGCGTTGTTGACAAGCAGTTCTCTTTGTCCCTCTTCGAGTCACCCCCTGATTGCACCGCCGTTGACCCTTCTGATCCCAACCTCAATCGAGCTGCTCACCACACCGACCACTACTCTCATTCCCCATCTGGGTCGTTGTCTAAGGTATTCTTCTTATATCTGCTTCCACTCCATATGAATATAATACGACTGGCTCTCTGTCATTTATGCTTCATTTTTGTGTCATGGGGTTTTGTTGATATCTCATATACATGTAAACTCTCCAATTAGTCTTTGCTTTGGTCTCATATACTCTCTGTCATTTAGGATCAGCACCAAGTTTATGCTTTGTGTAGGTTATTATATGAGCACATTAATGTAGCTTAACATCGTAGGATGGGATCACACTAGCCACCAGCTGCAAATCTATTTACTTTAAGAGACAATTCAATGATGATGTAATATCTCACCTCCCTAACAAGCTATGCCCGATTTAGCTAAATCAGCTTGATGTGGCATCTTCACAATAGTCTGCGTTTTTTTTGGACAAGTTGGGAGCATTATAGCCATGTCTAGGTTAGAAGAATTTTTAAGGACTGGAGTGGACCACTAGGCACCCTATTACAGTGTAAGAACCTTATGTGCTTGTGCTTTTGGGACAAACTTGATTCGGGGTGTTAAAATATGAGACACCTTCTTCCCTAATAGTCTGTTGAGTTTGATGACAACTCTTTCTTTGTGTTTGTTCATTTGAATTAAAATCCATTCTAAGATTTTCATTTGTTTGAAACCATTTAATGCGTTGTTTATAGATTCTAGTGCTTTGAGTATTTTACTGTTGCTGGACATGTTATCTGTCTGTGCCTAGCGTTCACAGATTAATCATCTTCATTGAGTATAAAATAATGTTTGGGGTTGAAGTTATTTTCATATTTATATTCATCTTGTACCACAGAAAACTAATATGATAGGAGATTTGCACCAAGAAAAAAAAACAATTGATGATGTTGTGGTTTGGTTTTAAGAGTTTCAACTACGGTCTAGCTGAGGCACTCAATTCATTGTCCGGATTAGTATTGACCTAATCTAGTTTCTTTTTTCCTCCAGTTGAACTTCTTTATGTTGATAATTTGTGTGGTTCAAGACATATTTAATTTTGGTTACTGTGTCCACTGTTGGTAGACGAGATTTATCATATAGAGCATGTAATAGTTCTGAGTTGATATGTCTAAATTTATGACATGATTCTTGTTTTTATGGATTTTGGAATTTCAATAATTATAGTGCTGCTTGATCATTTTCGTGAAGGCTGTTCTTGTCTAATTGAGCTGGTGCTAAAGTTAATCGATATCAATTTTGCAGATTGAATCACAGAATGTTGGGGATGAAGTCAGTCAGAAAAGTGAACTGAGGGCTTCTTCATAGGTTGTGCAGGCAGAGATATGGTTCAAGTAATCTCAATCAACCCAGGGGCCTTTTATAGTATTTTAGTTTTCTCCTTTGCCTGAAGTGGATGTGGAAGATTCTGGTTTGGGAGGTCCTAAACTTTGAATACGTGTGCTTGTTTACTATACTGTGCGTACATAGTTGGCTTGATACTTCTGTCTTTGCGGGGAAAAAAACACAACAATTTTGGTAAAGAGGAGAGAGAAAATGGAAGAATGGATATCTACGTTTAGTAGGGTGAGACAGGGAGACGGGGGGATTGGGTCAGTTGGCTTTTTGGCTAACTAAAATTTGCTTCAAGTTTAAGTCAGTTGTTGTCATCATATAAATTTACTTATAATAGATATAATGACGTATGGGTTCCTTCTGTACTGGTGGTGTTGAGTGTCTGTAAATCTGTGAAAACTGATTTTTTTTATTTTTTCTGTGGTGAGATATGTTGAGGGTGTTTTTATGACCGTCGAGATCTGTAATTACTTTTTTTTTTTTTTTTTTTTTTTTTTTTTTTTTTTTTTTCTTTTTTTTTTTTTGGGGGTATAACTGGAAATCAAATAAATTTTCTTTCCAATTTGCGCCCACAAATCAAACATGAGCTATTGGGCTATTGCTCTCATGAGTCTGAATTTGGGCTCTTCAGCTAGCCTTCCTTCATTCGGCCTAAATTAAAATAAACCGACTCAACGCAAGCTCTCGTTTCTCGTTCACACCATGGCCTCCTCCATAGCTCTCCTCCACCTCTCCGCCACCCCCAAAACCCTAATACCCAAATCTTATGTTTGCTCCTACTTCCCGTCGTCAACCCTGGCGGCGCCCCGGTCAATCTCTTTCCCTCAACTGGTGAAGCGAAAATCCAAACCCAAATCGAACATCACCTGCATGTCCTCCTACAACAACAACACAACAACACCAACCCCAGCCACGGATCGATTAATCTCGGCCGTCGCATACACTCTCCCTTTCTTCAACTCCCTCCAGTACGGGCGTTACCTCTTCTTCCAGTTCCCCAAATTGGGGCTTCTCTTCGAGCCCTTAATCCCGTTATTGAGCCTCTACAGGTCGATGCCCTACTCGAGCTTCGTGGCCTTCTTCGCCCTCTATCTGGGAGTTGTCAGAAACCCTAGCTTCAGCCACTACGTGAGGTTCAACGCGATGCAGGCGGTGACCTTGGACGTGCTGTTGGTTCTGCCCCTGCTCATCCAGAGGATATTCAGTCCGGGTCGGGCCGGGTTGGGGTATAAGCTGATGGTTTGGGGGCATAATGGTATTTTCGTATTTAGCGTGTTCTGCTTTGTGTATAGCGTGGTGAGTTCCATTTTGGGTCGTACTCCCTACTTGCCCTTTGTTGCTGATGCCGCTGCCAGGCAGCTCTAAACTTGTGACGCCCATCCGCCATCCGCCATCCGCCATGGTTTTGCCTTTGTTGGTGTATAATTTCATTTCATAATTTTAGCTGCTCAATTCAATTTTAGAACCGCTTTTCAATTACTATCTCACCTGTTTCCGGTAAATTAAGGTCAAACGATTGATGCTTCCGTGTATGTTATGTATGTGACCAAGATAGATCATCATTACGACCAAAAAAGAGAGAGATCATCAATGATAATTTTTTGCATTTTGCCGTTTTATAGTTGAATTTGCGTATTTTTATGGTTTCCCAAATGAATTTTCGCATTTATTCACTCATGTATTTTTGCATTTTTGGGTTTCACTCTGGAATATTTGCATTTCCTGGTTTTACTAATGCATTTTTACAATTTTTGGTTTCATGAATAAATTTTCCCATTTTAGGATTTTGTTAATGATTTTTCGGGTATTGGGGAATGAATTTTGGCATTTTAGGGTTTCACTAATGAATTTTTTTATTTTGGGGTTTTGCCGAATGAATTTTCACACTTTGACCCCGTTCTGTACATGAGAAAAGAGGCTTAGGGATGGAAAATAAATTGTTTTCCCATGTTTGGTAAGTCTATGCATGGAAAATAATTGTCTGGCACATGGGAAAGTATGAGGGAAAATGAAGTCCTCCTCTCAACTTGGGTTTTGTTTTCCCTCCATATGGGAAAGTTTGGGAAAATGAGCCAACATTAAATGCACATTTTTCATTTCCCATTTTGTCCCCATTAATGATTTAAAATCACAATATATCATTAAATGCTTTCTTTTTTCATTTGATGTAATATGGGTATAACTGGAAAATTATACAGACATTATTTTCCATTTCTACTCAAAACAAATATGGGAAATTAAATAAAGTGATATCTCCCCGCTACTTTCCCGGTATTACTAAACGTGGGAAATGAATCTTCCATTTCTCATCCGTTGAGAAATGACATAGGAAGTGATTTCCCCTTAAATCCGTTCCGTGAACCAAATGAGGCCTTAGGGGTTTTTGAATTTTGATGTTTGATATTCATTTATGAAACTCCAAATAATTTTTCGAATTTTGGGGTTCCTCTAATGAATTTTCTCCTTTTTAACATTTCACCAGATGAATTTTCTGAAATTGGGGTTTCGCTAATGAATTTTCCGCATTTTAGGGTTTCGCACTTTGACGTTTCCATAATGGATTTTTGAATTTTGATGTTTGAAATGCGAAAATCTATTAATGAAACATGGAAATACAAAAATTCCTTACCAAAACCCCATAATGTGAAAATTTAATCATGATACCCAAAAATGTGAAACTTCGTGAGTGAAACCTCAAAATGCGAAAGTGTTATTTGCCAAAATCTTGAAATAGGAAAATTCATTCATGGTACAACTTTTTTTATTTTTTTTTTGTTTTTTTTCATTTTAAGGTTTTGAATTTTCTCATTTTGGAGTTTTGCTAATTCATATTTTAGGATTTCGTCAAATGAATTTTCGCACTATGTGGTTTCCGTAATGGATTTTAGAATTTTGATGTTTGAAATGTGAAAATTCAATCATGAAACCCCAAAATGTGAAACTTCATTAGTGAAACTTTGAAATGTGAAAGTTTATTACTGAAACTTTGAAATGCGAAAAATTCATTACTAAACCCTAAATGTTCATGAAATCACAAATAATTTTTGCATTTTAGGGTTGCACTAATGAATTTTTGCATTTTAGTGTTTCGCCAATTGAATTTTCGCACTTTGTGGTTTCTGTAATGGATTTTCAAATCTCGAGGCTTGAAATGCAAAAGTTCATACCGAAACCTTAAAATGCGAAAATTCATTCATAAAATCCCAGTGGGAAAATTCATTATCGAAAGCCCAAGTGCAAATATTCATTCATGATATGCCAAATAATTTTTTGCATTTTGAGGTTTCGCTATTCGCATTTAGGGTTTCACAAAATGAAATATCTCATTTTTGGTGTTTCGCTAAATGAATTTTTGCACTACTAGGTTTATGTAATGGATTTTTGATGTTTGAAAGGCGAAAATTCATTATTGAAACCCCAAAATACGAAATTTCATTACTGAAAACTCCATAATGCGAAAATCTAATCATGAAACTCAAAATGTGAAACTTCGTTAGCAAAACCCCAAAATTAGGGGTGTGCAAGATCCAATTCAATTTTAATTGATTTCAATGATTTGGCTGATTACATTGGATTCCTAATTTCCAAAACCGACATGATTGAATCGAATGAGGAATTTGCTTGTGAGAATTCATTCAGATTGCCCCAAATGCAAAAATTCATGATTTAATAGTTTCATGTTTATTTTCATATTTTGGAGTTTCAATAATGACTTTTCCCATTTCAGATTGCCCCAAATGCAAAAATTCATTCATATACCCAAAAGTGTGAAAATTCATTCATTCACATTTGGGGTTCTTCCATTCCTTCGATCATTTTAGTCATTTAAGAATTTAGATTTGGCATAACAATGCGTTTCCAAATTTTAGGGAAAGTTCATTGTGTCGACAAGAGAGAACTATAAGCCAGTGAGAGCTTTTCTCTTCTGTTTTTTAGCCTGAAATTATTCGGAGTAATTCACCAAATTCTTTCACCTTCGAATTTCTATAATTTTAATTCCGAAGAATTCACATCCGTTCCGTTCTGAATCCCATATAATACTTTTAATTTTGCGTAGTTAATTCTGCTTAATTTCTTGCTTGCCTGCCAGGACCACAAGATTTCATGATTTCCTTTGGCTACATTCTCTCTCTGACTCAAACCAAGACATTATTGTAAATTTACTAAAATAGTCACACAATAGTACCCCAAAAAAAGAAAAAATAAACACAATTACCAATTGCAGAATTCTTGATTCAAGAAAAAAAAATGTTGACTGTTACATGTGTTGGTCAATTACATTGCATCATGGGGTCGGCGATACCACATATATTATGGGGTTAATTGAATTTTCTCAACTCCAAGACGGGCCACACATCATTAGCCGCTCACTCCGGCAAGCACATAACATGTAAAACAGATGGAGAGCAACAATCTCACAGCAATCATTTTAAAACCTCACAATAACTAGCACTCCCACCAAATGCACACGACCACCGAGATAAACGAAACCAAATCACATACTGCACAAGATTACTTTGGCAGCGACAAACTTCCCTCTTCCTAAAATTCTTGAACAGCTTTTGTCCTCTTCAACGCAAGGATTGATGCTAATGATGAGTTAAGGTTCAGGTTCAGCCACCAGAACCCCACCTCATTCCATATCGATGGATTAAACTAAATGATTTATATCTTAAATTGAAGTCGAATTTCAAGATAGCAAGGGTAACTACTTCAATTACAGCCACTCTTCGATGGCCAAAAATTACATCCAAATATGAAGCAAAATGCAAATACCATCTTAAAACAGAGTAAAACATACCTCTCAAACATACCTCTTAAACACGAAGTTGAGAAAAACTAAGCAGCAGTCCTTACATCCATCACAGGTCAAACAGCTCAACTCCAGAAAAGAAACAATATAGAAAAAGAAACACATAAAATCATCTTGGTACACGAGTTTTAAAACTGACCTAGACAAGAACACAAATTATGCTTTTGCCACATGCTCCATAGCAAGGATGACCTAGTACCGATCGTAACGCCTGCAAGAACAAATTATTATATCAGGTGATCATCAACTAAAAAGTATCCAAATTTGCATATACATATGACTTGGTCACAATCACACATACAAGACCAGGCAAAATCAGCAAATTAACAAAATCCCTATGATAAGCATTTACAACATATCACCCCAAAAAAAAACAGACATGTTATGGTTAGCTACATAAGCTTGTAAGAGCATCTCCAACCGATGTGTCAAAAGTGCTACATAGACATTTAACAGTTAGAAATAACATCTCACATCACTCCAACCTATGTGTCAAGGTTGAGATGTTATTTTTGACATCCCAAAAGCAAGATGTCAAATGAATATTTTTTTCTTTTTTTCTTTTCTTTGTAATTAAAAATAAATTAACACTAAAATGTAATAAAATAATAATTTAATTTGACATATCGGGTAGAGTGTAAAGCTGTGTAAGATGTCAAATTACCACATCAGCCATCAAATTTAAATTTGATGTTTGGTATTTGACATCTCCCTTGGAGATGCTATAAGCTGGATATAATAATATGACGAGCTTCAAATTCACGGCCATCTCACAAAAAGGTAGCAACTCTCTTGACAGATGTAGACAATGACAAAACGGGAAAGAATTTCCAAAGGTTTTGAAAAGAAGCCACAAAATTTTGAAAGCAATGCTTCAAACTACCAGTACAAGGTATGCAAGGCACTCACACTTAGTTACAATTAAAGGCTTTGACTAGAAAACACATTAGGTCTATTTCAAAGTAAAAAAGAAGCTGATGATTCTTTTTTCATAAAATTGCAAACACAAAGACAATTATTTTCTAAAATTAGCTCTAAATGAACTTTCATGTGCGCTTTTTTATGAGGATGCTGAGAACAGAATTATTTCCACCAGACTGGCACTTAAATCATTGCATGATCTTGAAACATTTGAAAAATGATATTGAAATCATTGCACAAAGTTACTTTAATCCTTTATCAAACAAAGGGAAGCATGCATGCCAAATGAACAGACACTTTCAAAAATGGCCACCATGGAAGAGTACACACCTGTGGCGATCATAATCCCTGGAACGCTCCCTTGATCGTGAGCGTGACCTACGGCGACTTCTTGAATCATAATTGCGGGAGCGATCTGAATCTCTGTCACGCTCGCGATCATATCCGCGATCTCGATCATAATACCTATCACGATCTCTGCTCCTACGATCATGATCCCTACCTCGGTCGCGGCTATCTCCTCGTTCCCTATCCCTACTTGATTCCCTGTCGCGTTCCTTACTTCGCTCTTTTGATCTACATGGAAAATAATTAAAGAATAAAGATTTATATTTTATAGAAGCTTCATGTAAAGGGTACATTTTGGAAAGAACTTGTATTTCTTTAATTTAAAAAAAGAACAATAAGAGTTACCTCCTATCCTCAGACCGATCAACCTTGCGAATCTTGTTTCTCTCTTCCTGAAAATTGAATAACCAAAAAAGTACAATTGACACCCCTTTTGTTAATAGGATGACATGAAATAACAAATCACTTGATGGAGAGATAACATGCCCTGCTTCAGAGGTGCATAATTGGTAAGCTTAAGCAAAGAATCATAGCAAGTGAAGATGCTCACTAATATAGTCAATTTGTAGAATCAATAAAGGGCTGAGATTAGAATATCACTTGGACAACCATCAACCTCCCTTTTTCAAAAGTCAAGTAATCTTACTTCATTTTATTATTATAATAAGGCTTAGTGCCCCCTGAAACATTGGTCAATTCCCACTAAACCCCCTTAAAAGTTAAAGTGACCCACTTTGCCTCCTTGACTGATGTTTTGTATCTCACTTTGCCCCCTCACCATTAAATCTGTTAAAAATTCCGTTAAAAATGCTGACGTGGCACCAATGGGACCCACTATTTTTCTAAACTAAGTGCCATGTGTGAAGAAAAAAAAATAAAAATTGTATTTTAAAAAACTTAATTTAACTATTAAAAATAAAAAATTATACTTTAAATTATGTGTTTTTGGTATCTTGACAGCAACCTAGCACAAAACCTTATTCCCATTACATCAAATCTTATCAATCCGCCTAAAATCCGATCTCCAAGCCAAACTTCCATCCATTCTTCTCAAGGAGAAACTCTCCACCATCACATAACAGCCAAACTTCCTCCACCCATTCTCACTTGTAATCTCTTCTACCCTCTCCACTCTCACATTCATTTCATCCCCATTAATCCATCCTCCTGCCTCTAAAACTCATCTCATATTCTGAACAATTGCTGAACCCAAACCTACACTCACCACTTTCTTGCTATGTGGGTTATAAGCTTTGAACCAGGTGAACCCGGTATGGCCATTCTATCGTCCTTCACCATTGTTCAGTATATAGGGGTTTACCACTCTGACAGAAGACCTGATCTTAAAGGTGAGTTATTTTAAATCAAACCACTCTGCAACAGTTCTTGAAGGGATTAGGTTTTAACATTTGATTATTTTGCAGGGATTTTATAAAGGCCATAGATGATTTTCATGAGAAGTACTGTATTGGAAAAGGAGGATTTGGAAGAGTATACAAGGCAGAGTTGCTATCAGGTCAAGTTGTCACAGTTAAGAGGCTTAACTTTGGAGATTGATTGCTGGAATGTCGTTAGATTTTGAACTGCGACAACTCGACCTGATAGCAACTCTACCAGTCCGTTTCGTCGACCTCCAGCGAGGATCCACCCCAATTCCTCTTTTCTTTGGAACACTATTTGATGACTGTTGCATATTCTTAGGGAGGGGGCTGGGTTTTGGGTCTGTGAGAGAGGAAGAGGGAGCAATCGAGGGTGGTTGTGGTGGTGGTGATGGCGACTGGGAAGGGATAATGGGGTTGGAGGAGGGGAATTTGGGATTTTTTGGTTTTAAAGTATTATTTTTATTTTAATAGTTAAATTAAAATTTTTTAAAGACAATTTTTAATTTTTTTTCTTCACACATGGCACTTAGTTTAGTAAAATAGTGGGTCCCATTGGTGCCATGTCAGCATTTTTAACAAACTTGACTGTGAGGGGCAAAGTGAGACACCAAACATCGGTCAAATGGGCAAAGTGGGTCACTTTAACTTTAAGGGGGTTTAGTGAGAATTGACCAATGTTTCAAGGGGCGTTGTAGCACTTAAGCCTTATAATAAATGCAAAATCTATAAGGTGACGACAACCAAATGGGTGTAAACATTTCATTCTCATAAGTACACAAGCTATGATCCAACCTAAGCCAAAAATGAAAAAGATGTTCGAAAAATTATACTCACAGATACCATATTATGAGAATCTCTATAGATTTGAAACACTACCAGAGCACCTGAACCAACAGTTTCAGAATACAAACTTAAAACAATTCAGACTTTCCAGGTAAAATTGTAATACTTTGATAATATATTTTCAGACATACTTTGCCTAAAATGCTGGAAACACATTTTTCAAAACAATGTCCATTAGAGTACAAAAGTTAGTGTTCATCTGCCCATTTTTTACCCCCAACAGATATATATTTATGAAACAAGCCCAAGAGAAATATATATCATTACAAGGGAGCATCATACCTGCAGCTCTGCTAACTTCTCACGGATTTGCATATAGCCTAAATGAAGCTTCCCGCCAAAGTGATCCGCTAAACGACGGTCACTGAAAACAACAAAAAGAATCAGAATATTTCATTCAATTCAAACATGCAATAGCCCAAACAGGTTATGTTCATGTACGGTACAGATTCCACATTATTTTTCTAGCCAACAATAGCTTGATCTACAAACATAAAACAGAAAAAGACGCACATTCTGTAGCTGCAAAAGTTATCCTCGTAAAACTGGGCACAAGAGCCTGCTGGTGACAAGGAGGTATAATCGTTGGGTCAAAAGCTGAAGCACTTGAAACCCCAAATACTAATTTTATGTATACCCAGAAAAGCTAGAAACTAGAGTAGCAGGCATGATTATTCAAAATCAAACTTTACCTGTCATAAACACTCAAAAATGCTCCACAGATGTCACAAACACGTAGCTTTTGATCAGTCTGAAACAACACCATAATTTACAAGTTAAGGGACACTCAGCAGTGAAATGAATAAGCAAAAAGTTGGACCCTATTACAGGAAATTCTTGCAAGAGTATCAAACATTATCATGGGCTTTTCATCATTTCTTTATTCTACATACAATCTGAAAGTAACACTTGGTGAAAATGCACACCTAGATGTAGACAATCCATTCAATTTTAATGTTTAGACGACAAAGAGGACAACAAAGAAGTTTACAAGTGTAACATGAAAATCAATATCCCACTTCTTCTAACCATAAAGTGTCGGGACAACAACTATGAGTACTTTCTATGTGAGAATGTAAGTGTTATGAAGTAGATTCTTTTGTTGTTACCAATAACTTGATAGATGGAGGAAAAATGAACTCACAATGCGCACATCAGCAGCAGTGTACTTGGAGGAATCCAGGATAGGCTCCTGTCTGGCAGGCAGCTAAAGAGAAGAAATGAACAGTCACTAACCAATCATTGAAAGAAAAACAAAAGAGCACAGCAAATGCAAAACTCAGAACAAAAAGAAGGATATTAAAAAAGGTTGCAAAACAGGTGAACCACTTAATACAAAACAATATATTTTTATTTAAGAATACCTTCTTCAGTGCTTCAGCCTCTTCCAGCGCTTTTTGTGCCTCATCAACCATTCCTTGCTCACCTGAAGATGGCAAAGAACTTTAGGGACTATACGTAACCTGATTTCTAGAAAAACAGAAAACTAGCCCAATATATACACACAGCATTAATTAGTAAACCACTTGACAAGGCATAAATCACTTGAAAAGATAAGGTAATGGAGTAAGTCCTTTCTCTCAAATTAATAAAAAAATATAATGTATTCTCACTTAGTAAACCACTTGACAAGCCAATCCAAATAATTTGACTAGGTATTCACTTACCAAGGTCCTCTGCCTTCTTCAACTTTTCATTTATCATTTCCTGTGTTCGGGCATCGGGAACAACTACAGGCAAGGGTGCCAAAGGTGGCGGGTTTGGCAGGGGTTGAGGTAAGGATGCCCTATCCTTATTGAAAGCATCCAAAAGAAGCATGGACTAAAACAAAATAAAAGTATATGTTAGAGAGCTGACAAACTTGTCAACAAGTTATCCAGATCAAGGAATAATACACTGGAACAGCAAGAAAACATTCAGTTTGTACATATACAAATGAATTTCTCAACAAGTAGATATTTGGTACCTGTTTATCTGCTCTCTTGCCTCTGAGTTCGTCTACTATCTCCATAGCCCGAATCTTAAGATCTGTCTTGCCTTCAAGATCTGCAAATTTACGTCAAAAATTTGAATCAGAAAATTGATAATTTACAAGCAACTGAACAATATATATATATATATATAAAGAAAACAAAAGGTTTGACCATTTTAAGAACAGCAGCCACAATATAAGACCATGCATGAACAGTGGAAACACAGTACAAATGCCAAACGTTAAGTATATATATATATATATATATATATATTAGTGATTCATCAACTTTAGTGCATTAACCAAACTTAGAAAAAAAGAAGATTAGCATCTGTGTATTATTAACACAGACTCACACACACAAAATCCAAGCAAACCCAAGAGAAGGCAAGTTCTGTTTTGAAAATAGCAATTAGATAAAGGTTACCAAATTGATCAACTTCTTTCAACTTTTCCTTGATCTGCTTTGACAACTCGAGTACCTCTGGCGTCTGGAATTGCACAAGAATCAATAAATAGGTAACCATGTGATTTTTTACCTATAAAGAAAAAAAAAAGGATAGATTGAATGATCCATTACCTGAGTAACTTCAGAGACAGAAATTGCAATAGCAGCCTTTGCATCATCATCCTCAAGGCGCTTAAGAGCTCTAGCAATTTTCCTATCACACTCAACAATGAGCCTATCTATGACATCCTCCAGGTCTCTGTCATAGTTATCAGTCCCTTTTGCTTTGGCTTCTTCGTATCTGGGAAGAGTTAAGCTTTACTGGTATTGAATTATATCAGCAAGCATGTATATAAATAAGAAAATTTCATCTCAGCCTTCAAATGTACATTCATTTCAAAGACAATTGAAGCAAGCAATAGTTGAAAAGGATACTCTTTTCTGAGCTGCAACGAGTGGACCTTAGGGCAGGGACCCATATCCATTTTCTGAAAACGCAAAAGTAAAAATGTCATCTAGGTTCAAGATTATGGCAAAAGACCTAGCTTTAATTTATTTTCCTCTCGGGAACCAACTTTTAATGAAAAGAAGTGAAGGGCTTTAATTTACCGTTAACTGGAAAAGCTCGTGGGGGCAGAGCCCGACCAAGTAGAGGCGACACACTTCGCGATCGTAATATTTGCGGTTGACCTCTCGGACGTCGCCGTTTCGATTGGCCCCCATAAGCTGGTCCAGCTGCTTCCTCAGCGCGTCCATGGCTGATCACTCCCCCTCTAGTCGTCTCTACAACTTTGGAGTGGGGGATTTCAGTTGGCTCACTGAGCGAGAAAGAGATTAGGGTTCGTTAGGGATTTGGAGAGTTTTGGGGAAAAAAAATATTAAAAGATGATTTGGATTGTGTTTGTTTGTGATACTGTGCTCACTCACTGTATTTAATTTTAATAATATATTTGTTTTGCTCATATGCCCTCGTGGGTTTATACATTTGCAGGTCGGCCCGGGCCCATTACGATTTCACTTTTGGGCCCATTATCGTTCTCCAGTCCTCACTCTCCTCGATCAATCCTCTCATAAAAGGTCAGAATGAAACTGAAACTGAAACTGAAACTCGGATTCAATGGCTCTCTCCTTCTCTCGCTTGCTGTTGGTCTTGGGATTCTCCGCCTTGTTGTGTATTTCAGTAGCAGCAGCTTTCCAATCCGATGAGCTCTTATTGGACGACGACGAGTTCGGTCTAGAAGGAGGGTTGCACACTAAGTCTCCTGATCTCACATACACACGATCCTCACCTCCACCACCATCACCACCAACTTCATCAACCTCCCGGAAGAGGTTTTCCGATCCGGATTCGGACTCCAAGATCCAATTCCAGCTCCATCACGCCTTTGGGGACTCTGATTTCTCGCCCGCTGGTACTTTCAGTGCTCGCTTGAAGACATGGAATCACGGTGGTCAGGTTGGTTGCTTTCTTCTCTTCTTCTTTTATCCTTCTAATTTTGGTGCGAAGCTGCAATTTCATGTTTTGCAGTGGCTTTGGTTGTCATTTGAATGGGCTATTGGTGATTCTTGAGATTGAAATTCACAATTTTGAACTGGATTTGTTTGTCTTTTGGACCGGCTTCTTTAAAAAATTAGGTGAAAAGAAAGGAATATGTAGTTGATAAATTCGTAGGTGTAAGGCAATGGATGCAAGTGCATGATGATGAACTTAGGGAGTTTACTTAAGACTATTTGCTTGTACCTTTTAGTGGAGCATCGTTTCATGCTTAGTTTTTTCTACTTGCAAACTCTCGGGCCTTATATTTCACTTTGTAATACTAGAAAACCTAAGATGCATCTTAACTATGACATGGTTTTATTGATCACAGACCCTTACAAAGCTACGATTTTCGAGGAATGCTTTTACTGAAGAGGAGAAGGAGAAGTTTGCGGTAACCCCTCCCCCCCCCCCCCCCCCCCAAAAAAAACCAACTTATGTGTTTTTTTCCTGCTTTTACCATATTAGCATTCTTTCTTAATTTGAAATGTTGATGCTGTTATTGTAGCTACTATTGAAGGGAGATGACTTCTATAGGATAAGATTGCCGTCCAGTGTTTTGAATCCTCCTGGGAGGGATTATGTTATTTCTTCAGTAAAAGCGGCAAGTCTTACGCACCCTCTATCATGTAGTTTTATGGTTCCAATACAAATATGATCACCAAGGCTGCAGGTTTACTAACAATCTTTCTTAAATATCCAGAGATGTCTTCCACGGGATGGTTTGGATGAGCACTTCGTTATACACACGGTAACTTTCAACTTTCTAAGCTCTTGCTGTTGTTTGCCCATGGTTTGGAAGATATTTCAGACTATATACCTATTTTTACAGTTCAATGAGACATATTTTTGTGGCTTTACAATCATCAAGTCTTATGCAATTTATTCTTGATCAAATTTGTATTACAGGATGGAATTAATATCTTGGCAGTTAATTATGGTTCGCCTGGGGCATGTCCATATCCTCGGCAAATGAAACTTGTAAGTCGGGATCGATATTTTTTTTCTCTCTGGTTTTTATTGTCAATGGACTTAAGATGAGTAGATATGTGGCAACTTTTTTTGTGTGTGTGTGTGAATGAAAGTAGAGGCTTTCTGAGAATGGAAAAGAAAGTTGAGTTGAATAAGCTGACCTTGTTCCAATGCCTTCTTCTTCTTTTTTGTTGGGTATTTTCAGCCTGGAAAGTGGTCTTTTAACTCTCACACGGTTTTGAAGAATAGTGAGCAAGCTCCAAGGTGAAATGCTTTTGCATTTTTTCTTTCTTCATTATATGTTGATATTCTGGCATGATCTGGTTGCTTAAACTCTCACGGAAGGTTAATTATTTCATACTTCTCAACTTTGTTAATAGAAAAAGGTGAACCTGATTATCTAAAAGAGTACCCTGTGCGTTTATATCAGTTGTATTTTCTTTTAATATTAATTTTCCATGGTTGATAGAAATGTAGATACAAAATTGGCATTTGATTTGGTTGATCTGCATTATTTATTAGGTGATGTTCAGGGTATTAGTAATCAATGGAATGATCTAACTGTGTTATGTTAAATGCTGATACCATCTACAGTCTTACATTACGCCGATCATTGGAGGTCTTTGTGAAGGCCCTATAAGTTAATATCTTATGACAAAATGTTTTCACAGAGCTCCAGTGTTTGCTGAGGAGATTCTTGGAGGCGAGTTAGGAGAAGGTGAAGTTGTACCGCCACCAGAAAGGTCCCTTTGGGCTAGATATGTGAGTATCAACAGAATTAATCGTCTCCATCTTTCCCTCCCATAGATTTATTTTATTGATTTACCTTACTGATTTATTATGTACCAGTGGATGTACTTAATCCCGCTTGGGCTCATTGTCATGAACGCCATAACCCAAGCAATGAACATGGCAGAGGAACCGGGTGCTGGTCAGCCAGCAGGCCAAGCACAGCAGCCAGCTGCTGTCCAGCGTGGGTCAAGTTCTGCTGTGCGAAGAAGATAGTCTGTTTGCTCATTTTTCTTTTCAAAGATTTGACGTCACCTGAAATGAATGACATTGTAGGTTCGACCTTTTTGTTGTATCTTTAATCCCATGGGGACCTTCATGAGGGTTGTAAATTTTTAGTAATTTTGTTATATTTTTAGTAGGGAATGGGAGGTTGAATTGATGAAGGCTTCAGGATTAGCATTTATAAAGAATTTTGCATGTATTTCTAAAGGATTTTGCAGCAGTTGCAAAATAAAGAAAACAAATTCCACAAATGACATTGCAAGCCATGGCGCCATGGAGAGAATCATTATTAACTGCAACCAGTTTTGGTAGCTTCATGAATTGGTATGATGTGCATCTCTACGACTATCAGATGAGACCAACCGGAAACGAGGCTATGAACCAACCAAAATTAATGTATAAAATCCAAATAGAAAATTATACCAAGAGTTACTAAAGCCAGGCTTTATTTTTTATGTATGTGGCGGGGGTTGATATTTTTTATGCAGAGTTTGAACTTTGGCAGCTACAAAAAGAAAAAGAAGAAAGAAACCAGAAAAACAAAAAAGCCGGGCTTTGTTTGTTGGTAAAGCAGGCGTAGCTGCTACTTCTTCAAGGAATACTCGTTACAATTAAACAGAGGAAGGAAGCTAAAACTTCTATGCAAAATACTTTGAGAAATAAAGCTATGCGAATAAGGACATCCAAATAAAACATCTCCGGATCTCCTGACAACACGACAGAGGCCAGAGACCCAATCATAGCTCGTCCTGCAAGGCCAAATCAATAAATTACAGAATTAATTAGAAAAAGGCCATCTAATCTTTACTGTAATAAGTAGGTGCGCTTAATTTAACGACAGATCATAGAACATTGAATGATGCTTACATGATCATAATCCCAATCACGGTGGCGGTGCTGCAGAATAAAACATCCAAGTTAGAAGTAGGGCAGAAAAAAAAACATTAATTCAAGTTACAACTTAATTACTGAATCTACGTCAATTGGCCAGCGGCTACAAAATTCCACAGAAACTGTCCAATTAATTGATCACCTTCCTACTTATTTGCAAGGGTCAAAGGTCTCAAATAGGCTTTTAGTTCAGAAACAGCCACAACAGGAGGAAATCATCCCAATTTCGTTGGAAATGAAGAAAAGAGGATAACAATAAGTATTTCTCACAACTCTCATTTGGTTGGAAGGAAGTGAAACAGCTTTTGGTTGGACGCTGCATACTCATGAGGGGTTTTTTTTCTTTTTCTTTTTTGATTAACCGGGGGGGGGGTGGGGTATGGATTTTAACTGGGGCCTATTCCAATGAGAAAGACACTATGGTCATTAGCTAGAAAATATAACAAGGACACTGATTACCATTACACCAAGAGCTAGTTGGTTAGGTATAAGGGATTTGAGTGACCTTTATTGCAAAGGTGATCATAGAAAAAACCTATATTAGATGAAAGTTGAAACAATTAGTGCAAAATATTCAAACACACCCTTCGGTATCTGTCTTGACGTCGATTGTAACCCCTATCTCTTCTCCTCCTTTCACCCTCCTCTCTCGCTCTTTGAGCTTCCTGCACAATAAGGGCTCAAACTACTTATGAATGAAACTCAACAAAGCCTGACGGAAAATTCTAATAAACCAGTTATTACGCTCACGAACCTCTTCCTCTTGTGCCTTCCTCTTTTTTTCTGCTTCTTCAAAGGCATCCTTTTCAGCCTGAGACGCCATAAGTGAAGTGCATAAGATGAACTGCCAATGAACTTGGAAATACCAGTGACAGTCAAAAGAGGCTTACCTCTCTATTGGTAAAGACTTCCTCGACAATTTGTTTGGCATACTCAGGATCATCACAAATTAAAATGTTGTCAAAAACTGAACCAGCCTTTACCTGCATCACATTATTTTACCCCATTAACATAATGAATTAGTGATCATGCCATCCTCAAATTCGCAAATGTGTCCTACCTGCCAAACTTCGATACCCACGTACTTAATTGGCTTAAGCACATAAAGATCAGGGTCATCTTCAAACTCTGCATGGGATGAGAAAAAGGAAACTTAGCATGTTTTATTTTTCCAAGATCTGCACACGCAATTATCTCTACTGATATAGACAGAGCAAGTATAGCTATCCAATCAAAGTTACCAGGATTATCAATCCAAGGAGTCTTCCATTTCCCTTTATAATTAGGGTTCTTGATTTTCTGACATGCCAGAAGAAGTTACGCTAATTAGAAACTGCAAAGAAGAATTGGCCTTCGGTTTTATCGGTTACCTCTAAAAGTAATTAACCTACGGTACCACCTACCTTGGGTTTCCATGGTCCTTTATAAGCTGGATTTGGTATCTTTGGAGCTTTCCATAATCCGTTCTCTTCTTCATCCCAGTCATCAGGCTAATTAGAAGGGGAAAACAAACAAATTATTGATTAAATGTCTCATCTTTCCATAAATATGCACTCATCAAACCACAAAGAGAACAGCACTAAAAGTCAAACTAGAGAAAGGGAAGATAGTATTGGAGAACAGAGTAGCCTTTTGATGGTTCAATTACACAATGAAGGGTCTAATAATTGTCCAACATCAGAAAGGCCAAACAGATGTTAGATACGCAGCTTTGTTTATAGTACTACTCCATAAGCAATTAGCTAACCTCTTTAGCTTTTGGATCTGAAATTTCTCTTGGAATTGAATCATATCCCTGAAATACCAGGATATGCATCAACAGTATGTAACACATGATATATTCACTACAAAGATAAGTCCCAGAGACGAGCATTAGGAAAAGAAGAAAAATAAAGTTCCCATACCTCAGGTTTGACGCTATCAGGATCATCAATGTATTCTCTAAGATCCCAGTCTGCTGGCTATGAGAGAGAAAATGATACTTATAAGATAAAGGAAACAATTGTAGGGATTCAAATTTATAACCCACTCTCTAAGAAAAGGTCGTTCACAGATTTGCTGAGCTTTGAAAACATTATCATAGTGAAGTCATAAAATACTAATGAATATGTAGTGAGTATTTAAGTACTTGATAGAACCGATTTTTGCATCAACGCTTTTAATCTACCTTCTTTGCATTAACATCTTTAATCTTTCTTGGAGGAAGAATATCCCAGTCTGTGTACATGCTTCCAGAGTCCCTTTCTCTGTTGTCGACTAGGACACTATACGTTGCATCAGGCCTAAGAATGAAGGTGTAAAAATGAGTCAACTTGTCGGTTTCACACTGTAAATCCTTCTTGATGGGGTAATTCTGGCCTTGGTAAGAGAGTATAACATGGAGCTTCTTTGTATCCGTGCCACATATATCTGGTCCAAACATTAAACTACACAAAGAAAGTTCAGCATTAATTAAACAAGGATGAACATCTATAAAAGGAAACAGGAGATGAGGAGAAAACCATAGATAAAATTAACAAATGAACAGTTTCCGTTAAGGAATCATTGCTGGTTGAAGAGAAGCTCAAAACTGCGACATTGTTGAGAATTGAGAATTCTAACCTGTATGGAGTGTCCCCACTGAATTTCTTCTGATTAACAAATCCAGACATAAGCTTTATGTAACCCCCACCACATTCAATTTCCTGCTCAAACCGTACAGAGTATTGGAGGACCAACGTCCTGTTCTTGTTGCTGAACTCTGTTATCTTTGCAGATATGGCAAAATGTTTCGCATCATTTGATGTCTGAATTCCTGCAAGATTTCACATACCATCATAAAACCAGAAGTTTAACTACCTTGACTGTTGTCGAGTACTAATGCTGCTGCAATTCATTGCATTAGGAAAGAAATGCGTTTACTTTTCACAAACCTTCAACCCTAAATTCTATTTCAAGGAAGAAAATGTGACATGATAAATAACATTGAATTGGTCAAGGGTTTTCCAACAATTCTAAAACACATCAGAGACCAACTTGTATATATATGCAGTGCAGGACTTTACAACATAGCATAGCAGTGAAATAGCAGCAATGATAATAAGTGAGAGAAGATATACCTTTATCATCTGGGTCTCCAGACCACTTTCCAGCTGTGTGTTTAAAGGAACCTGCTTTGCCTTCACTGCTTTTCCAGTCGGATTTAACCCAACGTCTTTGCCACCCCTCTAACTCAAACAAATCAACAAAATAAAGATTAAAACTTAAACACTGTCAAAGCTTTGCTTTTCACACATTTTCTTTGACAGAAAACAAGCAACTCTGAATTCTCAACCAAAAACGAAAACCAAATCTTAACTAATTTTCCTTTTTCTGGTAACAATTATAGATATTTTCTCAGAGGAGCAAGTAAAAATGGGAAATGCAAGTCAATGATATACTAAGTAAAGTAAAATTGAAGCGATGGAAGGAGAAAGAAGCAAGTAAGATAAAGATACCTTCAAAACGCTCTTCGAAAATGATCTCTGAAAGCGAAGAACGAAAGCAAAAAGAAAGCAAGGAGAGTGCTATTATTATTACTAGCAAAAACAGGCGTTGATGACTAGGAGTAACGGGGCATGGCAGCTTCGCCATTTCAATTCAATTCTCCAAGAAGTGTTTGTCTTGTGGCGTACTTATACTAGTGGAAGCAAAAGGTTGCCCAAGATTTCTACTTTAATTTCGACGATGCCCTTGGAAAATGCATAAAAATGAAGTCTTTGTTCGAACATGTTGATGTTGATGTTGATGTTCATGTTCATGTTCATGTTATCCCTCTCCCACTGGCACTGACTGGGCACTGCCGTTGTGTACGGGTATCCTTGTTTCTTGTCTGTTTTTAAAATTTTAAAGTTTAATTATGATTAGTGTTTCCCCGTCAAACGAGAAAGAAAAAGATTGTTGACTTTGTATAACTGAACCCAAACCAACCAATCACAGATGAATGAAACGTTGCATTACCCAATCAAAAGTGTGCGAGTCAAGTCTTACAACATTATTATTATTATTATTAAATGGGGCCTGAACGATGACAAGCAGGTCTTCGGTCTTCGGTCGTCTTCTTCTTCTTCTGCATCAGCCAATGGAATGGAATTGGATGCATATATAATGTATTAAGATTATTTTTGTGAATTTGTGATTGTATAATAATTGCAGGAATATTATAAATGTAAATTTTGTGGAAAGGGAAGGGCATTCCTTTGAAGAGGAAAGAGCGCATAAGATTACAGAAGACTTAGTGGGAGACTTGACTTAATCAAAGTCTTCTTCTCCCAGCCAGTCGGCCACTACATCTACAAGAAGGGAATTTCTGTGCGGATGAAAGGAAGAAGGGGCGGCATGATAATTGAAACGAACGCTACGCGAAGACTTTCACCGTCTGTTTTCTACAGAGTCTTTTTCTCCCTTTCCTTTCCGAAGTAGTAGTGCACTTGATTTATTTTTCTTCAATCAAGTAAACCTAAAACCTAAATCCACGGCAAAACGTCCATCATGACATTTTAATCACATATCACGCATAAGACTGACGTTTTTATAACGGCAAAAAACTTGGATGATTTTTATTTAAACAAAACATCTACGAAACAATAAAAGAGTCACTCTCCATCCATAAGCCGGAACCGCAGCACCAATGTTTCAAGCATACCAACAAAATACTACTCTCTTTTTAAACAACATTAAAAGGAGCAGCAAACCCCAAATGGGTATTTAGAAATGGGAGTACAAGGTAAGAATATCCAAAAGTTCTACTGGCATCTATTCCTTGCAGGAAAGTAGAGAAAATTAAAAATGGAGCCTCATGCTTTTCCCCTACTTTGCCTGAGGGTGAGAAGAAATAAAGTCCACAGCAAGACCAATTGAGTTGATCTTGTCAGCTTCATTATCAGGGATCTCAAACCCAAACTCCTCTTCAAGAGCCATCACAATCTCCACAGCATCTAAACTATCTAATCCAAGATCATTCTGGAAATGAGCATTTGGTGTAACCTGCCAAAAGAGGAGATTGAAAAAAAAAAGCGGGGTCATTACATTATAGAAAATGGAATGAAACGTAATAAAACAGTCACCCCCAAAAAAAAATTCAGCATCAAATGTGAACGAAAATGAACATGCGCATAGAGTTCTCTAAAATAGATTAATCTTACATAAATATAAGAAAAGAAAGAATACCCTTTTCACCTTGATTTGAGCTCAGCATGGAACATGCCAATTACCAGGACTGGATGTTACTTTCTATTGGAATTTGGTACATAGGACATTCACAATGTATTGATTTCAACATGTACGCACAGAAACTGATGTAAAAGTAAAATGGAGGAATATGTTCAAGTATGTATGCAATCCTAGGGTCAAAGAAGAAAGACAAAAAGAATGCTTATGAAATATTACAACTATTAAATAATGGATGCAAGTACCAAGACTCATACCCTTCTTTAGCAACCAACAATGTTAAACAAAATCCTAACATTAGCAATAAAATACGACCTAGGTCCATTACATATTTCATTTCAGCCCACATTTCTATTCATGCTTCGTGAGAAAATATCTTATTCTCAAGACCTCCAGTAATCCTGGAGGAGCAAAAATAGAAATTTAAGAACTCTGAGAAGCACTGAATAAGAAAATAAATATGACTCAAAAAATTAAAGCTATGCACTGTGTGGTTGATGGAAAACGATATACCAAAGTCTTATTGTGAATAAAGTAATGACGCATTCCAGTTCCTGCCTGAGATGCATATCTGAGCACAGCTAAAGCTAGCATATTTTCTACTTGTACATTTTAGTCTAACAAAAACAATACAATGACGAATCTAAATAACCAATCAGCCATTGATTTTGCATTGAAAGAAATGACTTCACCATCTGCCCAAAAATATGCATAAACCCAATAGCAATATTTCACTCCCACATGTACATCTACGCATGCATATGTTATGTCTGTGCAAATGGGCGTGCCATATTGAAGAACAAGATGCTATGACTGGACAATGCAAAACAACATTGAATGACCCTACATTTGACATACCAAAACCCTAATGATTCAATAGAACGGATCTTGGAAGCAAAAAATCAACTCCTCAAACACAAAATGACCACATTTTTAAGTCAAAAGAAACAATTTTTTTCTGAGAATCTTACCTGCGAAATATGAAGAAATAACAACTTTTCAGAATCCTAATTACTCTACTTTCTGTCATTTTCTAATTAATCAAACAGAACAATCCACAAGAGGATAGGAGAAGCAGTAATAAGTTGTTCAAAGCTTCAATTGACAATGCAATCCGTTTAATTATTTTTTCAATCCAATTTTCTGAGAAAGGAAACCGAAAACTCCCATAGATTAGAGAAAGCTGGAGGCAAAACACTGTTTTATATATACCTTGGAGGGATCGACTTTCTGGAAGTTCTTGACGACAGAGATAACACGATCGGTGACCTCGGATTTGTCGAGGAAGGTGCCCCTGACCTCCTCGGAGAAGAGACGGCGTCGTATGGCATTAAAAGGGGAGAGAAAGAGAGGGGTGGTGGAGCTAGGGTTTGATGGCACAGCCGGAACTGGAACTCTCAGGTACTTAAGTATCGCGCTCCTCGCAGCCGCCGCCATTGAGCAAAACCTTTACACCTTCTGCCTGCTAAGCTAGTCGACTACTGATGGGTGAAATGCGTACTCAACTATATGAACGAATGAATGAATGAATGAACGAACGAAAGAAAGGGCGAGAAATCCTTTTTCTCGGTTGTTTTGTTGGGTGAGAGAGAAGATACTCTGGTTGATACCAAACGTCGTCGTTTAAAGGAAGAAAATTAGTTGGACACCCGACCCGAAGTTGGTTGTAAATAAACCCGGTGAAAGTCAAAATGTGGGCTTTTTCGATAAAAAGAAAAGTATGGGCCGAAAAGAAGCTGATCCCACCGATTTACCGCCCTTCAAGTGAACAGACTAACTGAAGACAGGGAAGAGTGAGATGCTAATTCCAATTTCCAGCTGAAACAAAACAAGAGTTTGAGAGAATTCCAAAGTGAAGAAGGCGATGCTGCTGGTGGTCTTCATTTCTTTGTTTCTCCTTCTTTTCCTCTTTCTATCAATCAAATTTGCCACAGCTGATGGTATTCATTCCCAACCCTCTCTCAATCTCTCTCTCCAATCAAATGTATACCATAAAGCATATATTAGTTCCTCAGCTCTAAGCTCTAACTTCCTTCCTTGTGTATTTCTATGCAAGCAGGGGATTTTACTTTGATGTCCAAACGCTCTGTAAAGCGCGACCAAATTGAAGATAAAGTAAGCCCATTTCCATATCTTGTATCCTGATTTCATATCAATTTTACAAACTTTGTTTCTTTTCCTTTTTCTTTTCTTTTTCTTCAAATGAGTTTTTTATTTTTTATTTTTTAATTTATGAACATTGTTTCAGGTTGTTTGGATAACTGGTGCTAGCCGTGGAATTGGTATACTTTCGCTTACCTTTTTTTTCTTCCATTTCATTTTTCATTCGTTTTCCTATCTCATTTTATGCAGGTTAGGGTCCATTGATGTTGTGAAATTTTCTGTGATGCCTCAATAATTGTCACTGTGACTGTCACACGTCTCATAATTGACATTGTCATTCATTATCACCACTGTTTGTGTCATTACTATTATTATAATGATGATGGTTGTTATCCAAGTAGATGGGCAATGCTTCCGTACTAAAGTTCAGTTGTTGTAACATCAAAGCTTTATATTCGTCTACTTTCCATTGGATAGTGCATCTTAAATTGTTGTAATGTTACTTATATATTCATAATCATAAGCAGAATGGCTTGGGGTGATTCTTTTATCTCTACTGTGGTTTATATCTGGTGAAAACTGCCCAAATATTGAAGCAACATTCTCACCGAATATGTTTCAATTGTTATTTTCCATGTACAAACTATCTCACTTTTCCCCCTGTAATGGTGGTGTGAAGGGGAGGTTCTTGCTAAGCAACTTGCAAATTTGGGGGCTAAGCTCATTATTTCTGCACGTAATGAAGCTGAACTGGAGCGGGTCAAGAAACAACTGACTGGTCTGTTCTTTATCTGCAAGCTGGATAGCTACCATTAATTTTTTAAATACATCTCTCCTCTCCTCCCTCTTAATTTGGTTAGCTTTTCCAGGTAAACATGCACCTGATGGTGTAAAGGTTTTGCCATTGGATTTGGCATCTGGTGAAGATTGTCTCAGGGATGCTGTAGAGAAAGCAGAGTCATTCTTTCTTAATGCTGGTGTTGATTTTATGATCCACAATGCAGCTATCGAGCGTCCTGTAAGTAGGCAATTCCTAATTCTTGAGTGCGAGACATTGTTAGTTGTTGAAACATCAATTGACAGTCTTGCTGATTTGTTAGCCAGTGGCTTTCCCGACAGTAAATCAGCACCACTGCACTGGCATGTACATATGATTTGAACAAAGACTTGCCAATTCACTTCTGTCGCATGTGATTTTATGTATATAAGCTGACAAATTAAGAATGCATTGTTTTTAAGATAATGCCATTCTATGTTTATTTATTTTTTTTGGTTCTATGGCAGAAAACTACGGCTTTGGATGTTACTGAGGAGAGTCTGAAGGTATCATATGTGGAGTCCTTGGGTCATTTGGTGCTAGATATTTCTCTAAGAAAATTACTGGCACCTATGGGTCAATGGTCCTCTGTTCCCTTCCTTTTTTGGCTTAAAAAAATGCTTCTTTTTTATTATCAATAAAAGTGATCCTGTTTACTCTTTCTTGCAAGTAGTCAACATTCAATGTCAATGTTCTTGGGACAATATCGCTTACACGGTTACTAGCACCTTACATGCTGAGGCGGGGGAAGGGACATTTTGTCGTGGTATGTGGGAAATGACACTATATTACTATGTACTTCTCTGCCAGACCCACTCATTACATTGAAAATAATATATTGGATGAAGCACGACATGCAATTTTGTGAGGCACATAATAGATAGATCTTTTTTCTCCTAATAGATAGATTGGTGTATATGACTATGTCAAATGTCCAAGACTCTGCAGTTATGTTGACTAACCAGACATGGGTTAATAGGATTTGTCGTGTGACTCCTGTACATTAGATGCTTAATTTTGTTGTTGCTAATTGCCAGGCGTATTCTCTTTTCATCTCTATATTGTGTTTGTTTTCCCTTTTTTGTCCTTTACCTTTGTTACCTCTTTTATTGTTTTCTTAAGTTTATGTGCAGATGAGCAGTGCTGCAGGAAAGACACCTGCACCAGGTCAGGCCGTATACTCTGCCTCTAAACATGCATTAAATGGGTACTTTCACACATTGCGCTCCGAGGTAAAAATTATAACTCTTTCAGTCTAATGATGCATTTCTTTGCTTATGCTAATGAAAAGTTTAAAAGGCAATTTGTGTCCCTTAGAATGGACCAGTTGTGACAGTATACACTCGACAGTAGTTTAGGATATTGAGCGAAGAAATGGAATGGTAAAGACAGGAAACTTTAAAATGTTGTAAATGTCTTCTAAGTGGAAAATCTTTACAGTTCTAACTGATCAAGGTTCTCCGTTGTATCTAGGCTTGCTTGTATAAAATTAAAGACACCAAGAGTAGTAGTGTGTTTATAAATTAAAATGAAACTGTTAATATAAATACAATTTCAGTTTTCCATTTTTACCCAATGGTACTAGTTCATATTTCGTGAGTGCAGCTCTATCAGAAAGGAATCAGGGTGACCATTGTTTGTCCTGGGCCAATAGAAACATCAACTGGTTCTGGAGCAGCAAGCTCAGAAAATAAAGCTTCTTCTGAGGTTAGCTCCTTACGCATCTCATTTCTTTTCATTTGTTACTTTTATGCTGCCTACTTGAGCTGTCAAGAGGGCTTTGAGGGCTAGGGACATGGTATCATTTGAATCTCTTGCATTGAAATGCTTCTTAATCATTTTTTGTTATCTTTCTGTTTTAACAGAAGCGTGTGTCATCAGAAAGGTGTGCAGAGTTGACGATAGTTGCTGCCACCCATTGTCTGAAGGAAGTTTGGATATCGTACCAGGTATTGACATCAGTGTACCTCTTTGTCTAGGTCCAGCTACCAAGATAACAGTTGGGGCTAGGCCTAGATGGTGATGATGAAAAGCATCCACAACCTATGATTACCATTTTACCTTTCCACCTATCAATGCAAGGCCTTTAAGCATATTTTCACACTCATTCCCAGATAGTATATTAACAAAGGTGGTCTATTCTTGTCAAACAAGTCATGCTTCAAATCTAATTAGACATAACATATTTTAAGCTTTATAATTACCAATTGTCTAATTTCTCGATTTACTTTTCAAATTAGCTCTGTGGATTTTGTTTTACTGAATTGTCTAAGAATATGGGCACCTTTGTGATTTCTGTCTGGTAAAATATGAAACTTATTTCTCATGTTGTCCTTAATCTTTATATTATCCTAATTATGCTTATTTGTTTTCTGTTGTCTACTGTAGCCTGTGCTGGCTGTAATGTACTTGGTGCAATACGTGCCAACTGTTGGTTATTGGCTCATGGACAAGGTATTTTCTGTACTGTCAAATTAATGTTTTTCGGTGAACCTTGAATTTGCTAAAAAATACATCCAAGTATAGCATCGTGGAATAAAAGCGTGTTAGCTGCTTTCATGATTAGGAATTCCTCTCTGGTTTACTTGACTGTGAGTTGCCTTTCTTTTTTGCTCATTGCCTGCATTTCTAACACTAATTTGGAGCTGTTGTTTTAAACGATTTCTAGATTGGTGGGAATCGAGTCGAAGCAGCTGCACGGAAGGGCAACACTTACTCAATTAGCTTACTGTTTGGGAAAAAGAAGGCATCATGAATCTTTTGACTTGAAGCTCTATCTTTCATTGCGTTAACAATCAGGAAGAGTGATTGTATGCGACTTATAGTATTTACATATCCAATTATAAGGTTTAGTTGACAGACTTTCCTGAAGATAACCGACAGAAACTATGTTGGGGGAAACAGCCTAAAACGTACGGTCATATGTACATCTTAATGCCCTCAATTTGTTGTGTTTATGGCAGTCTGCCTTCCCAACTGCCATCTCTTTTCAAAATCACGAAAATTTTACTTGGAAAGGCCGTGGTGGGGCAAACATTTTTCAAGTAATTATCTCACTTTCATACTTATTCAAAAGCTAATAAACTAATACGATCCAGATTTCATATTTTAATTTATAAATTTTCTGGACAGAATGACAGTATTTTTGTATCTTCGGACCTGTGCTTATCAATTAGTTTAGCAAGAAGCTAGCGTATATTTTACAATCTCAGCCCCTGCGTATTCCGTTCACGTCCATGGTGAAGACGATAAAATGAACAAAGCAGACAACTTCAGAAAATATTAATAAATGCAATATCTATGTTGACCAAAAGTTCTTAATTAAGGCTGAGAATAAGAAATGTCAACAACTTACATACACCTGGTTCTCATCCTAATATACTGTTTTTTTTTTTAGAAGAAACGAACTTTAATAAGCAAAAGAACGCGGAGGTGGATAAGGCAACCACCACCGAAGAAACAAAAACAACACAGAGAGAAACAAACAGCACCAATCCCTCCCAAACTAACAGGGAGGAACAAAACCGAAAAACCACAGAACAGCACACCCCCCGACCCTCAGTTAACCGTAGCTGCCATATCCCTCATAATAGTGGATAGCTGCCATATCCTTCATATCTCATCCTAATATACTGTTAAACAAAATATTCCTCCTAATACTTTCTTGCAAGCTATGTTTATGCAAGTAATGTACGCTAGAGAACATCCTAACCTAAATACTTTCTTTCAAGGACCTCAAAACTTCCTTGCAAGCTAATTTGAGTGCTGTCTTCTTGTTAGAAGCCGTTGATGAATGCTTGTATGTGAACCCATTAGCTTCGACCTCTATTGTAATGGTAGCCACATTATTTTGGAAAGACTTGACGGGTTTCTTCAAATTATAATGCATTTTTTGGCAATGTTCATTCAACTCTCTTACAGGATGGAGCCTAATCGTTTCGGGAGTAACCAAAGGCTGTATGAGAGGACTTATACTTTGAAAGACAATCTTCTTATCATATCCGGAATCAACAAAAATTGCCCCTGCTAAAGACTCGATAACATCTCCAAGTACCTGTTACAAACATCAACGGAAAAATCTAATGAAAACCCCACACATCTCCATGTACCTGTTTCTAGGGGGATTATTGTTGACATTTGTCACTTAGATTATTCTTATAAAATTACATAGTACAGGCAGCAGAGAAGTATTAATGACAAACCTTGGGGAAGGATGTCTCAGATTCCCATCCAAAAGTTGATTCGCTTGATAACCGCTCAAAGTTTTCAATTGTATAAACTATATCCTTGTGGAGTTTGTGTGAAGCATGCAGGATGTGCTTGTGCAATCCAGCCTTTATAGCAGAACGAGCATAACAATCATTGTTCACAGAAGCAGACCTCATATCAGTTAAAATTCCAGGTGACATCCCAGGATATTTATTGTACAAATAAATAGTAATTAGATGATCCAACACTGCATCCCCAAGAAATTCCAACCGCTGCACAACAAAGAATATACTTCTGAGAAGAACAGATAATACGTTGAAAGATCACAGATCATGAGGTAGTCATGTTTGGCCTATGATTTAAGAGCATCATGGACTCTGAAAAAATGTTTAAGCATGGATGAGCACAAAAAACTGCTGCGTAGGGCATCAAATTTCCATAATGTAAAATATGGCGCATCAAACAGATGGAATCCCAAAAGATTGAAATGGAATAAAGTACATTTTGTATTTTCATGCATGTTAGTGAAAGAGAGAGAGATGGAAGGAGGGATGGAGAGGGAAAAGAGAATGAGAGTAGAAATCAAATCAATTTAAGCAAAGACGCACCGTTAATGTGTTAGCATATCACATACGAGCAAGTTGGCATACATGATACGCATGGAATGAATTTCATCATCATTCTACATACCTGATAACATCCTGGAATCTCAGGAAGCATGTATGAACCATGGGTTAGTGCTTCCACTAGAAGAGAAGGATCACGGAATGAGTAATTTAATAGGGACTCTACGCGTCTGACATTAACAAGCTTCTCTGGTTGCACTTGGAAGTGCCTATCATACGGTATATGGACAGAATCAACCTTTATACCAACCCAATTCATGAAATACATGGCAGCTATTTCACCACCAGTGCTAAGAAATGCACCAATTAGTGCCTCAACAACATCAGCAACACTCTTGCTTTTTACCTTCCTTCTTTCCCTGAAGTAAATTTTTCTTTCATTAGAAAGCAACTCCTCAGTTAGTAATGACTTTCAGAATAATCTCCTGGTATAATCCACTTTTTGGATCAAAAGACTCGTTACGTATAAAGCCCTACAATATGAAAAAATGGCAAACGAATCATAAATACAGAAAATGATTTATTTAAAAATCAACAAAACCTATAAGCGGAAATGAATTCGTTGTCAGGAAGCTGTGAAAAAAGTTCTTACATCATCCTGATAACAGTTTTATGAGCACAACTAATGAGGGTAACAAAATTGAGAACACGAACAGAAAATAGAATAAATGAATGTTACCGGAAGTTTGCGTTCACATCCAAGCTTGCAAAGGGCAGCATTAGAAACTATCTTGTCCTTCTTTACACTGAGAAGGCCTTCATGATTAGTTTGATAGGTTTTAAAGAGCTGATGGCTAGCAGCATATTTTAGAAATGAATCTCCAAGAGCCTCTAGGGATTCCAAATGGAACTTCTCTTGGCACTTTTTTGTTGTAATAGCTTCCAAGACCTACATATGCGTATCAATAAAATAATCAAAAATTTCTGGATAAGGAGTTTAAGAAACAAAGACTACAACATGTTTACTGTTTACTGATATAACTTCCATATTCAAGTGACAAAATACCAAGACCTTAATGATACAAAGACTACAACATGTTTACTGATATATTATCTATTATTCAGACGTTTTACTCAAACCTTGCTCCATTATACTCGTAGAACCACTAACAATAATCAATTTGTCTTATAACAGGAAAACACAGGCAGAAGTAAAAGAGAAGACAAGGGAAGGCTCGTCATAAGTAACCCCATTTAATGAGTTGTGTGCATAGAAAAGTGCCTCTCGATTCAGAAATGTCAGAAAATATAAAAAAAAAAAAAAAAAAAAAAAAAAAAAAAAAAAAAGAGGAAAGTATATCATATTATAAAATGTAGTATATTTACCTTAGTCGTTGGAATAATAACATTTTGTGTGCAATTATCCAAAACAATTTTTTTCAAGTTGACAGCAGAAGTAAAGCCTCCAAGTGATGCATAATTGATGGAATAAATGAGAATGAATATAAACTGCTGACTGATATGGGTGACATAATTATAGAGCAAAGTTCCGGCGGCAACTCAACAGATGTATGACTCAATTCTGCAACGACAAAACACATTAAGTTTATTATAACAATAATTAAGCATGAGAAACAAGAACTGGATCCAAAACACAATAAATTGCCCTAAGTGATACCATTGAGCAATTTTCAAACTTTTGCCTCATTCTTATGAAAAGCCCATGCATAGGCCACATAAATGGCCTTCTGGTTTAATAACTGAAAGGTCATGTCACATTGCAAGAATTTTGTGCTCTTTACAGACTCAAAATGCATTGTTAAAGATATCCAAAAAAACTTCACTGATTGTAGTCATTCAAAATCCACTGACTTTCAGTTGAATTAGTGATAAAATAATAAAAAAAGACAAACCTTAAATTTGTATAACTCACACAATGAATAAAACAAAAAGAAAACAATTACAACCTTCAAAGCAATAACTAACATATGCATTCCCTTTCCCCTAAATCTAATGATAAAATAGCAGAGGGGGCAACTAAACATAACAGACAAGACTAATTAGTATTACAAAACACTTGGCATTCTTATCTACATGAGAATCTAACATAAAATATGTAAGAATATCATACCTTTTTCTGTCTGTTGTCTGCACCTCTGAAGATAATTTTGTACCTGGAAAACATGTATCCCTTTCAGCAACAACTGTTGATCAAAACACAAGTTAATCCTATGCCTGCAATAAGGGAAAAATACTAGAGTTACTCACAAATGGCTAGGTTATTATATAAAACACACTCAAAGTTGATGAAGTTCTTTTCTTTTTGCATACTTCATTAAGTTCTTTTCTTTTTGGAAACACAGGTTCATTAATAACATGCAAACACAAGGGATACGGGAAAAAAAACACAGACCGTTCTTCATAGTACTTCTTGTAGGTAAGGGCTCTGCCATCCCTAAGACTAAGAAGTGAGTTTCCATTCAACTCGCCCAACAAACCAGTGATGCAATATAAGGTACCATTATGAGGAGTACAGACCAAGGAATTCTGGATCATGCAAGTACAAACGACGCCGCTTTTGGTATATATCCAATTCGGTAGAGAACAATCTACATGATCCCTAGAATATTCTTCACATGGAAACAAAACAGATGTAATGCATTTCCAATCAATTATCAGAGGTCTCTGAGGTACTTTGGTCCCTGGGAGCAAAAGATAATCAACCCGAATATTTCCTCCCAAACAAAGTCCATCTAAAACTTCTTCCAACTTATTCAAATTGTGATCCATTAGAATTCGGAAAATTGTGATTTGGAACTTTCTGCAAAGGAGTACCTACCAAATAAAATCATACAAACAGGGTAACACATTAATTTATCTTATGCATCTTATAATACTAAAAAAGTAACGAAAAAACAAAACATTACCTGCTCTGAACTAAGATGAATCTCTCCAACATATTTAAAGTTCATAGTTAAAGTACCCCTGCCAACTTCTAAGTCAAAATGCATATTTGCAATATCGCAATCAAGCTCACTCCTCATACCAAGTACAATATCATGAACTGGAATATCATATCCAAAATTCTGATTCAACTCAATTAAGTAACAATGATACAACATACTAGCATCATTTGAGCAAAAAGGCTTGACCAGTTCGACTGGGACATAACTGGATTGTACATCATCATAAGGCTCACACCCTGCACACAACAAAAATGGAAGAAAAATAAATTTACGCAACAGCGAGTGTTTCAAACTAATAATGTTACACGTATAACACACAATCAAAGCATAGGCAGATAAAGGTTAGAGAGGTTACCAAGCTCCTGTGTGCCTTCTTCCTCAACAATATCGGGAACAAGATTATCTGTTAAAGCGCCAATTTGGTGAAGTTGCTTACAAGCTTCAAAGCATGCAATCTGCTTCAGAATTTTAACATTTCCTTCTACATGAACATCAGGTATTGGACAACTCTTGGGAAGATGCAGAGTGCAGGTCTCCTTATCCCACCTTGGAGCAGGTTTAAAATATCTGAAAAAGAGTGTAAGAAATTAAAAAATCATATGAAAAAAATTCATGAATGGAATATTTAGCAGCATTAAAGTATAGAGTGTTCCACAGTTCCACTAAACTAACCCATCAGAAGGGAGCCGTGAGCAATAGAAGTACATCAACTGAATAGAGGAACCAAGGGTCAAGCTTGCTCCAGTACTTTCAACACGATAAAAGTCATCATCCTGCAAATCAATTTCCAGAGATGTGCAGGGAAGAGAAGAATGGAGTAAGGACTCTTTTCTCATTATATCTCCGCTTGCAAGATAATTTTGTAGTCGAGAATGTGTATTCCGATCGCCACTGAAGAAAACAAAAAGATTAGACAAAGTACACAAAATAAGAGAGTAAAATCTGAAATTCCTTGGACAAACTTGTCAAGTTTCATAAGCCGCAACAATGCCACCAAGAGAAAAGTTAGGGAAGACATTAATTTCAGGGAGACTTTTCAAATCCATGCCCCATACAAATATGAGAGGTCGTATGGGAAATGAAATGATACAAATAGAACAATTACCTTTTCATCATTAATACATAATCAGAGTTTTGCATCCTTGCACGACCTCTAGACTGTATGAAACTACAAACAGTGGAAGAAGGATCAAATCTAATCACCAAATTGCAGCTTTGAACATCTAAACCTTCTTCAAGAATCGATGTTGCAACAATGATGTTTACCTGAAACATATACATTTGCAAGATCAAACATGGCAATTGGTAAGAGACATGATACTGTGATTCTGAAAGGACAAAAGTAAGCATACCATGCCATTACGAAATTCTTCAACAATCTCGTTCTGCTTTTTTCTGGTTTGGGATTGCATCCCACTGTTATTTCCCGCAATATACTTTGTCTTCCAGTCATTGTGTTTAGGAAGAAAGTTACTCAATAGAGATTCAATGACGACAGCTGTTATGACCCTCTCCACAAATATTATACATCTCAAATCCTTCAATCCCCTAAGAAATTCAGTACATCTAAAGTTCAAATGAGGGCAAATGTAACTTTATAATTAAACATTATATATACGTGTGTGTGTGAGTAAATCTGAGAGTGTGGCAATTGATTTACCCAAAGAAAAAAAAATTGAGAAGTACATTCCAAATGAGGAACACATCAAGATCTGAAAAAATTCCAAACCATTCTACATTTATTCACAAACATAAAAAGTCACTCAGGCCATGTCAACCTGTATTCGAGAAGCAATTGGATGAGACAGACAACTTTGGAAGTTAGAAACCCCTTATCCAAATCGTATGTAACATCATCAGCAATAGTCCACTTGGATCTAAAGGAAAGGTGTAAAGGAAAAGGAAAGAAAGGAAACAATGTAAGCAGTAATGACAAATCAAAATCACAAAAGTACTTAAATGAGCTTAAATAGACATACCAGATGGTAGAAAAGATGCAAATGCTTGGTAGGCTTCGAAGCTAAAATTTCTAACAATTTGATCACCCAACACATCCAGTTTCTCCCATGAAAACAAGTCAGTTTCTTTGTGTGAAAAGGACCAAGCAGCCTGTTTCTCAAATGCAAATCCAATTATTTCTGTTATCCATTTCCAAGGACAGCAAAAGAAAAGCGAAGGATAATAATTAATACCTTTGAAGCCAGCCAAACACCAAGTTCATCCAAACAAAATGTTAAAGCTGAAAAAAACTTCATCATCTTTCTGCTTATGGATTCCGATGTAGATTGACTGAGATCCAAACTTTTTAGCGACAGTTCATGCTGGAAAGCAGTAAAACAAATACTATCAGAGAAACATTCTAGCGCTTTGCAAATTAAAAAGTAAGAATATAGGATTAAAGAAGAATATATGCCTTTAAAAAACAATCACAAAGACACGAACGTTACACTCCTTAACCTCCAAGCGAAAGAAAAGAAGAAAGTACAGCATGAATATTCATTCAAGTTTTGAATCACAGAGGTTTGCACAAAATTTCAGCCCCAAAAAAGCTATTTCTCAGTGCTAAGAAATCGCCAGATGATCCTCTACCTCTATGCATTTCCCTTTTTTACATGCATCATACTGGGAAAAAACAATTCTAGTATTGCATTAAAAACACACACCTTTTCTTTCAAATTCTTCAACTGGTTTGTTATATGTGCATACAAGGCATATGGAATCTCCTTGTGCCTGTAATATTTAAACTTTGGAGTCGAATGTGGTATAAACTCAGCAAGCACAGATTCACTAACACATGTATACACCTTGAACCATCAACAAAAAGCGGAGGAAAGAAAAGGGTTAGTGATCTTAAACATGTTAAAGAAATGATAGATTAAAGCCACAAATAATGAAGAAGAGACTACTGTAAAGCAATTCAGCTATGGAAAGTAAAAATTCATGTATGAAGAAAGCTGAAGAAGGAACAAGAAAAATGTCTACAACGAACCATGGTAAAATGACTAAATAAATACAACATTTTCTAACAAATAGATGGTTCAGAACATTCATGTGCTCTAGGCACATCCAAACAAACGTAAAAAGGTTCCAAGGACTTTCCCTTTGGAAATCACATAAAATGAGAGATGAAGAAACCAATATTAGATTAAGTTTTTGTTCAATAAACATATGCATACAACTCCCTAGCACCAAAAGGGAAAGTACCATACGCTCAATACCATGGCAGAAACATGACGACAAATAGATTCAACTTGGACATGGCAGATGGCTATAAGTATATTTTTAAACATCCTAGACATCAACAAAAGAAAAGTTTTTTTTTTATCTTTAATAGGACCAGAGAAATAGAGTCTAGAGTTCTACTTTGAGGAATCAACTATATTTGGTAACCCTAATACAATGCTTGATGCAGGAGCATCAATCCTAGTCAAAAGGGGCTAAGTTTTAGATATTTTACATTATTAAATTAATTGTTTTCCTCTCTTCATTAGGATTTGGTTTAAGTTTCTTGTTTTGTTTCTAATTTCCTTTATCAATTAGGTTTCCTTAGTAAACTAGGAATAGGAATTCTAGGCTGGTGTATTCTAGTATAAATAGGCTGTTAAGAGACTTTTGTATTCAGTTTTTCATCAATACAATTTCAGACTTTAGTCTAAAGAGTTTTCTTTGGGAATTTAGCCCTAGAACTCAGTTATCTTCGTTCCAGCTTCAATTCTACAGCTTTATCCTTCTATTCTCTGTATTTTGGGTATGTTTGGGTCGCTGGACAGCCGCTTATAGCCACTGCCCTGCATCAATGCTACAGTAATTCAAAGGTAGAACTAAAACAGTTTATCAATTATAGACCCTGTAATGTTACCTTTCAAGTCAAACATATAAGCACTAACGAGTTTTGTTGGTTTACCACTACTCTCAAAAGCTTGAGCTTTTAGAAATGGGCCGCTAACTGTTCCACATTCTAGCACTTCTCTAACATATGGACCTCTGTCCACCACCACAGGGTCCCATAATTATACATATATTAGGAGGTTGCAATTGCATGAATCCAAATTTAGGATCTCTTACCTTGATAGTATGTAAGGTTTTTTAGTCTACCATTGTCACTAAAAGCTTTGAAGAACCAAAAAGGGGTGAGGAAGAAGGAAAATAGGAGGGGAAACGTGAGAGATTTTCCTCAAATGAACAGAATCAACCTTTGAATTCATCAGGGCCTCAAGTTCATCAATTATTTTCCAATAGAATGACTCTGACTTTCCACCTATATCCAAAAATATATATTCGTGAAAAACAGAATAAAAAGGATAAGCATTTAATAATATAGTATATATAAATTATATAAAATACTTTCAAGGCAATATACCTTTTGACTTTATGGGGGAAGCAGTCATTCCAAATATTCTTGGAAGTTCAGCTGCATCAGAATGTAGTTGACGATGAAAGAAGTCCTGCACATCAGCCAAATCCTTCAAGCATTAAAGCATGCACTGTAAACGCAACAATATCATGAAGAAGAATCAACACAAATAGGAAACATTAACTTTCAGTTAGTTTTTTGCATTGCTAGTGTGACGTCACATTGCCACAGAACTAATTACTAAGAACTAATCAATGTTCAAGCAGGTTTCCCATGACGATATTATAAATATTTTGGCAATGAACAAAAAGTTAACAAATAAATGATAGACAGCTCACCTTCATTATGCAAGCATACGGGTGGTTACCCCTCGCATGATGGCATTCATCAAGAATCAAAACCTTTATCATGCTTAGTTTGAAGAAGCTATGCCTCAAATTACTAAGCAGTATTGCAGGAGTCATCACGAGCACCTACAGTTATAAAGCTAAAAGTTAAAGAACATATTGTTTGGCATATGTAAACAAATATCACACAATTCTCTACTCTTGATCCGCGAAAATACTAAACACCCGTTTGACAGAGGAAAAACTGAAAATTTGGAGCACTGATCGTGTCTCTTGGTAATTTGGGAAGCTGGTTTACCAACTGCTTCACAGTAACTGTCATTGGCTGTTTTTTATCAGGCATTTTAGACATTTAAGAAACATGTTCAAGCCACTTTTAAAAGATTTTTTTGACTGCTATATTCCTTTTAGAAAACATCAGATGGCTTTTGGTCATCAAACAGTTATCAAATAACACAATTTGAAAACCAAAAAAATATGAAACAAATCAAAGCAGCCAAAAACATGATGTTCAAAACTAAATCACATGAAATGTCCAAATGAGCTGAGTAAATATGGCAGCTTCTAAAATAAAATAACATAAGACATTTGCAAATATATGTTATATACATATGAAAGAAAAAGTCAAAACTCCCACCTCATATTTTTCTATTTGTTGCTTCCACATATCAGCTTCCCAGAAGTCAACTCCCATGTCTCCCCAATACATTCCCACTTTCAAGTCAGTGTGCATTTTCACAGCCTCAGCTTGCTAATATTGTAAGACACAGCAAGAATAAGAGGAATGTAGAACCTTAGCTCTAAGCCTTTCTCAGATATATCTACGGATCCCAAAAATCTATTATCCGTGATATATCAGGAATAGGAAATGTAGAGATTCTTTACTTTAGTCTAAAATAACTACCATAGAACAAGTACATTTTTCAATGTTCAGCTCTTAGTGAAAAATGCCAAAAGCGATATCAACAATTCGCAGAATACTTGCATAAATATGACAATATCTAACTTATAAATATCAGGTGTGAGTGCCCAAAACACACACACACACACACACACACATACACATACACACACACAGGGACAGAGAGTTGTAAATTGCATACTTGTTTGACCAAGACAACTTGAGGAACCAAGAAGACGGCAACAAATGGAGAAGGCTTGCGAAGCTTATATGCATAGCTCCGGAGAAGCATGATGGCAATCAGAGTCTTTCCAGAGCCGGTCTCCAAGAACACTATTGTGTTCTGCTTAATTGCTGCCTCTAATGCTTCTAGCTGGTAACTGTAAGCAATCAGAAATATATAAATTTTAAAATTGAAGGAAAATAAAAAATGCAGGACTCATAATTCATTAACCCTTCCTTTTGAAAGAAAACTCATTCTTTTGGTTTCCTTCCTGATTAACCAAACAATCAAGAAGCAAACTGAGGGCAACCACAATCTATATATGAATTGAATGAAATTTTAATTTCTTAACGAATAAAGAAAGCATCCATTCTCCTCATCCTACTCCTTTTCCTTCATTTTTCTCACCAACCAAACAATGAAAAGAAAAAGAGGAAAAAATAAAAATCAACCTTCTGGCGAATGGGAGAGGATCAGCAGATAGTTGGGTTCCGTCCATCTCCATGTCAACTGGTTCCGTAGCTTCTGCCGACATCATTTCACTGAAATTCCAAAAGAAAAAAAAACAAAGGCATTTGTTTAGAGACTCTCACTTTCTCTGTATCTCACGGACACTTACGAGTAACTAAAACATAAATGAAAAGCCAAAAAAAAAGAAAGAAACTGAAAAGAAACAGCAATGTAGGAAAGGCTAAGGCTAAAGCCATGGCAGAAGAAGGGAGGCTCAGGCACTCACCTCACACTCACAGAAAGTGATCCAAGCAGAGGCTGAGAATGATGTAAGAGTTGAGTAAGAGAGTGTGTGTGTGTGTTGTGTTGGAAATGTAAAAGAAGAAGAAGCTGATTCTGAGGGACTGGAAGGAAGGCAAAGTATCTGTATGAGATTTCTGGGGGAGGGGGATTGATTACATCAGAATTTAATAAAGTGAAGAGGGAAGAGCCCGTGATGATGCTAAGTCGCCTACCTTCGACAACTTACTGAGGAAGCAGCCCCTTTCCCTCCTGTGACTTCATCCTCATTCAAATATAGAGTTAGAGAGAGAGGGAGAGAGAGCGAAAAAGTTCTTTGGGTTCTTTCCTTCCTCCTTCCTAAATATTCTCTCTTCTTGGGGAAGGGAAGGACTTTGTAGGTCCCTCCCCTGGTCTTTGGAATGAAGAAGGGTGATGTATGATGTTGTGTCATTTTGGTACGCTGTATTATACCATGAATAAGCGTAAATAATTCATGTCAAGTTTTTTGTGTCAATTTATATTATTTAATTAGTTGACTATTTTAAACGGATTGGACTTCTAATACTCTTCTTACTGACTAACTAATATAATTCACACACCTCGGTTTAGATAATACACACTTAATTATACAGCTAAGGAAAAAGAACACATACGTTCACATGAAAAATTCGACGTCACTATTTTCATACCCAATATGTTTCTTCTCTCTTCTTCTTTCTTTATATATTTCCTCCTTTATTAAATCTTTGTGGAAATTACGTTATAAGTTTTTCCTTTTTGACTTTTTTTTTTCTTGCTGTATTGGAACAATACATGCGACTTTTTCTTTATATATTTCATCTTCTCCGGGTATCCAACATAATAATCAAATAATCATTCCAAGTCAGCGATTAGAACAATACATGCAGCTATGTTTTTCTTGATTTTTTTTTTTCTACTTTTGGTGCTTTGTTGGTTTGTCTTTTGGTTATTTCCATGTTGCTATTGCTGGCTATTGATTCTCTTTTGCATTCTTTTGTTGGGCTTCAATATTTTCTCTTTTTTTCTTAATTTTCTCATCAGTAGTTAGGGTGTCAAAAAGAAATGTCGGAGGCAGATCAAAAGAATGAATGCCAGAGGCCAAATCAGCACTCTTTGCATGCCAAGGCATCCGCAGCAGCAGGGCTGTCCTTGAGAGTTTGAGGGCCCTGTGCGAAACTTAAATTGGGACCTCACATAATACAATACGAAAATACAATAAATAAAAATTTCTCATAACTTAGTGTCATAAACAATTTTTTTATAACTAAAAGTCACCATGAATAAATATGTAATGACAATCATAAATCAAATTCATAAAAAATAAAATGTTTCTATTTGATAAAATTAAATGTTTGGTACAAAAATAAACTCCTTGTGCTCCTACAAGGTCCCTTGTTGGCTCCAATAAGCAATCTGTGTTTAATAGGAAAAAAAAAATTGGCAATCACAAATTAAAGAGTAGTTGCACACAAATTCCTAAAATTTGAATTTGACTATTTGATTTTGAGTGATCTTTATGAATTTAGGAATTAGAATTTTCTCTTTTTGGTGTTGAAATTCCTAAAATTGAAAGAATAACAAAAATTGTCAAAGGATTGAAAAAAAAACCAAAGAGAGATTGATGAATGATGATGATAATGTACCAGTGTAGGGGCTTTTTTTCTTCCGGCAGCTATTACGGGCCTGACTGCCGTAAAGGGAAAAATGGAAGAAATTGCCCCTTGAGCCTGAGTTCGAAAATTAAGCCCCAAAATACCTCGAAAAGGCAGTAGAGCCTTAGGAAGTATTTTGGTTATCTTCACCAACCAAAATAATGGCACCTTACAGGTAATTTCTTCATGCTTACACATAAACTTTTGAGTTTGGCATGAGGGGCTTGTGGCATGGGAGCAAAATTAGCATGAGTTGAGCACCAAAAAGGAAATATGGCTTCCTAGGGAGAAAAGGGAGTGTTTAAGGTGAGGAAGAAGAGGTTTTCAAGCATATGTGGCTAGGAAGAGAAAAGGGAAGAACTATGTTCTTCTGGCAGCTTGTCAGAAGAAGAAAATGGAGGAAGATGAACAGTGCACGAAATTGCTGGTTTTTGCAAGTATGAGAGGAAGCTTGCTCTCTAGTTGTGGATGATTTTTGTTGGGTAGAAGAGGCCCTAATTTATAGCCGCTGGAAGCTGATATTTTCCAAGAAAACCTAATGGCTTCTACCCATTTTGGCTAAGCTTTTCCTTCCTTTCTCCCTTCATCTCTTCAATCATCCCTTTTTGGTGAAATCCACTCTACCCATTTGCATAAAATCAGGGATTTTTTGGGAGCTCAAAGCCCCCTTTCCTGCGGCTGTTTCAAACTTCTATTTTCAGCCATCTTTCTTCCTTCTTTTCTCTCCTTTTCCAAGGCTAGGTCTGATGAGGGAAGGAATGGGTATGCATGCTGGTTCAAATGGTGATCTGCGCTCCAATATCCCTTGGTCATTTGGAAGTTTTTGCTTGAAACTTGTTTCTCCCATGTGCTGGAGCTTTCCAGCAGCTTTCACACATGGATATTTTGGCTTTCAACGTGGCTTTTGTTTTCAGCTAGGTGCTGAAGATTTGCATATATTTTTTTTTGGGTTGCTTGGGCCTTCTATGACAATAAGTTGGTTTATCAAGTACATGGGCTAACTTCATCAAGTATTGGGCTAGTTTGGTTGAAGTGATGGGCTATTTTGGTTGGGCTACTTTCTCTTTTGTGCTCACCCACATGTTTGGGCCTAAGAAATGGGCTTGGGTTCCAAGGCTCCCAAGTAACCCGGAACCTCCACTTCTTGGTCCATCAATGGGCCTCATGACAATTTATTACCATCCATACCACAACCCACTCAAGCAAGCCCCGGGTATTTGAGTGGCTTGGGGCCCACTTAAGCTTGTGGCGTGATTAGGTGCGGAATGATAATTCCTTGCTTAGCGTGGTGTGTCGTTTGGCGTGGCATGTGTGCAAGCGCATATGATGAACTTTCACATGCCCAAATCGAGTTTCTTCTTGGTAAAGCATCGCATTGGGCCGAGAATTTATTTGGGCCGAACCGTGAATATTTTGGGCCTCAACAACCAGAAAATTAGAGTTTAAGAGAAAGAAGAAGCCATGAAGTTTTTTTTTGTTTTGTTTTGAATGAAGAGAGTACTTTTCTTAGAGGAGAAAACATTTTTTTAAAAGAACAATACGATACATAAGAGAGTAGGAAATTGTTTGGGATATATATACTTGTTAGTTTTTTTTTTTTTTTTTTTTTTTTTTTTAAGGCTTTTTGTTTATTTATTTATTTAATAATTAGGTAAAGTTTTTAGTTATAATGCAAAAATAATATAAAAACAGCAAATAGACCAATTTCAACAAGAATCTAACTATGGCGCTCCGTTAAATGGACAAGCGCTGGAGCCAACTTCACAAGACATGCCCTTGGGCAAAAGTCTAGCACGATATACTATATATACAAAATTCCTATAATATTAAAATATATATATATAATATAAATTTTTTTTTCAGGGGCTCTATGCGGTGGCGCCAATTGCACCACCCAGAGCCGCCCCTCAGTATTCATCTCACGATAAATATGACGGACAGCGCAGCTCCAATCACCATGAAGCTTTAATTTGCAGCAATTGATGATGTTAGAGAGTGGATGGTTGGTGTTACTCACCCCAGAGAAGAGGCTTTGAAATTTTGTTTGAGTGATATCTTTTTGTTTTTTGTTACTTATACTTCACAAGAAAGCTTTCTTATGCTTTTGGTTCTGTAATGATTTTGATTTTCCTTATTGGTGTTATTCATGCTTGATTTGTCCCCGACACATACTTTAGAAAAGACCAAAGGAGAGAGAAAAATGTTAAAAGAAGCTAAAATGGACAAAATTGCCCTTATTTATTTTTGGATTTCCTAGTAAATCATTTACATTTGCATGTCTTTGGTTTGAAAGTTGAGTGGTTTTTATGTCTTTTTTGAAAAAGCTTTGGCTTTTTCCAAAAATTAATTTTTTTTTGTGGCTAAAATCTAAATTTACTTTTATTTGTATTTATCGTGGTTTGTTCGTAGCCCAACACTGTTCATTTTACCACCCCACCCCCCAACACACACAACAAAGACCCAATGTAAAAGAAAGGTACAACATATCTTTTGAATTCAATGGGCTTTCAGAAGCACGCAACTATTTCTTAAATGGTGGGTAAATTTACAAGACCACATTGTCTACCTCCTCCTGATCCAACACAAGATTCAATTATACAATACAATTCAAAGCATGTGATGTGCCAACCCAAATCTTATATGCTGAATTTTCATAATTAGCTAGTAGGAGTAGGAGTAGCTACACCTACACTACACCTGCAGCAGTCACCTTCATACTGTATTTGTGTTTGAGGTAAGCTTTAATGTAAGGCTCTAAATCACCATCCATTACACAAGTGATATCCGACGTCTCGTATCCTGTCCTTACATCCTTCACCAGTTTATACGGATGGAACACATAATTTCTTATTTGTTGGCCCCATTCTGCCTTCACTACATCTCCTCGTATTTGCTTAATCTCTGATGCCCTTTGCTCCTCAGCTATCACTAACAGCTTCGCTTTCAACCTGCTTAGAGCCTTTATTTTGTTTGCAAGCTGGGATCTCTCTTCTGCATTGTAGTCAAAGAAGAAATAGAGGTCATGTGGTTGTGCTTTCAATCAGATGAACTATAATACAAAGTTAATAACTGAACAAGTGGATGGTTAATGGTGAAAACTAAAAACAAACTATGGGGCTAAGGGAACCTGTGCAGCGAACAGTAACACCAGTGGGGATGTGAGTAATCCGGACAGCGCTTTCAACTTTGTTCACATTCTGCCCTCCTTTCCCGCCTGCCCTTGAAAAACTTATTTCCAGGTCCTCCTCAGGTAAATCAACTTTCAACGACTCTTCAGGTAGAAGAGGCATGACGTCAATACCAGAGAAGCTTGTCTGCACGTAACTTCAAGTTAGAACATACAATAGGATATATGCGGCAACTCCACCCCCCTCCCTTAAAACCCCACACACCCTCGAATGTATGTGTGTGAATATACACCTGGCAAAGACCTCTGGCATTATATGTTTAATAATTTATAGTTTACAAGATAGATACCTGGCGAAGACCCTTGGCATTAAAAGGGGACTGCCTCACAATGCGGTGTGTTCCTTTCTCCCCAGACAAATACCCATAAGCATAACGACCTTCAACTTCGATTGTCGCTGACTTAATTCCAGCTTCCTCTCCTTGGGACTTCTCAACTACTCGTGTCTTGTATCTCTGCTTTTCTCCCCACCTCACATACATCCTGAGTAACATTTCAGCCCAATCCTGCACTGAGAATTATCAAAGGTTTACAAGAAAAACATAAGCATATAACTGAGAAAAGTTTTGTGAACTAACCTGGACATGTTATAACTTATAAATAACACATGATAGTAAAAATACGCACATGTTTGATCCATCAATTTTTGAGCTATATCTAATGTGTTGAGACTTTTACCTTATATACTTCTCATGTGTTAAGTCCTTCAGGGTCAGGATATTCACATAAAAATCAGATAATGACTACTCAGAAAAAATAATCGGCTAACAGAATGGAACCCTTAGTAAATTGGAAGGAAAAAAAACAACCACAAAGCACATAATGGCGCTTTAGATTTCATTAAAGCCCTAAAGAGGAATACAAGAAAGATCCTATGGGAGTTAAATTTTGGTTTTGATAGAAACGGAACTAGTGTGGCGCTATCAAGGCTAAACATTAACATGGGGACATGGCCTGTAACCATATGAAAATGAACTTCCTCTAACTTTACCACCACCATCAAAATCAAAGGACCAAGCAGAAGTCCAGCCAAAGAAATGAATAGTGGATGCCAATTCAGTCATTGCTGAAAATATCTTAACTAGCCCCGTGCAGTATTCTCGGCAGTAGTAACATACTGGGGTAAACTATTTCTGGTCAACTATGAACCAGACAGCTGCCCTTTATATTTCTGAAAGAATTTCATTCATGAACAATGCAATATTCTTGGTCGAAATAGTAAACTCACCACCTATATATGCATCTCACAGAAGGTAACATTTCCATTAAAGTAATATAACCCAAAGAACTTGTTGCTCTTGCTTTTTATTATTCTAATTACCTGTGCATCAGTTCCTCCAGCACCAGCTGTAATAAAGATGACAGCACCTTCTTTGTCATAAGGCCCAGAAAGAAGTTGAGTTAACTCAAACTGATCCAATCCCTTGTTCAATTCCTTGATGATACTGGCAGCCTCTTCAAGAAGTGCATTATCTACAGAGTCCATCTCTTCAGTTAGCTTGACTATTGTTTCTGCATCTTCAACCTGCATCCAATGTATTTATCCACAATGCAATTTAAGAGGAGGTCACTTTCTGATATTCAATATCTGCCATATATGTAGACTAAATTAGTAATGATCTCCTACTAGATAGTCTGATGTTGTACTGTCTGGCAAGAGAGCATTACTATAAAATGTCACCAAAATACTATAAAATGTCATCATATTAAAACACTTCATAAATAATTATCGTTATATCACACTAAATGTCATCATATTAAAACACTTCATAAATAATTATCGTCATATCACACTTCAAGCATACTCCAATTATCCTGAAAAACAAGCATGACGCCATGGCACCGCAAAAAAAAATAATAATAATTGATGCGAAAACAATATTCTAAACGAAATTTAACGAAATTTGTGCACTGACCTGTGATTTGAACTCATTCAGCAATCTTAACCTGTCTTTAACATCAGTCAGGGCCGAAAGGTTTTCTTGAGCTTTAGCTCGGTCATCCCAAAAGGAGCTATCAGCTGCTTTCAACTCCAAATCTGCAACTTCTTGTTCTAACTGTTGCAGACAGGCAGAGTCTCTTATCTCTTTAACACGTTCCGCCATGGTTTCAACATCTCTTCTTAAGAAATAAAAATCTGTGAGAGATAAGATGAAATTATGACATTGTATGATTGATGTGTAGATGCAAGTAGTAACGTCCTTACATCAAACTCCTGATTGCAAGCCACAGTTTGCGTTTAAAGGAAAATAAATAACAGCATATGCATGATATGCTTAAATGGTAAGACAACACTGCAACTTAAGTTCGAAATTCATGCTCCAAAATATGCGGACAGAATAAGTATGCCAAATAAACACCACGATCCTTGATTTTCAATACTCAAAACCAAGTGTGCCCACACACAGAGAGAGTTCAGGGCATTTAGGCATTGTCAACCGAAGAGAAAAGGAGATTAACCTGTCATTGCTCAAGCATGCTCTAATTCAATATCAAACTTAAATTCTCCAAACAGACCTTGCATTGCCCATTCTCTTGTGTCGGTGTTGAGCCCCGTGCTTACTTGACTCTCCGGTGTCGCAAGTAAAACTGAGTCAAATCAAACATCAACTGTAAAACAACTTGAACAACCCGAAATTGAAAATTTGAAGAATCAGAATTTTCTACAATAACCATTATAATCATATGGATAAACCAATGAAAACCCAGCAAGGAAAGTAACGAAATACATAAAACCAATGAAGCTCCTGTGGGCACATATAATCTCACACACTCACAAAATAGAAAAATAGAACAAACGCAATATACTCTCGCATAAGTTCTACCATAAAGCTCCAAATAGAAACACAGAGAAAGCAAAACCGACTAACACAAGACAAGTACGTAAACTGAAAAGCTCAAACTAACGCACCAGTAGGAGGAAATCGACAATAGCTTGAAAGCTTTGTAGAGACAGTGTACCAAAAACGAGAAGTATACGAAGTGGGCCTTTGTAGTAACTGTGGTAGTTTGCTATTTGGAGGCTTGGGGCATAAGATGGCTGTTGGGCTGCAGAGAGGTCTCAGATGAGCCTCCATCGCTGTGGCTTCGGCTTCAACTTTGATTAGGGAATAGCTGATAGAAGTTCGAATCCTGGAGGAAAAAAAAAACAGACGAACCAAAATTCGTATTAAATAAATAAATAAAACTATAGAAATGTTTGTCTGCTATGGATAGAGAAAGTCATCCTACGCTTTGTGTGGTGTTTGGGTTTTGCATCGAGTACCCACGGGTTAAGGGCAAAATCTGACCATATTATGTAATGTGTGGTATAATCGTGACATCTTCAAGTTCACAATTTAGAAGTGATTCTGGATAGATCAATAATTATTTATTTATTTAGGGCTCGTTCGGGAGTGCTTTTGGAGCAGCGAAAAGCGCTTCTAAATGGGTGAAAGCGCTTCTGTCTTTTAAAAATGGTGTTTGGCAAAAATTGCAAAAGCGCTTTGGGTGAGATCCAAAGCACTTAGAGTGGTTTTAGAAGAAGCACTTGAGAGGTGCTTCTTTTTAAAAGCGCTGCAGGACAAAAACACGGGAAGCACTTGGCTTCCTTTAATGAAACTTTTAAAATACCTAAAATATCCATATTTAATTTTTTAAAATGCTAAAATACCCTTTCTTTCTTTTCTCTCTCCTCTCTCTCTCTCTCTCCTCTCTCTCTCTCTCTCTCTCTCTCTCCTCTCTCTCTCTCTCTCTCTCTTTTTCTCTTAATGATGACCAAAAGCAAAGTCATTCCTTTCTTCCTATTATATTTCAGTTAAATTTATTATTAATCTCTCGTGAATGGTCCCTTAAACATGACTGCTCTAGTTTTCGTCAAATGTCCATGGTTGTCACTGTTGTTTTGTCATCAATGATTATGAGTATGATATGATTGGTCTGTGAAGATGTTTTAGCACTTGTGGAACAGCAATCCGTGTTTTGTTTTGTTTTGTTTTTTTTTCTTTCTTTTAATCTGTTATGTGTTTCACTACTGGGGCATTGCATATGTTTTTGGCTTTGTTTACAAGTATTTTAGGTTGTTTGACTTGATATTCTCTCAATGAAGATGAAGACGAGATCACCTCTTCTCGGTGACATATGTTGCTAACTGCAGAACCACATGCTTCTTTTGTCTTCAAGAGCCTTTAGATATATTACATTCGAATTGGTTCTCACTATTCACATGTTGGTGCTCTATTTTCAACCTGTCTCTTACTGTGGTTTTTTGCCATATCCTACATTGTGTACAGAATTTTGTTAATCTTGAACCAAGTAGGGCAGAGATCAGCCATGCAAAGTAGCCTTCTTGTATTGTACTGTTCTTATTTACGAGCATCCCGACGGTGTTATTCAAAATTTGAGGTGGTTCTTACCAATTCCTTTTTAATTTCATATATTACGCCCACATGTCCACTAAACTTACACATCAAAGCATGCAGGGGACAATTTGGTTGTTGGGTTTCCTTTCTTGCTGTTGCTGCAAACCTCATCTTTCCTCAAACTTTTTCAGTTATTTTTTTTATATCCTCGAGTCTCATTTATGTCTACAGATTGTGTTGTTATTTTAGATTTCGGTTTCTGATGATTGTGTATGTGATTTTAATATGTGCTTTACTTTTGTGTGGGCTGGATGGCGAACACGAGAGAATTGCAAATCTTCTTATGTCTGGTTAATTCCTTTTTATTTTCAAAAAATGATTAAAAATTATACTCGGTGAAGTTCATACTTTTTTAAGTCATGTTTTTATTTTGGGATCCTATGAATTTTTATTTCCTATGTTTATTATAATATTTTGGGATTCTTTAAATTTTTTTAAAGTATTTTTAAAAGCGCTTTTACTGTATCAACCAAACACTCAAGAAAATATCAAAAGCACTTTTATGTAGTGTACAAGTACTTTTAAATGTGACATCCAAACGACAAACTGCTACTTTGTAAAACTGCTTATGTCATAAGCGCTACTGACATAAGCGCTACTGACATAAGCGCTTCGGGAAGAAGCACTCCCAAACGAGCCCTTAATCACTTTAGTGATTTTAAGTGATTTTATGAAGAATCACCTCTACTTATATGGAGAATCACTTTTTATGTCATTATCCCCATAATTACTTAAAATCACTTAAATGGTTATATAGAGAAGCACGTGGAAGGTGCTTCTTCCCAAAAGTGATTATGATCTTACAAGAATCACTCCCAAACAAGCCTTCATCTCTCTTTTTTTTATTTGATTATTTTTTATTTTATTTTTATTTTTTAATATAAGTATCACAAAGGAAAAGAGGTTTCTCACACACACACACATGCAAATAATGTGTCATTGAGATTTAAACCTAAAATCAATGCCCTTTTTCTCATTGGGTTAGACCTTGTTGACAAATTTCACTTCATCATTAAATCTTATCAAATTGATGATAGATAATCATATGTGTGTATAAGACTTCATAATCATATTAAGAAGTGAACACAACACTTTATTGTATTAAAAATTAATACTAATTCAATTTGTTATTTATTTAGGAAACTACATAGTGCTTATAAAATCCACGTTAAGCAATAACTAATCTTAGCTAGCTCATATTATTATATCACTTTTGAATGTTAAATGTGAACCTTAAAAAAATTGAAAGATAGAAAAATAATAGATGATATGACATATGTTTAGATGAGAGAGCGTTTATAGAGTTCGAAAATAGGGACATTCTCAATGGGCAAAATGAGGGAAGTTCTAATATGAGAGAGGAAAAAAATGAGATAAAACAAATAAATATATAAAGGATGAGATGATAGTATGTCACATCTTGAGATCTGCTCTGCTGTAGCACGATATTGTCCGCTTTGGGCCTTTCTCTCTACCTTCACGGTTTTGTTTCTGGAAACTCACGAGGAATTTCCCAGTAGGTCATCCATTCTGGGATTGCTCTAGCCCAAACTCGCTTAACTTCGGAGTTCCCATGACTCCGAAGCCAATGAGCTCCCAAAAGTCCTCGTGCTAGATGAAGGCGGACATGTACATGTAAAGCACATCACCCCATCTCCGTTGGTCGATGTGGGATGTTACATAATAGGCAATTAGTGTAGCAGAGTTCCAACGTGAAAGGGGAGGGAGTGGCGGTCGCCTCCTTCTCCTCATCTTCCTCATTCCCTTTTTCTTTTCTTTTTTTTTAAATAAATTTTTTTATAATATATATATTTTTTATAAAATAAAAAATATATAGTCTTTAACATTTTAAGAAATAAACTTGATGATTCTTCGAAGTAGTTTAGATTGTTTAGTAAACTTGGTAGGGTGTTTAGAGACAATATAAAGTAAAATACTAGAAAATTATGCCAACTCTCTAACATAGACTAGACTTTACATAAGTTGAATGTGATTTTATACTTTTATAGTAATCATCTCATGTGAGAGAGTTGTAATAACTCTTGGATGTGTAGTCATTACTCAATGATAAAATGTATGCATGAGTGTGTCTAATCACAACGTTTTGGTGTATATAGAATCACTTTTCTAAAATATAACATTACTATATGTCCAATATTAAATTTAAAAAAGAAAGAAATATTTTTACTATATCCAAATGAAGCGATATTTGGGTCTGGGTAGCCCAAAACTAATACAAAATGCAAAAACGGGCTTCGGAGCCCTATACCCATCAACCTCTTTCGACAACCCATCAAAGCCCTAAGGACAAAATCGGTAATAAAAAAGTTTTAAAATTAGGGTTTTAGCGTTCTATATCCAACTCCGCCTTCAGGTCCTTGAGAGAAGTCGCAGCCTCGAGATCAAACAGGAAGCAAAATGGTACGTTTTCTTTTAGTTTGTTGTACTTGCTTTTCACTGAATTCACCCTTTCTCTTAGTCATGCTGTTATGTAAGGTTTCGGTTTCTCAGTAAATTTGAGAAAAAAGTTGAATGGAGATTTAGAATATTAGTATCATTTGTGTGACCTCTCAGCTTTCGTATTTGTTTGATGAAAGCTAAAGGAAGTACTTTGAATTGCATATATATACCATGCAGCTGATTTATAGCTAATTCTTATGTGCTTTAACTAAATTTTTGTACCTCATGATTTGGGTGTATATTGACGAATTTCAATTTTGATTTGTGGAGGACATGATAGATATTTAAGTTAAAAACTAAAGATCAGAATTATTTTAAAAGGTTTAGTATTTGGTTCCAATTTAGAATGGGCCTCAATGATTTTGTGTTTTGGAGCTGAATACGAAATCAGTGGTTCATACAGTTATGATTCTGGAAAATGAACAGCTGCCTGTGTATTTCATTTGTCTGGCCATGGTTTGTATAATGTTTTTTCCTGGTGGCCTACCCATTGTTCTTGTATCTTTCTGGCAATATGGATTTAATCCTCATGAAAAGAAAAAAAGGAAGAAGTAATTGACACACTAACAATCTGGTATAGCTGTGTTAAGTGATGGATGGTAGATGTTAACATGTGAACATACAAACCTTGTTGATTTTAAATTTGAGAATGTTAATGTATGTACTCTGTCTCTGTACCAACAGCCGAAGCAAATCCACGAGATTAAGGATTTCCTTCTAACTGCAAGAAGGAAGGATGCACGCTCTGTCAAAATCAAGAGGAGCAAAGATGCTGTCAAGTTTAAGGTTCGATGCTCCAAGTACCTTTACACTCTTTGCGTGTTTGATTCGGAGAAGGCCGACAAGTTGAAGCAATCCCTTCCTCCAGGTATAGCATTTCGTTTTCAGTTGTGTCATTTATTATGATTTGCAACTCGCATATGGTCATCTCTGTGAATTTAGGTGTATGAGAAGGCATGCACACATGTGGTTCCTATTGTTTTAATATTCCAGTAATGGAAGAATCAAGGGACTTTCTTTCTTTCTTTCTTTCTCTGTTTTTTTGTTTGTTTTTAAGGCTCACTTGTATAACTAACTAGTTTGCTATAATTTTGAATTTGTAGGTTTGAGCGTGCAGGACCTGTGAAGAAGAGATTTGAGTAGCTTGACAAAATCTAAGGAATGCAATGGATTTGTTTTTTGTTGGGAATTTTGAAGAATTTATGGATTCATGCCCTGGTATTTGGGGTTTATGTGTGGACTTGAGTTTTATTTTAATGGTTTTATTTATGGATACTGTGCTGTTTGAGATGTAGTACTTAGGACTCGTTTGAGACTGCTTCTCTAGGAAGTACTTCTGCTCATAAGTGCGTTTATTATAAAATTCTTGAATTTTCATAAAAAATCCGAGAAGAACCAAGTATTTTTAAATTTTTCTGCTAAAAGAAGCGTCTTTAATTATCAGAAAAGGTTTTTAGCTCTTTTAGAAGCGATTCCAAATAGGCCTAAATGGTTGGGTAATTGAAAAAAAAGCATTACGAGAGTCGAGAGGTTGACTTGCTAAAACATAAATAACGACACAAATAGCAAGTCCAGTCCAATCCAATCCAATGAAAGTTGAGTGATAAAAGTTCCGTATCTGTCAATCTATCAGCAATTAAATTATAGATTCCTTAGGAATATCCTTGTTAGATGCCATAACTAGTAGGTATCATACTTATCCAACCTATCTCAGTACGTTGGGCGTTAACGTATGTGTCGTATTTGGAAGGGCCTCGTTTCTGTTTTAATATGGCAAGTGTTGTCTTTGGTGGACGGTCAGGTACAACCGCAGAGGTAGGTGAACACGTGCTATGTTTCATTTCACGTTATTTCTTAGGAATAAGCTAAGTAAAGTAATGCCTTCCTGTTGATACAAATTGGAATTGCAATACAATTTTACAAAGGAGGAAGAGAAGAAATAAAGAAACAATTGCAAACTGGAAACCAAGTCAAAATGGAGGGAAGGGCTTTCAGTTAGTTTAGTCTCAGCCTCCCTCTGACTGACACTGTCGGTAGGTTGGTTGGTGGTGGGCTCTTTTAATTAACTTCTATAGAAGAAGAGCAACGTCACAGTTCCAAGTCCAACAACTGCCACTCTTAGACTAAGACATAAGACACCATATTTCCAATTTCCACCAAATAACAGGGAAGGGAGGGCAGAGTCGGAGTGGAATGGGAGCGCGTTGCTTCTGCCCCTGTTTCGACTTCGACGACCACGATCACGACAATCGCACTGCACAAACCGAGCTCGACCCCGTCCTACTCGTGTCCGGCATCGGAGGCTCCATTCTGCATTCCAAGAGGAAGAAGCTCGGGTTCGACACCCGGGTTTGGGTTCGGATCCTACTGGCCGACTTGGAGTTCAAGAAGAAGCTCTGGTCTGTCTATAATCCCCAAACAGGTTCCTTCCCCTTCTCTTTCTCTCTCTAATATGGAATATCTGTACCTATATAATATAACAGGAGGAGGGCTTTGTTTGGTTGGTGACAAGGTAGAGGAACAGGAGAGGAGAGTCAAGTAAGACGAGTGTTGTTGGTTTTTCCTTTTTACTATTCATAGTTGGATTCCTTGTTTCGGGTGGCAATTGGAAAAGAAAATGTGACTAGAGCTGGCTAGCAAGGGGGAGACAAAGCAACTGTGGAATTTTGTCAATCATCTGTTTGTTTGTATTTACATGATACTTACTGTTAGTAATATTTTTCTTTTACAAAAATCTCAACTTTTAAACCATCTTCTTTAATACTAATCATACCTAATTATATTATATGATATCCAAACTGATATTCAGATAAATTGGATACTCAAACATGCTTCATCTATGTTCTATATCAGAGTCATAATTTTATTTGAAGAGCTACTAATACTGTCATTTCGCTTCAAATCATAAAAGTAGGGTAAAACTTTCATTCTAGGAAACTAACAGATTCATCCCCAATTTTGCATCTCTTATCATTGTCTAAGTTTTCCTTTGATGTCCCCGTTTCTGCTTTTATTTCCAGGTTATACAGAAACACTAGACAAAGACACTGAAATTGTGGTCCCGGATGACGATTATGGGCTATACGCAATTGATATTCTAGATCCTTCTTGGGTAAGAATTATATGGGTTCTCATAGTTTGGTTTATGCATCATATAATTATACGACCTCACTAAATTCGAAGTTTTTGCCCTTTTGAAAATGATGACTATGGAAGGGTCTTTTGACTTTTGAATGTAGCACACTAGTGATTGTGGAACTCTTCTGTTTTGGTGAAGTTGGGTTGATGAATAACATTAGAAACATGCAACTGTTTTTGCACCTTTAAATGACAAACTTGATTTTTTATTTTACTAATTCCTCGTAAATTATAATTTTTTTTTTTTTTTTTTTTTTTTTTTTTTTTATTGTTTGTTGTGAAATGCATACATTTGAAAGAGGTATACCAGTTCCATGATATGATTGATATGCTAGTGGGATGTGGGTATAAGAAAGGAGCCACTTTGTTTGGATATGGCTATGATTTCCGACAAAGCAATAGGTAACTTATTTTCAACTGGTTACTTCTTTTTGGGTGGCGGAAGTTTATCTTATAACATATATAATCCGAAAGTGACAATTACAGGTATTCGACTATCATGACAATGTCTGACAACCAGGTTCCTTCTTTCTACTAATCTAACCACCATGGTTCTTGTGTTAGCAGAATTGACAAGTTAATGGAAGGTCTTAAGGTGAAATTGGAAACTGCTTACAAGGCTTCTGGGGGTAGAAAAGTAAATATAATTTCACATTCAATGGGTGGACTGCTAGTCACATGTTTTATGTCACTCCATAATGATGTGCGCATACTTTCTCTTAGTGGCTAGTTGATGTTTATGAATTTTTATCAAATATATGCAGAAAATTTAAACTCCTCATCTCGAAAGAGGCATGACCGATGGTTTAAATCGTTCATCGGCAGGTATTTTTGAAGTATGTGAGTAAATGGATTTGCATAGCTTGCCCTTTTCAAGGTAGTTTCCTTTTTCCCGTTTGTGTTCATATTTGGACTGATGATCTTTAATGTATAATGTCAATAGTTCTTGATATCTGTCCATTGAATCTTCTCAGGTTGCTAGAAATATTTTCCCTTTTGGTCTTTTGATCAAAATCACGACAGTAGTTTTTTACTATCCTTTCTGTTAATAGTGGGTTATATTTTATCTTCTTATTTATCATCAAACATCATTACTTGCTTGAAAGATGTAACCGCAACAGACTGGAACTAATAGCATTTGGTTTTGCTACCCCTGAACAAAAAAGTAAGTGTCCAATCCAAATTTTCATGAAAAAAATATTCAACCTGCAAAGCTTTAGATGAAAATTAAGGTGAAGAAACAATTACATGCCTTCACATCAATTTAGGAAAGAGTCTGAGCCCACTGTTGGTAGGCTGTAGACTGCAAAAACTTATTATGAACCTTAATGGTTTTTTAATATGTTTTTGTCCTTGACTATTGATTACAAAATTCAATTTACAGGTGCGCCAGGATGCATCAATGACTCTCTCTTAACTGGATTGCAGTTTGTTGAAGGCTTGGAGAGCTACTTTTTCGTATCAAGGTGGACTATGCACCAGCTGGTAGTACATTAAATCAAGCTAACTTTGCTTCATGTGTGTATTTAAACTTAATAATAGGAAAATCAGTATCTCAAGTGGAAGCATGACATGCTGTGAATGAGTCTTTATCTTTTAGTAACAATACAAATCAAACAAATTTATAAATGGAAGTACATGAATACCGAGTTGCCACTAGGAATGCACCCTTCATCTGATCCAAGTCAATATGCTCTAACTGTGTGCAAGAGAATCCCCAACATGTTTCACAATGGCACCCATGAAACACATTTTTTAAGCATTTGAACACCATAAAAAATTGTTCAGTGTTCTTGTAATATGTAACTGAATTGCATACATATTTTTTATTTTTGGGAAGTGGCGGATATCCCTCCACCTAATTAACGTAACAGCATTTTATCCATGATGAAGAAATCATAGTTGATTTTTTTCATCCATATATCAAGTTTTGGGCTACATTTTTCACTTGTTACAGTGATTTATTCTCTTAGATGTTTGCTACTTTGTGAAGAACTAAACCTCACTTTATTTTCGCATATAGTTGGTTGAGTGCCCATCAATCTATGAGATGCTGGCAAATCCTAAATTTGATTGGAAAGAGCTGCCAGAAATTCAGGTTTGGAGGAAGCATTCTAAGGATGGGGAAACTTTTGTGGATCTGGAGTCTTATGGCCCAATTGAAAGCATACCTTTGTTTGAAGAAGCATTGAAACATAATGAGGTACCGCTCTTTAGAGGAAAGTTCTCAAAATTTCTTGTACCAAAGCATCTGTGTGTCATTTTGGCTTGTCTTGTTATCTTGAATTTCCGGTGCTTATATTTTGAACTGTAGTTAGGAAAAACATATTATGTCTAATATCATCAAATCCCATACTTATCAAAGCTCATATAATTTTTGTGGGTGATAAGGACTTATGTTTGCACTATAGACAAGTTTAGCGGTTGCAAAATATAAAATCATTTTCCAATAGTGTAGCACGCTGATCATGTCGTCTATTCCAGTTGACAATAGTTGATTTGCTGGGTATTTTCATGTTCACCTTTACAGTCCCTGGAAAGCAATGACCATATTCCTGTGCCTAAATTTTTCCTCATGTTTTGGGATGCAATTGTACTCTGAAATTTGTCTCCCTGCATATATCTTAGTGTCTCAAAATTACTTGTCTCCCTTAACCAATAGCCAGAGCTTATGTCAATCTCTTTCACTGCAGCTAAGTTATGATGGTAAAACGGTTGCTTTGCCATTTAACTTTTCTATTCTCAGATGGGCTGCTGAGACTCGCCAGGTTTTAAACAATGCTAAACTACCAGATGGAGTCTGCTTCTATAACATTTATGGAACATCATTCGACACACCTTTTGATGTTTGGTATGTAAGAGAACTACTTTATTTAAATCAAAACAAGAGACATGAACAGGGTTTGTAACCCATGGTATGACTGGTCAACCATTGCTCAATCTCTTTCACTGCTGCTAAGTGTCTGACATTTGTACTACTAATGCAGCTATGGTTCGAAGACATCTCCAATTGAGGACTTTTCTGAAATATGCCATTCAATGGTGAGTCATGTACTGTTTGTGAAATCGTGAATTTTCTTTAAAGTCATGTGTGAAGTTATCCTATGGGTTCAAACAACCTAAATCCTCTGCCCTTTGGTCTCCGATCACTGGCATTGTCATTGATATCATCAACCCTATCATTGTTAGAGAGAGTTGTATACTTGTACCTGAGTTTGAGCTTTATTTTTGAAATTTTTTAGTCCGCGTTGTCAAATATTATCCAGACTCTGAAGTTCTAATCTGCATTATTTTATTTTATTGTCACAGTTGCTTTCTATTTCTTGTTGTTTCTATTTTATCTGACACATTATATGCATTTGGCCTTGACTCTTATGCCCTGCTTTACTTGCGCCTCTAAATTTCTGATTAAGTCATTTGCTGCTTTATCCAGCTACGAATCTAATAATAACTTCCAGTTTTGACACTCAGCATGTCCCTTGGATGTTAATATTTTTATCCCCTTTGTGCTATCTATGATTTACATGATTTCTTTCTTTCTTTCCAGCCTCAATATTCTTATGTGGATGGAGATGAAACAGTTCCGGCTGAGTCAGCAAAGGTGCTCTATCTGACCTGTATTCTTAGTTCTTATTGGCTGTAATATATACTGTATCCAGTAGTTCACTCTGCGCTTTATTTGCAAGCACTAGTGGTTTCTGAATTTGAGCGAATTTTATTGAACATTTTTTCTTCCTATTCCACAGGCAGATGGATTTGCTGCAGTTGAAAGAGTAGCAATAGCTGCAAGACACAGGGAACTATTGCGTGATAAAACAGTTTTTCAACATATCCAAAGGTGGTTGGGAGTTGAACAGAGGGTCAGCATATGTTCTAAGACATCCAGAGTTGCAGATGCCTCTTCAAAATAAGGGCGTGAATGAGTGAAATCCTTTTCTGCTTGAAAAGGGACACTTGTTTCACATATTTATGTTCAAGTTATAAGTAACTGTGATAGCACCATAAACTTGAACTGAATTCGTTATTGCTGGGCCTTATTTGTTATTTGAATGAATGGTAGTCTTGGTGTACGGAGAGCATGTTGCCTTGAACAATGAATTGGGTTGTTGTTACTCTAAATCACATTACATACACTAAACAGGCTGCATCATGCTCAGTATTTTTCAATGTTTCAATTTCATGATTGTCGTTTTCCCAAACGCGATACCTATGTACTTATACTAGGGAATGAGCACAAAAGTTCTTATTTTTTCTTTGGGTGGCTGAAGGGAATGGGCAGAAATGTTGTGAATTGTATTTTGGCATGGGATTGAAGCCAGCAGCAGCAGCCTCATGTCATGTCTTACTCTTGCAATTGGCCAGCAGCAGCAGCCTCATGTCATGTCCACGGTTGACAAATCTTGCCCCATTGGTATTACTAATACTATATGGCTGGCCAGCCAGACTAATTAAGCTACTCGACCGATATTCACACTCTATCAGATCACATTCATTTAATTTTAACCTTGTTCAAATTAATGTTGTAATTGAATATATGCAGTAGAAGAAACTTTGGTTAATTATATGTAATGCAAACTCTGCAGGCTGCAGGAACATGGTAATTGCCTCATTGGTGTTGTGTGGTGCAGATGCAGAATGAAACTTTGCATTGTTAATATGAATTTTGAATATAATGTTATATGTTTATAGGGAAACACAACTCAAGGATATATGGATACATTCGCCCAACCCAATCAAATCAAAGTATGCAAAGAAGGAAGGAGCCAGCCCAGAGATATATATATCATAAATAAAACTAACAATATCTCTCTCTCTCTCTCTCTCTCTCTCTCTCTCTCTCTCATGAGTCATGACTCATGTATCCAGTATACCTGGTGGTCAGAGATTTAAAAATAATTAATGCAAGGCAGGCACCTTAAGTCACACACAAAATCATGTCCCTATACTTGTATTTTAATTAAGTTTGAGTTCATGCATACCTAATTGTTTGCTTTCTCTCCTTTTAAATTTTAATGAGAGAGAGAGAGTGTTAATGGGCACATTTATATACTACGCATTGGCAAGGAAGAAGATCAACTTGGGACCTGGAGTACCAATCAGTAACAACCAACACTTAAATCCAATCCAATCCAAGATATATATTGCTTGCTTGCAAGTTCAAGAAATATTTCCCTCTATTTTTTCTCTCACTTTTATTCATTTTTTTAGATTTTTTATTTAGAGGAAGAGAGAGAGAGGTGGAAGGATGCATGGTCAAAGGTCAAAAAGGTTTGAATCCCAAACAGAGTTTTAGTGGGGTTTTGGGTTTCGAGGTAATAATAATAATCAAATAAAATTGAGAGAGAGAGAGATGTATGAATATGAATGAATGAAAAGCCCGAGAAAGAAAGAGAGGAGAATGAGCATTCCTAGGACTTGTAGTACTTACTGGTAGGGTAGCTGATGGGAGGGAGAGGATTCTCTTATCTCTTCTCTCCTATTTGAGGCAGTCACACAGACACAGACACCCATGAGGAGGCTTGCATGCAGCAGCTGAGCTCTCTCTCATCCCATTCCCAGGTATAATATTAATTATTTATAATTACGCTACAACTTACATATATATATATATATATATATATCAAAGCCCAAATCCCATCTAATTTCTCTCTCTGTCTCTGTCTCTTGGTGGCTAGCTAGCTACTTGACTTTTACTGCATTGGGTTTTTGTGCCTTGTCGTCTACATGAGGGAGGAACAAGAACAGGGAATGGTCCATGATCATCAACACTATGTATTCATCATATACTTGTTTCCGCAGCCAAAGCAGAAAATACAAATTTTTGGAGTTTTAAATTTGTATGGATTTGCATATGATATACAGAACATTTGTCTAACACAAGTATGACAGAGACAAATATTTCAAATATAGAAAAGTGCAAATAAGTTTGTCAAGAAAAGAAGAAAAAGAAGAACACCGCATGGGACGGGAAATGAGGGGTTGGAACCCTTTTAACTTTTAAGCTTTAATAACTAAAGTTTTAATTTTCTTCCTTCCATGGGGAGGGGTGGAATTAATAAAGCTCTTATTTGATAATGAGAGAGAGAGAGAGAGTGAGAGAGAGAGAGAGAGAGAGAGGGGGGTTGCATTGCATGGATAAGGGTGCAACCGAGCAGACGCAGAGAGAGAGAGAGAGAGAGAGAGAGAGAGAGGGGTTGCATTGCATGGATAAGGGTGCAACCGAGCAGACGCACAGAGAGAGAGTGAGAGAGAGAGAGAGAGAGAAGTAGTGATTATTTAAGCAAATAATATAAAATCTTTGACGCAGTGGAGGGTGTGGTGTGTGGTGTTTATCATATACGGTATTCTTTCCAAGAAGGCACGGGTGCTCCGCTGATTTCTCCAATGCAATCCCAGTTCCCACAGGCCTTGCTCTTTGCCTTTGCCTTACCCCTCTCTCTCCCTGTGTAATTCATCAGTAATCAATATATATATATAATTATTTAATTATTTTTTTTTATAACTACGTACTAATAACTACAAAACTACTGTACTATATACATAATTATTAATTCAAGGAATTTTTTTTTTGTCTGTCAAATTCTGATGGCAACAACATAAACTACTTCTAATATTATATTAGTCTTCTAAAATAAGAAGACCTCTAGAAGCTCCTAAATATGAGGAGAAAAAAAGGACTCCTAGTGGCTCTATTTAATTAAATATTTCTTTACTTTAATGTTATTTTAAGTATTTATTTAATGCTAATTAACTATTTATCATTATTATTTTATATGAAGAAAGGATCTATTATATAAATTAAAAAAAAAAAAAAAAGATTCACTAAACTAGAGGAAGCATGGTTGGAGTTAATATATATATATATATATACTAACTCCTACCACAAAGAAACAAACAAAAGCCAAGAATACGTACATTTCCACTCATTTTCCTTTGTTTTCAAGCAAACTAGAAAACTATACGAAACGAAACCAATAGTGGACATAATGCCACATTCGACATTTGATTACTTATTAGATTATAAATATACAGGACAATCATATGTGTCTATTATAATGATCCCCTTTAATTGAGGGATCTCTTAAATATTATTTGAGGGATACCCTTTAGGGTCCCTTAAGATTTTTTTTTCAAAGATCTAAACCATCTATTTTTTACAGTTATACATCCTCATAGATCAAAAATAAATATCCAAATACAAAATCAATGATCACGGTGCTTCAAGAAAGTACTAAAATTTCAATAATTCAATTGATCAAATGATATCGGATTCAAGTGATTTTTTTTTCTTCTTACAAATCATCTTTAAATGAGTATCTACAAAATAGACAGTTTGTATTAGTGAAATACAATACAGAGTGGGTCTTACAAAGGATGTCTCTCAAATAAGCTTATTTGAAGGATCATTCAATTGAAACTCTGATCACATATACAATATATATATGAAAAATTGATCAAGTTATTCAAAATTATTACAAAAGCTGCTGAAATTGGTGTTAATAAAACTTTCCGAGGATCTATTAGAATATTCGATCTCAAGTTCCCAAAATTGATAGCAAATGAGAAAGTACATCTCACATGATATTTATGAACTTGAGATACACAGATCCCTTGTGAAATTTGGAAGGCCATCTAGTAATTAGCACGAACAAATTAAAAAGAAAAACCTATCTTCCCCAGCTAGCTAATTGAGGTGATCTAGTAATTAGCATAGAAGCACAAGTCAACTGTATAAAATATTATGTGTCATTCCAGACAGTGAAAGTAGGAGGCATGTTGATGTTACTGTTAGTCGACGTTGGAACTGCTGTGGGCATCCAATTGTTACACTGCCCTGCTTCATGAATATCATATGCGCTGCCGCCCTTGGCCACACCTGCGGATGATACTGATGACACTGATGACGATTGCGGCGGCTGCTGCGGAAGATAATACAAGTTCCTTGCATGATTATTATAAGCATCCCCAGTAACATTTGCAGCATTAGCAGAAGTAGTAGTTGAGCCAAACACATTTTCAAATCCAAGCGCCACCGCCTTCACCTGATGATCATGATTAGTGCCATCTCCAAAACCATTATTGTGATCATTAGATATAACTGTACCCATTGGGATTATATAGCCACCATGATCTCCTCCTCCTCCTCCTCCATTAGTAGCAGTAGCAGTGCTATACATGACAGAGTTAGAGCCTGAGCTATGTTCCATAGAATCCATACCAGTTGCCTGAAAGAAATTGTGGCTACTTCCTAATTGAAGTAGTTGATGATGATGAAGATCTTGATCCTGATCCTGCTGCTGCTGCTGATGCTGATGATGATGATAAAAGCTTTGAGGAGCAGTGTTGGAATGAATGTCTTGCTCTTGCTCTTGCTCTTGCTTGCACCAAACCCTCTGCCCACTGTTATTATTATATGGTACTAGTGATGAGTAGTAGTGCATGCCAAAAGGCGTATGATGAGCAGCAGCAGCTGATTGGTTAAATGCAAGAGTTGGCCAACCGCCTGCTGTACCACTACCATAGTTATCAGCTGCAGCAGTGCCACTACCCATGATCAGCTGCTGCTGATGATGATGATGATGATATTGATCATGACAAGTGCCAGTACTGCCATTCATCATCATCATCATCATCTTGTCACGCTGATCATCTGTTGGTGCTGATCTATTGTGTCCATCAACTGGCAGACTCATCTCATGATGTTGATGTTGAGCAGCCTGCTCTACGTCTTTCAATCGCTTTGCAGCCCCACCTATGGGCAATGTGCTGCTATCCAGAATCGACTTCACATCATATCTGGTCATGTCAAAGTTTGTTACTGCATTGAGTCCACGGAACTTTATGGCTGCAATGTCATACGCCTCTGCTGCTTCTTCTTGAGTACCTAGATATTTATTTCATTAAAATCTTATCAAAACTTGCGTACGTATTTTCCTCTAGACACATTAATTCGTTTCAGAAGGGAATCATATATATGATAGATAGAGGTAGCTAGACTGAATGAATAATTTCAAGGTCAAATGATATTGCAGGAAAAGATAAGATAGAGAAGTTACTAAATGTTCCCAGGTAGAGATCTTTGTTCCCTGCGACTCGGCCAATCCTTGCTTGCCATCTCCCATGCTGGTGGTGTCTGTTTATGCACAAGGAACAAAATCAGTTACTCTGATACAGGCACTTGACATTCTCTGTCTTTGTTACATACCTTGTTACCCCTCGATAAATGGATGCACCACGAGAGAAGCCACTACTCTTCCTTCTTAAAGATGCAACGTACTCCTGTCTCGTCATGTGCTTCATTTCGTCTATCTCTTTCTCATAGTTGCTGATCTGGCATTAATTATCAAATTAAAGCCATAATACAGTAATACTAAAAGGTTGTCCAGTGTCTCATACATAATTATCAGATAATAATCAATTAAAGCCATGCATGCACCAAAAGTATTTCTATTATCTTAAATATCTCTGGGATTACTTTAAATATTTCCCCTGTTATATAGTAATTAACTGCTGGGAATCGAGGAGTGTATGTATAAAGTATTTCTAATGTATTAATTGTGTATTGAAGATACTCTCTGTAAAACACTTTCTCCAGATTCGAATACCAAGCTATAAACAAGTGCATGAGAGCATGTGAATACCAATGCCGACATTGAGCAGATTTTGCTCCACAAAAACAAAAATAGGTAAAATGTTTGAGAATTCTTTTCTTCTTTTTTTTTGAACTCACCGGGAAGTTGGTAGTGGTTGTGGTACCCCAATATTTCAATGCTGCTAAGTCATAAGCTCTAGCTGCCTTTTCTTCCTTGTCATAACCACCTACGGATCGAGGAGGCATGCATTCAATTAAAAATGGCATATTATATGAAATGATGAAGTAAAAATCTCTACGAAAAGGGGAAAATTATATATAGAAAAGGTATACGACTTTGTACATACATACCCAGATAAACTGCAAGAAGGATTGAGAAGGAAAGCCGGCCCAGATGAAGAGTTAATTTACACCACATCACACGAGACCCAGAAAAGAAAAAGCACTATTAGTTAATTCAAAACATGCACGATACCATCGCTGTATCTTTAAATTACATAATTAAATCAATAAACTCGAAAAGGAACAACAATTAACTAGCTACGTACCTTGCCTTCCCTTGCGGGTTTGTCCTTCTCTCCGGCAACTATTATCCCAGAGATGAGCTTCATATCTACCTGTCCATCTGTGCCTGTACGCATTGAAACAAATAAATAAGCCCTAATTAATAGTAATAATTAACGAAAGGCATTAATAATTAATAATAAAAATGATTAAGAGACAGCTAGAATGAAAACTATTAATTACCTGGTTACACCACGGTATATAGAAGTCCTCTGTCCAAAAGTATCAACGGACTTTCTGGGCACGGCCTCAATAGCAGTAGCAGTAGTACTCGTAGTCTGGCTATCGATCCCGGGCGGAGGAGCGGTTGAGGTGTTGGTCCTAGCAACTGCCAGCTTGTTATTATCATTACAAGTATTATCTCGATCTGATGAACAAGTTTCTCCAGTAGCAGCAGCAGCAGTACTAGTAGTATTATGATGAGTGTGAGATCCAGTACTCATCGAAAGCGAAAGAGTCTGTACTGCACTACTACTAGTAGTTGTTGTAGTATCGGTGGTATTAATATCGTTCTTGTTGATGCGCTGCTGATGATCATGATGTGGTATTACTGGTGCTGGTTGATTTCTCAGCCATGTCTTGATCATGGAAAGCCCAATATTAGAGCTACTAGTACTTGTACTGCTGGTGCTATTATTATTGTATGCATGCGTGCCACTACTACTACTCTGGCAGCCGATGTGGTGCTCATCCGCAACGAAGGAGTGTCGGCCAAGGAAGTTTTCAAGCTTTGGCTGTTGATGATGATTTTCGAGGTTTTGGCTTCTGTACGAATTGTTGCTTCCCATCAGCATAGACAGGTGGTCTGAAGTCGTCTTGTAGGTGCTGCTATCTGATGAGTTCATATTACTCCAATCTGCACCTGATATACAATATATTAATTAATATGGTAGACCAAACTATATATTAATTAAAATTTACGATTAATATATCTGGTAATTTTTAAGATGATGATCATCAAGGAAGCCCCAAATGAAATGACAGAAATAGAAAAATTAAAAATAAAATAAAAATTTTAAAAGAAAGAATTAGAAGAAAAAGCTTCCAGTGATATATACGTCTTTCCTTATTTTCTTTCACTTGTATAGTTGTATACTGATCTCTCTGTGAGAAGTGAGAACAAAATATGTATATAGAGATATTGAATGGGGTTAGGGGTTAAGGTTTTATTCAGAGCAGTGGTGTATAATTAACCTTGGGAGTGAATATTGGTGGTGTTGAATGCAGCAGCTTGATGAAGCATGCCAAAAGGTGGAGGGATGAGGTGGTTGTGAGAATGATTATTAGGAACAGCAGCAGCAGTAGTAGTAGCGGATGAGTCATCATGAGAAGTGAGATCAAAGCAGCCTCCGGAGACATCGGTACCGGAGATGTCATCGGAGTACTTGAAGCCAAGGCGAGAGACTAGTGTGGCGGTCTGATCATCAGATAACTCATGGCCGTCATGATGTTGATGATGATCACCCTCAGATATGGATGGATCAGCAGGAACGACTTCTTGAGGGGAAAGAGAGAAACCCAACCAGTTCATGGAACCCATCAAATATATATATGTATGTTGTTCAAAAATCAGGATCAGCACTTGTTTGATGAATTAATGGTTGTACCTATAGCTAAAAGAAAAATGATATATCAGAGCAGAGAGAGGGCGGTCAGGACTGAGGAGTGTAGCTAGCTATTGCTTCTCGATGCATGAAGAAGAAGAAGAAGAAGAAGAAGAAGAAGAAGAAGAAGAAGAAGATATAATGAAGTAGCTTAGCTTATTACTAGAGGAGGAGCAAGTTGTACTGTTTTAAGAGAGGAAAGAGAGGATCCATTTCCATGGCCGTATATGGGTATAAGCTATTGCAACTAAAGGAAGAAGAGGAAAGGTCAAAAATTTTGCAGACCTAGAATTAATTGAAAATGACAATCATTTCTTCCAATGCAACAATCTTTTATTTCTCTCTCTCTCTCTTCTTCCCCCCTTCTCTTTCACACGTACGGGCGCTTGCAGGATCTTTAATCAAACTCATATATATATATATATATATAGATATATGATTAATGACAATAGGACTTGATGGGTGGTGATGAGTGAGTGTGATACTGTAACTTTGCACCTCATAATTAATATTAATATCAAAAAAAAAAAAAAAAAAAAAAAAAAAAAAAAAAAAAAAAGAAGTGCCGAGGGTTAAGAAAATAATACTAATAATAATTAAGAATAAGAATAATAATAGGTACACGTACGAGGGTAAGAAAACAATATGATTATTCAATTGATTTTCGAAGGAGGTCCATTGTATAGTATTGCTGTAAATGCTTGTTTAAACTAGTTAGACATGAGCATGTGTGCTTTCGTAGCCTTAAAACAAACTAATTATATCATTTGTCCCCTTGTGTGCTTCTTGCTTTTCATTATTACTTTTCCTTTTGGATATGAACTTTGAAAGATATTATCCCTGACCCTATTCTATTTCGTAACCTCAATCCTGATCACCAATAATAAATTATTGTTATTATTATTGTATATCATATATGTAAGTCATTACTAGTATGAATTAACCGACCACAGAGAGAGAGAGAGAGAGAGAGAGAGAGAGAGATCTCCACTTTCCTTCCATTTGAATGCATGATCAGTATCTCTCTCTCTCTCTCTCTCTCTCTCTCCCCTTCAATTTGCTTGCTGTGAAACACCTGTGCAGTAGAAGAATATGATATTAAATAAATTTGATTAATTATATATATCTGACAAAGTGTACAAAAAACCAAGACGCAGCCCCCTCCACGCCCATTCATTCATGCCCATTTGGACATTAGTCATTTCATGTCAGATACATATTTTTTCAGACAGACAGACTCATCATCATCACTATTCGACCCCCTCCTTCCAGCCCAGGAAAACTTTATTATAACAGGAATAATATATATATTTTTTATTTTTAGCCGATAATACAATAATATGTGAAAAAATTATTTTATGTGTGATTGCCAACAATAACCAAAAAAGTTATACCCGTTGCATGACTCTCTCCCTTCCAGCCCCCCCCACCCCAGCGACACCAATTCTTCTCTTCGATTAATTTATAGCTCTCCTTCCTTACTGCAATGCAATTTGCACTGCCCAGCTTCTCTCTCTGTCTCTCTGACTCTTCTGGCTGGCTACCCCAAACAAACAAACAAAACCCATAACTTTTTCACATTCCATCCATCCATATCACATTATTTAACTATTATCCCTATCCTCTCGTCCTAATCATCAATCTGCTCTGCTCCCCCGCTACAAACGGGGGTCTCTCTGTCTCTCTCTGGCTGAGTTGCTCTCTCCTTATTAACTAATAATATTCACATATACATATAATATGCATGTATGAATACGACTGACAGTGAAAGAAACACAAAAAAAGTTTGGTTGGTAATTTGATTAGTGCATGAAGTTAGAGAAAGCTAGGCAGAGGCAGAGGGGATGGAATCCTAAAGTAATCTAATTAATTAATCAGTATATAAGCATTGTATTGTATATATTCATACATACAGATGCAGTGAAAGAAAGACAAGTTATAATATTATATCATCATATATATATGGCATGCAGCTAGCAGAGATATATATATTATTTTTTTGTATGGGGAGAGAGGTTTGCAGCCTGCACCCCTATGTGTGGACATTAACCCTTGTCTTCCGGGTCTTTGATGAGTTTAATTTTAACTTCATTCTCTCTAAATAACTTGGTCATTTCGAAAGGGACAGATCAATTGCAATTTGCAAGAAGATGGAGCTCCTTCCTTCCTTCCTATATATATATATATATATATATATATATATATTTAAAAGCTTTCAAATCCAATTGTCTCATATATATATATATATATATATATATATATACGTAACACGCCTCTTTCAGTTTAAGCACTTTTTGTCAACTGCCTCTATGCCTTAGCTCTTTATAATTTCTGAATTTGTTTCCATCTGTACGTATATATCTCCAATCGTACAAACAAACAAACGTGTATATCATACTTATTTACTTACAGGTATAGTTTTGGTACTTTCTTTTTCAGTCTGTAAAACTTGCAAGTTGCACTGCGTATATATTCAGAATTAGTGCACTGCTAACCTAGCTACCTTACCTGTTTGTATATCTTGTTAGATACATAGGATATATCATTTGATATGATTGCATAACGTTAGTAGATAGTAGACGTCTGCTTATATATTATATAGTATTATAGAAACATACATATACCTTCATACCTATATGTTATTTGAAAATTTGTGATATATCTCTTAATGGGGTAATATTGGGTACACAGAGAGAGAGAGAGAGAGAGAGAGAGAGAGAGAGAGAGAAGGTAAGAAAAAATTTATAAAAAAAAGGGTGGAGGTGGGTGCAGAAATGAGAGAGAGAGAGATTCATCTCGAAGGCTTCAAAAAACAGCTCCCTGTAAGTTTGACCGTCAAGAAAGGAAGGAAGGAAGGAATCAAAGACGGTAAAACACATGGCCTTAACTATTTGTTTATCAATATCTTAGTTAACAATTATAAATCAAAGCCTGTTGCCACTGTAAAAATAAAATAAATACTCTCGGTAATCTAATCACCATCATGCCCTATCAGAGAAGATGTAAAAAGGAAATTTGAGAGAGAGAGAGAGAGAGAGTATGACTTTTGACCATCTTTTAATTAGGGGTTGGGAAAATGGCTAACCCTAGCTAGGTCATTATAATATAATATTATTGTATATGATATGAATGGGAATGGCTAGCTTTTCAAATTTGACCGTGGTAAATTTACTGTGAACTCCCCATGGCGATGACCGACTGAGCCATGATGAGTGAAGTGAATGATAAACAATAAAATATATATAACCACCAGCACAGACATGAAATGATGTAATTATACACATGGCAATCTAATATGCCAATGTATCAACACATGGCTTTCATTTTCATGCACTGGTGGTCGTACTAGTACTCCACATCCACATGTAAATTATGTTCATTGTGTGTAAATTACATGAGATGGTCAAATGCTGCACCTGCCTGTCAGTGCCATACAGTATAGTGATGTGGTAGTGATTGATTGGGATCACGGAAGGTAGCTAGCTAGCTACCATCAGCATCACAGCATGGGTGACATACGTGTTACATGATACATGATACATGATACATGATACATGATACATGATACATGATACATGCATGCATTACTTGACTGGATTTCATGTTCAAAGCAGCATCGAACATGGGCTGGGCCAATATCAGAGTAACAGTGGACCAAGCTCCTCTCTCTCTCTCTCTCTCTCTCTCTCTCTCTCTCTCTCTCCTTCTCTCTTTTACCAGCCCCACAGAGAGAGAGAGAGAGAGAGAGAGAGAGAGAGAGAGAGAGAGAGAAATAGACAGACAGGCAGCTGGTAACAAGCAGGAGAAAATAGCGGAGTGATTATTGCTAGGAATAGGTAGCTAAGTGGAGTGGCAATTTAAGTGGTTAATCATTGTAGCTTCAAAGGAATAATGTTCATACATATATATATAGCCTAGGACACGCAAAATAGGGTACAAGATTTTATAGTGGCCAACATTATTATGCCTGGGAGTTACCTGAGACTCTCAGTTCTCACATTCTTATATTTATTATTATTATTATTATCTATATTCTATAGTTTGAAAATACGAGCATATAATAATAATTATTATTATTACTTAGTAAGTAAGCGAACGGGACTTGAGTTTTGGTAGTATTTACTGTTTCAGTGCTATCTTTAATAAAGCATCTCTTTCAACAAAAAAATAAAAATAAAAAGAGTAATTGAGGGGGGGTTTAAAAAGGTTGGTGTTGTTGGGCTTTGGGCAGGCCGAAGAGGGAATTCAAGATATGTTTATTTTATTTAAAATCTTGGCTGAGAATCGGAGTCCACACTCTAGCTCTAGCGGCCCAAAAACAGAAAAATGTACACAACAGACCGGGTTACACAACGGGTCCTTTCTGATTGACGGTAGAGAGGGAGAACAGAAAACAGCTACCTTTCTCTCTCTCTCTTCCTCTCAGTGGGTTGCGTTCAATTGGGTTTGGTGGCTGTAACTAATACTATCCTCTTCTGGTTCGTTCAGCTTTACCATAGATCAATCAGTAAGTTCTCTTTTTAAAGATTCCTTATTTACAACAAACAAGAATCTGATATTCGGTTGATTCATGGTGTTTTTGTTTTCTTCTAATATGAACGCCAAAGTGTGTGTGTTTGTGTGTTGTTCTTTTTACCTCTTTATTTCTTTTTAATTTTGTAGTATTGGGTCTGTAGCCTGTGCCTTACACACACAAACACACACATTTATGTTTATCCATTTGAGAATGAATGAGCATGTAATTGTGATGAATGCAAATCATTGAGATGGAGTATGCTGATTTCTTTACCCTCCTAGTCTAGTGTAAGTGTAGCCCATCTGATCTGACCATTTTGTTGCTTAATTCAAGTTGAGAATTTATGTCATGGAGATGGGCTTTTCTTGTATTGTGTTGCTTTTGTTTATTTTTGCTTGGCAATGGCTCAAACTCAAAGTTTATGTTTTTGCAGTGGATTCTGTATTTGATACAGAGGCTCAAAATGGGGTCTTAGATAATTCAGCAGATGTTGAGCTTAGATTAAATCATGATGGTGCAATTCTAGCAACTTGTGTTGTCGAGGAGGCTTCCAGTCTTGGGCAAATTGAGCAAGTGAGTCAAAATTCTTCAAGAGTGGAACAAAATGCAGTTGAAGGAGACGAACCATATCTGGGCCAGGAATTCGACTCAGAAGCAGCTGCACATGCATTTTATAATGCATATGCACTGAGAATAGGTTTCAGAACACGTGTGAACGATCTATCTCGTTCTAGGGTCGATGGCTCCATCATTGCTCGAACGCTAGTATGTAACAAAGAGGGTTACCGAGTGGCTGATAAGCGTGAGAGAATGAGTGTGAGACCTCGACCCCCCACTAGGGTTGGTTGCAAGGCAATGATTTCAGTTAAGAAACTGAGTATTGGAAAGTGGGTAGTTGCAAAGTTTGTCAAGGAGCATACCCATACACTGTCTCCAGGGAAGGGTAAAAAAGGATCGAATGATCAATCTACTACGGTAACTTCTCTTTATTGTTTTCATTATTTGTTTCCAGTGCGGTGTTAGTTAATGCTCTTTTGAATTGATTAGGGTTTTAAATACTTGTCTCAGTGAAATGCATGTTAACTAGCATTGTTTCTCAATTTGGATGCTATAAGCTTATCTGCCTTCTGCAGTATCTTTATTGGAGTTCAAATTAGTGTGAGAGACCCATGGAAAACAATTCTTGTTTAGTTAAAAATTGATTGTTCCTATATCTGTATGTTGTGGAACTATGGATGAACCCTTTTTGGTTTTCCCTTTTCCTTGATATTCAAGTCCGAATAAGCACATTCACTAATTCTCATGTCCCCATGGTGTCTGTCTAGCCTTATGTTAAGTCTTGTGTTTCACACATCTACATGCATATTGAGGGTGTAAATATTAATGTTCCTTTGCTAAAAGTTTTTAAGGAATAAATGAATCATTAATCTCAAAACTTGTTGGTTTTGGGAAATATGCTATGTGTAAATGAGATTTGCAGTTGAAAGTGTTAGCCTGTTTTTCTGGCCTCCCTTTTATTCAGTAGTAGCATTGTTGTTCAGTAGTAACAAAGAAAGATGTGTTTTGGAGTTCCATTATGCAATCTGTCCTTAATTAGTCTTTCACAACAGTCATTCATTCATCATGTCCTCCTCTCTTAAGGGCTTATTGTGCTTGGTTTTTGCTTGCAGGATGAACAGATGAAAATCAAAGAATTAACTCAACAACTGCTGGTTGAGAGAAAGCGGTCTGCTTCATATAGAAAAATCATAGACCTCCTATTCAATCACATTGAAGAGCACACGCAAAACCTGTCGCAAAAGATCCAGCGCATAACTGATAATCTCCAAGAAATTGTATCATCCGAGGGAAAGGGAAAAGACCGTCGAAATGCCCCCTAGTCTGCGTTTCGTTTTGTAATGTAAATGTGAAATCTGTAAATTGAATTTTCACACTTGCCTTTTCAATCTATTTTCCAGTCAAGTTACCGACCTATCAGTTGATATGATGGTGTGTATTTCCTTTCCCGTTTCCTTTTCTATATGGGATGGATGGCTGTTGATCAAAATAAATTTTTTGTTCAATTATTCAATAGAATCGAATTAACATTTACCTGTTAATTTAGGATTAATCGTTTCGTTGCCTATAATTATTGGTTTGTATTTGTATAAGGGGGATGAGTAGAATAACTATAAGAGATGTGATTCTCAGAGCAGTTGGCCGCCAATGCCATGCTCGAGAGAACAGAGCAGTTCATATCAACAGAACCACCCGACCCAGTTCAACTAGAAAGCCCGACCCGTGGATAATATTGATTACATTATTATTACCAAGACTGAAATCCCAAAAGCCTCTTCCCTTTCGCTGGGACTGAGCTTCTCGCTTTGAAACAAACATGGAGTTCCCGCGGATCTGACCCGCCGGCATTTCGGGCTTCAGAAAAATCAAATGACTCAGTAAGTTTCAAATTCAGTTACTTTACACTGGTTTTTGAATTTCTCTCTCAATTTCAATTACTTATCTTTTAAATAAATAAAAAATCAAATATTTGATCTTGATTGTCTGTCAATTGGGTTTTCCAATTTCCTTTTAGTTTCTGGGTGTGACCGTGGTTTTACTGTAAAAACTTATTCTTGTAATCTTATTTCCCTTTGTCTTTGAATTATTGAGTATGGACTCTTTTTTCTTTTCACATTGTGTATTTACGTTGTTCGTTTCGTATGCTTTATATCAATCTGCTTAAATATGATATGATATGATAGTGACTTGCTTTTTCTTGGTTATGAATTCCACTGATACTACTGATTATAGAAAAAAGAACAATTTGCATTGCACTAGGATCCTCATGATTGATTCCATGAATGTTATGTTGCAGTGGATTCTGAACTTGATAAAAATATTAATGATGGGGTGTTAAATGATTCAAGTGATGCCGAGCTTAAGCATTCTAATGATGGTGCATTGGTAGGAAGCTTTGTTGAAGTTGAAGAGATGTCTCATCTTGGACAAGGACAAGATGATGAAGTTACTCAAAATCCTTGTAAAGATGGATCAAGTGTAGTGGTCGAAGCAGATGAGCCGTATGTGGGTCAGGAATTTGATACAGAAATAACTGCACAAGCATTTTATAATGCCTATGGCATGCGTGTGGGTTTCATGACTCGTATGAACTACCTGGCTCGATCCAAACATGATGGAACCATCATTGGCCGGACTTTTGTATGCAACAAGGAGGGTTACCGGAAGCCTGATAGGCGAGATAAGACTACCATAAAGCCTCGGGCTCCCACTAGGGTAGGTTGTAAGGCCATGCTATCGATAAAGAAAATTAGTATTGGGAAATGGGTTGTTACAAGGTTCATGAAGGAGCACACTCATGCATTGACTGCCACTGCCAACAAAGGTCAAAAAGGATTGATTGCTGATCAAGTACCGGTCAGTTATTGTCCTCTTTTGCAGTTGTTAGTTATTGACTTAATTTGTTTGAAGAAATTTTTTCTCTTGCCTCATGAAATTTTTCCATGTTGACTCAGATTATAAACCAAATTGGACAACTGGAAAGCTTGCACACTCTTTGTATATGTGGAATTGATATTGGAATGGTCAAATATGTTAAATTTAATTGGCTGGTGAGACAGGAAAGCATTTCCTTTTTTATTATTTAAAAAGCTCAGAAACAAAATAATCGTTGTTTCTAGATCTGTCAAAGTTCTGGTTCTGCAATTTAATTTGATCCATTGAGGGGAAAGATGCGAAGCCCTTAGTAAGTTTTAACTCGGGTCTTCTTTTCAGGCAACCTTCTTCCTGGTTGCATATGTTTCATGGGTGTTTTTCATTGTCTCTTTGTTATTTATTCCAAAGAGTTGATTTGATTGACCTCAGTGTCAGTTGGGTAACTGTTACATTATCTAATAGATGTGGAATGTGTTTGCAGGATGATAAGAGAAAGATTGAAGAATTAACTCGCGAGCTGTTCCTTGAGAGAAAGCGGTCTGCTTCACTTAGAGAAATAGTTGATCTTCTATTTGATCACATTGAGGAACATACGCAAGACCTGTCAAAGAAAGTTCAGTATGTTGTCGACAAGGTAAGGGAGATTGAATCGGAAGGGAAAAAGCGCTATAACCTCAGATAGTCCTAGCATCCTAAACCTAATGTATACTGTATATATTCACATTAGCTTTATAATTTTATTTTGTTTTACTGAACAAGTATTACTTTGCATTGCAATGATAAATATGAGTTTAGTTGGAGGGAGATTCTCCAGTAAGTATGGGATATCTATTGTCTCTGTGTTTTGTTTCAATTGCCCGCCCTACTACTACCCTGTAAACAAATGCTTCGTATGGTATGGTTGGCACTTGGAAGTAAACCTGCTGTATACATGCTATCCATATAGGCCAAGTGTTTCTCTTTCGTCCCTCGAAGAAAAAGGGCAAAGTATATAAAGACTGTATAGCTAGTAGAAAATGTGAGATGTAGTAGGACTTCAAAGCAGGCCGTGTGGAAAAAAAAAAAAAAAAAAAAAAAAAAAAAAAAAAAAAAAAAAAAAAAAAAAAAAAAAAAAAAAAAAAAAAAAAAAAAAAAAAAAAAAAAAAAAAAAAAAAAAAAAAAAAAAAAAAAAAAAAAAAAAAAAAAAAAAAAAAAAAAAAAAAAAAAAAAAAAAAAAAAAAAAAAAAAAAAAAAAAAAAAAAAAAAAAAAAAAAAAAAAAAAAAAAAAAAAAAAAAAAAAAAAAAAAAAAAAAAAAAAAAAAAAAAAAAAAAAAAAAAAAAAAAAAAAAAAAAAAAAAAAAAAAAAAAAAAAAAAAAAAAAAAAAAAAAAAAAAAAAAAAAAAAAAAAAAAAAAAAAAAAAAAAAAAAAAAAAAAAAAAAAAAAAAAAAAAAAAAAAAAAAAATGTGGGGCTTTGCGTGGAATCTTGTGTGTACTGTACTTAATTTTACATTGCAGAAGATGTATCCTTGTTCTGAAATTAATAGATTTGTACAATCTTCACTTAAAAAAGGAAAAAGGCAGAGAAAATACTGCTCCAAATTGCATGGATAAACCATCAACATCAAATACTTATATCAAGTTATGATGATTATGTGTGCACAAATTGGAAAACTAATATGAACAGACATGCAGTCACCCCTAAGACCACAGAAATGCCCCAGCAAGTCTTCCAACGCAAGCTCATCGGAGTATAAGAATTGGATGGTTTAATCTGCAGCTCAAATCACACTAAAGTCAGAAGTTTTTTTTTGTTTTTGGCAATTATGTGCCTGCACTTGACTTCTTGTTACAATATTGTCTGTCTGTCCAAAGACAAAAAAAGATACTAATATAAATTATAGGTGGAATTTGAAGATTATGGGTGGTTTATTATGAAAGAACTTACAAGAAGAGGTGTCAGCAGCTCTTGGTCATCTTTAGAGAACGAAAGCTTCATTTCATCTGCACCACAGCATGGATTTAAATAACAAAATGAGTATACGAAAAACGAACCAAATAATTATTCATGTAACTAAAGGAGACTGCTGATACATAAAATTAACACAAATTCTGATACATTCTTCAGATTGCTTCTTCACAGAATCTAACCAGGCTTGAATGCTTCTTGAATGATAAATAGCTTTACCAAATAGACTTAAACCAACCGTACTGACGGTGACATATAAAGCTGTACCTTGGTCACATCTGATTGCATTTTTGTTGTCTTCTTTGATAGCAGGAAGTCTTTCTGATTGAGCAGAAGTAAAAAGCAAATGCCAAGTTCATAAGAACTGAAGAAAGTAATTAAACATCATCCTTATCTCTTCAATTTGGAATAAAATCATTATGATATATCAAATTTTAGTCAAACAGACAGATATATCAAATTGTTGGGAAGGAAGAAGCCTGCCTTTCTAGCACAAAGAAACTGAGAGCCAACGTTCTCGTCCTTAGCTGGATATCTGAGAGCATTTTCCAACGAAAATCCACATCTTCTTTAGTTCTGTTTACTTATGCCAGCAAATGCACTCCAATTATGAGAGAAAAATATGAAAAGTACAAGCACCATAAACGAAGCTAAGTATGAAATCAATCATAATCAAGTGCAATAAAACAGCTAAAAAGCAAGAGCATAATTTACAAGATGGGTTTTGAGGGGGGTTGTGGAGGAGTGATTCGAGGCGATCAAGTTTCACTCCAAGCTCCAGAAGCTTGGATCGAGCAATTTCTCTGAGGCTCAATTGGTCAGGGTGCTTGTTCTTGGTCTTGGCCTCCAAATCTTCCACCAAACTTGAAGCCTCTTCAGCTTCTCTAATCCAAGCATCTTTTACAAGACTGCGCCTAGACATATCATCTCTCTCTCTCTGTTACTCTCTGCAACTTATTATCCTAAAGAAAACAAGAAACTGAGAGAGAAATAACAACCACAAACAGCGGTCTCAAACAAACATTGATAGTCTAAGGAAATATGAGATGAGACAACCAACAACCAAACCACGTGACTTAACAACTAATCCTTTCTTAATCCAGCTTAGTTTATATTTTCTTTCAAGGCATCTATCTATCTATCTCCACTTTTGAAACGATTGTTTTTATCTGATTTAAAAATGTGCATGTGGCGAGATCATACTCAAATAACAAAAAAAAAGAGCTAGTGCCACTAATTATATCCAAATTTAACTCAAATGAAAATAACATGCGAGCGAGCGCTTGTAACTCAATTAGTTAAGAGTAATTATTTATACATACACCCGAGCTTCTTTATTGAAATCCACCTCCCTTAATATCGTTTGTGTAAAAAATAAAAAATTATTATTAATGAAAATGGCATGGATGGGCTTTTGGTTTTTGGTTTTGGACAAAATAGGGGGCTTTCGGGTTAACTGGGCATATGGCTTAGATGAACAGTTTCGAACTCTTAGTAAAGCCCCAACTTGATGCAAGTGGATTCTTTTCTTGTAGGATGATTTATATCTTTGTTTTTAAAAAAACCAACAATCTTATCTTGGAATTTAACCCTTTTGACTTTCTTTTTCCCTCCACTCCGTTCCTGTGTTTTTTTTTCTTTCTCTGCTGCAAACACCATCAAAATCCAAACATAGCCCACACTTGATTGAAAGTTCAGAAGGAATGGGGTAGAAAAGAATAACGAAATGATAGATACAAGCAATATTTGTACAAAGTTGATATAGAGACAGACAGACAAAGTACCTTAATTACATTTTCACAGCTTTGAGCTTTTTCCTTTTTCCATTTCGCATGAATCTCTCTCTCTCTCTCTCTCTCTCTCTCTCTCTCTCTCTCTCTCTCTCTCCACACTAGTTATACTCATTGTGTTGTGCCCTTCTTTTTTCTTTTTCGCATGTGAAAAATCTCATGTCACTTCATCATGGTTTTTTGGGCTATCGTATTAATGACACCAAATAATTCGCTATATCAAAGTTTTAATTTATTTTATAACATTCCTTTGCCTCCTCTCCTCGGTATAACATGATGTAAAATATAAAGGCTTGTGGATCCCCAATTAGGTATCTGTTTATATGTAACTTAATGATCCATGATTTGATATGATTGTTTCAGTGGTCCCTACCATAGGACAGACAGATAAGTGTGCCAAAGAGCAGCTTACACGTACCATTTTGGATGCAATATCAATTTAATAATATTAAGACCATGAAGAATTTCAATTTACTTACTTAACTTCAAATATTTTTTTAAACTTTTTGTCCAAATAGTCGTCCATGTCGGTCCAATTATAGTTCATTGCCCGTCGTATAAGCTAGGTTTGAAAAAGATGAAAGTGAAAAAGTATCTGAGAAGCTAGGTGGTGGTGGTGGTGGTGGCCAGTCAGAATCAGTCAATAATTATATGACTAGGTTGAGATAAAGGCTTAAAGTAAGTCCTCTATAAAACTTGAGGTGTCCGGTCTAAGTTGAATCTCTAAGCCTAACCAAAGTAAATAGGTGTTCTTTGCTTTGTGTCAATCATTTAAGTTTTGTGATCTCCATGGTAAAAGGATTCTTGAATATGTATCTACACTAGCCGATCTATTGACCTAAAGTCGAGTAGTACAAGAGTCGTTAATTTTGAAATTCCAACTAATGTGGTCGTGTTGTGTGTGTATTTATTTTTATTTTTTTCCATATCGAGTCTATTTTAGACCTTATTTATTCACAACAAGTAAAAAATTGTCCCGCAGTTAATAACGAAAATTTGATGCAATAAATTGGTTTAAAAGAAAAACTAGAGTAATCTCCTTAATAGGATTTTGATGGCTTACTTGCCTCCTATTATCTTTCTTTTTGACGTAAACCCCACAATTCCTAGTCCCCACCCCTCTTTACCATTCTTCCGCAACAACTACCATCCCACATAAAGTGACACCATCTCTATATTAAAAACAATAGTTGCGAATATAATCCAAAATAAAATAAAATAAAATAAAATAGGTATTTAAGGCCCAACAAGTCCACATTCCAATAGAGGATCAAATTTTGGGCTGGACAAAGTAACACATGGAATATAACCTAGGGAGGCAAGGCATGGTCCATGGACACGCACACGTGAAGACCACGTGTTATATATCCAAGAAAGTAAGGCAATTACAAATCTTACTCATAAATTTAGCTGTCCTTATTATACCAGCCAGCGCCCGAGCCCTTCTATTTTTCACACTTGTATTCCCCCACACACCACCTAGCACGTACGATACACCTTCACAACTTATAAGCTTTTTTGTATTAAGAAAAAACCACTCAAAGCTTGAAACTTTAAATTTATCAAATTGTTTAGCATGTTTTTACGTTCCCTTTGGGTTTTTTTATGACGTTTTTCTTGTCGTATTTCAGTCAAAATGTGTCAGGATTCTCAGGGATGTATAACATGTTTTGAAAACTACTGACTTTTTTATTCTTCTAATAATTACTTTAAAAATTGATGTTATTGTTTTCGTCTAAGTGTAGTAAAGGAATGCGTTAATGGGATATAGTTCAGTAGAAATGACATTGACTTGCATACTAGTCAGTCGTTTCATGTTTGAATTTCATGATATCTAGTAGTATGTGTGAACCCCCTTCACTTCTTGTAGTTTAGATCAACGCTTGTATTAAAAAAAAATACTTGATTGATGTTATGGTTAGATTATCATAATTATAAACTCATAACTCTTTTATTTTTTTGTGGCAATAACCTTAATCTCTTATTGATTGACTTAACTCTATTATATAATAATTAATTACATGGACAGTTTTATAACATGACATGACACTGACTGAATTATACACACAAAAAAGACAAAGTACAACGTTCTAACATTGCATTGCAAGAATATGCTCAAAAACAAAAAAAAGAAGGTACAAATTTAAAGACCACCCCCACAGACAGTTATAATAAAATAAATATACCCCCCCCACAAAAAAAAAAAAAAAAAAAAAAAAAAAAAAAAAAAAAAAATTCCATATATTTGGGGCCATTCAATTCTCAACTAGAGCGGTGCGTGTATCTCAGGCTCTGAGCTTTTGCTTTGTAAAATGAAAATCAGTCTCTTCTGTTGGAACTTATAATAATAATAATAATAATAATAATAATAATTTAAAGCAAAGATTTAGATAAAGCAAACCCCTTTGCCTAAAACACTTGTCCAACCACTCTTTAGAATCAAATCCACTACTTATTACAATAACAACTCATACAGATTCTAAAAAGAGAGGAAGCAGAGAGAGAGTACCTGAAGATTTTTAGAGAGAGAGAGAGAGAGAGAGGAGAGAGAGAGAGAGAGAGAGGGTGGTTGGGTGTAAAATGAGGTCGGCAGTGAACCAGTGAAAAGGACAGGGACGGGGTACACTCCTTAAAATGAGTCCTGGGTTTGGTCAAAGTTCTTTCTTGTACTGCGACTGCACAGTGCACTGTCAAAGTGTACAACAAATATGTCGACCTGTTGAGGTTAATTATGTCAAGAAAAAGAAAAAAAAACATTATATGTGAGAGAAAGAAAACGTAAACACAAGAAAAGTACGAGAAAAAAAAATTTAAGAAAATTAAGTGTGTAATGCATGCAATTATTGTTTCTTAAAAACCAATTAATATGAGACACATCGTGCTTGCACTTACAAAGGCCAGTGGGGGCCCTCTTACCCAAAACTGTTATTTTACTCTGTTCCTCTCCTTCCCCTTTAAATACATGCAAAAAGAAAAAATTGAACCACCAATAGAGGAAGGGGAAAAAAAGGAAAGCTTTTTTCGTTTTTCATTCTTCTTTATTTGCCGTTTATATGCCTTAATTTCCATGAAAGTGGAGGTTTCAATCCGAGCTCTGAAAGCTCTTGTAACATATAGCACTAAACAGTTTGTCTCTTCCAATTAAACTGTGGGAAAAAAAATTCTCAATTGGGTTGTGTTTGGGCGTCTGTATCTCATGTGGGCATGTCAGCTAAAGGAAGGTCTAGAGAGAGAAGGAGAGGGAGATGGAGAGAGAGAGAGAAAGAGATGCTTTTTCCTTTCTCAGTGTAGAGTAATCTTTCAAAAACCAGCCTTTCCAGCAATACCCAGTTTAGCCCTCTTTTTGCTTCACCTTCAATAGTTTACACCAGCTGTCGCCATCTTGAGGTATATATTTTTTAAAACATTTATCTCTTTCTGCATCAGCTTTACTGTTTTTTCTTCGTATTCTCTTCAGTGGCTATTATTTTATTTTATTTATTTGAGAAAAAGATTCAATTTTTATTGTTACTATTGTTGTTTGTTACGGTTTTGTTTTGGCGAGGTCCTGTTGATAGTGAAACAAGTCTGCTTTTTGTCTGCTTCTCTGTGTGATTTATTTTGCAACCTACATTTCCAAGCTCGTCCATTTCGTTTTAGATGTGCTCTCTCATGCTCTGCTTCAACCTGGATTAATGCATCAAGACCCAGCATACCAGATCAAATCAAGGCTGGATAATCAGATTTTGAAGCATTTTTGAGACAGATTCTTCGCCTTTGTCCCTGATCAATTGAGGTAAGAGTTACTTGGCTCTCCTTCTCTGCTTCTTGTTGTTTTGCTTATCTTTCTTTTCTCTTTTTTTGCTCATTTCTGAGTGCTTGTTTTGTCTTTGTTTTGTTTGCATAAGGTCACCATTTGTTTGTTAAAAATCCCGAGAGAAAGTTTGGAAAAGTTAATTGAGGTTCTTGGGTTGAAGATGAGAGATTTCCCATCTTGTTTTGGGTGAAAATGGGGTTCAAGTTGCTGATTCTTCTTCATCAAATACTAGTAGGACTGCCCAGAATTTGGTTACTTGTGTCTATCAATGCCGGTTACGAGGCAGGTCTTGCTTGATTACTGTAACTTGGAGTAAGAATTTGATGGGTCAAGGGCTTAGTGTTGGGATAGATGATTCGTCAAATCAGTGTCTTTGCAAGGTTGATATTAAGCCCTGGTTGTTCTCCAAGAGAAGAGGGTTCAAGAGTTTGGAAGCTTATTCTAGTAAAATTGACATATATTGGGACCTTTCTTCGGCGAAATTCGGATCCGGGCCTGAACCTTTAGGGGGATATTACGTGGGAGTTGTGGTGGACCGGCAAATGCTTCTCCTTCTTGGAGATATGAGAAAAGAAGCTTTCAAAAAGACTAGTGCCAGCCCTGTGCCTTCTAATGCTGTTTGTGTCGCCAAGAGAGAGCATGTTTTTGGTAAGAGGGGCTTCACCACAAAGGCTCAATTTTCTAATAATGGTCAACTGCATGATCTTGTCATTGAATGTGATACTCTTGGGGTCAATGATCCGTGCCTCCTGGTCCGCGTAGACAGCAAGCCTGTGATGCAGGTGAAGAGACTTCGGTGGAAGTTCCGGGGGAATCATACCATCTTGGTTGATGGGCTTGCAGTTGAAGTTTTCTGGGATGTTCACAACTGGCTCTTTGGTACATCACCCGGAAATGCTGTTTTTATGTTCAAGACATGCCTCTCAGCTGAGAAGTTGTGGGCTAGCCAACCGCTCTCTGATCCAAGTGCGTTGCAGTGGTCATTTTCACAGAGATTTTCAGATAGTAAGTCGCAGGGTCTAGGATTCTCACTGATTCTGCATGCTTGGAAGAATGAATAGAGGAAGTCGGAAGTTCTCCATTGATTGCTAACAGAAAACCTCCAGTGAGTGATGATTTTATCAGCTATGTGATTGAATTACCACAAAAAATGATTATATATGATCATTTGTTATATAATCATTTGTTTTTCTTAACCTTTTTCTTTTGTTTCTCCTTATGAGGAGCTTGAGCAATCCAAATAGATCAGAGACAGTTTTGTTTTTACTGGTTGTATATCCTTCATACCGTGTTAATTTCATTCTTATTTTTGTCCTCCTGAGAATTCTATGTCAAAATCATTGATGTGCAAATTTCTTATTAGATCGAAATTCATGTGCTTGTCTTCGCAATTTCCCCCCCCCCAAGTTTCTTATTGAGCATGTCATCTTAGATGTAATTATGTCCTTAAGTTGGAATGAATGTTAAAGGACCAGGAAAGACATCCTTTTTTTCTTGTTAAATAGCCATAGATCTGGAAATATAAGCTAGAATAAGATATGATGAAACATGTAACTACTATGATACTTGAATAATGTTTTCGTAATTCCGCAACCTAATGCTATTGAAGCTTTCGCGTGATATTAAGCAATTACTGCTTTTCCTTGTTGAGCTCAAGATTGAAACCTTACGTTATAGAAAACAGAGAAGTAAAAAGAATCTTTGGTCTTGAAAATATACTTTATTGATGTTGAGATGTTCATAAAGACTACGGTTTCTAGTCAATAGGTGGAAAGAAGGGTTGTAGAAAGTAAAAGTTGCAAGTAGTTGAAGGAATATGAAGAGATGTATATATCTGTGATAGAAGCATCCTGCAGAACTTCTTCCTGCCTCATGTTTGGGGTGAAAGTTTGAAGCAAAAGTATGTGCTAGGCATCAGTTTGAGGATAGAAGGGGACAAGTCACGACTGATCTTTCTCTTAAGCCTTGGAAAGAATCTTCTACAGTTGTGGAGCCTAATCGTCTAGCAGCACACGGTGCTTCAATGAATCAGATCTCAAGCATATCAAGTGTATACTTTCTACTGTGAGTTTCTGACATCTGTTTTCTCTAATTATTTGTTTCTGGTGTATGAAATTTCTCCTTATTTCCCCTTTGCTTCTCAAGAGAGTAAATGAGAGAGCATACATCGAGAGAATATAATGGGGTCCATTCATGTCTGGATTTGGAAGAATCTTTGAAAGTGATATTTCACGGTGTTTCTAATGGTCAATTCATGTCTGGTTTGGTGTTGCATGGAAATGTAAAAAATGGTTGGTTGAGATTTACATAGCGTTTTCAAAGTGTGATTTCTTCATGTTGAAGACTCTGTAGGGTCTTAGTAATTAAGATATTGCTGCAAAGGACTAATGGAAATACAACTGAAACTTTATTTAAACCTTGTAATTCCTATTTTCTTTGTTCATTTATGGATTCATTTCATTAGTTGAATTGAATGTGTTTCTTCGGTCATATAATTGAATTTTTTATTATTATTATTTTTAAGTTGGGAGCTTCACTATTATATCCAAAATAGGGGCTGAAATTATATATATAAAAAACCCCACATGAAATGCACTTTAGAAACACACCCAAAACTCATTTACTACATAAGAAATGGGTGTTGAAGTTCTTATAAATTACATGATTGCCATTGATTAACTTAAAAAAAGCTCAACATGAAAAAACTATAAATAAATAAAAACCAAAAACAAGCCCAATCCATACTTCTTTTTAAAAACCCAAACAATTTATTTTTAAAAAAATTACGAAAACAAGCAGGGACTCTTCATAGAAGTACATTGTTAATATTATGTCATAGAAGTATATTGTTAATACACTATTATAGAAGTACATTATTAATACTATGTCATAGATTTATCTTGTTGATACTACTATGTCATAGAAGTACATTATTAATATTTTGTCATAAAAGTACATTGTTAAACAAAAATGAGATCCATAACCTAAATAGTAACAAAAAATAAATTGATCATCAAAGCTTAAAATACATTCCTCAAATCAACTTAAATCTGAAGAGAAACACATAATTGAAGTAAAAGATAAAAAAATCCCAAGTCCAAACCAATCAATGACGACGACAACGCGGCGAAATCCCTGTCTTCCTCCACAATTGAAGATGACGAGTCATTGTCGTTGTGCAGTACTCTGGAACAACTAGCAAGGTCCTCGACTGTTGTTTTCGCCAAGACGACTTGTTGAGATCAAGGTTCCTTTGATTTCAGTGTAAAATTCCACCATATTCTCAATCTTATACCTTCATCCACAAATCTAGAAGCAAAAACAAAAAGATGAAGAAGAAAGTATAGGAGAACAAACTTGGAGAGATCGAGATGATCCGATTTGGCGAGCTGAGGCTTGGTCTCTTGAAAAAGGGTCAGAGCCAGCAATGGGGAAGAGACATAGACATCCGTAGAATCCAAACAATCCAAAGAAAAAGATGATTTCAAAACAAGAAATGGAAGAACAAAAATTGAAAATTGGGGTTGAAGATGAAGATGAGAGATTGGAGCTCGTGAAATGAGTTCTGATCTGGCTTCAACGCCAGATAAAGGGATTAGAATTCCAATTTTAAGTTAAAAGGCTAATAAAGGTATTTCATCTTATTAATTAAATTAAAAAATATACAGTTGTTGAGTTTTGGGTTTTTTTCTTTTTTTTCTTTCTTTTATGTTTATAGTTTTTAAATGGTATAGTATTTCTTTATAAGACTACGTCTAAGATTGAGTATATAACTAAATTTGTAAAAAAAGTTTAGAGGGAGCCATGATTTTGAGGTTTGCAGAATTGAACCAACCTCATTGGCAGAATTGAATGTTTTGCAGCCATGATTTTGAGGTTTAAAAATTGAGATTGGTACTAGCAATGCAAATGTCCTTCCTTACGCATCAATGAACATGCAATGTAAGATCAGTTGGGTCCATGTAGCTGCTTATAGGCATGTGTTAAAAAACAAGTAACTAAACCAAGGTTGGTTCAACTTGGGCTTCTTGCCAAAACGTAGCGTGAACATGGACCCAAAGAGAGAAAGAAAGGATTGCCTTTCATATTTCTGCCAAACTGCCAGAGCATTCCTTCCCCTTGTAGGATCTGAAAGCTACAGCTTCTGAACTGTTTGGCACCAAATTTGCAGACCACTATAATTATTGAATGAAAGGATCCAAAACTAAATTGAAAAATAGAAATGCCAAAGCCGCATGTGCATTCATAGTCCACGGGTGCGTCGCCTACGTGACCGACAAATTCGCATGAGTGTGATTTCCCCATCTCTGCAAACACGCGTGTGTGTAAGTGTATGTGTTCCTTAACTTGAGTTGAATCGAATAGCAATAAATTCCGCTAATCACTCCCTCCCTCCCTCTTATTATGTTTGCTTAAGAAAGCTCAACTTGTAAGAACAGGAGACACCAACTTTTCTAAGGGATGCAAATGTATGAGTTTCACGAACGGATGAAGTTTGGATACGGGTCACAACTGAACATACTCCCTCAAAATACGAGGGACTCCAAGTTTGGATATGAGTCGCAAATGAACATACTCAAAAATTAGTTTTGGCTGAATGAGCCTAATTCGATGCTCAAAGTCTAATTCAATGTTTTCATATTAACCACTAAACGAAACCTACTATTTTATGAGAGCAATGTTAAGCATACCACATTTGTATACTACATTATATATCACCTCTCTTAGAGATGGAGCCAACAAATACAATTGGTCTCACTTCTATTAAAGGGATAATTCACAATGTGATACGACTAACTTTTATTTTATAAACTATAACTTTGTCCTCGGGATTACGGCAAAAATAGATTTCTTACAAATTTTTCAAAAAATTGGAAGTTAAAATAAAATCTCAATTTTGTATATGATGAATGTCATTTATGTGAGCTATAAACTATGCAGAAGTATACATCTTTTGAGGTTCAGACCAAAAAAGTTAAATTTGATTGTTAGTAATCTAAAATCTAAAAAGGTTGGCCGTGATTAACGTATAATGGGTCCTCAGTGACACATCAATCATGTGCATTAATTTGTATGAAATGTTTCAATCCATCAGATGCAGTGATGATGATGCATAATGCCTAAATTGCTTCCTCATATAACTCACCCTTTTAAATCTTTATTTTTGTAACTACTTGCTCTCTATTTAATCCGAGAAAATAAACAAAATTTTCCTTTTTGGCCAAATTATTTGTACGGAATCACCCTCAAACCCTATAAATTATTAAACAAATGTAACATGTTATGTCATTTTAATTTCAAGCCAAAATGGCCGCAAAGTTTATTCTAAAAATAAAAACATGGTGACAAAGTTGTATGGCTTTATCCATCCCATTTTTTTTTAAAAAGACAATAGGAATTAAAAGTGAAAATAAAAAATAAAAAGAAACAAAGGGAAGGAGGCAGCTAAGCATGGTCAGTGCTGAGCTGGCTTGTTATGATAGACTAGGTCTGGGATTATTCATTTTCTGCGGCGTCCAGGTGTCAGATAGCTGTAATATGCTTCAGACGAAATTACACAAGAACCCCTGCCATTGCAACGGTCACTTGGATAACCCAAAGCCAACACCAGGTCCAAGACCAGCAATCAAATCATAGACAGGAGGCGACAATTGTCATTTCGGCAAAACAGGACAACTTGCTGCTTGGAGGGTGTGCCTCATAATTCAGAAATAAAAACAGAGAGAGAAAAGAGAACCCGAAGAAGAAACAAACAAGAAGAAGAGGAAGAAGAAGCAGCTGAGAAGAGCTTCGTTTTGGTGTTCAAGAATCCGCAGTTAGTAACTGAGTCATGGGGGATTCGAGTGACTCAGTCTCCATTGACATTGATATGGTACCTTTAGGAGGGAAGGTAAGAAACAATTTACAAGCCCGCTAAGAAAGCAGAACTTGTGTTTTCCTGAGCCTCAACTTTCATTTCTTTCTCTGTCTCTCTATTTACTTTAATGGGTTTTCGTTTGCATCCTGTTTTGGTTCATGTATGAATCTTTTGCAGGAATGTGTGGTGAACACAAGCAAAGGTTCAGTCTCTGTGCTTGTTTGTGGGGATCAAGGAAAGCCTGCTTTGATAACATACCCTGACGTTGCTCTCAATTGTACGATTCTATTCTTGTTCTTTTGTTTTTTGCCAATGATTTATTTGGACTTGATGCATGTTCTTGAGGTAGTTGGAATGGCTATTTTAGTTTTATTCTGATCCCCAATGTATGGAAAAAGGTTGAATTTTCAGTGTCTGGATGTTATTTGCTTTTGGGTGTTAGATGCTTATGTTCTTATAAACAAAAAACACTTTCAACAGACATGTCCTGTTTCCAAGGCCTCCTCTTTTGCTCAGATGCTGCTTCTTTGCTGCTTCACAACTTTTGCATTTACCACATTGATGCACCTGGCCATGAGGTCCGTTATATGCATCCCATATCGTCAGCCTTAGATATATTTTTTATATTTAAAGTTTGTTAGGAGTTCTTTTCATAACATTTTGGTGATTTTAATAGAGTATTCTACCCCATTTGTTTAAGAGTGTCTGCAGTTGGGAGCTGATGTGATTTCTTCAGATGTCCCCTTGCTTAGCGTGGATGACCTTGCAGACCAGGTGGTCGAAGTGCTTGATTTCTTTGGGTAAGTTTATTGATTCCAGCAATCAAACTTCCTTTGCTTTATTATCACGTACTGATTATGATTGCTTATATGTGTGTTTTTACTTTTGATTCTTTAGCATATCCTGACAAAAGTTACCATTGGAGAGATACAATCTTGTATTTTGAGATGAGAGAATTTAATAAAATGTTCTACCACAGAGAATAGGTTCTCAATGATGATTTTCCACTAGAAGCTGCGATATATGTGTTGAGGGAAAATGTGAAATTTTTTCATTTCAACAATATGCATATACAATTTTATGTTCTGACTGATGTAATCTAGAGGAGATTATATGTATTTTACTTGCTGTTTTGCTTACCTCTCTTTTTCTCAATTTCCTTTTTCATTTTTTAAACTTAAAATCAGGTTGAAAGAAGTCATGTGCTTGGGTGTAACAGCTGGTGCTTATATCCTTACACTCTTTGCAGTAAGTCACCAATACCCTCTTATCTGTTGGCATATTGTGATATTCTGATTTAGTAATTATGTCATGTAATTTCCAATGGGCAGATGAAGTATAAAGAACGAGTGCTTGGGTTGGTACTCGTGTCTCCTATCTGCAAAGTACCTTCATGGACTGAATGGCTTTACAACAAGGTTATAATTTCCATTACCAAGTTGATATTGTTTGTGTACTTGTTTCTGGTAGAAGTTTTCTACATGCAGTAAAATTAGATTGACTTATCAACCATCCTGCTTAAGATTTCATGTACTCCAAATTTTCAGGTATTGTTGAACTTGCTATACTTCTATGGTATGTGTGATGTAGTGAAGGAATGCCTTCTGCAGCGTTACTTCAGCGAGGTAGTGCAGTTTACCTTTTTTTATCAGGTCATTTCTGATTTGATATCTGTTATATACTTATATTCTTCCTATGTAGGAGCTTAGGTCTAGCATGCATGTTGCAGAATCAGATATTATACAAGCTTGCCGAAGGGTAAGGAACTTTTAACAATTTGTTGCGTACTCTGTAAAGAGTTCTTATAATGTCAACATTGTAAAATGTACATGACTGAGCTGCTATTAATTCTTTTCATGACGTGTGAATACAGTTACTGGATGAAAGGCAAAGTTCAAATGTCATGCGATTCCTTCAAGCAATTAATGAGTAAGATCTTTTCACTGCAATAAGCATGTGCTCTGTTGCATATCATTCTAATTTTATTTTTTTGTATCTGGTTCCCTGTAATGTGTTCTGCCTCAAGTCATTTGAGGTGCAACATGAAATTGACATACTTTATATGATCAGCACCTAACTAGTACTAGAGTAATTCATATTGAAAATATTACCTGTAATTCTGCTTCAATAATTGAGTGGATTAGAAACAAAGAGAGAGCTGCAAGTTAGTAGAAATGATTTGAAGTCTTGCATGCCTTTCCAAATGTGATAAAATTGCATAATTTTCTTTCTGCATCCGACGAACTTAATTGAAAGTTTATTTGCAGGAGGCATGACCTTACAGAGGGCTTGAAGAATTTGCAGTGTAAGACGCTTATTTTTGTGGGTGACAGTAGTCCATTCCATGCTGAATCTGTGTATATGAATGCCAAAATGAACAGAAGAAGCTGTGCTCTTGTTGAGGTAGGTTCCCCAGTTAATACTTTCACTAATAAATCTTCCCTCCACTTACCTTATCGTTTCCTGTTAAGGGACCCAACGTGTGTGGCACATCAGTATTCTACTAAGAAAATGACAATCAAGATGCTTGTTTGACAAGGCATATTTTCTGCCCTTGACAGGTTCAGGCATGTGGCTCACTGGTAACAGAAGAGCACCCATACGCCATGATAACTCCGATTGAGTTCTTCCTCAGGGGTTTTGGCTACTACAGACAACCGCATTTTAATTCCTCATCAAGTAATGACTCCAATCCCACCAGCCCCTCGAACCAATCATGCATAGCGCCAGAACTTCTTTCTCCTGAGAGTCTAGGAATCAAGCTCAAACCCATCAAAACCCGGGTAGCTATTAAAATTTGATGGATGTATGTGTAAGTAAGGATCTTAAGTTTCAAGACAATTCCATTGTATTGCATGCTGCCAATGTCACAACAGAAGAAGGGGATTGGAAAGCTTTACATGTATATGGCTGCATCAGATAGTAGGAAATTCTTTGAATGTAGTGGTGGGGAGGATAGGTTCGGAAGTTTCAAGACAATTCCATTGTATTGCATGCTGCCAATGTCACAACAGAAGAAGGGGATTGGAAAGCTTTGCATGTATATGGCTGCATCAGATAGTGGGAAATTCTTTGAATGTAGTGGTGGGGAGGATAGGTTCGGAGTATAAGCTTTTGTCTATACGGGGGGTTAGATTAGATAGCTAAACTAGGAAAATGTTGTAGTTGGGTAGAAAATTATTTGAGATTTGTTCTATAACGCATTCATGTGTACACATTTTCAACTGTTTCAATTTTGTAAGAAGCTGACCACAGATCCACAGGTCTTGATCATTTTTGCCGATATTTATTTTGATTGTTTTAAATTATATTTTGTCAAATGTCGAAGTTTTTTTTATTACTGGGAGATGCTCTTTCTGCCATCACTCAGGTGGAATCTAACTTGAAGGGATTGTCTGTTGAGGCCCATGGTTATTTCTGTTTAGATGTGTTGGGCTTAGCCCCCACTTTACCCAAAAAAATATAATAAAAAAATTGAAAGGGGTTTGTGACTAATAACTAAACATATGCAACACATTACACGCATTATAATCCAAAGCTTGTAAATTGTTCACTAAGCTCAACAACAATTAATACATCTGTACTTCTTCTTTTTTCATCATTCAATATATTCTGAGATTAATTAAACGTAGATCTTTCTCGGCAAAATCTTAACTTTCCCTTTTGCGCTTCAAGGCTTTTCATCTTGGTACCTCATATCCTCCTCCTCCGTTGTCGTCTTCGTCGTCATTGTCATGAAGAACAAATGTACGTAAACCTCTTGGACATTTACTGTTTTCCTTCTTATGACGTTCTACAAATTCAACTTTGCCAGATTTTGATGTCTGCAACTGATTAAGATTTTTATGATGTTCGTTTTGGTGACTTCGCATGTCACAGTTGATAGCTTTTGTCAACGCACTATAGAGGCCAAAGTCAACCGCTTTGACCGCGTTAACATTATTGTTGTCGCGTTCATCAGAGGACAGGAAAGTGTAGTCTCTTGAGTACCTCAGCTGCCTAATCTTCTCTTGAAACTCTTCAGGGCTAAGGCCTAGGTTTTCAATGAAGGAGATGAGAGATTTCATCTTCTTATAATCATACCGACGTTTGCTTCTCGGTCTTGTGGGCACCCGCAAGACTTTCGTGACTTCCTCGTGGTTAGTACTATGGTGCCCACACAAGTTTATGGTGATGTTTATCGTCATGGGATGATCAAATTCAGAGGTGTGTTAGACAAAGAAATCACTGAAGAGCTATCTAGGAAGTGGTAATTGGCTTCTAGGGTTTGGTTCTTAATGCAATGTGCTTTCCACCGATCAGCATATATGGAGATCAGACTAGTCTCCTTACCAACTTAGGAAATCCAAAAGAAAAAGTAGAAAACAAATTTGGGTTTCCTAATTTAGTTTGGATTAGTTTTCCGCAGTTGAAAAAGAAAATGAGAGTTTCCCAAAATCCGGCAATTACTTGTGGGCCACGGTAAAATCTAATTGGCCTTTTCGTTCTGGTGCTATCGTAATTGAGTCGTCTTTTACTTTCGAGCCTATTAAGAACCGACATGTCGTGTTGATGACCGAAGCCTCAAAGACAACGTCGTCTAAATTTGTTGTCAGTGGTCAAGGGCGGTCCCCACAGGGAAAAATTAAAGAAGAGAAATCCCTCTCTTCCCGCCTTGCCGCCCCTCCCAAGTCCCTCCAATATTTTCACTCACTCTCTTTCTTTCTGCCTTACTTTCAAAATTGTAGAGAGAGAAAGAGAGATGTGATGATTTGCTGAAGTTTTATGCTGTGGGCATGGACACTCCTCTGAAGAATCAGACAACCACCCCCACCACTCCTCTTCCTTCTAAATATGAGGTTTGTTTTCTTTACACAAGGCAAACCGAGTTCATTTTTAATTGTTGCGAGTTCAAAAAAAAATATATATAATATTTATTTATGATTTTTTGGGCTTTAAGCGTTCTGGTTTTAGCTTCAGGTTCAGTTTATTTGGTTGTTTTTTGGTCACAAATGGGGGCTTGAATTTGGGAATCTGGGTTTGCTTCAATTTGTGTTTTTAGTATGTTTGTGCCTATGCTTTATTGTCTCTTGTCACTGTGCATAAATGGGTTTGTTCTGATCTGCAACAATTTTGGGGATATTTGTATCTCCCTTTGTGATTTTTAGTTCAATTATTTAAAATTTGTTACGTTTGCGAGGCCATACAGTGAGAATGACTGCTTCTCAACATGCAGGATTCCCCCGTCTTCAACTACATTAGCAATCTTTCTCCAATTGAGCCAGTCAAGTCCAGAGGAAATGATCACACCTTCAACTCACTAACTTTTGCATCTCTTCCATCTATTTTTACTTCGCCACAGAATGTTTCCCTCGGTGAAACTAGATTCTCACTCAGAAGGTATAATTGATCATCTCTTCCTGCTTTGATGAATTAAAATTTGAAAAAAAAACATTTTGGTTGCTAGTTTTAGACAAGTGTTTTATGTCCTGTTAATGTTGTCAGGCATCACTCCTCTGAGGCATCAAATCCGGAATCATTCCAGACTCCAAACCCAAGTGATAAACTTGAAAGTGTCCCAGTTGCTGTTGAACAATCTTATTTTGGCACTAGGCAATCAGAATGCCTTACACCTGGAAGTTCAGGTACAGAGGTTACCCATGCAATACCAGCTGAGAATTTGGAACTAGCAATTGAGTTGTCAAATACCTTGAAGTATAGTTCTGGTAGCCCAGATAGAAATGTGCCTTGTGATGCCACAGATACTGTGCTGGAGACAGCTGCCACACCGGCATCACTTGTTCAATCCGTTGTACATCATTTAGAAGAAAGGCACTCTTCATTTGAAAGGGAAACACATTTGCGCAGAATTTGCGGAATGGAGCATGAGAAAGAAGCAGCTGGAGTTGATTGGACGAGGTTGATTTCTGATGCTTCTGATCTGTTAAATTTTGATTCAACAACCATTGAAGAGAGTTCTGACGGGGAGGATCCTAAAACAGTTGATCCTGGGGCAATCTGTTTTATATCAAACATCCTACAAGACAATCACGATGATATGGAAGTGATGGAATCTGGTCCTATTGAATCTAGTGAACAATACGAATCAGGAAAGTTCAGTAATCAATCAGAAGGTATTGGGGACTTGAAGGAAACAGATGTAGCACCAGCAGCACTTTCTAGAAATTTGCTGGATAAGTTAAATGTAGATGACAAGTGCCCAAAGTGTATCCATTCTAGCTGCACGGTAATATACTGGTTTGACTAATATTTTTGTAGAGGTTAATGACTCAATGGTTCCGATGACTTTCATTTCTTGTCTTGGCATTCCCTACTTCTCTATTTTTTATGAATTTTTCCTCTCTCTCTCTCTCTCTCTCTCTCTCTCTCTCTCTCTCTCTCTCTCTCTCACACACACACACACACACACACACACACACACACACACACACACACTCTCAGAGAGTCTCAAGTACATACATTTTGATTTTATAATAATGCAACAATTTTGTTTAACCATGTTCAGCATAGTTCTCAGTCGTACGCAATAAGCAGGAGGTGTTTGGATTTTGAAAGGGCAGAAACTCACAAAAGGAAATCAATATGTGATACTAGTGGCAGTTATTCAGTCCCATTACAGTCCAATTGTGAAGTCACCCTTGAAAAAAAGTTGATTCGAACTACAGTGGGTTGTGATTATTCATCTTCTAGGTTACCTGGTATAGGTTTGCACTTGAATGCTCTTGCAACTACTAGTGAAAGTAACTTAAGTAAAATTGTAAACCATGAGACTCAGGCTTCTGAGAGTCAAGTAACAGAGACTCCGAACTCCAAGATATCTAGTACTTGTTTGACTCCCAGTGAGGTTTCTCGTGATGAATCATGCAAAAGTGAAGTTCATATTGCAGAAACTCCTCCCGAAGCATGTGCACCAGTTGGTGTAGAATCTGACCATAGTAGTCCTGAGAATAAAAGGCATGTGCAGAAGATTCTATTGACTACCATATTCTTTTTTACCTCACCATTTGAAATCTATTGTTTTAACGGTTGATACCTTGCAGGCTTAAGTCACAACATGTAGGAGAAAGCTTGGCCTGCAAGCGCTGTAACTGTAAGAGGTCAAAATGAACCTGTGAGAATTGAGTTTTTTTTTTTTTTTTTTTTTTTTTTTTCTGCCTATTATTGCTCGTACTTTGTCTCTAAAAATGTGAGTTTATTGCATTATATTGACTGATTAGTATTTTAGCATTTTCTTTCTTTTCCATTCTTCACTTAGTCTGACCTCCTATGTTCACTGACGCAGTTACTGTGACTGTTTTGCTGCTGGTCTCTACTGTATTGAGCCTTGTTCATGTCAAGAATGCTTCAACAAGCCTATTTACGAAAATATTGTTGTAGAGACTCGCAGACTGATTGAATCTCGCAACCCACTTGCATTTGCTCCCAAAGTGATTGGTAGCATCAATGCTACTCCACAATTTGGGGTTAGAAATTATGACTGACATTATACGTTCTGACATGACAATAAGTCATTGAAACATCAGATTTAGGAGGCACCACTGCATTGCAATCCAATTTTTGATTGGAGATATCATTTATCACAAAAGTCATAGTGAGGATTGCGTTGTGGTGGTCGGATGCCATGATTTATCTGATACTATTTTCTTATGAAAATTTCCATTGTGTTATAAATTATAACCTTGTAGACTCACAATTTTCCCCATGCAGGAGGAAACTAACTCCACCCCAACTTCAGCTAGGCATAAAAGGGGATGCAATTGTAGAAAATCAGGTTGCTTGAAAAAATACTGTGAATGCTTCCAGGTACCAACTTTTAGTCTGTTTAGTATGAATGAAACGCTCTTCTAAATCTCTTTAATATTTTGATATATATCTACCAACTGATGTGGGCCCTTTTTTTTTATCAAGGGTGGTGCTGGATGCTCCATTCTCTGCCGATGCATAGGGTGTAAAAACACTTTTGGTCGGAAAGATGGTGAGCAAACACGATTTATATGATGGATCTCATAGCTAACAGAAGGCTACTTGCCTTACCCTGTATATGTGCTTCCATATGTGGTGCAAGTAAACAGAAAAAAAAACAAAGAGTAGTCATACGAAATTCAACAAATTATTTTATGTTTGTAATAGGATCTACAAATTTTTGTACTTTCAATTTATTCTTCTTCTTTATCAAATAGAAGCTGAAGAAGGTGAAATTGAAGAACACAAATCACGAGTTCGGAAAAAGGATGCAACAGATGTCAGCTTAGGGAGAGTGAAGGATCAAGATCTCCCAATGACACTTCCTGGGATTTGCAGGTTTTTAATCGACTGATTTGTTAGATTGATGGACTGTATGTAACTTCATGTTATAAATGTTTGAAAGGTTATTTTGTTTTGCAGACCCTCAGGCCAACTCACAGCCAGTTTTAGTGGGAAACCGAAAATATTTTCTCTACATTCTGTTCTGTCATCTCCTCAGCCTGAAAGGCATCTTCAGGTAATTCCGGAAGAGGAAACTCTTGAGGCATTGGATAATAGCTGCTCACAACCCAGTGGTGTGAAGTCAACCTCTCCAAACTCAAAGAGGGTTTCACCTCCTCATGGCGGCAGCGAGTTCGGGTCAGCTGCTTGGAGGGGCGGCAGGAAGTTAGTTCTGAGATCCATTCCACCATTCCCAACTCTCGCATCACCACGGAAGCATTGACTTCCCACCAGCTCCAGTCAAGCCCTTGCGTTTTCCTTTGTAATGCTGAGGCTTAAGGCCTATCTATTCTTTGCTGCATTGTTGTGATACAAATTTTATCACAGATGTGGCTTTTTGCAATTTTTATCTTTTCTTATGATAGAGTTGTTGCCCCAAAAAACAGCCAGGACTCGAGTTTACCTAATGTCTTCTATTCAATGTTATGGGATGTGTAGTTTACTGTTTGTTCTTTGCATAGTCTTTTAATCAACTGGAAAATATGCTAAGATAATATCAAATTACCGGAGCAGCACAGACGCATCCTTGCTGGTAGTGAGCGTTATTGCTAGAACAGAAATAAATAGAACTTTATGAACTTAGTTGATGAATGGCTTCGATTTGAAACAGTAATCCCCCTAAGCTAATAAGGCATGTTAGCATAAATTGTTTTTTTTTTTTTTTTTTTTTTTTTTTTTTTTTTTTTTTTAATGGTAAATGAAAATTTTATAACTGCTACCACCTTCGGCTTATGTAAAAAGAAAAGGCCGCATACATGACTTCAGCAAATAGCGAACATTAATTCCCAAAATTCAATGCAGACTCCTCAATGGCGTAAAAAGAAAGGCAATTTTCCTACAATATTCAATGGGCCGGCTGGGTAAACATTCGGATAGTAGAATATAACACTAGTAGTGCAAAACCTCAGCAGCTGTATTCGAAAGAATCAGACATTGAAAAGGATGGCCATATGTCGCAGACAATACAAAATTTTTCTAAAAAAATTACTAAAGCATCTTTCATGTGATAATCGAACATCAACTGCTAGACAATGTTCAAATACACTCTCAAGGGTGCACTAACTCTGCATCTGTCTGAAAAGACAAACAAAACTCCCCTAAAAGTAAAGCAAATGATGGCTTAATAAAGCACAGCTAGCTTCATGCTCCAACAACTTCAGTCTCTCCCTCGGGCACTGTTTCTTCAGCTGATCTGTCCACCTTCACACCGACGTCCTCTTTTCCGCCATGAACCTAGTGACAACAGAACAGAAAAACCTCAGAAACCCATTGATCATTGCTAAATAGCACGCTCATCTACGCATGTTCATAAACCACAACAAGTCATAGAATCTAATTACACAAAGAAACATGAAACTGAAACTGCTGAGGAAACCTGCATGATACACATACCTCCATCAATTTGGGAAGATCAAATTTGGGAGCTTTCAAGATCTTGACTTTTCGAATGAAAACATTCTGCAGTGGGTAGATGCTGGATGTTGCCTTTTCAATTTCCCTGCCTATACTCTCAGGAATAAATTTTGCCACCAAGTCCTTCAGATCACAGGATGCAGCCTGGTTTATCATGATTTCCCTCATCTTGCGTCGAATCTAACATGAGCAAGAGACCAAAAATAAAGCAACCACCACTTGGAAGCAGAGAATAAACAACATGGAAGAGAGAATGAAACATTAAAACAAACCTGACGAATCTGACTGGATTGGGCATAACAGGTTCGCTTGACCTGGTTTGTACGCCTCTTGGTAAATGCAATGCAAAACATCCTAAGGGTATAGTTATCAGTAGTCTTTACATCCACATGAGCCTCAATCAGTGTCTGCCACTTCCTCACTAACGACCTCAGCTTGTCAGTGGTGAAATCCATTCCCTGGAAACAGAGAAAAGACCAAAATATACTTCAATGTTCACAACTCAAACAAAAATACACCATATCTACTAAAGAAAATTTAATAGCAGTTATGCAGTACCATACCCAGAAGTTAGTGAGTACGTTCCTCCCTTGCACATCCTCTGCTCTTAGCCGGATCTTCCTGTAAGCATGCTCCTCATCCTTCTGGAGATCAGCCAGAGAAACCTCAAACACTCGATGCTTGAGTCCTTCAGAAGCAATCTGTTTGATAATGATGAAAACAAACCATCAGAATTCAATAAAAGCAACAAATCAGATATTAATCAGTGCAGGTCACCATAATTATTAAAGCAAAACAAATACATGGCTTCCTTATTCCCTGATCTAAATCAAACTGCTCTACAGGGGATGTTAGATAATTAAAAAACCATAAAATGTAACCCAATACATAGATACATATAAAGTTATATCCATACATATGCACAGAGAGAGAGAGAGAGAGAGAGAGAGAGAGAGAGAGAGAGAGACCTTAGTGCCCTGAGTTCTGGAGACAAGGGTTTTGCCAATCTGCCTTTCTGTGAAGAGAGAAGGAGCCTTGATATCATACCAGTCCTTCTTGGCAAATGGGTCAGCTCTGCATCATATTATTCAACAATGTCAACCTCAAAATATGATTCTTACAAAAAATCTACTATATTTTTGTTATAATTAACAATATAATACAGACACATTTTACATATATGAAATAAGACCAAACAAAACCAGGGGCTTGTGAATTCAACTTACGCCTTCTTCTTCCCACCCTTCTTACCCTTCGAAATCCTCTTGTTCTTACTGCAAATTCATCACAATTTGAGTCAAATGAGAACCAACAAAAATTTTACAGGCATATAAATGCGCATGTAAGTATTTAGAGACAGAGAGAGAGAGAGAGAGAGAGAGAGAGAGAAGGAGGGAGATGTACCCGACGGCCATGTTGTGAGAGAAGAGGTGGCTAGGGCTCAGGTACGCGAACAAGAGGCAATGACGACGAGAGATGAGCTAGAGCACAAACCCTAGTTTTAGGTTGTGGGGTTATATTGTCTTTCTCAGCTTGTATTGCCACTACTTAATGCGATTATTTACGAAAATGGCATGATTAAAATTAAAAGTTTTCTAATTGTTGTTTTTGCAAATGACATATCTTTTGTTTTTGGTTCTGAATTCTGATGGAAAAATATATTTTATATTATTTAGGGTTACACTCTTTTCTTTTTTCTATAGCTTGGGTTATATATATTTTCCATCTTCTCTTCTAAATTTCTTCCTCCAAAAATAAAAAGGATAAATATATCACACGCTTATTCTCCCTCTTATCTGGACACTTTCTTTCGATTTATTTATAGTCATTATACAAACTAAATATGATTTTAATAAAGTTAATAAAAAACAAATTAATAATTAATAATATTGCCCGTAAACCGAAAAGTGAAAATTGGCTGAGGAAAGGAAAGGATAGGAAAGAATAGCATCAATGTCCTCCTAATATAATAGTTGGATTGCATCAGTAGAAAAGAAGAAATGGAAAATCGAAGATTAAGCCCACAAAAGAGAGTCGGGAGGAACAAATCTGAAAGTAATTGTGAAAGGAAATGGTGGTTCACTACTCACTCATACATTCCTAGTTAGCCACTGTGGCACTGGCATCCTAAAGAATACATCACGTCCTCTTATTAAGGACTTGGGAAAAAAAGACACAAACCAAGAAGAAAGGCAAAAAATCATTTAACATAACTATGATATTGCTATCGGAGTCGGGGCAATTATACGAAGATTCTTCAAAGACAGAGGAGTTATGATGAAACTTTCAAGCTTTTTAAGGCAGTAGTAAGCAGGGAAAGTTTGTCGGGAGCTCTCTGCTTGTAGTCTTTCTCCAAGGCTGTTGCTGCCAGTGATTGTAGCTCTGAGCTCTCCTTGTCTTCCTTGTTCCTTCCTTTTGCAAGCTGTCCAATGGCAGAAGTGCACTGGAAGAAGGCAGGAGTTAAACACTTTCTTTCAGTAATTCAAGTTGGTCACAAGATGGATAAAAGAAAGGGCTCAGACAGAACAATTTGAATAATGAAATTAAATAGCAGGTGTCTAATTTCAGAATCATACGAATACACCAAAAATAACTCAGATGGGAAAACAGAAAGTAATAGACAACTCTAAGCTCCAGCAGGATCGGCAATGGTCTAAAACTTGAATTACTCCAATATATATGTGTGTGTATCTCTGAATCAATGCACCTCAAGAGGGAGAGAGATCTCACCAAGTTAATACCAAAAAGTGCTCTGATATTCTTGCCCCCAGTCAAGTCTATAACGGATGCGTAGTATTTTTTTGCTGTCTGAAGGTTTTCTAGTCCACCAAGTGTGTAAAGCACCTGTTGACCACAGAGAGCCCAATATCAGACATTTATTCGCTTTTTAATGGGGTTTAGTGCTGTTAAAGCATGTAATCATGACCACATGTTGAATATGCAATGCCACATTACTTCTTTCTCAGAGGACTCACATTTTTTCATTTCCAAATAGTACGGAAACAAAAGATCAACTATCAAGGTGTTCATATTTGGAGTTCATATACAAAATCAATTCTCTCATTGGCCCTCTATTTCAGGATATCCTATCCTAACTCTGACTCTAGCTTGACTCCAGTATGTAATTTTTTCAGTTTAATGTCTAACTTGATAAAAAAAGAAGCCGGTCTTGACTCTAGCTGAAATTCATCGTAACAAGGGAGGCTGGTATAGTATAACAGTAATTTGGGAGATGATATAAGAAGATTTAGGTAACTTTTTACACCCTTCAACAAGAGGGTACAAGGAGCTTTTCTTTAATCACAATTATTCTTTATCCGTGAAAACCAACAAAGAAAAAGTTCATGTAAAAAAAAAAAGGAATTATTGGACAGTAAGGGAAAAAAAAGGTTACGTACATCAGCATATGCTAAGTGGTGAAGTGGAACAGTAGGCTGAGATAATATCAGCTCCTCATAGCAGAACGCAGCTTGCTTGTACCTAGTTTACAGAAAGACATAACTTATCAATTGACAACAAAGCATAGGCAATTTGAAGCCACTAAGTTTTGATAAGTCTGCCAGAAACATACATCTGCAAGGAAACATATATTTCAGCCAGCTCTCTCCAAGCATCATGATCAGCCATAAATCTGCCAAAAGGGGGAAAAGTCAACTTAGCAACTTTTTTCTTGCAGAAATAAAATCATTTTCTTTCATTGTATTTCACATACGCCTCACATTTCCAGATACTTATTAAGCCACTCAATGGCTCCTGAAATATTTCCTTGTGCCTTCGCCATAGCTACTCTTCTCTTATGTATTACCTGCATAAGAAAAATAAATAATCATTTTCCTTTATCTTTCCTCAGAAAAGAAGTTATTTTTCTCATATAAAAGAGAAATAAACGTATCCATCTTTGCATGAAGAATTTATATATGATTTACTTGATCGAGTGAATTTTCCTCCAAAAAGCTCGAGTAAGCCTTCTCTGCCTCTGCCCAAGCTCCCTTCGCCTCAAGCAACATAGCCTCTAGCCTGCCTGTGATTTATGCCAAAGAAAATAGCTAAGCCACCACATAGCAACAGCCAACAACATTAATTTCCACTCCAGTTAGCCAAATATTTTTCCCATAAAAAAGGTACCAAATATCTTGATACCACTACAGGATGTAATATCAGACCTCAAAATCAGTTATTTCCTCTTACCAACTCTTTTACTCTCTGGAAATGACTTCCGTAAAAGCCTAATGCAGTCCTGCAAAAGTTTAAGTAGGGCAGGCATAAGATAACGTACTTAACTTTTCCATAATTTGCAGAATATACTCAATATAGCACATGAGCACTACAACTAATTTAAAAGGAAAGAAAAAGCACATTTGCCTTACACAGATATGCAACTCTCAAATAAAGAGTAGGTTATACCAAAACCAATATTTGACCCCCTTCTAAGCAGGGAAGCCTAAAGTTGCAAGGCCAAAAATTAAAGCTATGCAATTATAAAAGTATAGGCCAAAGCACATATTATACCTTCGCAACATCAAGACATTGGCAGTCCATGGCTGCAATTGCAACTTGCTCATATAAAGTCCATTCTACATCGAAAAATACAAAGTGATTGTTAGTCAGACATCAAAAGCTCTCCCCAATAAAGAGGAACTTTAAATTGGAGGATGCATATAACCAAAGACATGCCTTGTTTACACTGAGTTCATATTAAGCTTCTATGACAGAACAGACTGCAAAGTAACTACAGCCCCATTAATATAAATTCAAACACATCAAACTGCACAGAGCTCAGCCTGTTTCATCATCAAGTAATTCCATCCAATCCATGCTCAATTCAAATCAAGCTATCATGATCAAACAAACGCAAAACAACAAAAACCTAATTGACTTAACACAGACAACCCGCCAAATTGCAGAGAACCCAAAATCTTCACCATATTAAGCAATTCCAATCCGTCCTCAATTCAAACCAATCTGATAAAAACACACAATCCCAGGTGGAATTACCAACAACCGAAGCTCAAAACTCACCGTCCGGGCCAAGACTTGATCGTTTTTTGATGTCGTTCAAGATCGACAAGCCATGCTTTAGCACCTTCTCGGAACGCCGGACCTTGAGCTTTCTGACCAGGCAGAGGTACTCCCAAGCCCCTCCTCCTCCATTATCGACCTGGTTCTCGAGCCTGTTCAACTGGGTCTCCTCTGTTTTGCTCACCATCTTCGCCAATTCGACAAGCAAAGCCTCCTGTTTCTCTCTCTAGCCGGCTTCTGGATCTGTGATTGGAAGAGAGAGGGAGTTTACTCAGAACGCACTTTCTTCTCAGGAGTTTGCACTTGACTCTTTCTCTCCAACTCTCTATGCAGGCTCTCTCTCGCTGGGTCAGGGCACAATCGTAACTTCGTACAATTTACTATTTTTTATTTTCGCATAAAATAAAAAACTCAAGGTTTCGCGGTAATACGGTGCGTTTTCGGGTAAAGCGGTACCGCGAAATCAAAATGTGGCTTAAGCCTGTACCATCGTGCTTCTCTATGCTAAAACCCTACTGCTCTGCAACTCCACCACCACCAACCACCTTGAAATTCATAACGGCCATGAAAACTACAGAGGAACCAGACGTCGGGATCTTCTGCTACATCTCTCAACTCCCTGGATTTCGCGGCATTTTAAAGCAAAGGTCTGAATATATATATGTGTGTGTGCATGAATAAAATGTAGTTTGTGGTTACGGTGTTTACTGGGAAGTTGTCTGGCTGGGAGGGTACGAGACATATGAGCGTTCTGTTCTGTTTGGTTTTTTTTAAAGTTGTTATTTCTCTCGTTGTGCTGTGTTTGGATGTTAGGAATGTGTAGGAAAATGAAATGAAACTAGAATTTTGTAGCAAGAAATTTGCTTCCAAAAGTGAAACTGAGGGTGTGAGTAACTTCATGAGCGCTGAGTTCCATAGTAATTAAAGTTTGGAACTTGAAGATCGATAACCACAAGATATGATATTCAGCATTTTTGTTGTTGTTATTTTCCTGAATGTATTCATGAAATTCAGCATCGTCTGTGGTTTAAAGGACAAACCAGTTGTCTATATATTAACTTTTGTTCTTTTTGTTGGTAACTCATCTAGGTATTCTGATTTTATGGTAAACGAAGTAGATACGGAGGGAAATGTTGTACATTTGACCAACTTGGATGCCCCAGCAGAGGTAGATAAGTTTATAATGTTATTCTTATTAAATGTACGTACATTATGTGTCCAATTTCATATTTATGGAAGCGTAACTTTTCTAACATATGCAGACAGTTAAGGAAATTGAAACAAAGACGCATGATGCTACAAGTAAAGATTATACCACTGAAATTGAATCGTTTAGATCTCTTGTTGACCCCGATGATGCTGAGCAATTGGAAGCTATAATCAATCAAATTAATTCCGGCAGTGAAGATAGTATTTTGCCTATTGTTCTTTCCCCAGATTATGATAAATCTCATCGAACGGTTAGTTTTTCAGTTTGGTCTTATCTCATTAGTTTAATTTATATAGTGTTTTGCATGGCATCCTAGACCTGAAACTTGTGGAATCAGAGAGGCCAGGGTGGACCAATGAACATTGATATCCACTAATGTGAAAAGGAAGGTGCAAATAATCTGCAAAAATAAATCTGCCTATCCCACCTTTTCCACCCTGTTTGGAAATAAAACAAAGTAAACCGAGTTCTATCCTTCAGTTTCATTTATGGCTTACATTATTAGTCTTTCAGGCAGTGCATAATTTTTTTAAGGAAAACTTCAAGTTCCTTGTCACCGACACAGTTGATGGACCAGATGCTTCCTCAAAATGCATCCGGGTGAGAATAAATTCAGGAGGACAGAACAGCAGAGGCAGAAATTCAAGAAAACGAAAAGAAAGAGGTGATAAACCATTGATAGCAGAGGTTCAGATGATTGGTCAGAGAATGTTGGCAAGTTCCTTAGGTAAAAGGGTGTTTGATGGGGGTTCTGCTCTTTTAAAGATTTAATTCTTCACTCATCGTAGAAAGATACCTGCATAATTTAAATATCTTTTATTGCTTTTTTCTCCCGTTTCAGTTTGTGCATAAGGGATAACTAGGTGTTTTCTACCTTTAAGATGCTATTGAAAAGATTAAAAAAAAAGTGCTCTTTAAGAGGCCTTTTCTTTTGACTGGCAAAGAAAAGTTCTGCTTCAGCTTATCTAAAAGGTCTTCTAATGTGAATGTACAGGTTTCATCTTTACAAGGAGAACAAGGATACACAGGAAGCCTTAGGAATTATAGCAAAGATGCTTGGTATCCAGGTATGGGTTCCAGTGAAAAGAACAACATTGACCTATGACTACTGTTTTGACAATGATTGTCAAGTTAACATCTTCATGCCTGATAGGATTTTTGTAGAGTTAATAATTTGGTCACCCTTTACTCTCTGCTTCCTTGCATGCATGGACACACTTAACACCTTCATTATAATAAAAATTGCACTTGGGTTATCTCTTCTTGTCTTTGATTTTGTTAAGTAGACACTTCCTGATCTTGTCCATATGTAGCGATGGCCTGTGAAGTAGTGGTGATGAAAGATTATTTTATTTTATTTAGTTCTGTACTTAAATTTCACTAAGTGACAGAGAGCAAACATTGATTATTGTTTTTCCTGTAAACAGTTGAGATGGGTCAGATATGTAGAACTTTATAATTCTTTTTTTTCATCTTTGTATTAATGGATTGATACTATTTATTTTTGTTTTAATAGATTGCTATTGTTTTTTTTCTTCTCATAGCCAAGGTCCTTTGGGTTTGCTGGTACAAAGGATAAGCGTGCTGTCACAACTCAAAGGGTAATTGATACTCGCTAATCTTTCTCTTATGCCTTTAAATGTTGTATATTTGCTTATCTAGAAGAAATATTTGTTCCAGGTAACAGTTTTTAAGCAGCTTGCAAGTAGATTAGCAGCTCTTAATGATAGGTTGATTGGTATCAAAGTAGGTGACTTCTGGTAAGGCCGATAAATTGTGACTTAATTGATATTCCCGCCCAATTGGTTTTTAACACATCCTAATAAAAGTTGCATTTGTCTAGCTACGTGAAGGAAGGACTTGTCCTAGGCCAACTATTGGGAAATCGATTTACAATTACATTGAGGTAAGCTTGTTCCCCTATGATCATTTATGTGAGCTTGAATAAAAATCACTCATGGCTAGTTTTGCTGTTCAAAATCTCATTCGTTCATTGTATGCACTCACATATCTTCTCAGAGGAGTTGTTGCGATTCTGAAGATACTATCAAAGCATCTGCACTTGCCTGGGAAAGCAGGGATTTATTAACTACTTTGGTTTACAAGTACTCTCTGTCTCTGTCTCTGAATATATCTTCTCCTGGTTTAAACTCTTTGTTTGCAATAATGATGTAATTAGAAAGAGAAATGTTATTGACATTAGGTACCTGGTTCCTTTGTTTTTCGGACAAGTGGTTTCTTGTTTCTTAAAACACTTTTTTTTTCTCTCTTTTCATCTAAACCTATATGACAATTTTTCTTAAGGTATGTGGATTACATTTTATTATGGTTAGTAAAATAACTTCTAAATGATGAATTCAGCGATTTGGAAGTGGTTCTGTGCCAACTCACCTTATTGGAGCTACACTACTCAGAGGAGAGTGGAAATCTACTGTGAGCTGTTCCTTGATCCAAGAGAAGGGGATATCCTTTAATGTTACCCGGTATTGTGAAGATACTTTTCTTTTCATTTCTACTCTACTTCTTGATAAACTGGTTTAGTGCATGCTTCTGTAGTGTTCTGTTGTATTTGTATTCTTTAACTTGATCGTTGATTACAAAAAATGCAATTACGGAGGCACGAGAATATTATAAGGAAACTAATGATATTGAAGGGACCCTGAGGCGATTACCTCGACATCTGGTTTCTGAAAAAGCTATAGTAAGTCTTCAACTATGATTGCTTCGTATGGTCATGCAGTGTTTTCTTGATTCTGTAAACTATCCTGAAAAAGTAAGTTCTATAAATAAATCTTTTTGTTTTTGTGAGTAATCCACCCCTGGCTTTGCTGTAAGTGTGCATCCTTTATGTAACTTTCATGCATCTAGCATGGTGATCATAAGATCTGTATGGTATTACTGAATTGGATTACTTTGTCTTGTGCTTCATGTCATGACTGATCATAAATTTTCCTCTTCTTTGTTCTCATACAGTTGCAATGTCTGAAGAAATGTCCTGGGAACTACTTGCAAGCTTTGAAAGCTATTCCTAGAACTTTGAGGATGATGTAAGTGATTTTCTAGCATGCATATTGAGTTGCTTTTTTCTAACTTCGTAAATGGAGGCCATCTTAATTTAACATTTATGTGTGTATTTTTGTTGCATCTCTTTTTCATCTTGGTTTTCCTTCTCATTTGCATATACCTTAAATGAAAACCATGATTTCAGAGAAGGGGGTGGGTGCAAGTCAATCAATGCAAGCTTGTATATAGGGCAATATTTTTACTTGTCCACCTTGTATGGTTTTTATGAAATAAAACTTATCTTTTTCAAAAAATATATATAGGTAATATTTGTATTCTGCTTTGATATTACAACAATTTATTTATTTTTCCAATATCCTTCTGATTTTTGGTATTCTTCTGCATTATTACCACCCTTTTTTCAGGTATGTACATAGTTACCAAAGCTATTTGTGGAACCATGCAGCAAGTATGAGAGTGCAGAAATATGGTATGCCATGTTGGTTTTTCTGAATCCTGATGATTCATTGGAGATAACCAGACTGATTCATTTAGATGATCTTACAGCTGAATGTTTTCTATCTTGTAAAAAAAAGTTGTTATCTGGCTCTCTCTATGTAAATGAAGTGTAAATATGATATTCATGTCACTATCATCATTGTTTCCATTTTCAAAGCTTCATTGCAACTATCTTTGTGTGCTACACTTTCTTTAAACCTAAAGTTATTACCCCATGTGGCAGGAACTGACCGAGTTGTGTTGGGAGACTTGGTATATTGTAAAGGAAATGAAACTGAAAAGGTGTCAGAAGTTGTTAGTTCTGAATGTGTAGATGAAAATGGTAATGATACGCTTGATCCTATTGATTTAGATGATATATCTGGAACAAATCTTCCTGAGGAAAGGCTTAATCTTGTGAAGGTTAGTTGTGTCCAGGTTGTTGGCTTTTTCCCCTGCTGTCCTAAGTAGTATTCTATGATTATAGCCACCTTAGTAACTTGATCTACAAAACACAACCCACCATTGAGTTCGGATTTTGCTTTTTATTTTTAACTAAAAAGATTTGAAATATTAAGATGGCTTACCATCTGGCAGGCTGTAACTGCGGAAGATATCCTTAGTGGAAATTACACCATTGATGATGTTGTCCTTCCAATGCCCGGGTAAGGAAAGATTGACAGTCTTCCCTGATTGTATGCTTCTCCGGTCTCTTACGACTGATGAAGTTCTTTAATACTTTGTTGTTTTGCAGTTCCAGAGTCATTTTTCCAGAAAACGACATTGCTCACGTTTTTCATGATTTGGCAAAGAAGGTTCTTATTCTCAGCATCAATTTCAGGCTTTCCCACAGTTTATTTGATTTCCTTCTAATTTATAATCCATCTTATTTTCCTCCTGAATTTGTGTTTACAATATATCAATCAGGATGCAATCAGCTTGACAGAGAGCGTGCATAATGTCAAGTACACTCCTATTTTCCTCCTCACCACGCCCCTTCTCTCTCTCATGGGTTTCTATTCTAATTAAATGCAATACATCTTCTTGTTCTTTTTAGGGAATTCTCAATAACCAGCATGACTGGAAGCTATAGGCGGGTCTTCCAAAAACCAATGGACTTTGAATGGTATAGCTACTCCCATTTTTTCATCTTCAATAATTTGATCATACACTTCAATTATCAAATAATAGTATACAATAATTGTTTGATTTTCATTGTTCCAGGGAAATACTAAAATATATTGATGGAAATAAACCTTTGGTGGACACAGACTTCGACAAAATTGCCAAAACCAAACCATCCGGTCTAAATGAAGATGGAAGATTGCATGATAAAACAAAACAATCAGAGTGCTTAGACAACGATATAGGGCTTCAGACAGATGATAATGGGGCAAAGGCGAAGGGAGAAGAATTGCCACAAGCTGAATCCCTCTGTGATACTAATCCTCAGGAAACTCAGACGGCTCTCATGTTGAGCTTTACTCTCCCAGCTTCTTGTTATGCAACAATGGCCATCAGAGAGCTACTGAAGACATCGACATCTGTATGTGCCTCCTTTAAGCTCTACTAGTTCAACTATCTTCCATATGATTGTATACTATATATGCCGGCTTTCGTAAACCTAACTGTAGCCAATCCTACTCTATATAATGGGAAAACTTTCCAAATCCAGTTAGGTTAATCAATTTACTGACAATTGTCACTGCAGGTTGCATTTCACAAAACGTTAAACTAGCGTGCGCCTTGCTACTTGCAGTGAAGTATGGCATCCAAGATGGAATTCACACCGGGGAGGGACTAATTTGAAAAACTTCAACATGGCACAGGAGCAAACCAAGATCGCACTCTTCCATGCATTAGGATCTTGCCTTTTAGAACAAATTAATGTTACTGTTCCTGCTGGTTTGTTGATTAACACATGAATGAAATTGTATTTCAGTACGGAATAAGATTCGATAACAGGTTTCCCTTTCATAAATGTTACAAAAATCAGTTTGCTTCTATTTCTCACATAATAGAAATCCCAAATTGTTTTATTCAATTTTTGCCCTCGACTGAACTTTATCTCCTCAGAATTCCACCATGCCTCTAAAACTCTACCTCAGTAATTTGTGATCATGAAAATTTAATCTGTCACCTATCATGGAAGTGATATCCATCTGAGATACTGATAAAAACTCATAATATGAGCTGCTGACCAGAGAAGAGATTACTCTTCCTGGGTGGAACAAAGAGCTTGATATCACAATCATTTGAGCAACAAAAAGCTTTTTCACGTGGACTGCGTTTATTTGCTTGTTTACTTTGTCGTCAGACAAAAGAACACAAAACATTATGTTAGGTTAAGGGAAGTTTTATGTTGAGTCCCAAACCCGTCCTACACTTCTGGTCGAGTTCAGAAGAAAAATAAAAATTAAAAAATTAATTCAAATGCGGTGAAGGTGGATCGAACACCTGACCTTCAGATCTTCAGTCTGACGCTCTCCCAACTGAGCTATCCCCGCTTTGGTGTTCTTATTTGGCCAACCTAGTTATTATAATTTGTATACTAGCTCTAACCCAAAAGACCCAAAAGAAATGAAATTGTCAAAACATATGCGGTGAAGGTGGATCGAACACCTGACCTTCAGATCTTCAGTCTGACGCTCTCCCAACTGAGCTATCCCCGCATTGACATTATTACTCACCAAATATAGTTATTTAACGGAATATTGTTTTGAACTATGAGATGAGCTCCAGCTTCCAGACTTGATCAAAACACCGTCAATGGACTATATGGCAGGAGGGAAAAACATGGAATTGAAATCACAAGTCGCAGAGCAATTAGAGTTTGGTCTAATATTAGGAGAGGTCTCGAGTTTGAATCCTCTCTCTCGTCTCGTTAATATGAAAGTGGCTTTAAATTAAGCAACAGGCAATTAGCCACACCCCTGCAGTGCAAGTGTTTGTCAATCTTTCCTTCCTAGTTGGAAAAATGGGCAAAGGAGGATGAACTTTTCCCATTGCACCCTTGTAACAACTACAATCTATGATACATCCCTTTCAATAACTCATGCATGGGGCAAGTTGGTGAATTATATACTCAGCCATAATAAAGACCTTTTGCCCCACACTATAAGACCATCTCTTAATATTTCATTCAAAGCTGTTACAAAAAGACCAAACAGACACAGGGAAAATAAAAGTCTCAATTCTTTTGGCTTGACTACAACACAAAACGTTCCAAAAAAAAAAGCTCAATTATTAGCCGAAAAAGAAGGTCAGCTCACAGTGAAGCTTTGTGTCGACACAAACCTATTGGATTTTTTGGATTTACAATTTCCCATTTTTTACTATTTTCATTGCTTTTTTTAAATTTATTTTCCTATTTCGAATGGAAAGGGAAAACCCAGAAATTGAATGGATCACCAGGCGAAGAAATATTCTCTTTGTTCAAGTAGTAAATATTTTGAAATATTTTTGGGATCTCTCTCTCTCTCTGTGAGATCAGATGGATGAAAATTGAGAGGGGCTGGGTGTGATTGATGAGTTATAGAATACTTATTGTATCCTGCCTTGTACCATTCGAAAGACCCACCTTCCTTAAATAAATTGGTCCCAGTCTCTGCATGTTTTCACGTGTCCTGCCATCTCCTTGCCGTTAATTACACCATCATGAGCATCAGCTACTGCATAGGATTCTGAAGGACCCCAAATACTACCAAAAAATAAATTAAATCATTTTGAGATTAAGTATCATTTCCCCCAATATACATATATATATATATATATATATATTACATCCCAACACCATTCTCACCCTTATCTCCGTGGATCACACTCCCCAATCCCACTCACCTAATTATATGACCTCATCCTACATTTGGTAAAAAGGTTTTGGCTTGGGTTATTAATTAGGTCCAAATTAAGCCATATTGTAGTTCAATGGGTGTATTTAAGGAAAAAGCCAACGCGTTGATAACTCGGTAGTAAGAGCATTTGCATGCAGATCAAGTAGTCTCATGCTCCTCCTCCTCCCCTTTCCAAATTTTGACAAAATAAAAAGGAGAATTAGAAAGAAAACAATAACCCATGATTTTGAAGATAACTTGGCCATATTAATTCTTGACACTTGAATATAGAGGTCAAATAACTACATGCAATTTCATTCTTAATATCCAAACCTAATTATTTGAAACAAGTTGTAGTGAATATGTATGAGTTCAATGTTGCTCACTTGCAATATAAACAAATTAAAGAAGGGAAGAAAAACTAGTGTAATAATTGAGTCGATGTGGTGAATATACCATGTCACCTTTTCATGTACCAAATAATTTCTCCCAGTTTGAGGGTGACTTCACTTCCTTCTAAAACGGTGTGGTGGGCTATCTATCTTTTCTCTTCTATGATAGGAGCATAGGACAAAAGTCCTTGATAAGAGAGAGAGAGAGAGAGAGAGAGAAGGTTTGGTGTTCTTGTAGTCTTTCTTTCTAACATTTTGCCATTTTACAGTGAGCAAACAAAGGAGAGGGTAAAGAAGAGAGAAACACACAAACACACACTCAAACAACAAACACACACAAAAATGTTTGATGGAGTCCCAGCTGAGCAGTTGCACCAATTCATAGCAGCCTCCAGAACTTCCCTCCCTCTCCCTCTCCCTCTCCCTCTCCCTCTCTCTTCCTTCCCAGCAGCTCTCCATGCCTCTTCACCCCCTCCACCTAATATTAACACCTTCTCTGCTGTTGCTGCTGCTGCTGCTCCCTTTGATCCTAATTACAATAATAACCCTTCTCATCATCATCTTCATCATCATCATCAACTTCTGCTTCAACCTCAGCCCCAACCCCAACCCCAACCGCATCAGCATCAGCTTCTCAATAATCCAGGAGTACAATTGCACCGCCAATCAGCCACCCCCAAAAATCATGAGGAGAAGAAAGAGAGCAACTTGGTCTCCATCAATAACAATCTGGAGATTGAAAGAGAGAGATCGTCATCGATATCGCAAGTGCCGATTAGTGATCCTTGGAGTAATGATGAATTGCTTGCACTGCTCAGGATCAGATCTACCATGGATAATTGGTTCCCTGAGTTCACTTGGGAACATGTCTCAAGGTACATACCTATATAATTATCTATATATCTACTAGTATAATTAATTCATCCAAATGCTTCTCTTTTGATGAACTATAAGGTTATCTTTATACGGTTATACCTATGAGATTTTATTTTAAAAAGGAGGCTTGATGCTTTATCAATGCTAATGGAATTTTAGTCACTGTTTACTCATATGAGAGAGAGAGAGAGAGAGAGAGAGAGAGAGAGAGAGAGAGTGGGAAAGGACCATCTTGGACATATTCACTAAAAAACATAAAGATCCCCCCCCGTACACAATATATTTATTAATTAATTAATTAGGAGCTGGCTAGCTTTTGGAGTACTATAGAGTGACTAAATGCTCTTACTTGCTCATTGCTTCTGCTGGTTTTATGCATATTTATGGTGTGAGCAGGAAGCTAGCAGAGCTTGGCTTCAAAAGGAGTGCCGAGAAGTGCAAAGAGAAATTTGAAGAAGAAAGCAGATACTTCAACAACATTAACTTCACCAAAAACTACAGGTTTCTCAGCGACCTTGAGGAGCTCTGTCATGGCGGCGATGATGATCAAAACCCTGATCAGGCAGCTGCTGGGGCTGAAAACAAGAACCAACAAAAGGTGGAAAAGCCAAGCAATAATGAAGGAGATGAAGATAACAGGTGCCAGATTTTGGATGAAGACTCACCAAGAAATGAAACAGTTGTTGGCAGCAAGGAATTTGATGACCAAGACAAAGAGAAAGAGGTCGTGGAAAGAACAAAGAGCAATGTTGTTAGGAAGAGAAAACGACAGAGAAGATTTGAGATGTTAAAGGGCTTCTGTGAGGACATCGTGAACAGGATGATGGCTCAGCAAGAAGAGATGCACAGCAAGCTTCTTGAAGACATGGTGAAGAGAAGTGAAGAAAAGCTTGCAAGGGAAGAAGCTTGGAAGAAGCAAGAGATGGACAGGATGAACAAGGAGCTTGAAATTATGGCACATGAACAAGCTATTGCTGGTGACAGACAAGCTACAATTATCAAGTTCTTGAAGAAATTCGCATCATCAAGTTCTACTTCTACTTCTTCAGAACCAAGTCCTGATCATGATCATCGCACTAATTCATCTTCCTTGATTAATCAAGCAGGAAACCCTAATCGTCCCACGTGTAGTCAGGAGAAAGAACCAACATCATCTACAATAATTCAAAAGTCTGGTACTTCTTCCCACACTCCAAATAACCCCAGTACACCTATTTCATTAACTGAAACCCTTGCACCCCAAAGCCCTAGTTCAAGTACTCTTGCTCCAACTCCAACCATTCCAAAAGTCCCCATACCTCCAGAAAACCCTAGTTCTGATAATCTCAATACCCAAAACCCTACTTCCAATGACGATAAACAAGACCTTGGGAAAAGGTGGCCAAGAGATGAAGTGCTGGCTCTGATAAACTTGAGGTGCAGTCTCTTCAACAATGGCAGTGCTGATCAAGACAAGAATAATGGAGTTGTGAAGGCTCCTCTTTGGGAGAGGATCTCACAAGGGATGCTGGAGAAGGGTTATAAGAGAAGTGCAAAGAGGTGCAAAGAGAAATGGGAGAACATTAATAAGTACTTTAGAAAAACAAAGGATGTTAACAAGAAGAGGTCCCTTGATTCTAGGACTTGCCCGTATTTTCATCAATTAAGCACTTTGTACAATCAAGGCATACTTGTACCACCTTCTGATCATATTCAAGGGCCAGATCATCAAACCAGCTCGGCTTCGCCGGAAAACCAGTCTCTAGCTTCTCCGGTAGTAGCGCAAACCGGCCTTGATTCTTCTGATCAAGGTAGGTCTAGTGCTGATGATGATTTATCTAAGCATAATATTATTGGTGAAGGTGAGAAAAACAATACGGTACAGCCAGTACCACCAGCAGCTTTCGATTTTGAATTCTAATTACTTTGCATATTTGTGTGTGCATTCTCAATAATAATATTAATAATATGTGATACCTTTTGCTTTCTTGTCGCGGTGAACATGTGGTAGCTAGTACTCAGTCGACATGAATTTTATTTATTTCCAATGTTTTTTATTTATTTATTTATGGCGGATATATGTATGTTTAAACTTGTTTTTTAGTGAGCACCGACAGATAGGTTCAAATCAGGACCATATTTTAAATGAGCTCTGCTGTCATTTTGTATTTGCCATATTTGCTCTCAATTTGCTGTATATTCAGCAGGATAAATATCTTGGGTTGCTAGTCGCTAACTCCAATTTCTCATTTTATTTTGTTATATATTTTATACAATTTCCACAAAACGAAGAGTAGTAATTTGTACTATGAATTTTTTATTTTATTTTATTCCAAAGAAAATTTACTGTGGACTAAGAAAGAACTGTGATTAAAAAAACATAAACAAGCATGTGTTTTTAATCCCTATAAGAGTATTGCAGTTGTTACATCGAGTAATTAAGGAGAAAGCAAAAAATATAAATCCGTAGATCCCCTATTAGTATTGTTTTATATTAGTAAGGTGTTATTGTTTTGGACAAGGTTTATATAGACAATTTTCTTTTCATTTGGTATCCTAAAACACGTGTATATTAGATCTCGATTTCTTCAAGTAATTAGAATCTAAATCTCATTTTGATCATATAAAGTCTAGAGTTAGAAGAATTTAACATTATGTAACGGTGTGACGATTATTCTAAAGAACTCGCCATTTAACAAACATATGTTTATCGGAACTCAAATTATATATATGGTGTTTTATATTTTACTTTTTAACAGAGAGTCATTGTACGAGTGCATGGCATTATATGTAAATTAGTAACGAAAACAAAGAGTCATTATTTTATTTCTCTGGGTTGGGCATGGGGTTTTGTTTTTGAACTACAGAAGTATGCAAATTGACAACACAAGTGCATGTCTGCATGAAATAATGTTTTCTGATACCCACCGAACGCTCCAGAGCCAGTTGCAGCGGGTCAGTGAGCAAAAGCCTTAGAGGAGGATACGTTGTCGTTTCCTTGTCCTGTTATTGATAAAAAGTCTCTCTCGGAATCGGAGCGGGTCCCAGAGAGACATTGGACATGATGGGCAAACAAATAATCTCCTGCCACATATCAACATCACATGTGATGGGTTTGTCCACACTCTATCACAGCTTCTCACCTTCGAGAAAAACTTTATATTACAGAGAACCGTTTTAATATCTCTAACTAATTATGTGTAATTACTTGAAAATAGCAAAATAGTCTTAACTATGTGACACGTAAGTTTTTCTTCTCAACTTCACTCCCCTTTCTACCCCTTTCAATTAGCACCAGAGGGCATCAGAACACAAAGAACTTGGAAAGCAATCAATAATATATAATTAACAATTGTTTTGTTACAAAAATCCTGGGCAATAAAGTAACAAAGAAAGAGAATTATATTACTTTAAGAATTAAAGGAGAAGAAGAACGAAATAACCATACCATTCTCAAAGTTTAAAAAAATAATTTTTTGCTACATTTTTTTTCTTCTCCCAGTAATATAATTATCAATCTGTTTTATTATAATTGAATTGAATTTCATTTATAGTTGGTGAATTGAATTTCAGATGATTGAAAACGGCTTTTGGGAATGGGAAGCTGAAGTGAGGTCCGGGAGGGTGAGGAAAGGAGATGGTGATGTGAGAGAGTCATTCCTCCCTTTTCTACCCCTTCCAAACAACGAACCATCTCTCTCTCTCTCTCTCTCTCTCTCTCTCTCTCTCTTTGAACCACAATGCAGATGGTTTGAATCGATTTTAACTCTTAGATGCAAATTGTTTTTAACTTTAAGGGTATTTAAGTCTATTTAAGTGGGTTTTTTGCTATATTTGAAAGTTTTCATAAAATTGACATTTATGAAATGAAGGGGTAAATTTTAGCTATTTTTGATAAAAACTCCGGCTGATATGGGCCAGTGGGGGCACTCATCCAACGGCTCAGAATCTAAGATGTTGTTGAGTCTTCAATTTTGAAAATAAGTCAAAAGTCAACATAATCAATTTGTTATTCCATCACTGTTTGACTTTTACTTTGTTACATTTGGTAACTAGAAGAAACATATTGAAAGAGGTTTGACCCATAACTGTTGCCTCGCAGAGAATGTTACTACTGTACTGTGGGGCACTATGCAATACGCAAATTTTTTGGTCGTTTTTATGGGGCATTGGGTTGTCGGAATTTAGAAAATAATAAAAAATGCTCTCTACTTGTTGTGGGTTGGGTTATTCTGAAAGGTGGTTGTCAAATCCATGGCGAATGGATTCAGCGCTAAGCCCAGTGTGAGATTAAGCAAATTATTGAGGCCCAAAATCAGCTCATTACAACATTTCGGCCTTTTGAAGATAATGGGCCTATATTGAGGCCCAAGATTTAATTGGTCGTGGTAAGTGGTAACTGGTAACTGGAGTTGAGATTTTTACCACCCCATTCTATCTCGATCGAAGTCCAAGGTTGGTCTTGCTTGCCACCTAACCGAGCTGATTTGTCAGTGAACCGACGCCGCCTACGGAATTGTCGGACAGTTGAGCAACGGTCTTCGAAAATAACAAATTGTAGAGCTCGGTTTGGTGTGGGCGTTAGTTGGTTCGCTTCCCATCCTAAGAAGAACAACTTAGTTACAACAAGAATAACAAAAGAATATCATGTGTGTAATAATGTTACTGACCGATTATAATAAAATAATGTTATATCCGTTTTATGGAAATCTTTCTCCATCCGTTTGGTAAGATATCGGGCTATCTCCCTTTCATTCAAGTTCAACCATGACAATTAGTTGACACAACAAAGGACAACTTGCAACGTGGCGACAACCCCGGTTGCACCCATCTGGCTGGAAGGACTCACGAGAGTCACAAAATTAAAGTTGTAGCCTTGTAGGGTTACATTCCATGTATTTTTAGACTTCCACGAGTTTTGCTCTATATATCTTGAAGCTTCTTTATTAATTTGCTTCCTGCTTCAATTACTCCGTTTGCTTTTATTATTTATTTTATTTATTATTAGGTTTTTTGCTAAAAGAATAACACGTCTGATTAATTCAAGTAGAAAAACATTTATTTAAATAAGAATAATGCTACTTGTAGAGGCTTTTTTCTTCCGGCAGCTATTACGGGCCTGACTGCCGTAAAGAGCAAAATGGAAGAAATTGCCCCTTGAGCCTGAGTTCGAAAATTAAGCCCCAAAATACCTCGAAAAGGCAGTAGAGCCTTAGGAAGTATTTTGGTTATCTTCACCAACGAGAATAATGGTAACTTGCAGATAGTTTTGGCATGCTTACAGATAGTTTTTTCAGCTCAGCATGAGTGGCATGTGGCATGGGAGCAAAATCAACATGGGTTTAGCACTAAGAGAGAAATTAGGCTTGGTTTATGAGAAAAGAAAGTGTTTAAGTAAGGAATGAGGTGTTTTGTGAGGAATTCGACTAGGGAAAGAGGAAAAAGAAAGGCAAAGTTCTTCTGGCAGCTGCCAGAAAAAACAAATTGGAGAAGAAGATGAATAGTGCACGAGTCTGAGTTTTGCAAGAGAGAAAAGCTTGCTCTCTGCAAGTTGTGGGTTGTTTTTGTTGGGTAGGGGAAGGCTCAATTTATAGCTGTCGGAAATCACCATTTTTCAAGAAACCCTAATGGCTTCTACTTACTTTGGCTAAGCTTTTCTTCCTTTCTCCTCCCCTTCTCTGACCTCCCCTTCTTGGCAAAGATTGCTTCTGTCTATTTTCATGAATTCAGGGGATTTGGGGGCTCAACATCCTCCTTTCCCGCAGCTGTGCAGTGGGAGCTTCCACTCTTGGTTTGCTGTTTTTTCTTCTTTCCTTTCCTCTTCCTTGGCTGAATCTGATGAAGGAAAAGAAGTGAAAATATATGCTGGTCCAAGGGGTGCTTTTGACAGGGTGCAGGCCAGCATTCCTTAGTTCTTTGGGCGTCTCTGGCTTGGAACTTGCCCCCAGCAGCTTTGCTTGATGAGTCTGCCAACCTCCTCCTTCACGTGTTCTCTGTTTTTCAAAAGAGCTGAAGCTCTTGTGGGCTATTTTGGGTTTTTCTAAGGGTCAAGATGGCTTTCTAAGCAAATGGGCTTTTTGTGAAACATTGGGCCTCTTGATTGGGGTTATTTTTTTGGTTGGGTTATTTCTTGGTTAGGTTATTTTGCTTGGGCCTTTGGGCTGCTTTTCTCTCTTGTGCTTACCCATATGTTTGGGCCTAAGAAATGGGCTTGAGTCTCGAGGCTCCCAAGCAACCCGAGACTTTCCATTTCTCGGTCCATCAATGGGTCTCATGTTGATTTATCACCATCCATGCCACAACCCACTCAAGCAAGCCCCGGGTTTTTTGAGTGGCTTGGGCCCACCTAGGCTTGTGGCGTGATTAGGTGCGGAATGATAATTCCTTGCTTAGTGTGGCGTGTCGTTTGGCGTGGCATGTGTGCAAGCGCATATGATGAACTTTCGCATGCCCAAATCGGGTTTCTTCTTGGTAAAGCATCGCATTGGGCCGAGAATTTATTTGGGCCGAACCGTGAATTTTTTGGGCCTCAACATTAGCCCCCTTGATTATTGGGGCCATGAATGTGTATTGAAATGGTCCGAATAATCAATTTTCAGCCCAAAATAAATTACCGTGGCATGGCATGGCATGGGTTTAGGAGCAACTCAAGGATAACAGGTTAAGAGTCTCTGAAATTACAGCCAGGTCTTTTCCGGGAAGGTTGGAGGGGTCACAATGGTCCCGCTTAAAACCCAATCCTTCTTAAACACCGAGGGTGTTGCCTTGAAGAACTTTCCTAGACACTGTAATTTTGGAGGTCACTTACTAGAGTTACCAAGAGTTGACCTTATTTTGTGGCATGATATAGAAGAAAATGCTTGGTGGATTAGCTCAAGATAACTACTTAGCTCGCATGATTTATTTGCTTGAGTGACTAGAGAGGCTTGATTTTGCATGATTATGGTTTGCAAGAGTTGCATTGACTTGTGTATCTAATATTAGTTATGTATGCTTGATTTTGGCTTGCATGATTTGCTTTGACTTGTATATTTGGTATTTGGCTTGATGCTTAGCATTGGCATGTATGCTTGATTTTGGCTTGATACTTGGTATTGGCGTGTATGCTTGATTTTGGCTTGCATGCTTGGTAGCATGGTTTAATATGGCTTTTGGGACATTTAACATGGTGGATGTCATTTGACAGTAGCCGGACGTGCTAGTGGATAGTGGGGATCCAATCTTAGAGTTGCGGATGCAATAAGCTTGGATTCACCATTGTGTTTGATTTTACAGCACCAGCCTCCGAACACTTTGAATTTAGAGGACAAAACTTCAATGAAGGTGATATCGTGCGACATGATGGCTAGATATTGGAAGAATGCTTGAAATAGGGCATGTACTGGAAGGATATTTGAAATATAACAAGTGCTGGAAGGATATTTGGAATAGGGCATGTGCTGGAAAGGTGTTTGAAATAAGGCAAGTCCTGGAAGAATATTTGAAATAGGGCAAGTGTTGGAAATGTGTTTGAAATAAGGCAAGTGCTGGAAGAATATTTGAAATAGGGCATGTGCTGGTAGAATGTTTGAAATAGGGCATGTGCTGGAAGGATATTTGGAATATAACAAGTGCTGGAAGGATATTTGGAATAGGGCATGTGCTGGTAGAATGTTTGAAATAGGGCATGTGCTGGAAGGATATTTGGAATATAACAAATGCTGGAAGGATATTTGGAATAGGATAGGTGCTGGAAACGGTTTTGTTTGGCATGGAATAGGTGCTGGAAAAAATGTGACTTAGCTTGGCATGATTAGCTTGGACTTGGATAATCTAATGGTTGAGTTGAATCAAGATATAGCTTGATCTGGCATGAGGGTTCACTCTTCCAGTAGCATGAATATTGGTGTTTTGGAAAAACGATACCCCTTTGTTGCAATGAGGACAATTTGGCATGATAGCATGACTTCTTCTATGTGCTTCCAGCAACTAGAACTGCGAAGTTCCAATTTTTATGATGATTGTGTGGCTTGAAAAGCTTGATCTTGTGATATTTGGTTTGGTTTGCTTGAAATGATTGCATCAAGTGAAATGCTTGAGTTGCATGATTTGTGTGGATTGATTCACAAATGCTTGTATTGATGCATGGTGGGTTGAAGAAGAGATGAGGGCTTGAGAGCACATAAGAGAGTTGGGCGCGTTATCCTCTTTACTGGCGTGGGCAAAATTGTGTTGCCCCTTCCTTTTGAATTTTTTATTTGCAAGTAGCTGCTCTCTTTTCCTTTCATTTGGCATGGCATGCTTTATTTTCTCATTCTCCTCTTTCTTCTTCTTCAATACCCAAACCCGTGGGTATTGTGCATCAGTACATAAGTCATATTTCGGAAGCTCGGATCAGAAAACTTCCTTGATCAAAGTTGTTCATCTGCTCGAGTACTATAGCCAGTAAAATTTGCAGAATTTTTTGAATTTTTCTGATACCTCAAAGTTGGTTTGCAACTTCTGCATTCATCCATGGCTTGTGAGTTTTTGCAGATTTTTCTTCTGCATGTGTCTTTAACTTATGATGCTCGTATGATTGCGCTTGCTTCACAAATTTTGCTTGAAATTATGTTGTTTATAACATATCCAAAACTTGAGGATCATCCACCCATTCTAGTGCTCTCTGCCTCCATTTTTCTAAAGCATGTTCATGAGTTGATGTTGATGCCTTTGTTGCATGCTTGTCTTCTATGCTTGAATGCTTGAGTTCCTCTGTATTTCCCAGAATTTGTGAACTAGAAATCGAATTCTAAGGTTAAGCTTTTGATTTAGGATTCTAGCTTGGTGATAAACAAGAGTTATACAAGCTCACTTGGGTATGCATGCCAAGTGTTTGTCAAAATATCTCAAAGTAGCTTGCTGGCAGTTTTTTGAACTTTTGAAATGTTTCTTTTCGAATCTGAGTTGGAGCTTTTGAGATAGAAAAATGGACTTCTCAATGGTTATGTTGGAATTGGTCTTGCATCACTTGAAGAAAAAAAATGAATTTTGGTGGAATTTCAAAGTAAGGGTTAAGGTGCTGGAGCTGTACAGTTTCTGCTGCATGGGCTGTTTTAGAAATCTGTTTGACATGCTTCCCTAGCTCGAAATGCAACGAAATTTTGGGAAAATGAAGCTTGATATGTCTAGTTCTAATCTGGAAAGTCTGGGATTTGTTGGTTGTAAGCTTGTTTTATAGTGATTTTCTAAAGGTGGGATATTCTAGCTAGGATGGTTGGAAAGCTTGTGTATAAGTTTTGCTTGGCATGTTGCTTTTGCTTGGGAATTTAGCATGTCTTTTCTGTTGGCATTGAGTGCCGATCTGAGTATTGCTAGAGCATGTTCTTGAGCAATATTGTCGTGAGAGCATGAAGTGGAATGGTATTGTTGTAAGAGCATGAATTCTTCAATTTGCTTTGAGATGCCCGAATTGCTTCAAATGCTCGAATGAAATGAAATTTCTTGGCATGTGAATTGGTATCACACCTTGTGAATTTTGTCAAATGCTTGATAGATGAGTTTGTTTGCACTTTGAGAAAATTATGCTTCCGGCGCATCCGTTTGTGTATGAGTACCTTTCCGGCGTCTGATTTTGGCTAACATATTCTCTTGTTTTAGAAGCTCGAAAGCATGATAAAGCATGAGAAGTCTAATTTGATAGCATGAAAGTGAGTCTTGGTCTCTTGCAACTTGTCTTTGGAAAACATTATGCTTTAATAGCGATTCTACTTCCGGCACCCCCTTTCTGTTTACTAGTTCCCTTCCGGCACCCGATCTGGCCAACGTACTCCCTTATTTCTTTTTCAGGCTTGATTGAGAGGTTCCAAAGCATGAGGCATGCCATCTTCTTACTGATTTGCTGGGATCTTGATAGAATAAAGGTGAGTTTTTCATCTTGAGTTGCAATATGAAGGCTTATGAAAGATTCAAATTGCTTGACCGGAGGGACTTTGGGTGAGAAAGAGAACAAGCTAGTTCTTGAGACTGTTTTGAGTTTTCTTCCAAAGATGTGATGAGTTTGTTGAACTGTTGCTGTGGGATAAATTTTACTAGCATGATGTTTGAAATAGGACAGGGGCTAAGAAGTTTTAAAATAAGGCAAGCGCCAGAAATTCTTTGCTTGTAGAGTAGGAGCTAGAAGAATGGAAGAAAATATGCTTCTGGCACCTTTGTTTTTTTTGTTTTTTTTTTTTTTTTTTTGTGTGTGCAGGTGCACACGTCTCAGGCATAGGTGGGGCAGGTGCTGGAAACCTTGACGTTTCTGCTGCTGGAACCTTCAAATCCTTCAGCCTTCTAACTTGGATATTTGGGGCTTCTGCTTTAATCTTTTGGTAAGTAACTCCGCCAATTTGAATATTTCGAGAATAAACATAGACTGATGCATGGCCTAGGCTTACTCCCCTTGTGAACATATGCTTGATTAATTGTAGACTTTGTTCTCGGTTGCGAGAAGTAGGAATGCATGTCTTGCAATGCTTGATTTTTGTTCCGAAAGAGAATTTGCTTGTCATGCTTATTGACTCACAAGATGAGAACTTTGTTTGTCACGAACTTGGGTCAGAAATTGCATATTTGTTTGAACTCCTTTTCTTTTAGATCAAGAGCATCTCACAAGGGGCGGAGGATACGCTTCCTTCCCTTCCCCTTGGGACACCTGATACAGCTGCTAGCACCTCTTCGCAGCTTCCCGCAGCGTTGCCTCCAACTTCTCATTGTCTGGGCACACCCGACATAGCTGCCGGCACCTCTCCATAGTTTCCAGCAGTGCTGCCTCCAACTTCTCCTTGCCTGGGCACACTCGACATAGCTGCCGGCACCTCTCCACAGTTTCCAGCAGTGCTGCCTCGTGGTGAGATTATTGATGACAGCCATAAGGACGATGATGTTTCCACCTTGGTGGGGCATTTATCGGAGAAAAGCATGTCTTGGCGAGATTGGGACAATTCCTTCATAGCGTTCAAAGCCTTCTTTGACGGTGGTGTTACTCATAGCATGAAATCATCGCATGGTTCTGTTTCTTTGGGTGAGACTGATATGGATCTTGCTTTATGTATGTATCTGTGGTAGTTTTTTTTGCTTGTTTTATTGTTTTGCTTTGTTTTTTTTTTTTTTTTTTTTTTTTTTTTCTTTTGGACACTCTAACGGCCATGTCGTTATGACTTTGTAACGTAGTGTTGAATCACTGGAGCTTGTATTAATTTCTGAATGCTTGAGGCATGTTATAATCTGCATGTCTTATATATATATATTGCTTGGTTGGCAAAATTTGTTTTTATGAACTGCTGGAGATTCTCTGACAGGTTGGATATCCTTAAAAACAAGGTATATGCTGCCAAAATTTTGTCTGACCACTAGGCCTGAAAAACACCCTCTTGTCATACCCCAAAAGGGGCAGACTAGTATATGCATAGTCTTTGTAAAATTCCCAGATGTTTTGCATGTTCCGATTGCTTATCAAAAAGGGGACAATGGTTTCGTTGTTCCAGCAGCTCAAGAATGCATGCCCCATATTATTTTGCTTAGGCATGCTGCTTGTTAATGGCCCCGGACCCCATCCAAGTGACTTTGCTTGGCATGTCTTACTGCTAAGTGGCGTGCTTTTGTAAAGAAAAGTTTGCTTGTCTATTTTTATTTTTTATTTTTTTAAAAGAGCATGTTTTGCAAAACAGAAGGAGGTAAAAGCAAGGAAAGAATTCTTAAGGCATTTTCATTTTTCCAAAATACTCCATACTCATTGCAAATATCATTTTACACCTTGGCATGCAATAATGGTGGTGCATTCTACCAAAGTTGTGAAAGCATATGGTGAAAACACAAAAGGAGTTCATCTTTGAAATAAATTTGAAAAGCCAAAAACAAAAGGATAGGTGCAAAAGCAACACAGTAGTAAGGTTTTGAGCCATTTTGCATTGATAAATACCCCCATCAAATTAAGCCCCCAAGTATGAAAGGGCCAAGGAGCGTGCATGACTTGCAATAGCATGAAAGCTTGTGGCTTATGTTGGCATGTATTTAGCATGTGTTGTACTAGGCTGCCATGCTCTGTAGAAATATTTAACAGAGCCACAGCTGCTGATTTGCATGCGACTCATAACCCAACTAATCATAGAGTGATTTGCGGCTCTTATGAGAGGTTACGGCAGCTGTCTCTTGATTATCTTGTTGACCAAATGAAGCCCCCAGACCTCTTACAAGATCTTGTTTTGCTTGCGAACGGAGATCTAAGACACAAGCAAAGGGAGCATGTGAGTAATCTATATTATGTTTGTTCTACAAAGTAGATAACCAACGAAAGGAAAAAGAAAAAGAAAGGGGGAATGCTCTTATCTCTTTATTTCCTCCGATTTACTGCTTCTGGTCTTCTTCTTTGGAGGCATTGGTGCAGATAGTGGCTTAATCCCCAGCAGAGTCGCCAATTTATGTAGAGGCTTTTTTCTTCCGGCAGCTATTACGGGCCTGACTGCCGTAAAGAGCAAAATGGAAGAAATTGCCCCTTGAGCCTGAGTTCGAAAATTAAGCCCCAAAATACCTCGAAAAGGCAGTAGAGCCTTAGGAAGTATTTTGGTTATCTTCACCAACGAGAATAATGGTAACTTGCAGATAGTTTTGGCATGCTTACAGATAGTCTTTTCAGCTCAGCATGAGTGGCATGTGGCATGGGAGCAAAATCAACATGGGTTTAGCACTAAGAGAGAAATTAGGCTTGGTTTATGAGAAAAGAAAGTGTTTAAGTAAGGAATGAGGTGTTTTGTGAGGAATTCGACTAGGGAAAGAGGAAAAAGAAAGGCAAAGTTCTTCTGGCAGCTGCCAGAAAAAACAAATTGGAGAAGAAGATGAATAGTGCACGAGTCTGAGTTTTGCAAGAGAGAAAAGCTTGCTCTCTGCAAGTTGTGGGTTGTTTTTGTTGGGTAGGGGAAGGCTCAATTTATAGCTGTCGGAAATCACCATTTTTCAAGAAACCCTAATGGCTTCTACTTACTTTGGCTAAGCTTTTCTTCCTTTCTCCTCCCCTTCTCTGACCTCCCCTTCTTGGCAAAGATTGCTTCTGTCTATTTTCATGAATTCAGGGGATTTGGGGGCTCAACATCCTCCTTTCCCGCAGCTGTGCAGTGGGAGCTTCCACTCTTGGTTTGCTGTTTTTTCTTCTTTCCTTTCCTCTTCCTTGGCTGAATCTGATGAAGGAAAAGAAGTGAAAATATATGCTGGTCCAAGGGGTGCTTTTGACAGGGTGCAGGCCAGCATTCCTTAGTTCTTTGGGCGTCTCTGGCTTGGAACTTGCCCCCAGCAGCTTTGCTTGATGAGTCTGCCAACCTCCTCCTTCACGTGTTCTCTGTTTTTCAAAAGAGCTGAAGCTCTTGTGGGCTATTTTGGGTTTTTCTAAGGGTCAAGATGGCTTTCTAAGCAAATGGGCTTTTTGTGAAACATTGGGCCTCTTGATTGGGGTTATTTTTTTGGTTGGGTTATTTCTTGGTTAGGTTATTTTGCTTGGGCCTTTGGGCTGCTTTTCTCTCTTGTGCTTACCCATATGTTTGGGCCTAAGAAATGGGCTTGAGTCTCGAGGCTCCCAAGCAACCCGAGACTTTCCATTTCTCGGTCCATCAATGGGTCTCATGTTGATTTATCACCATCCATGCCACAACCCACTCAAGCAAGCCCCGGGTTTTTTGAGTGGCTTGGGCCCACCTAGGCTTGTGGCGTGATTAGGTGCGGAATGATAATTCCTTGCTTAGTGTGGCGTGTCGTTTGGCGTGGCATGTGTGCAAGCGCATATGATGAACTTTCGCATGTCCAAATCGGGTTTCTTCTTGGTAAAGCATCGCATTGGGCCGAGAATTTATTTGGGCCGAACCGTGAATTTTTTGGGCCTCAACACTACTTTTATCACATTTGTATACCACATTTTTATATCATCTTATGTGGCAGCTGAGGCGGACAACCACATCAAATAAAATTATTTAATAGTTTCTATTCTTTTATGATTTATTATAATATTTGTTTTTCTAATTATCTTAATTAAAATACACTTCATTGATTTAATTGATGTGACATATAATATGGACATCCCACGTCATGTAGTATAGAAATGTGGAATAAAAATGTGATAAATGTAGCATTACTCTTTAAATAAATGGTATCATAATGTGCCAACCATTAAGAATGCAGAACATTTAATATATTTTCTTTAATTATTATTTGTTAAAGAAAATAAATGAAAAGAAAAGTAGCCTCCCAAGATGAGTCACAGCTCAACCAATCTGATGATTATGTGGATCTTCAAAATTACCAGAATTTTATACAATTCAACTGCACACCATGTGTTGTTAACTTGTTGTCATGAACGTGGTCACAGCACGCGACCGGAGGTTGAAAGTTTGAATTGGTATTTTGGTCATTTGAGAATAACAGGCGCCGGATAGTAAGCCTCGTGATTGGGAGAGTTGATGGGGGATCGATTGGGCCAAGAGGGATGGTGCGGGCCCCACGATGCTTCTCTTGGTCGGGTCGGTCTTCTTGCATCCCATAAAAAAACACATCATAAATAATATTAAAAAATTATATGAGTTAATTTTTGCTTTTTCTTTGGGCATAATATTTATATTTTCTATTAAGCTCTTCCCTATAGAAGAAGTCATCTATTTGTATCTGCTGGCATAAGTGGTTCACATGAATTTTTGCTCGTGATTGCCATAACTATGTCTAAAACTAAAGCAATTGAGGAGGAAAGGAGAGAGACTCCGACACAAAAAGGCGAATACACTACCTTAATTAATTAATTTAACTCGTGTTTGTAATTAACGGTTAAGTTAAATTTTGGTATGTTCTCTTAAGTTACAAGCCTCCTTCCTAGTATTAAACCTGATAAATCCATATAAAATGGCATGAAAATTGAATAGATAAAAATGTATTTTGAAGTTTTTAATCCATCATATAAGATTTTAAGTAAATAAAAAGTCTCCAATATTCAACAAAGCTGTGACAAAATCAGTGGGACCAAGTCCATCCTCACAGGCTCCCCACCCCTTGTTTGTCAGTGTCTCAGTGCCATGCCATGTATAGGAGCAGAGTTTACTCTCACTCACTTCTCTCCTTTTCACAAAAATCACTCCATCATTTTCCCATTTGACCCATCATCTTTCTCTCTCAAGTCTTAAATAGAAAATCATAATTTTCTATGCTTAGGATATAATAAGATGAATCTGTCTCTCTCTAGGATTTATGGGTTTATTTATTATGGTTTGTATAAATGTTAATCTCCATCCATCTCTCTCTCTCTCTAAGAACTTGACAGTTTTGTCTCTTGAGAAGTTAGAACTGAGAGTAAAAGGCGCAGAAGAAAAAGCCCAAATGGGCAAATGGGGGAAAGAGCTACTGCAACTTCCTCTGCAGCTTCTTCTTCTGCTTCTGCTGCTTTGTACTCTACTTGTCCAGTAGCGGTGTCGTTTTCAGCTCATTATCTCCTGCTCCCAATGTCTCCTCTCTCACCTGCATTGTGAATGTGATCTCTCTTCGATCCGACCTACTCACTCTACATTCAGGTCTTCCCAATCTCTCTGTGTGTGAAATTTGCTGACTTTTATTCTCTCGGCATCCAAGTTCAAATTTTTGACTTGGGTTTAGTTTTCAGGTGCATTTGCCATTTTCTGAGAAGCAACTCGCTTAATTTTAAATCCTCTTTCGCTCCGTTTTTCTCTGTTAATTTTAACTACGATATACATTTATGTGCATAGTGCAGGAAGATAACTTCTTCTGTTCTTCTAAAATACATTTTCTGCTGTCTCTCTTCAGATTCCTCATCTAAATTTTTTTAGGTATTTGATATGTGGCTACTGAGTGTTTTAGTTGGATATTTTTGTTTTGTGCTCTCTCTTTGTACTTACTTTTCACTGTACATGTTACCTTGTTTGGTCGTGAAGAAAATGTGGGAAAGCAAGGCCAATTATACTGTACATTGCATAGTTTTTTTAGTTTTCCTTACTATTGGGATCTGGAAAAACGAAGGCTTGCGCATTTGAGCCTAAAACTGACCCTTTGGCTGAGCTGATTTTAACACGAACTTCAATTTTTTACTGCTCTTTCTAAAATGTTTATGTATTTTCATATGCTTTTTTCCACTTTGGATTTCGAAAATAAAGAACTGGACTTTCGTGAAAACAAAATTCTGGGTTGTTGACTTGACTTTTTGTATTTGGTGAAGTTAAAGGGGGTTACAGGATGGTTGATCAAATTTATCTTGCATTGTGGTAATGTAGACTATTTGAGAGCTTATTTCTCTCAAGATCCAAAGGCTTCATTTAGATTTATTTTATGTGGGTTCATTGTTTTCTATTGTTTTTTATTTCATTTATTTCTTACTTTCAAGAGTTTGTCAATTTTCTTGAGTGAAAATGTAGTATTGTTCCCTGCATTTTCTTTGTTTGTTTCTCAAGAATAAAAGAAATGCTTGTCTCTGAGCTATGCAAGTCTTGAGTAACTTCACATATGATATAGCTTTCTCTTGCTGCTACTTTGCTACGTTGCTTTCAAGTTTAAAGTACATTCCGAGAATTGAAAAGAATTGTTTGTGCTATTGTGAATGTCTATGAGATTAAAACCATTCTGTTCTTTACTTAGAAAACATAAATTTTGAGTCAATCAGATGGAGCAATATGAAGTTCTAGAGCAAATTGGGAAAGGGGCTTTCGGTTCTGCACTTCTTGTCAGGCATAAGCATGAAAAGAAGAAGTAAGACTGGAATTAACTTTTCCTTTTTTCTTCCCCTGGGGCCATCCGCTGGTCAAGTATTCCTTATGATATCATCATGCAGATTTTGTGAATGGGTCTTAATTTTGCTCTTTGATATATAAAGGTATGTGTTGAAAAAGATTCGGCTTGCTCGCCAGACTGATAGATCACGGAGATCTGCGCACCAGGAGGTAGTATCTTTGTTGATGATTGTCTCATGGAACTAATGCGTTACTTTTGTGTGCTGTTAATCTTCCATTATTATGGGCCTTAACTGATAATCTTCCATACTATATTAAATTAATTTTCTAGAGGACTTAAAGCAAAAATGGAAAGAACACAAGTAATGGATATGCGGAAGGCTATGTATATTGGATATCTCCAGATTGACAGTTTTCCGTTTTTGTGTAGATGGAGCTCATTTCTAAATTACGAAATCCATTTATTGTGGAGTACAAGGATTCTTGGGTGGAAAAGGTACATTTTTTTCAACTATATCTTGTGTAACTGTGTATCGATGGCAATTAAGTAAATTGTGGGCATATTTAATCTACGGATTACTTTGTCAAATTGTCAGTGTATAATTGATTGTTTGGCAATAAGCATCTGTGTCACTGTGTAATATTGGTTCTTCCCTTGTTCTCAGGGTTGCTATGTGTGCATTATTATAGGTTATTGCGCAGGAGGAGACATGTAAGTTTTCTGTTGTGCTGAAATTCTGATTTTTTATATATGTGGATTCATCTGCTTCTACTTGAAGCCTTGCATGTTATTGGCCACTTATGCTACTTTTCTCTGTGGTACAGGGCAGAAGCTATAAAAAAAGCCAATGGTCTTCTTTTCCCTGAAGAGGTTTGAAGTTATTTTGATTCTTGTGTTTGTCTTTGTTTTCTCCTCCTGCAGAAAGTTTTTTCATATATGCACATTCCTTGCACAGTACTACAGTAGTCACTTTTATGCATTAGATAACTGTAATTTTGGCTCCTCTACATCTAAGTCATGTCAATTAACTTTTATCAGAAGCTCTGTAAGTGGCTTGTTCAACTTCTAATGGCGCTCGACTATTTGCACTTGAATCATATTCTTCATCGTGATGTCAAGGTTAGTGACATATTTCTTCCAGTAAAGATGGTGTTGCTATCTCCTTTCAAAATGTCTGAAGCTATTTTGTACTGATAGTGTACCATGATCGTTTCAGTGTTCTAATATATTCTTGACAAAAGATCAAGATATACGTCTTGGTAAGTGATCCTATAATCTTCTATAGTTCTCCATAAGAGGAGTGTAATTTTTCTGACAACAATTGATCAACGTGGGAGCAGGTGACTTTGGACTTGCCAAAATGTTGACTTCAGATGATCTTGCCTCTTCAGTAAGTAACTATGATCCTTCTCCGAAATTCAATTATTCACAATGTCTTGAAGCTATCTGTAGTAAGCATCATTATCTCTTGATTCAGGTTGTGGGAACTCCTAGCTATATGTGTCCTGAGCTTCTTGCGGATATACCTTATGGTTCAAAATCAGATATTTGGTCTTTGGGTAAGCACTTTGTATATGGAAATTTTTTGGCCTTGATTCTTTTTCTCTTTAGCTGCAATATATATTGTACTGAATATTTTTTGTCCAGGATGCTGCATCTATGAAATGACTTCTCATAAGGCCGCATTTAAAGCATTTGTGAGTTTTTGGAACTCTTATATTACAGATATCTAGAGATACATTGCTTTGCCTCTTTTGTGTGTGTTTCCATCTGTTTTTTGGTTTTATTTATAGACTGTTTCCTTAACTGCATATATGTAGATATATTGGTATCTTATATTAGATCATGTATGCATACTTTTCTTTCACATGATTCTTTTTTTCTTGTGTACTTATTTCCTGTTTCTTTAACAGGATATACAAGCACTGATTAACAAAATTAACAGGTCCATAGTTGCTCCCCTTCCCACAAAGTACTCTGCTGCATTGTAAGTTGTCTCATCTATGTTTGGTTTTTGGTGGCTATTTAATGTCAAGTGCATGTTTAGCTGCCTTCCTCACTGCATAGGATTATGGACATACCTTTGTGGGACATTTAGAATTGTGTAAGGATAAGTGCAAGTAACAAACATAACAGATGCTTCAATAGCCTGGTTTTTATTACCACGTTTTTCTAGGTGGATGTGATTAAGTTGGCTTTTAATAGGTGAATATTGTGTATCTAATCATTTTCCTTATTTCTATTTTCAGCCGAGGCCTTATTAAAAGCATGCTTCGGAAAAACCCAGAACTCAGGCCAAGTGTATGTATACTTCTCCTCTAGTGTAAAAACGTATGTGAATAAACCCACCTTAAGATAATAGTCAAACATGATAGATTTTACAAAATTAATTATGAATTCACTGTGCAAAATTATTCTCTTCCTCACCATATCCAACATATCTCATTACGATGTGCCACAAGCTGGTACATGCTTTTGCCATATTTTCCCATGACATGAATGGTTCATCACCTTGCTGTCTGCTCTATTTGATTGGCTATATAGTTTTGTAATTTTAAAATTTATGAACTCAAATGCATTGCATCCAAAACCTATGGAATACATATTATCAATCCAGTGTTCCCTGGAATCCTTTGGCTTCATATAATCTGTATGCAAATGCAATATCCTTCAGGTAAGTTTGATTCCTTTAAATCATAGTTCGTACAAATTGTGACAGTCCCCAGCTTTTACCTTCTCATCTCATTTGAAGTGTTTTTGCTTGTGGCAGGCTGCAGAGCTGCTTGCTCATCCACACCTTCAGCCTTATGTTCACAAAGTTCATCTCAAAATCAATATCCCCAGACATGGAACTTTAGCAGTAAATTGGCCTGATCCCAGTTATTTGAAGAAAACAAGATTCGCAGAGCCAGAAGATGCTCGTTTCTTCACATACCAGGATAAGCGGCATACGTTAAGCAATGATAGGACTTTGAATCCTAGTATATCTGGAGGTGAGCAAGATTCACTGTGCTCTACCCAAGAAATGCATGACAAGCCAAATTATCTGAAACAACAATTGGCAGGACTGTCTGCTGGTAGAACCTTTAGAAAAGCAGCCATATCCAAGCAGCCAATTGCTTCCAAAACTTCAAATATTGTTAAGACTCGAGCTCCAGCCAAAGCTTCGGCTACTCCCAAGAGATGGATGGAGCCAAAGAATCGCTCATCAGTAAGATATCTATCTTTCTCTCTCTCTCGCTCTCTCTCTTCTCCATGCACATGCAACTTTAGCTTGCATAGTAGCGCCATTTAATGGGCAAGTCACACTTTTGCAAAATCTTTAGTTTCTGAATGGCTATTTTTGGTAAAGTTTTGAGTTTATAAATTTGTTATTCCAGCTTCCTGTTTCATGCACTTCCAAAAAGGCAGTAAGTACAACTCGCAGAGCATCATTGCCATTACCAACAAGTGCTGCAACTCACCAATCCCCCTTCCGGCCCAATATTGGTTTTCTTCACTTTATTAAATCTCCTGATGTTTCTGTCAATTCCCCTCGAATTGACAGAATAGCTGAATTTCCATTAGCCTCATATGAAGAACAATTATACGAAGAACAGTTTTTGCCTATCCATAGAAGAACTTCATCACACTCTGTGCAAGGCTCGTCTGGTTCTCCGCAATCTGATGACCATTCAATCATGAAGGACAAATGTACAGTTCAGACATGTGACAGAGCGTCTCGCAAACTTAGTTTCGCTGGTGCGTGGCAGGGAATTCAATCCAGCATGTTCCAAGCTGAACGAGACAATCAAAGTGATGAATGTTCTGATCAAAATGCGACTGCTGGAGCGTCAAGCCGGACATCATCAGACACACGTCGCAGGCGGTTTGACACCAAATCATTCCAGCAAAGGGCTGAAGCTTTAGAAGGGCTGCTTGAATTTAGTGCAAGGTTACTCCAACATCAAAGATATGATGAGCTTGGGGTGTTGCTGAAGCCTTTTGGGCCTGGTAAGGTCTCCCCTAGGGAAACTGCTATTTGGCTGACTAAGAGCATCAAGGAAAATACTGTCAAGCAGGATGATTAATTCCAATGAGCAGTTAACACGTGTAATATATTTCAGACTCCAATATTTTTTGTAGTTTACGAGTTTCTGTAATCATTCTTCTCAAGAAGGAATTAGGCACCTAGGTAGATACTGATTTTGCAGGTCATGATCTGAGAAGAGGAATGGTTATCACCTTCGATTCAACTTAGTTTGAAACTGTGATGGGTTAATAGAATATTTCTCAATATTGGGTAACATCAATCTGAGCATATAATCTCTCTCTGCTTGGTTTTTATTTTTATTTTTCTGTATTCTTGGTTTGCGTTTAATACAACTGGGATCCGAAATAACCGAAAAGAAAAAAAGAACAACAAAAGGTAAACATAAGTACTGGAAGTAACAAGTGGTATAAATTCATGATAGGAGAAAACCTTCACGTATTAACAGATTAAAAGAAATGGTTCCAAATTTTCAAATGATGGTTACTTGGTATAATTTTCGTCCTGAAATGGCACTGAACTCATAAACAAGTATAATTAGTTATTAGAATATTTCTTTGGAAAGGTAATTTCTGTAGTGCAATGCATGCCATAGGTGTCTGTAAGAACTCTTCAGTATCCATTTCTTTTTCCCAACTTAAAACTGATGAGCGAGGAGCTGCTAGTACAAATTCACATGGGGCTGCAATCAAACAATTCAATAAAATTAGACAACCATGAGAAAGGCAAAAATTACGAATATAAACCTGCACAATTTAGTTCATTGAGCTATATTTTTACCTCATATGCAGCCAGAGATTCATTATAATTGGAATGACCAGTGCTTGGGCCAACGGAGGCGTGCTTGTTGTCCTCAAACAACCTTCTTGACTTGTAGAGCTTAACAAACCAGGGATCATGGTTTTTATGACCATTGGGTTTGAACTGTGAAGACGAACGTTTCAGAACTTGATCCTCCATAGGACCATCCGTTGCATCCCATGATTCTGTATGCTTGATTTTGTGCTTTGTGCTCCCTTCCGGCCGTTGCTTTGGCTCACTCTGTGACCTGACTTTTGCCTTCGAAGATTTCGTGTTGGTCATGTAATTTGGCTTGAATGTGTAGTCATAACACGCAGGGTCTCCATAATCCTGCTGTTGAAAAGTGAAAGGGTGTCTTGTTGGTTTTGGTTTAGATGCTGCCGGATAGTTCCAGGGACTATTTGCTATTGGAAAGGAGGGTTCCTCGTATTGATGTCGCTTTGAGGTGGAAAGACGGTCAGAATAGAATGTTGTGTGGCCATGCTCAAGCTTCCCAGCTTGTAAATGATTAAGGTGGGCGCTTGTGCTTTTCGAAACTCTTTGAACATCACTGGAATTCAAGTCCATTGTCTTCTGCATAAAGAAGGTCGTATTCTAAGTTAGAATTTAAAGACTTCAATCATATGCAACCTTCTTGGCATGGGGGGCAGCCAGAGCCTGACAAGTTTAGGACCCTCGCTTCATGTTTGGTTGATCAGAAAATGGTGGGAAATTTACGTTGAGTATTTGTACCAGGCTCAATTGGGTTTATGTTGTATTGGAAATTTTGAATCACAGATATCAGAATAAGCATCAATTCGATTTGGAAGAGTATGGTTTCTGTGTAAGTCTTCTTCCCAAGAACCAAAAGGAACAAAGCAATGCAAACCAAAATTCTGAAGTCACTTCCCAAATTAAAAACTAGCACAGATAGCATGAATATGGCAGATATATTTCAGACTGAAGGAGGAGACTTACCCTATGCACCCCATGGTCTCTTTGAATGGTCAATTGCTTTTTATTAGCTTGCTGTGCTTCCTCTGCCATCTGAATTCTCTTAAACCGAGCTCTAACCTGGATTGCCATCAACGCATGCATCTGCATTATAGTAGCAGTTGTTTGTTTCCTCACGATGTGACCTCTTATGAGTGCTTGTAACTTAACAAGACCCTTCAAGGCATGTAAAGCCTTCCTTGCCTGAAACAAAATAAGCAAAATGATCATGTAAAATAAATAGATTTAGACTGCCCCATCTTGCTTAAATCTATGTTGTTAATTAAGATTAATAATTAATCTTGAATGTTTTGGATGGAAATTTGTACCAAATGAGAACGGAAGGCAGCTTGAATCCTTGTGGCAGCGGCATCCTCAACATCTCTTGGTACCACAGCCAATGTCAAGGCATGATTCTGCTGAGCCTTCAAAGGCAAAGGCAATATAGTGGTGTCAATTGAATCAACAGATTTGGAGGGCCTGTGGCATGCCTCTTTGCCTGCTAACCTTCCAAAGCTCCATCTTCGCTTCACTTTCAGTGTCCCTGGCTTGGTAGCAGTAGAAGGATGCTCAGTCGAAATCGAAACATCGGTTTGGTTAATCTTTTTTTCCTGCTTTCCTACCAGAAAGTTCATAATCCATTTGCTTGCCTTTCCCATCTTTAATTGTCACTAAAATTCCGCTCTAGGCTGAAGAATTACAGAGTTGCACCTTACATATATAGACTCTGATGATCTTACTGTTTAATCTGGGTTGGTTGACTTTGTATGGATACTTGATATATTAAAATCTGTTACTCTATCAGTATGCATGGCTCTTTCTCTCATGTACTTACCTGGTTTGGTCGTCTGATGCCATTAATTTAATGACTTTGGCCTGCATAGGTTTCTCTGATAAAGCCATTTGCCACCCTCATATAGATAGGCAAAGACGACTCCTCCTTGGGTAAAAAAAATTTCAACTGCTAGAATTTTGATTTCCTTAGGAGGCTGCACCTGGCAATCAAGGGGTAGCTGTGTTTCACCTTGGTGCACCAATTAAATCAAGCTGCATCTACAAAAATCCATATTTCCTGGTCCTGTAATTCTTCCTGTTATTGGCCGCAGTAACTAAACTGCTCAACCTTTGCTTCATTATTTCTCTCATGACATCCACTCATATTTTTCGTTTTTGACATAAATGACATTGGAAGGAGATATTCGAACACAGGACCTTGGATGCACGAGTACCTCTTTTTACTCTTGGGTTTTATGCTCAACTGGATGGATGTTTCCAGTCTAAAATTGAAAACCAAGCACAAATTTTATAAACTTACAAAAATCCAATTCATTTTTGCTTCAGTAATTTGTTTAAATCATCTAAATATCAGGGAAACATAAACCATGAAACCATGAAATGAAAACATGTAAAGCTCAACAATTTTGGTTCAAAATACAAAATTTAGCCCACGTTCAGTTGCCAAAACCAAACTCAGATTATTGCTAATAACCAAAACACAAGCACTAATCTAATTCAGCAACACTGCATCAATTCTTCATCTGAGCTTCCCCTTCTCAGAGCTCTTCCTAGCTGCCTCCTTAACCTTCTCAATGTAGCCTTCAATGGGAGGCGTCAGAGTTGCCATGAACCGATTTTCTGGGAACTTAGAAAGATCCGGCACCAAGGCTGCTGCTTTCAAATGCTCAGGCAATGCCTCAATCGCCTCCTTCTTCAACCTCAACAGCGTGGACTCCGCCGCCTGCCTTGCCCTGTGCCGCCTCATCAAAACCCTACTGTACTCCTTGGCAAGCCTCCGGCCATCTTCAACAGTGAGGTTATATTTCGGTAACTTCTCCGCATCAACCAAACCCAGCGATATCAAATCCAAGCCGGGCGTTCCAAGAATCGTTGGCTTTTCTGGGATGCCCAATTTCTCCTTGCCTATCTTCAGCATCTCAATCTCTCGCTGCCGCTCTTTGCTAATAAGCCCCAACTTAGCTCGCTGAATCTCGCGTTCTCTCTGTTCCGGCGTTAACCACCTAATAGGGGTGGGGGCATTCAAGCATTGATCGTAGAACTTTTCGACCCGATCTCTGTGAGATTGTCCTTTACCTCCTCCACCTCCACCTTTAGAAGCAGGTTCTGCAGTGCCTTTCTTTACAGTTATCTTCGACCGCTTCAATGGCAGTGCAGTTTTCGTCTTCGATTTACCCTTTGCGGTCCCACTCACAGAGCATCTCTGGAGGAAGTTGTAGCTTGAAGGAGACTCATTCAATGGTCTCAGCGGTTTATTCTTAAAGATGCGTATCATCTTCTGAATCGGAAATGAGCTGATTGGCTGTGTTAGGGTTTCGCAGAGAAGTGACTGCTGACCAGAGAGGGGCTGAGGTCTGAGAAAGAAGATGAAGACGGAATGAGAAATGCTAAAAGGGCGTTGTTGGGCTTGCGGCTTAAAATATGTGTGGGCTCCATTTGGGCTTGGCATGCTTGGGTGCGCGACCTTCTCTGAGTGGGCCTCACATTTGAGCCCAAAAGTGGAGAAACGCTTGTGTTAAACATGTATCTCAGGCCAATCACGGCATGCTATACATGATAACTTTTCCCGTTTCATACAAATTTTTCTGCCAAAAGTGGGTTTAGCACAAAATTATAACTTGGTAATTAGCAATTAGCATAAGCATGCTTATTGAATTTAAAAACATTAAAATGTAATAATGAGCATATCAACTAAGCGGTTTAGTTTGGTTTATAATTTATGGGTGTTTGACTTGGGTTTTCGTCATCTTGTGAGTGTTTTCTTCTGCTGGCAAGCCAACCTTCTTAGACAAATACTGTAGATGTGATGAAGGATCATGATCATGAGCATGAGCGCATGTAACTAAACATCATTAAATAATACGGAAGATCGTTTTTAAAACTCAACGCTGCCTTTATTTTGGTTGTATAATTTTCAACCACCCACTCCGAAATGAAGATAATTATGAAGCCGTCACGTCTAAAGACATCTTCCTTTGGTTAGGCTTCTTCAAGTTCAACCTCCGGAAAATGGCAGTGAAGGCGAAATGTTGACTTTGTGGAAGCTCAATGGTTCTCATTTTCTCGTGTCACTCTTCTAGAATTAAATATTCTATTTTGAAGTTTGCACACTTTGTGGAATTTAGACTCAGTAGCAAGAAATAACGTGAACAGCAACAATGGGCAAATTTCTTCTTCTAGTAGCAACGTAGCATATTGTTGACTTTGGCACTCTTGGTGGACCCAGAGAGATTAGACTGTACTGAATTTTATAACGTGAACAGAAACAATGGGCAATGTCCACTCCACAATGACATTCACGTTCATTAGTTATGGAACCTTCTTTCAGTGGACAGAATCAGGCCAGCGTCAGAAATTCAGAAGCTTCTCTCACATTTTAGACTTTATATTAAGCTCCTCCAAATAAGCGTGTTGATTTTATTTATTTTTATTTTTTATCTTTGTTTGTGTACTAAGAAAAGAAATCTTCAGCATCTTTCATTTCAAACTTTATATATAAACAGCCCAACACCATTAGAAACAGCAACCAACATAAAACCTCTCCATCTCTCTCTCTCTCTGCTAAGACTCAAACAAAACAAATGGCTTTCTCTAAATCCATCGCCTTTTTTGCTGCCCTTCTGGTGGTGCTACCCATGGCTGCTTTGGCCTTCGGCTGGGACAACATAGCCCCTACTATTGCCGGTAGCTACTTCATCCTCTCTCTCTCTCTCTCTCTCTCTCTCTCTCTCTCTCTCTCTCTCTCTCTCTCTCTCTCTCTCTATACTTATGTAAACATTATTGTCTGGTTTCTGTCTTCTTATACATGCTGTTGTTGTTGTTGTTACAGATGAAGTGTGCGAAAAAGTGGAGTGTGGACGGGGGAAAATGCAAATTTGATGTGGAGGATCCATTAGGCTTCACCTGCGAGTGTGAGGCTGGTTGGAAGCGAACCCGTGACGGAGACGATGACCTTAAGTTTCTCCCCTGTGTGATTCCCAACTGTAAGCTCTCTCTCTTCCTCTCAAATAAAAACTTCCCCAGCGGAGCTGGATCCCGTTTTGCAGGATGCATACAGAAGTTGGGAAAATTATGTGACATACATTTCATCGTTTTCATTTTTCATGTTTTTGCAGGTACACTTGACTACAGCTGCCAGCCAGCTCCACCTCCAGTTCCTGCTAAAGAAATTCCACGCAACTTGTCGGCCTTTGACCGTAATTACCATCAAACCACCTCAATCACCATATCCATTGATTCTCAGTATCACTTATGATTCCTTTACTAATATGTGTTTTTTTTTCCTTTCTGTGGTTTAATATATATAGCTTGCTACTGGGTTTACTGTGGAGAAGGTAACTGTGTGAAGAACGAAACATATGCACATACACCTATCTGTGAATGCAAATCAGGCTTCTCCAATCTTCTTAATGTCTCAGCATTCCCTTGCTACAATGAATGTAAGAACACACTCACTTGTCCTCTCTCTGGTTGAAATAAATATATAACAAACAACAAGTTGTAGAAACTAATTGGAGCACAATTAATTTTTTTTTTATATCTTTCAGGCACACTTCAACCCGACTGTAAAAGCCTTGGAATTACGGTTGCTAAATCAACTTCTACAGACAATAATCAAGGTGAGATTGCTGTCCAGAAAACACCAATATCTATATGCTTTTTATTTCTTATTATTACTTAGATAATCACAGTTTAAACGGCACTCCTGTATACTAATTAATTACGAGAAGGTACCAGACCTGGATACAACGATCATCGGGGTAGGATGATACCTGTTCGAGAACAATTAGAATATGAAATAAAAGTTTCATAGTGTCTTCTTGCATAGGTTTATAATAATCTTATTTCAATATCTAAATGGTTTAGGTAGGTTAAAACCATGATCTTTTTTTCTAAAAAAAATATTAGTCTTTGAATTAGTATACTTTGATAACTTTTTTGGTTTTAAGGATTAAGACTTAGTCAAGGTACTAGAGGTTTCAAAAGTTCACATCTCTACGTAATTGACTTTAAAAAGGCACCATATGATTTTAGCTCTCATTCATTGTCTGAATATAGCCTGATGTCTGAAAGAAAAATGTCATGCGACTAAGACAACATCCCAGTATTTTAAAGAAGCAAAGGCTATTCAATTTGCTATTCAACCATGGCATGCACACTATATACTAATGGTTTTCTCTTTTCCTCTTGTTTTCCAGCTACCTCGTTTTTGCCAGGAAAGTTGCAGTTGATGACTATGGCTATGGTCTATGTGGGTATGATTCTGTGGAAGTAGGGTGGAAAGTGCTGTCACGAGATTGAGCTTTCTATTTGTTTGTTCTATAGCTTCATCATACATGAATTTGATATACTTCAGATTAATTTCGAGTTGGTGTAACATTCCTTGATTTTTCCATAGTTCATCATTCTGTATAAAGTTAGTTTGTATAACCCGAAACATAGTCATACAGCAATGACTGTCATATATGATATACTAGAAAAAGGTGCCCGCGCGATGCTGCGGGTTTTAAAATTGTGTGAAATGTGTATAAAGTGATGAAAATAGACAGGGATTACGTTCTATGTACATATACATGAAAATGTAAATAGTGTCATCGCATTTAGTTTCTCAAGTTTTAGTTACAAAAGATAAACTAATAACATGTTTTATATACTATTTGATACGTGTCTATCTATTTTTGGTTATAATGTATGTGTATATATAAAGCACACATACATACGTGTATACATAAGAAGTAGACACATGCCTATATATATATATATTAAAAGTTTATTATATATACATATATTTGCATATCTATATGAGTATATATTACTTTATTAGGACCATGTATTTTTCGCTAATATGCTTGTTTGAATATAATATGTGTGGTTATTATAATCTAACAAAAATATAAATCATGATAATTAAGAATATATAACTTTAAGACTATATGTTTTTGACAATATACTTGTTTGAATATAACCAAAAAGCATATGTGTTTGTTATATCCAAATATAGGGAGTATAATACTATTCCATTTTGTACTCTATGCATGCATGTATTTTTTGAACTTTTAAACTATCTTAATTTAAACATTTAATTAGATAATTAATTTTATACATAAATGTCACTTACAAAATAAGTATATTAAATGGGGCCTAACAATTGTAGTATTCTAATTATCTAGAGCAAACATCAAGTTATATTTATACAAACCAAGATTAAACATATATTTAATTACATAAGACATAAACTCTCTCTCTCTCTCTCTCTCTCTCTCTCTCTCTCTCTCTCTCTCTCTCTCTCTCTATATATATATATATATTAATTAAAACATACATATAATTATAAGTAATATGTAATTTATAGGAAGTTTAAAATTTTAAAAATATATATTTTTAAAAAAAATCTTTGCCTTTTGTTGTTGAATAGGACAAAAAGTAAAAAGAGCGAAGGGCAATACGGTCATTTTACTGTGCTGCCAAATAGGACAAAAAAGAACAAAGAACATAAGTAAGGGCAAAACCATAATTTTACTATTCCTAAGCTACAGTCTAGGAACAGTGAATTCCTTAACTCAGTTTTAGTATATATATAATTTCACATGTGGGAGCGATTTTCGTCCCTCAAGAATATTCGCCTAAGATTCTTTTGTCTTCTTCGCTTCTCTTTCTCCATGCAAAACAAATCGAAGTAAAAGTACCACACCCGGGGGGTGTTGGCCAAAGGCCCTCCGATGCCTAAGTTAGGTAGGATTTTGTAGGAAGACCGGGGTGGCCGGAGCCCTGTGTGAGAGAGAGAGAATATGGTGACTAGGGTTTGTGATGGAAAGGAATTATTCTTCATGATTTGGCGAGGTTGGTGTAATTAGGGATTTGATTTAAATCAAATCCCTAATTAAGGCAAGAATCAAATACATCCAATTTAAATCAAATAACCTCCCAATTAATTTAGGTAACTCCCAATTAAGTCAAATAATTCCCAAATTAATTGGCTTAATTATTTGACCTTGGAGGAGATATTTTGCTTCCACACACATTATAAACTATAGAAAGATTGTTACTCTTACATTAATTCTATGGATCATCTACCAATAACAGAGCAGGCTTTATTTTTCTCTGTTTTGCACTTTGAATTCAAGGAAAGTAAGTTAAACACAATAACAAGATTCAGATAACTTCAAGGGAAAGAGTTGCCACTAATCAAACTTCCTCAGATTTTCTACAAGTATCTTATGGCTTTCTAAGATATACACACTCACCTACACTGAAATGGTGGTTCCTACAGAAACTAGGTAGAAACAAGTTTTTCGACAAGGATTAACAACTCAGAGTTATAAGCAAATCAGTTTTTCATTGAAAAAAAAAACTTCCATTACAATGGAAAAGCTTTTACAATTCGATCAAACTCACCCTCGCAAAACAACTAAAACTGATGCCATCAACATAAAAGGAAAAGACAACTAAAAACATGATCAAGTTAAAATTCCACTTAGGGTTGCAACCAAAATCATATTGCAGTTACTGTACGAATTAGGGTTGAAGTGCATAACAAAAACATGACTTGGAATCTGTTCATTTGTAACACTAACAGTTTTTTACATTTTCTTCTGATTGGATGATGTTCAGTCCCTTCTGACTATACTTTTTCAACAAGAAACAAGGAAAAAGGTAAAAGGTAAAAGGTAAAAGGAACCCTACTTTTATCATATAATTCAATGATTCTGATAGTTGACAATCATGATTCCGAAACCATCTAGGCTATAGATCCAACAGTAAGGCAGGCACACGTGCTCTGAATTCTCACAAGACAGCAGTTTACTCACCATATCATCTAGAACTAGAAGTTTACTAATTGATGATCCAAGATGATTAACTGATTCCAGAGTAATTCAAGCATGAAGTACAGGTGTAGCATTGAGATGATAACGTATCTATACGTCCTACCTAGAGCATTTTCCTCCAGATATTTGCTAACCTTAACATTCCCTTGCAAATAGACGGCCACATGCATCATATAGGATACAACAGAACCCTCAACTACTAAAGCATAAGTTGTTCAACGATCAATACTTCAGTTCACTCTCCTCACAAATGACCAGAAACAAGACTCCAACAATCCAATAAGGCAATTTTATTTCAAAAAAGGTGAGCAAAGGCAATAATCAGGTCTAACAGTGTGACGAAAAATCGAAGAAGCTTAAAGGCAATTCAATTCCAATTATTTCGCATTTCGCATTTCCATCTTTAATATTATTCCTATGCTAATGATCCAAAACAAGATGCTCAACAAACAACAAGAGCATCAAATACAAAACTTTTAACAATTACCCATATCACCAATCTAGGAGTTACACCAAAGAAGCTAGATTTCACCAATAAATATTGAACAAGCAGCAAATAAAGGAACCTCCGTGAATATGAAAAGCAGAGTACAAATGGAGATTCCAATACTCACCATCACCAGAAAAAAAGTGAAAAAGAGAATCACTTGGTCTGAACATCCACTCCATCCTTGCCTGCAATGATGACCGCGGTCGCCATATCCAAGAACAACCCATGTTCCACAACCCCTTCAAATTTCGAAATCTCCTTCCCGGCAGCCGGCCCATCTTTAATGGGACTCTTGAAATACAAATCTACAATGTAATTGAAGTTATCAGTGATATAAGGCTTTCCATCACCATCCAACCTCAACTTTGCTTCAACCCCTTCTTCGTTAAACAACTCCTGAAGCCTCACCAAGTTATATTTCCAGCAAAACTGTACAACCTCCACAGGCATTGCCAGTCCACTTCCTCCAAGGCCAGTCACCAACTTGGTCTCATCAGCCACCACAACAAACTTATCTGAAGCAGCCTCCACCATTTTCTCTCTCAGCAAAGCCCCACCACGCCCTTTAACCAAGTCAAGATTTGGGTCGACCTCATCAGCACCATCTATGGCCAAATCGATCTTGGGGTGATCATCGAGAACCGAAAGAGGGATACCCAATTGGCGAGCTTGATCCTCCGTGCGTTTTGAAGTTGGAACTCCAACTATGTTCTGCAATTCACCAGATTTCAAGAGCTCTCCGAGCTTTGAGACCACAAAGGCGGCCGTTGAGCCAGTGCCGAGGCCGAGGACCATGCCGCTCTTGACATATTCGACGGCCTTATCGGCTGCAAGCTTCTTGAGTTCGTCTTGAGTGAGAGCAGGGACAGTGCGAGCTTTGATGGACATGGGCCTGTAAGAAGAAGAGCGCAGGTTAGGGGTTTTTGGGGTGCGCAGGAGAAGGTGGGCGGTGGATGCATTGTGGGGTGAGAGGAGGGATAAGGAGGAAGCCATTTTCGCTTCTGGGTGGGTAGAGAGTGGAGATAGAAGAAGAAAGAATGAGAATTGAAGATGAATAAGAGGTGGATTTTGCTCCCTCTGTTTTTGTATCTTTCTCGGCTTTGCTATCTTGTTGGTTTGGTTTGGAGTTTCTGTGAGCTCTGTTTTTTTGTTTGTGCAAAGGTTTGTGATTTGGATGCAAAATATGACCTTTTTTGGGTCGGGTTGGGTGGTTGGTAGCTTTGGTATTTGGTTGGTTGAACTTGAGATAGAGATAGGAAGTTTTTGGTGAGGATTACAATTTCTTTTTCCTTTTTCTCAGGGTTAAAAATACTAAGAAATAATATTAGATGATTGGATCATAAGGTAATTAGTCCATCACATAAAGAATATTGTTTATATTTCCTAATAAATAGTTATCTCATCTATATCTTTACAATGAAAATAGATTCAATGGATTTGGGAGTAGTGGTAAACACAGATCAATGATAAAATATTGCAGCTGCAGCAGCAAAATGGGAAAAGAGTTTAAATATTAACAATAATTTGCAACTGGTGCCTATTGGGAAGAGCAAAAACATAGCAACCCAACTCCAGAGAGAGAGAGATTGAAATAAGAAGAGAAATAGGAAAACTATGTGAGGTAGGTAGGTAGGTAGGTAGGTAGGTAGTTCTCTGCCAAAAATAATGAAGGATTTATATCTATAATCTGTCATTTGATCTACCAAGTTTACCAAAAACATGTGTTTGAGACTCAAAGAGAAACACACATGTTTGAATACATGTGATTGTGTATATTTATTCATCTTGTTGCAGTGGTTGTTACCATCTGTGATTCAAACCTGCAAACAAACAATTGACATTGAGTGCTGCTACTGACCAGAAGCTTTCAGAATGGTTCATTTCATAAGATTTAACCTGCATATATATGCCATCCAACAAGTACTGCATCAAGTGCTGCAGCTATAACCTATATGTAGACCAAGCAGTCTCAAATACTTCAAAACAATTTGGTATCAAATTTCCATGGGTCTAAATTAGTCACGGTTACAATCAAGTACAAAATTTTCATTGCTAAAAACATGTCATGATACTTTCACCTCAACTTTTTTTATCTATGTGGGAGGGGGGAAAAAGCCTTATCCCTCACATTCCCATCAAAGGTTGATTCTTGAGAAATTTAAATTATTACTGATAAGTAAACATCCCCTACTTAAAACGAAAATTACTTTTTAAAAAAGGGAATAAATTGTTATTAATTTGTTGGTACTAATAAAAAAAAAGGGAGTTTCACTAAAACACCCAAAATGAGAGTTGAAATTATAAAAAAACTCAAGCACTATTTAAACATATAAACACACCCAAAATCCATCATTACACACACTCAAAACCCATTTATAAACACACCCAAAAAGTTGACTTTAGGGTTGATTTTGGGTGTGTTTCTATGTTTAAATAGTGTTTGGGTTTTTTTATAAATACATGTCTAGGATTGGGTTTATTTCTAAATTTGTAAAAAAAATATTCCTACCAAAAAAAAAAGAAAAAAAAAAGGGGAAAACCTCGTCGAAATACGACGGCGTTTCACGCGTCCCCATATTCCTTCCTCCCTTCGGATTCTTCAATTGGGCCAATAAACTCCAACAGTCTCTCTTTCGTTTTTTACCTTCCTCAAAACTCCAAGCCCCCTCTCTCAAATCCTCAATTTCATCAACCATGTCTGCAGAATCAGCCAGTGCAATTCAAAGAAACCAAGTAAGTATACCCAGTTCCAATTTTCTTTTTCCTTTTTGGGTTCAGTCACTAAGATAACTTCCGAAAATTGGTGGGAAAAAGATTTGAATCTGGCATCTGGGTTTCTTCCAAGGGTGAAAAACCGGTGTTTGTATCACCAAATTTATTTTCCAGGCCGAAAGAAAAAAGATTTTTATTATCGTCCTTGCAAAGTCTGGCCTTGCAGTATGACAGTGCATTCGGAGCTTCTTATTTTCTGATATTGAATTCTTATGGTCAGGTTGATCTTTTGGACTTCATAGATTGGTCTGGAGTTGAATGCCTCAACCAAAGCACTAGTCACTCTGTTGCCAACGCTCTCAAGCAGGTAACTTTTATTCGACTTCTGGGTTTTTTTTTTATATTTAAAAATATGTATAAAGTATAAATTGCTGTTCTTGGTTTGATTAACATTCTTAATTAAAAAATGTTAATAAAGTTACCCTCTTTATTGTGAGAACGCAGAACTTAAGTAATTTTTTCAATAGCCATTGTTACTTAGAGAGTCAGTTAGCCATGTTTTGTTATCGTTTGTTATTCCTGCCATCTGCTCGCCTGCTAATAGAATTTAAGATAAAAATTTAAAACCTTTTGATTTGTGAAATACGGAGCTTGCGCCTAAACCATATAGTTGTCTCTTGCATGTTAATTTGAGCAAGATTTTGTTTAACTAACATATTGGAGTTATGACTATGATGTCTGCTCAGTGCTTAAACATGTTTTGGAGGTAATGCAGTTATATTTACTTGCTTTTGTTCATTCATAATTAGGGTTATAGAGAAGATGATGGTTTGAATCTGGAGAGTGATGCAGATGAGCAGCTTTTGCTTTACATACCTTTTCTTCAAGTCATTAAGCTGCACTCTATTGTCATCAAAGGACCTGAAGAGGAAGGTAGCAATGAATTTTTCTGAATAGATACAGTTCAACCGCATGTGACTATGAATGCTAATATTAAGCTTGTTGGTGCGGTACTTGAATTCATATTATTACACACTGACATGCTTTGATCTGAATGCCTAGGCAACTCTCGATGGAATTTTTTTTGAGGTGTTATTTGTTTTCACTACTGATGTTACTTTTCTTTCATTTTTTTGCACTTCCTTTTAATCTTTTATTATAAAATCTTATAACAGTGGAAGCCATCCCAACATATCATACTTAGGGTTCACAGTAACATGTATTTGAATTCTTGTCTTCATTTAGCTTTGATCCACTCTTTTAAGGTTTGTAGTAGATCAAATAGAGGTTGCAAAAGGATCAAATTTGTTGGCATGCAGTGTAGGAAGAACTCTGGAGCAATAAATCTGAGGATCATGGAACTACAAATATAAATACAGATAAGTTTTTGTAACCGTGGGGATTTAAGAAGACTACCAATCTCAAACCAAAATGCACATATCAGAAGAAAACATTTCATGTTTCTTTCTAGCCCTACTGATCCAAGGCCTTGTCTTCATAGTATGTAAGGTTTTTAAATTTGTTTTCATTTACTGAAAAATTAATTCTGATTAGGTGATTGTATTTCAAAACATCAGCCTAAAGAGCCAATACTACTAGAGTGAACATGAAAGTGGATGATATCATAATGGTTATATCATGATGTTTTCTTCTTTATCAGAGAATCATTCAACAAATATGAGTTTTACAGGATTGTAAATATGAGTTTTCTTCTTTCCTGAGAAATTTTTCTGCTGTTTTGGCTCTGATACCACTGTCTGTCATCTTTGTCTTTTCCTTACCTTTTTCTTCCAGCCTCTTTGTTAACTAAAATTTTGTTGTGCATTTTACCCTGCAAACCTTTACTGTAAATATCCCTGAAATTGATGTTTGATACTGTTCTAACCTTGAGATTGATTTCTAGGTCCTAAGACAGTGAAACTTTTTTCAAACAAGGAGCATATGGGGTTCAGGTATTATTCTTGGGACAATCACAGTTATTGATCATGGATAAAAAAATAAATAATTGATTAACTCATGGATGCATTTCTTGCTGATAATGGCAGCAATGTCAATGACTTCCCAGCAAGCGATACACTTGATTTATCCCCTGAGAATCTAAAGGTTGGCATTCTGTTACGACAACCTCTACTATTTTGCTTGTTGAAGACAATTCAGTAATACACATTTGGAAGGTTTTTGCATTATACTTGATGTCTTTTTACATGTTACAGGGCAAACCAGTTGTCTTAAAGTATGTCAAATTTCAAAATGTTCGCAGGTATCATAAACCTACTTTTGTTGATTTACTACTATATTTCTCTTTATGTATGTAATAGAAAGTCTCACATTATATTTGTATCAGCTTGACGATCTTTATTGAGGATAATCAATCTGGCTCCGAACTCACAAAAGTTCAAAAGATTGTTCTGTGTGGAACAACGTAAGTTTCAATTGTTCCTCATTGTTCGTTTCTTTTTACTCGTAAATCCGCTGGTATCTCACATAATTAATCACATGGTCTACTTTCTTGGACAATGCATTCGTTGTTTTATACATCTGATACGTGCCCTATTTTCCACTGCGATAACAGTTAAATAATCCAGTATCCACATAATATAACATACCATATGTATCTAATGATGTTTTCCTGTTATGTAGGGTGGAAACTACAGACATGAAGGGCTTGAAGAAGATTGAGGACGGACACTGAAGAGTCAGAGAAGTAGATGAATGAAAAATTGAATCATCTAATACCATTGTGATCATTTAGCAAATCTATCTGTGCACATGGTTATGTGGCATATTATTTATATACTTCGGATTATAATCAAGTTTCATTGAAAAAATTTCGCCCTCTATGGGATTCTAAGATTATATGAACATTTAATTGACTGAAAAAAAGGATGAAACATTCTCAATGCTTGTCCAGCTCCATGTTTGGCTTTCTCTCAGTGCTTGGCATTCAAACGTTTGCAATTTTCAGAAGCTATTGCTTATATCCTCCCATTGGGGTCCCAAGTGGGTTTCTCTTCTGTTGATTAGGATTGGATTCTTACACTCTGTATTTCCGACAAATCTCTTATTCCCTATGATTCTAGCTGCTGTCGAAAATAATTAACAACCAATTGAAAACATAAAGAGCATATATATCATAGGTCGGTAGTGAAGGGCAACAATCTGACAGACTAGACTGGCTAATGTTTCAGAAAGCTCATTAAAGAGTAGACAACTTCATTAGACTTCGAAGAAATAGCAGCACTACAAAGATAGTTGTTTTTTTTATTCCCATTTGAACTAATGAAACATCTTGGTGAGGGGTAACATAGAAATTAAACAACCCTGAACAGAGGGGGCCATGAAGAAAGCTTCATTATTTCAACAACAATAAAGCAACGCACTCGAACCAAGTTGATGATATACATTATCATACACCCTTTCGCGGACAAAATCAATCCGTAAGAATTAACTGCTTCTAGAATAGAGGTCAATGCTACCTAATTGCAGCCGTGAGGTTGATTGAACATCTCGAACTGTCAAAAATCTGAACCTGCAACGTAACACTCTAATTTAATGGAGAGCCGGAAAACATTGATACATGTTCGAACGCATTTGAGTGTACATATATTTACCTGAAAACATTTGATAGGAAACCCTGACATGAGATCTTAAATGTTTTACGCTGGAAACGACTGTCAAATATTTGAGAAGTTTGTTTATCCAATAGATGCCAGCTTGATTCCCCATCATTGCTTCCTTCAACTACCCTGTAAATTAAATTTATAAATGCTCAACAAGATCAATGCTTCACAGGATTTCTGAATACAAGTATATAAGTACTTCACAATACGTGTGCATGCAGGGAAAAAATTCAATAACTACATTCAGGACACTTCCATTGTTGTCATTGAAGAGGATGCCTGAATGAAAAGGAGCCAAAGTCCTTGCTGCATAAGGCCATAAACACATGCCACATGCCACGTAATCAAAGAAAACTGTAGCAGATTGAAAACTCAAAGATCTGTAGTTAATCATACATATCGTACCAATCCATCGGATCCCTTTCTGGTGCATCATTGGCTGACATTATCTCATATGCCACAAGTTCATGCATCAGGTTGTCTGATACTTTATACATGATCCAACAACCTAAAAGCCATAAATACAAATTCACTCAATGAACTTGCTAATAGTAAAGTGTTTAAATCACACTAATGTACAAAAGAGAACTCTTTTCATTACCTCGTGCGCCATTTGGTTCTTCCCACTTCGATGTGCGTAACCCATCAAATGCTGACGTTGCCTGAAATTTTCAGCGGAGATTGTGGAGAAATTTTTAAATGAAACAGTAAAAAGATGAACCACATAGACCAAATAAAACTCACAATTCCCAAAGGAATTTCTTCTCCACTTGCAAGGACTGAACCAGAATGTATTCTGTTTAGCTTCAGAAGTGGCAAGCAAAGAGAATCTTCAACAAAGTTATCACAAATGTTAAGATTATTGATTGTGTCATCCAAAGCATCCAAAGCAACAGGCAGTGCCAAAGAGGTTTTGACAGCATTTCCAGCTAAAGAAATGTCAAACCTCCCATCAGCATCTGCCTTACCACTCATCGAAAGAGCATTAAGTAACTCAGTGAAAGAGGGCAGCAACTGATGAACAAGAGATTGGCTGACTGAATCGATTGTGGCCCTCCTTGTTTTAAAAGGGGATTTCTTAAGATCCACAAGAATTCGTTTAAGAGTCTCGAGTACTTCAACCGCCCTTGACTTGGGAAATTCTTCCTTAACAAACTGGGAAAGAATCAGAAGAAATGCATTGTGAATTTCGGTCACATGCTTGTCAACACATGCACGAACTGGACAAGAAGAACCACTCAAGGAGCAACTCTCATCAGAACCACATTCTAATCTTGACTTCCGCCATTCCTTGTCCCCACTCCGTCTCCCTGGTAATGAGGTTGAGGCATTGTCTGTAGAATGTAAACTGCTTTCAAGTTCTTGCCTCTCCTTCTCATCACGGTCTTCAAGTACAGAAAGCACTTGAGAGGTAAACCCTCTTCTGCAGTCTTTTGTTACATTAGCAAGCACAGCTGACAGTGCAGGCTCTGTAATGATGTTACGTCGAGAAATAACCTGAAAAATAAAAAGAACTCTTCCATCAACGGCTCAACATAAAGTAGTTCTATTTATGAAAATCTAGGCAATTAATTCATTCCAGTACCACTTTTTGTGATTACCTCATGCCACTTCCTCGTATATCGTTTGGTTACATCACAAACACCATCTTTGGCGATGCCAATTACGTAATCTAATTTCTTGTTCCACCTACAGAAAATGCTTGAAGTTATATTTATGGACAAATCAATGTAAAATAATTTATCTCACATCAAGAAACTGAATCAACAGGGAAATCTAGAAAAATGATTAAACTAGCAAGACCAAAGGTACCCGCTTTCATATAACAGTGGTTTGTCATACACTCCTTCACAAGGATCGAGATGCATCCATCTGAACAACAAAGGTGTCAAAAGAAGATTGAATCCATATTATTGGCTTTCCAGGACTCCTAAGATAAAGAAAAAGCACTAGTCTGTAAATGGAAGTTACCTTCCTAAAGATTGTGAGAAGCACTCTGTCCAAACATGATCCACGAAAGCCAAGATCTGAAAAAGAAAGGAAAAAAGTTAAAAGAAATCTATCAGCAGGCACTGTGGGTCCAAGTAAGCCTCGTCAGTCTAAGGAAAAAAAGGACACAACTGAACCACTTTATCTACTTTCATTCGAAAATGAATAATTAGACAAGATAATCATTCCAAAGTTGGAACTCAACTCAATAGATGTGATAATACAAGACAGATTAAATATTATTCATATTGCTTTAAGCATGTCCATTGGTGAATATTAAGAAAGTCAGATGGCACAGATATTAGAATTGAAAATGACCAACCAGGCGGGATTCATATCCAAAAGCTCGGCAATAAAGCGTAAAGCAATTGGCCCATTCCCCACAACGCCCACTTCTTGTTTCCACAAGCTGCATTTCGGGGAAAAGATAATATAAAACTCAGGGAGACATAAAGTATCAAATAAGCTTCTTAATGAGGCCACCAAGATGCATAAATACCTTTAATGGATCATTGTAGCGTGGGAAACGAGACCCTATAGGGCAAAAATTGCATCTGGGGTTGAAGACCAAAATATAATAAGTAATGTCAAGCTAATTAATTATTTTGAATCTAGAGATGTATGCATCAGCGCATAGATAGAAAACTAAGAAACAGGGTTAGGGAAAGATAATAATAAAAAGGTAACATCTGTGGTTAATTTTTTTGATTGAAATAGCAGTTTTCTAATGGTTTGTGACATGAGGCTCTCACCTAAAAATGCTACTCACATAAAGTAAGTATAACAGTAAAGAAAAATCCTTTAAATTGAAAACTATAGCTGCAAATGCTGCCATAGCTTTGACAGTTGGAGAGTCCAAGTTCATGGTGGACAAGCCTATTTGACTCCAGCTATGTTTATTCTTAAACCAGATGAACAAAGACTACCAAGTAGATATTACCACAATGAAAGATTAGATATACAGTAGGGAAACCAATAAAGCAAAAAAAAACAAGATAACATAAAATCATAAAGGGGTAAAAATACCATAGACCAGACTAGACTATAGTTACAAAATTTGGGGTTGGGAAATGGCCAAACATCAATAGCATACCCATAGATCTCAACTCGAGAAGCTCCATATCGAATTTCTGAAGGAAGCGGATCAGCCATTCCATGAAATACGGTTTCTTTGCCGCAACCATCACAGGGAGGAGCATTAACCCACCTGCAATATTGAAACAGAGCACATTACACAAATTCAGCTGGTCAGCTACGCATGATGAAAGTGAATAGTAAAAAAAAAGCAAAGCAACAGGAGAACACCTGAAAGATTGTTTGAACCAGAAAAGCAGCTGCAGCAGGAAAGCATGGTCTTGTTCATTTTTTGATGGAGTTGAATTCCCCTCCTAAAACATGTTTATCAGATTTGCTTATCACCAAGACATCTTTGCAGAGGACAATCATTAATATATTGCCGAAAACCAGTTCAGTCCAAAAATGAAACAATGACATGCGTAAAACATTTATTTTCTGAGAGAGACTAATGCTCTCACCTTGGCCAAACTGACCAATGCTTTCTCCTCGAGCTCTTCTATAGGGACTGTTTGCCGGGCAGCCTCCTGGCGTTGCAGGTCCTCATACTAAAGCAACGACAGGCCAAAACCCATTAAAACATCAGTCTGTGAAAAGGCTTAAACTAATCTTGCACAATTTGTTAGAGGAATTTGAGAAATACAAAACTACAAACTATTATGTGTTTTTCTTCTTTTGTATTAACTAGTACTATTAGTCAAAAGCTAAGCTCTTTGCTTTTCCGTTTCCCTGAAACCAAACAGATGAAGGAATAAGAAAGAACATTACCATGAGAACTTGACTGACATAAGGGCGTAGTCTCTCCTCAAACTTTCCATTATCTTCAGGGGCAGCGTACTGCTGAAAAAAAGCCCTCTCTCTCTTTTTTTGAAAAAAAAAAATTTAATGAAACAAAATTTCCTTGGAAGGTCTCAAATGCAGAAGACTTGTAAAGAAACCTGCAACATTCTGGCCAATTCCTCATCGGATTTCAGCAATTCATCGTTTTCAGCAGTTGATTTTTCTTGTTGCTCCTCATTGATCGAAACCAATCGGAGCTTCTCAGAGATGGCCACGAGGTCGGAATCATCCGAAAGGACACGATTTTCATCGACTCCAATTAACTTTACGCAAAGAAAAACAATCCAATTTAATCAACTTGCGACACACGTAGTTTTACACATAGCAAAACCTATACACATACATTCACACGCAGAGATATATATAATTATATACGTATATATATATATCTACATAGCAAGAGAGATATGTAGAAATTGGTGAACCTTTTGCTCGTCTGGAGGAATGGAGGTGAGAGAGAATATCTGAATTTTGAAAACCTGCAATGAATGGCATGTTAGGGAGAGAAACTGAGTTTTGGAGAGAGAGAGAGAGAGAGAGAGAGAGAGAGAGAGAGAGACTTCGAGGCCATCGCCAGTGTCATAATCAACGCCGTAAGTGGAGTCATTGTGGTGAACCTGAAAGCTGCGAGCCACCATTTTCAGTTTCGCGACTCTGATAACGATCTCTGCAACTGCAAAGCCCCAAAAGTAAAGTAGAGGTCTTTCTTTCTCCCACCATTTGTTTTGTTCGGGAACTTTCTTACAAAGAATCAATACTGACGTGTCGTTATGTTGCCTTTTTCTTTTTTCTTTTTTTTTGCAACGGTTGTTTTTCATAGAGTTTTTTTTTAATTAAATTTATTTTAGAATTAAAAAATATAAAAAATATGAATTTATCATATTATCCTTATTTAATTAATACACTAGAGGCCAATTGTTTTTTTTTTTGTTTTTTTTTTATTTTTACAATTAAGAAAATATAACATTAATGATTCTTGCTGTTATCTTCCATCAAATTTGCTGTTAAATTGATGATGTGGCACATGTGTGAAGCATACACATTCAATGCTATAGAGTCATGTGGCTTTAAATATAATATAATATATTTTAGACTCACCCCTCTCTCTCTCTCTCTCTCTCTCTCTCTGAACAAAGCATGAAAGAGATTTTAAAATATATAAAAATATTTAAGTTGCTCTTATATTTTTTATTTATGAATTTTAAGTTTTAAAAATATTTATATTATATTTAAAAATACGTGGCTATATACCATTGAGTATGTGGGCTCCACACATGTGCCACGTCAGAAATTTAACAGAAAGTTTGATGGAAACTAATGTTATGGACTATTTTGATGTGCGGAGGGTAACTTTAAGGACCATTAGTTTTACAAAAAAATATTAAGGACAAAATGTGATAATTTCGTAAACTTCATGAACTATTTGAGATAAAAAGCCTTTGCACAATTCCAACCTTAAAAATATTGAGCATTGTTTTTGTTTTCTTTGTATTCTTATTTTTCAATTTCTTATTTGTTAAGTAAATAAATGGGGAAAATATAATGTTGATAGTTTATTTTTTGTTAGTGGGCAATATATTATAAAGAGTTATATACAAAAACACCCTATGAGGTTTCTTGTGTTTTTACAAAACTCCCTCATATCTCAAAAATTACACGAACATCTTTGAGGTTTCAGTTTGTTTTCACAAAACCAATTTTTGTTGATTGTTTGTCAAAAAATTGATGATTTAATTGAAGAAAAAAAAACACGTAAGCAAATGGAAACATTAACCTCAATGAAGTATATGCAATCTAATCTCAAATGCCAACTTTGTCATTTGGAGATTTTTTATTTTTTATTTTTTGAGTGTATAAAATCATCAATCTTTGGATAAAAAATCAATGAAAATAAGTTTTATAAAAATAATTTAAAACCTTAGGTAGTGTTTGTGTAATTTCTAAAGCCTATATGAAAATGCAGAAAAACTCAAAGGGTGTTAATGTAAATAACTCATATTATATTATGGGCAATGATTTCCCCACTCCCATTTTATTCACTTACACTCATTTTTTAGTTATAAAAAAGGAGTGTAAGTGGATAAAATAGGAGAAAAAGGAGTGGGGAAATCACCCCTCTATATTATATGAGGGTTGCAACTTATAGGTGGGCTTGATTCTCGGAATTTATGGGGTAGCCTCCTGCAGGCCGAAGCCCCGCTCGTAGGTCCCATGATGAGGCCTTACAGTTAACATGGGCCAGCCTTCACAAGTAAGATGGGAATTAAGGAAACTGCACACATCTTTCCTAGGGTTATCCCACCATGAAATTCAACGATAAGAACTGCTGGTATTTTAGGGGTCCTTCAAGGGTCCGTATTTAAGAAAAACACAATTGTTTGTTAGATAAAAGTGAAATGAAAATATAAAATAAGAATAAAAATAAAAAGATAAATTTAATTCACGAGGTGCACATACTCAATTCCATATATATGGTTGACATAAAGAAAAGGGCTGGGTATGGGTTGGGCATGAATCTATAATTAGAAATGTAGATTTGAGGATGGGGATGGGGACGATGAAAATGAGAATGAGAATGACAGTGGCATTGGATATATCAAAGTCAAAGTGGATTATTAGTGAAATCTGAAAAGATATCGATGCAAATGGCTAACGATAATAAGGACGTCTACATGTAACATGTATATATTAATGAGATTGAAAAGGATGCTAACCAGAACAAATAATATTTGGCTCTATTTTCTGGAGTCGGTCTTCTTCCATCTGAATAGTTGATTATTCTAGGTTGCACAATGGTAGTTGTTGTTTTTTTTGGTCGAAAGCACCGTGGTAGTTGAGTCATTAATTTCATACAGAAAAACACATCATCACTCGATCGGCACCTTCTTTTTTGTTTTGACCTTCTTTAATTGAATGACATATTTACATCATCAACTTCCGAACTCATTTAAACCCTAATGGGAGAAAAGTACAGTCCTTCGAACTACTATTTGATTCCGTCTTTAATGTCAATAACCTACCTAACCTAACCCCAGAATATCTCTCTATCCTCTCTTTGATGTCAAACATCGTTACGTCTTCTTACAGAACTAGAGAGCATAAACTATAATCTTCTCTTCTGTGTACTGTGTACATCTCTCTCGCTCTCTCTCTGCGATAATGTCGACGACCCAGCAGAGCCGGGTGGTGGTGCACTCAAAGCTAACGGCAGTTTCGAGCAGGCCAGTGAAGGCCGGCACGACCCACAATCTTACAGCGCTGGACCATGCAATGGGCCTCCACACCCTCCACGTAGTCTTCTACTACAAGCACAAGCTGTTCAGCTGTTTTGACTTGGACCCTTTGCGGCTCTCTCTCTCCGAGGCCCTCTCGCTGCACCCTCCGGTTATGGGTCGGATGGCTCAGAAACCCGACAGCAATTGGGAGGTTATGTGTAATGACGCGGGTGTTCGGGTCTACATGGCCCGGGTGGCGACCACACTTGATGAGTGGCTCAGATCTGCTGATGGCTCCGAAGAGAGGCTTTTGACCGTCTGGGATGATATGCCTGATGATCCCAGTACTTGGTCACCCTATAGGATCCAGGTACTTTTTATTTATTATTATTATTATTTTAATATTTTCAATCCTGGTTGGTTTGATCCCGGTTAAGGTGAGGAGTCCTATATACTGAAGTGATTTATTACATTTTATATACATGTGCCAAGCTTTCTACAAGGAGAAATATGTTTCTTATGTTTAAGATGACGTATTTTCGTATTTCTCTATACAATACGAGTAATATGCTAAAAATATTTACTTAGTTGTGAGTTATTGATACAACTAGCCTCACATGTGTAGCACTATCACTAACTCTTATACGAGGAGTGCATAAAATTATTTTTGAAATCCAACCAAAGGATTTCTTGTGAGAATGTGAAGGTGAAAATGTCATATTGGAAAAAGGACTTATAAGGTGTTGGACTATGAGGTAGAACTTCAACTTCCTTTATTTCTAACTAAACAAGATCTCTAAAACATTGATTGATTGTGTTGATGTACAAAAATGGTCAAGCACTTTTGGGCCCAACTTAGAGATGTTGCGTCACCTTCGGCCTCCTTAGGCTGTTCGACAGATGAGTAGGATCTACAAGACAAAAAGCTACGGTAAGAGCTTGGACACCGGTGTTGTACCGGCCTAAGGCTCTTCGATGCTAAAGTTAGCTTAAGGACGGAGTGAATAGCAATTTGGACAGAGTAATGACTAAGTAGTTGAATTAAACAGATACTTTATTTGGGGGACTTATGCCCCTATTTATAGATCTTGGAAGATGTGCACTTTGAGTGGAATTTTGATGTAGGACTGTTGGCATTGCTTGAGAGACTACCACGTGTCATTTTTCCAGCTTGGTAAAACAAGCACTTTCTTTACGCCGGTTCGGCCGGCTGGTTGCCGAAGAGTTACCATGCCAATGGTCTATACATAGGTAGGGTTGTCGTAAGCTCACCCTACCAATGATCAATTAATGAATCTTAATGTTTTGAATCGATTGGGGTTTATAGGCTCTTTTGCAGGTCCCGTATTCCACGTATGGCGGAATAATTGGCCCTTCATATGTGGTATAAACAGATTGAAAATGAAATAAAGGTTGTGGCCATAATATTAATTGATTGACAAAACATGTGACACCCAATTAAATTGATTTGAAAAAACATGCGAGTTAGGTAGCTTTAAATTATTGCAGCGCCCTCCTATGCGGGAAGGGTATGTAATTAAAATGAGACACAATTATTATTACTTTTGTTTTTTTTTATCTTTCTTGCTGGAGAATGGAGATCAGTTCTGAATTCTTGCATGCCCTTTGTTTATATAATATTGTATGCTCGATTTTATTGAAAACAAACATTATTATATGTAGCACCAAACTTGATTAAAAAAGCATTAACATATGAATCAATCCTGGTTTTGGAGATAAATGAATTTGAAGGAGGAGGTGCAGCCATTGGTGTAAGTTGCACTCACATGCATGCAGACCCAACTTGTGTCACCCTACTCGTCAAGGCGTGGGCCGAGACTCACCGCAAGCAAGCAATTGCTCACCCGCTTCTTGTCGGGGAGTCATCAGCCCTCGGAGGCAGACCCGTTGATCAAGACATGATAAAAACAAAATCAGCAGCGGCCTATTATGAAGCCAAGTCTGTGGCAGCAAAGACCCCTTTACCAGAAAAGAAAATGAGCACAGCCACTTTCAAATTCTCCAGTGCAATGATCAAGCAAGGCCTCTTACAAATCCACAAAACTTGCCCTGAAGCCAACCCTTTTGATTTGCTGGCTGCACTGTTTTGGACAAGCATTGCGCGCTTAAAGCCCCCAAAGAGTGCCACCAAGCACTCCCTCTCAATTTGTACCGACTCTAGAAAGAAGCTGGGTTCTGGGTGGCACTATGGCAATGCCTTGCATTTTTCAATGCTTTCAGTGCCGGATGTGGAGGAAGTGGAAAACGCCAACGGGTTGGAGCACGTGGCAGGAGCGGTGCACGGCCACGTGTGGAGTCAGAAGGAGGAGGATTTTTGGTCTGGAGTGGACTGGTTTGGATCACAAAAGGGAGAGGAAGGTAAGTTTGGGGCAGCATTTAGGATGTATGGCCCTGAATTGACATGTGTTAGCATGGAGCACATGAATGAGAAGGAGCCATTGATGTATGCAGCCATGTTTGACAAGGACAAGAAGCCAGCTCATGTATCCTACCATGTGGGAAATGTGGAGGGTGAAGGGTTCATAATGGTGATGCCAGCTTCAGAAGGAGGGCTTGGAAGGATGGTTATGGTGACATTGCCAGAGGAGGAGCTGGCCCAGCTCTGTGAGGCACAACCTATTTTGAGCCTAAAACCAACAATGCTGCTAAGTGGGAAAAAAGCTTGAATTTGTTGCTTTGAGTTTATTCATTTTAACTTCAAGACTTGGAAAAGCTTAAACCAATTGCAAATCAAGTTACATTTCATTTGCTGCCTGAGTGTTACAAAATTAATTAATACTATATCATCCAAACAATGCTTCTAAGTGGGTGACAAACTGAATTTGCTGCTGTGAGTTTATTTGTTTCAAATTTCAAGACTTGGAAAGCTTAAACCAATTACAGGTCAAGTTACATTTCATTTGCTGCCTGAGTATTACAAAAATTAATTAATACTGTAGCAGGCAATTAGTCCTTGTAAGCTCGATTGATCAGTCAGACTAATTTGGATTCCTTTGAGGAGTGTTGGCAAATTTCCATTGCACATGACTCGCGTTTTCGTAAGTTTTCTCACCAGCTACTTGGTCGAGAGGAACGGCATCAGAAATTTCTTTCAGGTCCTCTTCCCTGAGTTTCAGCGCTACGGAGCCAATGTTTGTATCCAGGTTTTTAATTTTTGTTGTCCCTGTGGAAATTCACAGTAAATATAGTCTCGATGAACAATGTACGTATGTATGTAAATAACGTATCGAAGAAATTATATATACTCACCAGGGATAGGAACAACATCATTTCCTCTGTGGAGAACCCATGAGAGGGCTAGTTGAGCAGGAGAGCATTCATGTTTCTTAGCAAGGCTTTCTACTCTATGGTAAATGTGTTTGTTCTTCTCCAAGTTCTCTCCTGTCATCCGAGGATGTGTGGCCTGATAATCACAAAAACGAAAACAACAAAAATGGAAAAAAGATTATTCAATCAACCAACAAACTCAGTCATTAGTATAAGATAAATAGCTTAATTCCAAATTTTCCAAAACTGTTTTTAAATATGTACCGCATGAACTTCAGAGTCCAAATTTTCCAAAACTGCTTTGCCAGCAAAAAAACCACGGCCAAGAGGACTATATGGAACAATTCCAATCCCACGCTCCCTGCATATAAACAAGGCTTTTTATTACAAAACGTCCCTGAGGTAAGTGATTTGCCAAGATTTGCACAAGCAAGCGTGTAAATATAATGTACCTGCAAAGTGGAACAATCTCTTCCTCAATATCACGAGTCCAAAGAGACCACTCCATTTGTATGGCTGTGATGGGATGAACTGCATGTGCCCTCCTTATTGTGTCCGGGCTCGCTTCAGATAATCCTATATACTTTATCTTCCCTTCTTCCACCAGTTTCTTCAGCTCACCCATCTAAACTCCAAAGCAAATACAGAAATGAAAAATATCTAATCAGGGTTCTGGGATTGCGTTTAGCACAAAACTGCGTAGTTTTAGACTTCAATCAATCTGTTATGAACTTATGATATGCAGAGTTTGGTACATTATATATATGCATACACATTAAATTACATACAGTATCCTCTATAGGCACCGATTGATCCACTCGGTGCTGATAGTAGAGATCGATGTAGTCGACGCCAAGACGCTTCAAGCTAGACTCACAGCATACCCTGACATACTGAGGGTCACCCCTTACTACCAGACAAGGCGGTCCCGAGCTTACAACACCAAACTTTGTGGCTATCTGAACTCTTTCTCTTGGCAACTGCTTCAAGGCCTAAATGTTGATAAAATGTTTCTAATTAGTGGAGTTAGTCTAATTAAGTTACTTGATCAATATTGCACAAGTGGAATAATGATGAGGACTTGGAGATGGAAGTATACCTTGCCAACAAGAATTTCATTGTAATGATCAGTTCCATATATATCAGATGTGTCAAAGAAGGTGATCCCTTTACTGAAGGCATCTTTTATTAGTGATATTCCTTCCTTTTCAGCCTCAGGGGAGTTGATCCAACTCAGCCCCATGCATCCAAACCCCAACTTTGATACCTGCAGACAGAGCAAGGAAATGAATTAGAAAGTCTATTGCAGAAGCAGAAGCAGAAGCAAGCCAAAATGCAGTGACAAAATTTCATTTGAAAAACAGAATGATATTGTACCTCAAAACCTTGGGTTCCAAGTTCAACTCTTGGAATCTGAATTCCCTGCCCCTCAGTCATTTTGTTTCTCTTTTTTATCTAAATAATTGCTTTCAATTGCTTCCTCTTAGATCAACAATCCCAGATGTAAATAGGATTTTTGAGAGCTGACTGAGAAATAGCAAAGTAAAGATGCAAAGTGACCTGTTTATAGGGTTTAAAGTTGGCCACACACACATCACTGATTATTACATAATATCTACCCACTAGTCTTACACTGACATCACTGACTATGTCACTATGCCAATGGCAATGGGAATAATATCTAGTACAACTTTGACCCATTGGATTATTATGTCACTGGCCAATCAATTGACATCACTCTTTATGTCACCATGCCACTATGCTATCAGTTCTATTCTGATTTAACGTTTCCTTCATTCATAGAGATCCTCTCCAAAAGAAAGGGAACCAAGAAAGTCTTGAAAGATTGGTAACTTGTGATTACTTCTGTTGCAGAAACAATCATATGCAAAATACAAAGAAAATGAAAGAAGCTTTAGAAATGGATTATACCTCAAGTCCTTGATTTCCAAGTTTGACTCTTGGAATCTGTGTTCCCTTCCCTTCAGCCATACTAATCTTCTTTAATTTTCTCCAAAAACTTTGTTTTGATTGTTTCCTGTAAACCTAAATGCAGATAGGTTAGTTCACCCTGCCTATTCTCCACAGCTTGAGTTTATTTAGTCTCTTCTCAAGCTCAACAGTTTCAATTCAACAGCTGTTCTCTTATGCGGATTAATTGGTGCGAATAGCTTGCAGAAAATAAGCATCCACCACCATTAAAATGAACCGTCCGATGCTTCTTTCTATTTGCTTAAAGAGATTTATAATAAATAAAAAGTACAACAAAAAGAAGAAAATAGACTTTGAGAAATCAGAATTTCTTCATTAAACCTGCAATGAATTGCACGTCCCGAGGAATGGAGGTGAGAGAGAAGAGCTGGAATTTGAAAATCTGCAATGAATTGCAAGTTAGAGAGAGAAACTGAGTTTTAGAGAGAGAGGTGGAGGAAATGAAATGACAGAGAGAAAGAGGGAGAGAGATACTTCGAGGCCATCGTCGGTGTCATAGTCAACGCCGAAACGCCGAAAGTGGAGTAATTGTGGTCAGCCTCAAAGCTGCGAGCCACCATTTTCGGTTTCGCGGGTCCGATGATAATCTCTGCTTATAGCCGCGCGGCTATACTATTTAAATGTTGAATACATTTAAACGTTATAGCCGCGCGGCTATACGCTTAATAAATTTAATAAATTTATAATTTATAGCGGCACGGCTATATTCTGTAATTATTTGAATATATTCAAACAGTATAGCCGCGCGGCGATACTCTCTAATAAATTTAATATATTTAAAATGTATAGCCGCGCGGCTATAATCTTTAATACTTGATCAAACAACCTAGAAGCCATAAATACAAATTTAAAAAAGTGAAGAAAATAGACTTTGAGAAATGAGAATTTCTTCATTAAAAGAGAAAAAAAAACAAAGAAGAAGAAGAAGAAAAGGGTATGAGAGCAATTAATTGTAGTGGAATTTATTGGTGATTGTTTTGTCCACATATTATTATACAACAGAAGTTTGATTTGCAATCAATTCAACAAAATAGAATATCCTTAAAGTCCAAGACTGAGACGGAAAAGTGTCCATGTCTTAAAGCTCAGATCTTTGAATCTTTTGGAGGAGTGTTGGCGAGCTTCCATTGCCACTGCATCAGGATTCCGCTGTCGCTATCACCGGCGGCTTGGTTAATTGGTACAGCATCAGAAATTTCTTTGATGTCTTCTTCCTTGAGTTTCACTCCCAAGGAGCCAATGTTTGAATCCAGGTTCTTAATCTTTGTTGTCCCTGCAGTGGAAATTCACAACGAAATGGACAATGTGTCAATGGACAGAAACAATGTTTCTTGGTTGATTTCATGAGCAAACAAATGCTGGTAAGAAAACTGAAAAGATAAAAAATTCAAACCCTGATCTTAAAGAATCTTGATTGGTTTCATGCCAATTATAAATCAATGAAGACTCACCCGGGATAGGCACAACATCATTTCCTCGGTGCAGAACCCATGATAGTGCTAGTTGAATAGGAGAGGTTTGGTGCTTTTTTGCAAGGCTTTCTATTCGATGGTAAATTTCCTTGTTCTTGTTTAAGTTCTCTCCTACAAACCGAGGATGGTTGGCCTGGCGCAGAAAAGAAAAATGGACAAGATTCAATCAACCAAAATTAGTTTTCATACACAGAAAAAGAACATACTTCAAATTTATAGTTGTAAAATCCAGACACCCTGAACCTGTAGTTTTCTACTTCAACTGCATAAAAAAGTGAGACACAAAAAACACAAGACAATAACTGCACAATTTTCACAAAACTACTGAGCTGCTAGGTTTTTGAGTTTACTATGATTTTGTTAAAATGACATAATGCCGAAGAAAAAACCAAGATTAGAATCAAGCTCTTCTCTCTCAGTTTTTTGTTACTCTGCAGAACCTACATTTACTTCTATAACAGACTGAGCAGAAAAAGATTATGAAGAACAACCTACCACAAAGCTATTTGCAGCCACACCTTCCACAACTCCTCTGCCTCCGAAAAAACCACGACCAAGAGGACTATATGGAACTATTCCAATGCCAAGCTCCCTGTATGTGACAACATTGAACAAAATAACTGACACAAATTAGAGTTATTATAGACACACTTTGGGAACATTCCACAAGCGTTTAAGTAACTGCAATCATTTTTTCACAAGTAGAGGGGAAGCATTACAAAAATGGAAAATGGGGAAGCAATTCAGGGTTGAAAGTGGATTTTGAAACACACCTGCAAACTGGAATAAGCTCTTCCTCAATATCACGAGTCCAGAGGGACCACTCAATTTGTAAAGCCGTGATGGGATGAACTGCGTGTGCCCTCCTTATTGTGTCCGGGCTGGCTTCAGACAACCCAATATACTTTACTTTTCCTTCTTCCACCAGTTTCTTGAGCTCACCTACCTGAACTCCAGGAAAAACAAAAGTAACCCCCCCACTATTTCTACAAGAAGCTATGTAAAAGCACTTCCAATATTATACAGTTGCGGTGCTTTTAGCTGAATGAGGAAGAGAATCACATACAGTTTCCTCTATAGGCACTGTCGTGTCCACCCGGTGCTGATAATACAGATCAATGTAGTCGACGCCAAGACGATTGAGGCTAGCCTCACAGCATGAGCGGACATACTCAGGAGTGCCCTTCACTGTAATTCTAGGAGGATCAGGTCTTCCAGTAATACCGAACTTTGTGGCCACTTGAACTTTTTCCCTTGGCAGCTGCTTCAAGGCCTTCATTATATAAACACACATACATTTGAGCTGGTAATAGTCTGCTTCTTTGTGAATTATATCTACCATGAATTAATCAATCAGGTGTGTGTGGTTAGTTCACAAGTGGAAATACAAACCTTGCCAAGAAGAATTTCATTCAAGTGGGGTCCATATACATCAGCTGTGTCAAAGAAAGTGATTCCTTTACTGAAGGCATGTTTTATTATGGAGATACCATCCTCCTCTAGGACAGGAGAGTTGTAGATCCCACTCAGGCCCATGCATCCAAACCCCAGTTTTGAGACCTGATGATGAGCAAGGAGATCAGAGATTTTGAAACAAAACTGTAAAAATTGGAAGAAACTAAGCATCTAAATCAACCGTAGTGTTCTAAATGGATGAATACAATACCTCAAATCCCTGACTTCCAAGTTGAACTCTTGGGATCTGTACTGCCTTGTCCTCAGCCATAGTGTTGTTTGTTTGTTTGTTTTGATTGATCCCAAAATGTAAGCAGGATAGGATGGGCTAAATAAGCACTGCAAAGTATACGCCGTGTTAGGATCGGAGTTGGGCACACGAGTTATTATATATGCCTAGACTAGTCTTTGCATTGACATTACTGGCTGGCTCTGCTGTGTTATAATCTCCGGGCAATTCTGGCAACTGAAAATACATATAATAATATGTCATTCTTCAGTGGACATGACTGGCCGTGTCAATATATAACAGGGTCTGAGAGTCAACTCTGCTACAATTCCAGCTCAAGAAAATTCAATCACACTTTACAAACTTTTGATTGTTTTTTCCTCCCAACAAGTCAACTTTTCTTAAATTATGAAGGTGGTGGGTGGCATCTTCAAAATATATGATTTGAGCACAGCCAAAGATGAAATTGGAATAAAGGGAGATGAAATTGGAATGCGAGATTTACCACTCAAGTCCTTGACTTGACCGCCCAATTTAACCCTCAAGTCCTTGATTTGGTTGTCTTCATCCATCCATCCAACCAACCATGATCCATCTAGCTTCATTCTGCCTTTCCAAAGAAAGGCAAAAATTAAAAAAACGGAATGCACCAGCCGGGAATCGAACCCGGGTCTGTACCGTGGCAGGGTACTATTCTACCACTAGACCACTGGTGCCCGGATGAACACTTATCTCCAACCACTCTATTATCTAACCATTGCAATCGGTTTTGAAGGTAAAAACCCAAAAAATATGCACCAGCCGGGAATCGAACCCGGGTCTGTACCGTGGCAGGGTACTATTCTACCACTAGACCACTGGTGCCTTGATGCTTATTCATTTCAGCTTAAATGATTTTACTAAAATTATCACCACTTTGCTCCTAATTGAACCAGAAATACATTCCTCTGTTTTTCTCGACCTGATGATGCAGCAGGTTATGTCTCACTATAAGAACAACCGGGCAATCGTGCTTGTAATTTTATGGCCTGTCCTTCCATGGATGCTTCCAGTTTCAAGCCCCCATGTCACGTTGAGGTAGGTGCCCATGGATTTTAGCTTTTATTTATTCAAGTATCTATCTATATTTATGAAAAACATCAGGCATCCCAACAGAAGTGAGCAGCATTCACCACAGAACTTGCAATTGCATTGGAAACCAACATCAGTCTTATTAATAATAAAAATACACACAAGCAACATCTCATCACATTCTCTGTTACAAGAAAATATATGCAGGCCCGATTGCCTACACAAACATTTCTAAGATAGTATTGTGCTCTCTTTTGCCGGTGTATCTGCAAACTTCCAAGAGCAGGTAATAAAACTGGCAACTATTCTTTCCCCTGCCACCGCGTTGATGGGTATCATATCAGAAATCTCTTTTACATCTTCTTCAGTGAGTTTCACTCCCAAGGAACCGACATTAGTATCAAGATTTTTTATCTTAGTTGTCCCTACAAAACCACAAGGAGAGGTAAACATCCTTGGTTTTAATTTGTTATAGAAAGAAAAGAGATTTGTCCAACAGTAAACATTGATCAAGGTACATTGCTCTTATTAAGTAATCTCCACCAGTGGTTTCCCTTTTCCATTATTTGACACAGCACATTACGTGACCGATAAGGCAGATTATATAGGAAGGAAAAGGGCACTCACCAGGGATAGGTACCACACCATCACCTTGATTAAGAACCCAAGCAAGGGCAAGTTGTGCAGGGGTGCATCCATGCTTTTCAGCCAACATTCCTACGTTACCATAAAGGACCTTGTTTTTCTCAAAGTTGTCTCCAATCAAACGAGGATTTGATGCCTGGGATAACAAATTGATTGGCCACCGAATCAGCAACAAGAGAAAATTAACAAATTCCAGGCTTGCATTGCAGCTGTCTGAATGAGATGCTCTTTATCATATAATATTTAGAAATGAAAAGCTAATACATGAAATCTCTGAGTGGCGTAGGTTACCAAAAAACTATTTGCAGGTATACTTTCCACCACTCCCCTGCCACCAAAAAATCCACGACCCAGGGGGCTGTATGGCACTATTCCAATTCCAAGTTCCCTATGTCAACACACACATTGATCATTATTTATACAAGAGAAATAAGCGTGCATGCAAATTGTGAATAAATGCTAACAGCTTCCTTTAGTGCAACAAGAAACATACAGTGCACCCTCTAACACAAAAATTTGAGGATATATGTTGAGTAACCTACAATTCAATTTCCTTTTTCCCTTTTGAGTGAAAGGTTAAACTTCTTATTTTGTTCACTGGATACAACTAACTACACAAGTCCCCCAGAACACCAAATCTCATAAGTAGAGTGGTAGATAAATTAGATGGAAGCATGTAAATTGGGTACTGTATTGAAACATGTAGCAATGCTTCATTTCTGACTCTGGTTTTTGCACAGAACTTTGAAATTTAAACTGAGGTTACCTGCAAAGTGGGACGATTTCTTCCTCAATTTCGCGAGTCCAAAGGGACCACTCCATCTGTATAGCAGTTATGGGGTGAACTGCATGTGCTCTCCTTATTGTGTTTGGGCTAGCTTCAGATAGTCCAATGTACTTTATTTTTCCCTCATTCACCAACTTTTTCAATTCCTCCATCTGTCCTCGCAATAATTGTAAGTATTAAAAGTTAATAAAGAACCAAGACACTGAGAAGTCCCACACCAAAAGGGTTGAAGCAAATCTACAACTTCAGACGGTTGGGTCATGATTATGAAAAAAGAGAAGAACTAACCAAAACATGAAAAAAGAAGAGAAGAAAGGCTTAAGATTACACTTAAAAGTGGGGGAAAATAGGTAACACTTACAGTGTCTTCTATGGGGACAGTTGTATCTATTCGGTGCTGATAGTAAAGATCAATGTAGTCCACACCAAGGCGCTTCAGACTAGCTTCGCAGCAGGAGCAGACATATTCAGGAGTGCCATTTACAACCACTTGAGTGTTTTCAATTTTTACAATACCAAACTTTGTTGCCAATTGAACCTTATCTCGAGGTAACTGCTTCAATGCCTAAAGTTAAACGGAAGACAACATAAATGACCAACAACAAAAGCAGACCAACGTATAAGGCAAGTTATCAGGTAGTGGGCTTATTAGATGGTACCAGTCCCTTAGTTCAATGTCGAGAACTAGTAAGATCCAACACTGAATGTTCTAATCAGATGGCATATAAGCTAAGCTCCCAAGGGTTATTCTGGGCATAACGCGTGTGACTAGGTGAAAAACCTTGGAATTATGGAAGGACTATTTGGGAGCAGACTTACCTTTCCCACCAAAACTTCATTAGTATGTGGTCCATATACATCTGATGTATCAAAGAATGTTATTCCTTTATTGAACGCGTACTTGATGATTGATATGCCAAGCTCTTCAGGGACTGGAGCGTTATAGATTCCTGTAAGCCCCATACACCCAAATCCCAACTTGGAAACCTGCACAAGAAATGAAATTTCTATTTACAACAAATCAATGTTAAACCACCTTTTGTTTGGAATTGGAGGAGAGTAAATAACATAATTAAATGGCAGAAATGTTAAACCAGAGTTAAAAACCACAAATAGAGCTCAATCCAAAAAAGGGCCAATCTTTGAAAAACTAAACACCTAATCTAAAAACCCAGAAAACAGGGAAGCCTTGAGAGGTTCTTATTCTTGTTTTCTGCTGTGATATATGTTGATTGTTGGAGCCCGATGACTGTGAAAGAACAAGTTTTTTTGTTGACATTGGTCCGTCTATACTCTATGTGCTTGCTTATAGTACATGGGGTTTTAAGTTTATGCTGAAAAACACACACAAAACAGAAGAAAGTAACGAAGAAATACAATGTAACCACAAAGTTTTGATTTTTCTTGCTGCTACTGAAACTTGAATTCAAAGATCAGAAATGGGTTTTACCTCGAAACCCTGACTTCCCAGTCGTACTCTGGGAATTTGAATTGTCTGCTCCTCAGCCATTCTGCTTCTTCTTCTTTGTTTCACTTCAATCTTTTTACTCTCTAATTGGTGCTCAAGTTGGAGATTGCAAATTCTGTGAGTTCAGACAGAGAATAGAGAGCGAGCCTATATAAAGGTACATGGTAATTGTTATTTTATTTAACGTTAAAATGATTTCTATCGTCATTGCTGACATCATTCTTTCTTTTAGATCACTGAGTATGTCATTGGTCTGCACAAGTCTATACTAAAACTCTTGAATGAGATCTGAAGTTTCAAATCTGTGTCCATCTTTTCTGTCAATATTACAAAGGAATAAGTTTCTTAGTTTCATGAAAGTTTCAAGTTACTTTCAAAATGGGAAAATTAGTTACTGTTTGTTGATAGTTCGTATCATCACCATAAGCCGAGCCTATTATGAATTGTCACGTGATCATAACAGGTCACCTGTGTACCGACCCAACCATACACGAATCATGTGTTGTCGCTGCCAATCTTCCCAGTCGGAGGGTGACGAACCCATTGATTGGTCTAGTGCTCGGGTAATCGAATATCTACCCGATCTCTAGGGCGAGCATCTCATGCCCGAGGTGCGCTAATGACTAGCCGACCTGACTAGGCTCCTATCAAATCGATCAACTTTGTCCTTGCGATACACAGCCTGACGAACAAGAAAGGTCGATTAAATGCACATCTCATCCTCAAACAGGTGTCGCTTTATCCGTTGATCTCCGAATAAACAGATTGGTGATGCAGAGGGATCATTTAATTCACCTCCCATCCTTGGTCGCTTGTCAATTCGCCACTTGACCTTTGTCCAACAGCATGGTGATCAGAAACAGAACATTAAATGTGACCTAGGGCAGAGGGACATGAGATAATATCTCTTTTATGAAATATCTTAGTCCCTCATTTTCCCTATAAATACCATTCACCTACACCAGGACAAAGGTAATAAATATTCTCATTGTGAAAACCCTATATCCATTCTCACCAAGAACAGTTTCTGACTAAACCATCGGAGAGGGCTCAACTGGGATCAGCCCCAATTCGCTCTTGTTCTATATTGTTCTAAGTGTGCAAACCTTTCCCAGGAGATCATTCATCTATGGGATCAGATACATATCCAGGCCCCTGCTTGAAGTCCAAATCATCTGTACGAGAAGGATACACTATTTACACTATTAATGGGAAGAATTTGCAACGTTTACTGGGAAAATTAGTCCCGGACCTTTGTTCTTGTTCATGAGTGTTACAATTTCAAATTGGACCTTCGATCAATATGATCTTTATTATGATGCTGAATATTAGCGTTGGAAACCCAACTCAAAATCATAGTGATAATTGCATAAGCAAACATTTAAGAATCAACAACATCAAAATGGTGTTTTGCCATGTTTTGGTGGTGTATTTGCAAACTTCCATGAGCAGCGAATGAGACTATCAGAAACTCTATCCCCTGCCGCCGCGTTGACGGGTATCATATCAGAAATCTCTTTTATGTCTTCTCTCGTGAGTTTCACGCTCAAGGAACCAATATTAGCATCAAGATTTTTTGTCTTAGTTGTCCCTACAAAACACACAAGGAGAGATCAGTTTGCCCAGTTTACACAAAGATAAAAAGAAGAAAAAGTAACAGAATTTGCCTTTAACATCATGTACATGCAATAAGGCAAGGGGCACGCACGCACCGGGGATAGGTACCACATTATCAGCTTGATTAAGAATCCATGCAAGCGCGAGTTGTGCAGAGGTGCATCCATGCTTTTCAGCCAACTTTTCTACTTTACCATAAAGGATCTTGTTTTTCTCAAGGTTGTCTCCTTGAAAACGAGGATTTGATACCTGATTACAAATTGATTGGCCTTCAAATAACCAAGCTTATTCTCATAGTTCATAAGCAACTAGAAGAAATTTGCAGCTGTCTTGAATTTAAGGAGATGCATAAAATCTCTAACATAGGTTACCTGAAAACTATTTGCAGGTAAACTTTCGACAACTGCCTTGCCACCGAAAAATCCACGACCAAGAGGGCTGTATGGCACTATACCAATTCCGAGTTCCCTATGGTCCAACATACACAACAGAGTTTCTGCACATTAATCATTCTTTATACAAGAAAAAGAAGGATTACAATGAAATTGCGAAAGCAAGCTTCGTTTGACAGGAACTTGGTGCAGGATCCTCTACCAGCAAAAGGATGAGTACGTATCAAATCCAACCATGTGTAAAGCTCTACCTGCAAAGTGGGATAATTTCTTCCTCAATTTCACGAGTCCAAAGGGACCACTCCATTTGTATAGCAGTTATGGGATGAACTGCATGTGCCCTCCTTATTGTCTCTGGGCTAGCTTCAGATAATCCAACGTACTTTATTTTCCCCTCTTTCACCAGCTTCTTTAGCTCCTCCATCTACCCTTATGAAAATAGCAAAGATTAATAGTTTAATTAAAATTCCAAGAAGTACAGAAATCCCAATTCCTCTGCTACAAGGAAGAGTTGAATTGGAGTAAATCCACAACTTCCAACTGTTGGACACCATGATGATTTAGAGGAAAAAAAAACAGAGAAACTGAAAAGGAAAAACACTTCAGATTGCTATAAAAAAAGGGCTTACAGTGTCCTCTATGGGGACTGATGTGTCTATCCGGTGCAGGTAGTAAAGATCAATGTAGTCCACGCCGAGGCGCTTCAGGCTAGCCACACAGCAGGAGCGGGCATATTCAGGAGTGCCATTTACAACAACTTGATTAGGCTCAAATTTTACAACACCAAATTTTGAAGCCAACTGAACCTTATCTCGAGGCAACTGCTTCAATGCCTGAAACACTTACGCTAAATTTTAAGTCCTCTAACAAGTCACACCCACAGCACAAAATCCAGCACGGAATGTTCTTATGAGATGAACCACCTTGAAATACCATTTGGGAGCAGACTAACCTTTCCAATCAAAACTTCATTAGTACGCGGTCCACAAATATCTGATGTATCAAAGAATGTTATTCCTTTATCGAACGCGTACTTGATGATTGATATCCCAAGCTCTTCAGGGACTGGAGCCTCATTGCAGATTCCAGTGAGCCCCGTACATCCAAATCCCAACTTGGAAACCTGCAAAAACAAATGTATTTATTGTGAAAGTGAAACAAGAAATGCTTTTATTCGGAACCAACCCAATACAACCAGTGCCAATCTAAACACCTAATCTAAAAAACCAATAGCACAGAACCCAGAGAAGCCTTGTGATAATAATATGTTGAGTGTTCGAAACTTAAAATCGAGGATCTGAAATGGGTTTCACCTCGAATCCCTCACTTCCCAATTGCACTCTTGGAATCTGGCATCTCTGCTCTTCAGCCATTTCTGCTTCTGCTTCTGCTTCTTCTTCTTCTTCGTTTTCACTCCCAAGTCTTTGTCTTTTTCCTCCCCATTCGGTGCTTGTATGAGTTCAAGACCAGCCAAAACAGTTTATCGTTATTTTATGGAATTTTGATTCTCTGCTACGAAGTTCTGTGCTGGCTTTTGGTTGGTTTTAAATGTGAGCTTGCCACGCCGCTATTGTAAAAATCAATTGGCCAGAAATTTGACACCTCACCTCACACAGTCAAGGTAGGATACCAAAAGTTTTTGACCCGCGTCAAAGAAGTAACGTTGACTTCTTGACTCCAAGAAGAAGTCATCTTTTTTCAAATTTTTTGTTTGCATCTTCCTTTCCCCCCACATATTCATTGTCTCCCTCTCCCCACAAACAAAAACTGGAAAATTCATTTTTGGTCCACTAAGAAATTATGCTGAAATATTGGCACTTTATTCACATTCATAAGAGCATCTCCACCCACAAGGGCTAAATATAAGACAAGGGCAAGCAAGGGCTGCCACTACTCACGTGAATAGTGTCAGCCTTTGCATTTGTGGTTCCACCCATGAGGGCAAAGTCTAGGGCAAGTCTAAGACAATTACTATTCATTGTACTTTGTTTCCTATTTTTTTATACTTTAAACCATTAATTTTGATAAGCTTTTTAGATTATATTTTCGGTTGTCATATGTCACTATTTATTATAAAATTTTCACTTAAAATTTAAGATAACATTTTTCGGATAAAATTTTCAAGTAAAATTTTCGAATAAAATTTTCGGTTGCCACGTGTCCATATTTATTATAAAATTCACATCTCACTCATCATACAATTGAAATACCTACTCACTCATCATACAATTGAAATATTCTTGGTCCTCATAGTCCGACACAATGGAATACAAGGACAACTCCATCATTGGCGGAGGTGGTTTTACCGGATCACGACGTGGGGGAGTATTTTCCTTCGGAGGACGTAATAATGCCATTATTTCTGACACGGAACGCACCACTGAAACTGACTGCGGGCATTGTTCACTTGAGGAGCCATGTGTAATGGTTTTCCTCTTTCGCCGTGGAGGAGGACGTAAAATTGGATTCATCGTGTGCTGACGTCAGCACGACGTCAGCATGATGTCACATAACTCGGGCTGAAGCCCAGGCGAAACCTGCCCTTGGGCTTGCCCAGGCTGGTGGGACCCAGGGCTTGCTCGGGCTTGATGTCGCGCGCTGGAGGTCGTTTGGGCCAACTCAGGGGGCCTTTTGCCCGGTTTTGGTGCTGCGGTGGAGAAGCTCTAAATGCATCAAAGAAGTTCAATTGCATTGCAAACCAATATCAGAATCAGATAAGTAACACACATGTATGATGTAGCAGTATCAGTGGTTTTTTACGATCATTTGCTGCTCTCAGTTGTAGCAGGATTACAAATTCTTACAGGGAATTTGCAGACCAGATTGCATATGCAAACATCCATCTAAGATGGTCTTTTGCTGGTGTATTTGCAAACTTCAAGGAGCAGCTAATAAAATTATCAGCTACAATTTTCCCTGCCACCGCGTCCAGAGGTATCGTATCAGAAATCTCTTTTATATCTTCTTTGGTGAGTCTCACTGAGAAGGAGCCAATGTTATCAACAAGATTTTTTAACTTAGTTGTCCCTACAAAAACACAAGGAGAGGTCAGCAAAATGTCATGATTCTGATATTGGTTCGTAATGCATCAGACTAGAGTGAACTTATTATCACAGATGCTGCAACGTATGAATAACACATTGGATGACTGAGGCAGATCAGGACGGAAAGGGGAACGTATGAGGGATCGGTACGACATCATCACCTTGACTGCGAATCCATGCAAGGGCGAGTTGTGCAGTGCTGCATCTATGCTTTTTAGCCAACTTTTGTATTCTACCATAAAGGATCTCAAGGTTTACTGCTGATAACAAAATGATTTTCCAAATCAATAGCAAGCTTATTATCATAACCAACAACAGGAAACTAACAAATTGAAGGGCTTGCATCAATCTGAGCAAGATGCTCTTTATCATATAGTAATTAGAATGAAAGAACTTGATAGGTTACCAGAAAACTATTTGCAGGTACACTTTCCACAATTGCCTTGCCACCAAAAATCCAGAACCAAGAGGGCAGTATGGGACAATCCCAATTCCAAGTTCCCTTCCCTATGTTCCAACAAGCACAACAAACTTTTCATTTTTTTGATTCATCGTTTCACTAAATACAACTAATCCTATACACGCTGTACAGCACTGGGGATTCCGAAAACACTGCCAACCAAAGCAAGCAGCACAGAAATCATCCAGAACTCCTCTCAAAAGTAGACTGGTATAAAAGTTCAATGGAAGCATGTAAATTGGTAAAGTTGTATGAAAGCATGTGTGGTTTCTCCACAGATTTTTTGGAATTGGTATATAAGATGAGGGTTACCTGCAAAGTGGGACAATTTCGAGAGTCCAAAGGGACCACTCCATTTGTATAGCAGCAATGGGATGAACTGCATGTGCCCTCCTTACTGTGTCTGGACTAGCTTCAGATAATCCAATGTACTTTATTTTCCCCTCTTCCACCAGCTTCTTTAGTTCCTCCATCTACAATAGCAAGTATAAATAGTTCAATAAAAAAGTTGAGAAATCCCAACACCACTGCTACTAGTAAAGGGTTGAAGCAAATCTTCAACTTCAAATTGCTCATCTATCATGATTTAGAAAACAAAAGAGAAAACTGAACTTTGCACTTTAAAATGGGGGGGCAAATATAGGTAACACTTACAGTGTCCTCTATGGGGACTGTTGTGCGGATAGTAAAGATCAATGTAGCCAACGTCAAGGCGCTTGAGGCTGGCCTCGCAACACGAGCGAACATATTCAGGAGTGCCATTTACTACAACTTGAGTAGATTCAAAGTTTACAATGCCGAACTTTGTAGCCAACTGAACCTTCTCTCGAGGCAACTGCTTCAATGCCTGAAACACTCCAAATACTAAGTTAAGCCCTCTCAATAAGTCACAAGAGACAACATAGAATGGCCTACAATGCAAGCTTATCAACATGCAAAGCAAGTTATCAGTAGTGAGCGAGGTTTGCCTGTACAGGAAAAATTGCACCTTTTAACTGCTATTGCTTTCCCTCCATGTTCAATTGTGATTTATATTGTCATTAGGAACCAGCTTGAAAAGAATAAGGCATTGGGATCAGAAGTTACCTTTCCAATCAAAACTTCATTAGCATGAGGCCCATAAACATCTGATGTATCAAAGAATGTAATTCTGTTATCGAATGCGTACTTGATGATTGATATTCCAAACTCTTCAGGGACTGGAGCATTATAGATTCCAGTAAGCTCCATACACCCAAATCCCAACTGGGAAATCTGCATATAAGTTATAACAAACACAACAATTCATTCACTGAGAAACAGAGCCTCCCCTGTTTTACTGTAAATTAGGGCTTTTTAGACATAAGCCCAATCAGTTTGTAACCAAACCCAATCCAAAAAGACGGCCTAGTCCTAAATATTAAAATACTACAGGCAGGCACATCTTCAATTCAACCGTCGTTTAGAAATCAAAATCAAAATCCGAAAACCTAAAACCTAAAATCTAAAACCCCTGAACCCTGGGAAGCACAGTGAGTAGGGATTTCGGACCTCACGAGCCCTCGTCACAATGTCGATGTCGAAGAGCTCCAAGATGCTGCAATTCATAAACTACCGCATGAGGGTGACGATCCAGGACGGTCGTCAGCTCGTCGGTAAGTTCATGGCCTTCGACCGCCACATGAACCTCGTCCTCGGCGACTGCGAGGAGTTCCGCAAGCTCCCTCCTCTCAAAGGCAACAAGAACGAGGAACGCGACGACCGCCGAACCCTAGGCCTCGTCCTCCTCCGCGGCGAAGAGGTTGTCTCCATGACCGTCGAGGGCCCGCCTCCCCAGGAAGAATCCCGCGCCAAGGCCGCCAGCGCCGCCGCCTTAGCAGGCCCGGGAGTCGGCCGGGCCGCCGGTCGTGGCATCCCAACCGCCCCGCTCGCCCAGGCCCAGCCAGGTCTCTCCGGTCCGGTTCGCGGCGTCGGCGGGCCCGCCCCCGGCATGATGCAGCCTCAGATTTCTCGGCCGCCGCAGATGTCCGCGCCGCCCATGTCGTACCCGGCTGCGCCGGTGATTCGGCCACCTCAAGGTCAGATGGCTCCGTACCCTGGACAGGGCCCGCCGCAAATGGTGCGGGGACCTCCGCCTGGGGTGCCTCCTCCGCAGTTTGCTAGGCCTGGTGGGCCGGGCCCGCCGCAGCAATTCCCGGGACCACCACCAATGCAGTTCGGGCAGAGGCCGATGGGACCTCCGCCTCAGATGATGAGGGGACCGCCGCCGCCGCCCCGTCCCGGAATGCCTCCTCCCCCCGGTGGTGGTGTTCCTGTGTATGGACCGCCTCGTCCAGGCATGCCGCCTCCTCCACCCAACCAGCAGAACCAACAGCAACAGTGATGATTGGTACTTTTATCCTATATGTTTAGTTTTGTTTGTTTTGAACTCTTGAGTGAAATCCTGAATGTTTGTCTGTGGGTGATGAGGTAGCTGGCTTAGTAATGTGAAATGAACCTACTTTCTCTTATGATTTAGACTGAATAGATGTTTTCATTTGACGTGTTTGGGATTTCTATGTGTTTGAACAATGAAGTGAAAATTTTCTGTTGCAAACTTTCTATTTAGTATGTTTTGTGAATGAGTGGAATCTCTGTAGGAGAGGAGCAGGACCTTGCTAGTTTAGTTTCTATCAAGTCAAATGAAATGAGGGATCATTAAGCTTAGTCTTGTTTTTCTGCTGGAATTAATCTAAAAGTTGATTGTTGATGCCTCATGAGAACAAGTTTCCGTGCTTATATTGTTGCTCTGTCTATACTCTAGCTTCTGCTGTATCTGATTTTGAACTCAGTATGATTTCATACTCTTGGGATTTTCAAGAGTATGAAGTGGATTTTAAGTTTCACTAAATATGACGTGTGCATTATGCAGAAAACCACATATAAACTAAAGAAACTGATAAAGAAATACTAGCTGAACACATATAGAACTTATCAAGTACCTGAAATGTGTTTCACCTCAAATCCCTGACTTCCAAATTTCACTCTAGGAATTTGGACTCTCTGCTCCTCAGCCATTCTATTGTGCTTCAGCTTTTCTTCAATTCTTTTTCCTCCCTACTTGGTTCAGAGAACAGCCTGGTTCAGGACGACCAAAACAGTTAGTCGTTATGTTCTATATTTTGTGTCAACATTAGGGTTGTTTCTTATCGGTAATCATTGAGGACCTACATCCAAATTGCATCTCATAATGAAACTCTTGAGTGTATGTCAACTTTTTTTTTATAAAACACGAGGCACACATTTTGCATAAGTTATATCATAATAATCCCAACGTGTTCCTCCCGCTCTCCTTATTTTAGATTAAGTTGTCCAGCTCTCACTCACTAATAAAACCAATTTTGTAATCTTAACAAAATGTTGCGCATTTGAGTTTCTATATGTTTGATAGTTTCATTTGCTTGTGCTTTCACTTACTCACTCTCCCCTGACTGTGTTATGAATGTGATCGGGATGATAAAGTATTTTTTCCTTTTTTGATGGAAAGGGATTTTATTGTTTCTTAGTTGGTTTGTTTCGGTCCTTTTTTTCCCTTGTAATCAAAAAAGGAAAAAAAATGATAAAATCGGTGGAGACTACTTTGGCACTTCATATTTATTTAGTTCCAATCCATTTCCAGAAAGATGAAGAAGCACCAAAATAGTTTGGTATGCTACTAGTACGTCTTAGTTTGTAATTTTGCCATTTTTCATTGGAGGTGTGTTTGCAAACAAAACCTTGTTCTTGGCATTTTTTTTTCTCCATTGAACAGTGGATATGATGTGATTCCTATGATCAAAGTCCATGACTGAAACATAACCGAGTTTCCAGAAAGCTTATTCGTTACATGAACATAGTTGAGTTGGGACTAGCTAGCTAGGTAGCCAATTGGACCTTTTCTCTAGGCAATTGTCTCATTCGATGCCTTGAGAAACTCTCTTGTGAAAGTGTTATTCGGTCAATAATGCAATGACCCATATAATAACTTTTTCACACGACATTGTATTATTAGTCCAGATAGCAAAAATTGTTATTCTCATATAGTTTTTTTGGTCTGAAAGAGGTAAAAAGCACTGACACTGGGGACACGTAATTGATTTAGAGTGATGGTAAGTATTGGAATTTTACCTTGGCCTCGAGTGTGGGGTCGATAAACATCTGTAGTATCGAAGAATGTGATTCAAAACTTCCTTGATGATTGATTGATAGGCCCACATCTCGAGGGAAAGGGCATTCTAGTGTAATTTCCAGGCATGACATTGACTCCTGCTGCTGCTGTAACATCAAATATTGCCATATTTTACAAACTAAACAATTAAGAGAAGGAATTCGTGATTTCTTTACCTCTTAATGTGGTTTTCTCCTTAACGTGGTTCTTGTCTTATCTTAACCTCTGCGCCGCAAGAAACACTTGGATGAATAGTACTATTTTCAACCAATCACAGTATGTCATGCATGATTATTTTTATACATGTTAATTTGTGATTAATAGAGATAGTAAAACGGTATTATTTTTGTTTTATACCAGTTTTTCTGCAGCTTTGCAAGCCTGCAAAAGCAAGTAGGCACTTTGTTCAAAATAAAAGAGATATTTAGTCATATACTCATTTTTAGCACTAAAACTGTAAATAAATTTTACATCATTTAATTTCTATAAACAAACCCAAAAGAAATTCAAAAAATGATAGCTGATTCTATTGAATTTAATTTTGATTATTAAATTACTTTGATGTCCTATTGAGTGTTTTGAGTTTTTTTATGAGGTTTTGGAATTAAATTTGTTTTAAGAAATTAATGATAGTTTTATAATTTAAAAGAAGTTAAAAGCCTTTTTGTTATGTTGTAAATAGTCTTTGGGTGTATTTTTAAAGTCTATTTTATATAGGATTTGTTTTATAATTTAGACTTTTATATTGAATATAATAGTGAATTTTCCAAAATAAAAGGTCAAAGCTAATTAAACGGAAAGCATGAATATAATAACCTGTTTCGACAAGTGTTGAGTTGCACTACTGTTGTGAGAAATTGACCCTTGCACATTGTCATGCCATGCGGATACAACTGCGATGCCATATGTGTAGTGACTCGTTTAATTCTCCCGGTCTGAGTATTTTTGTATCATTTTCTCTATCTAAAATAATATTAAAAAGATTTTTCAGAGTTTTTATGTGTTGAGAATGAGAACTCCAAATATTCTTGTGACCAAAACGTTTCGGTAAATAATAAATAATAATAAAAACTGACCAAGAGAACCACGACGGTGTGTGGGTTAGCTAGCAGCGGCGCACGGGAGAGTGGTACAGAAAGCAACAGAGATGGACCACCGCCCGAACTGTAATATTGATGAGGAAATAAATTGGAAAATAAATTAATGAAAATAAATTGGTTTTTGTTATGAATTTGTCATTTCTGCCATTGCATATCAGATTTGTATTACAAGCCTAAGTACATGTCATTTTGATTGTTGAAACTTAAATCGGCAATTTCAATCATTTTTGGATTGTGTGTAATTATCTCCGGATCAATTCAACATGTTATTGTGTTTGATCACTCGAGAAGATTTATTCATATTTCACACCATAGTTATTTTGTACTTTAATTTGTTCATCAATAATAACTATCACTCATTCTAATATATATTAGCCGTTAAGGTAGGATTTTATTTGCTTGAAATTAATTCAGTGAGTTGGAAATCACTTCCAAATGGAATGGCTTCACCTTTTTTTTTCTTTCTTTTCTTTCCAAAAATAAGCCAAATGTTAACATCAGGGATCGAAATAAGTAAAAGAAAAATGAAATTAGGAAGTGACAAGAGTGCAGACCATATGTAGCAGCAGATTACTAGGTCTTGATACGTAGGTAACAGGGACAAAAGAAAAAACACATGAAACCTCTTATTTTTGGTGTCATGCCATGCCAGCTTATTTTCCTTTTTGTGTGAACCTTATGCGACCCTGATGAGCCATGCAAAACTAATGGTCCCCCTTTTGCTCTGTGTTTTATACTCTTTTTGGTTCATGCTTGATGCTTACATTACAGCACAGGCACAGGCAGGCAGAGAGAGAGAGGACAGAGGGAGAAGCTCAGAGAGGCGATATGAAAAGGTCGTCCAACTAAAGTTATAAAGCCCTCTTGAGTTAAGAAGATATAGAAACTCTCGCAAAGGCCTGTCTGCATGTGGTGGCGTGGGGGTGACAATTAATATTCTATTTCATTTTTGTTTTCGGGGCCACATGCATCTCTCCTCTCATCTTTTCCCTTGTTTTTACTTTCCATCTACTTTGCTTGCTACCACCACCTAGTGTGTGTGCGCGCGCTTCATTTTCTCACTTTAATTTTCTACTCTCTAATCACTCATTAGTCTATGTACTTTATTACCAAGCTAGCCATTATTATTTCTCGTACAATCAGTGGAAAATAATGCAATATGATGGAAAGTTGAGTCTTATTTCTATTTTTTGTTTTTACAAATTACCCATTAAGAGAAATTGTTGGCAGTAGAACTCGAATCTAAGCTTTGATAGCGAAGACAACAATCATTACCAACTCAATCAACCCATGTTGATATCGTAATATCTTATGGTGATGGTGCAAAATTAACAGCTACGCTACAAATCATGTCCTATTTCAGTCTTAATTAGGTTTAATTGCTAGATTTATTAGGTTTAATTAGCTTACTTATTAAGTTATACCATCCACACATACGAGACAAAAAAGGATGGAGTGGAAGATGCAAAACATGGACTGGAAAAAGTAGGAATTGAAGACCGATTCACATGAGACAAAAGGACAGAGTGGAAGATGCAAAAGTCGATTGCGTGGAAGAAGTAGAACTTAAAGACCCCTAACATCTTCTCGCTCTATTTATATCCTCTTATCTTTTCTCATCTCTGAAGCCTCCTCCAATATGAACAAGAAGAATAGGAAGAACTTAGAAGGAGGAGAAAGACTTATAGTTGAGGTTGAGTGAGGTGAGGAGCTACACACTTGAAAGAATGAGGGTGCGTGAAACGTCGTCGTGCACTTCCAACTGTTGAAGCTGCCAGCATGATCTGAGCTTTCTTTTTATAAGAAAGGCTAGATCATGTGGTAGCTTCATCTGTTGACTGGAGCACCGTAGACCCCTTATCAGCCCCAACTGTTAATCCACCAGATTCTTAGCCATGGATCTCTTCAAGAACCCATTAGGGTTTTCAACCCTAGCTAGAAAAGGTCTGTCTATTTCATACATAAAATTTCCGTCAATTCACTTTTGCACATCTGTGCCACAGTTTTCTCCTTTGCTCATCTGGGTATCTCACACAATTTTGCTTTTGTGCACAACCATTTTATTCATGGCACATCTATATCATATGTATTTTGATGTTTTGGACGTTGTGCATGTTATATTGTTAAAGTGAGAAACCTATGGGAGCTTTAGCATATACAGCTAGGCTTAGGCTTAGGCTGTGGAGATCTCATCTCCATCTGAAGAGCAAGCGAGAGAGATATTGATGTTTGGGGTTTGAGTGACAGAATTTCTGTGTGTCAATGCAGTTTGGTGCTTTTGAGATCCATCCTCTTTCGTTGGGAAAAGTGTTTTTAATTAGTTATATTCCCTTCATGTACAGTTTTGTGTCCATTAATTATTAATTCAAGTTTCTATATGCATTCCTTTGTACTCATCTGTTCTGATCTTTTCATATATTCTTTTTCTACAAGTTTTTATTATTGAATTGAGATTCAGTCTTCCCAAATTACCAATTAATTATAAACCAAAGTCATATATAGATGAGATGAGGAAATAATCTCTCTCTCTCTCTCTCTCTCTCTCTCTCTCTCTCTGTAACAGTGTATATATGTATGAATTCGCCAGATTAGACTGCATGACCACAGTAACAATATTTAGCAGATCTAGGTGCTTGATGGAACATAGTTGCAGATCTGGTAGAAGGACAAGAAAGAGAAAAAAAAGGAATCGGAGAATCTGTTTTTGGGGTTGTTCAAACACATACATCTCAAGGTGCAGGCGTGCATGGAACGGTTTGGCATTTCTTCCCTTTCTTTACTTTAATTTCTGTGATTGATTGATTGATTGATGTGGTCCTAAAATCCCATTAAGATCCTTGGTATATATTAACGTGTGATGATAAGAAAATATCAGACAACAGGTCATGATTATTTCGTTTATGCATATCTCCCGGTCAGTATATATAATGTGTGACATCTTATTACGCCAATGCCTAAATCATGCATCTTAATTTCTGGATAACATTTAAGCTGCTACCTAACTTTTTCAATAACATACTCTCTCTCTCTCTCTGAGTCCGAGTCTTGCATACGTGGAAGTTTAATAATGTAAGCAAAAACTGCAGCACTGCATGAAACCAGTTTGATTGATATATATATATATATATATATATATATGCACATCTAGAGTTGTATCTATGTTGTTCACTTTGTTTTGTTTGGAAGCCCCATTTGGCTACACTCCATACAAGCTTTATGGTTATTGAGTTGAGTGCAACCCACGTCATCCATTTGCTTTCTTGCAAACCCTGTGCAGGGTTTTCCTTTGTCTTAATACCTCAACAACAACAACAACTTGTTGGTGCCTTTGCTTGCTAGAGTCTGTTACATGCTATAATTGGGACTTTCCCACTGCCCAACATAAAACCATTTCTCGGTTTCTCATCCTGTTCACTATTTTTTCAATCCACACTTCAATTGAGGATCAATGTGTCTGGTTCGCTGGTGGTTTAGGTAGGCCTAGGCCCATTAATGAAATGAAATATACTTTGGCGATGGTTTTATTTACACGTATGATATGAGTATGGTGTTATCAATCCACCCAAGTATAAGACCGTAATGAAGCAGATCTCTCACATTTGATACAAGGGTAAAGTTTCCAATGAAAAATGAACCCATTATTCCATGTGCTATAGTTAGTCAAATACAATAACTAGTTGATGCTTGATTGTGATTAGTTTCTCTCACGAAACTACAAACGCATGGACCTCAAAAAATTCAAGATTCTTTATTACTTTGCTGCCTCAAAAGATGTACATAGACGTGGACGAGGAAAAGAAAGAAAGAAAGAAAGAAAGAAAAAAGTGCATAGAATTAAAGATTATTCTAAATTAAATTAGGGAAATAGATGAGTAGAAATGGACTCTTATAAGAGCACGACCCAGTACAAATTGAAACCGAAAATGTACAAACCAATCAAAACGACGTCACTTTATTATTCGAACAACTCAAAATCAAAATCAAAATGCTAACATCATTCTCACAAATTCATCATAATTGACTAAGCCATCACCATCCAAATCTGCTTCTCTGATCATTTGCTCTACCTCTTCATCTGTCAGTCTTTCTCCAAGATTAATCATCACATGCCTCAACTGCAACCATCCAACCGTATCGTCCCCATGCCCGTGCAGAACAAATAAAAAACTATATATTAGAAGCAAAGTCAAGATTAAAATCAGGAGTTCTTGGATTGTTTGAACTTTGATCTTCATTTGTTGGCAGGGTCTCATTAGCTAAGCGGCGTTAAATAAATTCTTCTTCTTTTTTTTTCTTCTAAAAATAATGGATGTGGAATATATTATTGGGATGAAGAATTATTCAACCTCATTAGGTGAAATGTAGCCATCCTGATCCTTGTCAAAAACTTTGAAAGCTTCTCTCAATTCTGCATCCGCCTCATTTTCCTTTGTAATCACCACATTAATTAAAACATGGATTAGTTAATTCTTTATTTTGCTGTCAAATGATTACTGTTAGGTAATTAATTTTACCTTAATTTTTCTTTCCATGAGATGCAAGAACTCCCCAAACTCTATGGTTCCGTTCCCATCAGCATCGATTTCTCTTATCATGTTCTGCAGCTCTTCTTCCGTAGGATGTTGATCCAATGATTCGAGCGCAGTCCCCAGTTCTTCAATGGTAATGCAGCCTAACAAGTTTTGAAAGAAATAAACCAAATTAAACACATGAACATGAATAAAATCAAGGTAAGTAGTACTAGCTATGATGATGCTCTGAAGTCCATGTGAATGCGGCATACAACATTCATTTAGTATGGAAATCAAAGGACACACACAAACATGAAACAGAAATTGCAGCAACAATGAAAATGTCAGTAAATTAAGCCACACCTTCAGACAGTAATGATCAAGCTGCCATAGCAGCAAAGCATTCAAGTTGTCGAAGATCACGCATGGCTGCCTGAGCTGTGTATATATCTAGAAACTAACAGAAACAATAGCTCTAATAGCTGTTTGTAACCGAATTTACTAGCTTAATAATTTGGTACATAACATGTGTTGTTCATGTAAATCATTTGATTTCTTAAGAAACACTTGTGCAAAAGCAAGCAAGCAGATCCTACTCTCTCTAGCTATGATATAAAATATTTGGCTAAACATTCATAATTAATAATTAAGAAGAGACTAATTACCATCTCCATCCATGTCAAGGAGACAGAAAGCTTCCTGAAACTCAGCAATCTGTTGTTCAGTTAAGACCTCTCCCATGCTGTGTTTGATCATAATCTCAATTTCCAAGTTAACCACGTTTTGTGCTTGCACAGAGTTACACAGAAATGAGACATATATTATATATGCTCTGTATCTTAAGTAAAGGGTAAACGTTGTCCGTTCTTTAAGTTAGAAAATATATATGAAGTCAAAGAACGTATTTTATTTATCTATATGTTTGATATGAATTTCGTCTTTAGTCAGCCAGTATTTCTAGAAATTGGTTTCAAAGTCGTGAGTGCACTGGGAAAGAATTGAGCCACCTTGGTGACCATGACTCTTGGAACATCCTTGTACCTGCATTCACACACGCATTTGATTTTGTCTATTGTATTCTCTTCCTTAAAATCAGTGATTTGATTGAATGAATGAATTCATGTGTTGCTAATGTGAAAAGGGATTAAATTGGACTCTTGTTCTGGTGTTGTCTTCAAAACAAACTTGTTTCTCATTATCAAACTACACACAAATAAATACTAGAATATGAATCTAGGAAGCATACATGTCAAAAACCAAATTTAGCAATATATCTTCAATTGTTTGAGGTATATATATATCACTGATGGACTTATGATCATCCATCACAGAACCTCATCAGCGTCCGGGCAAAAGTTGTTGATGCCGGCAAACTTGTGCCTAAGGGGAGGAGTGTGCGGTGTTGGTAGGGGGTAGAACTTGTAAATCCTCGGTTTTTTATTAGCTGCTCTCTTTGCTTCAAAGAGTTGCTCCCTGACATACCCCATCAGGAAATCCTTTCTCTCTTGAGGTAAAAATTCATCTTCTTGTATCACCTGCTCAAGGAGGAACTCCCTCAGTGGACTCAACGGTCTAGTATTAGTCTTATCAACCTCATTCCCATCATGATGATTATGTAAATAGGGCACGGAGTATTGAATTTTGAGGCAACGGTCTGAGTTGATGTGTTCTAAAGCAACCTTTCTCTGAGTGCAGCCTAACACAAATATCTGAGGAGATCTCTTCATGAGTCTCTCAACTTTGGCTTGTCTCTTGTGGACAGGAATGTAGGGGATCCAATCCATCTTGAGCTTTTTCATTGGAATTATAACTCGTTCATTGGCTCCCGGCATGTCATAATCAGTTACGTCAAAGCCTAGTTGATGGCAAGGCGGGGAAGCTGATACAATGGCTACCACCACAGGGATCAAAACATATTCTCCGACATCTTGTTTATGAATTTCGGTTGTTCCGAACAGATAGAATTTGTTGCTGTTGTCGTTGTTGGCATTGATCTCATGATGATGCAGCTTTCCTCCCTCTTGGAATGCTTGTTCAAGATGGGAGAAATCCCACTTGAATTCGTTGTAGACAGAGTCGACGTGATACCATGAAGTACAAACAGGAAAGGCAGCCTTCCATAGATCCTCCAGGTTGCGGGGCTGATCGGAGTAGCAGGGCTTCTCCTTGAGCCGCCGCCGCTTTGGCAATGGCCGAGCGGTGTCTTGCTTAGACGGCTTGTTCAGGCGGGTGGCCTCTTCCATCTCTATGTGGCTGGCCTTCCTCTTAGCTCCTCCTCTTTTCCCCATTGAATTTGATTGTTCCTCTTCTTTGATGAAGATGAAGTTGAAGTTGAACTCGAAGTCGAAGGAAGGGCTGAGTGATTAGATAGATTATTAAGAATCACGCGCAGGTCATAATTTATATAGGAAAGTGGCTGGACAGTTCCTAATTCAAGTAGGCTAGTTACCTTACCTTAATCATTCTTCCTTTCTTGCTTACCATGTCTTCATGATCCAAGTAGGTTTCTTAGTTCAAGTAGGATCATCAACAGAATTCGAAACAACTTGGACCCAAAAAAGGTTTAAAGAAGAAAGAAGTTACTCTGTGGGGTTTCAAAAAAGACAAAGGAGGACAAAAGAGGACTGAAGAAGAGATGTGGGCTTTAGTATATTCGAGAGATAGGCTTTGTTGCTGAACACGAGATTATGGCTACGTGGGCTTTGTCTCCAAGGCTAATTACAAAGTTGGTCCTTTTTTTGGGTCTAAATTACAAAGTTGGTCTGCATTGTTGATTCTGGTTCTGGTTTAGAAAACAAAAACAAAAGAAAGCTAGTCAACTTTAAGTCTTCCTTCCAAAATGAGCCAAATTGATAATTATGATAGATTGGGTCTAACTCTTTTTGTTAGAAAATAAAATAGGGCTAAATTTTTGTCTATTTACAGTTTCTCTTGATCAATCACGTTTGACAAAATACCAATTATGCTCTTACTTAAATTATACTAAATAAAAAATAAATTAATATAATAAGAGCAAAATTATTTAATAAAAACAAAAATATCAAACTAAAATTTGTTTGATTTTGAATAATAATATAATATAAAATAAAATAAAACAGTGTTTGACGTTTTCTGTAATTAGCCTAAAAACCGAGGTTCCAAAGCTAAAGTTGCATTTTCGGACATCCCAGACCAGACCATTTCAATTCCAAGTCCACTGCGTAAACTCCCATCCCAAACATCAAAATTTCAAAGTCATCTCTCTCTCTCTCTCTCTCTCTCTCTGAAAACTGAAAATGTCGGACGGAGCTTTAACGGTCCTCGATGGGAACCACCTGAGAGCCATCGACCTTTCTCTGCCGGAAGCTGAGGTCAGACTCACTGGAGCTCAGGTCCTCGACCTCGCTGACTCCAAAGCCTCCTCGTCTCTCTTCGGCCTCTCCTTGCCTCAGAGCCTCAAGTCCTCTGCTCTGAAACGCATCAGCCTTCAAGACGACGACGTCTTCCGCCTCAAGGAGCTAGATCGCGAGCAGGCTCTGAAGGTGATCACGGACTACATCACAGCGATCGCCGATGAATTAAAAGGTGCTGCTTGCATACCTATAATATATGATATTTATATACATTGTGTGATACGTTATGTTATAATTCCGAAAACGAGTTTATGATGAAGTTCTCGTCGCCGATGAATTAAGAGCATGAATGTGCTTATGTGTTAGTGGATTTGGGCATCCGTGTATGAGATTTTTAATTTTTTTGATTTGTTTGGTTGCTGAAAATATTAGGAAAAATGGAGGAAAGAAATTGAAAAGCTTGAGTCTTAGATGTCTTATGTGATCTAGGATCTAAGAACTGATTTCTCCTATATTCACTCTCATTCTGTCAGCAAGAAGAACAAATTATATCTGACTGAGATTAGGAAATCAGCTGTTTAGAAAGTGCCTGGCATCAACAGAAATTGGTTTTGGAGAATTTTGAGTTAGCCTACAAGCATTTGGACTATGGACGTTAGAGATTGAGATGCTGTTCTATTTTTAGAAATACGATGAACTGAAATATTTCAAAATTTGATTATGAAAATAATGCATGCTTATGCTGAAATTCTGTCTTCACTCTGCAGATGATCCACTTGTCATATCTGTCTTGGATGGATACACTCTTCGACTGTTTTTAGAGGATGAGGATGATTTTGCAATGCTAGCAGAGAATCTGTTCACTGATCTGGATGTAGAAGACACAGGAAAGATCAACAAGAACGAGATCCGGAATGCACTTGTTCACATGGGAGTTGAGATGGGCGTTCCACCCATTTCAGGTTCATATCGAATTCTTTGCTTTCGCTATTAATTTAATTGGGATAATTGAAAATTTATGTAGTTTGTTATCTGTAAATGAATAATTGACCCTACACAGAAACTAATTAAAGTTTTGTTATATTTGGTTGGTTCTCTAAAAATTTCTCATATGACTCGAGCACTTTTTTAAACTATAAGACTGCACCTTCTTGGGTCCATGGATGGCCTACTAGTAGGGAGGTACTCTATCTATATACAAGTGGCAAAAGATCAAATTTAGACCAGATTATTTCGATCCTCATTGGTCAGATTTGTAAATTGACTTTATCCATTTATTTTGAACATGCGATTAATACTTTCTAGCATCCTCTTTGTTTGGTTTAAGTTTGTTGTTGCTCACCTTCTCATACTTTAGTTTTACTATTATATTCTGAGTGCTAGAGTGTATCTTGTGTATTCTGATGTGGATTTTGAGACTTTGCATGAACCTTAAACCTGCAAGAGAGAGAAGAAGCTTATTTTGGACTTTGAATACTGTAGACCCTTATCATACTAGATTTCTCATCAGGGGAATGAGGACTTTGATTACTGCAGTCACATCAGGGGAATGAGGACGGAAATCCTCTTAAGCTTTATGCCTAGATTTCTCATCTCATTTTCCTCAAATTGTTTAATCTATGCCTAAAATACCTTGAGATTATTCATATTTTGTCTTTTGCAAATGAAGATTCAGTACAAAGTTTCACTTATAATGATTTAGCTTGTCTTTTGCACTATTAATTTGTGCATATGTTGAGATCTAGCTTGTCATGAAGTACTTAATCCAGTCTCTAGAATTTATAAACTGTCTATTCCATATTTGATGTTCTTAGTTATAGAATTGATAATTAACAAGGTGCAATTTAACAGAATTTCCTCCTCTAAGTGATATCTTGAAGAAACACGAAGCTGATGGGGAAGAAGAACTGGGCCAAGCACAATTTGCTGAATTACTCCAGCCTGTCCTACAAGAACTATCAGAGGCCCTGGCAAAAAAGCATTTTGTTTTTATCCAGAACATCAAGATTGTCAATGGTTCCAAGCTAAGAAAGGTAGTTCCTCTTCCCCCATCTTTTATTTAGTTCTTTTATGTTCTTCATTTGGTTGAATGTTCCTTAATTTATCGTTTAGGAAGCTTGATCTCTACTTGCTATATGGGAACTGAGTAACTAGTATTCTTGACTCTTCATTGACCAATACTATCTTGAGCTGCTTATGCTGCTAGTTCTGTTCTTCTATAACCCGTACCCTTATCTTAGTGGCAAATATAGTATTGATATTTACCCCCCTGTTATTTAGAGAACTAAAAGAAACTTGTTTTAACACTGGTAACTAGGTTGACCTGGCAATGCAACCCTGTTTGGATATGCCTGTCTCGGAACCATTTATTGGTTTCGGAAGTTCAAGAATTTGAGTCACTGTTGGCACAATCCTATATTTATGTTATGTGAATGCTTTTCAACAAAGTCTGATAAACTCCCGAAAACTATGCAGCTTTTGGCAGATGAGAAGCAATTGAACATTATCGTAGAGAAGATATTGGCGGATGGCTCGGGGAATGCAGAAAGAATCAGGAGTTTTCTTGAAAAAAATGGGACAGAGTTGGGCTTGCCACCATCCGAAGCGAACGAGGCAGTGGCCCTTTTGTATGATGCAGTGTTTGCTGATTTAGAGGGAGCAGGTGAGGATAAATTTGGAAATCTTGTGAAGCAGATCCTGGAGAAATTTGCAGAGCAGCTAGAAGCAAGCCCTGTTTTTCATGATATTTGAGCAGCTAGAAGCTCAACTGTCAGAGCTGCTTGTCTGTGCAGATGTCATTTTGAATTATTTGATTACATGTCATTTCCCCCAATCCATACCGCCAAATACGAACAAAATTACATTTTGTAATATCTGTGTGTACTAGAATCGTTGAATTGATAGCATGGTTTAAGGTGAGATTTTACACTACTTTTAGGCCTTTGATTGGCTGAGTAACAATCGGTTATAAAAAGTATACAAGGCAGATAGAAGCTTTCAAGTTTCACCGCATTGTGTTGTGTTCATTGGCAGTAGTCTTTTGTGTCTTGGCTAGAATGATTGTACCAAGGGCACTTCCAGCGCTCCTCTTTTGCCTGGGCAGGAGGGGGCTTAGGCCCAACAATTGTCTCCAGCGCGCAAAAGCAAGACCGGATAGCTGGTGGGCTCCACAAGCCTGGGCAGGCCCGAAGCAAATCTTGCTTGGGCTGTTGCTTGGGTTTCTTGACAGTATCGATGACGTCAGCAATGAATAAAAAAATTCTAAAAATCAAAAAGAAAAAAACCCAAATTTTCAGATTTTTTTTATTATAAAATAAATACTAGTTATATTCTTCACTTTCCACATCAAAATTAATGGTTTAAGTACAAAGATAGAAAATAAATTAAAATGAATAGTAATTGCCTTTACTCTTGCCTTTGGGGTGGAGAAAAAAACAAGAGCTACCACTATTCACATGTGAATAGTAACAAACATCGGCTTGCATTTGCCTTGTCCTTGCCCTTTAAGGCGGAGGTGCTCTAACTAAAAGCAAACAAAACTGATTTTTTTCACAAGTGCTTTTGGCTTGAAGGAATTTCAAAATAGCACACATGTTACCGACGCAGCTGTGCTTATCGGAAACGTGGTACGGGATGAAAGCACAGTCGCATGTGAAATTGCAGTACGTGATAAATGTTTGATGGATTTTGTCGATCCAAATCGGCCAATTCGGGAAACGTCGTTTTCTGCAAAGATGGACATGAAGGGAAGGGAAAAAGACATGTACTTTTTTGGACAGCCACGTAACAAGATGGGGATCCCTTTGTTTTCTTGGTGAGTCTTAACACTAAACTTAAGCCACGTTGCTGTCTGCCATTTGTAGCCACGAGATCCCCCCATCAATTATCAGATCACCATCTACAAGTTGCCAAATTGACACGATTGGATATATATATTCTTTTCCTTTATAACTTCAAAGGATCAAATGCAAGTTAATTTCAAGAGAGTGTTCATACCTTTGCACAAATAATTTATTTTATATTTTTTATACTTCCTCCTCCCATCTCATCTTCCCTCTCAATCTCATCTTCACTCTCATTCTCACATACATTCTCCATCTTTTTTCTCTGTACTTCAACACAAAAAATGAAAAATAAAAACTAAAAACTAAAATTGAAATGATTATCAAACGGACCCTAAATTAACTTGGAATAATTTATATTATTAGTTGTATAAAAAGAAAATTGTCAATGAATAATATTCTTAGAAAATATCCATTGCAAGGAAAGGGATTGCGAATTTATGGCCAGAAATGGCAGTTGAGAAAATTGATGGTTGTGTGTGATGGGCGTTTGGATTTTAAAGTTTTGAAAAAAGGTGAGGTAAGATTACAAGGGCCACAAGAGAGAGCTGGGCTCCAAAGAGGGGAAATTATCTTCCCACCTCAGTAGAAATAGAAATACCACATCATATTTTGCAAACACAAAACAGCATAAACATTTGAGTTGTCCAATAATATTCAAACATGCAGATTGCAGATACCACGTCTATTGAAAGCGACCAATCTCAACAATCGATAGAGGTCATGGCATTGAACCAAAATTCAATCTTATAAAGGAAATAATACATAATACTGAGCAATGCGTCAGATGGGGAAACAAAATATAACTTAAAAGGGAATATTCTAAGGCAGCAAATTACTCTAACAGGCTAGAAATACAATGGGGGAATTAAAGCTTCCCTGCTTATTGTCCATGCACATAGACACATTACTATGCGCCGCAATACCATAACCAAATCTACTAAATACTGGCTTTACCAGACCTCTCTGTCTTCAAACACTTCATTCTTTGCCATCAGCAGCACGTAGCGAACCAAGTTGAACTGGGGCTTGGGTTCCCACCACCTTAGATGACCCATAAATCGACAGGTCAGTGCCTTGTGCCTTCTCTTTCTCAATCTGTTCCTTGATCCAGAAGTATGTAATTCTCAGCCCATCCTATACGCGAAAAGAATGTGAATTCAAATTAGAAATAGGGAGCAATATCAATACAAGGTAAGGCATAGTTCAAATAACCCCCAACTTTAAACGAAACTTGGTGTGTTCAGAAACTGCAGAATGGATACATCAGATGTCACATAATCTCATTCTATATTTACCTTCAACTTCATGGTGGGAGCCCAGCCAAGTTTCTCTTTAATCAGTGTGTTGTCTGAGTTACGACCACGGACACCCTCTGGCCCAGGAATGTGCTGGATAGGCAGCTTCTTGTCCTCAAAGCTAAGAACTATCTCCGCCATCTCATTCATGCTGACCATCTCGTCACTTCCAATATTCACTGGCTCACGGAAGTCTGACTTTGTCAACCTAAAAACAATAGCGATAATTTAAAAAATGCGTGAAATATGCCTAGTCATGAATAATATGGAAAATTTAAGGGCATTTTCATGCAAAATGTAAAACACAGTTTATATTCAATAAAGGTTGCTGTATCAGAGCCATAATCTGGTATAGGGTATTGTACGTTTTCCCAGAGATGAACCAAACAAATTACACACAAGTTTTTTCTTTCTTCATTAAGTAGATTAATTCCCTTCCCTTCAATAACAAATATTTTTCAAACATGTAAGATATTTGTTTGATCATATCTCCCATTCTCATACAGGTACTGGAGTGGAACACGCCCTCCTATTCTTCAGAACTTCTACAATAATTTATATATTAGTACAAAGATTCACATTCAAGTAACCCTGTAAAGGTTTAATTTTGCTGATTCTAACATAATCAACTAAACTAGACTCAGGAAAACCTCGTCAAAACAGAAAAAACTGATCCATGAAGACCAAGTATTTTGCAGCTTAAAAACGCAAAGATTGTGAGTTTCAGCTAGTAAAAGTTTTGAGTTTTTTTTTCTTTCCAAAACAAGAAATGCTTACCGAAGTACACCTTCTACACATTCATCGATGAAGGTGAAGGATCGAGTCTGAAGTCCATCTCCCCACATCTCAAACTTATCAGTGGAAGTGAGAGTCTTTCTGCAAAAAGCAGCAGGTGCCTTCTCCCTCCCACCTATACAAAACATAGGAGGAAGCAACAAAATTAGGCTACAAAGCAAGAAAATTATGCATATATGTCAGTTATCACTGCAATTAAGAGGTCACCTTTCCAGGTTCCAAAAGGACCATAAATGTTATGGAACCTTCCAATACGACACTCAATTCCAAAGTCCTTTGTGTAGTGCTTGCACAACTCCTCAGTTGCAAGCTTCTCTAAGCCATAGGCATCTTGAGGCTACAAATAAAGGTGAAAAGACAAAATTCATTAAATAAGTTCAAAAATAGAGTCCAAAATCATAAGCATTAAGAAGCATACCTCTGCAGGCCAGGCATCAGACTCCTTCAAGCTCACATCGGTTTCCAGCTGCTTAAACTCAGGGTAAATGCAAGCACTAGAAGCATAGAAAAACCTGCATGAACATATGATTGAGTATATCTTCACAGCATTTTAAGGCAAGGTCTCAATTATCAACTTAAACAGTACCAATTCATACATCTCAGCCAAATGGTACTAAAATTTTCAACCAAGGATAAAATGTACAAAGTTGAGGACATCAAACCTCTTCACTCCATTGATTCTAGCAGCTTCCACCATATTGAAGCTAATCATAGTATTATTGTAAAAAATGACAGAATGGTTGGACTGGATGAAGCCCATCCCACCCATATCGGCAGCGAGGTTGAACACATGGTCAACATTCTTGGTAACCTTCAAGCAATTATCCATGACCCTAAGGTCAACGAGATGGAATTCATGACAGAACATGTCTTCAGTCATGTGCTCGTTCTTCTTCCAATCAGAAGCAATAATGTAATGGCCCTCATTCTTCAATCTCCGAGCAATGTGTGAGGCGATAAAGCCACCTGCCCCAGTAATGGAAATTCGAAGCTTTTCTGAAGGCCAATAAGGTTCCCTCTCGAGGTTCTCATAGGTGTATGCACCATAGTCATGTCCACCAGTACTCCCCATTCTGCAAGATTAGATTCAATGGAAAAAATGAAGACTTTAGTATTACAATTTACAATCAATTACGGATCAGTTTACTAGCGTTGCTATACAAAGCTCAAAAAAGTTATCACTACTAAACTAACAATGATTAAAGGAAAAGGAACCCAACTCAAGTAACATATATCCTCCAGGAAAACAACAAAACCCAAAAGTACAAATTAGGATCACTAACCGACAGAACTGCTACTTAATCACAACGCTTGCATTTATGTCACACTCAAAATCATCAAATTAAAACCCACATCCACTGACTAGATATTGCACAGAACTTTAAAAATGATGAAAAAATTTACCCCTGAAAGAGAAGTATAGAAAAACTGGAAAAAGAGTAAAGTAATTTAACACGTTACCTAAAGCTCTTTCTATAGGCAGGAGGAAATTACCACCAAAACATCTAAATTAACATGTAAAGAAAGTATAACAAACATGAAATTATAATTTATCACAAAAATTTAAACTGCATACGCCCAATGGAAGATATAACAAAGTTACACAGATAAACAAATAAATCTTCAAGAGTGCCAAAATCAAGCACTCATCTCAGTGTATAAAACGGAAAGAAATTTTAGCACACAAGCCGATAAAACCCTGCTATACAAACTACCAGAATATCAATCAAGCACATTCACAACAGCCGTTATACAAGTAATTCAAAACAAACCCATCAAATGTTACAAACTAAATCCTGAATATAAGTATGAGGAAATGAATACTGGAACGAACATGAAAGAGCACGGAGAACAGAGTAGGTGAGAGATTCCAGGAAAACCCAGTTGAGATTTTTACCTTAAAAGAGCAAAGTTTGGTCCTCTGAAACTTGAGAAGCTAAGAAGAAGAGAATGAGAGGCAAAGTGGGTTCAGAGGAGATGGATGAATGGGTATGGACTCTGAGCCTGTAACGCCCTGCTATATATAGCACCTTGGAACAGAGGAAACAAGGCCACTCATTTATTTCAAACGTTTTTTACACCGCAAATAATTGAGAGAGAGAATCACAGAGACCGCGTAATGGGAAGTTCTTGTGTTCACAGTTATCTCATCTCTCGCTCACTCACTAGGGGTTAAATTAAAAAGTAAAATCATCCTGGACTCTTGTATATACGGATCCAAGCAAGTACGGCTGTGACTCGGGCCCCAGCATTTGTCCAAATGAGCAGAAAATTCCCAGAAAGAGGACTTCAAGTGAAAAGGCCTGTTTTTTTTGGCCCAAGAGAAATTGCTTGGAAGCTCCTTTATGTTAGCAGCTTTTGATTTTACCCATCGATGAGTTACCAGTTGATATGATAGTTTCGTTTGTTCTTAATTGAGAATTGATTTTGTATATGTGTGGGTTAAACTCAAACTCACATGTTTGAAATTGTATTCTGAACACGAAATTTATTTTCGCCACATTTCATACTATGCTATTGTTTCAAACACTAAAAAATAATATTGTATGAGAATTATATTTCCTCCACCTTATTTTACATTTGATTAATTTGATAAATTCAAATCCTAATTTGTTGAATAGTTTCCACTTAGGTTTAGTATGTTATCGCCTCTCTCAATAGGAAAAGTCCTAAAAATAAAAAAAATTGGTGTCTCATGCTAACACTTGTGAGGGCAAGAGATAAAAAATAAATTATTGAAAAATGGGCCTCTAGTTATGCATTGCAATTGGTTGCGGCCCATACAATTCTGGGTTTACTAGACACTCTATGAATCGGAAAGACTATAAATTAGGAGTTTAGAGTGAGAAGTTTATTTGAGAAGATTAATCCCACTATCAACAAATGTGAGGAAATCAATAAATTTATACATTTTAAATGGTTTGATTGTGAGATTGAACCCTTCAAATAAGCTTCTCATCTATGAATACAATCGCAAAATCCTCCACGACTGGTTTGATAATATATATATATATATATTTTTGTTGGAATAAATATTTATTTATTAAAAAAAAGTACAATTGATAGCACTGAACCAGCCAATATACCAAAATATATAAATAAATAAAAATTTTGTCAATATACCAGATTCTCATATTTCAAACAAACAATTACACAATTTTGTTGGTCGAAAATATATTCCGTACAATTAGTAGTAAAACTATTTTAAATAATAATAATTATTATTACAAATAATAAAAAACAATTTATCACCGCACTAAAAAGGACTATTATTCGCTCGCTCCAGATTTTTCATTTTTATCCCGCTTACAATTTATCCTTCGTCTCGTTTTGCTATGGCCTCCGCCGAGATCGCGGAGATTGAGTTCCGATAGTTCGTCGGTGAGCTCCTCTGGACCACCGACAATGAGGCACTGGAGAGGGTCTTTTCCCCCTCCGGTGAAAGATACCGAATCGAAGATCATCGAGGACCGTCAGATCGGTAGGTCGAGGTGCTTCGGATTCGTTACCAGCAACATGCGAATGCGATCCAAGGAGGCCAGAACCTTGATTTGAGGGTTAGTGTTCTTCTCCGATGTTAGAGCGGGTGTTCTTTTGCGATCTTAGTGTTAGCTAATTTTATATTGCGATGTTAGGGTTAGCTAGCGCTCTTTTTCCATTGCAATATTAGCGTTGTTTTGCGATTGCTAGGGTTAGATAGCTTTCTTTTTCGGTTGCAATGGTAGGGTTAATTAGCGTTCTTTTGCGATTGCAGTGTTACGGTTAGCTAGTGTTCGTTTGCGATTGCGATGTTAGGGCGAGCTAGAGTTCTTCCGTGATGTTAGTGTTTTTCTGTATAAATGATAGAGGGGCTTTGCATGTATCAGGTGTGGCTTTTTTCAATGTTGTTTATAAACCGTGGTCCATAGACTTAAGTGAAAATAATGTCGTTTGTTGCAGACATCTGGTCTTTTTGGTTGTGCCCTTGCTCATGTTGGTGTGATGGACTTGCGGTGGTTCCCACGAATGTACCATAGGTTAGTTTACATATTTTTGCAACATGGTTTGACGTATAAACATTTGGCTTATCCCTCCCTCTCCTCCCATCTATTTCAGGTAATCACTTTTTCATTATGTCAGGTGACCATGGGAACAACATGGGAGGCAACCTCACCACTAGCTTTCCAGATCACGATGACCTATTTGTACCATTACACCTTTTGTAGTTATTAAAGGTTGGTCTCTATCAACATAGTCAATATATTTATTGAATGGGAATATATGTGCTAGTTTTGATGCTCAACATGTGCCAAGACTACCATATTCAGTTCTGGTGTCAACGGTTGAACATTCATAATACAGTAATTCTATGTATGATATTATATCTCATAGTAACTGCTGTTATCGACCTCTCATCATTTTCATTACCTATCGACAATCACCTTTTTTCGGTTATGTAACAAAATTGAAAAGTACAGTTTATCTTTAATTTGATTGTATTGCTGAAGATTAAGAGGTTTTCATTATTATGTTGATAAAAAAAGTTATAAATATAAAATATAGCATTTTACAATTTTTCATTGCCACATGTTGTATTCTGATTCACCAATTGTAGCATTTGTGGTGGTCATTCCGACCCCAAATATTCTTCCAAAATGTTTTCTACGTCTTGTATTTTAACTAAAGCAAAAATCTCTTCCTATTGGCTTATTTTATTGGTATGACAAGTTTGATGTCCTGTCATATTTCGTAGTTGGTATACATAAATATTAATATGATAAGACATCCTATCAGCTTTGTTAAATACTTTATTCTTTGAAGATATCAAAAACTTCAATTTTTTGTTTATATGATAAAACACCAATTTATTCTTTAAAGATACAGGAAACTTCAAATTGGTGCGCGAGTTAAGTCCATCCATTCCTTTAAGATTTTGTATTAACCCCTGCAACCTTTAGAATGTTCAACTGCCTAAAGTTTGTTAAGGCCCATCTTATATTTGTGAAATTTCTGCTTATCACCACTGTGGATTTGACTTTTTCTGCTTTACAAGTGGAGTCAGAACACGAGTAATACTGTGATTTTAATGGAAGTGTAGCTTCCAAAGTTCACATTTATGAAGCTAAACTATTGAACTTTCAGTATGAAAAGATTTTACCCTTAATGTTATTTATTCATATGTGTTTTATGTATGAAAGATCTGCCATAATGTTATGAAATTTTGATATGGCCCCTTTATTAAGCAAACCATTCAAATGGTTATAAAATTATTCATTGGATATATTTAGGGGTTAGGGTTCCATTGTGTAGTACAAAATGGGCAATGGTGTATGTCCTTTGTGATCTGTGGGGATCCTTTTCTCTTCATCTTCTTCTTCTAGGTTCTGTTCGTGGCGATATTAGCAGTCTTTATAATTTGGCAAACATATGCTTCAGAACAGATTTTGAATTGCCAAGGAATGAGAATTTATGGGTTATAGGCATTCACAGTGATATGTTGTTTCATTTCTTCACATAATTTTAACTAGTCATTGGTGAACTGATATCAAGGCTTTCTTTTGCAGAAATTGCACTGCCAGACAAATAATTTAACTAGTGGTTTCTCACTGAATCAGGTAAATTGCTTGTTCCTCTATTATTTTTGGCCTGCTTTCAATTATGACGTTTGAAAACTGAGTTTTGTCTTGCAGGAATTTTTTTTTACTGGAAGCAACTGCCTGCCAGTGCTGCAGCTAAATGCAATTGATCTATACCAGATGAAACTTTGGGACGAAGAAGCTGAGTCCGTGGAACTTCAGTCAAATTTCTTCTTTCTTTACAGGGAAAATGTTCTGTAATGTTTCCCTTTCTTCGTCTGTCATGGTTCAACGCATTGGACCAATAAGGCAATGGGCTTAAATACCAGGGGTTCCTATTTTAAACGGGCCCCCTTTTATTCCAACATCTAATATTGCGGGTAGGCTAGAATGCAAGAATTCTATTGGTAGGGCCATATATAAGTCACTCACTATAGAATGACTTGGCTAGAATGAGGGGTTATTATGAGCGGGTCCTTAATAGCCGTTCGATTCAGTGCAGGGTTATTATTGAATTGTTAGATTTGACCTCCTCATTGTAAACCCTCAACATAGCCGACTCATTCTCATTCTATAGTGAGGGCCTTACATATGGCCTTAAGGGAAGTCCTATCTCTTAACAAGGTACAATAGATTTAAAACGGCCCAGATCTAGGCCCAATAACATAATCACCGGCCAGGACGTCCGCCCAAATGGTCACTAAATAATGTTAAAAGGGGCAGTAACGAGAAAATGAGGCCAAACGTCGGCCCATTAATGGGAAACGACCACAAAGGCCTGCCCAACAACGTTAAAAAAGGCTCAGAACGTGATCCAATAATCTGGAAACAGGCCAAAAAGTCAACCCAATACGTGAAACCGGGCCCAGATAGCGAACCAATAATATGAAAGAAGGCCCAATACGGTGAAAACAGGCCCAACAGTCAGCCCAATAACGAGAAACTAGACCACAGACAGGCCCAATAACTTTAACTGGCCCAAATATAGACCCTATAACGTTAAAATAGGCCCATAAAAGGAAAACAGGCCCAAACGGAGGCCCAATAAAGTTAAAACTGGGCCGGAAGGCTACCCAACTACGTTCAAAAGGCCCAAACGTCAGTCCAATAACGTGAAAATGGGCCCAAACATTGGCCTAACAAGTTGTGGACATGCCCAAAAACTGGACCATTGACCGGCCCAATAACTTTAAACTGGCCCAAACATCGGCCCAATAACGTTAAAATGGCCCATAAAAGGAAAACGCAAACGGCGGCCCAATAAAGTTAAAATTGGACCTAAGGCTGCCCAACTAAGTTTAAAAGGCCCAAACGTCGGTCCAATAACGTGAAAATAGGCCCAAACATTGGCCCAACAACTAGAGGACATGTGCAAAAAACGGCCCAATATTCCGCCCAATAACATGATAACTGGTCTAGACGGAGCCCCAAGATGTGAAAGCGGGCCCATCAGCAGGTCCAATTACTTTAATACAGGCCCAAATCTAGCCGGCAAAACGTGAAACAGGTCTAAATTCCGACTTAAACTACGGCCAAGCAGGCCCAAGCGTCGGTCCAATAACGTGAAAACAGGCCTGACAGTGGGCCGAACTACTTATATGGTAACTATTTTGAGCCACCATGATTTCGTGGGCAGAAAATTTCAGAGCCCACTTGGTACCGGTTTTTACACTATTTCGAGCCCATATGGTACTTATATGGTAACTACTTCAATAGTGAACTAAATATTGGAGTTGTTCTATGGTGAGTGTCATATACAGACCATATGTGTGGGCCTTTATATTAGCCACAAGATTCATCTAAATAGTAACTTCACTGAAGTTTAATGAAATGATGTTATGGCTAATATAAAAATCCACATGAAGAGTCCATATATAACACCCTCACTATAGAATTTCGCCGCCCGCATGTAGGCTGGAGGCCCAAAAATATCGATGAGCCCAGCAAATCTTAGGGCCTATTTTATGTCTGAGCGGCTCACAGAAGAAAAAGAAAACCATGCATACAAAGAATAATTACAATGCAGCCTAATTAGTAATTACAATCCGCGGCACTAAAATAAAAGAATTTATTTTTACCCAAAAAAAGGAAAGAAATTATATTACAGACTTCTTTTGATCGAAATGAGATCAAATTAGTCAAAACAAAAAACATAAAAAACAAAGGGAAGTTTGAGGCGAAGTCCTGCTAGCTTCTGGTTTCAGATATCCTGGGGAAAAAAACAGTTAAAACAATTAATAAATTATAACCATCAGAATTAATAACAATTGAAATAACACTGAAATAAACCAGATGGTAGTTGAACCGAAGCACATAACTCAGGAACATAATGAATGTGCAAGTGTACAACACAGCAAACAAACATAAGAAAAGTCTCACGCCAACAAACTAACTAACAAAAAACATCATGAAAATTCTTGCATGTCTCTCGAAGAAACATTAATCCTCAAAAACTACCTACAAAATAAAAGGCTAACAGTAACAGACTCCAGCTGGCATTTCAGAAACGAATAATGTCTTCAAGAAGTGGACAAACTCTTTGGACGAAGAGTTAAAATGCAACAAATGGGAATCTTAGGAAGCAATGTTCGTTATGTCAATAACCAAAAAGGAACATAGAACAACAGGTTCTTTTATTTTAAATGCAAGAAGTTGCAACTTATAGGAAGAACATTTGGTGTAGGATAAGGATAACCACCGAATGTTAATGATCACAAACCAGAGCACAACATACTGAAGAAACATTTTAAAATACTCTATTACTACATTTGTATATTCATAACTTTCATTTTAAACAAAAATGAACTACCAAAATGAATAAATGCTAATACACGGAAATAAAAATAAAACAGAAATTATTATATCTTCCGACTTTTACCCAATCCAAAGGTAAATGTCAACAGATAATAAAAAATGAATGATACACAGTTGTGATGAGATACTATATCCAATTAAGATTGATGTGTACCAACTAGGAAATATAACAGAACACAGAGAGAGAGAGAGAGAGAGTAGACTTCTCTTCTACCAGTAAATGAGTATAGAAACCTGAAACACTTCCTAAAATTATAACTGCCAATCTATCCTCGGTATATATTTGACAATGTAGCCAGATAAATTTTAGCACCGTGAAATTTACTCCACCAAATTTTATTTCCATGCTAATAACCCATAAACATTGCTTGGGTGTATAGACACAAAAGAAAATATGGAGAACTTCAGAGACTCCTCTCCATTCTCACCCTAACTTGAAAAGTTAAGACTGACATTGCCTATAACAGTGAGTTTGAATAATGCACTAACCCATTTATGATTTTTCACGTTCTAATGTCTTTCACTTCATGTTACATTCAAAGTTAGAGAAGCACCATCATCTAAACATCAAGTGGTCGAATATAAAAGTTATGATGCTTATTAGACCATCCAGTTTTGCTACAAATGATTACTTTTAAATTCACCACACAACTGTGTATCAATGATGTAACGACACAATGTTCCTGATTCTATATGTAAGATACCATCCCCACTCCCCAATATCAAGCCTCTAGCTGATACATTATTCAACAAAATATGAGCTCACCCATTCGATCAAACGTGTGTGCCAATTTTATTTTTGTCAGATGTATTGTTCACGTTTTCAACAATACCAAGCTATTTGCCCCTGAAAACTTATTTTTGTTCATTTTGTATCCGCTTAAAACAACAAAAAAAAAATATATAATTAACAAAAGAAAAGACATCTACATGCTTGAATGAGCAAGGAGTAAAACCTTAAAAGATATGGAAGACCCGCTGTCAGTGCCTCTATCAATCCACATCCAATCTTGAGCAAGCTGCCATGGAGTGTAACTGAAATGGAAGCAAACAGCAAACAGCAAACGCATTAATGCATTGAATTAAAGACTGACAATGTCTCAGCCCTATCGCTCGATCAAATCAAAGTCAATGATCTCGCTAAACCATAGCCTAAGTAAACCCTAAATTTCAAAATCAACTTTGACGGGTCCTGGAACCCCCATACCTTGCCCCATCAGATCTCTGGTGTCGGTGTTAATTACTGCGCGATTTCAACTGTAAGTTCTTGAACCATGGCGGCCATCGAGGCGTTAAACCTCGCAAAACAAGAATCGGATTGGAGGAGCTTTTCTTGCCTCGTCGCCTATCTTCATGCTTATGTCTCTGATCTCCAACGAAGGCTCCGATCACAGAGCCAATGCCATTATGCAGCCCGGGGAGCGTTTCTTCTTTGGCATAGATCTGAGGCTTCGTTCTGAGGGTTTAGGGTTTCCTGATCTTCTTCCCTCTCCGTGTCTCATCTTTCATTTTCTCAGATCTGCTTAATCACAGGTTTTGTGATTTGTGAGATCAGGCACCCTTTTTGGATAGGATAGGTTTTGTCACACATTCCTTTCTGCTTTATACGATGTCGTTTCGCTTTTGTTTTAGTGGACTGGACCTGTTTGCTTAATTGCCTCTTTACCCTGGACTCGGGGTTTGAAATTGAATACGCATTGGGCCATTCTCTTATAATAGTCCAGTAGTGATAGACTTTTTGCGACATGTCGTATAATTTGACTTATGACTCTCGCGGTTATTGGAAAAAATATTATAATAAGTGATCTATAACATTTGATTACAAAACCATGACCAAACCATATCATATCTTTCTATTCTATGATGTTTTTTGTTGACATTGTACGTAAACCTCATATCATATCAAACTTCAAATCCAATGTGTCATTAAAAGCCAAATAATGGTTTTCTTCGCACGACCTTCCTTAACCACTCTAGTCACGCTAACCAAAACCAAGGTAAGATTTGAAGTTTAACTAAACAATGATCGTGAATGGATAAGCTTGGAAACCAACCAAATTATTTTATTTCTAATCCGCGTCATCAAATTTTCACACGTTTTCCTTTTATTTCAATCAATGTATAGAACCTCTAATATCAAATATTCGAGAATTATATATTACTACAGTAGTACAGTTATGTTATATATTTTATATATATGTTATAATATAGGTAGATGACATAATTTATTTTTCCTCATTTTATAAAATAATATTAATAAATATTCACTTATCTTAAGCACACGTGTCCAAGATGTACTGCCGTTTATAATCACTCTAAAAATTGACCGCCCTCATAAAATATATAATAATTTGAGGCATGTATTAAATAATAATATAACATTATTTCTAGAAAAAGCACAGGTGAAAGGGCCCGCATTTATTTAATTTTTATTATTTTTCATTAGAGGACCCCGGAGAAAATTGTGGTGGTAGAAGCACCAAGAGGAAGGGACAAATGGAAGTTCAGGTGGCTTAACGTAAAAGAGAGAACATGATGGACCCCACAGCTACATGGCCCACCAAAATGTGTGTGGGGGGAAATGAGTGTTTATCCACAAATGAGCGGCCATGGCCATCCAATGCCAATGGTGGGGTTTTAGAAAAGCCTCATTGCTTCTTTTCAATCATTCCTTCTTCTTTCATGGATCGTTTGTTTTGGAACTTTTTCGTCGAGTGTGATGTGGTGCGGATTTGGAGCAACAAGAAGTCGTCTCTTCCTATCAACACAAAGAACGAGCCCTTTGAGGTTCCCTTCAAATAAAAGAAATCAAAGCAAAATATGATACGTATTATGAAAGACAAAGAAACAAATAAGATGAATTACTTATAAGAAATTTTAATTTAAGTGATTAAGAAGGGTTATTCACGTACTGAATGTTAGTTTGACTCTTAAGTAATTAAGTAGAGTCATTAACGTATTCATTATTTGTCACTTGCCATAATTATATAATAAATTTGAAATTATCAATTTTTTTTGGGCACTATGTCCACCTTCATTGAATTAGAAACATTAGGCGGGTAACCCAAGTTATAAACTTATAGTTTATCCAAAAAACTAAATTCTAAAATAACCATTAATGGGAAGAAAAAGAAACTAATCCCTAAGTTAGGCCAAGCACTAAATCTAGCATCTCCCCCCCCACCCCCCACAAGACCACAACCCAAAAAGAAGGAAAACTTCCCTATCCAGAAAAGATTTCAAATAAATTTGTAATTTTAAGGACCCCACAGAATATAATCATCCACATTGCCATAACCTATACAGAGAATCTCCAACTCAGCAATCATAATACAATTCTGCCATTAGTAATTAATTAATAAATAATAATAATAATATTCAGGCTAAAAACCAAAATGATAGTAATTAATATCCACACACACACACACACAAAATAAATAAATAAATTTCTAATTTTAAGGATCCAAATCAGCTAAAATCCTTGACCCAAAAACAATGCCGATAAAGACCCAAGGAGACAATAGGACAGCGAAACAGAGAAAGGGAGAAAACAGAGGGAGAGAGGGATGGATAGGATGTTCTCAGTGGAGGAAATGTCTGACCAGCTGTGGTCTTCTTCAGCACCACCAGTCAATGAAGCAGACGACGATTTGTCCAAAATGAACCGAAGCGCATCGGAGTGGGCCTTCCAGCGGTTTCTCCTAGAAGCCTCTCCCTACTCACCATCACCCTCACCACCACAGCCACCTCCACCTCCACCTCCACCTCCTTCTTCTTCTTCAACTCACCATGACCACAACGACGTCGCAGAGATCAAGATGATCAATGCCCACCACCCCAATCCCGCTCCCGCTCCCACTCACGCCCCTAACAACAACAACAACAACAACAACAACAGCAGCAGCAGCAACAACAGCAACAACTATAATAGCAACAATACGCCGTCGTTTAGCCTGCAACCACCTAATGTTCCCGTTGATTCCGAAGAGTACCAGGCCTTTCTCAAGACCAAGCTCAATCTCGCCTGCGCTGCTGTGGCCTTGTCTCGCGTGAAGGTTCGTGTTTTTTTTTCTCCTTCTTGTCATTTTTTTATCTTCGTTCGGTTGCCGAGAAATATGATCGAAGTCAAATCAGTGGTTTGAGAATGAGATCCTATTTGGATGCTCAGAAAGCTAAAGGAAAGAAACTGAACTGGAACTTGGAAATTTCTTGAATTTGGTTTTGTCTGTGAGTGTAAAGTTTAGCTCAAGTTAGCTGCTTTATAGTTTGGTTAGCCTCAAGTAAGATTTTCTTACTGTATATATTTTTTTAAAATTATTGGGTTTTGATTAATTACTGAAAAATGCAAAATTCAAATTCCTTTTTTATTTGTTCTTCTAGAATTTTCTCGGTATCCAAACAGAGTGATAAAGTTTATAACTGATTGGTTGGTTTGCATTTTCTCACTCTTTCCCTGGGTAAAACAGACGGTGAAATTGTTTGATAAGCTTGAATATCGTTTGAACTGAGCCAACATGTAAAGGTAAAAAAGAATACTTTAACTTGGAAGTTGAACCTTTCTTTTGTTGTGGATTTGTGGGACCTTCATGGTAATAGTAAAAGTAACTTCTGCAATAAAAGGATGAATTGTTTGGAAGAAAAAGCAGGCTACAGCCTAAACACAAAGACATGAATTATGTATGAGAAGAGTAGTAGTACTTTGTTTGTTTAAAGATCGACCCAAGCAAGGCAAGGAATCCACACAAAGTATAAAACTTACTCAAACAAGTATAAAGTAGAATTCAAAACCATGCTCCAGTTCTTTATGCTTTTCTCAAACATAAAACTTAAAAGTCCCAAAAGTTGCAGTGTGACCAGGTTCTTCATCTCATAATATATCATTCTTCCTACCTGAGAATTCTCTTTTGACCCTCATTTCTCTATTAAGTCAAACTAAAGCCATGTAAGCACCGGAGCATGGTTTTGAAGTCCGAGTGAGATTGAATGGATGCGAATGTATTTGCCCAAGGGACTCTCGGTAGTAGGGATTCAAAAATCATGTACTCTCTTCAAACGCTTGAAGCCTGAGTCAACATTATTAGATCAATGTCTTTGCCCAATGGGATAGTTATAGTAGCATGCCTTAGCAAATTAAAAGCCTTCATCTGGTTCATCTGATTAAATGGAATCGTAAGGAATATGTTCAGCTGAACTGTAAAGGACTTTCGGATTATGCAGCATGTTAGCGATAACTTTGGCTCTGAAGGATGAGAGAGCAATCTGTTCAGAGTGACATGAGAGAGTAACTTCACATACTTAGCAAGGCATGCTGGCCTTTGAATGATAAATGTGTAATCCAGTCTCATATTTGTCAGCATATATGATTTATACCATTCTTTGTCAGAATATGATTTGTACTTTTTACTTCATCTTTGGTTGAAATAGATTTGAAACCATGTTTTTTTTTAAAAAAAATCTGTATAGATAAACGCTAGCTGATCTATTCTGGTCGTGTGAATAGGGATCTTTGGCGGACAGTCAAGATTCTGCTGCTTTAGCTGGCAGTGGATCACAGGCTTCCAATACTTCACATTTGGGATCTCAAGCCCCTTCTAAAGGTTTGCATCTCTCTTTTTATGTATTTAGTTATTTGAATCACAAGTCTTATATAGTAGGTCATTTGATCATGTTCTTTCTGCTTTTCTGTGAGATAAAGCTGTTCCACTGAGTACCTAAAGAGCTGAGTATGTCATGATAAGTGAAGAGTTATGCACTTAGAATATCACTCTTTTTCCTATTACCTACGTAGGAGCTGGGTATGATTTATCCAGGCCGCATGATAAGAATGCTAATGCACCAGTTGGCATTCCTTCATTACCTGCAACACAACATAGATCTGCAGTTCCCGTGAGGCAAGCAACTAGTGGATCATCAAGAGAACTGTCAGATGATGAGGACATTGAAGGAGAAACTGCAATGACTGAGAATATGGACCCTGCTGATGTGAAACGTGTGAGGAGGTAACAATGGTATCTGATTTTCTGATTGTAAAATTGATTATGACGCATTACATGATAGGTGTACAAAAACTCAATTATTTAAAGCACAAATTTGTTCACGTGAGACCTAAAATAAGCACATCTAATCTCCATCTCTTGATTAATGAGTTCATTTGCTTCAAACTCATTTGGTTCCTTTCTCTTCCACTAAATCATCTGGTCTTTTCCAGAATGCTCTCTAATAGAGAGTCAGCTAGACGCTCAAGAAGAAGAAAGCAGGCGCATTTGAGTGAGCTTGAGGCACAGGTTTGGTCCTTCTTTATTTATTTATTTTTTGGCTTCCGATTTCACTTGCCACCTCTTTTAGTCACTTGTTTTTGCATTTCTTTTTTTGGTCCTTTGATCTTCTATAGATTTCCTAACCCAATTTATAGGCATCTCAATTAAGAGTTGAGAACTCCTCTCTATTGAAGCGTCTGACTGATGCAGACCGAAAGTACAATGAAGCAGCTGTTGACAATAGAGTTTTAAAAGCTGATATTGAAACATTGAGAGCAAAGGTAAGCTTGTTATCAGTACCGCTTGCCAACTGTTTTCCTAGGCAGGCTCTTAGAATTGCAAGATGAGGATCAAAACCCACTGATAATGATTACTAGTTTTTCTTTCTTTGGAGAAAAGACACAAGTATTGGTTCAAGATGAAGCAAAAAAATTGATATAATTTTGTTATTTCGTCCGCTATAATTCCAGGTAAAGATGGCTGAGGAGACAGTGAAAAGAATTACTGGGTTGAGCATGTTCCATGCCATGTCAGAGATTTCCTCCACTGGCATGCCACCATTTGATGGAAGCCCTTCAGAGACATCAACAGATGCTGCTGTCCCAGTGCAACATGACCCAAATCATCACTTTTTCCAACCTGCTTCTGATAACCCTACACCCACTCATGACCTGAGAGTCAAGCATGATTCTGCAGACATCCCTTCGGTTGAAAATGTGCAGCAGAATTCTGCAGCTACATCAGCAGATGCCGTGGGGAACAAGATGGGGCGAACACCTTCCCTACAGCGAGTAGCTAGCTTAGAGCATCTGCAGAAGCGGATTAGGGGTGGAAATCCTTCTGGTCCTCATTCCAATGGAGAGCAGTAGTTACAAACAGAGTGTTCTTTACATGAGGAAGGACTTTATTAAAGGATGCTTTCAACAACCATTGTATTGCATCATTACTTATGGATTAGTCATGTAAAAATGCTATTCTTTATCCAAAATACACTGATTGATACTTTTACCACTTCCAGTTTGTCATGTCATGCATGGAACAGATTATAAACCACTGCAGTTATCAATTTTCCTTGGCAGTTACATTGTGTCGTGGTGTGCTCAAGTTTCTGTTTCTTTACATTTCATATTCAGCATCATTTGAAATCTCTACAAATCCAAAAAATAATTCCTGATTGGTATAATTAGATCAGGAGGGATAGATTCACCTCCTTTATTAAATGATAGGCTTGTAGGCTGATGGGCCAAAATAAGATCTGATACCCTCAATTGCTTATAAAATATAATAAAATGCACTTTACATACAGTACACTTACTCTTTGCATTATCTATAAGAAGTCCTCTAACCACTGAAAAATTGAAAGTAAATACAAGGTTCAACTTTGAATCTTTTTCTGAATCATGAAGAGTGTGTGGGCACTCTGAATAGTTGTCTTTTTACCAGCTCAATATTTCACTGACTAGCAAAACTACAATCCATCCAGGACATGATTGCTAATGTTTGAAGAAGTTTGAATTGAACTATAACCAGCTTTGTTTTCAATTCCCTTAACCTTCATTTCCTGTCTTACCATCTCCGCATCCTCCCACCTTTCAGCATAAGCATAAATGTTCGACAAAGCTACATAGTCCTCACTCTTTGGAGTCAAATCTGCACAAGTCTGTGCCGACTCTATGTGGAGCAGCTTCTTCCCCACCTTCTCGCCCATTGCAACATCCCCATGAACTTTGCAAGCACTTAGCAAACTCCTCCACAAGACGGCATCAGGTTCAACTGGCATCCCTACTATAAATTCATAGGCTTCTTTCAAGTATCCTCTGCGGCTAAGCATGTCAACAATGCAACCATAGTGTTGCATCTGAGCCATGACATCAAAGTTGCTCTTCATCATATGGAACAAATGGAGGCCTTCTTCAACAAGCCCCGAGTGGCAACAAGCCGAAAGCAAGCTGGTAAAAGTCACTGCATTGGGTTTTATTCCATAAGCCTCCATTACATCCAAAAGCTCCAATGCTTCATTTCCCTTACCATGAATGGCTAGCCCGGTTGCCATTGCTGTCCAAGTCAAGATATTCTTCTCTTTCATTCGCTTAAAAATGGACAAAGCACCATCAACACATCCACATTTTGAGTACATATCGACAAGACCAGTGCCTATAAACACATCATTATGAGGAACCCATATTGTCTTCTCAATATAACCATGTACACAAGCACCAGTTTCCAACACACCCAACTGAGAAGCCGCAGAAAGAACACAAACCATTGTAGTATCAGTAGGTTTCACACCACAAACATCATCCAACATGTCTCGAAACAACACTAATGCATCACGAGCACTTTCTCGTTGTGAACAATACCCCGTGATCATTGCATTCCACGTAACGCTATTTTTAACAGCCATTTCATCAAACACCCTCCGTGCAGAAACAAAATCTTTATTACTAGCATAAAAATGTACCAGTGTAGTTTGCACCAAAATGTTTGATACGACATCATGTTTCATGATCCGGGCATGTATTTGGCTGCCTACTAATAATGTTGACACTGAAGGCAACCTAGCACAAGCTCCAAGAACAAACTTGTAGGTAAAATCATCAAAAAGTAAGGTTGCTTTAGATACCCAATTGGCAAAAACAAGAATAGAGTCTTTGGGTTGAGAACATCTTATCAAAGTGTTTAAGAGGAACAAGTTTGGCTCATCAAAGTGTTTGAATACAAAATGGGCATAAAGGTTGGTGCTTTGTGGGTCTGATAAGGCACAGTATTGCTGAATTAGTTTGGCATAAAGGGTGGGCGATTTGAGGAGGCCACTGGTAATCAACTGGGCATGGGTTCGTTTGAGTTGGTGGGTGGATTTTAGCTTGAGGTTTAGCAGAAAGAGAGCTCTAACTCTTGGGAGATGGTGCATGTGAGAGTTCTTGGAAGTGAACTTCAGTGGAGAAACAACCCAACTGAACAGGGTAGATAGCCGTTGACCAAAAAAAAAAGGGTAGATAGCCGACTTAAACTAAAAAGCTGAGAAATTTTTTCAATAAAATAAGGTTGATCTGTTCTGTATTTATTCAATAAAATTTGAGAATTGGTTTATTAACCGAGATAGTCCGTTAACTATTAGTCCAGTATCATTTTAGTTCATTAAATAAAATTTTCATTTTAATGGTACTTCAACTCTTAATTTAATATCAAAATGGTCCCATCATTAAAGGTTATTAATATTGCCATTAAACTGAGGGATAAAACTATCTATATGAATTAAAATATTAATAAATAATTTAAAATTAAAAGAAACTATTATAAAACTTAAGAAAATTGAAAAAATTGAATCTCACCACCCACATGGCTTTTTCTTTTTGCTGAGATTAACTTAAAACTTAATAAAACTTTTCTCTTTTGTTTAAATTAATTAAAAAAAATTAAATCAGATAAATGCATTAATAAAATAATAAAAAATTTTAAAAAGTAATCGAAACAAAAAAACAAACCGTTTGGGCTGTTGGCCCCTCTTGTTACCAAAAACAAAAACAAACTCAGATTTACCCCAAAATACACAGCCTCCCATCCCAACTCCGCAACCTCCCCCCTCTCAACCTCCACCCCCCTTACCCCCACACACCCCGCCCCCTCTCAGCCTCCACCCCTCTTCCCCCCACATAATCTTGGTCAATTTGGGACTCTGTTTCGAGCCGGTTGACGAGGATGTTGAGAACCCATTTGCAAGCCCCACCGTAAGATTTGATGTGGGAAGGGTGAAGAATTTCAGAGGTGACGTTGCGGCTGAAAAACATTTTAGCCGAGAGAACCCCTAAACCAATTCTCTCGTAGTGTGCGAATTGGTTTAGGCGAGAGCATCGACCAATCCAATTCTCTTGTCTTAGGCGTTGAAATCTCCAACATCGCAAAACTGGGGTTCAAATTTGGTAGTTTTTGGGGGAGCTTTTAACAGAGATTGGAGGGAATGTGTTTCAGCATATGGCTTGGTCGTTTTAGAAGATGGTACTGAGCTAAAATTACGCTTTTATCCCTCGATTTCACGGAATAGTTCACAGATTTTGACGGTGGGATCATATTGATACTAAATGAAGAATTGAAGGACTATTGAAATGAAAAGTTTAGTCGATGAACCAAAATTCATTTCAATTTAGTTGATGAACCAAAAATAATACATGCTGGAGCAATAGTTGGGGCCATTTCAGTGAATAATCGTCGAGAATTTATCGCCAAAAGATGAAACTTCAGTAGCTCATGTGGAAATCATTGGTCAAAATAAATATCCAAAGGTCCCACCTTTCCCCTTATTTTATTTCTATTTTCTTTTTCTTGGCTGGAGCCACCTTCCCCTTCTTGTTATCTAATCTTCCGCAGCCTACAGAAAATTCAACCGAGAACTCCAAAACCTTCAAAAACCCATAAACTAAAAATTGGAAAAACTAGTAAATAAAAATTCAAAACAATTATGGAGATCTCATCTTTTACTCTGTCCACTCCAAGATCCCCACCTTCGCTCCCTTTCTCATCATCCCAATCTACCTTCTTGACCAACAATGCCACTACCTTTTTATTCCCCAACAAAAACAAGGTCAATAGCGGTGCTTTGGTTCTGGGCAGGACCAGAACCAGAACAAGAACTGAAAGAGTCAAGAAGGGTCTCACTTGTAACGCTTTGTTTGGTCTTGGGATGCCGGAGCTTGTTGTTATAGCTGGGGTGGCAGCTTTGGTTTTTGGACCCAAGAAGTTACCTGAAGTGGGCAAGAGTATTGGGAAGACTGTCAAGAGCTTCCAACAGGTTGGTTTCTTTTATCTGGATCTGTTTCGTTCTTTAGAGAATGGATGACATTTATTGCCAATTTGATTCTTTTTGTAGTTATTGTTGTTTGTGTGTATGAAAATTGGAAGAAAATCAAGAACTTTCAGTTGCACTCAGCTAAATAAGGGTTTTGCTCTTAAGAAAACTTGTGCAAATTTTGAAATTGCAACTGCTACTATAGTTCCTGGGAAAAGTGAGGAAAATAAAATTGGGTACCTAGGTTTTGACTATGTTGTCTAGCTGAAATGAAAAGTCAAATGAAATATTAGAAAGAAAAATAAAGGCGCATGCTTGTACTGGACTCTAATTGATTGGAGAAAAGACTCAAATGTGTAAGAAGAGGAAGTATTAAAAGCAATTTTTATGCACTCGTTCTTGCGGTTCTTCTTTTAGATGGATTTTGTCCCCTTATAGTATTCCTATGCTTCTTCTATTTTGGTTAAATTACACCCCCTCCCCTGGGGTCTAAAGGAAATTGTATCGCTACAACCTGTACCTCCTATATTGTAGAAAGAAACTACGAAATCTCTCAGTTATAGTAGATTTTACAGTATCCTTTAATGCAGGACATATAGTTTTCGTCTAAGGTAGCTTTCATTAGAAGTTCCGGTATTGGGGTAGAAATTTTGAAGTTATAATATGGTGTTCAAAATGATAATGACACTAATATAGACAATATTGGTCTATGTAATAAATCTTTCCGACTCTGTTACGCTCAATATAAGAGACAAAAGAGAACTAGGAAGAAGATGACACAGAAACTAGAAGCTTCTCCACTATTCAATATTATAACAAAGGTTGGTATAACTGCAAAAATGAAGGGAAGTCATTATTTTTACACCCTCCCAGCCCTGGATACGCCATCACACTAAGTTTGGTACAAAGGATTTAGGAATGGGAACAAATAAAATTATAATTTTACAAGAAGATTCTAGCACTTCCCTTCTAATATATGCAATATCAAACCTGAGCAATGGTACTCCTTTCCTTTCTTTATTCATACCAAGATTAAGGGGGGGAAACACACTCCTCTTCATCCTCCCCTTTTTCCACTTATCAAAAAATAAGTATTAGATTACTAATCCCATTTTTCCTATTGCATCCAACCTTTTTACCAAACATAGTGCATCTTCAGAGATTATTTGGTGAATCTTGTTCCATTGATCTATATACTACAAATTTCTTTAGTTTTCTTTAATACGGGATAGAGTGACAAATGGCCACTGGTAGCTGTAGGATTGTTTCTTCGGAGGGAGCAACATGAATTACAAAACTTTTACAGGTCAGATTGTATTATTTAGGGGTTCAGGGGGAGGTGAAAGAAAATGCATCCCAGCAATTGCCTATGCAGTATTTTATCAAATTGAGATGGTCATTGCAACATAACTTGACAATTTTTGGTTTGATTCACTCTTTTTCATCTCAGTCTTTCCATTTCCTCCCGTTTACTTGAACTATTTCTTTCTTATAAAAACGAAAAAAATAACTCCCAGAAAAACATCTTCACTTAAAAAGAAAGGTGGAGAAGTCAGTCTTGCGAAACACCTTCTTTCAGTTAGTGACTAGGCCTCCATGCTTTCCAGTTCATATAATCTACCTACCTAACCTTCAATATTGTATTTACTGTACTCAAATTTTGAGGTGTGTGATGTGAGGATTGGGAGAAAAGGAGAGGGATCAATTGATTGTGAGCAGACGGATGCATATAGACGTCAAATAGTTGATTATGTGGCACAACTTTAAACTCAGTTAGCAGTATGTAATTCATTGATGGTCACCAAACACAACACCCTCTAGTATTCCCAGGAAAAAAAAAAGTCTAAACAATAAGCATAAAGCTTCTTTTTGCATTGTAAAGGTTTTTTCCCCCCTTTTATGTAACTTTGTCTGAGGGTAACTTTTGTATTTAAAAATGTTATTAAAAGGGTGGGGAAGGTAAAAGACTAATTTTAATGATGCTACTTTCTATCAATGTGCGTGAATAAGTGAATAATGGAATGACTTGAAATCTTGAACACAGTGATTTTTTAACGTCTAGTGATCTCATTTGGACCGGCTTCCTTTCCATGCTCCTCATAAGAGTGTATTTTGAATCATTCCTCTGTAAATCTTGCAGGCAGCAAAGGAGTTTGAGACAGAGCTTAAAAAAGAACCTGAGGCACTCACAGAGACACCTACAGCTGTGAGTGAAGAAGAAAAACAAGAAGTCAAGGTCTCAAGCTCAAAGGAAAACGCATAAAGGTTGTAGTGATCCCTCAGTCGACGCATTCTCAATTTTTGTTGTGCTGTAAGTTTAGGACAAGATCACGATTTAATACAGATCATTATGTGGAATATTTTCCTCTGGAACTGTATGTTTACCACTGCACTGATAATCTATTAAGAATTTGCTAATTTAGATAAGCAAAAGCTGCTTTCTTTTGTTAAGGATGCAAGTTTTGCACTTTGACTTGAACTCAAATTGGTTTCTTAAAAATGATCCAAATTTTACGTTCCCTTCTTCTACTGTGTTGTCGTGTTGCATGTCAGGCTCATGGAGGGGGAAAAGAATTATTACCAAAAAAAGTTAAAGAAAAAAGAAAAACTTTTTGCTTTAAAAATAAGAAAGATGAGCTTCTGAATGAGGTGAGAGAGAGATACTTTCCCTAAAGCAGATTCAAGGTGTCTTATAGTGTAAGCAGCAGCCCTAACACTAAACTGTTTTGCAGATAATGGATTGGTGGTCCTTGAAGATGGCACTAAAAATTATAAATCATTTCTAAAAGCTATTTTCTTTTATTAATATTCTTTGGTTGCAACTTCTGCAAGCTCTTTAACAGGTGCTCAAATTAGATATAGAAGTAAATTAATACAAGAAATACATAATCTTTGTCAACGTTGTTTAAGCTTTATACAATTTTATATCATATGCTTTTTGCCCTGATTGCTCAATCATACAATATTTTTCGAAAGTAATCTAAAAGCATGCAATTATAACAGGTTATGATGCACTAATGATATGTATGGGGTTGTTGTCCTTGTGCCCTATTTTTTTTTTTTTTTTTTTTTTTTTTTTTTTTTTTCTTTGCCCTGTGGTGAAATACTCAAGTAATTTCAAAACAAGGCATAATTAACAATAAAAATTGCACTAGAGTGATATATTAACTTTTTTTCCCTCAGTTTCTGGCTTAAATCTTGTAATTTAGGTACCTTATGAAGGGCTAAGATAATTTTTATGTTGAATTATAAGAAAGCAACTCCACTAACTAAACAAAGAGCACCGACCCAGTAAAGGCAAACGAATTAAAAACTAGAAAGATAGCAACCTTTTGTTGCGTATTTAATTTAAAGTTTTGAGAGACGCAATGGATGGACAATGAAAATCTCACTAGTCAGCTAGGCCCGAGCCCTCAGCCAGCCAGCCCTATTCTTTTCTTTTTTTGTCAACATCTCAATTTGGGCTACTTATTAATATCAATTTATCAAACCCAAGTTTATGACCCACGTAAATTTCACTATTTTCCTTTTCTTTCTTTAAAAAAAAATAATAATAAAATTATAGATTGGATGAAAAAATGAAAGCTGTCACATTCGAGGAAAGAAGAAACCCCCATTCTCCTCATAAGACGTGCAGGGAGTGAGTTAGAGTTAGAGAAGATGAAATTTTAAAAATAATCATAATCATGGAGTCATAGCCCCTTTTTTTTATATAAAAAGAAAAAAAGAAAAAAAGAAAAAAAAAAGGACTGAGTGGGATGGATGACCCCAATTATGGAAACCTTAATGACGTGTACAAAACATAAAACCTGATTTTCGGGTTGTAAAAAGTTGGATGATGCAAATCTGGTGTGATTAGGGACTTGTTTTTATGATTTTTTTTGTTCTTCTGAGGAGGGGTTATTTTTGTTGGTTTGATGCAAGATAGTGTGCCTTTTGGGAATCAGGTAGAGTTTCGTTTCGTAGGCTCCCTAACCCTACCCTAATTAAGTATTTCTTATTTTGGTGAGAGAATGAGAGATAAAACACGAAGCAAAAACGGATAACAAAAATACAAAGTAACCTCTCTCTCTCTCTCTCTATGGATCATTGAATTTCATAAATAAATAAATTTCAAAAAATAAAATGCAGTGCCAATAATAACCTTACTAGTAATTAGTCTAGTTTTTTTAATGCAAGCTATAGTCTAAACTAAAAAGAAAGAGAATTCCTCACAAACACACTCAACTAAAATGCTATACGCAAATCAATATCCTTTTTAATTAGACCAGACCCGTAATTATTCTAGTTTAAGTTAAAATCTTGTTATCATAAAAAATGGAAAGCTAAAACATAAAGAGCTCTTGTCTTGTCAGCGCGTAGGGCAATGCCAGTAGTCCCACCACGATTGCATATTTGAGAAAAAGACTGCAAATTTTGCTGATTGCTCTCTCTCTTTCTCTGTTTCTCTATGTGTGTGTGTATCTCTATAAGTTGAAAGTTGAAACCATAAATCAGAGTCACGCACGAACAAATTTCCCAACCCAAGTCAGAGTTCAGAGCCCAAAAGCAAAGGAATTCAGAACCCAAAAAGAGAAGGTTTTTCAGAAAGCACTTATTTCTCTCTCACCTTTCCTTCTCTTCTCTTTCTTTCTTTCTTTCTTTCTTTCAAAACCAAAAAACTCCAACCACAACCCATAATCTACTGTAAACCAGCTCAACCCAACCCTCTTGAAATCCCCAATACCATTTCCGGGTTATCGGGTCTGAGGACACCATTTCACCAACACCTCCTCTCTCTCTCTCTCTCTCTCTTACTTGGCTACCCCAAAACCCACTTCTTAAATTCCCTCCCAGTGTTCCCAAAACCCAATGCTTCGCATAAACATAAAATAAAATAAACAGAGACGACACACATACACACACACACACACTCTCTCTCTCCCTCTCCCTCGAAGGGGCTCAAGACCCCAGCTTTAATTCCTTGTCCACCAAAGTCTTCATTTTTCTTACTGTAAATTGCACAACTCTCTGAACAATTACAGTAAGGGGAAAAAGAAAAAGTAGTAGGTGGAATATGGCGGGAAATCCGCCTGAGGGACTTGGAGACGATTTCTTTGAGCAGATCTTGGCTGTGCCACCGTCTTATAGTACTGGTGGTGCTGACTCAGCTGGTGGTGGGTATGGAGATGTGGGGTCCATGCCCATGGTGCTGCAGCTAGGCTCTGGTGGGTCTTCTTCAGCTGCTGCTGCTGGTGGTGGTTCTGGTGGCGGAGGGTACAGAGGAGTTGGGATGGGGATGGGTATGCCTCTGGGGTTAAATTTGGAGCAGGGAGGGTTTATTGGGCAAGAGAGGTTCAGAGAACTGAGAGAAGAAGTTGAAGCCAATACTAATAACAATATTAACACTTCCAATGTTTCTGCTTCTGTCAGCTCTGCAATGAATGTAAGTCTCACTCCACTTTATCTTCTTTTTTTTCTTTTTCTCTCTTCTTTTTAAGATTAGGATGTCAATTCTCAAGTTTTCTACTTGTTTGATGGATGGGGATTTGCTTGCCATTCCTGGGCAAGTGGAGTTTTCCATGAAAAATTCCTTTGCTGTGCTGCTAGAAAGTATTAGATATGGAGGAAGAAAAAACTGCCCCCTTTCAGTTTCAGTCAGCTTTCCTTGGAAATTGAAACCTCAGAATCTCTTTCTTTTTGTTCTCTTAATTTTCTGTACTTTTTTTGAGAGAATTTTAGAATCAATCAATTTTTTTCTCTGGATGTGAGAGTTGAGAACCAGTGAACAAGTATGGATATGCTTGTTAAATGAAGGGTTTTGCAAGGTTAATTTGGCGAATTTGACATGGTTTTTAGTTGTCGGTGTGGCAGGAAAGAGATTCTGTTCATATGACAAATTTGTTTCCAGCGTTTGGACACTTGCAAAATCACTCACTCCGGCCAACGCCAGCCCCTCCGCAACCTCACCAGGTAAGTTCAGCATTTCATAATGACGAAATTGACCTCTTTCTTTCTTTTAATTAGTGGAAATAGAATCATCATGACATGACATCCCGCTGCTTGAACTTTGAAGTGTGTCTAACGTTTGCCATCCCTAGCCAATCACACCATGTCACGCATGGTAACTTTTTCATTTGACATAGTTTGATTGGATGGGATAGTGTGCTATTCTTGTTTCATACAAGTTTTTCTTGTATAAGAGGGGAGAAAACAAAAACTTCATTGCAACGGGAATAACATTATTTTGCTATTCTCGAACAATAATGTTATATCATGTGGAAGTGTTATCACGCGTGTCATAACGTTATTAATTAGGATAACAAAATAGTGTTATCCTGTTTTACTGAAGTCTTTCTCCTTGGAGTGTGAGGGGTACAGTTGATAATTTTAGAAACGAACAAGGGCTTTGTTTAAGAACTCCAGTAGGTAACGAATGTGTTCTGCACGCGCTTTAAGGAGCGTGGGGGCACTTGTTGTAGTAGAAAGTGAACTGTCCGACAGACAGAAGCCCACCATAAACGTGTGAGTTGTTGGAACGTGTGGGAGAGGTCTGCCGTCCGAGGGACTTTGTGGTCCTTTCGAGTTTCGTTTTCTAATTGCAATCTTTGTCAGTTTAAGATAAACGGCTAATTATGATAAGCACGCGCCTCTGGGAGTGGCCAGAGCGCGTGGGGAACATGCGCTCCTGCTGTCCCTTCACATGGGGTTGACTCCTACCAGTTTGACTTTGTCAACATTTTGACTTCTCGTGATGTTTGCTAAATATGGTTGGTTCAGCCAATCTTGTAGTAGACAGACTTAGGCAGATTTTGCTGCAGAATTTGGGGACCTGAATTTGAAGTTGTTTTTATATTTTTTCAATTTTTCCTGGAATTTTTTAATTGTTTGATGGTTCAGTTGATGGCTCTAAGAGTTGCCTGAGAGTTGGTCAGTTTGGCATGAAAATTTTAATCTTGTGTTTCATTTATTTATATTTGGAATTTTGGGTGATTAGACCAATACCTAAAAAGAAAGAAAATTGAATGAATATTTTTCTTGCTTGACATTAAAAACATCTTGACTTGTCCAACTAAAAATTCAGTCATCCTCATCCAAGAATGTACACAGGCTGATGACAAGAATGTACGCAACTAGATGTCAAAACTTAGTTCCGTCAATGTTTTGTTGTTTATCTCTTCCTCGTAAAGCATTTGATGGAGTATTGAATGGAAAATTGGATAAAGATGTGAAATGACTTGGGAGATGGTGTTCCACCATGGACTGTCAGGATTAATCTGATGGAAATCCAAATTCAAAAATTGTATCGAGAGCTGAAATATAGTATCTTATGCTGTGCTTTCACTTACCTTATTTTACAGCCATAATTTCCTCAAATTTGGACAACATATGATTTAATGAGAAATCAATCTTTACTGATTATATTAAAAAAAACTTTTGATTGTCCTGCTAAATTTTGACATATCTGTACTGACTTTGACCCCAACATAGTAATGTATTTAATTCAAACCTTCCAATTATCGAATGATTACGTATATGCCTTAGTTCAAACCTAATACATGTTTGCTATTGGATTTTCATCTTCACTTATGATGTATGGATTGTCATAATTTGTTAATCTTGTTGCCGCAGTTTCATAGCCAACCATCACCAGGCCCAGTTGCTGCTGTCCATCACCCTCCTGCCATCCGCCCAAGGGTCCGAGCAAGACGTGGCCAAGCAACAGATCCCCACAGTATTGCTGAGCGGGTAAACTAGATTTTTTATATTTAAGAGAACGTTAAAATCTTCTTTTTCTTTTTTTTGAAAGTTAGCAGTTAGTTCATTCTCATTGAAGACATCCAAATTGCTTCTGTTTAACTTTGACTAGTAAGATAATTCAAGATGACACTCCTGCATACATTTTGAATTAAAATATCAGAACTTTTGGCGTGTGCAATTATTTTGGGACTAATAAAGTAGAGTCTGTTATTCGTAAGCAACAATTACTTGCTAAAACTTCAAGGCTAGGTTTCTGATGGTGGTTTCCTATGGTGTACTCCTTTTTCTCTGAGGTATAGGTTGCAATATGGAAATAATAAAGTAGATACAAACGCATTTGCTAGTCAACCTTTTCTCATGGCAAAGAATCTGGATATCTCATGTGGGATCATAACATGGATGATATGTTCTCATATGCATGTATTCTTCTTACAGTGAACATAGATGCTCTTTAAGAAAAGTAGATGCCTATCCCTAATTAGCATTGAGGGCTATACTAGTTTTGTAATAACCAAACTGCTTCTCTGGTAACACTTTAGACTTCATCATGGCATCCATTATCAGGACTTTGATATTTACCACACTCCTATATCCTATGCCTGTTTATTTATTCTATAGATAATCATATGTCTAACATACGTTATATGTATATATGTATATATCTTCTTGGTGCAGTTACGCCGGGAAAGAATTGCAGAAAGAATGAAGGCTTTGCAGGAATTGGTACCCAGTTGTAACAAGGTTAGTGCCTTACAGCGCAGATTTAATACCTTCTCCAGGATGAATTGCATTTTTTTTGTTTCATCATTTCAAATATTGTAGTCTGCAATTATGATGGTGGAAAATGCCTATCCTTTGAAATATAAATTTTACATGTAGTGACACGTTATGTGATCTTTATGCAGACAGATAGGGCAGCTATGCTTGACGAAATTGTGGACTATGTGAAATTTCTAAGGCTCCAAGTGAAGGTATTTATCCAAAATTCATATAGATTCAGGATATCTCAAAAAGATTTATTGTCGTTTATTAGCATTTCCTAATCAAAGTAAGCTTAAAAGTTTTGAAAGAATTCTTAGTTTTTTCGGATGCTTTATCAAATGTTTCTTCATAAAAAACCCTTTTTCTGCACAAATGCTTAAAAGTCTTTATTGAATTCATCATTGTTTCAAAAACTTGTACCAAATTCCAATGTCTTCCAATTTCCAAAGTCTTCACCACAATGTAGGTCCCAGTCATGATGCATGGCCCAGGCATCATTAAAGGCATTGAGACTTTCTTTATATGAAATAGTTATTTTGTCAAACCTGAAATGACTTTGTCTGGTTGGAACCTCTAGAATTCAATGAAGTCATAATCAAATAGCAAAGGACACAAAACTTTCTTCAATTTTTGTAGTTTATTTATTTATTTTCTTGGTAATCGATCTGATTTTCTTTATGCTGAAACAGGTATTGAGCATGAGTAGACTTGGGGGAGCAGGTGCAGTGGCTCAGCTTGTTGCTGATGTACCCCTATCAGCAGTCGAGGTAGTCAAGCCCAAACCTGTTGTTACTTGATCTTATTTTTTCTCTGCGCATTTTTTGGATTGATCAACTTAATTATGCATGTAGCTTATTTTTACATGTATCAACTACTATATATATGATATTCATCCAGGCATTTAACCTATAAAAATGTACATATATAATGCCAGGACAATATACATAATTATAGTAATTAGTAAGCTAGGATCATAGAGATAGGTTTCCTTTAGATCATTATTAAGCTTGATGAACAGTTTAAAACCTACCAAAATCCTTAAGTAAAAACCATTCTGATAAAAATAAGAGTAGTCTATGTACTAAATCTTCCCCTTTCTGTCTAACAGTATTTTGACTATTTTCTGTTTCTTGTTACCATCCACCAACCTTGGATACTTTTGGAATGAAGGGAGAGGGCATTGAAGGAGGAACCAATCAACAAGCATGGGAGAAGTGGTCTAATGATGGAACAGAGCAACAAGTAGCTAAGCTGATGGAGGAGGATGTAGGAGCTGCCATGCAATTCCTTCAGTCCAAGGCACTCTGCATCATGCCAATATCACTTGCCCCTGCGATCTTCCGGACACATCAACCGGACGCAACGACACTGGTCAAGCCAGAATCAAACTCCTCTTCATAGGTTCCAACAAAATATGCAATAGCACATGCCCATCAACGACTCCGAGCACGCTTCTGGGACCCCAACCTAATTTTACTCAAGAGTCATGACAGTGGGTATTTTGTAGTCTGGTCAAGTTTATAACTCATTAGAAGTGACAATCAAGTCGCTGCAACTGTTCACTCTTTTTCGTTGAGTTTTGTCAAACAAGGGACTGATTGTCATGCCTAGGTAGAATTGTGAGGCACTTGATGTATTTGGCATAGGAAGTCTAGGGAAGAATTTTCAAAAGCCAATTTGATGTTTTCCTCTTGTAATATCAATGGTGGGGTTAGTTGAGTGTGACCAAAAATGTTGGTGGTGGGAGCTCTTTCAATTTCCTTATGTGGATAATGGGATATGGGACCATTTAAAAGGGATGGAGGGGTGTGTGTATGATGTATTTTGAGAAAATTTTAATGCAAGTTGAAAGTAGAAAATGGTTGTTTGTCTTATAAAGTTTTTTTGGAAGCTTCTGGTTCTAAGAAAAATTTATCTGTATATATATATATATATATATATATATATAATATTGATGGAATTGAGTTTGTTATTTTCTTTAAAAGTGAGGTGAGTCATTTTTTTTCAAATTTGCTGAATCATTATTGAAGAGAGAGTTTATTGGGCGGAAAAAGAGTAGAAAATGACATCTTCTATCAAAAAGATTTTTCACATTTTTTTGTTCATTTTTTTTTTTTTTTTTTTTTTTTTTTTTTGCTAAATGAACTCTAAAATTAACTGAGCACACCCTATTACCAAACTATTTATTGAATTACCAATTTATCCTAATATAAAATGACCAAAAATAACATATTAACCATATGTTAATAATAATACAAATGTATTTTCTATCCGTACATACACAAACAATGAGTTTCAACCGCCTGTTGTAGAATCTGAAAATTTTATTCTAATGTCTAACAATCAGTTTTATGATCTTGTTGGGTTGAGCATCATCTCCAAATGCCTTTATTGGTGTTATCCAAATGCATACTTTCGACACCTCTGTTAGCTAGGAGCAAACTTTTCTATTTCCGTTTTATTGCTCCCCGTCTCCATCTCTCTCTCCCTCCTTTGTATCGTAATTCATTTATTGGAAAACCGGATTGCGGTTTCAAGCCAGTTATGAGGAAGGTTGCCTTTCAATTCTCCATTCAAGGCCCTCAACTATTTACAATTTATACATCGATTCCGAGTTTCAAAATCGGCTTCAGATATCTTGGTTAGCATTCCACCTGTTGTATCATGGGGTGTTACCCTAGTTTCAACTGTCGACATGACAACCATCATCAATATCTACACCATTTAAATAAACACTGCTACAAAGTACCCCTTCAGTTATTGTGATGTTAAAACTGAAGCAATCTTGCTCACCTTGCTTGTTCATGTTATGAAGTGTTGGCTTCTCGATTGACCAGCTCCCATCTTTAGCCACAGCTGCAGTTGGAATTTTGGATGAGCCAACACAATTTGACAAATCAACACAAAATTTCATTCATGCACAAATCCAGTCCTTACCAATTTCTCTCAAAAATACTGCAAACCCAAAATCGGAAAATAAAGCACGAATTCATGTAAAAAGAGAAACCTAGCTTAGGATTGGTTATGGTGTTGTGTGAGAGTATATAAGGGTGTACCATGAGTATTTTTTGTAGTTAAATATGGTGTACTTAGTTAATTTTACATTTTGATTTAAATATTATGGTGTACTTAGATTATTGGATGTACTCAGTTAATTTTAGAGTTCGTTTAGCAACACTCTTTTTTTTTTTATGAAAAAGAGTTTAGGAAGAAGGGAGGTTATCCATTCTACGGTTATGACATACCAATGCCTCTTTGAGAACTTACAGAGGGTGTCTTATTCTTTTTTATGATTTTTACATATTACCCACCAAAAGAGATTGTAAGCAACGAGACTCAAACTTAGGTCTAGATAGCGAAAATAACGATCCTTACCAACTCAACCAACCCTCATTGGCTCAATATGGTTCACTCTAAACACAAGACCAAAAGGTGAAACTTGAGAGATAAATAAATAATAAAAATGTTCTTTTTCTTTTTTTATTTGTTGGGCAAGATCCCACAATCTAGTCCTACATTGATTGGGCGGCAAAGTTGGAGTTTCCCTAACCAAACCAATTTGGGCTTTGACCATATTTGGACCCCTTGGCCCATTTACCTGTAAGGAAATTTAAGGCTCTCTGATATTGATCAAAACGGTTAGTGTTAATCGTCTAGGGTTTGAAAAGTTTCAGCCATGATTGGTAAGTGTTCCTACAATTGACCAAATTCTTTGTATTTGCGAGTCTTAGGTTTGAGCTTTGATTTGCTTTAGTTTCTGAACACTTGAGTTAGAAAATTATGATTCTTTTTATTTTATATCTGAAAATTATGGTTATTGTATGCTCGTTCAAGTTATGGAAGGTGTAGGATTGTCAGTTGTGGACTTGAAATGGAACTTCTGCCCCGAAAACTAGAGAAAAATAAAACTTTTAGTACTAGAAATGACTGTTTAAAATCTCATAAACCTTGGTGAAATTTAAGCCTGAAAACTGATGGAAACGATTTACTAGCGGAAAAATAAGAAAATTTGACTAAAGATTAATTTTTTTTCTTTTTTTTTGGGGGGTGGGTGGTGGGGATTAGGGATTATGTGTATTTGATTGTTTGTTTTGGAATATGCTAGGATTATGGCCATAGGAATGGGAATGGTAACTAGTTCCAACGCAAGCAACAAGGATTCTGGTGCCTGGAGAAGATTTGCAGCCAATGCACTCATACAGTCCCTTCTGGCTGGGTGATGTTCCAACTCATATACAAGTACGACTTTCTTTTTCTAGGTTAGCAATGATGTAACACCTATAAGTGAGGGTGTAGTGTTGGATTTAAGATATAATTATTCTTCTTGGGCTTGATGACTCTAGAAACTGCATTATTGCTGGCCATTCGGCTCATGAAAAGATCTGGTTTCTCAAGAAAAAGTGCTTATTAATGCTATCATCATGGTAATAGCTAAATGTGGTTTAGGAATGATTTTTCTTACTTTAACTATTCATTTTAAGATGCATGTGTTTTTCCTTATCGATAGAAAGCAATTAATATCCATAAGAAAAAATTTTGATTGGATATTTAGTTTGATTCTGTTGAATATTAAACAGAAGTATATCATTCCTGAAATTCTGTGTGATAGTTGTTCACAGACAGTGAGTATTTGAGTAGTTGTATTTCTCTATGTACCAATATTGTCGAGGCATCCGCCTCTCGAGTTCAACTTCAACGAGCGGGAGAATCCACTGGGATCCAACTGTTGCCCTCGAACTCAATCACCCAACTCTTATATTGCTCGAAAAATGCAGGACAAGGTACCATTTCAAACAGATTTTGGGGCAGATGATGAGGACCTGTCTAATTGGTCAGACATTTCCCATGAGCAGGCTTCTCACATTCTCAGCCATCTCACACCCTGATAATTTAGACATGGCTATCCTTCTTTTCAATCACTATACTCCTAATCCCAATCTTTACATTTATAATTCTATGATTTCTGCTTTATCTTTCTCTAAAAGCCAACCGTTTGCCCTATACAATTCCATGCTCCACTCTGGTATATGCCCAGATAAACACACCCTTCTTTACTTACTCCAAGCGTCCACATGCATATCAGAGGCAAAGCAGCTCCACAGCCATGCCGTTGTTACAGGTTTGTTGTCACATGGATACCTGCAGAACACCCTCACCAAGATATATCTGGAAAAAGGACAAATGGGGCTTGCTTGCCAGGTTTTCCGTGATGTGCCAACACCAGATCCAGTCTTATTCAATATCATGATTGTTGGTTATGCCAAGATGGGATATTGTTCAGAAGCTCTTCAACTGTTCTATGAAATGGTGGGTTTGGGTCTTAAACCTGACGAGTTTACCATTTTAGGACTTCTTATATCTTGTGGACTATTAGGAGATTCCCGACTGGGAATGTCTGTTCATGCATGGATTGAGAGGAGGAAAGCCATCACTGCTTCAAATTTGATCTTGGGTAATGCTCTTTTAGACATGTATGTGAAATGGAATAAATTGGAGCTTGCTCAAAGTATATTTAATGCTTTAGTGGATAAGGATATCGTGTCATGGAACACCATGACCGCAGGATATGCCAAGGTTGGCAAATTAGAACTTGCCCTCACATATTTCGAGCAAATGCCTAGAAGAGATCTTGTTTCTTGGAATTCATTAATTGCTGGCTATGCCAAGAAGGGTGATTACACGATGGCAGTGAAGGTATTCAACAACATGATTAGGGTGAATGTGAGGCCTGACAATATCACTCTGGTTAATTTGGTCTCTGCTGCAGCGGAAATTGGAGCACTAGACCAAGGAAAACAGATTCATGGCTTGATTGTGAGGATGAAGTTGAAAATAGATGTATTTTTGGGTTCAGCATTAATAGACATGTACTGCAAGGCTGGAAGTATTGAAAGAGCCTTCATGGTCTTCAGGGGACTGACAGAGAAAGATGTTACCATATGGACGACAATGATCACTGGATTTGGATTCCATGGTTACGGAAACAAATCTCTGGATCTGTTTTCTGAGATGCAGAGAGTTTTATTGCCAAATGGGGTGACTCTTGTTGCCGTTCTTACAGCTTGTAGTCATAGTGGACTTGTGGATGAAGGGCTAAATATATTCAACAATATGAAGAATAATTTTGATATCGAACCAGGAGTTGAGCACTATGGGTGTCTAGTGGATCTTTTATGTCGATCAGGGAGATTGGTAGAGGCAAAAGATGTGATTGAAAAGATGCCAATGAAGCCAAGTCGAAACATCTGGGGAGCAATGCTGAGTGCTTGTAGAGCGCATGGAGACATGGAACAAGCTGAAATAGCTTCAGCAGAGCTACTCAAGTTAGAGCCTGAGAAAGAGGGAGGATACATTTTGATGTCTAATATGTATGCTGCTTGTGGGAGGTGGAGCTACTCAGATAAGATTAGAGAAATAATGGAAATCAGGGGAGTGAAGAAGACCGCAGGTTGCAGTAGCGTAATTGTTGATGGAGTTATCCATGACTTTGTTGTTGCAGATAAACGGCATCCAAGATGGGTTGACATCTTTCTTGTTTTGCACTGTCTGAAAAGTGAAATGAAGTTGGACGCTGATCTCTTGACAATGTTGATTTTAGACATTGAGGAGCCTTGTTTTTTATGTTGATGTAGAGATTGCATTGCATATTTCTAGTTATGTAAATATCACTCTTATGTGCTATCATTTGTTGAATCTTACATATTCTTCTGCCTATTCTCTATGTTCTTTTCTGGAGAATTGTCCTTCAGAGGGGTCATTAAGATTCTGCCTTTTTATTATATCATCCCATTCGTATAGTGTAATTTACTACAGTAACTGTAAAAAAAGTTCTAAAAGAATACAGCAGTAGTGAAGAGTTTTCATATCCTTGGACAGTTGAGAACTGAGCTCTACTCCAGCGGAAACAAAATGTTTACAAAGTATAATCCAATTAAGCCTGATCTGTACAACAACAATACCCCTTATCTTCAAATTAGCAGAAAATATCCAAAATATTGTACACCCTAGTATCAGAAGATCCAAATATAAAATATATATAAAAGGCCCCCCTCCTTACACCATCGATCTCTCTGTTAGTTCTGCAAGTGCATTCCTAAAGGCAGCCATCTCCCCGTCAACTCTGCAATCACCATTTAAGCATCATCTCAACACACATCCTGTGGCCAGATTTGCTCTCCTCCCTGATACAAGTTTCTCCTGCAACTAATTGGGAGATCCCAAAAAAATGGAATGGAACACGAGCCATGATCAATCTGCGTAAACTCATTGAGATTAATCTCAAATGAAATTTTACTAAAAAATATCTCTTGAGTGACCAAATCAATCATGTCGCCCCCGAGCTTGCACTAACCCCACCACCGTCCCTCAACCCTTGAAGCCACATATGTAGTGTTCTTTGCACGTAGTCAGCAACAATTCTTAATCTTCCTTGACTGCTGTCTCCTCCGGAACTACCATTAAGTTCCACAGTTCGAGCAACCTTTTGTTTACATTTTTCCCAATCATCAATGCGCAACCAGCAAGCTCGACCTCCATGGCTTCCTTCCATGCCAAGAAAGGACACGTTAGGATTTTCACCAAATGCATATCTCAACCTCACTGAGACACAGTATGGCAACCATGCTGCACCACCAGCAGCATTTATGTGAGGTATGTGAGCAGGATCAAGAACAAGAGTCAGTGCAAAATCAACAGAGTTATGAGGCCGATCATAATGGATATTACTTTTGGCAACAGATGAATTGTCTGAGTTGTCATCCATACTCGAGCCAGCATGATTTTCAAGGCATAATTCAATACGGGGTTTTTGAGCAGGTGCTCCATCTCCCCCTTGTGCCTGGGCGAGTCCCTTTTTCCATGCTATTAATTTCAAGAATTCTCGTAGAACTGATATGGGTAAGGTGAGAAGAGTGATGAACGACGCCACACGAGAAGCATCATAAGGCTCTGACGCAACGCGCCGACTGAAGTAGTCACATATTTCTCCTATTTCAGATGGAGATAATTCCTCTTGAGCAGTAGTTGAATTTGGCTGCTGTTGCTGTTGCTGTTGCTGCTGCTGATGATGGAATCGTTTCACACTCAGTACTTGAAGGAGGAGCTGAACTCTGTGAACACTTACTGCAAATACATACCCACTGCAGAAACACAAGCAATCAGATAAACTCTCTGAGGGCCACATAATTAACTGAAAATAATCTGGTACAGGTAGTGAGCATAAAATAGGGAGGGTTTTAATAAACATAAACAATTTGCATTTCCATCTCGTCTGGATGTTTATTTATTTTTCTTTTTTTTAAGCATCTTTTATATTGATTTTCTTTTTCATCATAAGATAAAAATGAGCATAAGTCATCATCAAAGAAACAAATAATGATTGGGTTAAAAAGCACTTACCCAACAAAGAAACGCAAGGCAGGCTGCTCCTGGTCCAAATTTAGAAGTGCACCTTCATTGTCTTTCAAAATTGACCCCAAAATCTCTTTCAAAAGATCCGGTAGCTGGGCAAATAGCCATAGAACCCCAAGGTACTTGAGAATACCTCTTAGCACCTTTTTAAGTGCAACGAGAGGAACCCAACCACCTCCATACCCCCCATCATCTCCAAGACCAATAATGGCTGTATTCAGTTCTCCTCTCACATGAGCAGGGACACCCGGACCGGGGGATCTACGTAAAGGCATCCCTGAGCTCACAACAGCCAAATTTGAGGACACCGGAGAAGCATTTCCAACACGGTTTAAAACAGCAACTTGGTTGCCTGTCCTAGACATTGCCGCAGAACCAGGGAGGTTAACCCTATTTCCATTTACAGCAGACAGTTGGGAACCTGAAGTTGGGTTTTGATTGATTGAACTTGCCAGTCCTGTCTGTTGACCAGCAGTGAAATTAGTATCTAAACCGTTCAATTCTTGAGCCACATGCTCCATAATAAATGGCCTAAACTGTGGGCAAGGTAATGACCCTCCAACTGAAGGACCCCCCTTGGGTGGTGTTGCTGGTTGCAACCAAACCTGATCTCCTGCAAAACAGCGCATGTCAACTGCAAAGTGCTTCCGATATATAATTCGTATCCAGTAGGGGCCACGTAGCACAACAGAAACATCTATGGGCAACAGTGAGCTGGGTACAATGCCAGGTCCACCTCGGCCAGCAGCAGCTAACACTACAGGCCCATGGAGGCTATGATTTGCAAGAGGCCCTGTAGCAGTAGATGAAACAGGGTTACCCATAGGGCCAGAAGGGGACTGACTGGCATTTGTGGTTGAACTAGTTGGCATTAGACCCTGGGATGGTGACTGCCCCCCAAGTTTCGGAATTGAAGAGAGAACTGCTCCTCCAGGGCCTACTCCAGGAACCCCTGGAATAGGACTAGCTCTTGCAGGTCGTGTTGCAGCTGCAAGAGCATGTAAGGGACCTGCAGTGAGGCGAATGCAGTCCAAAAGTGATGCAACTTCAGCTCCATTTATGAAATCTTCCAGAAACTGTAGAGAACAGAAAAGGCTATCTTCATGAATGCAAATCTTTATAAACAGAAACAAATTGGGGGAAAAGTATAAAGTTAAACCCATGATATACAAACCAAAGACATAATAAATCTATGTTGCCCAAATGCATCTGTCAAAATCTAAATTGAAAAGAATTTGGTCATACAATTTGACGTCATCCTTGGTAAAGCAACTTCAATATAATTACACATTTCTGTCTTTTATACTTTTTCTACTGTTATGAAAAGCTTTGAAAGGCACTGCGCAAAATTCTAATCCAATTTCTCGGAACTTTTGCATGGCAACACCAGAAAAAAAAAATTTGAAAATTATATTTTGAAATCTTCAGAAAAAGGGCTTCTATTAATTTCATAAAAGATGGCAGGGTCAGGCACAACAACTGGAGAGAACAAGTGCAGAGGATGCATTCAGGACTCAATTTCACATAAACTAAACTTAAGATTAATAAACATGAGGTTACACCAAATATCAATCATTAAAATTGCTAAAAGAAATAACAAAACAATTAGAAAAATGTGAATGTACCTTGGTATGCGGCCAAAGTTGGTCAGGAGATACATGCATAGTACAACCTTCTTTGCCTGATTCCCACTCGACAACAAAGCGAGCTAGGACACCTGATCCAAAACTGAACCACAGACTCATAAGTCCAACTGCCTCAATTCTAAATGCCCTTCTCATTTGTTCAGATAGTCTATCAGCTGCCTCAAAAGAACCTTTCACTCCTGGTGCTTTAAAATCAGAGTGTGTATTACTTTCTTCTGGCTTCTCATCTGCTCTTACTCCAAGCAATTTCCGCATACCAAGGGCGAACATTCTTGCATTAGAAAGTCTTTGAATGTCTGCCACTAACTTCTTAATACTATCGGCCTCCACGGACTGATAACTGAGAACAACACCTTCCGGATCATAACGAATATGAGAGTCTATGTCCGATGTATTCGCAATTCGAACACCAGAACCCCAAGGTGTACTATTGCTTCCTTTCTGAAGCTCCCACAAATCTCTGAAGTGTTGGTCATTTATTTTGACATCCCAATATATGCTTCCAGGTCTGCCAAGTCGCAAGCATAAATGTTGCCATGAATCACCTCTGGCAAATGGAAGTCGGAACCATATGTTGGAAGATATACTTCTTAGACCCACTTCTTCAACATAAGGGATGTCCAGAGCCCCCATCTGGCTGGTTAGTCTGGCATGCTTAATACCAAGTGAGCAGTGCCTGACCACATGAAGAAGAGCTGAAACATAAATGCTTGAAGGTGCATTTCCCTTATTAGCTTCAGATATAAGATCCCCATAACTGTATACTTCGGATTTTGAAATTATATCCCTTGGCATAAGCATCTGTGACGAAGACTGCTGAGGTCGAGCTACTTCAGAAATCTTCCTCCTCCTACAAAATCCTGAATTGGCTTCCACACATTGAAGTGATGGAATTAAATTCAACATATCTGAAAGTGTACGTTTGCGAGGTTTTCTATTTGAAACATCTTGATTAGGACTATGACATACTCCAGAGTCTGGTGCCTGGGCTGGAAGGACCAAAAAAAAAAGATTTTTTTCTATCAATGTAAGACTAAGTAAAAAGTATAAATAGTACTAAATTAATAAGTATAATGCATTTATCCCACTTAATAAAGGCATCACAGATAACGCATCTTACATCCGGGAGTTGTTGCACATGAATTCAATCCGACAACTCTGAAAGATCCAGTTATAGGCCCATTGGGTCTCACACCTGGCCCAGAGATTCGGGGGCCAGTGGACCGAGTTGGAGACAATATTAGGGATGATCTATTCCCATATAGTGCACCCTTTGAAGTATCATTCAGAAATCTCAGCTGATCTTCATCCATTGAAGTACAAGAGCCATACTCAACTGACTGTGGAGACCTAAGAGAAGCCAAATCCTGATCAGACTTTGAAATTGGTATTTTCTTCACAGAGGCACTCCTTCCTGGGCCAGAAGATAGAGAACCAAGAGAAGCTGACTGTATGGGGCCCTTCAAATTATTTGATGAATATAAGGACCCATTATAATGGGTGGCCATACTAGAAACATTCGCAGAATTATTTAGCTGTGATAGCTGCACACCTCCCTCCCATTTAGGAGAGGCACTTCCAGCTTTAATGGTGTGAAGATTCATTGGACCAGAACCAAAATGAGAAGCGGGAGATGCATTAAGCGATGAAGAGACATTCGGAATAGAATAAGAATGTACAGATAACCCTTTCTCCAATTCAAATACTTCGTCAACAACAGAAGAAAAACTTGATGGTGCACACCCTGCAATTGGCATAGAACCTCCATGGCTGATATCTGAAAGAAGGCCATTTTCAGAAGACCGATTAGAACCCCCAGCACTAGACAAAAAAGAATGTAGTTTTCCCCAGTCAAGCAAGCTCAAATTCATATCATCCTCATGCATCTGCATCTGGCTAACATCAATTTTCTTGATCCGTATCACATGGTTTAGATCATGACAAGAATCAGCTTTTCCAGATGGACCTGGCTGAGTCTCAAGCAATTTAAATAGGGGCTTAAAGTCCTTATCAAGTTGCATCAGCAGGAAATAAGAGCTCCCACAATCAGGAAACCCCATTAGCAACTCAGTTGAACCATTCAAAATGTTCTTTGGTACTTTAACTGCAGGAAAACCATGTTCATATACCTGCAAAAATAGAATTTATGTTATCTCATGGACATTAAGTGAATCCATGCATAATCCTCAACAATCCAAAAAGGTAACACCCAGTGATTTTTTTTCTTGGAAAAATTTCATAAGGAGAAGAAAGGGAATGCTTACCTCAAGGCCTAGAAACCTGCCAATAGATGCAAATAAGTGTAAAATACTTTTACTTCTCAAGTTGATGAAAACTTCAGCTGCAGTCATACTTCCTTGATTTAAAGCATCTTCACATTCAGACAAAAATTCCAAAGAAGCAAGAATATTTGGGGAGGACTGAAGACGAAAGCGGCCATTCCTGCAAGTCAAAGATGATACATAAGACACCATTCTAAAGCATCTACATAAGAATACCAAAGTTGTGTCCTAAAGAACAACCAAGTATGTCCTGAGTTTCTTAAAATCAGAAAAATCCTAAAAAGTACACCAAGAACTTGTTCCAATGTCTAGCCAGAAGCAATATTGGCTGTAAGAACAGTTTTCTTCGTTCATCTAAGTCCCTTGGCAAGTCATAATTCATATTACCTTTAATAATATAGCGATAACAATATAAGCAAATAAGGATACCTTATATTTATGCCCAGGGTAAAAAATGATGAGCCATAGGCACGCACGCGTAATACTTCCTGCCCTTCATATTCTCTGACATTGGACTTGTCATCTTTCTGCACACAGAAATTCATGGAATCAAAATATGAAGAAAATGAACCCCAAAAATACACATGCATGAAAAACATAGAAATTTAACAAGAAAAAAAAGAACCAGAAACAAGTAACAAGAAAAAGTGAAACAACCTTTTTATGGTCAACATCCACATCTTCCACATGGGACTCAAGAGAAACATCCCCTTTACCTCGGTAGATTTGAGCATTCTTCCCCAGATCTTTTTGAATTTCAAGCAGACGAGTATATCTATTACAGCATATGGCTCTCAGAAGCAACTTCTCAACATCAATACAGTTTTGGTCAAGAGATATTTCTGCCTCCTTTCCAGTTAATGGATCTATGACAAATGTGCTATGAAGACACTTTATCTGCAGATCCGGTCCTGGTTCAATTTTTATAGACGGGCATGATGCGGAATCAGAAATACCATTGTTTTTATCAAAATCTAACCAGTACAGAATTTTTAACCCTGGCGTTCGTAGACCAGATGAATCATTTTCTCCATCTTGATTTAATTGCGCAGAGGCAGAACTTCCCCCATGACTTGTACTCCCATCAGATATGAGCTCAAACCGAATTGCATCTTTCCATCTCCCTTGCCGAAGAGCTTGTACTTGCCTTATGACAGTATCCATTACAAGTGCAACACAAAGCTCATGTAGAACTGAGTATAATGTCGTGAACGGATTTTCTGCAGCAGCCATTCTTCGCTCTAAATCATCCCCAAGAGCATGCCGACGTGATTCTTCAAGTTTTATAAGTCCACATCTCTCACCAACAAGCAGTTCCAGATGCAGTATCCTCCACATTGATAGGTGCCCTCGGTAGCCTAGTGTCACTAAAACCTTGAATTCCCCATTGACACGAAGCACTGCTGTACCATCAGAGACTTTAACCTCAGAAATTTCTTTTGGGAGTGACACTTCTAGTAATTTAGATCGCACAAGTGTGTCCAGCTTTTTCAAAGCCGGCTTTTGCTTATCCTCACTTAGTGAACTCTGAACGCCCACATCTTCTACACATTTTGGCAGACGCTGATATGACCCTGTTAGGAGGATATCAATTGCAGATGGAACATCATAAACAGGAGCACAGGCTTGCTGCAGCCCTTCATGCATGAAAAACAATGAATCTGCAGCTTGAGTGAAACAAGTATCATGACTTGAAAGAGTGGAGGAGAGTTGCTGGCAGTATTGTATTAACGGGACCTGCAAATAGAAAGGTATGGATAACAAATAAATAAATATATATATATAAATTTATTGATTCCAAAATGAAATGTGCTAACAGGAATTCAACTGCATTTCAAGGAACAAGAAGCATCAAAGACACTAACTCTGCATATCAGCACAAGGTATAGTTCTTGGACCAACCAATGAGCACATCCATGGCATTGATTTTGACTTCAAAATTCAGAAACTACTCTATAACTAGGGTAAAATTACTAGTTCTTTTTTACAAGCTAATAAAGTATCTAGTATATATTTTTTTTGTTAACCATCTAAAGACATAAACAAACATGCACTGTCAAATCATCTTGCATATCCCACAATGCAGAAAACAACAAATAACACCCAAATCCAATACCACAAATTGAATAATAAGATGTATAATTTCCGCCCCCAATTTGACCACCAAATCAAAACCCTGAACGCTCAGGGAGAAAAAGAAACAACAAAACCTTAAAAACTTCCAAATAGAAAACAAAAACAAACAAAAAATCAACATAATCCTACATTTTTTTAAGCTTGAATTGTATTGAACAAAACCGAAAGCTATTTCCTAACCCCAAAAGAAAAAAAACTTTAACTTACATTACAAGTTTCTAAGAGAAAGAAACTAGAAGCCCTTGAAAAAACCAAATTCATATTGTCCAAACAAAAACAACCCCAAAGTAACATTATTTAACGCAGAATTCATAAAAGAGGGCCCAAAATGTATAATTTCCACTCCCAATTGGCCACCAAATAAAAACCCCATAATAGATTGGTGAGTGAGAGCGAGTAAAAAGACGAGACCTGTTGACACCACTTGGCGAGGACATTGAGTCGGAGCATGCGTTGCTGGGTCTTGGCCAAGTACTTGAGCAGTCCAATCTTTTTATCGGTATCGGACTGGTCCGGTGCCGCCTTCGATTTCTCGACGAGCTCCTTCAGCGAGAGGAAAGATTCCTCGGCGGTACGGTTCACCAGGGTCGAGAACTCCACCGTCTGTTGCCCTAGCTCTGACGCCATTCTTTTGCTTCAGAATTAAGAAATAAGATTAGGGTTAAAAGATCCCTTTCTACTGTGATTGATCACGCGCACATGGAGATTAGGGTTTCAGTGAGAGAGAGAGAGAGAGAAGGAAGCTCCGATGCTCTTTCAGCTCTCTCTCCATAATATGTGTGTGTTGTGTTCGCGACGCTTATGAATTCTGATTTTGGAAAGCTTTTTTACTTTTGAGACTTTGAGTTTCTAGAGAGAGAAAAAAACGGGGGAGGTGAAAAGACATTGGTGATTGATTTTGCTTTGCACTGATTGGTTCACCGAGTATTAAATAATACGAATATCTGTCTCGTCGTGGCAATGAAGGATGAATAAGTAAAAGATGCTTTTCTTTTCTTTTCCTTTTTAATGTTTTACTGTGTGTCTGCGTTCCTTCGTTTGTCTCTCTAAACATAATAGTTAATTTATCTTGGATTTAAACCTACTTTCATATTTGGAGAGAAAATTTATGTCGCGTTGTTTTGTTATTTCTCGCAACGTGGCTAGAGTTGAGTGACAAAATAGCTTTCTTTACTAGATTGTTATGTTACTTAGTATTGTCATGGCCAACATCACTGTCATCTTTGAAATGCCATATAAAAAGTTTTCATACATATTTTTCCCATGTCTTCAACTTTTTTTTCTTTTAAAGTTTAAAGATTAAGCATTTTGGGTTTAAAATTTAGCATTAGAAAACAACTTAGTTTTAAGCGTGTAAGTATAAAGTCAATGCGAAGAAAAATAGAGTATCCAAACTTTTTTATTTTGTTCCAAAAATTGTGTCATTCTCAGCAGTTTGAAATAAATGTTGTATAAATAAGTTGTTGTGTAATAAGTCCAATTTATTTATATATAAAAATTACCTTGATGCTCTAAATCAAAAGATGGAAAAGTATTTGAATGGTAGAATAACTATTCGGAACATGAAAAGGAAATTCAATATGCGTTCAACTTATTCGCAGCTATCTATATTATATGAGGTGTGTAATTGTCAGTCAATTTACAAAGAAAAACTAAATTCTAAAGTGATACTCATATTGTTTGATTGAAGGGAGGGGGCAAGCTTTCTCTTTTCTTTTTCCAAAATCAAATTGCTTGAACTGCTTTGTAATATGAACTTATGAAGCACAAATATTTGGGATCTGGTTCGGGGCGGCTGACACTAGTTTCTTCTCCAAATTGGAAAAGGAAAAGTTGTGAAATGTGTATATATAGATTGCTGAGACTTGTTTGTTTGACAGTGAGGAAGAGTAGGAAGGATTTTTCTTGTTAAGCTCATGGCCGAGTGGAGCACAGAATTTGCTAAGCTCATGGCTGGAGATTTCGACCCCAATCCTGAGTCAAAGCCTGCTCTCCCCGTACCTGTTGATATGGATGAGTGGGAGATCGAGACGATTTTCCAGGCACCAGCTGGGTGCAAGCACTAGGAAGGGCAAGAAGGCCAAAAGGAAAGCCAGGGAGAAGCAGCTCCAAGAGGCCACAAGGCTTGCTTCCCTTCAGAAAACCAGAGAATTAAAGGCTGCTGGCATTGATGTTTTGCAGCAGCCCAAGACGAAATCGAAGCGAATAATAGACTACAATGCAGAAATCCCATTTCAGAGGAAGCCTCCTTAAGGCTTTTATGATGTTACTGATTTCGACCAAAAAAGTTAATGAACAAAATTGCTCAAAGGCATGCAGGACAGTTTTCTCATTGATGCAATACTCAAACTTTTTTTGTTTTGTTTTCGTTTTTCTTTTCTTTTCTTTTCTTTGTACAACTCTTCTTTGAAGAGAACATGGCAAACTATACATGAAAATGTTTCCTTCTTCTTTCGAAAACTCCTTCCTTGTAAAAACTTTTTATCATTACAAACAACTCAACTAAGTTTCTGTTTCTTTCAGCGAAAGCCCAAGCAAGCAGCTGAATGTGTCCTTGATGGTCTTCATGACAGAATATATATTTGATATAAGTCTCTTCTTCTAATTGTTTAGTTGTTGATCAATCACAGCGCGCAGCCTAAGCCTTTAGCTTCTGAACCCTTCATGATTCTCAACCTCTTGCACGAAGTGATGAACATTCTGAACAGAAACAAACAACACCACATGATCAGATTTGAGTTTCTAAAGAAAGTAGCTAGAATAAATAAGAGAATTGATTAAGGAAAGAGATGAGAGAGAGCAGAGAACTTACTCCCATGGAACATCTCCAAGCAGCATCCAATCCCCATCTTTGTCTTCATATGTAGGCACAAATTCTGATCTGTTGTTGTACCCCAATTCCTTCTCACAATAATCACCAACTTTGAACTTGAACATGTCTTCCAGGGCTTTAAGCAGCTCTGGATATCCTCTGTACACCTTCAGATCCATCTTTCTAAGATATGGAGCTCCATCCATACTTATTTTCACATAAATCCCACAACCCTCCGCCTCTGTTTTCTTTGCTTGCAAGCAATTTTTCCGGTACGATCGCACTGGTGGCCACCCTACTACTTGTGCCCTGCAGTATTATACCACATGCCATTAGTTAACCTCAAAAATCTATCATCAACTATGCTCTGGAAGAATAATATAATTAATTACACAACTTAATCATAATTAGTATCTAGTTATATGTGGCAGTTGCTTACTTGGAGGGGGGAGGCTGAGAAATCTGTTGGTCACATCTTTTGGCAGCTGAAGAATCCTTGTCTTCGTTCATGTCAGCTGGCAATGGTCTTTTGTTGCTCCTGCTGATTAAAGCACTAGAACATGTGTTGTGCTCAGGCTCCTTGGTGCCTGGGAGGCCTAATCTAAGCTCTGTGGCTTCAAGGTTGAGATCCTGCTCAAACATTGCCATGCTTTTTGTCTCTCTGTTTTCTGCAGCCAATCCTGACAAATATGGATTTCTGGATTTGTTCTTCTTCACAAGCTTTGACAATAACCAACCAAACCCACGCTGAATTCTTCTCTATTGCGTTGATGAAGGCTAAAGAGAGGGAGATGTAGAAAAATATTGTGTGTATGCCAAATGAAGTTCAATGGCATTATATAGATACAAGTAGAGATAAAGTCATAAAGGTAAACGACATTTATCTACGGAAACTAACAAAACTAAGTACACCCCCACTTTCTCTCGTTTGCGCGTGCATTCCACTTTATATTACGTGTTGATAGTAATATATACTAAGTAATATTCTCTTACCTAATAATTTGGTAATTTTGATATATTATGTTGTTAGGTTATCAATTTAAATCAAACATTCGAATGAGAATTACAACACTCATATAAAATAACGCCCTAAACTGTTGGACGAAAGAATATTTTCATCATAATGGTAATAAGTTGCACAACCATTTTACACGCACGTGAATATGTAACTCTTCACAAACATATGGTAAACATTATTTAATTGAACAAATGGGAAAGTAGATGTCACCCGCCATAAGAGAGCGTGCAAGATGAAGCTTAGGCACCATGAATTTAGACATGGGCAGCTATGGTGTTTGTGACATGAGCAGCACATTTGAGGCGGTTGCCCCTGTATATTGGGACAAGCTTGGGACAGAGCTTAGCCGCCCATATTGAAGACTTTTGATTTTATAAATCCAACGACCGAGATGAACGAATCGATACCGCGGAAAGAGATGTGGGACCGTCGGATCCAGAGGGGCTGGTGGGTGCATCCCATGTGAGGTTTGGGCCCACATGGGCTGTCGTTGATGGGCAAGGCAAGGTGTAATGGGTGTGTGCATGGCCTTTAATTCGACCAAAAGTTAGGGTAGGTTTGCATGTGGGTATGGTCAAGCCCCATGAGCCCTTGCCTTGATGCCCTCCGTTTCTTTCGAGTCCAACGACATTACTTTTCATTTTCTTTGTTTTCAGCATCATCTTCTCAGTATTCAAATTCACTGAAATTTAACAAAGAAAGTCAAAATTAATTATCATCATTTCTTTATATTTTAAGAACTCGTGTATACGTGAGTCAGGTCAATTGATAATAACAGTAAGTTTATTTTTAGCAACAAAGTTCAAGTCCCTTTCTCTGTAGATTAAATTAATTTATAGTATGAATCCTTCCTTTTTTTAAGATTAGCAGAATCATAATTCATTTAGAAGGAAGGATCACGAGCACAACAACAAAAAATGGTCCACCAATTTCATTGATTTAAAAACAGCAGATAATGAGCCCCCCCTTTAGGGTTTTAGCCTCTGGCTAGGGTTCCCCACAGCAATAATGACCAATTCATCTTCATTTTTGCCTTATATAATGAATTTTTCGGTGTTCGTTTTATATCAACATTTTATGTACTCTGTTACTGCACTTTGATATCTCAGCTACTTTTGTTCACTTGTCAGTTGTGACCCAACAAACATGTTAGCATATATCAATTTCTCATTTATGTAATCATCGAAAGTTTTTTATTATTTAGTTCTTGGAGTAATGGTAATGTAAAAAGAGTTAGGTTAATTCATTAAAATTATCTTTGTGGGATAGAATCATTATAATCATTGGATGCTATGCTAATGATATCACTTTCTCGTTCAACGTTTTCAAGGATTCATCGCTTTCTCATTCAATTCTTGGCAAGGTAGGAGGGGGACAATCCACTCGTGGCCCTCAACAAAGCCACGTTGGGGTTTTCGTTTTTTCCCTTTTGCGTTCGATGTGAAGCTTATGATCAAAGATTGCTTCCAAAAAAAGTAAAATGAACTTACTACATAATGCTGCGTGTTTTGATTTTCATAATTATATTATATGGTGTGAAAATGAAGCTATTTTCTACTTTTACCAAGTAATCAATTCTTGAAACCCTTATGCACCCAATAAATATGTCTCATGTACTCAATGAATATTTGTGTAAATTCTCTCAATTAACCACTTGTACCAAAAAAAAGTACTCAAAACTCGTGCTTGTCTAATTCGATTTTTGTTTATTTATTTTCAAAAAGTAGAAAGAAGAAGAAGAAGTAGGGTAACTATATCAGAATATAAGATACGAACCCAAGAGCGCCGGCGGATACTAGAACAGCAACGTGGTTGTTGTTACGTTTGGCTCCACGCAGGGCGTACGGACTGAAAATGGTACGGGAAAGATTAAGACCATGAAAGAAGGAGAAAAAAAGGCTATAATTCAGGCTTGAGCTATCAGCATCACCCTATTACATGAGGTGTCACACGTGTGGTGTCTTCTGTCCCGGTGAGAGATGGTGATGGATTGTGTGTGCTACTGGGTTTGCACACGTGTGGGGTCTAGGGTGTAGGATGCTGACAGTGGGCCATGGAGATTTGAAGTGAGAGATGGACCCACGCCACACGAGGGCTGACTGTGGACTGTGAACTGTGGATTGGTTGGCATGGGCCTTCTCTCTCTCTCTCTCTCTCTCTCTCGTTTTGTTTGGTGGTGAAGGTGAAAGGAAGGCAGGTCCTTGTCTTTGTTTGCTTTCTGAGTTTCTGTGTTTTGTCAGCTTTTATGAGAAAATTCAATTAAAAGATAGGGCAGTTTGTTTTTTGTTGGCCATGCATGGACCATGGATGACGAGCCCATCCATCAATATCAATATCAACATGGCCATGTATATCAGAAAAACTCTTGTGAATTGTTCTGTTATTCCCGACTAAGGATAATATGCAAAGTGAAAAAGACATCATGCTCTAATATATCGTGATTAGTTAAGGATAGCAAAACAATAATATCATCGTTCCACGAAAATGTTTATCTTCTTCACACATCCATTTATATATGCACATAATTCTACCCTATTAAAATTTGTTATGATTTTCAAAATATGACTCTGGAGGATTTATGTAGTAATTTTGTTTTCTCCAAAAAGACTAGTGAAGTAGAATCATTGTATCACTACATGACGAAGGTATCTAGTTACTTTATGGATTTGGATCATCTGTTTTGATTTTATTTGTTAGAATCTGATTTACTTTTGCCTTCTATATGCCACCTCATTAAAAATTTAATTCAAATGATTGAAAATTGACACATCGTTCTTAAAATAAATAACCTAATTTACTTCTAATTAAAAAAAGAAAAAGAAACCCTAACTCTGCTACTGGGAAAGTTAATGTCATCCAGACTTTTTTTTTTTTTCATTCTTCCTTTCTCGTTTTCTTCTTCCTTTCTCTGTTCCCCATCCGTCCCCCCAAATCTTACCTAGCAATAAGTTTTCCTTCAACCAAAATCTCTGTATATTGCATATATTTGAAAATCAACATATTTTATTTTTTCCCCTATTAAAAAACAAAAACAAATCTTCTCTTCCCATATGTCAATTGGGATGGTGAAAGTGGTTTCAAAAAACGGTTCACTGGACATCCATGTCGAATAAGGGAATACAAATGTTGACATAGACTTGAGCAAAAGGCGTGCTATTAGATTTATATATTTTAGACTCCTCAGCCAAGAAAGCTTGCTGAGAGATAAGGTTTTGGAGGGTGAATTAGCAGAAAATGGAAGAAGGCAAAAATAAAATAAAATAAAAATAAAGAAGAAGAAGAAGGGCTGCACTACTTAAAAGCAGAGGTAAGAAGAAAATGAAAAACAAAAACAAATTGCTACAACAAGTTAAGTTTTCCGTTAACAGAGTTAGGGCATTTTCATTATGAGTAAATTAGGTTTTTGTTTTAAGGATGATGTGTATAACTTTAAATTCGTTAGATTAAATTTTAATGAGGTGGTAGATGGAGGACAAAAGTAAAGCAAATCTTAGCAGAGAAAATCAAAGCAGATGATCTGAATTCTTATAATATAACTATAAATTTTTTTGTTGCGTATCTTTATTAATATTTTGTGACTGAATCTTATCGACAATGAAATTTATAATAATTTTTTCTAGGCAGTAATAAAAAATAATTATTTACAGTAACACTTCCTGAAGTTTTTGGTGTTTTCACAAAATCCCTTTAGGTCTCAAAAATTACATGAACGCCCTTTAAGGTTTCAGTTTGTTTCCACAAAATCTATTTTCGTTGATTGTTCGTTCAAAAATTCATGATTTCACTGAAAAAACACTTATGCAAATGACAAAATTAACCTCAATGAATTTATACACAATCTATCAAAGGCAAATATTTTCATTTGGATAATCTTTTTATATAAAAACATCAATCTTTGGACAATAAATCAATGAAAATGAGTTTTGTGATAACAATTTAAAATCTTAGAGAGTGTTTGTGTAATTTATAAAATGTCGTGGAGTTTTGTTAAAAAAATTTAAAAACCTCATAGAGTGTTGGTATAAATATATAAGTTGTAAATCATTGAATACACTAGTATATTACTGTCAATCAAGATTATAATTAGTTTCTTTATAATTAAGTAAACTCCAACCAATGAAAAAATAACAAATCATCACTTTCAATGATGATGTATCTATTAAGTGATAGATGAGGTGCTTTATCTAGTTTCCCTTTCTTTTAATTTTAAAATAAAATAGGTGGCACACAATTGAACTAGTTTCCGAGTGTTACCCAAGTTCACACATATAAAGTCAGCAACAACATTATGCATGCAAATGGAATGGGGTAGCAATTATTTCAACCTTAGACATGCGGCCTACGAAAATGTCAGTATTACCCATTTACAATAGACCCTATCTACCAAAGTCGCTTTTCTTCTTTCTAATTTTGAAAATATTTACAAACATAGGGTGAGTTTGGGTATGTATGAAGCCAAGTTTTTATTTTTATTTTTATCATATATTACGAGGCTACGTGACGTGACCTGATAGCCCAAATAATACGAAGCTAGTCGACCTGATAAAAATGAAGTCTTTGTCAAGCAAATCCATAAATAAAAAAGTCCCATCCCATCTGGCAGTGGCATCTACTGTTGGTGGTTAGTGGGACCCAAACAGTCAGTGCCCCCTATCTCCTTTAAAATGGAATAAAAATTGCAGTGCGGCACATGCGATAGTTTCTCTCAGCCCAGAGTTGACTTTCTCTTCCGCGTTCCCTTTCTCTCTCTCTCTCTGCATCGTTTTCGCTGAAGCTTCATGCAAAGTTTTAATCAGAGCCATCCGCCTCATGAATTCAACATAATCAACGGGTTCGATGGTCCCGAGGAAAATCCAGTATGTTATATGGTTGGTGTCCAAATAAAATAAAAATATGCAACATGTAAATGGTGGTGTGTCCCTTCACATATATGCCAATTTGCCAAAACAACCTGGAAATTTGTTTGAGATTTTTCTGCCTCTTTTGGTGAAATAAAAAAGCTGGACTCTCTGTATCCGTATGGGAAAGTGGGTGCTTTGATGTTCACCACACAAAGTGGACATTGATAAGATTTTGAGCTACGCAAATACTTATCCTAGCTAACATATATGCTGTAAAACACTATGCTACAAGACTAGGTAGCTATTCAAAGGGGTTCCATCATCACGGACCACCACTATATATGCAATAATATTATTATTGACTAGTATATGTAAGTTACACCCGGTAGATAATTCAGTGAATCCGTCTCCTTATACACAAATTCAAATCCCGATTCTCTTAGACGAATAATTGTAAATTATACATGTCTTATGAAGTACTGCAATTTTTCTAGGTATGCAAATTGGGAAGCAAAATAAATCAAGGCACTGTTCCTTTATTCCTGTTTTTTCGTTTTTGAGGACCCAAAAGCAAAAAGAAAGAAAAGTGAGGTGGGTGGGGAGGGTTAGGGTTAGATTTCAAAAGCGATATGGATAGAATTTCAAAAAGCCAGGGTCTATCGAGTTGAAGCACATCAACTTAATAAACAGTGTGGTTGTTTTTTGGTACGTCTATATTTTTAATTTAACCTAATAACTCATGTGGTGGTAATGGAATTGCTTTGGATGAGTCTTCCCTTTCAATCTTACTTTAATTTGTTCATACTCACAATAAAGGTCAGCATCACTTCACTTTAACCAGTTTTGGATGATCAAAGACGTATGAGGTGGGATTTACTTAGGAAAGCTTCAAACGCTGTCCTTTTTTTTTCTTTCTTTTCTGTGATGTTTAATGGTTTAATATACATCAATGATAATGTAGGAAGAATATGCTTGGTTTCTCCTATTTTTATATGTTGTGTCTTAGTTACAACAAAAATAATAATTAGCGTGGCCACAAATCCTATAAAGTTTTACAAGTCTTTTAACTTAAGTCATATTCAACCTGCGAATAATTCATTAGTGTAGAAGTACAGAATAAATGTTAATTTTATGGGAAATGTTATGGGTTCGAATTCTAGCATCCGTGTAGTGTCAAGTGTGTGTGAGTTTAGTATGTTATAATTCCTCTCAATAAGAAATGTCATAGAAAAGAGTCATCTTCAACGTGAACGGCAATAGAATTTTAAATGCACTATATATGCTGTGAGCCTAGGGTTAGTTTGATTCGGTTATAAACAAAATTAATTATGAGGATGATTATAGTGACCAACTAGTATTATTAGTTGTCCAAGGATCGAAAGACAGTTGCACTTTTTCATACTCGAGGAGGGAGGAGGGAGGAGGTAGGGCTGAAGCATAAAAGCATCTCCAGGGAGAATTGTCTCCTAAAAGAAAAAGGGGCTAAACATTTTGTAATATTTTGTAAAGTTTGGCACAACTTCTGAAAAAAACCCAAAAATAATGAACAATAAAAGTAGACCGACTGTATAAAAGGGAGAGAGAGATTTTAGAAATACAAAAAAGAAGCTAAATAATAACGTTTTATTTTGGTGGGTTTATAAAGTTTAATAACTGTTAATGTTTATAAAGTGTGGAAATGAATGATTAATTATTGGTGGAGGTGGAGCCCAGGCGCCAAGGAAACAAATAAAAGGCGAACAGAGCCAAGTTGTCCTGTGTCCACTTGCCTTTACCACAATCATTCCAAACCTGACATCACCCGTGACATCAGTTTTCCGACAAGGCCCGAGCGATCCAGCAAACTGCACCCTCCACTTGGCAACATCTGCACCGTCTAAAGTCCCCAAAAGATTCTAGACCAATACCATATATCTTCTCAGACAGGAGCTAATTTGGCCTTCTTCCAAAGTTGCACGTTTTCTATCTAGCGCCTCCCTCTTAAATTTGCACCCTCTCCACCAGCATATTATAACTAAGATCGAGAAAGCTACAGCCCATTCTAAACCAACAAACGAAGAAAAAGAAAAAGAAAAAGAGAGAAAAACCCTTAGAAGAAGAAGGAAGTGAAGAAGTAAGTTGAGCAGCACGATGAGTACCGTGACTCATGAAGAGCAGCATCAGAAATATAGCTTGATAAATTTTGAAGAGACTGAACTACGCCTAGGGTTGCCTGGTGGAATAGCTAATCCCGGAAAGGATGGAGAATCTGCCAAGAACAATGGGAAGAGAGGTTTCTCAGAAACTGTTGATTTAAAGCTCAATATCTCATCTCAAGATCAGTCAGCTGATCAGGATGATCAAGATCAACAACTACTGGAGTTGAAGAAGGAAAAGAATGCTGCTGCACCTGCTCCCAGCGCAAATGACCCATCTAAACCCCCTGCTTCCAAGTAAGTGATGTATTTTTTCTTCTTCTTCTTAGATTTCATTTTAAGTAGAAAGTTATGAAGCAATTACAACTCAAAAAAACCCAACTTGGGTTTTAGTTTGGGGAAGGAGGATTTCAACAGACGAGTTCGAGTGCAGAATCATTATTCTTAACCACTTAATCTACAAGAACTTGGCGGTTTTAGTTCAGAAAATAAGCACTTAGTTTGAAACAATATTTTATTTTCCATTTCCATGGATGACGGATCCCATCCAGAAAAATAATTGATGTAGAGTGTGGACTGCGTAGGTTGTATTACGTATTCCGTATTGAATTGGGTGTTTTGGAATGCTTCGGTTGGTTGTCGGGAAGACCAAGGAAACGAACAAAACATATGGAATCTTATTTGCTTTTTTTTCTCAACCACAACCACAACCACCAAACAAGAATTAAGGACAGCTCATCAAAAAGTAGCACAAGTTAGATAATTAACAACTTCTGACTCATACGTAACGTTACACTATTATTATTACAGGGCTCAAGTTGTGGGTTGGCCACCCGTCCGATCTTTCCGAAAGAACATCGTGACCGTCCAAAAGAAGAGCTCGGAGGAGGCTGAAAAGGGCAACAGCAATATCAGTGCAGCATTTGTAAAAGTAAGCATGGATGGGGCGCCCTATCTGCGTAAAGTTGACTTGAAGTTGTACAAGAGCTACCAAGAGCTGTCTACTGCCTTGGGGAAAATGTTCAGCTCCTTCACCATTGGTAATTTTATTATTATTATTATTATTATTATTATTTTTGTTTAATTGTTAATTACTTTTGATAATATTTTGTTTAATTTTGGAATATATATTTGAAGGTAACTGCGGGTCAGATGGAATGAAGGATTTCATGAACGAGAGCAAACTGATAGACCTTCTGAATGGTTCTGATTATGTGCCTACTTATGAGGACAAGGACGGAGATTGGATGCTTGTGGGGGATGTGCCATGGGGGTATTTTACTTATTAATCAAATTCAATAATATTTATTTAGCTGCAGTGCAGATCACTTTGAATATATCATTCATTTTGCTTTTCATATCACAGAATGTTTGTTGATTCTTGCAAACGCTTGCGGATAATGAAAGGATCTGAGGCCATTGGACTTGGTTAGTACCTTTAAAATTAATTACACATCTATTACGGCGCACAAAGCACGTCGTAACTAGTTAACCCAACATATGAAATTTATTAATTATTTAACTATAATTTGCAGCACCAAGGGCCGTGGAGAAGTGCAAGAACAGAAGTTGAAGTTGGTTCGTTGGCATGGGCACAATCAAATGAAAGCAGACCGGCTCTAGAGGGATGGAGCACGGAGTTTGGATGTGCCTGTGACTCTGTACCATGTTTTTATTTTATCTTTTTCTTCTTCTTCTTCTTTTTTTTTTGGGTCCTTTGATGTTTTAAAATTATAAGGAAGAATATATTCGGAGATTTGGTAGGGACAAGAAGTAGTAATATATTATAGAAGATGTTCATAGTGGCTCATGTGCGACTTTCTTTATTATAGAAGATGTTTAATAATAATATTGCCAGTAATGTTTACTTGTCAACAGTATTCTTATTCTCCCTAATTTTTAATGGCTCGTACAATATTTTGTCTTGTGATGATGGGATTCTCTGCATTTTTTAAGTTTTCCTATTCATTTTTTAAAATACAAATATATGTAAGTTTTCAGATCATCTGACATATAATTTTAAATTATAATTATAAAAACATAAGCAACATGGTTGTTAAAGTGTTGGAGGAGTGAAATAACAAGGATTTGTATCCCCTTTGTGTGTGTGTGTTTTTTTTTCTTTTCCGTTACATCTATATTTTCGATATTATAGCGATATTATACTGATATTTTGACAAACTATTGCTGAAGTATGAGCGAAATTATCAACATCAATATTTTCCGATATTATCATCGATATTATCGATATTTATACGATATGTGTATTTGGATACATTTGTGAAATTTTGTGATCCAAAAAAAAAAAAAAAAAAAAAAAAAAATAAAATCTCGATATTTCGTTGATATTATCGATATTTTATACTATGCTTGTGATGATGGGATTCTCTGCATTTTGTAGGTTTTCCTATTCATTTTTTAAATACAAATATATGTAAGTTTTCAGATCATCTGACATATAATTTAAAATTATAATTCATTACTGCACATTCATTTTACATAGTTAATTGATCAGAAATATTATCTTAATTAATTTTCAAATTTGTTATGTTATATTTTAGTCGATTTGACACATTATCTTCTACAGTTGTATTCATATATATAACTTTTTATATTGGTTGAGAACTTGAGGAGATAATAAATAAGATCCATGAACCTTGTGATAAGGTGGAGCAGGATTCCATGTGGGTATTGTTGGTGGAATTTATTATTTTGATCGATTAATTGTGTGTATGCCATAATTTAGTTAGACAGCAATTCGTACCAAACGAAAGCTGTCGAGTCAGATACGCGATTTTGTTACAGGGAGAAGGAATGAGAAAATATATGCAACTATACATGCGTATATAGTTATGATGGTCCTGTCAACGGAGTTTAGCTAGTTTAGTGAAAAAGAACATTGCTTACAGATTAGTGGTCTCAGGTCAAAATCCTACATAACGTTAATATATAATAGATATGGACCACATTTCCTCTCTCTCTCTATATATATATATTCATGCACCTGTCAAGCATTTGAAAGGAACCATCCCAGAAAAATCACAACAGGATATAATATATGAATATAAAATGAAGGTATCTAGCCATAGCTAGCAAGCTCGATCGTCAAAAACAGGAAGAGTAGTAAATTAGAGAAGAACATGCATGCACGATAACACCATATATTACCTTATTATTGCGCAGGAATGCCGGACATGGTGGTTCCTTTCTGGGGCTTTAAAGATCACAACCCGCATAAAACTTGGGATTGGAGAAATTAATTTGCCCTTTCAAAGATGCCTAACGATGCAAATTTAAAGTCAACATTTTGATTATATATTCCTTCTCCTCCTTATGGTAAGAGAATATCTTCTTGCTTTATAAACATAAAACTCGGGATTTGCAAGTTGCAACAACATGTTCTTTCTTCTTTTCTCAAACTCCAACATGAAACTTGGGATTTGCAAAATTTGTCCTTTCCTTTCCGGGATTCTTTTATCTGTGTAATCGGATAAATACATTCTACTTTTGTTTGTTTAAATGTTGCATATGCTTCTTGTTTGTTTGTCTATGTAAAAAGGGCTATATACTTATTTATTATTTGTTTTGTTTATGCAACATTGTGCTTAGCTTTAAATGTAGCCAAGGGTATATCTTAATTTCCTCAAGGTTGAACTCTAGCCTTGGACGTGAAGGCAACTTTTTCTATCCCTCTTCATTTTATTTTTTGTTTTTGATTTTTTTGATACAAGCGATACTCTTGTTTTTGTTTTTATTTCATTGGAGGATAGATATTGGACTGGGCCCATTGATTAAACACCTGGATCGTATATCTGTATCACATCGGTCCAAAAAGCTTCAGTTGAGGACCTAATTTCCAAGTTGGTCTGGGTCAGTATTCCTTGCAATGGCCCAACAATGTGGTGGTCGGTGGCAAAACTTGTGCTGCGGCCAACTTATATGGATATGAATTGAATTGACATGACGATCTTATCTTGTTTCTTTGTTCATCCATTAGCCTCAGTTTTTGACCAGATGAAGCACAATCTTGTGGACCCTCCACCACCTTCTTAAACTCTATCTCTACTTTTGGATGCCACACATGATAAGAATTTCTTGACCATGACCATTGGGCTGAGATAGAGTCTCTTCACATTGGTTTGGTTTGGTCAACTTTGCTTCATTCAAGTCATTCAAGAAAATGCAAAAAGCAATTAATTGCTGCTGACCAACAAGTCCGAGTCAAGCTTGGAAGTCAAGGTTGGCACAAGTGCTGCTGTCAACAGTAATTTAACATCGACCCTGCAAACCCACTACTATAAATGAATGAGCAGTTTAGGTTGCACAACACCCCGTATCCAACAATTAAAAAAGATATTATCACATTAGAGAGAGAGAGAGAGAGTTGATGAAAATGGCGAAGCTAATGTTTTTGTTATTGGTTTGTGTCATGAGTTTGAAAGCAGCAAGTGCCCAAAGTGCAAGCAACGTTAGAGCCACGTACCATATCTACAACCCAGAGAAGATTAACTGGGACTTGAAAGCAGCAAGTGCTTATTGCTCCACTTGGGATGCTAACAAGCCTTTGGAATGGCGTCGCAAGTTTGGATGGACTGCGTTTTGCGGACCTGTTGGGCCTCGTGGACAAGCTTCTTGTGGCAAGTGCTTAACGGTGCGTAATTATAATTAATTAACTTAATTACGACAAAACGACATACAATTACAAACAAACAAAGTATTGAAAATGAATTTAAATTTGATTTTGCAGGTGACAAATGTGAGGACAGGGACACAGGCGAAGGTGAGAATTGTGGATCAGTGCAGCAATGGGGGCCTGGATTTGGACCAGGGTGTGTTTAAACGACTGGACACTGATGGGCAAGGCTATGCACAAGGCCACCTTAGGGTCAACTACCAGTTTGTCAACTGTGGCGATTAAATCTCATGTAATAATAATCCTAATTTTAAGAAATAAAACCCTAGGCTAGGTAGGGAAGCTGCTCCTTCGGTAACATTTGTTATCGGTTCTCCATCATGCATGCATGTATACTTATTTATGAAATAAGAAATTGTCTATCTTGTTTGTTTATCTCCATTAGTCAAAAAGTAGTTGCCCATATTAATTAAGGTGTCGCTTTTGAATTGCCAAAACATGACACGAATTTCTTTCTTTTTTGTTTCTTTCCGGTGAAGATAAGTATTTCTTCATCTCTTGGCTGATACTCAGAATCTGTCGATTTCTTTGGTCCACTTTGCTTCTAATCATTCCAGAAAAAACCAAAAAGCAAAAAGCAAACAGCAAATAATTAATTCGGAACTTGGACACACAGACCTAATCCATGTCTACCCTCCTTAAATCAAGTTATAATTGATATAGCACAGGTGACAAATGTGAGGGCAGGGGCACAGGCGACGGTGAGAATTGTAGATGAGTGTAGCACTGGAGGCCTAGCTTTGGGTGACGGTGTGTTTAAACGACTGGACACTCATGGGAAAGGCTCTGGCCAAGGCCAACTTATAGTCAACTACCAGTTTGTCAACTGTGGCGATTAAATCATCTCATGTAATTATCGTAATTAATTACAGTCGTAAAATATAGTGAAGCTAATATCTGGAAGAAAACAAAGCAATGAATGAAATGTTTCGAATTAGCTAGGCTGCTGCTTGCTGGTAAGGCCATCCCCAATGGAGCTCTATTTGGGGCTCAACTACCACAAATCTCTCACATATGCAGCCCAATGCCAAAAAAGCATTCCCAATGCTAAAGACCCACCGGAGCTGTCCTCAAATCTGTGGACATGAATGTAGCCCCTTGAGCCCGACTGGTCCTGACATGAATCACATTTTTCTCTCCCCAAACACCCAAGACGCACAACTACTGAGTCTCACATACTCTCCTATGCTACCGGAAAGGCTATAATGAGGGCTTAAAATGAGTAGGTTATTTGAGGAGGTCAAATCTCACCATCAACAAATGTAAAGAAATCATGGGACTTAAATATTTTAAATGTTTTGACAGTTGAATCGGTCTTCTCAAATAACCTCCTCACTTTAACTCCTCATTGTAGAAGCTCCCACTACCACCAAACCACATGCACGGGCCCGCTAGCACATAGAAAAACTTATTTTTGTACTCTCTTCTTTTTCTACTGTATCTTTTTATTTTCAGATGAAAGTCTTCGTTTTTTTTAAATAATAAAAATAAATAGCTAGTTTTTTTTTCTTTGCTCTAATAACTTTTTTTATTTAAATATTGTCCAAATTTTGATTTTTTTGGTTTTAAATGTTAAAAATAAAAATAAAAATTCTAACATAACATAAACATACATTAAAACATAATAAGTTAATAAATAAATAAAAGCAAATGAATCAAATTACATTATAAATGGATTCCCGAAAATAGAGCCTCTAATTGTGGTAGAGATGCCTTTAGAGCCTCCAAAAATTCCATCAAAGCTCTAAATAAGGCTCAATCAACCTCATTTAGAGTCCCAAGATGACCTAACAAACAAAATCTAGGGTGCATGTACAGCTACGGCCACGCACACCAGAAACAAGAAGTAGGAACTGGCTACGAAATATATACTTAGTGATTATATATACAAAGAGGGCAAAGCAAGCAATCTTTGTTTAATTAACAGAAAAAAGCAGATGAATGGTCCGTATCTAACTTATCATATCAAGTTATTTACGTCTCATCATAGTAAAGTGAGGACGGCAGACAGACAGGAAAGCTGGCAATGGCATTGGTTGCCAAACTAGTACTGATGCCAATATCCTTGTTACAAGACAATATACATCCATCATATATTCTTGTGAATTTGAGATGGATCTAAGGACCCAAACTGGGCTGCGCCTGCCAATTAACATATAACGTTACGTACAATACAAGTATATCCATCGTCCCCCCACCCCCCAATGGTCATAGTATTTGGCGTGGCTACATGTTTGTCTTATTATTATTATTATTATATATGCAAGTTAAGGTCAAGCCAAATTGTTTGTCATGACTCATGACTCATATGTGTGTCTAGATTAAGCACTTTTAGTGACCCGCCATTTACTAAATTAATAAGTGGCTCACTTATTACTTCATACATTGGTTAATCGGATGCTCGCCACCGCTAGAATAATAAAGACGGCTTTTCTTTTTCTTTTTTGGGTACACAAATTCTAACTGCTTTATATTCATCTATGCTTTTCACTTGTGATTGTGAATTTATAATTATATAACACTCAATTCAACCGATGAAAAAGCCTACCTTACCTTATCTCGAAAGTCGTCTTCTACCTGATTTTGTGCATTGATCAATGTGTAATTAGATAGTCTATGTACCATCCATTCTACAATTCCAACTAGTACTATATATATATAGCATATTATAAATTATATGATGATGAGTATTTGAGCTCGGATCAGAAAAGCAAACACAATACTGTCTTGAACAACTAACTTAACTCACATGCAATATGCAAATACTAGATAGCCCCAAAAATATCAAGCAAACCAGACAAGTGTACTCTCTCTCTCTCTCTCTCTCTCTCTATATATATATATATATATATCTATCTGATCTTGTGCTGTATACAATTGCACAGGCAGACAGGTGTCTCCATGCATGTGCTGACAATTCACGCACGCCAACGCCATACTACAATTAATTCCAACATCCCAAGCCAATTAATTAAGGGTAGATTAGTGATTGCAACACCACAACCTCCGGCCTATAAATTCAACCACAAAGCTTCTCTAAATCATCTAAATCTCATCGATCATCTCCCAAAATATCCTTACTTTTATTATTGTGTACCACTAACAAATATTCACAAAAATGGTGGGGAAGAAGAATAATATGATGAGGCCATGTTGCTGTGCCTGTGTGGTGTTAGTTTGCATGATTCTGGTGGGAAGTGCTTGGGGACAGAGTGCTACAAATGTCAGATCCACATACCACCTGTACAACCCGCAGCAGAACAACTGGGACTTGCGGGCTGTAAGTGCCTACTGCGCCACATGGGATGCCGATCAGCCCTTTGCATGGCGCAGCAAATATGGCTGGACTGCCTTCTGCGGCCCTGTTGGCCCTACCGGACAAGATGCTTGTGGAAAGTGCCTCTTGGTACGTACATCTCTTTCTTAATAATCTTATGTAAATTACAATCTCTATTTACATGTTTCCTTCTTTTCCCTCCTAATGATGATGAAACGTTGATTCAACGCGTGCCAGTCGTCGAACTTGAGACCTGTTGACATTGATATTAACGTGTGTGCGCACTGTGCAGGTGACAAACACTAGGACAGGAGATCAAGTAACAGTGAGGATTGTGGATCAGTGCAGCAACGGAGGCTTAGATTTGGACGTGAATGTGTTTAACCAAATTGACACCGACGGCAATGGCAATGCCCAAGGCCACCTTATTGTCAACTACGACTTTGTTGACTGTGGTGACTAAATTATTCAAGCCTCTCCATCTAAACCCGTAATACCCCCTAATTATTAATTACCAGTTTTTATAAATAAGCTTCCTGATGGAATAAGTTGAAGTGCAATTGCTTCTTCAATAATAACAAGCATTATATATGTATTGATATGTAACCTTTGACCTTATGAATAAATGTGACCATGGTGAATAATTGCACCATAATATAGCTATATATATATATATGTTGAATCATATATGCTTGTGCTTGTGGAGACTTGCAGCAGACTCTCTCTGGTGCAACAGGGCTGCCAATGGCCTTCTCAACCAAAGGGAGTGAGGGCTTTATATATGGCCATTAGGTGAGGTCTTATCTCTTAACCGTTGTATTGAAAAAAACACAAAAAAAACTTTGGGATTGCTAAATAACAAACGAAATAAATATATAAATCAACGAATCCAATGATTAAGAGATAATAACTCACCTAAGGGCCATATATAAAGCCCTCACTGTAGAATTCTTGTTCCCAAAATATATATAGTTTGGGCTTTTCCACTGGAAGCCCCTCCTGATGGGGTTGTGCACAATCTTCTTAGCCTAAACCAAAAATAGACTAACTTCTTCTATCCTATTTGGGCTTCGGCCCCCATTTAGCCCAAACAAAAAATAGATCAACTTCAATAGTAATGGACATAAAAGTGGAGAAGCCCTCTTTTTCAATTACGTTGCATGCTGATGTGGCGGCGTTGTTACGAATCCTCTCAAATTATGGAACGTAAATAATTATTACAATTATAACCCAAAACAATAGTAATTTAAGTTATGTTGCATGTGAAAATGACGGCGCTATTAGAAATCCTCACGAATTTAGATAAGTAAGCAATTATTACAACAGAAACCCAACACGAGAATCATTTAAATTACGTTGCATGCCGAGATGATGGCTTGTAAGAATCTTTTCAAATTATGATACGTACACAATTATTACGATACTAACCCAACACATAATAATTTAAATGAAATTACGATATATGCCGCATTAGCATGTCACATCGTTTCCTTGTACAATGAATAGGATCACATTTTTTGTATACGTTAAAATTAATACCATGTTTGGATAAAATTGGCCAGCAAAAATAGTACAAAATCCATCACTTTCCAAAACAACCTTGGTCTAGAATTCAACGAAAAAGGAAGAGAGTAATAAATACAATGAAATATAAACGGGGGCCGGGTAGGTGCAAGGCATACTCATTACGTGTACATGGTATGGTACGTACCAGTTTCAAAACGACGCGCACCCTCTCACAGTCTCACTCCTATAAATCCAATCCAAAGTTGGAGTTGGTAAAACAAAAACAAAAAAACAACAATCTCAAACTCGGTCTTTGGTCTTTGTTGCGGCACAAGACACACACTCCACAGTTGCACCGTCGCACGCACAAAAAAAGGCCTTTGCTTTGCTTTCTTTCTAACATCTCTCTCTCTCTCTCTCTCTCTCTTATTATAACTCATCTATGTTTTTTCATCGAAGAAGCTCAAACAACCCCACCGCGCTCTCTTTGTCCTAAACCCAACAAACCCCACGTAATTTTCCCGCAAACAATCAAACCCCATCTCTTAATTTCACCCCAAAACCCGCCACTTTCTTCACTCTCTCAGATCCAACACCTTCAACCATCCAACACGTCCCAATAAAAGCCAAACCAAGCTTTGTTTTTTCGCATATTTATCCACTCTTTGCTCTGCGTTTCTCTTGTTGCCTCTGGGGTTGAATGTGGTTTGGACAGAGATACAGGGAAGCCGAGACAGAGGCTTTGAGGTGAAATAAGGAGGAAGACATGGCGGGTCAGGTGGTGAAAGTGAAGAGGGAGACACTGGAGGCATGCATGACGTGCCCTCTTTGTAATAAGCTATTGAAGGAGGCTACAACCATATCACTCTGCCTTCATACGTGTTAGTTCCTCTTAATCTCCCTTCCTTCAATTGTTTCTTGATTTTGTGCTAATTTTGTGATCTGGGTCTCCTTTTGTTTTTCATTTTATGATTCTGCTTCTTCATAATTTGTGCTTTTGTTATCTGGGGTTTGAGTCTATCATGCAAATTCTGATTTTTCTCTCAGATTGTTTCGTATTTGATTTGCATTTCGTGCCATCTTTTGCAAATTGGAAACTGATATGTCTAATTTAAATTCTGTGTTTTGACACTTTCTTCTTTTTGTTGATTAACACCTGAGGACGTTACGAAATTTTGTTTTCTTTCATTTTAATTTTTAATTTTTAATTTTTTTTTGATTTGGGTCAGATAAGCTGCCATGCATCCCCATAGAAATGAAGAAAAGGTTTTGATTGTAAGATTTTGTTTTTACTTTATCAGTAATTCACTGCCAATATTTATAAAATCTTGAATTCCAAACCAGTTTGCAGGAAGTGCATTTATGAGAAGCTTTCAGACGAGGAGGTGGACTGCTGTCCTGTATGCAATATTGATCTGGGCTGTCTACCAGTGGAAAAACTCAGGTATAACCAATCATGATAAAGGTGGATTTTCCCTCCCATAAATAAAGCTTTCTTGAGATGCCAATTTCTGAGACTAGGCTTCCTACATGCTCATTAATTATCAGATGATTTTGTGCATGCTCATAGTTGTTTCATTGTACTAGTTTCCCAATCGTATTGTTGCTAATGTGTGCTGGAGCTTTACATTGAAGTGTTCTCACACATGCTTACGATGCCATTTGATTTGCAGGCCAGACCATAATTTGCAAGATATTAGAGCCAAGATATTTCCCCTTAAACGAAGGAAAATTGATGCACCTGAAATTACTCCCGAAGTAACTCCAGAAGTTACTCATGAAGTTACACCTTCAATTTCATTGCCAGTGAAAAGGAAGGAGAGATCATTATCTTCATTAGTAGTTAGTACCCCAAAAGTTCCAATGCAGACTGGTTTGACTGGAAGGAGATCAAGAGCTTTGACCAGAAAGGCTGCTGCTTTACGAGGATGCAGTTTTTCTGCTGAAGAACCTATGAAGAGAGATGATTCTACAGAAGATCATCCAATGAGTTCTAGTTCAACTGAATCTCTTGATAGAGGTGCACGAAATAAGATGCAGGTAAAGACAGGCATGATTTTGATTATTTGTGCTTTATGTTGATTAATTTATAGCAAAACCAAACAAGTCCAATGCTTTATATTGAGAAACTAATGAAAAGATATGATACATTAATCGTAACTCTAATCACAAGTAAATGCCTTAATTTTAGGAAATTAATTCACTCTTAAACTAAATAGGGAACAACATTTTATTTTATGGCAGGAGATTAAATATTCTAACTGGTCTTAATTACTTTTATTCTTCAACATTCTCCCTCAAGCTTGAGCAAAAATGATTATCTTGCCCAACCTGTTGTAACACAATAGAATGGAGAGGCATTGACACAGTTAGGGAAGATGATGTGGAATGGCGATGACAACCAACGAGAGAAATTATGTATAAAAAACTCTTGAGGACAATATATATGTATATATAATGTGGCGAAGCTTGATTGTAGACCCATAATCAAAGTGTGAAAAACTGACAAAGAATCCTATTTACGATATCTGTTTGCATGTCCACTCAATCATGCAGGACTCGCCTGAGCCTTCACATCAGCAAAACCCTAATAGAGATATGAATAATGACGTTGAAATAATAGAAGGCAAAGCTGATCTGTGGACACCCTTAAACTGTCTTGTAGAGGCTGCTAACCGAACCAAGTCTTCTAAGTCAAATTCACAAGGGCTGTTCCATGCCAAATCAGAGCCACTCAATGCCCTTGATGGTGAACTTTATATGTCTGAAAATAAGGCAGCAGAAGAAAAATCACCAAATGCTCTGGATAGTGATGCTTATATGCCTAAAACAAAAATAAAGGAACCCGGACAAAGTGCAAGAGGAAAAAATAACAGTAATGGGACAGGGGTTGCAGGACCGGTGAAAAATAGAAGGTTGCGAGGAGGTAATCGTAACAGGGTAGCTCCATCTGGGGAGTCAAGTGCTTCGGCTCAAGCTATGTTAGATGCATGTGGAGATAAACATAGCAGAAGAAATAGTACTATTTGGTTCTCCTTGGTTGCAACTGAAAATTGGTGAGATGCTCTTTTGGTTATAAAATTCATCTGGTTTTATGTATTTGGCGAGCTAAATTTGTGATTTCTTTCATGTTGATCTCTGATTGTCATGGTAAATGTCTTCAGGAAAGGAGATGGTTCCTTGCCACAGATACCATCATCTTACTTGAGAATAAAGTGAGTTCCTGTAGTCATGTTTCTTGCTTTGAGGTTCTTCTATTTCGCTTTATACTGATTTATTCTCTTGTATTAGCGATTTAATCATCTTAAACATGAATGGAATAGAGCAACGAGTACCAAAATATAGGTTTAGCTTTGTGTCATTTTGTGTGTGAGTATGTACGCATGTTTCTTTTATTGTTTATTTTTATCTTGGAGCATTCTGTATATAACAAAAGTGAAGCAACAAGTCACGTAATATTTTGCTAGAAAAAGAAAAACCATAAAGCTTTATGATGAGCTGTTATCCGAATAGGCCTTGACATGTATATTCTTTTGATGGTTTGAACTGGTTTAAGATTTAGACTTTAGATGTATTTGAGAAATGATTTTGATAGATCTCCATCAATCTACTATTGATGATTGTTATATGTTGAAGCATGTATTAGATCTTACAATATTACTATTTTTGAGTGGTTCCTAATTGTTATTCTGAATTCCTGCAGTTATCTGGCTTATTATTACAGTGTGGAAGATAACTTTTTCATTTGGTTATTTAGTTGCATAAACTAGTTGTATTGACTTTCCCTCTTCTTTCACAGGGATGGTAAAATACCTGTATCATTCATCCAGAAGTACCTTGCGAAGAAACTTGAACTTAACAGCGAAGATGAGGTGAGTATATCTTTGTTGCCTTTAACTTGACTAAAATCCTATTCTATCTATCCAAAAGTAGTTTAGTGGGGCAACCAAGGGAGGCTCTGTTCAGTTTCCTTTCATACGCAGAGAGTGCATTTTCATACTGTCATAGATGCTATGATTCAAGTGTCACATTTTACTATGCAAAATATAGGAATAACTCTTTGACTTATATGTTCATTGCATGCATTTTGAAATGAATGTTTTCCTTTTAATTATCAGTAAAAGGAGTGATAGGGCCTGGCTACATTTTCACTTATGCTTTAAGTTTTTATATTCCTTTCTTGTAGGTGGAGATAATGTGCCGGGGTCAGTCAGTACTTCCGACATTGCAACTAGAAAACCTAGTAGATCTCTGGTTTCGAACAGCAACAACACCAAAAAAGGTACCGGCAGTAGTTGGCTCCTCAGCCAAAGATTTTGTGATGACCCTCTCATATTGTCGAAGGGTCCAAAATCCCTGAAAGAACCAATAAAAGTTTCTCTTTTGTTTGTTGTCGTAGGGTCCAAAATCCCTGAAAGAACCAATAAAGTTTCTCTTGTGTTGTCTCCATAGCCTACAACTTTCAATATTTATAGTACCTGTTGTCGGATTTACTGGTGTATCAACAAAGTTCATCTGCTGCATCTTGTGTGCTTGTTCTATATGCTAAATTCTTTGGTTGTTTTATCACTACTTGAACTTGACCTAACATATTATTGTACATAGAATAACGTTGAAGGCTGAAGCCCATTAGCTTTTCAATGGCCTCTGATCTGTTAGAAGAGGTTGCCAAATAAATTGGTCGTCAATAAGATAACTAATGCATATCAAACTTCCACAGAATTATATAAGGCGGCACGAAGTTTTATTATGGTAGTTTTTCTTTTGTGCAATCACTTGGCTTGAAGGAAACCATCCTCGTTTCAAGGTCAAAACCAATCAGGAAATTTGACTGAGCAAAGTTTCCATAAATACTACCATCGCTAGTGTCATTTGTCATTGCAAAGCAGAAAACCCCATCTCTTGGTGGAATGAATGTCTGTGTTGGTGTCAACCGCACATCAGCATCACCCTCAAAATGCACAGTCAATATTGGTCCTCTGAGATTGGTTTTGCTTTTATAGAAAAGCTGAGTTCCGAAATTTGGGTCATCTTCAACGGGTTTCATTGGAATCTGCTTCTTCAATTCTGCCACCAATCGGTCATATAAATCTGTTGATATATATGTTGTTGGTGTGCCTGAGTCCAGGTACATGTTGCCTTTTGAAGCTTTCCCTGATGAATCAAAAGGCAAAAACTTACCTCCAACACTAATTCCTTTTACTGTGACGTGATAAAATGGGAGGTTGTCTTGTAACACCAATGGCGTTGACACCACACCTTCACCCAACACTTCACTACCTTTCCGAAAGGTGATGTTGCATTCAATGCTTGGATCAGTATGAAATGGGGCCAAACAGTAGGAGAACTTTCTGCCTCCCAGCAAGGAACCCAATTGATTGAGAAACAAGTGATATGGGCCCCCCCCCAAGCCCGAAAATTCCATATCAATTTCATTCAAAGTCCCAGTATTGTTATGTCCACAGCCAAACACAACGTTTTTCAATGAAATAGCCTCCCCTGAGGTGGATCTCAAGGTTTGTCTCCTTGGCCAATACCCCTTCGGTCACTGAATCGTCTTCATACTCATAATCGTAACTGCAAAGATTTCGAGGTGAACAAGAAGTGGGGATACACTGGCATTCTTGTACAGCACAAGGAAGACGTTGAGGACTTTTTGGGATCGAACTTGGGATTAATCTGCTTGTAGCAGCATTCACACGATATACATTGTGGCCACAGTAGGTCACTGCCAGTATCAGCAATGCCGTAAACATTGACCAGTGAATTTCCAATGGAGAGCTTCAAAATATACTCTCCCCATTCTCGGGTCTTATTTCTGATTGTGGGCTATTTGGATACAACATTGGCCTCTTGAAGAATATTGTTTTGGTTACTCTTTGAAGGAGTTTTGTTATGAGTGTAGAATGGTGAATTTGGGGAGTTTCGGTGGATAAGTTTGACACTGACCCCCCCATTAACATCATTGCCTGCTGCTGTAGCTGAATTATGGCATAGAATTAGACAAATGATCAGAATCATAGTCATGGCACCAAAATGTGAATGGAAAATGAAAGTTTTTGAGGCTGCCATAAGAGAGGAGGGGGGATTTCATATACTGAAAAAGACAAAGTGCAATCAATGACATTTCTTGTATACCTGCAAGTTCAGGGATGAGATATATAAACCAGAGAGAGTACACAAAACCTTAAATGCAAGGTGGTACATACAGAGTTAATCTATGGGGATTTGCATTAATGGCTAAATCTGTGGATGCATGGATTTTTATGGCATTCTTAGCTAATTAATCCTTAAGAGAAAATCCAAGAAGTCATGATGCAATGCTTGGATTTTCAATGGTGGCATATGCACCGTAACTTGTATAGTCAGCATGTTGCTAAGCCTTAATTTGCAAATCAGTGGTCTCAGGTTCGAACCCCATGGCACCTTGGTAGCGTGTGTGTGTGTGGAATCACCCTCCCCTTGTAGTTTAGACTATTGCTTGTATTAAAAAAAGAAAGATTAAGAGAAATTAATTTCAATCAACAAAGAATGAACGAATTCTTGGGTTACATGCATACCCTCCCACATAGCAATTAATACAGCCACTGTTATTCTTTGTAGAGGGAAAAAATGACAAGTAAAAGAAAATTTAAGAGGTAGGCGAAGGAAGAGGAAAAGGGCATGGCAATAGAACTACTAGAACTATCACCCTTTGCTGCGCAGTCAGTTGGCTTGAAGGAGACCATCATTTTTTAAAGGTCGAAACCAATCAAGAAATTGGACTGCGCATAGCTTCCATAAATAGAAACACTATCGTTTGTGGCTTCAGTGGCGTTCAGCACTGAAAAGCACAACAGTTTATGTTGGTGATATCGATAGAAGGCTTGTGCTGGTGATAACTGCACTTTAGCACCACCATCAAAATGCACTGTCAGTGATGGTCCTTTGAGCTGGTCCATGGTCGTATTATAGTAAAGCAGAGCTCCATCTCTAGGGTTTGTGTCATTTACTTCAATGGGTTTCAACCAGGTTGGATCAACCGCCTTCTTTACCTGCGGTATCAACCCGTCATAAAAATCTTGTGGTATTGTGGTCACTTGTGTTCCTGAGACAAGAAGCATGTTCCCTTTTGAAACAGACCCGGATGAGTTAAAAGGCACAAACTTATCTCCAACACTAATTCCTTCAGCTGTCGCATAATATAAGTTATTGTCTTCTTTGTTGATCAAAGGTGTTGAGACCACACCTTCACCTGAAACCTCACTCCCATTCCCAAAATTCATCATGCTTGCCACATTCGGATGACCAGGATCGTACGGCACGAAACAATGGGAGAACTTTCTGCCTCCAACATAGGGAGCAATTTGAGAAACAAAGGACAGGTTCCCAAATGAAAGCCCAACTACTCCCATTTCATTTTCAGGAGAGGCAGTACCCATCGCGGTATTGTTATGTCCACAACCAAACACAATATTTTTGAAGGAAATAGGCTTCCCTGACGTGGATGTCAAGGTAACTGTCTCTCTGGCCACAACTCCTGCGGTAGCTGTTTCGTCCAGATAAGAGTAATTGTAATTGCAAACCTTTTGATGATAATGATCATCAATTGATGAGTTTGAGCAAGAGTAAGACCTAGGATCATTCTCAACGTTACATTCTGGTGCATCACATGGAAGGAGCCCATATGTTGAGGACTTTTTCGGGTCGAATTTAGGATTCTTCTGCTTGTAGCAACCGGGACATGGTTCACATTGTGTCCATAATAGCGTATTTCCTGTATCCGCCACAGCATAAATATCATGTGGTGGAGTTCCAATTGAGAGCTTCATAAGTTGTGCGCCTTCACCATCGTCCATGTCACGCTTCACTTCTGACTGTGAGGGTTGCATCCTTGGACGGGCTCATGAGACGTCGAAAAGCTTTGTTTCTGTTGTTATGATTGTAGAATGGTGAATTTGGGGAGTTTTGGTGGATAGGTTGGACACTAAACCCGCCATTAATATTATAATTATTATTGCCAACTGGTGTAGCTGTAGCTGAATTATGGCATAGAATTAGATAAATGATGAAAATCAGTCACTAGAACATACTAATTGTATAAGACAAGACAAGGAGATGGAGGCAGATTCCAGGAAATGTACAATTAGACCTTAAATACAAGAAGTGATCTATTTTTCTCATCTTATGGTTGCAGTGGCTGGCATTGTTTGTTTTTATAGAATTTGGAAGAGGCCCCCAAGCTACGGTTTTTCTGGGAAAAAAACTCCAGGTATACCACTTTTAGATGCAGGACGTTCCTCTGGCTCTGGTCAAAGCATGAACCTCATTTCTCGGGTTTTCAACTTTTTGACTTTTCTTAATTGTCATAATTATATAATATTCATATAATTAATTGACCTTTTTCATAGATAATATACTTGGCTAGCTCCTGCCTGAATTACTAGGTCTCCGACCACATCACCACCACATGACAGCAACCAACTAGATCTCTACTCGTTGTCCTAGAGGCATGGAACAAGATTTCTCAATGCTTCAAACATACAGTCGAGAAAGATTTCTCAATGCTTGCCCCTCATCTTCAGAGTTCAGACTCAATTATATACACAGTACAGTACAGGGTTATAATTGGTTAATTACATAATAATCAGAAATAATTAATGCTTAATTACCTCAAGGAATGTTAGAAGCAATATCAGTACTCTTGTCTTGAGTTCCAAAGAGCATGTATATTGTGAATTGTGATGGGGGTTAACTGGTTGTGCATGAAATCCAGCATCACTTGGCTATCAAGTTTAGGAGACTCAAAAGAAAAGAACGGAATTAATTACCTTCTAGCTCCCAGTTCCAGGAATTCTAATCATAATTGTATAGTTGTATTCATACTTAATTAGGAGACTCTGTTATCTTGGATAGGAAGGTTTTTGTGCAGGTCAACTGTTTCGTTGTCGTCGGAAATGCCACTTTGTTTCCAACTCACTGGATTAATGATTGGATATGCTATATTTTTTTCTTTACAAATTTAGGATGCTAGTTCAATTAAATATGTTCGTGTTTTTAGTATTAAATGTTTTGCAAAGAAGTTGTTTTAACTTGTGTGGGAAGTTCTTCTGGTTAGATGACCATTTTCTTGAAAGCCAATTTGGCAGTATATAAACAAACCTAGGGATTAAGACTCTTAAATTTTGCATGACGATTGTTCTTTGTTTTGATAGCATATATGATCCTATAAGCTCGCTGAATCAAAGAATCTTAGAAATGTTAGTTCTTTTGGTAATGAAATGCTTACATACACAGTATGTTCTTTCCAACTAATTTTCTAGAAGTACAAAATTGCAACCAAAATAAAACTGAAAAGGTAGTTGAAGAAATACGAAAAGGGAGTGGCAAAAGCACCATTAGCAGTACGAGTGCTAGGCTTTCTGCAATCAGTTGCCTTGAAGGAGACCAACATTTTCTCGAGGTCGAAACCAATCAAGAAATTTGACTGAGCATAGCTTCCATAAAGACCAACACCCTCACTCAATGGATTGCTTGAGTTGAGCGTTCCAAAACAGAACAACTTATCTTGTTTGTTTTGATAAAACGTTTGTGCTGGTGCTAGCTGCACTTTAGCACCGCCATCGAAATGCACCGTCATCATTGGCGCTTTGGGATTAGTAGTGGCATTGTAGCAAAGCAGAGTTCCAGACGGGTCATTTACTTCGATTGGTTTCAATGACGACGGTTCCATCTTCTTCTTTACTTCTGCCACCAATCTGTCATAAAAATCTTGTGGCAACATTGTCACTTGTGTTCCTGAGTCAAGAAACATGTTCCCTTTTGAAACAGACCATGATGAGTTAAAGGGCACAAACTTATCTCCAACAGTAATTCCCTCCACAGTAACAAAATATTGGGTCTTGCCATCTTTGGTGATCAAAGGTGTTGAGACCACACCTTCACCTGAAACCTCACTCCCCTTCCCAAAACTCATGATGCTTGCATCATTGGGACGATCCGGATCGAACGGCACGAGACAATGTGAGAATTTTCTGCCTCCCACATAAGGAGAAATTTGAGAAATAATTGATAAGCTCCCAAGTCCAAGCCCTACTATTCCCATTTCATTTTTACCAAAAGTTTCCCCTGTATTGTTATGTCCACAACCAAACACAACATTTTTGAACGAAACTGGCTTCCCCGAGCTGGATCCAAATGTAATTGTCTCTTTGGCCATTACCCCTTGTGTTAGTGAATCATCCATGTAAGTGTAATTGTAATTGCAAACCTTTTGATCATCAGTTGAGCAGGAGGTATAGCCAGTGCCATTAGCATAAGTGCATTCTTTTGCAGAACATGGCAGGGTACCGTATGATGAGGACTTTTTTGGATCAAACTTGGGATTTTTCTGCTTGTAGCAATTTGGACATGGTTCACATTGTGTCCATAATAGCGTGCTGCCGGTATCAGCCACGGCGTAAATCTCATAGGGTGGACTTCCAATTGAGAGCTTCATAAGTTGTGCGCCCTCACCATCCTCCTTGTCACGCCTTATTTCCGATTGTGGGGTAGTTTGGTCGTCGGATGACCCCATTAGACGTCGATAAGCTTTATGATTGTGATTATAAAGTGGTGGTTTTAGAGAGTTTCTGCGGATTAGTTTGACACTGAACCCACCATTATTAAGATTTGAACTGCTTGCGGCTGTAGCTGTAGCTGAATTATGGCATACCATCAGATAAATGATGATCAAGATCATACTCATTGCACCATAATAATTGTGTAGAAGAGGAAGGCCTCCTCTAGTGTCTGCAGATGCCATGTATGGGAGGAATTAAGAGAGACAGAGCTACAACAAGAGTTTTTGGTTGCATATTACATGCAATTTCAGGCAAGGAGATATGTAAGAAAAGAGAGAGTGTACAATTAAGCCTTAAATAGAAGCGATTCTTTTTTAAGCTAATCCTACGGTTGCAGTGGCTTTTTTGTTTTTAGAAAATTTGGAAGTGGCCACAGCCTACAGGCCACGTTTTTCTTTAAAAAGCTCTTTACCACTTGTTCCTCTGGACCCTGGTCAAAGCTTGAACCTCATTTCTTGGGTTTTCAACCTTTGACTTCTCTCCAGGTCTAGCAATGTCAATATATCCGTACTACCCTTTATTGCAAATTCCGACAAGAAGAGATACTCAAGAGTCACATATCACCTACAATAATTCTTGTAATGTTCTTTAATGGTGGCATCGTATTAACTTACTAAGATTAGAAATATTTGTTGTTGAGAATTCTTTCTTTGATTCCATGCCTATTAACAGACATGGAAGGACTCGAATGGAAAATATGATAACTTATGATTGCATATGGATGGAAGGATTTGAATAGAATTTTTCGTACTAAACTTTTTTCGTGACCCCATAAGCGCGACCACCACCCTATAGCATGTTGCCGACAGAAGCAGAACCCCGCATTTCTTCTAGAGAATCTCCTAATTGTTCCCGAGCAACTAGAAAGAGATTGGATTTATATTCATAGCATAGGAGAAACAACTCTTTTTTTTTTCTTTTCAATATACCCTAGTGATTGGATTTATATGTTTATTCTGATCAGAATAATCAAATGATTTTCATCAAATCTATGAGATTCTTCATTTCAGAACCATCGAATTGAACTTGTTCTTTGTCATGAGTTTCTTCATTATTTCCACAGTACCATTGAATAACCTTAATTTTTTTTTAAATAAATATAAAAAAAAAAAAAAAAAACTGTTAATGTTGTTTCTTCGTCCATATGTAGTGAAATGCTTAGATTGGATAATGTTGTTTTGAGTAACTAATTCTCTATAAGGACAAAATTACAATTGGAAGAAGATTCAAAAGGTAGGTGGAGAAGTAGAAAAAGGGAGTGGGAATAGCAGCACTTGTATTTGTACAATCAGTTGGCTTGAAGGAGACCAGCCTTCTATCTAGGTCGAAACCAATCAAGAAATTTGACTGAACATAGTTTCCATAAAGAACAAAATCATCATTAGTGACATAACTGGAGTTCTGCATTGCAAAGCAGAAATTCTTAAACTCTTGGTGCTGAAAGAAGGTCTGTGTTGGTGTTAATTGCAAATTAGCACCACCCTCAAAATGCACTGTCAATGTTGGTCCTTTGAGATTCGTCGCGGTATTGTAGCACACTAGGGTCCCAAAAGTTGGGTCCACTATTTCAATGGGGGTCCTTGGAATCTGCTTCTTCAACTCTGCAACCAAGGGATCATAAAACTGTTGTGGTAAGTATGTGTTTGGTGTTCCTGAATCAAGAATGGTGTTGCCTTTCAAAACCGCATTAGTCTCCGATGAATTGAAAGGCACAAACTTATCTCCAACACTCATCCCTGCTATCGTGACGTGATAAGCGGTCTTGTCCGGTGTGGAGATCAAAGGTGTTGAGACCACCCCTTCACCCAACACTTCACTCCCATTCCCAAAACTCATCTTGCTTGTAGCTGTGGGATTGGCATGAGGTGGAACCAAACAGTAGGAGAACCTCTTGCCTCCAAGTCCAGGACCAATTTGAGAAATGAATGACATGTTCCCAGTTCCAAGCCCAACTACTCCCATTTGATTCTCAAGAAATGTTTCCCCTGTATTGTTGTGTCCACAACCAATCAAAATATTCTTGACGGAAACTGGTTCCCCAGATGTGGATTTCATGATGATTGTTTCTTTTGCAAGTACCCCTCTGGTGGCTGCACCATCTACATAGCTGTAACTGTAATTGCAAAGCGCTTTATGATCATCAGGTGATGAGCAAGAGTAAGAGCCAGAGTCAATAAGTAAGTTGCATTCTTGTGCACCACATGTGAGGCTTCTATATGTTGAGGACTTTCTCGGGTCGAACTTGGGATTTTTCTGCTTGTAGCAATCAAGACATGGCTCACATTGTGTCCATATCAGTGTGCTGCCTGTGTCAGCAACCCCATAAATATTGACCGGTGGAGTTCCAATGGAGACCTTCATAAGATGTTCCCCATCATAGTCACGTCTTACTTCTGATTGCAGTGTGTTTGGATTGGATGGCTCCATGAGACGTCGAAAGCGTCTGTATAAGCTCCTTGAAGGAGCTTTATTGTGATTATAAAATGGTGAATTAGGGGAGTTTCGGCGGATAAGTTGGACACTGAATCCACCACCATGAGCATTGCTTGCTAATGAAGAATGACATACAAGATAAAAGAAAAGATTAATAGTCACCAAGTGTAAATGGCAAAGGGTAGGGTGATCTGCAGCTGCCATGAGAGAAATCAAGAGAGGGAGAGTTGCTTCAACTTAACTGTAAGAATAAAAAGAAGCGCTGCAATGAGTTTGCTTGCAGTGCAATGCAATTTGAGGCAAAATTAGTTGATCTTAGTGTAGAGATATATCCTGAAATAGGAGGTGGTAGGTTTGCATGAATGGCTAAAATTAGATCATGTAGCTAAGCTAGTCTCTCACACAAACATGGATTCTCTTAAGGTGGCAACGGCATGGCAGTTCTGTTTTTAGAAAATTTGGAAGCAGCCCCAGGCCATGTGTTCTTTGAAAGAATTCTATACCACTTCTTTTTTTTTGTGGGGTGCAGTTCCTCAGGTCAAACCCTGATTTCTTGGTATTAGATTTTGACATTTCTCAGGGCAAGGAAGAAAAGAACCAAAAAATAAATAAATTTTGACAATACCCATATTACGGTATTACCCTTACACATCTTCACACTGGGCCATATTTTGCTTTACATAAGCTTCTCCAAGCGCAATAAAGATTGACCCGATATTGGGCCCAAGTTAGAATTTGGGTTGCAGTTGTTGACACTAGCTAGGTATATATACCGAAATGCCCACAGTGCCCTCGTCACAGGCTTTACTCTTCTTCACAGTTCACTGAGCTTCGTTGAGTTTGTTCAACCTTTTTGAATCAAGCATGCAACAGGTGAGTCAAAGCCCTAATTTTTCATTCACACAATCTAATAATTCCATGCAAAGGGTTTCGTTTTTAATTTTGTTTTGTCTTTTTGGGCCAAGGGTGGAGGATCTGAAACGGAGGTGACATGGGAAGACCAGCAGAACATCAACAAATTTGGCAGATTGAATAACCGGTTTCACGAGCTCGAGGACGAGATCAAATTTGCCAAGGTATTTCCTTTCTGTGGACGTTTATTTGGTTTTTTTTTCTTGAAAGATTCATTTTTTGTTTTTCTTTTCTGGGTACTAAATGCTGTTTTGTCTTGAAAATTCGATGTTGTTTTATCTCAAATCGACTATAAATAGAACATGTACCATGTATTGCATTAAGAGTGTGCAAAGGCTAGCGATTGTAATCTAAAATTCAGTGTTCGTAAAATCGGCCTAGGCGGCAGGACACTTCACCCTAATCGTTAGGGGTAGGCGCCAGGGAGTTAGCCGGCCTGGGCGGGTCTGGGCGGATCGGGTGGCTGCTTCTCTACTCTTCTCGACCCAACCAGTGGCAGCGACTGCTTCTCTACTCTTCTCGACCCAACCAGTGGCAGCGACGACTTCTTCTAAAATTGAAAAAGAGTGAAGTGAAGCGAAAAGAAAAATGATGAAATGATTGTTTAGGATTGACCTCACTGCTACTAAAACTAAATTGACTTTATTTATTAGTCTTCTAGGTTTGGTGGGACTGCTCTACCTGAATGATTTGGCAAACTACCCTGTGAGTTTTATGTTTTGTAATGGGCATCGATTTCAGAAATTCACATTGACAAAGGTTGAATGTTTGCTTTCCTGATTTGTGCCAGCTGCCAAGTGATCAAATTTGTGTGCAATGAGCCTCCTGCCTGGAATTTTGCATGTTTAAATGCATGTTTCTTTACTTTACTTTAACCCCATAGATTTTCCTTGGGATGAATTGCTTTCCGCAATTAAGTGGGTATAAAGGCCGCGTCTGATCTGCCATTGTGAGAGTCTTGTGAACTAGGCCACCGTTCTTTTCATTTTCCTTGGGAAGCTTATGGTAGACTGCATTTCATTATCCAGTCCCTTGATTGTTTGACTTTAGTTTTTCTTTTTCTTTTTCGAGATTGCATTTGTACCTCTTATACTAAGCGATTTCATTTTTTATGGTGTTTTAATGTGTTAAAAGTTATGTGAGAGTTTGTATTATGTTGACTCTCACCTTCTCAATCATGGTACTAGTGCTAGCTTTTGAACATGAACATCACTTTCTATCTACTTGTGTGGGTGTCATTGTCATCCTGGTATATTTTGTAAGTTGTGCTCTCTTCTGATCCATGTTGCAATCCAGGAATCAAATGAAAATCTGGAGGATGCAAGCAATGAGTTGATTCTCACTGATGAGGAGGTGGTCCGGTTCCAGATAGGTGAAGTGTTTGCCCATGTGCCAAAAGAAGAAGTGGAGAGCAGGATCGAAGAGATGAAAGAGGCGACGAGCAAAAATTTAGAGAAACTTGAGGAAGAGAAGGAATCTATTCTTGCGCAGATGGCCGAATTGAAGCAAATTTTGTATGGAAAGTTCAAGGACTCCATCAATCTAGAGGAGGATTAAACGCAGGACTTGTGTTTCTGTAGTTCGGTTTTTCAAATGATAAAGGATTTGTTGTTGATATGATTTTCCTTCTTGTTCTTTAAAGGAATTGTTCACTTATATTTTTAATACATGAGGAAACTTGTTACTACCATCTGGATGGTCTTCTTTGATTTCAGAAAGTTCATTTTATAGCGTTTGAGTCCAAGAGCACCAAACTTGTTAGTGATATGGCAGGAGTGCGTACTTGCAGGTGTCTTGGCTTTCTGACCTCTTGTTTAAAGCAAAGCGATATTGGGGGAGGGAGAATCGAACCTGGGACTTAGGATGTAGGGATAAATGCTCTTAACCTACAAGCCCATAGCGGCTTCCTGACCTCTTGAATCTACACTTTCAAGAGTACCAGTAATTCTGCACATACTTTAAACCTTCAGTCAAATTGATCTAAGTTTCAATGCAAGTTCTACAAGGCAACAAATCATTTGGAGAGCATTTCACATTTGACTTCAACAGAAGAAGAAAGGAGCGGGGGACAAAACGCAGACGGAGATGAAGGATTAATATATACCATTTTTACTCACAAAAGGTCAAACAGAAGATAAACATCAGATTATTCCTTATGGAGAAATTCTTCCAAATTTACTTCCTAATGAAACAAAAATGGGAAGGAAGAAAATTTGATTTTTGGAAATATCTCAGTGCCTTGGGTTTAATAAGGAACAGATCCCAGGAAAAACCCTTTGCTGCATAATATTAACATCCATAATTTATGGTAATTATTATTCAATCCGACCACTTAAATTTGGGCGTTATCATCGCTTCCAAATTTCTGCATACATGTTATATATTTGCATATTCTTCTTAATAGTCAAATTCTTGCTTTGCTTCTCTCTTAATTTGCTCTGTTCTCATGCGTCCACTGATGAAGATGTGCTCCTGCCATTTCATCTTTTTCATCATTTGTCTCTGTGCTCTGTCCAAAACCCCATTTGCTAATATCATAAACGTCCCTCTGCCAGTGTTCAAAAACTCATTGCACTCTACCATGGAACTTGTCCAAAATGTGGCCTCTGCCATTCCCCGCATCCGCATGTATGCTCAAGCTCAGGATGACCATGATGATCATGATCGAAATCTTAATATTGCTATTTCACATTGTGCAGATGTGCTTGGCTCAACTTATGAAGCCTTGAATTGGTCTCTTTCCGCCATTCATCACGACCCGAAAGGTTCATTTCATATATATATATATAATTGCAAGGGTTTTAAATTCTTAACTATTTCTTCATTTTCTTTCATTGAGGACAAGAAAAACCAATGCTAAAACTAAAGCTTCATTTTACAGGTTATACACAATACTATCGCACAAGTACTGATGTCATTTCCCATGCAAGAGCAAGGTTGGATGCAAATCTCGGCAGCCAAAAGACATGCATGGAAGTGTTTGATGGCACCAAATATTCCATGGCAGCACAGAGCTTCAAGCAAGTGACCACGTCAACCCAAGAGCTGCTTAGCATGTTGCAAGTACCACCTGGCCGTGGCCGCAGAGCAGCTAATGCTGCCCGGAAATTTTTGCAAACGCCATACGTTACGGTTTGTAAAGATGGGAATGGGAATTTTAGAACAATAATGGAGGCCGTAGCTGCTGCACCAAACCATAGCCAAGATCACTTTGTGATATTTGTTAAAAAAGGATTTTACAAAGAAAACGTGAAAATCGATAGCCAAAAGTGGAATTTGGTCATCATTGGCGAGGGTATGGACGTTACTACCATATCTGGCAGTAGAAGCTTTCGTGATGGTTGGTCAACATTTGATTCACCAACATTTGGTAAGACACCAAAACTTGATTTATTTCAAAATTACGTTTAGAAAAAAGTAAATTCTCTCTTACCAGAATACCACCAATCAATACCATGCATTTAGGCATAAGCTATCTTAAAAAAAATATATAATAACAGGGTTTGATGACACAACATGTCAAAACCTGTTCCTACTGTTTTGTGTATGACTTTTGTTGTCAATTCATTTTGTATTAGCGGTATCGGCCGAAGGATTCATTGCAATGGACATAGGGTTTGAGAACGCTGCAGGACCAGAAGGTTTGCAGGCAGTTGCACTTCTATCCGCCAGCGATGGTGCTGTCTTCTATCGCTGCAAGATCAGTGGATACCAAGACTCATTGTGTGTACATGTCGGCCGTCAGTTCTATCGAGACTGCGAAATCAGTGGCAGTGTGGACTTCATCTTTGGCTACGGCACTGCTGTTTTCCAAAATTGTGCACTCATTGTCAGGAAAAATGTAATAGGCAAAATTAGCGTGGTCACAGCGCATGGCCGATATGCCCCAAACGACTCATCGGGCTTCTCCTTCCAATCATGCAAGATCTCTGCAGACCCCGATTTCATAGGCGAAGCGTATCTTGGTCGACCTTGGGGTGAATATTCACGGGCAGTGTTCATACAATCATATATAAGCAATGTTATAATGCCCGAAGGTTGGCTTGAATTCAGAGGGAGTTTTGGGACTGACACACTGTATTATGGTGAGTACATGAACACGGGGCCAGGTGCGGGGCTTGCAGGCCGAGTCAAGTGGGCGGGATATCATGTGATTGCCAACCCATCGGAGGCCGACTGGTTTACGGCGGCCAAGTTTATTGACGGGAACTCATGGCTGCCATCCACAGGTATCCCATACATACAAGGATTGAAGCCTTAACCCTAGTAATTCAATGTATCTTCCTTCTAAGCCCCAAGTTCTTAAAATTTTATCTGTGTTCAAGAATTCAGTTTCAGTTTAGTCAAAATCACAACTATTTCAAGCTTAACAAAACGAGTAACTGTTACAGAAGTTGAACAAAATGAGACCCCGTAAAAACTCAAAACACAAGGGATAAATCAAAATCACAACTATTTCAAGCTTAACAATTAAAATACACCAGAAACTGTTACAGAAGTAGTAACCGAACTTTATCCACTGTATGATATCAAAGAAGAAGACAATAACAAAAAGGGTCCCTAACAAAAATCAATCACCTTTCCCTCTTGAAGCTGCAATTGCTACATTGTTGTCCCTCTACAGTTCGCATCACAGCTCCAAAAACCCAAATTTCCCATAAAAATCGAATTTTTCCCGGAAAAATAAAAATCCCCACCCTCATCTGAAATATTTTGTACAACCTCAAAACCCCAATTTTAGCGGCGAAGAATCAAACCAACCCGAGAATTCAAATCCGGGTGTAAGAAGTCGGGCGCAGGGGCTGGTTTGCAACAACCGACACCAACCCGTTTTCAGCCGCAGTCTCCTCGTCAAGAAACAAGTCTTCGGTGACCCGAAAGGCGGCGTGGAGCCCAACCACCACCACCCCGACGATCAACGACACCAACACATTCAAACCCACGTGGGTAAACACCAGCGCTACGACAGTGACCAAGCTCAGCACGACCACCACCAGCCTGTCGTCGAAGCTCTGGTTGAACAAAACGACGGGGCCAGAACGGAAGAAGTAGAGGGCGAGCCAGGCGACGAGGACGATCAAGAAGACGATCATGGAGACAGGGTGCCATAGGAGGCTGAGGAAGACGATGAGGAGCACTGCCATGGCGTAGTTGACGCGGAAGTAGCTGATGTTGTGCTTGATTCGAGCCATGGCGTCGGCGTAGTTGTACGGAACGGAGAAGGAGGTCAGGGAGAAGAGCTCGGGCCACGGGCGGCGCGTGGGGTACACGGATTGAGAGATGCGTGCGGGGTACACGGGTTGGGAAGTTTGGGGATTGGCACGGGAGGTAAAGGTGAGATCTTTGGAGGTTTGTGCGGCGGCGGGGTTGGTGGCGGTGATGGTGCCGTAACCCGCAGGTGGTTTTAGCGACATTGTTGATGGAAATCGGGAAATTCCTGTAAAAGATCGGAAATTTGAGCGGGAAAGGAGTCAATTGAGAAGTTGGTAGAGAAACCCTAGAACCCTGAGAAAGGATTTGAAGGGCTCTATCCTCTCTCGGAAACAGGGGACTGAAGCAAGCGCAGAAGGTGGAGGATGTCAGAGAAACTTTGGAAATTATAAAGTGTTTATTTTAATTTAATGTGTCTGTCTGTCTTTTTTTTTTTTTTTTTTTTTTTTTTTTTTTTTTGTAGTCTGTTGAAATACAACTGGATTTTTGCTTAAAACCAGTGGTGCCCTTCTGTATCATAACGTCAAGATTTCAGTTTTTTTTTTTCATTGTTCTTTTTGGACAATAGACAGTTATAACAAAAAAGCAAAGATTTTTCCATCGACTTTGGAAAAAAGAATTGATATCCCACAAAATTGATGAGATGACTAGACAAGAGTTGAATGTAGGAGACTATCCACCCACAAAAAAAAAAAAAAAAAAAAAAAAAAAAAAAAAACAGGAGAGAAGGAAGAACAATAGAAAATAAAAAAAGTGTCTCACAATAACACTACTGCAAACATTAGTCACTAACAAAACTGAACAAAGGCAGCAACGGCAAAAAATCTCTCACATTTATAAGTAACAACTACTCTAGCAATCTCACAGTTCCTAATTAAAACCACAACCCACTCTCATAAAAGAAGAGGAAATGATCTCAATCCAACCTTTTGACTAGCTTAAGATACGACCGTTCGGCAAACTATGATTTCTGTTTATCAGCACCATGAAATTTCCTTCCAGCTTCAACCGCTTCTCTGTAAAGAAAAAAGTCGTTAGAGCTTGCAACCCAGGGAAAGTGATAATAACTCAACGGAAAAAACAGGTCCTATTTTATAAATAAACCCCTTTTTTCTTAAACAGAAGCAAGCAACACAATTTGCATTTGATTTTGTTTTGCAAATAATAAGAAAACAGTACAACTAAGGGGGGAGAGGAGAAAGCAGAGCAGTTTTTTAATACAACCTGAAAGCATCTACAAGTGCCTGATTTTCAGGGTCCAGCCTGACACCTTCGTAAAAAGAATTGGCAGCTTCATCAAACTTCTGCAATAACAAATAAATAGTTCATTGGATATTGTTCTTTTTTCATATAAAATTTCATTAGAAGCATCATGAGATGGTTAAGTGAGCACATGCCTGCAATAGGCGCAATGCTGCACCTTCTCGGTAGCAAGCTTTTGCCCAATCTGGTTTTAATGCCCTGCAGGCCTTTGCATCAGCTAAGGCATACTCAGGTTGACCAAGACGCATCCAACAAAGGCTTCGATTAGAAAACAAAGTACCATCGGTCGGGTCCATATCAATTGCCTGTAAATGCATGGCCAAACACAGAACTAAGTAGTAGTATTTTGTAAGCAAATAGAGTCGGTTGTTTCCCCATTAAGCGCACTTGTCACTAAGCAGTAGTCTGAACAATTGAAAGTAGCCTGCTTAAACTCTCTATAGAGAAAAAAATAGGGCCCACAGTAATCCAATAAATTTGTCTTGAGCATGGGACCAACGCATAACTTGCAACATAACTACAAAATTGATTAGCATTAATAACAGAGGAAGATGTAAAACGCACCTGTGTATATGCATCAATGGCCATATTATAATCCTTCGTTTTGAAAGCATCATCTCCTCTTGATTTTGCTTCTGCAGCTTTCTTCTTCGCTTCAGGGGTCACCTGAATAAGGGGTCAGGCACAAACACAAGACTACATAAATCTTTATGCTAAATTAAATTTCATAATATAGACATGCACAGCGAGGGCACATTTAGTTACAGGGTAAAAGATACCACCTCAGGGAGCTCTTGTTTTGGTGATGTAGAGTCTTTTGGCACATTAAGTTCCTTCAAGTTTCTAGCTTGTTCCTGCAAATTATCCCTTGAAAGTTAGAAATCTGAGGTAGCTTCAAGAATGCCAGCCAAATCTAGGGAATCCAATTATGTTCTGTGTTCATATATAAACATAGTTTATGAGACAATAAAGGAATTCCTATTATGTCTTCTGTACCCATAAACTACTGTACTCAACATATGCCAACCAATAAGTTTAGTGAAAGTATAATACAAATAAACACTTAAGAGGCCAGATTAAGAATAAGGAGATCTAGTAAGATAGTCGTCCTCTCAAAATTAAGAGGTTGGAGAAATTCCTTTAGTCCCCTCACAAGGAAAATGACATGTCAAGATCTTGGCACCTGTTGTCTGCTTGTTTCAGACTGCATATACTCAAGTATGCCATCAACCGTCCATTTTGGGATGGTTTCAAGCTTTGAAGTCAAGGGAAAGAGAATCTCAACAGCACTGCGGTTCCCTCTTGCAGCTGCGACCTGTATAGGCTTCAAACCATCCTGTGGTGCAATAAAAAGTCACCATTAATTTATCTGGTTTTTTCAGTCCCCATTTATTTTAAATGGATGAATTTAACTAACATCTGTAATACTAAGAATCTATATGCAGCACTTCATGTAGAGCTACACTAATGGAACAATTTTTAATAATCAGAAAGCATAATTCCTATGTCAGGTAAGGTGGACTACCTCATCAGTGATATTGGGATCTGCTCCAGCTTTCAACAATAAATGTAAGATCTCTGGGCTGCCAATATCAGCAGCAATGTGCAAAGGGGTTGCTCCACCTGCACTAATATTTACTTTGGCACCAGCCTATACAAACAAAAAATGGAAAAGTAAATGTTGCAAGTCAAATGATGATCTAAAGATTAACCTGTCCATAATACTTTCCAACACCCTACAAGTAAAAAATTGAATTTGTATTTGCAGATAAATTGTTTTGCTACATTGAACAGTAAGTATAAACTGAACCTGAATCAATAACTCTAAGCATGGCAGTGAACCAGCCGCAACAGAAGATAACAAAGGAGTAATACTGTCATCATTTTCAGAATTTGGCTGCAAAACAAAAATAACTACATGAACAAAACAATATAAGACAATCTCACCTCATAGTTCACTCTCTCTACAGAACTACCAAGCAAATAGCATCTATGCAAACAAGCATACCCATGACAGCTTACATTGGCATGGTGTTCTAACAAAACTTTCACAGCATCTTGTTGACCATGACCAGCAGCCCAAATCAAAGGAGTGCCAGCTTCACTTTGGGAATTAACATCAGCACCTTTGGAGATCAAATACCTCAGTAACTCAATGTCTCCTGTAAACAGGCACAAACCACAATATGATTCCTGAAATTTTATTAAGCCATAAAATGAAATGCTACTATGAGAACAAGTTTTTAAAAACCCACCTAGTCCAGCGGAATGATGAAGAGCTGTGGCCCCTAAATCACTGGCTATAGCAGGATTGGCACCAGAATCAAGCAGGTATTTTGCAGTATCAGTATGGCCTTGCCGAGCAGCATGAATAAGAGCAGTCTCACCTGTAAACAAGTAACGATTTCTAAAGGATAAGCTGTATGGTATACCAATAAGTACACAAAGCTCTAGCCAGATTAGAAATACGTGTCTGCCTAAGTTTTCTATATTACTGTGAGATTCTAAAGTTACATTTTGGTCTCGTTTACCAAAAACAGATAATGTTTAACATTAAGCACAAACCGTCTTCGTCCTTTGTATCAACATCAAGCTTCAGTTCCTCCAGCAAGTACTTGCACACCTCAGTCTTGCCCTCTCTCGCAGCAAAATGAAGGGCCCCTCGCTTGTTGGCATCCTTAATATCAGCCACAGTTTTTGCCAAATCCTTCCCTTCATCAAGTTGCCCGGCCAAATCTGCCAAGGAGGAAACCCCCAATCATAAAAATTAATGATAATGATAATTCAATTACAACAATAGCCAATCAAAACAAGCAAAAATAACCAATTCATGATTGAAAAAATAAAATCAAACATCCAGAGCAGAAAGAGAACATTTACTCACTCTTTAAGAGATCAAGATTCCCAGTAACAGCAGCATTGAGAAATTGTTGAACTTTATCCCTCACTGCAAAAAGTTACTTTTTTTTTCATTGAAGATTCAAGGAGCTATTTTGATATATAAAGATGATATAAATTCGAAAGTAATTAGGCTTATGCATCAGTATATAGACACATATACGTATTTAGAATCATGGGCAACCATAAATTAGTAGACTTTTTGCCTCGGACCATAAGAACACAAACCAGATTTAAAGGAAGAGTGCGTAATAGAGTTAGAGAAAGAACCTGCAAGGGCAGCTGAAGCGTCAGGGGCCATAAGGAGGGCAAAGCCAAGGAGAAGTAGTTTATTTGTTGGGATTCTGAAGCTTTGACAGAAGGGGCCGAGTTTGTTAGTCGGAGGCTGTAAGCAGAGAGAATTCACTGGGAGTTCAACTTCGGTTGTCTTCGAGACACAGAGACAGAAGAAGACGACCCAAGTTTTTCTGGGGTTTATGGTTTATGCCGAACACGTGGAATTTGCAAAAGCAAAAAAACAAAGGTCAAAATTTGCGGAGGCAAAATTTACTTTTCAATGAGTTTTACTTTTATGCCACCCACAATATATATGTATTGGAGATAAGGCGACAGAATTTCATTGAAGAAAGAATAAGTAACTAGTATCAAAATATCGGTTTATGTCATCCGGAATTAGATAAGTGTCTCTACACCAATGAGTTCGGTTGTTAGTCTAACTGAGTAATCTTACCTGCTAAACTACAAGCGTGAGCAGGAACCTGACCTCTGATAGAGTTCCTCCCTATCCCAAATCCCAAATCCCCAATCCCCATAAGATCATATCCATAAAAACCTACTTGTAACAATCCTCAAATAAAAATCAATAATCAAATCTTTTTTTAAAAAATCCTTCTATGAAGTTATCTAGAAAGAAAGGTCATGCTTTTCCCAAAGAAAAAACAAAAAGGTTTGTTTGATGATAAATTTCTAAAGTATTTTCTTTTGACTAGAGGATGGCCCTCTTTAGCTAATTAGTCTGTAATTCTTGCTTATTGTTGGTAAAAATTTACAAGTTGAGGATAATAAAAAGGAAAGGCTTTTTTATTACAAATGGTCCCTTAGGTTTGCAAAATTATCACATTTCGTCCTTAATATTTTTTTTGTGACACCAATAGTCCCTAAGGTTACCATCTACACATCAAAATGGTCCCTGCCGTTAAATTTCATCAAATTTTATATTAAGTAGCTGACGTGGCACGTGTGTGGAGCCTACGCATCCAATAGTATACATCCACGTGCCTTTAACTAAAATATATCATATTTTAAATATTTTAAAACTTAAAATCCCCCAAAAAAAAAGACATGTACCATCTATGTTCTTCCTCTGCCAGCGCCTCCTACCCACCCTCGCAGACCCACTCTGCCTCTCTCTCTCCCTTCTCTTCCTCCCTTCTCTTTCCCTCTCTCCCTCATCTTCCTTGATTTTTAAAGGCTAATCTACCATAGCTTGATGTAGTTTCTGCATCAGGAAGTTTCTTCATGGCCAAATCTAAGCTTCAAAACACAAATTCTCTATGTGGGTCACCGTGAATATGAGCTCAGTGGCAGTAATTCCCAACTCCAGAGTCCCTCACATGATAATTCGATGAAATAAACACTTGGGGTCCTTTTTTGTTTGACCAAAACTTGCAAATCAATGAAACCCAAATCTTAAAAGTTTGAAGGAAAAAAAAAGGGGGGGGTATGGGATGAGACCCAATAGTGAAGATGAAGCTATCCAATTATAAGATTTACAAAATAGTAAACCTGGTGGCTGGTATAGTTACACAGTCATAACATAAACATTGAGTTGGATTTTTGGATCAGGGAGAGAGAGAAGGGAAAGCTCGAGAAGTCAAGGAAGATCAAGGAAGATGAGGGAGAGAGAAGGGAGGTAGAGGAGGGAGAGAGAGGTGAAGAGTGGGTCTGCGAGGGTTGGAGGCGCTGGCAGAGGGAGAACACAGATGGTATTTTATTTTTTTTTTTTTTTTTTTTAAGTTTTAAAATATTTAAGATATAATATATTTTATTTAAAGCCACATGGATGTGTGGGCTCCACACATGTGCCACGTCAGCTACTTAACAGAAAATTTGATGGAAGCTAACAGCAGGGCCATTTTGATGTGTGAAGGGTAACCTTAGGGACCATTGGTGTCACAAAAAAACTTTAGGGATGAAATGTGATAATTTTGCAAACTTAAGGAATCATTTGTGATAAAAAGCCAAAAGGAAAAAAGAAAAGAATATGCGAGAGATATATGAAAGTAAAAATCTAAAAGGATGAATTCTATTTATTAAATGTAATTGTTTCATAGTACATTCCTTGAATTCCATTTTGACAACATAGATCGATGAGGCACAAAAATGAATTGTTCCATTCCATTCCATCATCAAACGTGTTGCGCAGTGCACCCAAGAGAGAAATTTGGATATTCAAAGTGTCAACTTGGAAAATAAGCACACTAAATCCTTCTCTAGCCAAATCAAACCAAACCAAACCACTTAGGTTCTCATGAGTGCCAATAAGACTTCTTTGCATGCTTGCGGCTTAACATTTTTCAATCTCTGGTGCTATAATCAGTGAGCACAAATTTATCAACAAAGCCCTAATTCATTTTAAGCTTAAGCCGACCTCGATCTTCTTTCTCTTCTCTCTCCTCTCCTCTCTTCTCCCCTCTCTTCTCCTCTCTTCTCTTCTGTTTTGTATAATCCTGTATGTATCTCTCTAGAAAGTAGAAAGCAAAGTAGTCTCCTCTCCTCTCTCCTCTGTACAACCAGCAAAGCCATCTCACACTTCAATTTAAACTGCACCGCTGAACAAGAACGAGCTTTTTCCTTCCTCTTTTGCTTTCTCTCTCTGTCTGTACAAGCAAAGCCATCTGATGATCCACACTTCAAGAAGACTGCATCACTGAACAAGCCACAGCTTGAGCCCAATGCCTCAACTTGGTTTTTACCTGTTGTGGATTATCACCTACAAAAATAAAAACCCAATCCCGCAAAATGAAATGAGTTCATGTTTCAAAACAAGAATTTGGATGTTAATTTAATTACAATAAAGTTTTACATTACTAATTCAATACATATTTATAACTATAGTAGACACAATTTAATCATTTAAATCCATGCAAGTTTTTTTTTCTTCTCCTTACACCAATAAAATTGTAAATGTGAAGTATATGTAACAGTATGAAGATTGCATAGGTACCTGGACTGCAAATCTTCCATGCATCTGTGTCGCTCCTAGGGCTTCCAAACGACGATGACCGTCCACCCAATGACGATGTAGAATGGCGGGCGCTATTCGGGGTGGACACGGGACTCGGGGAAAACTGGCGGTTGACGGCAAAGTAAAGGTCAAGAGCGGGCAAGGTAGGGCAGAGCCTCTGACCCTCTTCCTCATTGAATCCAAACCCTAGCTCAATGCAGCCTTTGAGCTCGTGCAAGTCTTCGTCCGTGAGGACCATGTCATCGGAGTCGTTGATCCCATTCCTCCTCCTCTCCTGCCTGAGAATCTGGCGGCGTCGCTTCTCCCACGCAATGTCTCGTGGTGTCTCGCACATGGACAGCTGCTTGCTGAGGCGCTTCCGGTTCAGCGTCTTGGGCGGCGCCAGCGGCATGTGCTGGAGCTCCTCCTCAGACGAGGAAAGGGAAAGCGATAGCGACGACGACGATGACATCGGCGGTCTGCATTGCTCGTCCTTCATTTTTGTGTAATTAATTAATTGAATGAAAGTGCGTATGTGGTGCGGTGGTGTATATGTGTGTATATACTCGATGTGACGGTGGTGGCAGCGGCAGCGACTGGAAGCTGCCGCGCCAGCCAGGCAAAGATGGTTTCGATAGATTGAGTGTGGGATGGGGGTGGGGGGTTGGGGTTGGGGGGATGGCGCTTTGTGTTTCCCCAAAAAAACTTTAGAAGGAGACAGGATCGGAGGATTTTCGTATTCTGCGGTGCATGATCACCAGCCCGACCAGCTCAACCAGATGTTGTGAGAAGGGCTTTAATGGAGACAAGACGGGTTGATGGACCTGCGGTGGTCTCGCACATCCCTTCCCATTTCCTCCATCCATTTCTAACTGTCCCTTCGTTTGTTAATTTTGGATGGTACTTTAACCTTCTATTCTAACAAATATCATATTTGTTGATCTGGGTTAGGCAATGAAGTGTGTGTCCATTCTCTTGCACCCGTTTATTCTAACAAATATCTTATGTATGATGACGTGGGTTAGGTAAGGCAGTGTGCTCATTCTCTTGCATCGAGTTCGATTCCTCTCTTCTGGTAGTGGACTATCGCTTGTATTAAAAAATAAGATAAAAATATCTTATATTTGCTCGCCAAGTTTATGTTTGTCTTTCTTGGGGGAGGAATATGTAATCCCATCTTACAGAATTTAAAGATTTCATATGAACATTCTTTTAGGGCAATGTTAATTTTAATTCGACCATGTATGTACATAAATATCAACAATACCTTTGATAAACTGTATCATTCTAGAATTCACAACTTTACATTGAAAAAGAAAAAGAAAAACACAAAAAGCATCGTTATGTGTATTTTGTCGAGTTGTTTGTTTGAGTTTGAGCATTATGTATACTTTGATCAAGATAGAATTCTGCATGTCCTTTGTTAGTTTCATGTTGGACAAAACGTAGGGATTTGGTCATTCATATAGCTGCTTCCTTAATAACACTTGATTTTTTATTAAAGTTTTGAGAAGAACGAACCCTTACTGGTTAATTATATTGTACTAGTACTTGTGAGAGCTAAAGCTTGCTCGCGCAATGATCTGTAGTTCTACATTCTAGGAGAGTAATTTGGTGTGGTTAGTCTAATTTTCATGGGCTTAATATCTTCGTAAACAGAGTCTACTACTCTCTTCTGTTTTGTGGTTGTTTTTACACATGCATGTATAGGGGAAATGAACTGATTGAAGTCAAGCTAACTAGTCCAAGGAATTAATGGTTAATTTCTTCCATCCGATTTCAGTGGTTCATTGAACAAATCATAACAATTATGTACGAGCATATTCTCCAAATTACGAAACAAAACACACACACAAAATGCTAAATTTAGGCTCTTGTTTTACTGCAAATAGAAATTCTAACTGTGCTGCAACCAATCAGAACCTGTACAATCTACGATTCTTGCTCCCAATCATTGGTTTCCAACAACGTTTTCGTTTGTGAAGAAGAATGAACGCCTGTGTTGACCCCAGAAATGGAAACCTAAAACGACCTAGCAAACAAAAGAGCCCACATTGCGAACAAAGAAGACCAAAAAAATCCACCCTCTCTCTGTTTCGTCTTGCCTGGTCTAGTCCTTGAGATCCAGGTAAGACCGGTAACGGTTTTTGATTAGATATGACTTAGCTTAACACCCCTACCCCCAACACCCCCATAGGAGAAGAATACAAAGAAAACCCAGAAACCCTTTTTTGTTTTTCCGGGCGTACAGGAAAACTTCTTCTACTTGTTCATTGATCAGAGTCCTCTGTTTTCCTGTACGCCATTGACAGAGCACTCTGTCTCTGTGTTTCTCCTTTTCTTTTTCTCTTATTCTTTTCTATATATATCTATATATATTAGCTAGCCATGCGCATCAAAACACACATCGTATTTTTTATTTCTTTTGTGTCCGTGTTCCTGAATGGCCTCCATGCTGCAAACTCGGACTCAGATTCATTGATCCTTGGCTGTGGCTCAGAAAATGAGGCCAAAGATGCAGATGGGAGGAAATGGCAACCAGACTCAAAGTACCTTACTGGATCTAAAGGAAGTCCGGCTCAAGCCCAATACCAGGACCCTGCACTTCTTTCTGAGGTTCCATACATGAAAGCCAGGATTTTCACCTCAAATGCCACATACAAGTTTCCAGTGAAACCCAAGCAGCGCTACATTATTAGACTCTATTTCTATCCGGCTGTTTATGGCAGCAACAATGCTGAGCAGTCCTATTTTGCGGTCATCGCCAATGGAATCACTGTCCTGCAAAACTTTAGTGCTTCAATCACTTGTAAGGCCCTTACGCAAGCTTATATCATGAGGGAGTATTTCCTGGCTCCCCTAAATAACGATTCTCTAGAGGTCACCTTTTCGCCTTCTGCGGGCTTTGCTTTTGTGAATGGTATTGAGCTGATTGGAACGCCTGACATCTTCGGCAGCGCCACAATTGTTGGGGCTTCAGACCAGACTTTTGATGGAAAGAGTACAAATTTGCAGACCATGTTTAGAGTGAATATTGGTGGGCAGTTTATTTCACCCACCAATGACTCTGGCGCCCTAACCAGGACATGGTATGATGACTTTGCTTATGTATTTGGTGCTCAACTTGGGGTCACCAACGAGGCCGCCAAAGATGTTAAAATTGACTACAAAGATATGCCAGGATATATTGCTCCTGTTGATATCTACAAGACCTCAAGATCCATGGGAGAAAATAAGGACATCAACCTGAGTTACAATCTCACATGGGTGTTCAACCAGGTTGATCCCAAATTCATGTACCTTGTGAGGTTACACTTCTGTGACTTTTACCTCAGCAAAACCAATCAGATAGTGTTCACTGTTTACATCAACAATCAAACTGCCGAGGCTGAAGCAGATGTGATTGGATGGACGGGAGGAAAGGGGGTGCCTACATACAGAGATTATGTGGTAGCACTCAAGGATGGTAGTGATGGTAACCTTTGGCTAGCTTTGCATCCGGCAATGAAATCCCGTCCTGAGTTCTACGATGCACTCATCAACGGAGTGGAGATATTCAAGCTTGAACAGGGTAAAACTTTGGCAGGCCCTAACCCTAACCCTTCTGAAATGTTGGCAAAGGACCAGGAAAGAGAGAAAAGCTTTGAAAATCAGCAGCAACAGCAGGGAGGAAGTGGAACCAACAAAGCTCATGTGATTGGTGGAGCTGCTGGAGGAGCTGCAGCCTTTGGCATAGTGGCTGCATTGTGCATTGCTGTGTACCAAAGAAAGAAAAAATCCCCAGGAACCGAAACACACACTTCTAGCTGGCTACCACTCTATGGCAATTCACATACCAGTGGCACCAAATCAACAATTTCAGGCAAGAGTAATGCTAGCAGCCACCTCACAACAGCTGCTCAAGGCCGTTGCAGGCGTTTCTCCTTTATCGAGATGAAACAAGCTACTAAGAGTTTTGATGAGTCTAATGTCATTGGTGTTGGAGGATTTGGAAAGGTGTACAAGGGTGTCATTGATGCAGGGATGAAAGTGGCCATCAAGAGGTCTAACCCACAATCAGAACAAGGAGTTCATGAATTCCAAACTGAAATTGAGATGCTTTCAGAGTTGAGGCATAAACACTTGGTCTCTCTGATTGGATTCTGTGACGAAGATAATGAAATGTGCTTGGTTTATGACTTCATGTCACGCGGGACTCTACGGGAGCATCTGTACAAGGGCAACAAATCTCAAGCTCAGCTGTCATGGAAGAAAAGGCTGGAGATTTGCATTGGAGCAGCAAAGGGACTTCACTACCTTCACACAGGGGCTAGGTGGACCATTATTCACAGGGATGTCAAGACAACAAACATTCTCTTGGATGAGAACTGGGAAGCCAAGGTTTCTGATTTTGGGCTCTCAAAGACTGGCCCCAACATGGACAATGGGCATGTTAGTACAGTGGTGAAGGGCAGCTTTGGCTACTTGGATCCTGAATATTTCAGGAGGCAACAGTTGACTGAAAAATCTGATGTCTACTCATTTGGGGTTGTTCTCTTTGAGGCATTGTGTGCAAGGCCTGCTCTGAATCCTAGCCTGCCAAAGGAACAGGTTAGTCTAGCAGACTGGGCCCTGCATTGCCAAAGAAAAGGAACTCTGGAGGACATCATTGATCCTCATCTCAAGGGGAAAGTCAACATGGAAAGCATCAAGAAATTTGCAGATACAGCTGAGAAGTGCTTGTCTGACGCAGGAACTGACCGCCCGACTTTGAATGACATCTTGTGGAACCTTGAGTTTGCTCTCCAGTTGCAGGACGACCCAGATGGTTCAAACCACTCTTCAAGACGTGCAAGAAGTGACTCCGACGATGCCCATCTAAGAAACCAGAACATGATGGCAATACATTACAGCAACCTCAGCCTTGGAAGTGAGAGTGATCTGAATGAAGAATCCAACAACACCACCAACTCAAATGAAACCACCAGCGACTCCAGCGCAATCTTCTCGCAGATTGTCAATCCAAAAGGGCGATGAGGGGAGCGCTCTTAACGAATGATTTGCTGTGAGAGAAAGAAAGCAATGGGATTGATCAAGCAAATGCAACCAACGTACTAGATTAATTACTTTTCAGACAGAGGGTGATGCTTTCATTGTATGTTATTATTTTGTCTACTCTTTTTTCCCTATATACTCTCATTTAGTAGTATTACATTACATATTAATCGGACAGGCTATACATATGATTCTATGGCAATTTGTACTCAAACAAGTTCATATAGAGTCAAGTTTAATCTGCCTGGTGTTCTATATGATATTAAAAGTAATATTTGTATAAAGTTAGCCTCTCTTCTAGTAGCATATTTAAATATACAGTATTATGTACGTAACGTAAACGTACTGTGTCATGTCGAAATTGGAAAGAGCAAGAATCGTTTTGTTAGATTCTTGAGTTTTTGCCTTGTGCAGCAGTGTTGAGTAACAGTTGGAAAAACACAATCCATTTCTCCTTTCTGTTGAGCAGGAGCTAGCATTTGTTTTAATGTTGAACTTACCATTTGTACTTGAATTGGTGTTGGAGTGGAAACAAATACACAAGAAACAAGCAAACACGCAAACATCTTTAGATGGTTTGGCTGGCAAGCGTTTGTCTTCCTTGCTATTGGGCTTTTTGAATATCATCAGTTCATTCATTCATAATTTCATATGCATATTTGTTCTGTTCAGTTGACAAAGTCTTTTAAAATAACAATTATATACTGTTTTTTCTTTTGCTGGAGAAAGCACTATCTACTTTATGAAAGAAAGAAAAATAGTGAAGAATGAATGGTTCGCATTGGCAATGTTTAAGGTTCATCTAACAAACAGACAAGGTGATGCCACTGTCACTGCCAGCACAAACTTAAAAACATGATAGTCAAAGAACAATCGACAGCATCTTTAATTGATGGATAGCGTGTTACGTGTAGAGAGCATTTTCAAACTTGAAGGGAAGGAATCAACTGAGATCTGAATCTGAGAAGGAGACAGACATCCATACCCCATTGGAAGAACATCATGCTCAAATCTCAAATCGTTGGTTGGTTTCATTGTCTTGTCAAATTGCCACCTCCAATCCAATCATTACTTACTTGCACCAATTGTTTTGTTTGTTTCTCTTTATATATTTTATTTTATTTTATATTAGTCTCTGCAACTTTCAATGATACTCCACTTCCTTCCACTAAGCAAGCAAGCAATGGCTTTGGCTTTGGCCTTGGCTGATGATAAACTTGCTTTTCGTTTCGAAAGACTTTTCCTTCCTTTGTATTATTTTATTCGACTAACCTCACTGTTAATTTATCCCATCATCTTTTTCTTTCTGGACACTGCAACATGACAAAATTCTTCCCCCTCTCTCTTTGTAAGGTCATTTCAAAAATCATCATCTCCTCCCTCCCTCTTTATCCATCCAAAAAACTCAAAAAGGTGTGCGACTTTTTCATCACCAATAATTGAGTGCCCAAGTGTTCATTTGCCCAACACATGATAGATAGTTTATTGTAAGATTCACTTTGCCCAATTGATTAACAATTAGCCAAGTGCTCTGAAAGAAACCCATTAACTACATCTACCACTAATCCAATTCTTTTGTGGTTGTGATTTTCTTAATTGAGGATTACTGCACATCCTTACACTCCAAATCTTATTTGCTCAAATTCAACCCAAGAACCTTACCTAACTATTAACTAACCCCCCCACTCTTCCCCTCCCTAAATGCATTCGATCATTTGCCACTACGTTTATCAGTTTATCTTCTTTCAGCACTTTGGCCAAAAAGGGTAGGCCAAATCATTCAAGGTCAACAGTGTGGGCCCCATCATGTCTAGCCTGCATTCTTGCAAGACGCATCAGATGCCTCCACGTCTCCACATTGTCGCATGCCTTCCAGTCTGCTGCAAGAGACCAGACTGGACTCGCTCAATAAAAAAGTATGAAGACTACTACTACCGTACCTGGGTTAAAGTTTTAAGCGAATAAAAGGCCAAAATTTTGAAAATCGCGGCCATGAAGTGGGGCCCGTTTTAGGATCTTTGACACAGACGTTAGTTTACTTCCTTTCTCAGGCGTCAGACCTGGCTTTGGTCCTCTGTTCCTCCCTTTACGCAGAACAGAGCACTCTCTCTCTCTCTTTCCTGCAGGTTTTTTTTATAAAAAATATTATTATTAGAAACAGTAACGGATTGATATTATATGGAACGCATTTTTCAAAAGGAATACGAATTTGTGTGATAGGAAGAACATTTTTATTCTGGAACCAATGGGAAGGAACACACACATGATTTCATAAGTCGTGCAGGAGGAGGAAGATAACTCTTGATTAAACAGACACTTTTTTTATCAGTTTAAATTTATTTTCCAAAGACAAAGCAAAGTCTTATCTTTCACACCTTTCGATTTTTTTATGATCGTCTTTCACACCTTTAGATAGCTTTGGGTTTTTTCTCTTTTCACTGCCCAAAGTGTGCACGGTTCTCTCTTCTTTTGTTGTCTTTAATTTCTGCTCATCTGGGTATTAATCTGATTTAAGTTCTGCTCATCTGGGTATTAATCTGATTTTGATGGGATACTTTAGTCCATCTCATTTCTCAGAATTAACCGCGTAGGTTTTTGTTTTTCTTATCCTAATGAAAAAGATGGAATTTTGAGCAATATTATTCATCTCTGCATCTGCCTTTTTATTTTTCGAGATACTCCTCAATCTGGGTTGACAGGGTTTTTAGGATTTAGGGACTGATTTTTTCAGGCTTGAGTGAACATGGATGAGGTTGAAGAAGCTAACAAAGCAGCTGTTGAGAGCTGCCACGGAGTTCTCAGCCATTTGTGTCAACCTAAGGGCCAGGTTCATTGTAAAAATTTACTGGCGGAAACTGAGGAGGCTGTGTTCAAGTTCAAGAGAGTTGTGTCTCTTCTGGGCGGTGGCTTAGGCCATGGAAGAGTGAGAAAGTTGAAGAAGTTCAAGCCGCCACCTTTGCCTCAAAACATCTTCCTAGATGGCCCTAATTACAGATTAGATATTTCAACAAAACCCCTCCAATTACTCCCACCTACTTCTCTTGAAAACCGACGCGCAGAAAAGGATTCCAAGTATGGAAGTTCTCTGCAGCACACACACAGCCAGAAAGTGTTTCTTGGAAACCCAGTAGTGGATTTGGACATGAAAATCAAGCTCCCTCTCCAAATTCCCAAAACAAAACCATTGCAACAGTATCATTTCCTCGAACAGAAGCATGACCATCAGCAAGAGATACAAAGATTGCAGCTTCAGCCCCAACAGTTGAAATATCAGGCTGATACAATGTACTCTGGGAGAAACCGTGGCATCAACCTTGCATTTGATAGGTCCACTACCCGCACTCCCTCCATGTCGTCAGCCAGATCATTTGTATCATGTTTGAGCATGGATGGTGCTGTGGCTAACACTCACTGCGATTCGTTCCAACTAATCCGCGGTGTGCCTCAGCCGCCTGATCGGATCTCACAACAACAAAGGAGGTGCAATGGTGCCGGGGAAAACGGAACTGTAAAATGCGGCAGTAGTGGTAAATGCCAGTATCCAAAGAAGAGGTGAGTCTTGACTCTGAAATTTATGTTTTTCAAGTGGGTGTGGGTGTTTTTTGTTTGCTTGTTTAATTAATTAATTTTGTTAGTAGGAAAGTGAGGGTGAAAAGATCGTTTAAGGTTCCTGCCATTAGTAACAAGATTGCAGACATTCCAGCTGATGAATATTCATGGAGGAAATATGGGCAGAAGCCAATTAAGGGTTCCCCCTATCCTAGGTAATATTTTTACATTCAAACATGCCTAGCTTCTGTTGTTTTGTACAATAATGTGGTGAATTTGATTATGGAAAGATAAGCAATGTGAGTCTGACTGATAAGGGTGTGATTGTAGGGGATACTATAAGTGCAGCAGCATGAGAGGGTGTCCAGCGAGGAAACATGTTGAGAGAAGCCTTGAAGACCCCGCTATGCTCGTCGTCACCTATGAAGGCGAGCATAAGCATTCGCCATCTGACCAGTGAGAGTGAGTGCTATGCTCGTCGTCACCTATGAAGGCGAGCATAAGCATTCGCCATCTGACCAGTGAGAGTGAGTGCCGTCGTTGATATTATCCTGTACTGCTACTAGTATAAACATTCAGCTTCAGACAGACGGAAGAAACATAAGCCAACTAGTATATTTACATGTGAAATATAATCTGTGGATCCCAGATCTGCATATCGATGAATGGTGTTTCTATTTGCTTGAGATAACGGAATGGTTTCTATTCAAGTAAATAGATTTCCTCTTTTTTGGGCAAAGCCTGAATAGCGAAGCCAATTGTTTATACCAAGTAACAGATCCAAATGCAATCAATTGCACCATTCATCGGCCGAATTAAGCCACGGTGTATAATCAAAATAAGACAGTTTTTGGAGGAAGGGACAAGATTGATTTGCACTTGGTCATTCTGACCCAAGTTTGCAAAACGATAACAAAACATAGCTGTGTTGTCCATACCACAAGGGTGCCAATGAAAGGGGGAATTTGAGAGCAATAGCAATTCGGATGCTACTAAAAGTCTAAAACTTTGCGATCATATCATGGCACAAATGCAGATAGTAATTAAACTTGGTTGAAAGAAAAACTTATCCAATAAAATCCTACAAGGCGGTCGACTCTGTCATTGTTTACAAATGATAAAACAAGCAACGGATGTCCTTGAAAAGAAATCCGAATCCATAATTAATAAAAGCCTCTCAACATCTGATCAAGATGAAACCAGTGATGAAAGGGGGAGTAGAAACTTCACTTAAGGGGAATGAACCTAGAGGAGTGAGTAGCACCAATACCAGGCCTTCCGTGCTTCACAGGCTTGTAACTTATAGAGAACTCAGCAAGATAATGGCTGATCATTTCTGGCTTGATCTCAACCTGATTGAAAGTCTTGCCATTGTAAACTCCAATGATGCTCCCAATCATTTCGGGTACAATGATCATGTTTCGGAGGTGAGTCCTAACTGGCTCCGGTTTCTCACCTGGTGGTGCCTCCCTTTTCTGTTCCAAATCACCAGGAAACCCAACATAAATACAAAGATACACCCACAAAATGAATATAAGCACTGGTTGTAAATACAAAGATGCACTTGCTATATTCACTTCCTTGGCATCAACAAAGGCAACGAAAGTCCAGACACAAAATACCCACAAATAAAGAAAGACAGACAACTCAATTTTTCATAAAATACTTGTAAGGTTCCTTCCCCCTTCCCCATTTATTAAATAGCAATAATTATTTATAGGAAAAGAAGAAGATAAAATGATGAAAAAATTACTCACACGGAACAAATATGCCAACCGTCAATTAGCTTTTTACACCAAAAATAAAATGTTTAATTCATAAGTTTGATAAATTGTATTGTATTAAAAGTTTGCTCCTAATGGGAAAAGTATATCACCACAGATATTGAATTGGTTTATAATGTGTTCTAGAACATTATTTACTTCAAATAGAGTTGAATTCAGATATAATGGAAAACCAACTAAAAATCAGGAATTTTCTGTAGGAAATTTACACATTCTGCATCCTACATTCCTTGATAGGAAACACAGGCATATACTACAACACTCAAACTACAAAATAATCTATGTTCCTATATCAACTTTTTCAGTCACCGGGAGCAAAAAATGATTGATAAGTTGATAATAGACATCTTATTGATTGATAAGTTGATAAACCCATTATTCAAATAGCAAAACGGTAAGGTAAAAAGGTCCAGACAGTCAGAAATCAAGCTAAAAACAAATGAAAACACATGACAGCACACACAGATTAAGAGTTCTTACAGCTTTGCGCAGCTTCTTGATCAATGCCATTGGCTTTCTTTTCAAACCTCTCTGAAACCTGAACCCATTTCATCAGACACCAATACGAAATAGTATTAAGCAAACAGATGATCTAGTACGTAAACACATAAATCGAGACCTGCATAAAGAGTTAAAACCATAGATGCAAATATGTAAGTACCTTCTGCGAGCCCTGGCAGGGAAGAGCTTAACGAGCTCATCAGTGGACATATCAAGAAGAGCATCCAAATCAACGCCTCTGAAGCTGAACTTCTTAAACGTCCTCTTCTTCGGCACTCCGGCCACCGCCACATCAGCCTCCACATCCGCCTAACCCAGAAACCATCACAACAGGCATTCAGTTTGTTTTCCAAAGAAAAACATATAGCAATTTGGAAAATTATAATTGGAAGAAAACAAAAAAATAGTCAATTGAGAAATGGTTATTAATTAGAGAAAGGGCTTTGAGCTCACCATGTTTGCTGAAGATGAAGAGAATTCCTAATTCACAGAGAAAGAGAATCGGCGTCTGTTGAAGGTAGCAGTGGTAGTAGGGAAATTAGGGTTTTTATAGATTGGTTTATATAGGTCCACGATATAATGGAGATTCTTTGTTGGAGCTTGGATGTAGCTGGATCCGGCCCGACTATCCGGATTTTAACGGGTACCAGTATTAGTTCGAAACGTTTTAGAAATTTTAGAAACTGGGCTCGAATTGACGATTATGTATCGGACCCGTCCCAGCCCTCTCTTTTGGCCCAAGCATGGTGCTACTCAATTGGTCAATTTGATCTAATTTTTTTGGACAAACAATTTGATCATATTTGGCAATGATAATTTCTTATTTCAAAAACTCAGGGTCTGTTTAGTATTCAACTTGAATTCAATTTTTTAAACTCAAAAACATAATTTGAGTCCAAAACAAATAAAACTTGTTTGGTAGTCCTATTTTTAAAAACTCAAACTCAAGAGCAACTAAAAAACACACCAATTATTTAAAACAAAAATATCTGTTTTTTCTATTTTTCCTAACAACCCACAAGTTCTCAAATTTTTAAGATTTGAAAATAGTTTTCAAGTTGCATACCAAACAAGTTTTTAAATCTTAAAAATAGATTTAACAACTCTTTGTTTTAAGAAAAATCAAAGTTTTTGAGTTCCCTATTTGAATAAGATATCAAACGCTCCCTTGTGACCTGTTTGGTATTCAACTTGAATCCAAATTTTTAAACTCAAAAACATAATTTGAGTACAAAGCAAAGAAAACCTATTTGGTAACCCTATTTTTAAAAACTCAAACTCAATAATAACTATTTAAAAAACACCCCAATTATTAAAAACAAAAATATCTGTTTTTTTCAGTTTTTTTTTACAACCCACAAGTTCAATTTTTAAGATTTGAAAACAATTTTCAAGTTGCATACCAAACAAGTTTTTGAATCTTAAAAATATATTTAAGAACTTTTTGTTTTTAAGAAAAATCAAAGTTTTTGAGTTCCCTAGTTAAATAGGATACCAAACGCCCCCCTTGAGTTCTCCATGTAATGTTTATGTTCGAACATTCAAAGAATAAAAATAAAACTGAAAATATTAGACCAACCATTATTATCAAGCTCAAGCGTGAACTACTTAAACAAGTAGAACGACTCAAGCCTTAATCAACCTTAAACTCAAATCAAATTTTTGGCCTCAAAATATCACGAGAAGCCAAGAATGTTTAAAACCCAATATAACATATAATGTTGGTCATGCGTTAATCCAAGCTGTATTTTAGGAATTTATCCATTAAATAAATATAAAAATAGTGTACATGACATGCCAAGCAAATCATTATCATATGCTAAACCACTCGACAAGCTTAAGTAGGCTTAAGCCATATACATGTTTGGAGCTTGCTTAGTAGGTTGTGATGTTGATGGGTACAAGGATCCATGAGGCCCATTAAAGGTTCAAAAGAATGGAGGTTTTGGGCTGCTTTGGAGCCCAAAACCCAAGCCCATTTTCTTGAGCCCACTCTTACTTAAGCAACTATTACCCTACCCCTAACTGCCTAGCACTAAAACCTCTGTTTATTGTGTCACCAACCTGAGCTGCTTATTCATTACATGCTTGAGCTTCAATGGCTATATATGGAAGCAGTAGCTAACCCAGAAAATGGGACAACCAAGACACCGAGCAAGCCATACACCCACTACTGGAAACAATCAAGCTTCACTCTTTAATCCTTTAATTTTCCCCCATAAACCATCCTCTTCTTCTCCCAGAAACCATTTACCATTTCGAACCCCTAAAACATCCTTTCTTCAGCATCTTATTTCAATTCAAGCATATGCTCTCTCGCTAAACTCATGGAGACTTAACTTCCACGCTACAAGCCTCTCATGCCAAGCCTAAACTTTTGATTCACTCATCCCCCACAAGGTTTTATCACAAAAGACCTCGGTGTTATTAGAAGTAGAACCACTTATTATAAGTTGTAGTTTATTTAGTCAAATTTTCGATGTGGGACTTTATATTTTTCAACAAAATCCTACACGGATTTAAAGACTGGAAGATATATGTCAAAAATAACACATCAAAAAGCTTGATGTAAAATATTTTTTTAGTCATGGACCCCACTATCATTTACTCTCTTTTAAAATTGTATGCATCATATGGATCCCAATGCCTCTTGGAACCATGTTGATTGCTGGGCTGGTATTGGAGTAATTTTGCGCGACTCTCACTGTAATTTCATTGCATCTAAGGCCATCCCTTCCACCGCCTCTTCGACTCTGGAGGCGAAAACCCAGGTTGTTCTTAAAGGCTGTAAATTGGCTCATGATCTTGATTGTACAAGTGTGATAATTGAATCGGATTCGAGAGGTGTCATACAATGTTTGAACGGTAGTATTGCTAAGGGAGCGTGGGCAATTTATCCCATTCTCAATCGTATCAGAGAGCAGCAAACTCTTTTCCACTCGTGCAGATGGTCTTGGACCTTGCAAGTGGCCAATGAAGTGGTCGATTTAGTGGCGTTGCTAGCTATGGTAAGGATGAGCAATGAAGTTTGGGTCCACAGACCCCCATCCTTGCTAACTCATGTTCTGAACAATGATGGGCGGCCTTGCCCCCCTTTCGTCTAATCTACTCTTCTCAAGCTAGTTAGAGTTGACAAGGGATCTCGTCCTTGTATGATGTTTCTTTCCTCTTTTAACTTATTCATATGTTTGTACTGGCATCTCTTTGTCTGCTACTATTTTTTGGGGCACCCTCATGTTTCCTTTGTGGATTTGGGACCGTTGTTGATGTTGTTCTGTTTGCGATTTCTCCGCCTATTATGAATGCATCTTTTTTATTTTTTTATTTAATTTTTTAATTTAAAAAGAAACATATTCAGTCATAAGATTCTCATGCCACCTCTGCAAACTGATATTTGAACATAGCTAAGAGCATTTTCACTAGTTAGCCCCTTGCCATGGCAAGGGGAGCCCTAAGGCAGTTACTATTCACATGAATAGTGGCTGCCCTAGTCCCCCCAGCAAAGTGTGTTTCCAGCAGTTTAGGCTTGCCATGACAAATACTATTCATTTTTTTTTTTCACAACTTTGTTTACTTAAACAATTAATTTGGATAATATTTTCAGATAAGATTTTTGGGTTCCTACGTGTCAATACTATTCATATCGGATAATATATTTTCTTATTAGTTGTATTGGTTAGTATTTATAGAGAAAAAAAGTATGAGGATTTGGTGTTAAAAGTGAAGAGTATTGGTTGGTATTTATAGACACTGGCGGACCCACAATTTTTTTAGCGGAGGTGCAATATTGGCTAAGTATGAAAAATGGTTTTTCGGAATAATCATTTTCTCAAGATAATTTTTGGCGGCTTTTATTCCTTACACATCAAATAAGAAAACTTGATTTTATGGGATTTTAATATGAAGTATATATTGACTTAATGAGACATCATTTTTAGCCTAAATCATATTTTGTACTAAAACCGATTTTTCATATTTTGATTTGGTGGGAATTTGATTTTCTAGTATTTTTATTTGAATCCAAATAGGGGGTACTTTCTTATTTAACGTTGGCGCGTGCAAAAAAATTCAGTAATTTTTTGGGTTTTTTTTTATAAATTTTTTTCGATTTTTTATTTGAAAAAATTTGATTGCCGTTGGATTGCTGGAAAAAAGGAGATCGGAGAGCCCAGAGCCAGCCACGTGGAAGAGAGCCGTTGGGGGGGCACTGTAGCGGGTGCGTCAAATTTTTTTTAACGTTGGCGCGTGCAACACACGCGCCAACGTAAAAAAAAATTAACTGAAACGCTAACGTCAGCTCAGCCTTAAGGCAAGTGCTCTGGCCAAACCCCACCTCGGGCCTGCCCAGGCTGCTGGCCCCCACCTCCTGCACGGGCTCCCTTGCACTGCTGGAAACACCTAAAAGACCCAAACCCCCTAACCCGAGGTTTGCCAGCATTGCTGGAAGTTCTCTAATGGACAATAGGTTGGGGAGCTCTTATACATGAATGATGATTTTCATAACCTTACTCTGTCTAAGTTTTGTGTCTCCATCTTGTCAAATTTACATCAACAAAGAACTATGTCTAAACACCTTCGTTTTCTTTAGAAAAAGGAAAAGATTATTTACCAGATTGACTTCCTTATGACCAATTAATCTTTATTTCCATATATTATATAGTGCGATAAGATGAATGGAGACTCAGCCTCCCCTCCCCATGTTCTTACATTTCCCATTTTCTCATGTCTATAAACCTACTATGTTTGTCAAGAACTAGCTAATCAAAGTTTATCTCATAATAACATCCTATAAAGTCACTAATTGACTATAACCACCCACTAAACTTGTTGAATAACTATCTATCTAGATCTATAACGTAATAATCTATATAATATTATTGAGAGAATTATCTTTCTCTATGATTTTAAACAATTTTAATACTAGACTCATAAGATAATAAGCGTTATTGAAGAAATTTTATAGGCAATGCAATTAAGGTGAAAGGTTAAATGAAAGGGTTACACTGTCTGTCTTGCATATTAGTTCCTCTCTTAAATATACAAAGGTCAACATTCAAGTTATTGAGTGTTAGTTTACTCAAAATTGCATTGTTACATACCAAATGATGCATGTTTGTCTATCTCATGCTATATATGCAATGTATACTGTGCTTGCAATTTTTAGACTGAATTCACAATAAAACAAAGGTTTAATAGCAAATTGAAGACCCACAAACATGTGTAGATTTCTATTTGGTGAATTCAATCATATCAGGTTATACAGCTACATGTTCATCTCTAAATTAAGCATTACAAAATATCACATCATTTAAATGTGTTCAACTTCAACGGCCTTCTGATCGACATTTCGCCACTCATTTGTTGTCTAAATTTCATGATTCTTGAATCCGTTCACTCCTTTACAAACCTACAATGATCTGAGACCAAAAAATACCAAATGCCTTCAAATATTTCACTTAAAATCTAAGCAAACTTGAACATACTCCAAACAAACCCTAGTTTTGACCAATCTAGCTTTAAAGTTCAATTTCTCCCAATCCCCAAATTCAAATCCAGCAACCAAACACTCCTTAGAAAGCCTAGGTTCAAACCTTCATAACCATCCAAATATCACTAAAATCCATCAACCACAGCCTAAGTTACACCCATTACAAATCGAGTGAGAAACACACCCAATAACTCTTTTAAAAGTTCCAAACCAAGGAACAGCAGCCTAACAAGCGGTTCAATTCTATCCAACTCGCCCCAACTCTCATTCTCAACCGCAGATAAGACCGCCATCCAAAGGCCCACATTTAAACACTTAGAAGGCCTCGATCCGGATCGCATTGATTTCCACCAATCAGCGCTCAGCACTCTTCTCCCTCCCTCCCCATATAAACCATCCTCTCCCAACTGTCATTTCACATTTCCCGTTTTCTGATTCTCCAACGAAATCCGCAAACGAGCCAATCTCTCTTCCGAGTTAACGGGTCGATAAGCCGAGGCAAATCATGACTGAAACTGACGTCAAGGCCAAGAAGGCGAGATCGCCACCTTCTCACCCTCCTTTTGTCGAGGTATGCAATCGTAAATTGATGTTGCTTTAACTTTCCGTTTTGCCATGCGTTGTGTGTTTACAGGCCCTAATTACGGTGTCGTTTTTTGTGTGGTATGTAGATGATTACGGAGGCGATTGTGGCGCTGAAGGAGAGGACAGGGTCGAGCCAGTACGCGATCACCAAGTTCGTCGAGGAAAAGAACAAGAATTTGCCTCAGACCTTCAGGAAGCTCCTGCTCTACAATTTGAAGAAGCTTGTGGCTTCTGGTAAGCTCGTCAAGGTTAAGAACTCATTCAAGCTCCCTCCTGGTCGCTCGGCTCCGGTGAAAGAGAAGCCAGACGCGCCCAAGCCTAAAAAGTCTGCTGAGGCGGTTGTCAAGTCTAAGCCGAAGCCGAAGCCGAAAACGGTTGCTAAGCCCAAGGCCAATGTCGCGGCTAAGCCTAAGCCCAAAGCGGCTGCAAAGCCCAAGCTTAAGGCAGTGGCTACTAAACCAAAGGCGGCTGTGAAACCGAAGGCGAAGCCAGCGGCTGCCAAGCCGGCTGCTAAGGTTGCGAGAACATCGACGAGGACGTCGCCGGGAAAGAAGGTGGAGGTGAAGGTGAAGGCGAAGGCGAAGAAGCCGGTGGCTCCGGCCAGGGCTGTGAAGAAGCCAAAGAGCGTGAAATCTCCGGTGAAGAAGAAAGCTCAGGCGAAGAAGGGGAAGAAGTGAGGGTCTAGAGAGAAGTTCATAGCTTTCGTTTTCAGAGGGGTAGTTTGTGTAAATTGGTTTGATAATGAATAGTTTGTTTGACACAGAATTTGTAGGTTTTTTTATCCTTCTGTTCTTTCTTTGTCAACAACTTCTGCGGTTGTTATTTGGTGACTCTATTTTGTACTATGAAATTAGATAAGACGCTGATTCCAGTTCTTGACAAACAACTTGCAACATCAAAATTCTTCTAATTGTCAAAGCAAAGATTCAAAATTGATACACATTCACAGGCATTTTTGCTACATTGGTTATCTTATACTGAGAGAGATGAGGCAAATACAAATACTTGATCCTTTTTTATCTTTCCTTCACAGTTTTGTGTGAAGCAAATACAAATAAATGTGTTTTTAAGTGGTAAGTTGGTATGATTGTTGGGTAGGCATCTGTGTTTGTGTTTGAGACTCCAACCCTGGAAACTGTCCAATATCATGACCTCTAAGCGGTTGAAACTCATTGCGTAAACCAACAGCAAACTCTTCAGGGCGGCCTCCGCTACTTTGGAAATAGTCTGCCACCTGAATTCACAAAAGCAATCATCTTTAAATTGAATGAAATAAGTTACTTTGGTGCATGCATTTGCTTGCTAAAAGTTTTTGTGACCTTTCTGTCTTTGTTTTTCTTGGTCTTTAATGAAATTCAAATGCATGATTAAGAAAACCCAGAAATTGGCAGAGGCACTTACATGATTGGCAAGAGAGATTCCACTTAAGGCTGCTGACTCTAGATTTGAACCCAGTAACCAATCACCACATATACCAGCCCTTCCAAGAGGATCAAAGATACAGGGGATACCAGGTGTATTTGTTGGAAGTGCCGCACCCCTGCATATCAAACAACACACCAAATATGATATATAACCCATCTGGAAATTACACAAGCATTTCGAACTACAACTAAGCATAAACATCATAACTAAACATTCACAAATAATAATCGCCAAGCGCAGCTTCTCACCATAACTGGATTCGAGTATAAAAGGGTTTCTGAAGTGATCCTTTTGGTAATCCCAGTGCTTCTTCCACACCCAAGAGCATGCCTGCCTTCACCTTCTCTGCTGTGGCATTTGGTATATTCTCCTGTTAATCAACAGTTGGCGCAATAAGTTTGTTTGGCAACATCCACCAAAATGTCGGTCTACCAGTCTTCTAAATTGGAAATCCTCACAACTCTTATTTATTTCATTTCAAGTAATGGTCAAAGACATTGAATCTGTGCTTGTGTGAACATATGGCTGTATTTGCATTGAAACAAACCTGTGGAACCTTGTTCCGCTTTGCATAAGCTGCAGTACTAAGAAAGGTCCAACAGTGAGGACCATTACTATGGGAACCCTGTAGTTTTTTGGTATTATTTGCCATCCATGAGATGGAATCAACCCCTTTTACAAAAGCTCCTTCAAAAGGAAATGCTCCTTCACCAGGAATTTGAAGTGGATCCTCAAATGCTGCGAGGAGGGCCCATATAGAACTCAATTCCAGTCTCTACCGGCATCAAACAGAAAGGCATTAGAAGAACATAGTTCAAGACAATTCAATCTTGATGTCAAAAGGGTAATTGAAGTGGACTTTGTGGTGCAAAATGAACTGAACGCATGAATTTTAGATATACCTTCATTTGTCCAGCAATTAATGGTAAGCCTGATGACCCAAGCAAGCGGTTTGCACATTTCCCTATTGGCAATTCAAATTAAATAGAAGGGTAATGCATACACAAGAATAGGCAAGAGGCATCACGAATATCCAATGTAGACAAGCACATGAAGGAAAGTCCCCATATCATGCAATTTTGAGAGACCCTCTTCAAGAAGGAATGAAAAGGAAACAAAAACTTAAGGTTTCCAAATTTCATATGATGTGAAGATACAGTAGCAACTGAAAATTAAACTTAAAAGAAACCCAAAGGTAGTAAGTTACCATTATGTGCAATAACTATAGCGTCAAACTTCCCACATGGGTTTCCATTCTCACTCAAATGCCACATCCCATTGAAGGGCTCAAGTTTACTTATCCAGCAAGGTCTCTCCACGTTAATCATACGAGTCTGCACCAAGTATCAACATTCTAATTAGCTCAGACGTGTGATGCTAAGAGGAATTAAGAGCCTCAAAACACAAGGGTAAAAAGCTAACTATGTTTACTAAAGATGAGACCATACGTTTCAGGCTATAATCATAACAAACGTTACTTCATTTTTTAAACTCCTGACTGAAATAAACATATCTTCACAAGTCCAACCATGCCACTGTAGCAAGTAAATGTCATTATATTTTGACAAGTCTAACCATGCTACTGAAACAACTAAATTTTATGTTTGCAGATATGGAGCTTTCAATTTCAACTATCATCATACCATCTCTATGCCTAAACTGATGATTCACTGGTCCAGCGCAGGAAAAGGAAAAGCACAAAAAGAAAGCAGGAAAACTTGAAGGTTAATGTACCTGAGAAAGTAACGAGTCAGCAATGGGGCGCATTCCATTAACACCTATATATCTTGGAGGAGAAGAAGGAAGTGGAACAAAATGACCACCCACTTCAAGCTCTCCAATTGTACCCTGCCATTCCCGAACCAGACCTTGCTCCAACCAACCTTGAACCAACCCAGCAAACTGAGGATCACTGGCTGTAAAGAACTGAGCCGCATGATCAAATACCAGAGGCTGAGGATCTACTATCCTGGTTCCCATTCTTCCTCCCAAACCATGAACACCCTATGATAGCAAATCACTGTTATGTGGCACTGGAAAGATTGGAAGACAAATCCAACTTTCAAAATCATAATTTGGCAATCATAACTAAACATGTATTAATTTGATTGTGGGTTATCTGAAAGATTTTTTCTCTGTCTCTTTAAATACTAACTAGCATAGTAAAGGAGTAAGCTTTTTCACAATATCTTATCCACCCATGAAAATGAGAGTAAAATATCAAAAGTAAAATATATAAAACTCCAGACAAACTGAAAGTATAAAATTAAGAAGACGCACATTAAATTAATCGTTACCAAGTACAGAAAGCTAATAACTTAAAGGAAAAAAAAGTGACCAACCGTGTCAAAAACGGTGGAGCGGACACCGCGTTTTTCCAGATAGAGAGCACAAGCGAGACCAGCCATGCCTCCGCCGATTATACCAACAATGGGGTCATCAGGGATTGGAGTAGTGAAGGTCACCTGCTCTTGCTTGAGTGTTTTCTGAATTGACCTTCTTGACGCACCATAGTTCTTACGGTTCCTAAAGGCGGGTCTTTGGCCATCCACGGTGGGTCGTTTCCTGGGTGGTGGTTTGGGTTGGGTAGAGCAGACAATAGTTAGGGGCTTGTGGATTTTGAGGGGTTGGAGGATGAGAGAAGAGTGAAAGTAGCACAGCATGGTTGGGTTGGGGGGAGTTTCAGGAGGGAGAGAGATTATACAACGGAGATGGGTGGAGATTAAAGCTCACTTGGCGGCTTTACTTCAAAGCTTCTTCATATCATTTTAAAAAAAATTTATAATTATTATCGATTTTTAATATATCACGTTTTTAGTTTCCTGCCATGCTAATTTTTGTTTGTTATTTTTGTGTCTGATTGTTGAAGAGTGGTAAAACAAGAAGGTGAAAAAGAAGAAGAAATTTAATAACATGACTATATTTCGGGTTCATCATATAAGAATCTCAAGGGGGACAAACAAAATAAATAATTAAAAATGGATAAACTCTTCAAGGAGAGTAAAACAACAAATTTTATCCATACTAGAATGGATAAACTCTTTTTTATATAAACATGATATGTACCAGTACCGGTTTTAACTTACAAAACATATACAATTCACCATAACACAAACCACGTAAACAAGTCAATTTGTGGAGAAAAGAAAAACAAGCTATTTCTCTCGAGTACATCCAAATGTTAAACACCAAATTCAAAGATCCTTTTTCCCACTTTTAGTTAGAAAAAGCTTTCAAGTCCATCAGTGATCTTCGGAGATGTTTCCGTTGGTTCCTTTTCCTGTTTCAATTGGTCTTTGGCCTTGGAACTGCCCATGCTGTTTCGTCTACCGGACTGAGCCTTATTTTTCGGAGTCATGGATGCAGTGCTTTCTTCTTTCTGACTACCGAGGCTGTGACGTTGTTCCCGAGAACAAACTCTTCTTTTTTCCTCCGCAGATGAGCTGAGTGCATCACCACAGCTCTTTCTCCGGCTTAGACTGTTTAGTTTTGGTGACTTGGGCCGAGTAAGTGGAAGCTGGATCATATACAAGAACAAAAAATACAGATTAATTGCATTAAATCAAGTTCCAAGTCTCTGTTTTTTACTTTGTGCATGATGAGTTTTTTTTCTTCTTCTCTTTTTGGCCAATTTAAAAACATTTAGAGCTTAAAAGGAGTCAAGCACAACTAAGAATACTTAAATTAGCTACCTTCTTGGGTTCAGTCTTAGGAGGAGGCGCCTGATAATAGAAATTAGGTACTGGATTTGCTTTGAACACCATGCTCTTCCTCAGCGCCTTGATGGCTGCTTCTTGCTCTTCCTGAAAGTGTCATGGGAAGAAAATGCAAAATATGACTTTTCAAACAGATCTCATCATATGCGGAACAATTAACACCCAAAAGAAAACAGAGATCCATATGACACCAGTGCACATTGCACAAGAAAATGATAGATACTACAGGAAGTGATGTACCTTGGCCCTGGCTTCCCACTGGCTTCTCTCTGACTCCAGAGCTTGGTGCTTTTCCTCTAACTTCGAGTAGAACTAGATTAAGGGAATCATGTAAATCACAAGTTAAATGCAAAACGATTGTGTTGATTAAAAGTATTCTACAGGATACACATCACAGTCACTTATTTTATTATGACAGTACCTCCTTCCTTTTCTCTGCACGTTCATAGCATCTAAACGAGGGAGCTTGTCCAACCGTAACCTTGAATTTAGGTGTTCTCACAGATGCAGCGGTTCTGTTCTTGGCTAAGGATAACCCAAGTGGGATAAACAATTTCTAATATATGCATAAACAAATAAACAAAACAAAACAAAAAACCAAATTTCAAACATCAACCAAGGATACGAGGAAGTAACAGACGAATTATCTTCTTCGTCAGCATGCTTCTTATTATCAGGTTGCGAGCCCTTTCGTGATGATGACTGAGGTGAAGTTGGCTGAAATGAAATGGACAATTTTTGGAAATCAGCGCCATCCCACATCTACAATAACATTGCAATAGTCTTTACAAGCAAAAGTCCATGATTCTTCTCAGTTTCATTCACTTCATCCCAAAACATAACGGGTTTTGTTTAATTTTTCTGTTGGAATTCTTTTTGCCCTAGCCAAATAGCAATGGGTTTGAATTGAGGGCAAATCATTAGATTTGAGTCTCATCCATAGATATTGAGTTGGAAACTACCAGAGAAAGCCAAACAAAACAGAGAACCAAAAAACATCTGCCTATAAATTTTACCTGTGAACTCTTAGGAGACTCTGCATTAGGAGACTCTGGACTCTTAGTAGCTGTAGGAGACTGAGAACTCTTAGTAGCCGTGGGAGACTGTGAACTCTTAGTAGCATCAGCAGACTCTGTATTGCTGGAATTTTCAGAAGTGGCGGTTTCAGCCCCAACAGCCTTATTTGAATGCCCATTTCCCAAAGTGACGGATTTTAAAGCAGGTGAGCCTGAATTTTTATTGTCACTCGACTTCTGAGTTCCGAGTTTCTCATTTTTGCCTTCAGTCAAGTCATCATCAAGATTTGTGCTCTTAACAGCCAGCACATCTTGATTCTCAACAGATTCCCCAACAACTTTGTTTTCTTCGATACGGTCCTTCACCTTGTAGTCCTTTGATTCAATGCTTTTCTCTGAAATTTTGGGAGCAACATGAACTTTACCATGAGAAAAACCATTTGCAGACACTACAACACCGTTAATCTTCTTCTCCACCTTCTCCACCTTCTCCACCTTCTCCACCTTTACACCAGTAACTTCCCTCCCCATGACGCTGCATGAGAAAACTACAGGCTGAGCATCACGAGACTAGAGGAAAATTACATTATCACTGACAAAAACCAAATAGGTTCTTTTGATAAGCTAAGATAAAATGACAAAGCATTACTTATGTACAAGTAAATTATTTTATCTGCAATGTTTTCCTCACATTGACTGAAAAACATATGGAGCTTTATCTCTGGAAAAAACATGTCAAATTAAACTAAGACTTTTTAGAGACATCTTGCTATCCATGTCACGATGCCAATTACATCCGATGACAGAGTTTTTAAAAATAAAAAATAAAAACAAAAAGCATTGAAACTTTTCCGTGTTCAGCACACTGCATCAAACATAAAATTGCAAATCTGTAACTCTAAAAGTTTATAAAGAAACACATGAACCAAAAAAAGAAGAAAGAGTAAAAGAGGTTTTAAACAACATAAAAATAGATCCACAAATATAATCCTCCGATGGACCTGAAAAAGACTAGCCACCACAAATATAAAGTAAATGGAGGATAGCCTAAATGGAAATGATGTACTCGAGAAGAAGTTAAGCAAACGACATAAATCTGGAGAGAGAGAGAGAGAGAGAGAGAGAGAGAGAGAGAGAACTCCAAGTTTTTCCTCTTTAAATTAGGATTTTCCATTCTAGCAGGGTGGACTGATAATCTAAAATATTCAAGCATTTATGTTTTACATAAAATTATGTGATTTTCAAAGTACAACACAGACGACGAGTTACACAATCATCCAGAAGCTCCCAAGGAAATTCCATAGAGAAGGTAAAAATGGTTCAGAAAAGGGAAAATTCATCCATCTACAAGAATAATCACGTTGATTAAGACATAAAAGTTAATAAATCAGGAAAACAAATGAACAAGATATCTAAAATGAATTAAGCACAAAAAACCATTAATAAGGTTAAAGTAACAATTATAAAAGCTAAACGAACAGAAGGCCTTCCCAACTCATAGACATAGGATAAGAGCTGTAGTTAATATTCTTCAATGAATCTTGAGGGGTGGAGGGCGGCTTCAATTTGAAGGAAAAAATCAAGATGGCAATTATAAACTTGACTGACAAAACAAATACGAGCAAACCCCATAAACTACAAGCACAAAAGCATTGACAAAAAGAAAGGGCTCTTTTTTTCCTTTTTTTCATTTCTGAGCTAATATTCACCTTCACATCACCAGAACAAATACGAAAAACAAGTCAACAGTTTGAGCCCCCAGAAAGAGAAGAGCCAAAATAAATAAAAAATACTCCAAAAATTAAAAACTCCGTTTTGCAGCCAACAATGACAAAACAGAGAAATACCCATTAAAGGAAAACAGAGAAATAAGAAGTAAAAGAGAAAGAGAGAGCCTGAAGCTCAAAGCTTTGCAGCAAAAAGCTCAAATTGAAAGCCAAAACAATAGATATCAAGACACATTGCAGAAACCTCCTTAAACAAACACATCAATGGCAAAACTAAGAATGTGAGAGATTTCTCTTACAGTTTCTGGTCCCGATCTGACAAGATCTCCAACCCCTCTCTCTGTTTCTAAAAAATGTGTATTTTCTTGTGTGTTCTTCTCTTTTTCTCTCAAGCTGCTGAGAGAAGGGTCTCCTCAATTCTCATACTATTATTGTTTTGTTTTTGGTTTTATGTGCTGCGCTGTTTGGCTATATATAGACCGGTCTTTGTCCTTCTAGTTCCAATTTCCAAACGCCGTTAAAGCGTTTTTATGGGAATGTGCTTTCAGTCTCGGTTTTTCTTTTTTTTCTTTTTTTTTCTTTAACGGGGTTTGAAAAATCTGTACTGTAGGAACAAATATGAGCGCTTCAGCACCCTACGTGGTGTTGGGTAGGTGTGACGTGTAAATTTAGTGGGATGCTCTATTTTTAGTGTTGGAAAAAACAGAAACTTCTGTTGGGTATTCAAAGTTATCCATCCCCAATTTGCTTTGGTGTTGGAGAATCAAAATAACAAATGCTCAAAGAGGAAATTCCCCAAATAAGGTGAGAAATTTATGGGCAGGTAGATGTGTTAATTATTTGAGCATGCCTACTTCAATTTAATAAAGGGCATGAGAATGCTTTCATATCGAAAATAAATTATTACAATAAACAAAATTATTATTCTGATAAATTATTTATAGAAAGAAATTAAATAATTATAATATGTTTATTTATGGTAATAGAAAGAAATCTATAATGGGCGTTGTGGGGCGCAAATAACAATGGAGGGGAACGTGGAGGCCGTAATGTCTGCGGCAGAGGAGCCCAAACGTTGAACATTCAACGTTATATACGGTGCAACGTGGAATCTTTGTTGAAACAATTTTCTAGTTATTTTAGTTTGTATTTTTGTAATTGTTGTTTACTAAATTTTGTAAGGTTCTTGCTTGTTTGCTGAGAGAGGCCACATCTTGTTTTTCATGAGCCAATTTGCGGAGATTCTTCGAAAGGAAAAAAGAAAGTATTTCTCTATCTCGATGTCACCTTTTTTTTTTTTTTTTTTTTTTTTTTATTTTTTTTTTTTTTTTTTCATCAAGTGATTGGTGACATGAACAGATAAATAAGAAGAAAGAACAATGACATTTAATAACGTAATGAGAAATAGAAAGAGAAGACAATAACACCGAACTTCTTAAAACTCAAAGTATTTGCTCTTAACATTAGCCATTAGCGTTACGTACACGCATTATATATGTTTCTCCCTAATTGTAATACTTGAGTTAATATTTCACCTATAAAGTTTGATGGAGTTTAATATTTTGAACCTACCCCTCACTCCCTGGCCTCTGCCAATAAATCTTGGCTAGGTGGTCTGTCACTTAAATGAGTTGAATGTCCGTACACAAAGTTGAATTCCTCAGTACTGCATGATTCTTTATTTGCAACAAGAGTAAATGAGTAAATATAGAAAACAGAAGCTACGTACAAAAACCCCGTGAAATATTAACTGCAAGCGTTATGTATTTCACATGAATTTTCTGAAAACTGGGAGGTGTTCGATGGCCTTCTGTACTATATGATGATCTGTACTAAAATTACATACATTATTATTATTATTATTATTATTATTACTACTGACTCTCTCTCTCATTGTTTTCAAAATTTGTGAAAATTATTAAATAGTTGTATGAAAAGTTGTGAACTTCAGTTTCAACTAGCAAGCAACTGGTTTGTTGGTACCGTCATGCAGAAGCCTTGTGCTAGCATTTCACTTTAAGCAAAGAAAGATGGCGTTACTTTTTGTACATATGTTTAAATTCAATTTGTGCTCTCTGTGTGTATGTTTCTTTCTCTCTCCATTGTCATCATATTTCCCCACACTAATAATGAGTTGTTGCATTGCCACTTTTTTTTTTGGGGTCCTCAACCGCCCTTTCCATTTGAATTTGAAGTACTAGTAGTAGGGTATGTTTAGTCGAGGTGGTCCGAGGATTCTGAGGTCATAGTCAGCCTACATATAGATTAGGTCTTACGGATTTACAGTTAAGAATTTGATTAAGGTTAGTAAAAATTATATATGGTCAAACCTATTATTCAAGCCTAATAGTCTTATCTTACCCCTCGGAAGGCTTTCTAATCTGTTTGCTTAGGGCTGCCGGGGGAAACACAATCAAATTACATATATAACCCTAGCTTATTGAAATGGAAGAGTGAATAGCAAGGCAAGGCATGGTTATGGTAGGATGAAAGGGGCATTTTGTGCATGCTTCGCAGGTACAAGATTGACAGCAACAACTTACCTCTTCTTTCTAAATTAGCAGCTTGCTACCGTTTATTTATATATTTAAATATGAAGTTGATGTACTGTTGAGCTCTCCTTTCATGACGTTCAATCTTTTGAATATTCAAAGGCTGGGCTCGATAAAGTCAAAAAAGCTCAATTGCTTGTCTGTTTCCTTTGAAATTTTTCTGCAACCATATACTTTCTTTCTACTTTCTCACACCAGAAGATACATACATATATAGAAGGGGGTGGGGAAGTGGAGGAGCTCTGGTCTATTATGTATATTAATTAGCTACTCTCTTTCATACCAACAATAGTTCATGGAATGGAATGGAATATTGAAATAAAAGTGGGTCTCATTCTCATACTTACTTATTTTGCTGTTGATTATGAATAGAATTTCAACCGACATCTTTAATTAGTTGGTCAGATTAAGACAACAACTGATAAATGATATTATAATGCTAATTAAACTAGCATATTAAAGAATGGAAGAATACGTACGCAGCTGATTTCATCTGCTTTTCTGGGTAGGGTAGCTCGAGTAGCTCGAAGCTTTTTAATTCAGTGGGAACCAGCTGCTGATTCATGTCAACTTCCTTGGATATCACTTTAGTGTAAAGTTCATTTCACTATTCATTTCATGCGGTTTCGCCCATAATTACTTTGACTTTCCTGCTCGCTTCAAATTAATTCACTTTCTTCGGTTGATACTGGAAACAAAACAAGTAATGGGAGGGAAGATTGACTTTCAGAAGAACTGGTTTGATGGATATTCTAATTTGTCAAAACACCATTGCCTATAATTATGGAGCCTTCATTAGCTACCGATGAGTTAACTAGACAGATGAGGTTAACCAAACGCATTGACGTTTTCATTGTTGGGTTGGGTCAGATTGAAGAAAGAGTCACTCCAAGTAGATGGGAACACAATCATGGCACAAGGGACATATGCAAATGATGAACGAACATATGAAAAAATATCAACATTCCTATTTCAATATTATTGTCGGTGCATTCATAACCTCCAAATTACAGAAATTAATCAAATGAAATCCAACATCTTGCACATGCCCCATGCTGCTTTGTCAATCTTAATCCCCAAATCAATGGGACAATCATAATTAATTAACTCCTCGTCTTCTTCTTCTTCTTTAAATCTTTTATTTTAAAAGATAAAGATTGCAGTCGTTTAAATTAAATGAAGCGAGGATTTGTCAACATTGTCGGTCTCTTGACAATCTGTGTACGAAGCAGAGACTTCATGGATAGGATTTGTACTGTTCTTTACTGGGGCAAGTTTTTCTTCACTTTCACATTCACTTTCACATTCACTTTCACTTTCACATAGGTAGGGTAGGGGTAGGGGACCATATATAATTGCACTCCCTAAGTAAGTACCCTTCATCATGCACGTAAGAAGGGCATGTTTACTTACTTCAAAATAAAAAGTTATGAATCAAGATGCAACGAGGTTATGAATCTTTGACCCCAAAAAAAGGAGTATCCATGATATTTCAGGTATTAGATTACGAATTCGTCAAAATAATTCTGGAAAATTAAAAATCAAAATCATTTCAAATAATTTTCTCAAATAAATAAAGACAAAATTGAAAAAACGTTAAACAAATTTGAATACATTATATATAGAGTCAATGAAAATAGTCACTCCCTTGGCATTATTATTGTGTTCAATTGTTATCAAGAAAAGATTGTGTTCAATTGTTATCAAAAAAAGATTGTGTACAATTGGTGGCAGCCCCACTAGTCCATGAATTTTGCATCGAAAATGACTATTCACTAGAAATTGTTGTCACTTTGGTCTCATTTTATGTATTAATTATTTAACCAACCTTTCCTTGTGACAGGAATATTTACCAACCTTAATTAAATCATTTTCTTGAGCTATGTAGCAACGCCAGCATCCCACCCAACTATTTGTGCACGTGTAAGTAATTCTTAAAATAAAAAGAATATTAAATATGCCCCCACATAAACGAAGCAAATTCTGGAACAACTTCTCTTTGTTGGATCATACAAGAGATTGTGTCCTGGACCACAGCATTCCATGGATCTCCAACACTGTCGGTTATATTTTTTTTAATTTTATAAAAATTGTAAATCTTTGTTTTTGGGCCAAGCATGATCAGCTTGTAGATCACAGGCCCACATTCAAAAAGCCCATTGGACTAAACTCAGGCCCACCACATACTACAAAATAATGGCCTCCATTCCCTGGGATCCTAACTGCCAAATAGACTGACTCCGTCCGCTCACCAATTGCAGACCACCACGCGTTCTCTCCCGATTGGGTGCTCCACCAATACTCCCGCGCCATTATAAACCTCCACCCGTAACGGAACTCCGCTAACCTTGCCGATCAAATTCATGAATTTTCCCCTTCTGGAGAGCAAGAGAGAGAGAGAGAGAGAGAGAGAGAGAGAGAGAAGTGACGAGAAAGCAAGAGGTTGAGCAACGCAAATGGCGACAGTTCAAATGCAGAGAGTTGCAGTATCGCCACAGGAACAAGCCAATATTGACGCAGCGAAGAAGAACAGAATTCAGGTTTCCAATACCAAGAAACCACTCTTCTTTTACGTCAATCTTGCAAAGGTATGTTTCTATAGTAAAATAATTTATTTATTTATTTATTTGACAAATGAAGGAAAGAAAAGGAAAAGGAAAATGAAATTTAGTAAAATAATTAATTTATTCATTAAGCTAATTTTAGGGATATACGAAACTGAAATACATTACAAAAATTTACTTAAGAATCAAAATCAGAATCATGAAACCACGGAATTCATCGGTTCTTTGAAAGAAAAGTAAGGAAGGTGAAAAGAATATGCATGTGGTCTTTCTTAAATCATTCTGGTAAGATGTATATTTCTTGTTTGCATTGTTTTTTCTTTGATGCAGAGGTATATAGAGCAGCACAATGAGGTTGAGCTCTCTGCCTTGGGAATGGGTAAATCTTTTCGGAATAGTTTCTCAGTATAATTTTTTTTAACATGTTTTTATAACTCAGCATGCTATAAATTCAACATATTTGATAACTCAATAGAAATGAGTATAACAGAAATTTTGTGATTTCATGATTCCGTAGCAACTGCAATATCAGTTTGTATGGTAATGTAGTCATGCACTTCTGGTTTCACGTGGTCGCATAATTTTTCCTCTTGCTAGTTTTAATTCCTCAATCAATAGAAACTAGTCTTTCACATGTTGTGATTTGATGAACAACTCCCTACTTGCTTTCAATTGAAAAACTAACAGCGTTCGGAAGCTCTAAATATTTTCTAAATGACTAGGCTTCAATTTTTCAACTGTCCACTGAAGTACTGGAAAATGGTATCACAATGTTGGAGAAGATTTAAGAGTTTTTTCAGTTACTGTAGATTTCCACTGTTATCTTTTTATGATGAACATTGAATGCCTGCACTTTCCTTCTTTGTTGTTCCTACATTCCTGCTAATTTCCTGCACTTTTGTTATTACAGCAATCACTACAGTTGTCACTATTGCTGAGATTCTGAAGAACAATGGACTGGCTATTGAGAAGAGTAAGAAATTTGTCCTCTTAATGCCAAAAAGCATGCAAAAAAATTATGGAGGTAGCTGATTTGGTTATCTTTGTTTGTGGGATTGAACAGAGGTGTCCACATCTACTGTTGGAATGAAAGACGAGAACAAGGGTCGTCTCGTGCAGAAGGCTAAGGTGGGTTTCTTTAGTTGAGGGCTTTTAAGTTGGTTTAATCATATCTTATGACCTTTCCATTTGGCTCTGATATCTTTCTTTTTCTTTTTTTCTTTTTTTGAACTTCTAGATTGAGATTGTGCTGGGGAAGTCTGAAAAATTTGACGCTATAATGAAAATGAATGCTGCTATACTTGCTCCAGAGGCAGTTGCTGAGGCAAAGAAATGACAACAAACAGTAGAGCCCTTCCAACAGTTCATTGTTGTAGTTTAACATTCACATTGTTTTTTACGCTCTGCCTCAATAGAGATAGGATAATAGGTAGATAATTTTTTTTTTGAAGTTGCTAGTATGAAATATTAAAGAGAGTAGAGAAAACAATGATCATAAATGAGATGGCAGTGCAGAGAGAGGCTGCAGTGGTATGCCACTCTCTAGTTTCATCCTTTTGTGGTTAATTGTAAAGATCTTCTCTTTATCATATGTTTCCTTCTAGATTTGTAATGTTTTCATCTTTCCGCACGTAATATTGATGACTGAATGACAAAGTGGGAAGAAATTTTACTGACCCTACTTCTCAGATCTGCCTGCTTGATTTGTGATGGATTTTTTTATTTATAATTTTATAATTAAAAACATCTTAAATTTGGGTTATAGCGTCTATGTGAATTATGAACAGTAGGTTCTTGCTTATGAGAGTCATGCTCTTATGATCTGGTCGTTCTAACTTTTCCCAGTCTGAGTTTTCACAGAATTACAAAGCATTTGATGATGGCTTTGACAGTTACTATTGCTTTCAGTAAATGCCAAAGCAGTTTTTCCCTCTACTTAAGTTTCAAAGATGTAGAAAGATCTCATCATAGATTGTAGTTTACTATCACTATGATAAGATGGATGAGTAAGGTACTCAGGCAAGGTCTAAGAAGATTTCTTGAATTGCAGACTAATAAGTATCGGACCTTTTATGATATCCTGCATTCTGATATTTGCATAAATAGGCTATAAATTCACTTTAATCTTCATATTCTATATCATTTATTTCTTTTTATAGTTTGTGTTGAGCATATCGGTTATTACTTTGAATGTTTGTACTGATTCATTTATGTTGATGACGCAAAACTGCAGAACACACATGCATATTACATGTGTGCTGAGTTTAGACAAAACTCAGCATTGTACTTATTTGCTGGAGGGCTTGTACCTATTTGGTTCAGCCTTAAAACCGGGTGCTGCCTGCTCCCAGAACTCTCTTGATTGAAGTGTAAACAAACGTTTTGGTACGTTATTTACTCTGATAAGGCACAGCGAGTCTTCCAGAAACGCACTCATAAATTTCGTATGTCGTTTTCTGTGGTCAAATATGTAAAAGCATCTAAAATGGGCAAATTCTAGATAATTTAGCAATTTAGCCCCTTCCATCTTTTTATATCATGCATTCTTTCATATGAAGAATTCAGAGGCAATTTGCATTTTGAGGTTCTGAGTATGAATTGACTAGATTTTCTCTTTGGAAACTGCTTGGCCACCACTGACGGTTCCCAAGGGTTTATCAACACCTTCTCCTTCTATCGCTATTATATATTCGTCTGTTCCACAATGTTTTCGGATGATCACCTTAGGTATGGCTAAATCTTGATCTTTGGTAGCCATAAGGCCATTGTCAACCTTCTTAAATTGAGAGTTTGTTTTGCATCAAATTTCCATGTTTTTTTCCGCTTGATCTAATTTGATATTGTTCTCTGTTTTGTTGTGTCCAAAAGGATAGTAGATCTGGTTAGAGAACAAAATAATAGCTCTCTTTGTATTATATTGTCCGAGCCTTGGGTGGAAAATTTTGCTTGAATGTTGTGATTGCATGTCATCTATGGAAAATTCCACTGTGTTCTTTAGTGATTGCAGTAGATGACATTTCAGATGCATTACTTTTAATTGAGAACAAGCAGATTTGCAGTATACATTAGATGTTCTGCAGTTGCCATTATATGTAATGAGTTTTATGATGGAAGCTGCGTTTGCCATGTGATGTTAATCATGTTGTTTTCTTTCTTGTTTGCATGTAATTTCTTTTTATAAGTGGTGAGCATATCATTTGATTTGTTGCATGCCGGATTCTGCAAGAACAAGTCGGTGCTTGCTTCTTGTAACTTTGAATTGTTTTGCATTTCATCGTACTCTCCAGATTTTTGCATATTTGAGCATTTCAGTTTCAATTATGTTTCAAAATAACTTCTTCAGATTAGGATGCAAGAACACTCAGTTTCAATTACTAGTACTCCTTTTCCTTGTGTTTGCTGATAATTGGAACCATCTGAAAAGTCACCATAGAAAGGTTCCAAAGGTTACAAACAGAAAATCAAACTGGTTTTTATTCATCAAGAGAAGCTCGATTTCAAATCAAATCCAAATCCATATCAAGAGAAGCTCGATTATAAAAAGAAAAAAACCATTCATAAAGGTAGAGTTATGATTAAATGTGTAATTTTAGTTAACAATATATCTAAAGCTTATAATATGAACTAAGAATTCTTTCAACAACAAAAAATATACTAAGAAGGAAAAACAGATGAGTATGGTATTGAGTAATGATATATCCTTTTATTTTTGTTGGGTTTTTGGGTAAAATATATATCCTTTTTTTTTTTTTGGTACTAATGAAAAGATTGAGTATATACTAATCTATATATATAGAGTAAAAGATAGAGTATAGTAAAACATTCAAAAAATCAGAAAATGTCATTGGTCAATGTAAATATTAAGAATTGAAATTATTAGTTAAATTATGATAATATGATAAATTCACACGTTTTCATATTAAAAAAATTAAAATTAAAAGAAAAATAAGATAATGGATCCTATTTTTATGGAACACAACTACCCATTATATTTTTTAATTCTAAAAAATAAGCCTCTCGCATGTCCGAAAGCGCGTGCAGAAAGATTAATGATAAAGAAAGGAAAAAGAAGAAGAAGAGGTGGGTATACTTAGCAAATTCGTGGGGTATACAAAAGAACTACAGACAACGACCCTTGGGCCTTTACTTACTTACCTTCCCCCAACGCTCTCTCTCAATTTCTCAAATCAAGATAATTCACTCTCTCCCTCTGTTTCTTTTTTTCGTCTGAATCATTCTCTCCCGGTAAACCCCTTCGAAACCCTAATCCTGCTCTTCTTTTCCCCCTTTGACAATTCGACCCTTCAGTTTCAGATTATTTGGTTTCGTGCTCCTACTATCATTTCTCCTCCTTACCCATGTAAATATGCTTATACTTTTGTGTGTATTTCTTTTTTGCAATTTTCTACGGTTTTAGTGTCATATTTTCTTCATTTGTTTCTGTATATCAATCGTTCACGTTTGTCCGTTATTGGGGTTTTTATTATTATGTTGTTTTGGGATTCTAGGGCTGTTATTTTTATTGGAAGAATGTTCTTGTTATTCATTAATCATGACGTGCTGACTATTATATTGTGAGAGATACTTTCACTAATCTATGGTTCTGTGACGAGTTTTTCGATTTTAGTGTTTTTCTCCATTCTCTTTTTGCTGTCAGCTCCTTCTTTATTTAGGTTGTTTCATAATTTTTTCTTGAAGATTCTTTCTCTCTTTTATATCTTGATTTATGTGATTTATGTTTAATAATGCAGAAAACTATTTATGGCTGAAGTTGATAAACTCTTTGGTGAACATGATGGAGAGGAGGTACCTGAGAATGTGACTGAAATTGAGGCTGAGACTGAGGACGCACAGCCACAGGAACAAGACCAGGCACTGGCACTGGCAGAGGAGGAGGCAGATGCAGAAGCATTGGCTCAGGAACAAGAACGTGCTGTTTCACTAGCACAGGAACAAGAACATGCACTGGCACAGTTACAGGCGCAGGAACAAGAACATGTACTAGCCCAGTTACAGGCGCAGGAACAAGCGCAGGCACTGGCCCAGTTACAGGCGCAGGAACAAGAGCAGGCACTGGCCCAGTTACAGGCGCAGGAACAAGAGCAGGCACTGGCCCAGTTTCAGACACAGGAAGAAGTAGAAGTGCAAGAGGAGGAGTTGCAAGTGCCTGAACACAACCAAGAGCATCATGAGGATGCTGTGGTTGGTGGAGGCGAGAAAAAGTGGCCTGGATGGCCTGGTGAGAGCGTGTTTCGGATGCTGGTTCCTGCCCAGAAGGTTGGCAGTATAATTGGACGCAAAGGGGAGTTCATTAAGAAAATAGTTGAGGAGACGAGAGCTCGCATCAAAATTCTAGATGGTCCTCCAGGAACAACTGAAAGAGCTGTAAGTTTCTAGTGAACATGTTCAAATGGGATTTAGTGGTGCATAACTTGTTACTTCTTGTCTCCACCTTGAATGAATTATAATATGTATCTGCTTTTGGTCACTTGGCATATTATGCTTTTACATTGGAATATATTTAGGCCTTTATTGTTCCTATGGTTTAATTACTGTGCTAAGTTTCCTGTGAAGGAAGCTTCCTTGAGGGAAATAAATGTTTGATTGTTGTTGACATTACTTATTGCTTATCATACTACGATTGACTTCTAAGTGACTATTACAGAGCTACTTGTGTACAGTCTCATGGTGAATAAGCAAAATAAGGTGTATAAACAGATGTACCATTGTTCAAACGAGCTGGGGAAAGAAAAAGATGAAGTTTTTGGATTTTGACTGTCATTTCTTTAGAAAAGTTACAGGTTAGAAATGTTAGACTAATGCTATTGTTAGAAAAGTGTAGATCTTTTAGGCAAGAAACTTTCACCCAAATGAAAACAATTCACTTTATAAGCTTTCATTAATAACTAGCACTACTATTTTGAAGAGTCTGAAAATCCATGAGAACTATGAAAACAGTGAAGGCAATTAATAACAAATGTGAGTCGCCACTCCTAAATATTGAACTCTAGAATTCTTTTTCTACAAATGTTTAACCAAAAGAAGAGATAAAAGAATCAACATCAAAAGAATCCCCAAAATATGAATGCAGTTCCATTTATTGTAATAACAACAATGAATGTGTGCAGGTTTTTTCGTGCAAATTTTAAGGCAACGACTCAATCATCAATAAGATCCCAAACTTGAAGAACCAAAGGTCCAGATTGCAGGGATCAGCATTGAGCATTACAATGTGCTGAAAAGTTTATCTGAATAAACACATACACTATTCGAACAATTGTACCATGAAGCTCTGCATTATCTCTGGTAACTTCAGAACCTGGATGATTGATGTCTTGCCGCAGATGGTTTACACCATAAAAGAAACCAATAATCCTCAATAACGTGATACTGAAGAATAATGTTAAATCTGAAGTGGCTTATAAACTGTCCTACATATGTTGAAACTAGATAAGCAATGTAACTAACCACGATCGATTGTCAATATCGGTGAATAAGTAACACGTAAAAACTTATCTCTTGTAGGCCATGATACTGTGGTCTATTAAGATTATGAAACAGATATGGTCTATTTATATTTGGTTGTAAGATGCTTAATAGATATGTTTGCAGTGTACCTTTTGGTTTATGATGTGGCTGAATGCTGTGTGGTCCTTGTTTTGCCAAGTTCAGTTTTCAAAGGCCAGTGTTTATTCTATGCTGATGGTTCTTTTTATTGCTTTGATTAGGTAATGGTTTCTGCTAAGGAGGAGCCTGATTCTTCTTTTCCTCCTGCAATGGATGGCCTTTTGAGGGTTCACAAGCGGATTATTGATGGTTTGGATGGTGATTCTTCTCATGCTCCACCGGGCATGGGTGGCAAAGTCTCCACAAGGCTGCTGGTGGCAGCTTCACAGGCAGGAAGCTTGATTGGAAAACAGGGAGGAACTGTTAAATCTATTCAAGAATCATCTAACTGCATAGTTAGAGTTCTTGGAGCAGGTCATCTTCCTTGTATTTTGAATCTCTTATATTTTTCAGTTTTCCAAAATGCTTGTAGACATAAAGATAAAAGAGCATCTTATTGTCAGTTCTGCAGAAGTCATCATTAGAGTACATAATTGCGTGTCTTGTTAGATATGGTTTCCAATGTTATAACATGCAAGGTTTTGTGTCTCTTCAGTATAATCAAATAAACGAGGTTATGGATATGAGATTAGATATTTAGTAGCTGTATTTAAGTTTTGGAGTACCAATATTAGTTATTGAGCATTTGCGTGGCAGCAATCATTGTTGTATTTATGGGATACTACCTATTGTATGATACATAGTTTACATACATTGAAAGCTGAAGTGTTTTCTTCTTGGTAAAATGTTTACCTTCTTTTAGTCTTGCATTCCTATCTTTGGCTGGACATATTGTTTTGTGCATGTTTAGTTACCTCGGTTTGATTGCCTGACCTTTTGTTGAATGATTTACTGCAGAAGACCTGCCGATTTTTGCTCTTCAAGATGACAGAGTTGTTGAAGTAGTGGGTGACGCAGTTGGTGTGCACAAAGCAATTGAACTGATTGCATCTCATCTTAGGAAGTTTCTAGTTGACCGCAGTATAATTCCAATATTTGAAATGCATGTAAGTCTGCCTTTTTCTCTCAATTGCAATAATTCAAACCAACTCTCAACATTCGTCTTGAATGAAAGACGTGATGATCAATATTTTGTGTCAGATGCAAATGGCAAATCCTCAGATGGAACATGCGCCCCCTCATCAACAATGGGGTCCACCCCAAGGTCTTCCCCACAATGCTGGTGGGGGTCCTGGATTTGGGCCTCCTAATCCCCAGTACATGCCACCTCCTCGGCAGCATGACAATTACTATCCACCAGCTGACATGCCCCCCCCCATTGAGAAACAGCCTCATCATGGTATATCAGCTTATGGAAGAGAAGCTCCAATGGGCGTCCACCAGTCATCAAATGCTCAATCAGCACCATCAATGGTCACACAGGTTATACTTGTGTTTCTTTTAATTTATTAAACATTAAACTGATGATTAATAGTTCTTTCTAGTAGTCCAAATATGCGAATGATGATGAGTTTTCTTGTTTTTGCAGATCACACAGCAAATGCAAATTCCGCTGTCATATGCTGATGCTGTTATTGGCACAGCTGGTGCAAGTATAAGCTATATTCGACGAGCTAGTGGGGCAACTGTTACAATACAAGAAACTAGGGGTGTTCCTGGAGAGATGACTGTTGAAATCAGTGGAAGTGCTTCCCAAGTCCAAGCAGCTCAACAACTGATACAGGCAATGCACCTTCTCCTGGCATTTGATTCTTTTATCTTAATCATCCTTTCTAGCTTATTAGATTTTTGTGAGTTAATAATAGGATTATGGGCAAACAAACTCAAGGTGGTTTGTTGGGTATTCTGTTGTATTATCATTTAGTGCATTAGCTCTGTTGGAAAGCTTCTGCTATTGTCACTGTTGATATAATATATACTAGCCTAAAAGTTTTTGTTCAGTTTGATAGTGCAGAGACTTGACAGTGCTTTGTGTTTTTGTTTGTAGAATTTCATGGCAGATGCTGGAGCACCGCAGCCGACACAAACTGCTGGCTCTGTGGATCAAGGTTATAATTCCTATGCAGCTCATGGTTCAGTATATTCATCTCCCCCATCCAATCAAGGACATGCAGGACATACTGGTGGCTATGGCTCAGTCTATGGCTCACATTATGGGTACTAGATAGGAACCTCAATTTGGTTTTGTCAAAGAGAGACTAAAATCGTTTATTGTTGTGACTCGGTCAATCAGAGAGTAGTTTCTTTAGGGCAGTTGTATCGATACTGTGCTTTCGCTTTTCAAACTTCGTTTTGAACTAGTTAAATGTCAGATTTATCATGTTTGTTAGGCTAATCTTGTTCTTAATAATTTCCCTTTTCCTGCTGATGCATTTTGTAGCATACGATGCATACCAAAACCGGATAAATGTTTTCAGAGTTGTGATGTGACATTAAAAAATATTTAAAAAATATTTTTTTACATGGGTCCTTTGATAGTTTTATTGTTAATCCACTTTTAGGCTTCATTGATTAGTTTCTGAGTTTGTTTCCTGTCTTTCCAGTTGGGAAGTTTGAAAAACTTAAAGGAATCGGCTACTTTATGGACAACAGTAAGTAGGTCGACAAAAATCAAAGGAAATAATGATGAGAATATTTAGCGATTGGAAATTATGACAAACTCATTTTTAGTCTTGTGGTATTTCTAATTTCAATGTTGGAAGATGTCATAAGTTTGCATCTCTCCCCGGTAAAAAAAAAGTAAGTGATAGGAAACTATGGGCCACTATGCATTAGGTTGACAGAGATGAGAAGAATCGATCATGGGAAAAGTTATAACTATGGGTCACCATGCATTAGGTTGACAGAGATGAGAAGAATCGGTCATGGGAAAAGTTATAAAAAGGCATCCCGTGCTGCTACTATGAATTTTCCCAAGGACATTATAATTCTGGCATTAGGTAACTTGGGAAGCTTCTGTTTTATTAAGGAAATGCTTTCAAGTAAAATCACGTTTTCTTTTTTCCTTTTTTGGCCAGGCAGTAAATAAAGTTGGAATGTCTGTTTTCCTTTCACAATTTTCCTTGTGTCGTAGATCACAGAATTTAGTAGATAAATAGAGAGAGGTTGGTGGTTTCCCACCAGACAGAAACCCCATGACGATTCTTTTTAGACTTGTAACTCTAAAAGCAGTGGATTATTATTCAACCTGATTCTGTTTGTCTTCTGCCTAAACTTTTCATTGCTTTACGCTTTGAATTAAGCTTCATGTCGTGTAAAATAGCTGGAGAGAACATAACCCTTTGAATTTCTAGTGCTCTCTGTATTAGGTGTATTTGTAAGGATTTAATTTTCAAACCGAAGAAAATTCTGCGCTGAAAACGTGCGAATATTTTCCAAACATCGCATCATTTAGAGAAAATTAGAAAGTTCTTCCTTAGGAATCTAACCCAAACTTCCCCCTCCATTTCTTTTTATATTGTTTTAAGTTCTCCTTCTTCCCTTTATGCAGACTATAAACAGTGACCTCCCCATCCCTCATAAGTAAACTGTCAACTAATTCTATCATTTTCATATTTCCAGAACTTCGCTCCCTTCCAAAGTTCTCACACATATCAATGGAAAATAGTGAAGATGGCTCAAACTCCAAGGGCATGTGTGAGAAGATCTTCAGTTCTCTCTGCCCAAATTTTCAAACAAATCATCACGGTCACAGACACCACAAACTAGAGCCAACTCCTACCTCTGTTGCCCCAAACACTTCACTGCCAGTGCCAACCCATGATCATGCTGGCTATTCTAACAGTGTCCAGATCCAACTAACCAATGTGTCTGGAGCTGAACCTGCGCCGACTGGAATACCACGAATGCCAAAGGCAGAGATGAGCATGGCCAACAATGATGCATTCTCTGAGTACATTAATCGCACAAAATTTAAGATTAAAGCTATGTCCTCCAATGTTGGCATCGAGAAGGTTGCTTCCAGAGCAGGTGATGTTTATGAAACAAAGCAAGATGATAATGAAAAAGATATGTTTACGGATTTTGTTAATCGCGCTAAGTTTAAAATTAGAAAGACATCTAGCATTGGAAGCAGAAGGAATATCTCCTTTAAGAAGTAGAAGACTGCAAGTCTACAACGATACGAGGTCTTGATGAATAATGGCATGGTGGTGATTGCCAGTAAATGATCTCTCTGTTCTTTTGCAGGATGAGCCAATCAAGCCCAGCCTGTTCATTGACTGCTCTCTCTCTCTCTCTCCCTCTCTCATATTTCTGCCCTGGTAGCATATGCTATACAGGTTTTGTGATGTTATTGGATTCTCCTGTATGTTCTTCTTGAGTCAATTATACTAAATCGTTTGTTCTTCAAGTGGTTCTTGACCCCATGTGGTATTATATATCTGCTCTTTTGGAGCAAACTGAGTGTCACGAACTTCTGATGAGGACGTTAGATTGAAGAACATGACCATCCAATCAATTTACTACCCATTTGAGTAGTCTCTAACATGCATATCATGTGATTCAGAAAAAAAGTGAGTGCATTATTTGACTGAAGTTGAGACTTCCTAACAGTGTGATTTCACTGTCTGTTTGAAGCTCATCTGATATTTCTCCATGCAATCACACAAGGGAAATAACATTTTAAGCGGACCAGCCATTATTGCTTATTTATTATCCAGTAAAATAAAACATCTACATATGATTATAACAGTAAAACAAAACAAAACAAAAAATCACAATGATATTAACTATTATTCTAGTTTTGTTTCTTTCTGGACCAAAGCTATCATGTTCTGTATAATAATACCTAGATAATGTTGGGGTGTGCTTGTTGGGTTCCACTCTATTAATAAATTAGGCGTAGAGAAACTGAGAATATGATACCATGCAGCACTTCATTTGAAAAAAATAATAGTAATCATAAGCTTCTGCATTTACTATTTTAGGCAAATCTCTCTTCATTTCTGCATATGTTTTCAGTTTTGAAGCAACGATCACAAGGACATGCTCTCAAGATTCTCAATTACCCCATCTTACAAAAAGGTTCAAGGTCTCTTTTTTTTCTTTTTTTTTCCACTAAGGCCAAAGATAAATAAATACCCTCTGCAGCCATTCTTAATTAAACTACCTTACTTCATCTCCTAAACTTAGAACAAGCTTGCTCATTTCAATTTTTTTCATATCAATGGGAAAGAGTCAGCATAGCTCAAACTCCAAGTGTTTCTGCAAGAAAATCTTCAGCGTTACCTGCCCGGTTTGTAAACTGGCACCAACTCATGTTTCAGCGCAGGAGAAAAGCAAGGTCAAGGCAGAGATGCCTCCACCAACAAATATTCTTGCCGAGCCAATTCATGTCAAGGCTAATTCAAAAGTTGAGAAGCAAAATCCCAAACTAGAGGCACAACTTACAAAATCAAATAGGACAGCAAGTTTGGGTTACAATGATGCATTTTCTGACTACATTAGTCGCGCAAAAATCAGGATCAGAGCTATGTCAAATGCTGGCATGGGAAAGACTGCCTCCAGATCAAGAGATGATGGATATGATACAAAGAAAGAAGATAACGGCAAAGATACATTTTCAGATTACATTAATCGTGCAAAGATGAGGATGAGGAAGACATCAAGTATTGGAAGCAGAAAGCTTATCTCCTTCAAACGAGAGTAAGGAAGGACTAAACATGGGAGCTCAACTGTTTGCTTAGAGGATCTTGACCTACAATGACAGTGACCGCCCGCAATGACTATGCAGCTTCTGCTTAAAGTCTTGATGAATAACTTAATAAGGGTTGTGTTGGTGATTCCAGAGATTGTATTGCTTGTTTGTTTGAATGCTTACTTGTGTTAATTATGCCTTAATTATTTTTTTAGTTGTACTAAACAATTCCTGATGCCATCTGACGCCTTTAGCCTAATATTCAAGGTTAACAAACATTATTAGTTTATGGTTACAGATTTCAGCCTTGGCTATTAATTAAAGGATCTTTGTGAGTAAGTAAATTGGTATTAGGTTACCAAAGAAGCATCTTGACTTCCGGGACGAAAGTGAATCTTCATTGGCTAAAAGCAAGTTTAAGATTCGCTTAGAATGGTTTGCCACCAGAAAGTGATGATTCTTTCAAACTTCAAATTATTTATGATTAGTGGAAATCACGTTTTCGTGCTGGTAGCAACATGAATACTATTGCAGATTCCTGCCTTAATAAACGGCCGGAAGATAGCCTTGATGCTTTCTTGAACTCGTCTAGTCTTTCTCCCCAAGAAACTGACCTGTCATGATGTGTAAAACTGCTGGAGGAGCATCCCAGTCTCGTCAAGTCGATTGTGCTACATGAAGTGTGCTTGTGCTTGCGAGATGCTATTTTGTGAAGAAGATCAGGACACATTGTGTGAGAATATGATCCCGAACATCACATCACTTGGAAAATATGAAAAAAGTCTACTTTATAAAGAATATTAGCCAAATATGTTTCTCTCTAGTGTCTTTCATCCAACACTGAATTTAACCCAAAAGAAGAAACTGAAACTCTATTTACTTTCTTTTCACATGTTTGCAGCTCCCTTATAAATATGTGATTTACCCCAAAGCTTTGTTATTTCATATCTCTACTTTGCTCTGTTCTGTTGTGCCATACACAACAAAGCCCCCCATTTTTCCTCCTATCCTACTCGTTCAAACTCCATGTCAGGGTGTGGGAAAATTTGCAGTGCTTTATGCTGCTCTACTGGTCAAACAAATGATCCTCACCACCGCATGTCCATACCTTCACTACCAACCCATGATCACAAAGCTCAGAAAGCTAATGATCATCATGTTTCCAAGCCACATGGTAATAAACAAGAGGGTCATCCATCATCAGAGCTCGAGACCAACGACCGATTTTCTGACTACATTTACCGCGCAAAGAAGAAGATCAGACATTCTATGACGAATCTTGGCGGTTCCTCCAACTCCAAAGCATATAGTGTGCATGATACAAAGAATGAGGAGGCTACCAAGGACACATTTTCAGATTATATCAAACGTGTCAAGAGTAAGATAAAAAAGACGCCCAGTAGCAATGGAAGCAGAAAGGGTTTGAAAGGAAAAACCGGGTAGCTTCCAACTTCAGTAAAAGACGTGAAGAATCCTGGTATCGATTATTCCCGCAATAAGTTTATTGTGTATGTCAATTTGGTTTGTCACTGTTGGAATTGATGAAATGGTTGTTGTTGTGAAATTAAAATAATTTAGTGAGCTCAGTTGTGTTGTTATACTGCTCTGCTCTTATTTTTCAAACTTCAATTCAGAAGTATTGTTTGTGTTCATTAGGCTAAGTGGAGATTAATAACACTCTCTGAATTTCCCCTCTTTTAATTCACTGTTAACCTTAAATGAATGAGAATGGCTATCAAAGTAGTCGTAGAAGATTTTGCCACAAGAACCTACAAAAAAACCTTCCATTAAAAAACCCTATGATCGATCAGAATTCCAATCTCATCGTATACATAAACTTGGTGGATGATGGGTCAAATGAACCTCGTGATGATTGCCGTAATACCTGTTGATCCATGAAAACCTACGGATGGTATTTGTTCGGAGGCAAATTCAATTATATCGAACAAATCAACCGTTTTGGTAACAATTAACATCAACATAAAGAATTTTCTAGAGATGATTTTGAAATGGTATTTTAGAAAACAAATTGTTCCTATTATGACACATGTATTTTGGTGAAGATTTATTAATCACAATAGAGTGGGTTGTCCTTTTTGAAATTACCCATCAATGCAGATCAACCTTGAGGATCAACATACATATAAATTGCGAAAAACTCTTATCAAAGTAGGCAATCCAACGCAACCATTAGAGAATGAAAAGTATTAATGTAGGTAATATATGGAGTGTGTTTGATCTTTATTTGGAAGTAACTAGGGTCAGAAGAATGTTCATTCAAGGTAAGTTACACGCCTAATGAATAAAAGATGCATAGATAAGTTAAAAAAGATTATTATGAAATAATGTTGCGACAAAAATTGTTTGTATTTATGCAACCCACAAATATTTGGTTTGGCCTTGGTTTCTTTCTTCTTCTTTTTTTTCATTGTTTGGGATCACTTGTGGAAGTCGTAGGTAACTTTATACGACATGTCGCAACAAAGGCTATGACTACTACTGACTAATTTGTTGTTGGACTATTATAAGAGGATGGCCCAATGCGAGTTGAAACCCAGGACACGCGGCCGAGTCCAGGGTCAAGAAGAGGCAATTAAGCAAACCAAAACGACATCGTATTGAAGGAGAACATAATCTACTATGCCCAAAAGGGCGCCTGATATCACAAATGACAGAACCTTAAACCTCGGGCTCTCCAGAGCGAGCAGATCTGCGAAAATGAGAAATGATACACACAGAGAAGGTTAGGGTTTCCTCACCTTCTTTGTGGATGTCTCATCACTCATTTTCGCAGATATGTTAAAGAAGAAAGGCTCCTGCGGCCGCACAATGTCATTGGCTCTGTAATCAGAGCCTTCGTTGGAGATCAGAGACATGAGCGTGAAGAAAGAGAGAGACGAGGAGACGTGCGGATTTCAATCAAGCAAAACAAGCGAAGCTCCACCAATGCGATTCTTGTTTTGCGAGTTTTAACGCCTCGATGGCCGCCATGGATCCACGATCGGATCCGTTCAAGAGCTTACAGTTGAAATCGTGCAGCAATTAACACCGACACCAGAGATCTGATGGAGCTAGGTATGGGGGTTCCAGGACCCGTCAAAGTTGATTTTGAAATTTAGGGTTTACTTAGGTTTATGGCTTACCGAGATCATTGATTTTGATTTGATGGAGCGATAGGGCTGAGGACTTAGTAGATCAGTCTCTAATTCAATGCATTAATGCGTGGGCTGTTTGTTTCCATTCCAGGTACTCCATGGCAGCTTGCTCAAGGTGCGATGTCGATTGATAGAGGCACTGACAGCGGGTCTTCCATATATCGTTAAGGTTTTACTCCCTGCTCATTCAAGCATGTAGATGCTTTTCTTTTTTTAAATCATTTTTTGTTTAAAACGGATACAAAATGAACAAAAATATGTTTTCAGAGACAAATAGCATAGTATTGATGAAAACTTGAACCATATATCTGACAAAAACAAAATTGGCACACATGAATGATAGAATGGGAGCGCTTTGAAATAGCATATTTTTGTTGAATGATGTATCAACTAGAGGCATGATACGAGGGAGTGGGAATGGTATCTTACATATAGAATCAGAAACATTGTAGCAAAATCTGATGGTCTAATAATCATCAATAACTAGACTATTCCACCATCTGATGTTCTCAGCATCAGATGACGGGGTTTCTCTAACTTTTAATGTAACATCACGTGAAAGACATTAGAACGTGAAAAATCATAAATGGGTTAGTGCATTATTCGAATTTTGTTGCACTGTTCTAGGCAATATCAGTCTCAACTTTTCAAGTTAGGATGAGAAGGGAGAGGAGTCTCAGAAGTTCTCAGTATTTTCTTTTGCATCTATACACCGAAGCAATGTTTATACAACTAAAATTTATCTGCCCATATATACTGAAGACTGATTGAAAGTTATAATTTTAGGAAGTGTTGCAGCTCTCTCTTTTTCTCTCTCTCCCTCTCTCTCGTTGGTACACATTAATCTTAATTTGATGTAGTTTCTCATTCATATTTTATCATCTATTGACAATTAACTCTGGATTGTGTAAAAGCTGGAAGATATATATCATATATAATTTCTGTGTATTAGCAGGCATTATTTTTGGCAGTAAAATGTTGTTTAAAATAAAGTTATGATATACAAATGTAGTAATAGGGTATTTTAAAATGTTTCTTCAGTATGTATATTTTGGTTTGTAATCATTAACATTCACTGGTTATCCCACACCAAACGTTCTTCCTATGAGTAGCAACATCTTGCATTTTAAACAAAAGAACCTGTTGTTCTATGTTCCTTTTTGGTTATTGACATAAAGAACTGTTCTTCCTTTTGTTTTTCGATCTGAAACGAACTGTTCTTCCTATGATTCCCACTTGTGGCATTTTAATTGTTCTTCCCAAGAGTTTGTCCAGTTTTTGAAGACATTATTCGTTTATGAAATGCAAGCTGGAGTCTGTTACTGTTAGCTTTTTATTTTGTTAAGTAATTGTTTTTTTGGGATTGATGTTTCTTCTAGAGACATGCAAGAAGTTTCATGAGTGTGACACTTTATGTTTGTTTGCTGTGTTGTACACTTGCACGTTCAGTATGTTGCTGAGTTCTGTGCTTCGGTTTAACCTCTTCTTTTTTTCCACACTGACCATCTGGTTTATTTCAGTCTTATTCCAATTGTTATTAGTTCTGATGGTCCTAATTTATTAATTTTGCCCTCTTATCTATTTTAGTCTAAAATTTTGGTTCTTAGTATTATTTTATTAATTGTTTAACTATCTTTTTCCAGGATATCTGAAATCAGTGGCTAGCAGGATTTCGCCTCAAACTTCCTTTTTGTTTTTATAGATATAAATTATTTACTAATTTGATCTCATTTCAATCAAAAGTCTGTATAATATAAATTACTTTATTTTAGTGCTGCGGTCGTTCTCTTTTTCTTTTGAGTGGCGCTTGGAATTAGCCCCAAATATTTGTTGGTCTTGTCGATAATTCTAGTAGGCATGACTATTTAATTCACTATCGATTTTTCAGCCCATCAAAACATTGCAGCTAAACCATCTAAGTATTGGGCTTTCTAAAATTTTGACCCGTAGAAAAATTGGGTTTGCCTAAAATGTAAGTCCACAGGTTAAAATCTAGCCCATTTTAATGCTTTCGGCCCATTTTGTAATCGGCCCTTGGAAGTTACAGTACGTTTTGATGATATTCGGCCGACCTATAAATTATTGGGTAGGCTTACTATTGGGCCCATATTAGCCCATTTTACTGTTGTCACGTTATTGGGTCTAGAATTGGGTATGTTTTCAGTTATTGGGCCGACTTATCGGCCGTTCTTTACGTTATTAGGCCGACTATTGGGCCCTGGTTCACGTTGTTGGGCCAACTATTTGACCTATTATCTTTTGGGCCTTTTTGCACGATATTGGGCCCTTATTTGACCTGCTTCCAAGTTACCGGGCCGACAATTGGGCCTTTGATCCCTTATTGGGCCGCACTGTGGGCTGCTTCAACGACATTGGGCCTGTTCTCACGTTATTGGGCCGCTTATTGGGCCTGTTCCCACATTATCGGGCTGACTATTGGGCCTTTTCAAATTATTGGGCCTATTTCCACGTTACTGAGCCGCCTATTGGGCCTGTTCCCACATTATCGGGCTGACTATTGGGCCTTTTCCCCTTATTGGGCCTGTTTCCACGTTATTGGGCCGACTATTGGGCCTTTTCCACCTTATTGGGCTGGCTATTGGGCCTGCTTCCAGCACTTTGGGCCTATTTTCATGTTATTGGGTCGAAAATTGGGCCTTTATACTTTAATGGGCCTTATCCACATTATTGGGCCTGCTATTGAGCCTTTTACCAATAATGGGCCGAGTTTTGGACCCTTTTTTACGTTATTGGGCCAACTGTTGGGCCTGTTACAATGATGCGTCATTATTAGGCTATTTTTTGCTTTATTTGGCCTATTTCCACGTGTTGGCCCAATGATTGGGCCCATTTTCCAATCGTAAGCCCCATGTTGAACTTGTTGTCACGTTGTTGGGCTAACTTCTGGGGCTGCTTTACATTACATCAGTTTTCACTTTACCGGGCCAACAATTCCATATTTGGTCCTCGTTAAATTTTGGGGTCATTTAATATACGGCCTCGGAAAGTTTTAAGATCACTCCTTAAAGTGCTGCCTACAGTGCTGGGCCCCTCATTAGATGTTGGGATAATATTACCCTTGTAATTTAAGCCCATTGCCTTATTGGTCCAATACTTGGTGGAACGATGACAAACGAAGAGAAACATTACAGAACATTTTTCCTGGAAAAAAAAAGAAGGAAAAGAAATTCGACTTAACTTTCATATGCTATAGATAAATTGCATTAAGCTGCAGCACTGCCAGGCAGTTGGTTCAAGAAAATATATATTTCCTGCAAGACGAAACGCAGTTTTCACATTTTACAATGGAAGATCGGCCAAACATTATAGAGGAACAAAGCATTTCACCTGATTCAGTGAGAAAACAGTCGATATCCATCCACTAGTTAAATTATGTGTCAGGCAATGCGAATGCTGCAAAAGACAAGACAGCCTTCACAATATCACATCAATGACTGCTGGTTAAAATTATGCGAAGAAATGAAACAATATGTATATTACTGTGAATGCCTATAACAAACAAAGTTTCATTCATTTGCAATTCAAAACTTGTTGTGATGCATATGTTTGCCACATTATAAAAGACATACCGGCCATGTTAGAAGAGATTTAAGTGCTGCTGCCAGTTTCGTATATCAAGGCCTCATGAATAAGCCTGAAACAGAAAGTAAAATTCAAGATATACAATTAGGAAAAAGCAATAAAAACAAACAAAACAACTGAAAGCATGCATAGAGCGGAGATTACTCCAACAATCTGTGGATGTCCACCTCCAGGATCAGCAGCACAGCACCATTTTTTGATTTACTCCTAATCCAGTAGGAGTCCTTGCAACATCTTCGATATCTTTTATAATCAACCTCAAGAGAGCAACATGGATATCTCCTAACAGCCTTGAATCCTGATATCAAAATTGTATGAAATCAACGAGCAGTAGAAAACAGATGAAGAACACTTAACTAGAATGAACAATTTTGAAACAAAATAACTCATTGGTGGCTCACAGGAAAAGTGTTTTTTTTTCTTGGTCAATGTAGTCATGAAAAGCTTGAACAAACTCATCAAGAGTAAAAGGCCATAACTCAAAAACATCAGCAAAGGTAATAAAAAATCTCCAAACCAGTCACCATCATGATATTCAATTATCAGAACCAGAGGCATAATATAGGAAGAACAATTCAATTCAAGATTGTCAACCAAAGATTTCCTTTCATGGTTAATATTCAGAAAAATAATTTCCAGCGCCACAGTTACCAACTTTCAGGGTTAAATTCACTGAGGACAGTTACCAACGACACTATACTAAGCAAGTGCTTTATAAATCATGTGCCATGCAAGTAGTCATATTCTGAGGCAGTAACTTATAATTTCATAAAAAGAAAAAGAAAAGGCAATGTGGTGAACAATCTTTACTGATCAGGGAGAAAGGAAATAAAATGTGTACAAGAGCACTTACTAACTCAAAACTTTCAGATTTATGTTTCTGGATCAACCATTTCGCTCATCAGCTCAGCCTGCAACAATTCAGCAGGTCCACGCACCTTCTTGCAATTCCAAAACCCATCCACCATGGAACTCCATATTCCCTCATCTGGAACACATCCATCAAGCACCATCTCGTCAACAATTTGATACGCTTTGTGCAGGTCCCCCTTCTTCCAGATACATTTCACTAGAGTATCAAATGTCTTCATATTTATGGAGATACCCCTGGTACGCATGCTAAGATACAGCTGACAAGGTCTTGACCCCCAAAAAAAAACATACAGCTGACAAGCTCTATTTGGATCGCCACTACTACATAAGTCCTGTACCACTGCATTATGAATCCTTACATGAAGGCTCCAAGTTAGTCTGTTTGGTGAAACTCCTCCAAGGACCATCTAATCAAGAAAGTTTGCAGCTTCCTGGAACTTGCAAATATTGCAAAAGCTACTTATTACTTTCCCATACAGCCCTGCATCTGGTTTCATGCCTTGAAGCTTCATCCTATCTAGAATCTCCAAAGCTTCTTGAAGCTTTCCTTCTTCACAGAATCCGTGAAGCAAAGTACTATAAGTAATATTGTTTGGCTTATGGCGCTTACTGACCATTAAGCCTAATAGTTCCATTGCTTGTGAAGAATGCCCGCCCTTGCAAAGTCCATCCATCAAAGAGCTGTAAGTAAAGACATTTGGTTTTCATGTGTTCAAACAACCCCACAGCTTCATCCAAATTGTTGGTTTGGCAAAGCCATGTATCAAGGAAGTATACGTAACAACAGAGGGCAAACAACCTTTTGTTTCCATCTCATTGAAGAGCTCCTTTGCTTCACCAATCTTTCCTAACTTGCACAATCCATTAATCAAAGTACCATATGTATCTGAATCTTGGGGGCACCCATGATTGGGCATCTCACAAAATATTCGAAGAGCTGCACCCATGGAACTACTGTTCTTACAAAGGGCTTTGATCAAAATATACACAAAACAGTGCTAGCTGGAATGCCCGTTTCTCTCATATACTAGTAGAACCTGAAAGCAATCTTTAACTGGTTTTCTTCAACGAGAATGCCAAGTATGGTAATGTAAGATTTCGGGGTTGGTTTGCACTGAAAGTCCTCCATTTTGTGGAAGACCCTGACAGCATCCAGTGGCCTGTGAACGCAGACATACCCTCTGCAAACAGAGAGGAATATATCTTCTGTAACACTACACTTCTCCTCCTTCATCCTATCAAGTAACGCCTCAGCTGACCTGAACTGGTTCGCGGAGACTAATCTAGCAACCATGAGACCAAAGGTGGTGTGATCATGCCGAAAGCCATTGGTGTACTCGGCTGTTGTGGAATGAAATATGAGAATATCTTTCTGTATTTCCTTTTCAGCTTTTAACAGCTGCTCAAGTTGGGAAGTCATGATTTGTTTCAACCATTTAAACAAAGTTTTGCTGCCCATTGTATTGGCACCACTCTTTCTCAATAAGACAATATCACTCACTCCCAATTATGTTTCAGCTTTGCACAATAAACGCTTGCCTGCAAATCTCTGAAACAATTTCCACCTTTCTACAAACTTAATAGCAAAATGAGTCAGAAACCAGATAAACATTTGAATGGTTTGCTTACTAAACGGGTCATAAAAAATTTCATAACACTATGGCAGATCTTCCATATGTAAAGCATATATGAATGAATAAAATGAGGGGTAAAATCTTATCATACTGAAAATTCAAGAGCTTTGTTTCATAAATGTGAACTTTGTAAGCTATTCTTCTATTAAAATCATAGTAGTCCCTGTGTTGTGACTCTACTTGTAAAGCATGAAAGGTCAAAATCATAGATAGGCCTTAACAAATTTTAGGAAGTTGAACATTCTAAAGGTTAGAGGGTTAATACGGAATCTTAAAGGAATGGATGGACTTAACTCACACACCAAATTGAAGTTCCCTATATATTCAAAGATGGGAGGAGAGGGAGGGATAAGCTAATGTTTATACATTTATACATCAAACCATGTAGCAAAAACATTAGTGCGTCCAAGAGAAAGTAAACTAACCTATGGTAAATTTGTGGGAACCACAGCAAGTCCATCACACCAACATGAGCACAACCAAAAAGATCAGATGTCTGCAACAAATGAAATTATTTTTACTTCGTCTATGCACTATGGTTTTAAAACAACTTTAAGAGAAGCCACACCGGATACAATGCAAAGCCCCTCTATCATTAACATCACAAAAGAACACTAGCTAACCCTAACATAGCAATCGCAAAAGAACACTAGCTAACCCTAACATAGAAATCGCAAAAGAACGCTAATTAATCCTTACCATTGCAACTGCTAAAGAAAGCTATCTAAACCTAACATTGCAATCGAAAAATAACGGTAGCTAATATCGCAATGGAAAAAGAGCGCTAGCTAACCCTAACATTGCAAAATAAAATTAGCTAACCCTAAGATCGTAAAAGAACAGCGGCTCTAACATCAGAGAAGAACACTAACCCCAAAATCAAGGCTCTGGCCTCCTAGGATCGCATTTGCATGTTGCTGCAGATAACGAATTCGAAGCACCTCGATGTACCGATCTGACAGTCCTCGATGATCTTCGATTCGGTGCTCTCTCACCGGAGGAAGAAAAGGCCCTCTACAGCGCCTCATTGTCGATGGTCCAGAGGAGTTCCTTACGAAGAATCGGAACTCAATCTCCGCGATCTCGGCGGAGGCCAAAAGAAAACAAGACGGAGGAAATGGGATAAAAATGAAAAGTCTTAAGCGAGCGAACAATATATTTTATATTTTGGATGGAATTTCGTTTTCGGGACGGTACGCTCGTTTCGTGGAGTCGGTACTAGTTGTAAATATCTTCTTTTTTTGGGTCTGACTAGTTGTAAATATCTCTCGACCAAACAACTGCGTAAGATTTGTGAGGGGTACTAGTAACGTGAAATTGAAATAACTCACAGTCCTTGCATTCCTATTCTTGTTTAGTAAACGTGCCTTAAATGGCAAGAGTAGATTGCCCTTTTCAGATTTAGCCAACAATGAAACCTACCTTGAGGATCAAGAAACATATCTACTGAAATATCTCTTATCAAAGCAGGTAATCCAGTGCGACCATTAGAAAATCAAAAGCAATAATATAGGTGATCCTACAAATCCATGACTATCAACTTATCTTTACAAATCCAGTGTAACCATTAGAAACAACCTTCTGTTTATATAGGCTTTGTATGACTCTTATTTATACCTGTTCCCTGAAATTGCATGTCCAAGCAATCTACTGGCACTTTTCTTCTCGTAATCTTTCATGGCAGCCGCAGACACCACCCTTGGTCATCCACACTTTTGTGTGGTGACCGTTCTTTTGATTTTTCTTGTATGCCAATCAACAGCTAATGGTGGGTTCAGTGCCAAGCTTATCCACCGAGAATCTCCAAATTCACCATTCTATAATCACTACAAAACTCCTTCCAAGCTTAAGAGACCAATATTCTATCAAAACAGCGCACAATCACAAGTAAGACCTGACAATGGCCAGTATCTTATGAAGCTCTCGATTGGAAATCCGCGGTTCGATGTTTATGGCATTGCCGACACTGACAGTGATCTACTGTGGACACAATGTGCACCCTGTGATGGCTGCTACAAGCAGATAAATCCCAAGTTCGACCCCAAACAGTCCTCAACATATAGTGACCTTTCTTGTGATGCACAAGAATGCAAAGCAATTGGCACCGGGACATGTTCGCCGCAACACACTTGCAGCTACAGTTATGCTTATGGAGGTGGTGCATCAACCCAAGGGGTATTGGCTAAGGAAACAATTACCATAACATCAACATCAGGGGAGGCAAATTCCCTGAAAAATATTGTGTTTGGTTGCGGACATAACAATACTGGGGGTTTTAATGAGAATGAAATGGGAATAATTGGTCTGGGAGGAGGCTCCTTATCACTTGTTTCTCAATTGGGTCCTTTAGTTGGGGGCAAAAAATTATCATTCTGTTTGGTGCCATTTCGTACTGATCCTAGCGTTGAGAGCAAGATCAGTTTTGGGGAAGGTAGTGAAGTATCAGGGCATGGTGTGGTTTCAACACCTTTGGTGTCCAAAGCAGACAAAACCCCTTATTTTGTGACAGTTGAAGGAATTAGTGTTGGAGATAAGCTTGTGCCTTTCAGTTCGTCCGGGAAAGTTTCGAAGGGCAACATGTTCATGGACACAGGCACACCTCCCACACTTTTGCCGCAAGATTTTTATGACCGCTTGGTGGCGGAAGTGAAAAATCAGATCCCAATGGCACCCATTGAAAATTATCCAAGTTTGGGAACTCAGCTTTGCTACAATATAAAGACCAATCTCGAAGGACCAGTATTGACTGTGCATTTTGAGGGTGCTGATGTGAAGTTGACGCCAACACAGACTTTCATTTCACCAAGAGATGAGGTTTTCTGCTTTTCAGCACAGAATGTCACCAGCGATGGCGGTATCTATGGGAACTTTTTTCAGTCAAATTTCTTGATTGGTTATGACCTTGAAAAAATGGTGGCGTCCTTTAAGCCGACTGACTGTACAAAAGAATAGTAAGTTCCAATTACATAATATATAATAAAGGAATGTCAATCGGGTCTAGCCCATTAGTAGGCAAAAGCAAATTTCACAAATTGGCCAAATACGAAACTTGTCAAACACCAAAAGCAAATAAGCAAATTCAAAAAACACGAGAATTTATTCTAGTTGGACATGTGTTAGCCCATGCATGGGTTAACTTCAAATTAGCGCCGAGGAAATACTCCTTTTTGACCCAAATATTTAATTAGTAAGTGATCTGCCAAAAGCTATTAGTTCAAGAATAATGTTACTCTTATCACATTTGTATACCACATTTGTATATCACATTCTTATACCATCTTATGTGACAGCTGATGTGGACAACCATATCAATTAAAATTATTTAATATTTTTTTTTTCTTTTATGATTTATTATAGTATTTATTTTTCTAATTGTCTTAATTAAAATACACTTCATTGATTTAATTAATGTGACATATAATATGCACATGCCACATCATATGATATAGAAATGTGGGATACAAATGTGGTAAGTGTAACATTACTCTTAGTTAAGCTAAAGGTAATTAAGGACAATAATAAATAAATGTTATTTGAGCTGAGCTTCCTGCTCTTAGCGAAAAAATTGCTGGCGTGGCTTGGAGTTGACTAAGCTGATGGATAGAATGAAGGGCAATTAGTGAGAAATTATAGAATACTATGGTAGTATGATTATGTGGTATATCTTGAACACGTGTTATAATATGGGTGGATGATATGGTTTATTTTCCCATTTTTAGGAAATAATATCAATAAATATCCACTTCTATTATAACACGTGTACAAGATATATCACGTGACCATACTACCATAGTATTCTATAATCACTTACAATTAGCATATATAATATCTCCATATAAGGACCTGACACTAATTAAACACTTGAAATTTTTCATATTTATATTTCCCAACCAACTTTCAAAGATATTCTCCATATATGTGAACCAGACTTTTTTTTTTTTTTTTTTTTTTTTTGGTTTTGATGACCAGAGACTAGTCTTGGTGGTTTGTTGCATCCACTACCATCTTCTCATATTGGTAGGTGAAGCAAAAATTCATTGGAAGATTGAATAAACCAAGCTACCTTAGCTGACGGCCATATTTCCACGTGTAACACTTCTAGATTTTAACGCGCGTTAATAATATATACATGTTTTTAAAATAGGCATGAAATTTCATGTGTGGCTGGGGAAGAATTAGTAGGTAATCTAAGGCAACCATTAGAGAATCAGCAAGCATTAATGTAGGTGACCATGGAAATCCATGTGTGCCTACTTATACCTTTCTCTACAGATTTAGCCATCAATACAAATCTACCACTTTCTGTTTCAAGGCTTTGTCTCTCCTTACATTTATATCTGTTGCCTGAACTGAAACTGGATGTGTATGCAAATTTAAGCAATCTCATTTTCTTCTCTCCTATAGCTCTCTCTCATCTCAGTCTCTCTCATGGCAGCCGCAGACTTTGGTGCAGTGACTATTCTTTTCGTTTTGATTGCATGTCATTTAGCTGCATCAGCAGGTGTTAATAGTGGGTTCAGTGCCAACCTTATCCAGCGAGACTCTCCAAATTCACCATTTTCTTCCAAGAGCTTCAATAAAGCTTTTGGACGCAGACGCTCCATGAGACCAGTATTCTATCCAAACAGCGCACAAGTAAGACGTGACAAGGGCCAGTATCTGATGAAGCTCTCGATTGGAAATCCACCGTTTGATGTGTACGGCATTGCCGATACAGGCAGTGACCTCGTGTGGACACAATGTGTGCCATGTCATGGCTGCTACAAGCAGCTTAATGCCAAGTTCGATCCCGATAAATCCTCAACATATAGTGACCTTCCTTGTGATGCACAACAATGTCATGCAATTGGGACTGGGACATGTTCACCCCAACACACCTGCAATTACACTTATGGGTATGGAGGTGCTGAATTGACCCAAGGAGTCTTGGCTAAGGAGACAATTACCATAACATCCACCTCAGGGGAGGCAACTTCCCTGAAAGATATTGTGTTTGGTTGTGGACATAACAATACTGGGACTTTTAATGAAAATGAAATGGGAATAGTTGGCCTGGGAGGAGGGGCCTTATCACTTGGGGGCCACAAATTCTCCTTCTGTTTGATGCCATTTCATACTGATCCTAGTATTGAGAGCAAGATCAGTTTTGGGGAAGCTAGTTTAGTATCAGGGGAAGGTGTGGTTTCAACACCTTTGGTTTCCAAAGAAGACAAGACCCCATATTTTGTGACAGTTGAAGGAATTAGTGTTGGAGATAAGCTTGTGCCTTTTAGTTCATCAGGGAATGTTTCAAAAGGCAACATGTTCATGGACACAGGCACGCCTCCCACACTCATTCCACAAGATTTTTATGACCGCTTGGTAGCAGAAGTGAAAAGTCAAATTCCAATGACACCGGTAGAAAATTATTCAAGTTCGGGTTTTCAGCTTTGCTACAAAAGCAAAACCAATCTCAAAGGACCAATATTAACTGTACATTTCCAGGGTGGTGCTGGTGTGAGATTGTTACCAAAACAAACCTTCATTCCACCAAGAGAGGAGGTTTTCTGCTTTGCAATGCAGAATGTCACCAGTGATGGTGGTGTTTATGGAAACTTTGCCCAGTCAGATTTCTTCATTAGTTATGACCTAGAAAGCAGCGTGGTGTTTTTTAAGCCAACTGATTGTACAAAAGAATAAGCTTTTTTATTATTTTATTTTCTTGGTAATAAAATAAAAGGTTAATTTACCATTTCTTTTGTCCATTCAAGTAGTTCAGTACTTTTAATTTTCTTCACTAGATTGTTGTCCTTGTTCGCGAGCATCGATGCCGCTAGCTGTGACGGGTAGGCCAATGGTCATTGTCATTGGACACCAAAAAAACAAAAACCCAAAATATATCAATGCTATTTTACAACCACGAAGACGAGGTTAAAACTTTTTAGTGAGGTGTTGATCAATTTGGTACTCTGAAAATTGAACCGCAAATTTCACCGTCAACATTGAATTATTGGTGCTAATAGCATTCATATATGATAGCAGATAATAAGCTTGATCAGCATAATTCTCTACGCAATACAGCATGTACGTACTAACTTACGGATCTAACTAACAAGGACTACATAAATAATCACAAAAAGCAAAAATCCTTTTGCACAGAAGGGACATACCCAGATTCCATAGCAGCAAACTAATTGCCAATAGAGGAGATTTATATGGGGGCTGCACACGTTGTTCTAAAGTGGCCTGTTTGATTGCACCGACTACAATGCACAACTCGCTTCACACGGCCACGGTCTTCAGCTCGAACACGCTTCTTCCTTGGTCTTCCTGGTGGGCGGAGTGACTTAGGTGGGTTGATGAGAACCTCAGCAGCGTTGCTTGCATTTGGATCTCCATCAGATAACTCCATCCAAAGGGATTTGTCTGGAATAGGATGTATTGTTTGTGAGTATGTCTTTCGATAGGTGGTAACTGTGAAACAACTCTCAGTGAATCGATTGACTTGCTGCCTGCACGATTTAAGTGCTGCAACAGCGTGTGCGCATGGCAAACCATAAAGCTGCCAGCCCCGACAAAGGCAGCAACGGTTCCGAATGTCCACAACATTCGTCCCTTCATGAGATATAACTTCAAATTCAGCTTCATTAGCACGAAGGACCTGAAAAGTGCGTGCACGCTCTTCAGCCTCCGCAACGCGCCTCTCTGCACTAGGCACAAGAATCGATGTCCACTGCATACTGGTCTCTCGACGCTCATTGAACCAAGTCATTAGCTGCCTTCTAATGAATTCCATCATCTGAATTATTGGAAGCCCCGACGCCTCCAATATCCAAGTATTTAGCGATTCAACAATGTTAGCTGTCAAATGCCCAAACCGTGTTCCCTCAAAGTAAGCAGTAGCCCACAAGCGAGCTGGAATTCTTCTAATCCAATATGCAGCATCTTGTGATATCTCTTCAATCTCTAATATTTTTGCTTCAAATTCAATTACAGTGAGAACATGAGCAGCTTCCCATAAAAGATTAACAAGCATTGTATTATTAAACTCCTTGCGGAAGCTATCACTCAAATGACGCATGCAAAAGCCATGAAAAGCAGTAGGAAAATTTGCTTCAACTCCATCTACAATGCCCTTCTGCCTGTCTGACAAAATTGTAAGCCTAGGCATGTTTTCTGTATTAATCTCAAGCAGATTATGAAGTTCAGAAAGAAACCACATCCAATTATCATCACTCTCCTCGTCAACAACCCCAAATGCCAGAGGAAAGAGAGCACCATCACCATCGAAACCGGTCGCAAGAAGCAAAGTACCTAGATACTTACTTTTCAAATATGTCCTATCAAGCCCAAGGAGGGGCCGACAAGCATTCAGGAAACCATAAATTGATGCCTGAAATGATATGAAGAGACGCTGGAAGCAGTTATCATTCGGGTTTCCATAAACAGACGCAATACTCCCTGGGTTTGTCCGTTTAAGCTGTTCACAATATTGTGGAAGCAAGCGATATCCTTCTTCAAACGATCCACGCATTGCAGCCATGATACGCTCCTTTCCTCGCCAAGCTTGCTTGTATGATAAGGTGATACCATGAACTCGATGAATCTCCTCCAGTATCTCCTTTGGCTTATAATTAGGGTTCTCTCTAAGCCGTTGCTCCACAGAATTTGCAACCCACTGAACTGAGGCTTGCTGATGGCCAAGATGAGAAATTCCTCCACATGTATGATTCTCTTGGATGGTCCTGATTGTGAAAGTTGGAACTCCTGGGAGTTTTGCAGCATGAATGCGCCATGGGCATCCCTCACTGGCACATTTGGCAGTGAAGCGAGTCTTGTCAGATTTAATAGTCTGCATTTCAAAGTGCAAGGCAATGGCTGTATCCCTTAGAGCCCTCCGGCAACTCTTGACATCAGGGAACTCTTGCCCCACTGCCAATTCATAATTGGGATTTACAATCGCCATACGGGCTTGAATTACAGGACTGGAGCTGAGTACAAGCTGGGATTCCTGGACACTCATATCATGGGCAGATTCTATCCCCATTTCATGATTATGATCCATAGATAGTTCCAAATTTTCATCAAGTTCTTGGTCCTCTGAGACAGCCAGCTCATTGTTCTCTACTAAACCCAACTCATGGTTCTGAGGATGAAGAGCCAACTCATGGTCATCATGATTAGGTTTACGATCCATACCTAACTCATCCCCATGCCCGTAGCTGTGACCATCATCCCCTTCTTGCTCATGGCTCTGTCCTAAACCCAATTCATGGTCATGAGCATGCCCTAATCCCAGGTCATGGTCATGAGCCTGCCCCAAACCCAAATGATGCTCGTTGGCCTGTCCCAAACCTAAATGATGATTGTCGGCTTGTCCCATCTCAAACTCATGATTTTGCCCAAGGCCTAGGTTATGATTGTGGCCCAGTACCTGCTGATTTTGCCCAAGTGCTAAATTGTGACTTTGCCCAAGTATCAACTCATGGTTAGCCATTCACGAATTTATCACAATGTATCAAAGTATAAAAAAGACGTCCACAGCTCCACAGCCTCCCAAAGTAACTACCAATTTATAGTTGGAAGCACTGCGTTCAGACTGTACTAAAGCATGCCTACAAAGTGACATAACTACAGTCAATAGCCAATTGCATACCTCTATCACATCAAGCATCAACACTAAAATCTACACGCACATCTCCATATACAAGAAAATTACATGATAATAAGATAATCAAACCTTGGAAAATATGAAAGGACACACTTAGCAAGACAAACAACACCTGGCAATTTTTTACATTCTTTCACTCCCCACCTTCAGCATTTTTTATCACATTAACATTAAGAAACCACAAATTCGCAAATCCACAAGAACTTTGAAACAAAAAGTGTATCCAAACTTGAAATAAGCAAATTTAAACCATCAATTCTGGTTATTGGAAATCTAAACAATCAACCAAAACAAGCATCATCTGCTTCTGATGAGAACAGTATGAAAAGAAAGGAAATCGAAAGCTGAACTAGACTTTTCACATTGGAGAGCTATTAAAGCATAAGCATCACTCAGGTGATCTCACCACTACCATGGACATCAGCTCAAGTGAGCTTACAATCTTTAAAACTGAAAACATAAACACAAAGTCCAGAATTTAACTTCCCCTTCGTTTGAAAAAGTTTCCAAGCCACCAAAAAAGAGTACTCTAATTCAGTAACTCTTACTTCATAGAAGACCATTAACCATATAAAGAACAACGGAGATGCAGAATGGGAAACCATGCCACTCAAAACAAACAAATTTATTTTGTTAGCAAATCGTCATTGACAACAAAGCCAAAATGTTCAAATCCTTGACCAATGCATTCACGTCTAGAGCTCCATATCTTAACCAACTACTAAAAAAAAAATCTTTGAACCAAGACCATACCCACCAACCAAAACAATCGCTACACCGAAATTAACAGCAAAACAAGCTAATTTAACACATTAATAAGACACTCAAAAAATAAAAGCTCAACCAAGCCAAGAGAACATATTGTGAGGACAAACCAAACCATAAAAAGTAGATAAAACATTCATTTGGACCGGAATAAACTTTCAAAGATTGAAATAAACTCCAAATAACACAAACCTATCAAAAAACGCCAACAAATCAAAGCTCTCAACAGTGAAAATCAAACAACATGATACCTGAAATGTCCGAAACCCTAGCTTCAGACCCTATCACATCCACAAATTCATCTTCTAATTAACCAAATCAACAGAAGACAGAACTGGGAAGTGCGCAAAACTCCAAAAATCGAAGTCCCAAAGCGGCGCAAGACGGATCGAGCTCGAAAGTCAAGGTCTTGGAAAGGAAGAGAGAGAGAGAGAGAGAGAGAGAGAGAGAGAGAGAGAGAAGATGGACTGCGAAAGGGGGACAGAAAAAAAACAACGATAATTTGAAAAGAGGAGTTGAAGGATTTTGGCGGGTAATTGTGCAGAAAATCGTGAAGGGCAAGAAGGAGACGAAGAGAGATTGGGAATTACAGGGGCAGAAGAGGCAGTGTATGTGAGGGTTGAGAAGGGAAATACAGGTACGAGGGCTTTGAGAGAAAAAGGGGTATTTAGGTCAAAGAAATTGGGAATGGCTTTTCTGAATTTACTGTTTTGCCCCATGGGCTATCTACTGTTTTTATAATAGCTTTGATTTTTATGGAAAGGCACCCAATAAAATAATATAATATGAATTGTTGCTTTGAGCTTAGATTAGGAATTGAAATCTATCCATTAAAATGATTTTGAAAAATATATATATATATATATATATATTGCAGTGGTGACAACTTTTTCTATGTAAATAAAAACAAATTTTATTTTGTGCATCGTAGTTTGATCAAAGGATGAATAATACAACTATGCATGAAGTTTTGAATTTGATAGATCATCCAAATCAAATTGATCACATATGTGATGGCTAAGACCAAAACGTAAGCACAATATAACCAAAATATTTATTCTATTCCAAATTAATTACTTTTTCTAATTAAGCTTTAAATTTTCTTAATTGGGGCCACAATGTCTAAAACTGCCCATTGCAGCAAACCAGAGCCCAAAAAACAAAAACGTCAAAACTACATGAGGATGAGGAAGGGGCCCAATACGTGAGAGCTGAAACTTAACCCATGATTCATATGGGCCAAGTGATCAGCTCAAACCTTACTTTTTCCTTTTGGGTTGACGTGATCAGCTCAAGCTTGAAATACGAGGTTCAACAACAATCTGCAAGAGAGAGTGATGATATTTCCAGCCCTCCCTTATTTTCTCACAAACTTTATATTTTCAATAAAACCTATCAACATGCCAATTACTAATTCATAAACACACACACGGGTGGAAATAGTAGCACGCATTCATAATTATAATCTTATCGTCAATTCATAAACAATGTACAAGTCGAATTCCATAATTACAATTTGATTAGATATATACAAAAGTCTAATTGATGAATTAGCATATCATTCTATCTCATCCGTAAATCCAAATTTGGTAAGTTGCGTAGTGCATATGCAAATTATGCAATTGCCAATTGCTGCTCCAAATTAATATAAAGTGATAAATATCCTCATCCACTTCTTCACCTTCATTCATAATTAACCACTTGCATTGTTTTATTATTTAATATCCTCTATCTCTAGGCCTTGTTTCTCTAGAGACAATGTTTTCTTCAGCTTATTCTTCCTCCTCTGCCAGCTTGAAGAAGAGAAAGAGAGAGAGCAAGGCCAAGGCTGGTCAGCAGAAACGTCTGAGGGAGGAAAGTGAACGTCCAGTGAGAAAGATCACTGAGGGCTATGAAGTTTATGAGGCTGTGAACAAACGTCGTCATACCATGGAGTTAGCGAACAGTTTTTTGAGGGCTGAAAAGATGAAACTCCTTGGGTATTTGAACGACATCCACTTGTTTATCTGCAAGTTTCAAGAAACTGGTTTTGATGGCAACCCCCTTCCAAAACCTCCACTGTCTATGCTTGATTAATATGTTCTCCTCGTTTTAGTTAAGTTTAATTAATGTATATTATTAATTGGTTTAGTGCATGTGATGTTTGTGTCGCTTACCTAGGACTAGGAGTGCTTAACAATAAACAATGGTGATGTTCGATTCTTTTTGTTACGGTCGTTTTGTTTCTTATATAATTTGTCATTGCAAAAGCTGTTCCTTTTTTATTTTATTTTTTTAAATTATTATTTTGACAAGGGTTGCAATTGCAACTAGTAAAATTGGACTTGATATGGGGTGATCTGTTTTACAGAATGCAAATTCCATCTTGAAGGTTCAACAAAAATTTATACCAAAATACTCGAATTTATTTATTAAGCATGATTTGTGGTCAATTACACGTGACTTATGGATAATTACAAGTTTTCATTTTACCTTTTTAAAAAAATCGAAGTGCCACACTTGAAAGTCCTGAAACAGGAGCGTCTGCTTAGCCAATAGATGAGCAACACTTCCGAGGACCAAATTGACAAGAAATATGAGCAAATTTCATTTTACCTTAAGAAATAGATAGAAAAAAAAAATAAAGTGTTATTATGGGCTTTATTCTAATGCCCAACACGTGGCCGCCATCTGTCCTATACAGTGTGTAATTCACTGGAAAAGAAAAAAGAAAAGAAGAAGAGAAGAAAAGGGCCAACTAGCTATTTTTCCCGGGAATCTTCGCTGTCCATCTTTTTTTGGTGGGAAATCTTTTCCGTTCTCATTGAACAACAGCCCATCCAATCTTTTTTTCCTACTTCTTTTCATTTTTCTTTTTTTAGGGGTACTTTCGGTATCGTGTTGTTTTCTCTTATCAGCAGCCGACTTTTTGGCCTTTGTCGGCATATATTTCAACACCAACTTCTGAATTCCTTTTGTTTTTATATTTCTAATATGAAAATCATATAGTGAAGGGGCCAACGTGCATATGATGTTGTAAAGCTTCAACCTTTCTGTTGGGCTTTTGTTTCTGCTTGAAATCTCTCGCCAAACCAATTATTCGTTTTTCGTTTTGGCATTAGTCCGCCCTCAATTGGGTCTCTTTCATTTCCACGCTCTGCCCTCTGAATATTCAGTCATTCACTGCTTTCTTTGGTTCCACCACACATGAACAGGTCAGATTCTAATTTTGTAATTGTAAGTAAGTTCTTGTTTTCAATGCAACTTATATTTTTATGATATGATCATCGTAGATTTTGTTGTTAATTGGATTGGTGGGTGTGGTAAATATTCATTCTTTATGTGAATCGAGTCTCTGTTTTGTACTGCCAAGTTGGTTTAATTAGATTGAATTGGGCCATTAGCCTTTTGATGGGTGTTCATATTTCAAGTGATGAAATTTCAAATTCAATTTCCGTTTTTTCTTTTATCATTTTGCTGATAAGCTGGCTTTTCTTTTTTTGGGTCATTTGTTAGAGTCGTTGTCGTTAGTGATCTTGTATTGGAAATCTGGATATAGGTTGTTTCAGTTTTCTTGTTTACTTGGATTTGCTAGCTTCTTGGTCAGGTGTATTGATCTGCTAAGAGAAATTGGTCACTCCCTATTGCTATGTGTTTGTCCTTTTTATGGCGTTGACCCTTAAAAGTTTCTGCCGCCTTGGGGTGCAGATTGGTTTTAGCTTTTAATGGAGGTATTGGCTTGGATTATGTGGATCTTGATGTATGAGTAATAACGTCTTATCATGTTCATTAATACTGGTTTGATATGCATGCTAACGGTTCATTTGATATCGGGTTTTCTATGAGAAAGGGGGTTTCTATGAGAAATGGGGTTGCGTTTCATATAAATGTTTTCTTTGTTAGCTTCTGGTATAGTTTTTTCATGGTTATTGACTAATTGTCTATGAAATTGGTTTATGCATGTCACTTCCCTTTTCTATTTTTGGGTTAAGATGTTTTCTTTCAAAATTCTTAGGTTTGGTTTTTTGTTTACTGCCTACTTGTTTACTTTTGGCTCATTTTTCAATCCTTGGTGCCTTCTCAGTTTATGGGAGGAATGATGCAGGCCTAGCTTCTGGTGTTACATTAGTTGTTTCTTTGATTGTTTTGAGCCTCCCTTATCCATTACTGAATACAGTGCCGAGTTTCACCTTGGAGTACTGATTCTTATTGGAAGGACTGGAGTGTTTTCTATTTCAAGCACATGGCTGCCATGGGGACTTCATCTGCATTTATGCAGAAAGCCCCCCAGGATTTGACTAAAGTTTTGGTAACAGCTATCTTTGAGTGGTTGCTTATTTCTATGCTGTTCGTTGCTGCCATATTCTCCTATATAATTACAAAGTTCGCTTATTACTGTGGATTGCAAACACCCTGCCTGCTGTGCTCAAGACTTGATCATGTTTTGGGCAAGGAAAAACTTGGTTATTATTTGGACCTGTTCTGCGGCAATCACAAGTCAGAGATTTCTTCATTAGTTCTTTGCCATGCTCACCATAAGCTTGTAGATGTTCATGGAATGTGTGAAAGTTGCCTCTTCTCATTTGCCACAATTAATAGATCCAATGCTGAGACATACAGATTACTGGTGGGTAAGTTGGGGGATGATGCTAACTTTGATTTTGATCAGGACCCATTACTTGGGGGTCATAAATCTTGCCTTTCAAGCGGAACACTTTGTTCTTGTTGCAATCAGCCATGCATATCTCGGGGGCATTCTCAAAAGTTGATTCAGACAAAAAAATTTGGGTCCGAGGCTGAACTTGATGTGCACTTATCTCGTGATATTGAACATAATCAGAAAGAACTGAGGAAGGGACAAGATGAATCATATATTTCAGTAAGAGCCACTCATATTAGAGATAGTGGGCTTCACCCTTTATCTCATGTTGGATACACAGAGCTCAAGGTTACTTCTGATACTGAATCGGAAGTTCATTTTTCTGATGATGATAATGCAAGTGGTTTGATTCATGAAAGATGTGATCCCAAGGAAGATATCTCTGCTCAATATGCTGAGCCCCGCATTATTACTCCAGCACTGATAGATCCAGCATCTGTGCCCAAGCCTTCACTTTTGGCATCACGGGCAGAAGTAGATCCCAACTCCAATGGTAGTACATCTGTAGCACCAACTGTTGTTTTTGGCCATGGATTGGAGGACTTTAATTGGCAAAAAGTTGGAAGCAAGGGTGATTTCCCTGCATTAACTGAACCTATCCTTGACAATACCCCTCCATCATCAAATGCAATGGAAGGCCCAGTTGAAGTATCAAAAGGAAGAAGTAAGTTCACAATTTTTTGAGTTTCCTCTTTTTTCTCAATGTCTTGATTTTGCTCTCTTTTTTTCCCTCTAGAGTTCAAAATATTTTTGCTTTTTGTTTGAAATCCTTCTGCATAAAGCACCCACTGCAGTAAATTGACTTCACAATGTTCATTCTTGTCTGTGGTGATTTCTCTCAGAAGATGCGACAATAACTCATGAAACTGATCAAATATCTGCGGCAGAACCTAGGGAATTGTACAAGGGAGGAGTCAGGACACTCACAACATCTGAAACAGGTGTGGAAACAATCCCCGTCTCAAGCAACACCGATCAGCAAGTAACCGATGTTTTAGATCTCGGTGATGCTTATAAGCTTGTTGTTGTTAGTAAAGGAAGGCAGTTATCTGGTGTGCTTGCAGAACAATGGATTGGGAAGGACTCTTCAAGAGTTACTGAAGATTTGAAGGTCTTGCTCTCACAATTGTCTGGCACTCGAGGGAATGAGCAATCAACAAACGAAATGAGTCCAAAGTTGTCCTCAAATAGTGGTGATTTGAAGGCTTCCGATTCTTCCAACTCTATTGGGTTGCAGATACTTCAAAAGAGGATCTCACTTGAAAGAAACGAGTCTGGGTTATCTCTGGATGGGAGCATTGTCAGTGAAATTGAGGGTGAGAGTGTTGTTGATCGATTAAAACGGCAGGTTGAGCATGACAAGAAACTTATGAGTGCTTTGTATAAGGAGTTGGAGGAAGAAAGAAATGCTTCTGCAGTTGCTTCTGATCAAGCAATGGCCATGATTACAAGACTGCAAGAGGAGAAGGCAGCACTCCACATGGAAGCACTTCAGCACCTACGAATGATGGAAGAGCAAGCTGAGTATGATAACGAAGCACTTCAGAAGATAGATGACCTTCTTGTTGAGAAGGAGAAGGAAATACAAGATCTAGAGGCAGAGCTGGAATTTTATAGGAGGAAGTTCCCAAATGAATCGATGCTAGAGAATCTGCCAGAGACAACCTGTGATATCCAGGCAAGGGATATTGTGGTGGATCATTCAGAATCAAGCAGCATTGAACATAGTGCTAGTGTTCCTAAACATGTGGACACTGGAAGGCCTCATACATACAGCACTATGCCTTTTAGTGATGAGGATGGTGGTAGGGTAAAGACTTCACTTTTGGATTTTGAAGATGAGAAAATACAAATCTTGCAATGTTTAGAGAAGTTAGAGAAGGCACTTTCATTGTTCTCTAATAATGGAGAAAACTCGGATTCATCTAAAGGTGATTGTTCTGAAAATGGAGGAAATGGGGTTGGCAAGTCAAATCTGCATAATGGTGATGGAGGTTCTCAACAAAATGATGTAATACGAGAGAATGGTTTGCCAATGCAACATCAAGTGCCTGTAACGTCAGGACATATTTCATCCCTTGAGAACCCTCTGTTAAACGGTAAACAGAGTGAAACTTATTGTAACGGGCAGAACTCTGCAGAGCTCTGTCAAGTGACTGATTTAGCTTCTCTTCCGATCCTGATTTCCGATCTGAATAAGAGGTTGAAGGCACTTGAGGCAGACCGAGGGTTTCTTGAACGCACAATTAACTCACTTAGATATGGAGAGGAGGGACTGAAGTTCATTGAACACATAGCTTCCCACCTGGGGGAATTACGGAAGGTCAGGATAAGAAGAGATCGAACTTCAGCTTGAGCATGTATAATCCCTTCACAAATGTGAGTTCCTTAATCAATCCTTCCTACTCATGCCAGCATATCTTTATCTCTTTCCCTTTCGTTAAAAATGTAAATTGTTCTATGTCAGGTGGCATGTGAAATGGAGATGATGTTCCAGAAGGCAGAAGCTGGACTGTATGATAGCCAGTATATGTATTGTATTGAAGATTGTGTATGAAGTGTACAGAAATACTAGCTCGTTTCCTCTCAACACAAAGAAAATGATAGGATTTGACCACATACCCCATATACAGTTGGTCGTTTTTCTCCCTTCCCCGCCTTTTTTGGGGTCTGACATATTTCACTTTTTACCTTGGAAGAAGTATGTAGAGTTGGTGAGCCTTTTCTTGTTTTCCTCATTAGATTTGAGTGGGTGTTTATTCATTTGTTTTTTTTTATTCAACTTCTTTTCTTTTCCATTTTTGGTTTCTGGAGTGGATGAGTGATTGCACTGTAAAACGGGTGATTATTGTGTGTAAACTGTAAATTATACTGTTGTGATCAATAAGAAGGTTGATGCCATTTTGATTTGTACTACCTCATAATTTCTTTTCTTTTTCATCTTCATTAAATCTGTGTCTACTGTTCTATGTGTTTATGCAAGTAGAATCATCATCTATGGACTTTATGGAAATCTCACAGGCTTAAGCTCAAATCGAGTCAAATTTGAAATCTGTGTAAAATTGAAAAATAAATAAATAAGAGAAGGATATCAAAAAATGTATTGGGTATTTTATTGCTTTTTGGTTTTGACTAATTATTCTATTTTATTTTTAGATGAATAAATAACTTTATTTTGACAAAAGAAAATATTTAGAGTTCTATTTGATGTATAACTGGAGACTCGAAAACCTATCTCTAATCACATAATTGTATTGTTGTTGCCTATAAATAAGAGGTAAATATTTACGTCTAAAATACATTAATATTTAAAGCGTACCGCCACTCGGCTATACTTTTAAAATATTAATATATTCAAACCGTATAGCTGCGCGGCTATAATTATAAAATTTTCGTATAAATTTAAAGAGTATAGCCGATTAGTACATATTTAAAGAATAAAATATTCGTATAAGACGTATAGCCGCACGGCTAAAATATTAGAATATTAGTAAATATTCAAAGTTTATAGCCGCACGGCCATACTTTAAAAAATATTCGTATAAACTTATAGAGTAAAGCCGAGCGGCTATATGTTTAAAATGTTAATAAATCTTAATATATTTAAAAAGTATAGCCGCGCGGCGATACGTTAAAATATTCGTATATATAAAGAATATAGCCGATCGGCTATACTTTAAAAATGGTCATGCTTAGGTAAAAGTCGGAGAAGTCGGGTCGGACTTTAGCACATCCAGGCCCAGTTACTAGCCCACCCTAGTCCCCGGAGCATCCATCAACCCGAAAGAGTGGCCCGAAACCCGATCCGCTTCATCCCTAATTGGAATTTGGGAGGGAGGAAGAAAGAGAAGGCCACAGAGAGACAGAGAGAGAGAGGCGCCGTGGGGCTTTGGTTTTTCTCTCTAGTTCTAAAGACATACAGAAATGCTTCAGCAGAGCTCCTGCTGCTGTGACTCTTTTGGATTTAGGCCGTGTTCGGTTGGGTCAAAAACAAAAAACGCATTCTCTTGCTACATGGACCTCAAAGACAAGAACAAGCTTCTACCTTTTGCTTCTTCTCGCTCGCTAAAGCACCCTCAGCTGAACCGCAATCCAGTATTGGCTTGCCGAGCATCACGTGGCTCTCCCGTGATTCCTGTCGGGTAGTATTTGCTTTTTAAAAAAATTCATGTCAAAATATGTCAAGAGCATGAGTGTTAATTTTAGTTTTAGACAACTTGAACTCGACATTTTATCTTATTGTTATACATATATAAGTAAATTTATAGTATTTGAATATTTTATATGCAGGAAAGATGATTTACCTATTCATGGAGTGGCTGAAGTGATTGTTGGTGTTCTTGGAGGGGGTCAGCTGGGTCGTATGCTATGTCAAGCAGCTTCACAAATGGCCATTAAAGTGATGGTATTGGACCCACAAGAGAACTGCCCAGCTAGTAAACTTGCCTATCATCATATGGTTGGAAGCTTTGATGATAGCGCTACAGTCCAAGAATTTGCAAAGAGGTTAACATTTTATCAACTTGGTTGTATTTATGTCCTTATGATCCATATTTATATTGTATTGTTTTCATGTTTCTTCATCAAGCACCGCTTTGTCTCTGTAATCGAAATTAATATGTATGTACTGTAATCCTATTCATGGTAGTTAGATGTGGAGTGTTGACTGTGGAAATTGAGCATGTGGATGTGGAGACATTAGAGAAACTTGAGCTGCAAGGAGTGGATTGCCAACCCAAAGCCTCTACAATCAGAATAATTCAGGTTTGTCTATTCATTTTAAGGGAGATTTTTTAAGTTACCATGTTTACATATGAAAGTATTAGCATGTTGCACTAATTCGGTATTCCACTTTTCAACTGCATGGTTCCATTATAGTATTGCTAAGCATCTCATGCTTTAAATGTAACAGGATAAGTATCTCCAAAAGGTCCATTTTTCGCAGCATGATATTCCACTTCCTGAATTTATGCAGGTTAGTTACTCTTTATCTATCTAATTGAAGAACTATAATAAATGATTTTGCAATTTTGCTTTCCATAACATAGCGCAAGATTATTATTGTTTATTGTATAATGTGGCAAAGGTAGATAGATGATCTTGAAGGTGCCAAGAGAGCAGGGGACCTCTTTGGCTATCCTCTTATGATAAAAAGTAAAAGGTTAGCTTATGATGGACGTGGAAATGCTGTCGCTAAGAGCGACAATGAGCTTTCTTCTGCTGTAACTGGTAATATGTTCAAAATTTTAACTGGGTTGTGATTGGTGTTGAATTCAACTAGAGGCTATCCATTTTTTAAAATATGATTCTACGTTTTTTGCAGCTCTTGGAGGGTTTGATCGTGGTTTATATGTTGAGAAATGGGCCCCTTTTGTAAAGGTTGGTCTCTAGCAGTTACCATGAGCTTTAATGGTTTATTTTGTGAGTTTACCATTACATTGTATTTTCAACCATGTTTTCCTCTTTTATTGGCAATATAAATGCAAAACACATTGTTTGATGATTTACAAACCAAATATTAATTTGCAATAAACAAATGTGCTTCTGAACAAGTACATCAAAAATAAAATCTCCTCTCATATTTGGCAATCTAACTCAGGAGCTGGCTGTCATTGTTGCAAGAGGAAGAGACAATTCTATCCTTTGCTACCCCGCTGTTGAAACTATACACAAGTAAGCTGTAGATTAAATTTTTAATTGTCTGTCAGCAGCCAATCTTTTATCTTAAATTTTTCATATCTGTTTATTAAATGTTACTAATATCCACATAAAGCCGAATGATTTCATGTATTTTTGGGGATTTTTCGTGCAGGGAAAACATTTGTCACATTGTAAAGGCACCTGCTAACATGTCATGGAAGATCAGAGAGCTGGCCACTGATATTGCCTCCAGAGCTGTTAGTTCATTAGAAGGTGCTGGTGTGTTTGCAGTTGAGTTGTTCTTGACAAAGGATGATCAGGTAGCAATTCTACCTCTCTTAACAACTTGGATTATGGTTATTCATTATTTATTGATTGGTGTATTGGCTTTTTATCTTTCATAGTTCTGCTGCTTTCAACTAAGTTATGCATGTATTGTGACTTCTTGTCAGATTTTGCTCAATGAAGTAGCTCCTAGACCTCACAATAGCGGTCATCACACAATAGAGTCTTGCTACACCTCACAGTATGAACAGCATTTGCGGGCTGTTGTTGGGCTTCCACTTGGTGATCCGTCAATGAAAACTCCGGCTGCAATTATGTACAATTTACTTGGTGAAGATGAGGTGAGGTTCTGTTCAATTTTGTGAACACCATCTGTCATGCACTTAATTTCTGACTTTTAGTTCTCAAATTATTTTTTTCTTAGAATTACTATTTTGAATTGTTTTCATGAACATGGATATATAGTGGAGTGTTTGAAAAATGTACAGCTATATCTGTGCTTGTGGAAGATAGATCGATGTATCAAATGCTGGCTGTTGTCATGCCATTTTTTATTCTTTCAGGGAGAACCTGGTTTCCATCTAGCTCATCAACTGATTGCAAGAGCATTGTGTATTCCAGGGGCTACTGTTCATTGGTATGATAAGCCAGGTTAGATTCTGCTTATGTCCATTTTTTAATGTCTTGTCTATTTTTGATTCATACTCAAGGATTACCTAATACCTATACTATTTATATTGTGGCAGAAATGCGAAAGCAACGGAAGATGGGTCATATAACCATTGTTGGACCTTCCATAGGCAATGTCGAAAAGCTCCTGGATTCAATGTTAAATGAAGAGAGCTCTGAAAGTCAGTCTGCAGGTAGTTTGAGTAGGGTGGTTTTGCGTAATTATTCCTTTTGACTACGAAAAAAATTGTACATCTTTTGAGATTTAGTCCAAATTTTGCGAGCCTATGTGCTTTAATTATATGAACCGCAGGTGGCTTCATTAGTACATGTACCAGTAAGCTTCATAAAATGACTAATCGTCATTGTGGAAAATTTACTATAAAATTGGAAGAGTGCAAGGGAAATGACAATGGTTGAACTTTATAAAGCAGTCTGGGGCATGAAAGACTAGGCACCTACACAATTGATAATGTTAACCTTGTATAAATTTAAATATTCTAAATCCATTTTGTGGCAATTCCCATCTTCTCCCTGTACCTTATATAGACCCCTTTGAAAACCAAACTGTGATACAGATTCCATTTTCATTTCACTTTTTAGTTAATAGTCGTAACAAGTTGTTTATTTTAACACACTTTGTTATCCTCAAATTTTATTCATGTTGCTTTCTCTTTTCTAAATGCAGTTGCACCACGTGTTGGTATTGTAATGGGCTCTGATTCGGATCTTCCTGTTATGAAAGATGCTGCAAATGTTTTGAATATGTTTGGAGTGCCTAACGAGGTTTGCTTCTCACATGTTATTGTTTGATGTCAAAGGATTACCTTTTAAATGTGTGTTATATTTTTTAGTAATATATGATGTTAAACTGACATAATTTCCAGGTGAGAATAGTTTCAGCACATCGTACTCCTGAATTGATGTATTCTTATGCCTTGTCTGCTCGAGAGAGAGGCATTCAGGTCATCATTGCTGGTGCTGGTGGTGCAGCTCACTTGCCAGGCTAGTCTTATAAACAATGCTTCAAACAAATTGCTCTAAGTGATTCTGTTTTTTTCTGGGGTTAATATAACTGTCGCTTGAGTTTTCCAGGCATGGTAGCTGCCCTCACTCCTTTGCCCGTTATTGGTGTCCCTGTGCGTGCTTCTACATTGGATGGAGTTGATTCGCTTTTATCCATTGTGCAGGTATACTATTTCAAACTATTATGCTTATTTTTTCCCCTATAACATCTTTGGTTTATTGTTTTTTTTCCATTGCTTCCTTTTTCGTTACTGTGCTCTACGAAAATTTTACTTGAGATCGTTACTATTATTGGTATTATTTTGTTTTTGTAACTTATCTGGAAAGTTATTCCGTATTTGTGTTGATAATGCAGATGCCAAGAGGGGTCCCAGTGGCAACGGTTGCTGTAAACAACGCTACTAATGCTGGTTTGCTGGCAGTAAGGATGTTGGGTGTCTGCGATGCTGATCTACTGTTAAGGTTGGTTCCCTTCACTTAATTATTCATGTCACAAAGCTTGAAATGAAAATCTGTATATTCTGTTGCCTGCCTTTTGTGATGAGGTATAAACTTGAGTGCAGAATGAGCCAGTATCAAGAAGACACAAGGAATGAAGTCTTGACAAAGGCAGAGAAACTACAGAAAGATGGTTGGGAATCTTATTTGAATCCGTGATAGCCAAAGCACTCTGCCAAATATCTGTTCAAATTTTGGAGTTTCATTCTCTTTAAGTCGGAGTATCTGACAGCTATTAAACACATTATGGTTAAATTCCAACAAAGAGAAATACAAATAAGAGTATCTGACAGCTTATCAAGGCGCAGTACAATGAACAGAAGTATGTCATCAGAAAAAAGTGGAAGTTTCGTGCCTACGAAAATCAGTTAATGTAATTCGGATTAAGCTCAAATTGGGAAAGACAATGAGGAAGGACGACTCGAGGCAGGAGGGCGGGGGAGAAGAAGCCCTATGGTTGTATTGTGTCACTATAAAGATCTGTCTGCTCCGGAAATAAGTATTTTTGTATGATTCCGTAACATTGAATTTCTTTTTTCTTTTTATTTTAATCAGCCTTCATCTTGTGACCTAAAAACTTGTCACAAAATATTTTCCTGCACCACAAACCGGTCACTCGGCCAGTAAAATTACAAGCCGAAATGAAAGCTACTCAACTCACCCAACCCAAGCAACCGACTTTGTCAAATGTGATTTTAAGTTAATTACGAGTTTAAGAGAGGTTTAGTTGCATGCAGTAGTCCTGAATGAAATTTAAACCATTCCTTTTTCTTTTTCTTTTCTCTTTTTTTTTAATATATTTTTTTTAATTTTAATTTTGTGGTGCAATCTTTCATTGGTTAATTAATTGATAAGCTTGACTTGACCCACAGAATGCAATTTGTCATGCAAGGGTTGCTTGGGCTGGGCCTTGGGCCTTGGGCATTGGATGCGGTTGGCCCTGAGATAGCCCAGGGGATCGCGCCTGTCAATGAAAATCGTTATTGCCAACATTATATTATATAAAATAAATAATACAAATTTGGTGTTTCAGTGATATGTGGCAGGCCAGTTTTGTGGAATTTTCTGACCCAAAAAAAGAAAGAAATTTTTTGTGGATCCCATTGATTTGGTATGCTGACTTTCATCATCTAATAAAATAATTTTTTAAAATTTTTATTAAAACAACGACTCTGTTTTCTCATTGTTCTTTCTCGAATTTTTGTAATTTTCTTCATGTGAATATCTTGGCACCTTCATATTTATTTGAGCAGCATTTCTTATTAAAGAAATAGTTAGCTTGAATTAATCTAAAAGTCATTTTAAATTCAACGTTTTTCTTCCTAATTAACTTTTTGGCAGTCCCAATTCATAGTTCATTTTGGTTTTAGAGGGTATCCAATGAGATGATGCTCCAAAGGCCATGGACAATCTCACTTTTTTTTTGCTTTTCATATCTGATACCAAATAAAGGAGCCTGGTTGCCCTGCCAATTTCCATATCTACTACTACCTGTAGTTCTCTACTTGGTCGCCAGCCATTGACTCATTGGTGCAGGTAGCAGGAGATTCCCTCTCTCTCTCTCTCTTCGTTTGTTGTTTTGATTTTTGGGACGGGAGGCATGAAACTTGAAAGCTAATTAATTTGCAGTGGTACACACAAATGTGAGAAAGAGTTTGTACAAGTCCTCTCTCTCTCTCTCTCTCTCTGTGAAAACATTATTTTTATTTTTATGCGTAATAAAAGGAAGTGTGTGTTGTGTGTGTCCTACCAAAGCAGAGTGTCAAACATGTGGGACATGTATCTGTTGACAGTCACATGGTTAGTGCAGCAGATGGGAAAGACCAAGTACCATATAATTACAAATTTTGTAAGCCAAGGGTCCAGTGGGTTCTTAGGGAGGGTCCTAGGGTCCTAGGGGTAGACAGAGGGAGAGGGAGGAGAAGATAGTACTGTTTTGTTATCTCAAACTAATTACATTCTGTCATGTAAAATAATACTTAAGTATATACGACAAAACGTAATTAATTAAGAATAACAAAATAGTGATATGATATATAAGGTTCTCCAGAAGAGAGCCAAAACAATTGTTGTGCGAAAATGGGAATGTGGTGTGACATTTCAAGCCAAAACAATACAGACATGTGGAAGTGTGCATGTCATGTTAAAACACCCTCCTCCTCCTCCTCCACACAGTCCACTCCACACTCTATAATATCATGTCAACTGGCCTTCCTCACCAGCTGCAGCTCAGCAGCTTAGCTGTCGTTTTGACTGTAAAAACCTAGTCATATAATTTGGCACCCTCTTCAATGTGCTTCGACTCCCACAATCCCACAATCCCACAATCCCACAATCCCATTATCCCATCCCCACAACCACAATGCTCTAAATAAATAGTTGGTGCCTTGCCTCGCCTTCATTATTGTACACTAGATATTCAACAACGGACAACGGATTATTTATGTGCCACTCTGACTCTGCAGATTAATGGATTATTTCTCAGAATCCCAGCCACTCAGGCCATATAGCTACTAGCCTACCAGTGAATGCTTGCATGATTGAGAATGACTGCATATCTAGCTGTTTATAAAATAATACAGAACCAACCTTATATATGCATTTGTTAAAATCAAATTAATTATATGAATTGTTTGGGTGGCAAATATGAATATGTCACTAGTCTATAGTTGCAGCATCCATTATATATCTATCTTCAAGCAGGTTGCCTTGAACAAAGCATAGGAAGTCAACTTTGAGGCTTGAATGCTTCTCTATATCAGAGAGAGAATCACGGGAAAGAAAACAGGGATTTAAATGAAAAGGAAAACTTGATGCTTCCCTTCAATAACTAAAGAAAAGAATGCCTGATCATGAAAGTGGGCAATGGCAGCCTTTGGGTTTGATATAAAAGAATCAATTACAGTACTGTTACTGTAATAGCCACAGTACTTACACTAGTAAACCAGAGAGAGAGAGAGAGAGAGAGAGAGAAAGAGAGGCGAGAGCATAGAAAAAGGCAGTCTTTGGAGAATTTGATACTCTTTTTCTTTTTTTAATCTTTAAAGAAAAGAAACAATATTGCAGATTTGCAGATACTCTCAAACCGATGGATGATGTTTTTGAACCCGGTCTCTCTCTTACTCAAAACCCATTTTAAAATTGTGCACGAATCTTATTCTTAAATACTGTGTTTTTATAAATTAATCAATCAAACTTTATATTTTATTGTCATTTGCAGATGGGGTCAGACCAGATTTTCTTGTTTTTAGAAAACAAAAAAAATAAAATAAGAGTTCAACTTAAGTGATAGGCTAATGATGCTCTGCTTTGTAAGTTGTATAAATTTATAATCGTGCTGTAATTCTATCACACGTCGTTGGTGATTACTTAAGTGATAAAAATATAATCAGTAGCAATATAATTATAATAGGATGAGAGACACAGTCACGTGGCTACTATCCAGGGGAACATACTTTTTGGATCCTGACAGATGCACAATAATATTTATCACCAGAAAGGCCAACTGGAATCCCCCAGAAATAAAAGTACAAAGTCAAAGTATATATATCAGTACATTATATATATATATATATATATTTTATATATGGTGTGAAGTTTGAACTGTGAAGTCTCACGTCGCTACATGAAATGAAACATCATGATGCCGTTGCCAGCCAGTAAATTCCACCTATGTCAAGTCCAGGGCTAGTCCTCCTAAGTATCCGTTGGACATTTTTAAAAGCTCTGTTCGTTTAGTAAATTATAAGAAGAATAATACTAGAAATCTTCTCTCTAACCTTCTCTTTTTGACTTTCTCTTTTCTTCTCGTGATAAGTGTCATTTTTCTTACACTTAAAACAATGTCATTAATACATCATACAAGTTAGTTTTTGTTTTCCAAATTTACCCTTCATTTTATCCAAATTTTATTTCAACTTCCTTAGCACAATGTTAAAAATTAAATAAGAAAAAAATAAAAGAAAAAACCCCCTTTTTTTTTGGAAAAAAATAAGGTTTGTTTCATGACATATATCATCTTTCTTTTTGGTTTAACAAAGCATACGTCCTCTTTGAAAAGAAAAGATTTTAAAAAACTTTAGTTTTTATTTCTTTTTTAATTTTTTTTAACAAGGTAGTAAGAAAGTTGTTATTAAAAAAAATATAATACATTTAATAAAGGTAAATTTGGAAAATAAAAACTAATTTGTGTGATGCATTAATGACATTGTTTAAGTGTAAGCAAAATGACACTTGTCATGAAAATAAGAGAAAATGTCCAAAAAAGAATGTTAGAGAGAATGTTGCTAGCATTCTCCTTATAAGAAAATCACTTTTTATTAAAAAAAATTTGTGAGAGAAAGTTATAAGGAAAAACAGATAATGATGTATTTTTATTTTTTTGATTATGAATGAATTAGTTTTAAAGAGGCACTAGGTTTAATGATTATGCGAGAATCATTTTCTGATTATGCGAGAATCATTTTCTGAATATGTATGAATCAATACCAACAACACTTTTAACAAAAAATTTATCAAATACCAAACTTCTTTATCTCACAACTGATTTTTCTCACAGAAAATTTGACAGTGATTATTTTTACAGTACAGTAATGTCAAACTAATTTCTGTTTGAGTCTTCCTTAGTCATAATAAAGAAGTGGATTTCTATTCAACAATATTACTAAAGTCGGTCAGATGTCTAAATATGTATGTTAAATTTGAGTTTCATATATATCAACGATTAGAAATCGCCTAGCACAGCTCAGAGTCACGGGATGAAGATCAGAGGGAAGGGACATATAGTTTAGGGCAGTACAGAGTGGTACAGTGTTTGACAACTTGACATGCATATTTGTTGCATTGATAGCTAGTTAAGCTAAGGAAGCGCGTGCAGGTAAATGGGTTTGGCAGAGGAGGTGAGGGACAATCCCCGGGCCCTATATACAAAGGTGGCAAAAGCATGAAAGGAAAAGCTAAAGCCTAAAGGAAAAGACAGGATTGGAATTTGAGAACAGAAATCAATTGAGACACCCCAACCACCCATCATGTTTGGAGAGTTGGGAGCACCACCAACCCCTCTCTCTCTCTCTCTCTCTCTCTCTCTCTCATGAATGATTTGACTTCACTATTTATCGACCCAATAATTTGTTTCATTTCTTTCCACATTTCCAACACCATGTGGGATACTGGGATGATCCCTCTTGAATAGTCAGAAAATGATGTACAATAATTTCTTATGAGTTTTCTGTCATGCCCACCTTTTTATTTTACATGAAATCTTCTGTAAGGTGGCAGATTGGTTTGTGCAAACCAGCAAATATAATTTTCGGAGAAGAAAAGAGAGAGAGAGAGAGAGAGATGATTATTGTATATAAAATTTATATATATGTACAAAATGTGGTTAATTGTAAAGATGCTTCAACCCAACCAAGCAGGAGAAAACAGGGCATGCAGTTACTGTTTAGAGGGAAGGCGTGGGTGATGGTTCAGTGAGTTTTCTGACTCACAACCACAAAAAGAAGCTGGCAGCTCACCCTTTTAGACAGTTAAGATGCTTATTGGAGATTGTCTAGAGCTAGAGGATAACTTTGGAGGTTGCTTTAACCTTGCTAATGTACTGAGCTGAGGGGACTAAATGAGGACAATTGGAAATGGAGTGGAGGACACCAGTAAAGGGGCATGTGAACTCTTGGGTCCCTACCCTAGCTACAGTTCAGTTCAATTTCCAGGATATAATGACCACAAAGAAAAAAGATCATTGAAATATATGAATCACACAATATATATGGACAGTGCTTCTCTCATTTTTGCAAATCACAGTTCGATACATATGCACAAATAATTCATAAAAAATACCAAAAGAAAAATATCTACACACGTGTCAAATTGCTAACTGATAAGATCAATGCAATAAAATATCTTCCCGAGTCTCAGAGGTACTGAAAATAACTGGCCAAGTAAGTTCAGCAAACATCTACAGATCAATTATTGTGCAGTTGATAGTGCTGTCAGGTCCGCTGTGGCATTAGCAATACATTTATTGCTTAAATGAGAAGCACCTATAGAAATTCCATGCTCAGTGAATGCAGTAACTTGTTCCAATCCAATTCCAATGGATGGGATGGGAGTAAATAGGACTTGGGTGGTGATTAACAGGCGGGATTCTATTACCAATTTACTTGAAGTTTGCAAGATATAATTTTAGGGTGATAATAAAAATAAGACAACCAATTCAAGCATGATTCGTCCTTTAATTTTGGATCTAGATTTATAAGTTCGCATATAAATCATTAATTGTTGTGAATGCTCCTAACCTAACGCCATGAAATCCTGCCAAAGAAGCTAATCAGTATTATTTGTACTTGATTATACAAGAGGTTTATTCCACAAGTATCCATCCAGATTCCAGGCCAAAAAGCCAAACCCAATTAAAGGCTAAACCATAAACCTCACTGACACTCCCTTAAGTATTTTTTTTCTTTTTTCGGCTAAGCACCTCACTCCAGATTAATATGCAGCTAATAAATAACCCCAAGAATGGTTGCAGTTGCAGAGTTGCAGACAAAGTTTGGGAGCAAGCAAGTCACTTCACGTGCCTGGCATCTGGAGAAGAGCGCGTTGGTGAAGAAGCGAAGGAGTTTTCTTGGAATCTCTTGACAAAGCCAAGACGTCATCACATTAATAACGGAGTCCGAAAGAGTTTGGACCCAAGCTGTGACCCAACAGACATTGTCATGAACAGTGATAAGAATCTATGATTATATATATGAATGAATGTGAATATGATGATATTAACATAATCTTCATGTTTGATTTATTTCTTAATTTTGTGGTTTTTAGAGCAGCTCACGTTCACCCCTCCATTTCTTATTTATTAGAGAGAGAGAGAGAGAGACCCAGACAGCCAAAACCAAGCAAAACCCCAAAAAAGGCTCTCTTTTTCATATACAATCCAACTCCACTAGCTCTCACTGTCTCACTGAGCCTATATCTCTGCGCGGTGGGGGTGTCATTGTATGTAAGGGGAGAACAGAGAGAAAGTGAAAACAGAGAGCAAAGAAAAAAAGAAAAAAAAGGAACAAAGGCATAGGCATCCATCAAACTCTGTCTCTCTATTTGCACCCCTTTGCAGTGAGTGTGGTCTCTCAACTCTGTAAAAACTCTGTTTAGACTCTAGGAGTGAGAAAGTTAGAGAGAGAAAGAAAGAAAGTGTCTTTCTGTGTGTGTGAAGAGAGTAGCAGAGATACATATATATAAAAGAGAGTGAGAGATGCAGCAGCACCTGATGCAGATGCAGCCCATGATGGCAGCCTATTATCCCAACAACGTCACTACAGATCACATTCAACAGGTCCTCTTCTTCTTCTCTGCCTTTTTGCTGGGCTCTTTTTCCTGTATCGTTTCTCTGCTTGCTTCTGCACTTCCATTTGGTTTGGTTTCTCCTGTCACTTCCTTTCATTTCCCCTTCTATTTCTTTTCTCTTCTCTGTGTTTTCTGTTTTTATTTTTTTTTAAATTTTTTTTACAAAAACTTATCCCTTTTTCTCTAAACTCAAAGTATGATTTTTTTTGGTATTATTCTTTTTTTTTTTTTTTTTTTTTTTTTTTTTTTGGTTTGTTTTTTTATTTACTACTATGTGTCCATGCTTGATTATTAGCTGAAGCTGTTTTCTTGGCTCTCTGTATTTTTGTCTCCGTATTGCTGTTTCTTCTGCTTTTCTAAACAGTTTCTCAAGCGCTTTCCAACATCTGCTTTTCTTTGGTGAAGTTTAAATGGGTGTTGAGAATTGATAAATGGTTTCTGTTATGTGGGATATCTTGATTTACTCCTTTTTCTTTTTGTGTGGGTTTTTTTTATATGCTAACGTCTTCTATCTGACGTAAATAGTGATAACCCACATCATCATGCATTTTGGTGCGTTTCTCAGATATCATGAGTTTATCTAGGGGCTTTCTGCTTGCAGCAGTGCACACTAACTTAAAGAATGGTGCTTTCATTTATTTTGACAAGCTGTGACTAGTGAACTAATATTTTTACTTTCACTTGAGGGTCGGCTTCTTGAAAAAAATCTTGATGGCATACCTAGGATAGGATTATGAACCACAAAGTATTTAGTTTTCTATATTATGTGCATCAGTTTTGGTAGTCTTTTTTATTCCATTAATTTTGTAAGGCATAAGTTGAGCTGATCTAGTTTAGATTTCAAGTTCAACTGAAAAATCCTTCACAAAATACCAAATAAGTCTCAGAGGGGCATTGAAACTGAGAAAAAATGAATACAGGGATAATCAAATAGTAAAGGACAAACTTGTAGGTGTACGTGGAGAATCTAGATGTTTGCAGAACTGGAATGGAAACTATGGTTTGGTTTAAAAAATTCAAGGAAATCTGTTTAAAGTGCTCTTTTGGCATGTTCTTGTCTTTCTTGGCACCAAAACAGCGAATCCTACAGGGTTTTGTTCCTTTAAAGGGTTCTAACATAACTCATGTCCTCATTCTGTGATCAATCCTGTGCTTGACTGTCAAAATTGAATCTGGCTTTTTGAATCCATCACATAAACATAAAGGATGTTTTCCAGTCGAGTAGCGCTGTTGTCGCTATTATGAATGTAAACAACTCGTCTTTGATTCTGCGGCTCAAGTCTGTTGGGCTTCATTGCTTTCAGATTCATCATTTTCCAATGTCAAACTACTTGATGTCTGATTTGTACAAATTGGTTTATTGCTGGGAAACATGTGGTCAGATAATTGGCTTCAGTGCTGGTTGCACCCGTAATTTCATTTTACTGTAATTATCTTCTGTATTAGCTTATAGTTATCCAAGTGTTATATGGTTTAAATTAATTGTTCCTGATTTCATTAAATTTTACTGCAGTACTTGGACGAGAACAAGTCATTGATTCTGAAGATCGTTGAGAGCCAGAATACAGGGAAATTGAGTGAATGCGCAGAGTGAGCATTTAGTTCATTGACTGCTCTGCTTTGGACATCTTTTTTTTTCACAGATTTCTATTTATAAGCAACGTATATCTGTTAGGCTATTTTTATTTATTTTTTACCTAGCTTTCTAATTGATACTGCATGGTTGCAACTCATGGTCCACCCGGTGCACCATTGTCTTTTAGCATGATACAGGTCTCATATAAGTTTGTCCATTCCTTTTAGCCTGGATTTTGCATGTCCATTCAATCTTATGACGTGCTCATTTTAGTTTTGGAAGCTCTGCATTCAGCTCAGTACACTTAAACATTGTTTTGGAAGTTTAATGGCTATAAATTGAAAATTTATTTGTTTAAAGCGCTAGACATTTCAGTAATTCTTTTGAAATTGTTTTAGGAACCAAGCAAAGCTACAGAGAAATCTGATGTACCTGGCTGCCATTGCTGATTCTCAACCCCAACCTCCTACCATGCATCCTCAGGTACAAACCTCATTTCCAAAAAGTTTTATAACTTGAAGGGTTCTGACTGATTCTGTCACGTAGTTCAACTGCGTAAATCAGTGTTGCAAATATTGTAGATTCCCTGATTGTGTTCGAAATTCTCTGTAGTACCCTTCCACTGGCATTATGCAACCAGGAGCACATTACATGCAGCAACAAGCAGCTCAACAGATGACACCACAATCGCTCATGGCTGCACGCTCTTCTATGTTGTACTCCCAGCAGCCATTTTCAGCTCTGCAACAACAAGCCCTGCACAGCCAACTTGCCATGAGCGCAGGAGGAAGCACAGGACTTCACATGCTCCAGAGTGAGGCAAATAATGCTGGAGGCAGTGGTCAATTTGGGGCTGGAGGGTTTGCTGATTATGGACGCAGCTCCCCTGCAGAAGGCCTGCATAGGAGGATGGCCAGTGGGAGTAAGCAAGATATGGGGGGTGTTGGGAGCTCTGGAGCCCATGGCGGAGATGGTGGGGAGACTCTTTACCTGAAATCTACTGATGATGGGAATTAAGAGGTAAAATGACAGACATACTGGTCTGTTAGCATCTGAACTTAGAGAATTAGGTGAGGAATATCCAATTAGGCGCAGAAGAGAGGAAAAAAAAGACGACTTGCTGCTTAAAGGGCTTGTGTTTATCTTTGAGTGTTTACCCTCAAACCTTGAACTATGGTTTTTTTTAGTGAGAATGCAGTTATGGTAGTATATCATGTAAATTTGTAGGCCATCTTCTTAAGGCGGTTTCCCTTTTATGTTACTTCAAATTTTTGTGCTCAATTCGGCGGGGGGAGGGGGTGGGGTTATAAACAAAAATCGACTTCTGGTGAATTGAAGTTGACATAGTAAAAGGCCTCATATACTGTTATACATGACTTGTTCCGCTCAGTCTCCATGGGATTAACTGGGGCCGGTTCAAACCTTTTAGCGAAAAGAAGAAACCAGAACTTGTGACTAATTCTCTAAGAACATCTAATGACAGTGGAGATTGGATGCAGAACGATTTTCATTCATTCAGTTCAAACCTAAATATAATAAATTCTATCGAAAGGAAATACAACCAAAATAAAAAGATACAATTCAGCAAGTGATATTCGTGATTTTAGTACATAATATATATCTTCTGAATGCCTTAATTTTGAATGATCATTCAAGTGCGGCTGCTTGCTAGCAAGAAATACATTAAGTTTGGTTCATTCTTCACTGATATGGAAGGAAAGAATATATAAGGTTATGTGCAAAAATGCTAGTGAGTAGTGAAACATCAAAATCACATAAGCTGATCTCCAAGAGAAAATAAAAAACAGAGAAAACTCTCATACATAAACACAAGGAGGTTGGAAAGTAGACAAGCTTTCTGCAACTGCTTCCCATAAGTTATTTTCATCACTAAGCTGATCAAGAACAGCTACAGGGAGAGGAGGGCCTTCTGAAAACCTCATCACCCTATCTGCTTTTGAAGCTTCATGGTTAGAAGAAGAAACCCAGCTGGCTTGTTCATCATGAGTGCCTTGTTGATCATCAAAAACTGCAATATTGGAATCTTGGCCTGTGAGTTGCTGAACAATTGCTCTGAACTCAGAAGCATTGCTGGCTTGAACCATCATAGGGCTGGAGATATACTTAATCATGGGTGCTTTAGCTTTTGTTGGTTTTTTGCTTTGATCAGGTTGAGGTTGGTCTTGACTATGGTGATTTCTAAGTTGTTCCATTTTTCAACTACAGAGACAAGGGGAGAGAGAGAGAGCTTTTGAATTTGTATCTACTTGGGCCTCCTTACATATATATATATATATATATATATATATATATATATATATATATATGGGCAAAAATACCGTTAATGAATTGCATGTGGGTCAATTCAACCTTTAAATCCCTTGAAATATGTGGAGGTTCTTGAATGAATGGAAGCAACCAGGAAAGGAGCTAGGGACATATAGACAAATGTGGAAAACTAAGGCATGGACTAGAAAAAAGGTTGCTGCAAAGACCTTGTGCAGTAGACTATAAACACTGATGGCGTACATATTCAATTATGTTCTAAAATGGCTGCTTAAAATATCTAATCAAGTCGCATTTGAAAGTTACAGCTTCACATCACATCGACATTGAATACTATAATTGAAATACTGATTCCTATATCATATCTACATTGGATACTATGATTGAAATACTTCTAATGTATAGAAATAATACCCCAACCCAACATTACCTATAAAAGGAAACTGATGCTTCTAATTATCTAACTTTTTGTCAAATTATATTAAACTATGACGAACAAGTCCAGAGCCAGCTTCAATTTTTTTTTTTTAACTTTCTCTTTTCTCTTTCTGTCATATGATGATATCATTATCAGTAAATTAAAAGAGAAAAATATATATACGTTCCTTTGGATAATAATGCAGAGATTGATTGGTGTTTTTTCCACACAAAAGTATATGATCACGTGCCAATCTTCAATCTTGTGGTCAAACCCTAATTTGCAGTCCTTGTCTTGTCACCACCACCACCACCACCACAGCACAACTCCTTCTAGTCCTGGGGAGCAGAATCATGCACGTCTATCTTTGACTTTATCTCTAGTTAGCAAACAATCATTGTACCAAAATGAAAAAAAACAAAACAAAACTCGTGTTACAGTTTGTTTAAAATAAGATTGCTTGATCACCTAGTAGCAACGAACGAACGAACTGGTCAAGGTGGTCCGTATGTAGCGTGCAGGAAAATGCCTCCGTGGCCAATTAATTACAAATATTTTTCTACAACGATAAGGACATGGATCATAATCATATGACTCATATATGATTATTTTAATTTTATTTTCAAATTTGTCAATTCCTTTTGCTAATTAACCTCATTCCATCTCCTTTTGTTTTGTTTCTTTAATTAATTAATTTTTTTTCTGGGTTAAGTGATGCATGCAACTTAATCTTGTCTTCCCAGGTCAAACTTCAAAGATCCAAGTTATGACTATGACTAGCTTAATTTATATTATAAAGAATGGCGGCATTTGAATGTATATAATTTATTTATTAATGTTATATGATTGATCTGCACACACACACCGACTGAGGAAGCTTCTAACAATTTTAATTTTGGAGGTTCTTCTGATTTAGAATTAAAACGCAAATGATGTACGAAAAGCCTGAGGTGCCCTTATTGTACGAATCCCCCTTCACCAATTTCATTTGTATTAAAAGAAAAAGAATCAAAGGCCTTCATTGTTAAACCTTCAGGCCCATACTTCTTCCTTGTGCTTGGAATTCATGCTACGGGCTTTTACTTATGAATGGGCCTCCGAATGAGCTTGATTCGTTGGGTTGGATTTGGTAATTATAGGGCGAAACTTTAAAAGGTACGACACCGTTGAGAGTGGTTTATTACTGCCGAGTATCAACACTGAACTTAAGAGAGTAAGCAGGAAGAAAGAGACTCATGGCATGTTTACTAATCAAGAATTTGAATTCTTATTATGAATTGAATTTCGCATATGAAGGATTTTGCGTTTACTTCACATCAAGTAATTAAAAAGTAAGTGAGACCCACACAAAATTAGGAATTGAATTCTTGATTTTGGAGGAATTCAATTATTAGGTGAGATGTGGTATTTTATATCCTCACACAATTTTAAAAATTCCAAATTTGTCATATATCTTAACCCAACATTGAGGAAATTTTAATAGTTAGTACCACTCTTACCATAATTCCATATGGTTTAGTAAACAACTTTAATAGGAATCTAAAATCTAACTCTCCTCAATCCATATGATTTAATAAACAACTTCAATAGGAATCCGAAATCTAATTATCTTCGATCCAACTTCTCATCAATTTAATTCCATACCATCAAAGTTGAAAGCTTGAATGGCGTGCCTTGTGTCCATGACCTCTGTGTACCTGTCTCAGCTTCACATTGCTTCACAAAGGTAAGTTCACATTTACCAAACTTGTGGTCGACAAAAAAACCCTAGCTTTTATCCTTGAGCTGCTGAAACAACCTTAGAAAACTTGGGATTTGAAAGCAGGAGTGGGAAAATGCTTTGGAGATTTGAAAAATAATGTGTGTTGCAATATTTTTTATTTATGTTTTTTTATTTGTTATTATTAAACTCCAGGAAATACCTCCGATAAAATCAGCCAACTTGAGGAACAGGTTTTCTTCTTCAATCTCTTTTCTCAATCGCCAGTTGTTAGTCATATACTAATTTTGTTCTTCGAAATTTAGTGCTTTTATTTCTACCAAAAGAAAATTTGAAAATCAGATTTGAGTTGCTTAAAAACCCATTAGATGCATGAAATTTGTAGAATCTGTAAGTTTTCACTTCCAGTTAGTCAAATCGTATGTCAGGTTGGGGTGTTCCAACATGAGTCCAGTGTGAAGGGTAACTTCATCCCAAGTTCAGCAAGTTAGAATCTCTTCAAGGTCATGAAAGAAAAGAAAAAAAACTTGAAAAGGAGAGCAAAGGCATTCCATTTTTCATGGTAAACAGAATAAGCCTTAGCCTATTGAGATGCTGTTCTTTAGTTATATTTTCATGGAACTCTTGTTCCTGCTTGCTCTATTATTTTAATTGTACGTATATGGATGAATAGTGTCTTCAGTTTCTCTTGTGTTACATTACATGGCATCTATTCGCCAGTCACAAGCAATGTATCTTTCTGCATGATTTGATAAATTTAAACTATAAGTAATTCACTAAGGAAGTCTTATAATTAAATGAATAATTCTGTTTCATTTGGTTCTTGTGTCAATATGTAAATACATGATGAAGATGTTCTTTGGTCTTGGCTGAGATTGTTCATCTTTTAAACTGCCAAAAAAAAAGCTATTTATTGACGAAGAAAAAAAAAATTGCTCTAAGCTTTTAATTTCATCCCTAAAATCAGCTACTTCTACAACATAACACAAAACATTCAACTTACATTGGCGGGGAACAAAAGCATTAACATCCCCGTTTCCATTTGATGCAATTCATGTATCTAAATGTAGATTCAAAGAAAAATTTTGTGGGGCAAAGCATGATCATGAACAATGTACAACCCCGTAATTAATTAATATCCATGAGGGAATTAGGAGAGGTTGCATGTTGAATCTACCACTTGACAGTAAAGACAGGCTCATTCTCATAGACAGACCATCTATCCAAACATCCATCCATCTGCAGCAAAGTAATCAATCTGTACGTGGCAACAAGAAACTAAAGCCGGAGTTCTCACGAATAAGTGGCGGAGGTTCAATGTCGGAGATGTCTATTTGTTCCATCGATTTTGATATGTCATCAACTGAAAATGGAATGCTGCAGCATAAAGGGTTACCAATGGATATGGATAGTGTCAGTCCAATGTCCAGGATATAGAGGTAAACGAGGAAGGAATGAGATATGTTCAGCAATGATAACAAGCCCTACCAAAAGCAGAACCAAAGAAAGTTATTTTGTAATTGTTACCAAAAGTTTCCTTTCTTAAGGTTTCAATCAGTTTACTTATGAAATGCAACTCCAAATGAAGTAACTAAACAAATGAAACAGAAGAGAAGAGAAGAGAAGAGAAGAGAAAGAAAAGCTGAATCAGGGTGATGACATGGTTAAATGTTGCATAACCTGGAATCGTCATCCAACAGGAAAGAATTACTGACAGCATTGTTGGAATCTTCTGTCATCAACACTCTCATATTGGATATAACCTAGATGGACCATTGAAAAAAGAGAAAAAAATGTGCAAGTAAGTTTTTAGATGCATGTTTTCAGTTCAGTTCAGTGTATTGTAATTTATTTTAATGCTGCGTGACGAAGATGACTCGAACCTAGCTGAGTAATGGCATCCATAAAAACTTACATCCGAGGACACACTATGTGTGCCATATTTGTCATCCCAGTACATTGTACTGATACGATATAGCTGCTGTATACTGAGGACCTGTTAAAAAAGAAGTTCGAGGGAGAGGTTAATAGACTAAAGTATAGTTTGTTTTATCCTTGCATACACATCACTTACCGGGCACAGGTCATGGCTTATTTCATCGAGCGTCTTTTTTGGTTTTTGATGTATGACCTGAACAGAAAACGTAAAAATTTGAGGACTAACAGTAACTTCACCATTATAAAACGTAACTACTAGTACTGGCAGTAGAAACGGAAAATAATGAATGAAAGATACCAGGAAACCAATAGCCTGCCTGATATGCTTGAGTTCATCCCAAGCTGAACCTGCATACTGCATTTTCTTTTATTTAGTAAGTGAGTGTATATTAATTATCGCACAGCACAGCACGAAGAGGAACTAAATTCAAGGTACCTCATCTGTTGCCTTATAGCACCAGTGCTCCAGTTCAGCCAACCCAGCTTTAACATACTCTCCATTACTAAATGAACAGCACTCTCGTCTTAATAGAAGGCTGCAGAAAATACTCTTATATTAGAAAAGTTTAGGGAATGTTAAACAGTATACAAACACTCTCATCTCGTCTCTTCTCGTCTTAATACCTGTTGAATAGCTGAACATTGATGAAGGAGAATATCTGTGTGAACACCTTACGAACTAAAAATGGAGGTACCTGTAAAGAGGAACAATGTGTGTGAGAGAAATAGGCTATATATGTTGAGAAGAAGAAAGACTGATCACTATCATATTATTATGTGAATGTGAGTAAGGTAAGAGAAGGGGGAACTCACATGATTTGCTTTTAAAGTATTTAAGAAGTTTCCGAGGC